ACAACAACAAGTCAAACATTTTCCTCTTCGAAACACAATCTTCTTACAACCTCCGTGAAACATCATTATGGAACTAGTAATGATATTTCTGAACTCATTCATCTCTCTGAAACCACTCGGAGTGTTGTCATTGATAAACATTTTAGAGATTCTTCCAAAGTCAAAGGAACAATACAAGAATTGAAAAATGGTTTAAATTGTGAGGCTCATGTTGAATCCAAGAACAAGATTGCAAAACCAAAGATTCATCTCATTCAATTGGATGATAATGAGACCTTTTTCAGAGTTGAGAAGAAAAAGAAGAAGAAAGCGAGTAGTAAGTTTTATTCCGAGAGGAAAATATAGATCTATTGAACCATTCAATGAATCATCATTCACACATTTTATGAAAATTATGGAAATGTCCATTTAATGTATTTTACATGTATACTCCCGCTCTCGAATTTGTATGTGTCAAACTTGTCCATCGATCGATCGATCGTTACGTTATTACAATACATTTCTCTTGTGTGGCATGACAAACACTATTCATACAACAACTTTTTTGAAACACAAATTCCTTTTCACACCTTTTCAAACTTGGCAAAAACACTCGCATACTCAAACACTCGTACACTCAAACACACACTCGCATACTCACACACTCGCATACTCAAACACGCATACTCAAACACACACTCTATGCTTCATTCCAATACACACACCCCGAAATAGTTCTTTTAAAGGACATTAAAAAAGTACTCACGGGTGTCTCTTTTTCAGAGACTGGAGTCTTTCACAAGTATCATGAGAATCTTGTTTCCAAAAAGAAAAGTTTAATCTACAATCCTGATTGGACCGTTACCATCATGTTTGGATCAGCTCAAGAACAAGTAGATGTTGTTTTTAAGAAAGTGAATGAATTCATTTCATTTCTTGTTGCCATCAATTACTTGTTGAGAGCGACTAATTTAACTCAAACACCTCCATTCAGTGTATTAATGATGAGATATTGGATGTTTGCTGATGAAAATAATGATAACAAACTCTCTATTCAAGAAATTAACAAATTATTTAAGAAATTGAATATTGAAATTAATTTTAATTATTTAAAAAAGAACTTTGAAAGATTTGATGTCGATAAGAGTGGAACTATAGAATTTAATGAATTTATTGAATTATTTAAAGAAATGCATGTCGTTGATGAAGTTGAAGACCTCTTCATGCAATGTACAAATACCAACTTGATGACTGTTCATGAATTTGTCAAATTCTTACATGGTCATCAATCTCAATCAGAAATTTCTGAAAGTCAAGCAATTGAAATTATGAAAAAGAATGGTGCCATAGAAATTGATGGACAATTATGTATGCCTTCCTTTGAATTTACTTCTTTTGTATTTTCTAGTGATAATTCATTGGTGAACCCAACTCTCTATACTCTTCATCATGATATGGATCAACCATTAACAGGTTTGTATTTTTGGTTGTTTTTTGTAGTGAGTGTCAATGTTTCCTATAATAATGATGATGGATGGATCGATCATTTCCTGTATCATTCTTTCATAACAATGGTACCATGATTGTGTACGAATTGGTCATACTGGATAATCTTTACTGTGATCATGTTCTTTTAGATTATTATATTCACTCTTCACACAATACATATTTATCTGGACATCAATTGAAGGGTGAAAGTGATGTAAAAAATTATAGAAATGGTTTACTAGGAGGATCTAGATGTGTCGAGTAAGTACTTTAAGTTCTTTTTACCCAATCCATATAAATATATAAATATATATATTTATTCAATTACTGATGACACACTCACTCTCTATTCCTCCTCGATTCACTTCAATCAATAACCTCTAAAACTACACTCTAAAACTACACTCTAAAACTACACTCTAAATTTTTCAATACTATGATAACCTCTAAAACTACACTCTATTCATGAATACTACACAGACTCGATTGTTGGAATGGAGATCATGGTGAAATTGTCATTTATCATGGTCGTACGTTAACCTCAAAAATTCTCTTTGAAGATGTCATTAAATGCATCAATGATTATTCGTTTGTTCATTCACCCTATCCAGTCATTCTCTCCTTAGATGTTCATGCAGATAAAGAAGGTCAAGAGAAAATGGCAGATATCATGATCAAGATATTTGGAGAGAAATTATTCATGCCTGATGAACACATGACTCGATGGCCATCTCCCAATCAATTGAAACATCGAATTATTTTAAAGAATAAGAAAGTACCTCTGGGAGTCATTCCAACCACACCTCAAGTGACGATGATGAATGGTGAAGATTCTCTATTAGATTCAGATTCTGACGACTCGGAGGATGAAGATGATTTCTCTGATGAAATGAGTACCACTCATACTACTACCACTCATACTACTTCAACTACTACCACCTCTCATCATCATGGTAGAAATCGTGATAAGGCTGTCATTTCCAAAGTCAAAGTTGCTCAAAAATTATCCGATATCACTGCATTGGGTACTACCAAATTAACAAATTTTCAAGATCCTTCCATTGTGAATTTACCATGTTGGAAAATGTTTTCATTGAGTGAAAAGAAGGTTGAAAAATTATTGAACAATGAACCCATGAATCTCATCAAATTTAATCAAAATCACTTTTCAAGATCCTATCCTCATGGTTTGAGATTTGATTCTTCCAATTATGATCCAACAAGTTCATTTGTGACTGGTGTACACATGTCTGCCTTGAATACTCAAACCCATTGTGCTTTTTACAGAATTAATGAATTTAAATTTAAGGAAAATGCAAATTCAGGATATGTCTTGAAACCCAAGATATTACGTGCTGGATCTGAAGAACCATTTCCAGATATGGAGAAATCTCATGTGAAACAATATATCAGTAAGTATCAAATAGACAAAAAGTGAATCATGTTGTATGATGGATTGTTTATTTACCTTGTTATGATGAATATAATGATGATGAATATAATGATGATTATTATGATGATTATTATGATGAATATAATGATGAATATAATGATGAATATATTGTTACCATATTCACCTTATAATGATGAATATAATGATGAATATAATGATGAATATATTGTTACCATATTCACCTCTCTCATTATTGTATGATAACATCATGATGAGCACAGAACTTGACATTATTATGGCCAAACAAGTTCCAAATCCAAAAGGTAAAGAAAAGGGTGAAATTGTAGATCCCTATGTGAAAGTATCTATTTTAGGTCATCCTAGAGACAATGCATCCTATAATACTATTACTGTGTGGGACAATGGATGGAATCCAACATTTAACAATACTTTTGAATTTAAATTAGTGTGTCCAGAATTGGCTTCTCTTCAAATTTCCATATTTGATAAGAATAAGGTTTCTGCAGACAAATTTATTTGTGAAAATATTATTCCTGTAACTGCATTGAGAGAAGGAAAATTGAGAAGTGTTCAAATGTTTGATGAAGATATGAATCTCATCGAGGGATGTCAATTATTGTGTAATTTGGAGATTCTCAAAGTCAATCAATGATATCTGTAATTTCTTTACCGAAATGAACATGGAGTGTGTGGCTCACATTATTTTTGATGTGTCATCCCAATGGTTGCCTTTCAAAAAAAATTGTTTTATTTCGATCATGGATTATTGTGTTCGATGGATTTCTTGCACCTCCAATCACGAAAAATTAAAAACAACTCGAGGTGTTCTCAATTCAACGAGAATTTGTCAATTAATTTCTCATTACATTCCAAGATTGCAATACATGATATCATCGGATGAAAATGATTTGAGACTCATGAATCAACAAGCTCCGTCAATACCACACATGATAGTACTACATGAATGTGGAGAATGGAATGAAACTGATTTTATGTTAAAAACATCGGAACCAAACACCATGTTACTACTTGGTGATTACCAATTATGTTCACATGAATCGTTGCCAATTAAAAATTTGAATCATTTTGGCCAAACTTTAGTAATTGGATGTATTTCAAGAAAAGAGTTGCAATTCTCACATGAAGAATCATATTTAACTTCATTCATTTGTGACCCTTCCAATTCATTCCTTATCCACTTTATAGATCCTAAAAAATATGAGAATAACAAGTTGAATGGATATCTATTTCTTACACAATCTAATAACAATCAATTATTTGAAATATTAATGCATCATTTTGACAGATATATCGAAGAATATATTCAAAGCAATACAAATTTAAAGTTATGGACTAATCATGCCAATTTTACAAAATTATTGAAACATTTATTACTCTCCTTAATACTACTTGCAAAATTTCAACAACAAGTGAAGGCCTCAAAAGATTTTTCTTTGGTGATGCGACAACAGGAACGAACTTGGCTCAATCAAATATGTTTGGAAACACAAGATTCGATATGGCATGATCTCTATGAAAAGGTTCACAATTTTCTCAAACAAGTGGAAAATAATCATCAGGAGAGAATTCAAAAATTTAATACATTACTCAGTTCTCAATCATGCTCCAAAAAGGTATTCAGAGCATCTAAATTATAATAAGCGAAAGATGGTGTAGATGTACTTAAACTCTAATACTACGACAAGTGTATCATGGATTCATGTTTGGATGACATCTATAGATGATTCATTTCAATGAATATTATTATTGATGATCCAAGACCCTCTCTTGATATCTTCAATTAAGACATACACTTGGTGTGATGAAACAATGACCACTCACTTCAAAGCTATACAAACTCTCCAGAGTTGTCTGTGCAATATTATTGATGGCTTCATTGGTGAAAAATGCCTGATGAGGAGTCACAATGACATTGGGAAAGGTCAATAATCTCATGAATGTGTCGTCCGTGATAATTTGTTCTCGACGATCCTCGAAAAACAAATCATGTTCAAATTCATAGACATCAAGACCTAGACTTCCAATTTGACCACTCTTTAAGCCATCAATGACATGTTCAGTGACAATCAGTCCTCCTCGTGCTGCATTGACAATCATGACTCCTTTTTTCATCTTTTTTATGGAATTTGCATTAATCATGTGTTCAGTGACACCCTTAATGAGTGGACAATGAAGAGTAATGACATCTGCTTGTGCATACAAATCATCCATCGATTCAACAAATTCAATTCCCATTTTGATCAAGTCAGGATCTTGAATTGAATCATAGACCATGACTCGAGCACCAAATCCCATTCTCAAACATTTGCACACAAGTTTTCCAATTTTACCACTACCTCCAATCACTCCATATACTTTAGTATTCATATCAAATCCCATTAATCCTTCCAAACTAAATTCACCATCCTTAATTCTTTGAAAGGCTCGATGAATTTTTCTGTTCAGAGCCATAATCATGGCAATGGTAAAGTCAGCAGTAGCACCAGGTGAATATTCTAGTGTTTTGTTGTGGTGGTGATGGTAGTGGTGGTGATGCATGGTTCATGGTCATGTATGTGTATGCGTGGTGTACAATGATGGATCCATCGTGATGGTTGTTGTTGTTTTAGTGGTCATCATTGATCATGATTGATCATGATTAGCATGCATGATACATTAGGTACATCATTAAGTACATCATGATAGGTTCATCATCATGATCAGATACATTGACCTCAAAAATTTCAAATTCATGGTTTGACATTCACTTACCTGGAACTCGACACACCTTAATACCATATTCTGTGGCTGCAGCAATATCTACATTGTTGTATCCAGCAGATCTCAATGCAACACATTTTACACCAAAATGAGAATGCAATATTTTCAAAACATTTCTATTGACATTATCATTGACAAAGACAGTAATATAATCACAACCTTCTGCTAATCCTAATGTTGATTCTGTTAAGCGAGCATCAATGAATTTTAAATGAAATGGACCTGATCTTTCTAAATTCGAATAATTGGGAAGGAATTTTGATGGATTCCATTGAACTGTTTTCAAATTGTTGATGATATTCTTCAACCCTTTGGTCATCAACTTACTTGAATCTTGAAGAGAAGATGATTTACTCTCGAGTAAAGGTTGATAATATTCTTTCAAGAAATGATCATCCCGACAGAATTTTGTATAAATCAGTGGATTGAGAGGACCAAATGATCTTTCAACAAATGGTTTTGATGAAAAGGAAGCAATGGTTTTTGTATTCATTTTTTATTCAAATAATTGTTACAAGATTTAGAAAGGATTTAAGAGGAGCCTCAAATTAGGTAAAAAAATATTTAATACAAAAAAAGGTTCATGATATCTACTACTAGATTCACTACTACTAGCTCATGGACGAATAGTTTAACGATTATGAAATATAATTTTCATTTCCACCAATGCACTAAATATCATATAAGACAAGTAGAGAGATCCAAGAAAGAGTCCAAATATTTTGGGAGAGTGCCATCGACATAATGGAACTACAATGAGAGCACTCGAGAGGGATGCAATCAAAAAGAAAAAGGATGCATACACAGTAGTATTCTTTTCAAATACAAATGGCGTTCCATTCAAAATATTCGAAGAGGTAGCTGCAATACCAAGTCCAATCAGTAAATTCTATAAATTGAATTGTATGTCGAGAGAGTGATTATACGAAGAGCATATGATTCATATGTACATAAATATCATATGTTTCAAAAATAATAATTTAGCAATGTCGAATTAATACTAGTACTAATCCTAATACTAATACTACATACCAATAATGGTCCACCGTAAATTCCACCCAATGCCATCTCAACAAATCCTTGTCTTGCAATAAGAACATCAGCAACAAGATCACTCAATGAATTTCCCCAACTCAATACAGTAATCGATAGAATAGCATCACTCACTTGAAGAATGACACCCAATGAAGTTAATAAATCAACCATTTCATTAGCAATGATATAAATCCATAAAATAGACATGATAAATGCTAAAAATACAAATATCTATCATCACAGTGTAGTAGGTATAGTATAGGTATAGTATAGGTATAGTATAGTATAGGTGTAGTATTTAAAAATCAAGTTGTAGTAAAAAACAATAAGAATGTTTAAGAGTAAAACCACACATGTGGTGTGTGCAATGATAAAGCTCAAATGGATAATACTTATGTGAATCAAGTACTTACAAAATGATATCTTGGTGGTTTTCCTCGTCGAGAAGTGAAAAATACAATCAATGAAAAGACACATCCAATCAAAAGAGTGAGTGCCCAAACTGGAAATGATGAATTTGGAAGTGTCAATGTAACATCTAAATTCGGTCAACATTCAACAACATCATCAAACACTAACTCAACACCATACCAACTCTACTTACATCCTGTTGCAAATACTGCAAATGGTGGCATGAATATCATTGAAACACATGCAAAGAATTTACTCCAATCTTCTGGATCTGCTTTTGGAATGGTTAAATTTCTAATCAATAATGTCCATCCTTCGAAAAGAACAAAAAATATTTTTGAAAATAAAGATTTTTCTTCCCATTCAATCCAATCTAAAAAGTATTCCAGAAAATCTTTGAATTTGGTTTGTAGTGTCAAATAGAGCGAAGTGGCCTTCCATTTTCGAGAATCATTCGAGAGTAGTGATGTTTCTTCATGTGGTTCTGTTGTACTCGTTGTATTATGATTTGTTGCAAAATGTTCATTGATGATGAGAGATCCAGTAAATTCAATTGTTCTTTTAGCAGAACGATTCGTAGTGTTGGTACTATTGCTGCTACTACTACTACTACTAGTACCCACATTTAAAATTTGATTGGATAATAGTGTACTATTGGATGGTATGGATGTATCTATTGTAATTTTTTCTTTTTTTGGAATCGTTTTAGCCAATACAGAGCTATTCGATGGAATTTCATCTTGATCAAATCTTGGAGATGTAAACGTCTCACTCGTTGTGGTGTGATGATGTTTTTTGTGTACATGTACCATTCCTACTTTTGGATAAAATACAGTTCCAAAAAAGTTATGTTTTTGTTCTTCAATAATTTCTTTTTTCACAAACTCATTCAAATCAGATATCTTGTTAATTTGCATTTCAAAATTAGGTGCTTTACCAATCTTCCATCCATCCCCACCATCTTGTACTTCATCTGAATCATATTCATCGTCATTAATAACTCCAATATTCTTATTCTTCCTTTTATATCTTTGATAACATGTAATCAATGTTCTTGATAAAATTACAAAAGAGACATAACTTCCATAAATTAATAGACAAACAATACTTTGCCATAAATTAATAGAACCATTAAAAATAACCATAAACATGACATAGGAAACACTAATTAAATAGGCAATAGAATCTCTCAAAAATGGAAATGGAATGACTTTGGCATTAGAGAATAGACTCACAGCTGACATGACCATGGATGTAACAAATACTCCCTAAATGAAAATATATTTGACGAGTTGTGTATATACAATGTCAAATAGAAATAAATATTACAATATTGAAATATAGTGAAATAAATATTCAATTATATTGGAATATCATGATTACATTCATTGTAAAATAACAAATACATACAGCACCAATAGGTTCACCAACTCCAAAACCTTTTTTCCAATGATTTTAAAATGATCATTAAATTAAACCTTGTTCACATATATTGACTTACCTGTTGATCCAGAAAACACGCCAGCAATAATACTCGAAATATCAGGAGCACCATTTCCTAAACTCAAAAATGTTACACCTTAGAGAAGTAAATTGTTCATATTTCAAATCAATAATAAATATATGGTTCAACAACAATATTTCAATATAATATTATAAACACATGGTTCCATTTCAAATCAATAATAGCAATGAATATCAAATAATTCAAATCAATAATAAATATATGGTTTCAACAACAACATTTCAATTATAAACATTTAGTTCCATCAATGAATATTTCATATATCCATCATAAACATCATGGGTTCAATGAAAATGTCAATCCAATCATAGGTTCAATGAAAATGTCAATCCAATCATAGGTTCAATAAAAATGTCAATCCATTTAATAAATCCAATAATAGACTATACAAATAAATACACTTACCTGCAACATCAGGTGATAATCTCAAAATTCTACAAATTTCTGTAAGTGCAGGACAGAAATTCACTTCAGCAGTATTTGATAACATGAAAAATAATACCAATATCCAACAAATACTCAATACAAAGAATAACCATGATACATTTTTCAATCCACAATATCTTATATTTAAATAATTAATCATACCACCACCCATTGGATTTGGACAATTTTCTTGAACAAATTCACATTGATCGAGTTCATAATTTGCAATTTTATGACAAATTTTAGTATTACCATCGTCATCACCAACCAATGGAGATGATGTTTGAAAATTGAGAGGATGAGAGGGTGTTATGAGAGGAGTAGTAGTATTTGTGAGAGTTGTAGTAGAATGATAAAGATTGTGAGGACTAGCATTTCGATCATGATGATGACCAAGACGAAGAAGATGATGACTACTAGTTGAACGTGTCGTCGATACGTATTTTCGAATATTCAAAGGTTGTTGTTGTTGAGGAGGAGGAGTGGGGTCAATAGGTATGGTCTTTGACGACCATGTCCAACCAAATAATAGCAGAGAAGTACTCCATGACGAGTGATATTCATCGCTCAGTGTGGTGTTCATTGTCTGATTGTTGTTGTTTGTTGTTGGTTCATTCTTCTTGAATAAAATCATACATAACACGACGAGAATGGCAATACTTGAATATTTCACCACATACCACCATGAGGTTCGGGGCACGTGTGGAAATATTCTCATGATGATGCAAGTGTGTATATGTATATATGTATATATGTGTGTATGTGTGTATGGGTATGGTGTGTTATGAAATGATGATGATAAAACTCAACAATGAGATTGTTATTCAATTGAATCGCACGAGACACTGTTTTGGGTCAGCGAGACGAATTTTTTCTTGGTCTGTTCCATATGAAAACCGATGGATCTCGGAGTTGCTGTTGTTGCATAACAAACATTTAGAACCAAATGGAACATCGTGACACTGTGTGTGTTACAACGTACGTAACAAATTATCATTCATTTCAAATTTACACACAAACTTTTAATTGGTCTCCTCTGGATTCAATTTCAAGAAGACTTGTTCCAATGTGGACTGAGTAATCATGAAGGATGCAATTCCCAACTCTTCTTTCTTCATGGATAATTCTTTTAAGAATGATGGAAATTGAGAAATTAAATCATTGGAGAGAATGCATTTACATTGAGACAAATCATTCTCACGATTCATTTCTGTCATTTGGAATGAATGTTCAGTAGAAGTGAAATATGGAGATGTCATTGATGATGATGCTTGATGATCTGTTGTTACAACACTACGACCACTATGACTACTACTACTACCACGATCATGACTTCTACTACTACGACTACCACCACGACTACTACCAATACCACCACTGGTACTACTACTACCAATCGTAGTAACATTAGGATGATGATTGAGTGAATAAGAATCTTTCGAAATCCATTGGAAGAATTGATTTGAAAAATGTTCTTCAAAAAATGTTCGAATCTTTTCGATCGTTCCATGATCACAACAAGTCTCCCTTAATGTCATTTCAATACAATATCCAATTCCATAATGATTTTTTAAATAGAGTGATGTTCCAGAGACTTCAATGTTACCATTCTTCATGATATGAATTTCATCTGCCAAGACATCTGCTTCTTCCATTTGATGAGTTGTGAGAATGATGATTTTTCTTGATTGTTTTCTGAATTGTTGTAATACATTCCAAATAATTTGTCGATTATGAATATCCACACCTGTACTGACTTCATCCAAAATTAAAATATCAGGATTACCAATAATGGAAATGGCAAATGAGAGTTTTCTTTTTTGACCACCACTCAATGTACTTGCATCTTTGTACTTGAATTCTGAGAATTCTAACATTTCAAGTAAATGATCAATTTGAGAATTGAGGCTTTTCAATGTATCAGGAATCCAAGAGTTCATTCGTGTTGCATTCATGTGATCCTGAGGAGGAGTAGGAGTAATAGGATGATCTAATGGATCTTCTTCAAATATAGAGAATTGATTTCTTCTACTTTTAATCATGGCAAATATTCTTAAATGATCCACAACACTCAATTTTGGAAATATTAAATCTTCTTGAGGGCATACACCCATTCTCGATCGAATCTCATCAATATGATCGTTCACATTCAAATCATCAAAATAAATATTACCACTCTCTGGTTTCAATTGTCCACTCAATAGAGACACAAGAGTTGATTTACCAACACCATTCTTTCCAATAAATACTGTAATTTCACCTTCCTTAATATTTAAAGTTAAATCACTCAATACAACAACTTGTCTCGTTTTTGGAGTGAAACATGAAATGAATGAATGCGTAAAAGAACGTTGATTCGTACTTGGATCATTGGTGTTAAATGTCTTGCTGACATGTTCAATTCGAATCTGAGAAGGTGTAGTAAAATCATGATGCAACCAAGTTGGATGAACCTCTTGAGATGTTGGTGGTGGAAATTCATTCGAGTGTGAATGTGTGATGGAATTACGAGAATTATGATTAAATCTTCCAGTCCAATGTTGAGAAAGACGTTTCAACCATCCATGAATGATTCGTTTCCAAAATTTTAACAGTGATTGAGATTGTGACTCTCCTCTTTTCTTATCCAATACAATGGCAATCAATAAATATAAAATACTATCACCAATCAATACAAGTATCATGACAAAGAGAGGTGGTACACTCATGTAAGAGTTGAAACGAGTGGATAATGCATTCTCGAAAAGACTTGACCATGAAAAATACACATGTTGATTCTCATACTTGGACACAATGACATGTATCATATCACAAAATGCAATTGGACTCAATACATACAATACATATTGAATACATGTTGAGAGAATGAACAAGTATTGAGAGGATTGATCATCCGTAGAACCAGAATTCATCATCATGGGTATGATCATTGCATTGGGTAATACAAATCGATACACAATCCAAATAATTTCCAATGCCATAAAAAGTAATTGAGAAAGGAAGAGTGCCTTCTTTGGATCATTAAAAAATGTACTTGTCATGATCATTAAGGGAATTCCACTCATTAAATACACCATCAAAATTCCACAAAATAAAAATAAATTGACATGTTTCAATAAATTAGAAATGAATAATGAAATAAATGTCATGACCATGAGAATGATGATTTCTAAAGAACATGAAATAAAATACGAAAGAATATAACTTGAATGATGACATCCCATAAGAATCATGTAAGATTTAAGTTTTGATTGTTTTTCAGTTACAATAGAAATTAAATTAGGATTAAAAAAGTTTAAAATACTAAAACTAAAATAGATAGGATATAATAGAGAGAGAATTAGGGTGAGCATGGTACCACTAGTGTTACTACTCGAACCTTGACTACTACCATGACTACTACTACCACTCGTAGGACTTTCACTTGAAAATTGTCTTGCATAGATTTGAATAGAACTTTCATTCATTTTCACCTTCTTATTCATGGCATTAGAAATTGCAATATTCACATAATGTTGAATGTAGAGTTGTGAAGAATAATCGATCCATTGATTTCTAAAGGAGGAACTTGTCTTGTTTATAAATATCAAATCTTGTGATGATTTGAAATGTAAATCAACAAGATACTTTTGAGAATTTTGTAAATAATGAATTGGATTATTTTCCTTGTTGTATTGAATATTACTAAAAGATCTACTGTGTTGTAAGGTTTTGTAAATTTCTTGAATGGTTGATTTTTCGAATAAATCTGAATGTTGTAATGACATGTAAACCATAAATGATTGATTATTAAAAGATGTGACATGATGTGTGGATGTATCATGATTGTGTTGATATTGTTGATGAACAAAAATATAATTCACCATCATCCATAACACAAATATTAATTGAATCGGAAATGTCAATGAGAGGAGAGTTTGAAATGGTTTACTTGTTTTGTATTTTAAATTCTTGTAGGTGAGAATGAGTGTTTGATGGATGAGAGAATGGAGGTAGTGATGTTGTTGATGTTGTTGATGTTGTTGTCGACGATGAGGAGGAGGACATCCAAGATCATTGGATGGAGGGTGTGATGGCGAATGGAAGGATGACATTTTTTGAAGCGGTTATTTTGGTGAAATGTTTGTGATCATCATGCATGATCCTTCTTTGAATACTTTATCAAGTCTTTGCGTGTTGAAAAACATCACACTCTTGAAATTAATCATCATATCGCTCGACTCAGTTTCATTTGATGACACATTTAAACCACGAACGTCATGAAATCAAAAATCCAACAAAAAATATTTTTCATTCGTGATTCACCTCCTCTCTTCCACTTCTTCTGCACCATACAGAGGTGAATTGAATACTCTCTCGTCGAGCCCACCACCGATCGATTAGAATTCATTTCAACAACAACAACACTACTCTCTCAAGAACATCTAGATACACCTTTCCAATGCTAAAGCGTATTCAATCCGGTAATACGGTATCATCAGGCTCATCATCGAGCCAATATTCAAGTGGATCCAATTACAATTCCAACAATAATAACAACAACAATACAACTGGCTCCTCTTCTCCTACTCTCCGAGACCAACAACAAGAACAATTTAAAAAAGTTCTTGCTCAACTTTTAAAATTACCATGCAATGCGGAATGTGCAGATTGTACCGAAGCTCGTCCTGTATGGTGTAGCGCTACCTTTGGTACTTTTATTTGTTTGAGATGTGCTGGAATTCATCGTTCTTTAGGTTCACATATTTCCTTTGTAAGAAGTGCTGAAATGGATAAATGGGATGAAAAACATGTCAAACTCATGCAATTAATGGGAAATGAAAGAGCACGTGAATATTTTGAACATGAATTACCAAGCGATAAAAAGAAACCATCTCGATTGGATTCTACAAATGTGGTTGAACAATTTATTAAGGATAAATATGTGAGCTTGAAATATGTTCCTAAAAAAGAAGATGGAAAAAAGATGACATTTAGAGAATTTTTGGAATTGGTCAAGAATGCAAGTTCTGATAAGCAAAAAACTGTTGATTCTACGAGTGGCAATGAAAAAAAGAAAAAGAGTGTCAAGTCTCCTACAACCGATGAAGTAAAAAAGAAGAAGAAGAAGAAACCAACCACCAACAATGAGGATGGAAAGAGTGTTGAAGACATTATTGGAGTGTCACCTAGTGCAAGCTCTACACAATCTGTTAATTTTACATTTGATGATTTACTTTCAAGTCCATTGAGTGTTGAATCGACAACAACAACACCCACTGTTGCGACAACACCATCTCAGGTCAATAACACAGCAGATCCAAATACCTTGATGGGATTTTTAAGTGATAAATTTTCATTGATTGATTTGGGAAATAGCAAGACAAGTCCAACTGTTGTCAATACAACAACAACCAATGTCAGTACAGTTGCTGTTGTTGCTAATAATACAAATACTACCAAGCAAGATTCAAATGGAGCTACAAAAAGTGAAGTGAAAAAGAAGACTAAAAAGTCTGTCAAGCCCATTAAAACTTCTTCATTCGAAGATGATGAAGAAGAAGACGAGTATGATGCAATTTTCCAAAAACCAGCATCATCTACAACAACAGATCAAGAACAGAAAAAGAATGCAATTTTGGATTTGTGGAAATAATTCTTCTTACGACTTTTTATTAAATAATTCATGTATTTTGAGTGTATGTTACACACCAACCATGCTGCAGTCATTTCTTTTAAATTAACAAAAAAATATTTTGTGTTGTTGGTGAGGCACAAGTGTTGTCATTGAAATCATTCCGAAAAGACAAATATCATTCAATAACCATGGTTTTGAAAATATCCTCACAATATCCATTAAATCATGTGAAAACTCTCATGGTCAATGCTCAAGAATCGACTCGATATTCTTTTACAACCAGTGATGATGAGTCACATGTGAACCATCCCATCGTCTCTACTTCATCCATGAATGACAAGTTGAAATCATCATCCTCTCAAATTCCATCCTCTCCATCAATTCCATCGTCCTCACAAATTCAATTCTCTCCAAATGCAACACTCCTTCCACAACCATCCTCCAATCCTTTTAATTTCCATTCCACTTTGAATACTAATAATTCTACCACCAATACCGCTACCAATTCGACCACCAATACCACTAATACGACCACCACTACCACTAATACCACTACTACTACTAATTCTACCACCAATTCTACCACTAATACCACCACCCCCACCCCCACTCATACTATTATGAATCCCACCACTCGCACCATTCACACTCTATCCATTCCAAACATGACCAGCAGTAGTGGATATATTTATTCAATGTGTAAATCTCATCAAGGTGACATGCTCTGTTGTGTGAATACTTGTGGTTCTATTCATATTTATTCTCTCTTGACACTTGAATTAATTTTTGAATTTTCATTTCGATCCATTTTTGATCAAAATCATATTTATAGAAATCAAAGAATTATTGAAGAATATTATGTTTGTAAATTTTCACCAGATGATTATTCCATCTGTGTAGGAGGTAAAAGAAAGAATCGATATGAATGGGATGTTTTGGATGATGATAACAAGATATTGGAATGTCCTCTCACATGTATTAATTTAGTCACCAATCAAGTGAATTACTTGTATGGACATACAGAAGAAATACTATGTTTGGAAAGTATTCAAGTGAGTCATGATTTATTTTATTATGTAACTGGATCGTATGATGGAACGATCATTAAATGGTTAATGAATTCCAAAGATCATTACATGACATGTTTGGATAAACAAATCATTACTCATCGATGTACCAATGTCGTATTAGATATCAAATTTATAGGTTATGATCAAGAAAGAAATGAATGGATCAAATATTCGAAACGAAATTTTGCAATGCAGAATTCTGAACGTTGTGGAATGAATTTTGAACGTTGTGGAATGAATTCTGAACGTTGTGGAATGAATTTTGAACGTTGTGGAATGAGTCGAACTGATGTCATTCCATCCTGGATCTACATGATTGGTGCGTGTGATCATCGAATCAAAATTTATAATTTTAATTCCAATCAATTATTGAAGAGTTTTGATTTACCAGAATATGACTTGTATTGTGGAAGTTTACAAGTATTATTCGAATTCTGTTGGAGTGGAGACTCCGCTTTTGAAACGAATGCATTACGTACTACTACCATTCCTGCTACTGCTGATTCTAGAATGAATGATGTTCATGATGATGTAACAGCAACAGCAACAACAACAGCAACTATTGCGAATACTATTGCGAATACTATTGCGAGTACTACTGCGAATACTTCTACTACGACGACTAGTACTACAATGAATGATGGTGACATGCTGACTTGTCATGGGCGTACAATGACTCCTACCAACAACAACCACATACTCACCATTCATCTCATTACCAAAGGAGTCAATCAACAACAACACACCCCTAACAACCCTTCTACTGAATCGCTCGCTTCACACATTCATTTAAGAAAACTTTCTTTAAATTTACAAAATATTTCAAAATCTACCTTAGAAACCATTCATACATTTACACATTCTCAATATCAATGTAATTCATGGATGGTAAAATGTAAATATTATTTAGGTTATTTATTTGCTCCCTCCAATCATGGAAAGTTATTTATTTGGAATGTACAGAATCGAAAATTATGTGCAATTTTAAATGATCATTCTGGATGTGTTAGAAATGTTGAATTTGAGACTCATACTCCTCTTCCATCATCCTCTTCTTTGTGGAATCCAACACCAATCACCTCTTTTCGATTATTTACATGTGGAGATGATAGTATGGTTCATGTCTATGAAGGTGGAAGAATGGAAAATTCAATGACCACACCAATGACCACAACCACACCAATGGCAACCACACCAATGACCACAACCACACCAATGACCACACCAATGACCACAACAACACCTACTCGTATGGAACGACGACATTCAACATTCATGACGAGTCAACAAGGACATTCCACTCCTCCAGTAGTAGTGGTCACACCACATGATCAGGCAGAGCATCATGAGCATCATCGAAGGAGAATGATTCGACGCAATGTGCGGAATCAACAACAACAGCACAACACTCATTCACCATTGTCATCACGGAATCATGATAAAGACACAACGTGTCATGATGGAGACCTTAACCATTCCTTTAAAGCAACAACAACAACAACAAGTATGACCATCATGAATACGAGTAGTGGTGGTGGTGGTGAAAATGGTGGTGAAAATGGTGGTGAAAATGGTGGTGGTGTTGGAGGTAGTAGTAGTAGTAGTAACACTAACAGTAACACGTGGGATGGTTCCAATGATCAAAATAACCACACAGTTCATAGTCATCCCTCTCATCCTCACAGAAGAAAATTCAGAAAGAATAGGACGAGTTCAAGTAGCAGCACTACTTCAAGTACTCCCGAACATACCGTGACGACGACGACGACAACAACAACACCCTCAATACCCTTGTCCAAACTTCAACAAGAACAATTCTCTCAACAGAGTCATCATTATTATAATAACAACCATAACAACCCTAACAACAATCTTGATATGAACATTCCTAGCATGATCACCAAAGAAGATAGAATGTTATTGGACGAAGAGTTTCATGTTGTGTCCAAAGATGATCATGTCCATTTACCATCATCATCATCTCCCAATACTCCAAACATGACCTTAACAAGTGTGTTATCACCACCACCATTTTCACCACCACCAACACCAACGGTGAATGAGCATGAACATTCAATCCAACATGTTGCTCCCTATGACTCTACCATGAGAATGGATGAGGTTTTTACAGACCTGGATGACTCTTCTCCCTATTTTCCAAGTGTGACTCATTTACTAGAGGATGAAGAGTGAAAGAACTCTATTTGTATGGCCTTACTTTTTGCAATTTTAATCATGCATGATCTATTTGTATGGCCTTACTTGTTGCAATTAAAATTTCATGCATGATCAATAAAAGTCTTGAATTTTCTCTTTGCAAAAAAAAATATCAAAATTCTCATCACCCACTCTTCCCACAGTGTACAAATTCATTGTTCCAAATTCTTGCTAGAATACTCAGAAGGCCTTTGAACCAAACATAGCCATTCGCACTCACCATAATATATTCTAACAACAATCCTTGTTTTTGATCAACAACAATCATCATGATATCGGACTCACATTTTGAACAAATCTATCAATCCTCGAATGAAGCAGCCTCATCAAGCAATGTCATTTCATCACTCTCATGGGTTCCACGTGGTACTTTTAAATTAGTTCCTACCATTTTGGCAGATACCATGACTGAACCACCCCAAGATATTCATGACTCGGATGAAATGGATCCATCAAGCAATGAAATGAACGATGATGAAGATGAAAATATTCAACAACAACCCTCAACACTTGGTGAATCATCCTCTCAATCAACATTTGGTGGATTTGAAAAGATATCCCTTGAAGAATTACTATTCAAAGCAACAAGTGGTAAAAATCTAACCATGTATTCCAGTAATGACCAAGATCCATATCTCAAAAAAGGAGATAGTGATTCAAGTGAAGAAGCTGATTTTGAATTAAAGCCAAATGATTTACCTCTTGTTGCCATTCATAACGAAGAAGATGGACTCACGACATTACAAGTTTGGATTTATGAGCAAGAAGAAGATAATTTATTTATTCATCATGATTTATTATTAGCTAATTATGGATTGTGTACTCAATGGTTGAATTTAAAGAATATTAATCAACCTGGTAATTGTATTGCAATTGGAACCTTTGAGCCACAAATTGAAATTTGGGATTTAGATGTTGTTGATCCTATTGAGCCAATTATGGTATTAGGTGAACAAGAAGTAGATGCTAAAAAAAAGAAGAAAAAGAATGCTGCCAATTCAGCAGTAACTTCACACAGAGGACCAATTTTAAGCATGTCTTTTCGGTCCTCTGATTCTAAATTAGCAAGTGGAAGTGAAGATCGATCGGTCATTATTTGGGATCTCTCAACACAAAAAGCATTTTATCATTTGAAGAATGTTGGTTCATCACCTATTCAAGGAGTTCAATTCCATAATACCGAACAACATATTTTGTTGGCATGTCCAATTGCAGACAAGTGTTGTAAAGTGTATGATGCTCGACAACAATCTCCAAAACCTAAACAATATCAATTCTCTCAAAATGGTGGAGATGCTGAATGTTGTTTATGGAACCCAAATAATCCATTCGAGTTTGTTGTTTCTCAAGACAATGGTTTTGTGACCTGCTTTGATATCAGAAAGGAAGGTTCAAGTGGTCCGGCTTGGAACATCAAAGCTCATCCAGATTCATCATGTTCATGCCTAAGTTTCTCAACGATTAAGAGCAATTTAATGGCCTCAGTAGGCAGTGATGGGTGTGTAAGATTGTGGAGTACCAAATCCAATGTTCCCGAATTAGCATTTACAAAGAACGTCAAGAAAAGTATGGGTGAAATATTTACATGCTCCTTTGCTCCAACAACTTTGAACGATGACATTATTCTTGCCTATGGTGGATCGGGAGGAAATTTGGGTGTATTCAATGTGTCAGCTCAAGCCAAAAAGGGCGGTAGCTCAACTACAGCAACATCTTCCAATCAGTAAAAGCAGCAATTTTGTTCATCAAGTGACAGAGTGTTCTTTTATTGGTTGGGATATGGAAAGCAAAGAATCATTTCAGCTGACTTTAGAAACGATGACTACTGTGTGATATTCAATAACGAACAGCACAAGCAAATAAATTAATTCACAAATTTTCACATCGAGAGCTGCAAATATTAATTTCAATAATTGAAAAAGCAAACAATTCTACCATTAAGAATGGCAAAATTCACATTGATTAGAACCTATTCAAAAAGTCCATCGGATTCCCATATCTCTAATAATATTTGGATCATTTCATTGAGTGGTATTGGCTTTTGGAAAGAAGGTTTCTTTGGATTGACCAAATGTTCGACAATGGCATCAACATCGACCGAATCTCTGTGGTCTTCATTTTGAGAGTTACTCGGTATTGTTTTCTTATCTTTACAAAACGCTCCGGTCACCCATGCTTGTCTAATAGCTTTCCATCGTTCCAATCCGACTCCTAATTCTGGTGCCACTGTATCGTATCGATTCATAGGATCATTTGGGTCATTACCACTACTTTTAGTATAAATTTGTGGAACAGAGGAAGAGCTATTGTTCGACGTCGAAGACATGATGAATGATGAGGTTGGAGAAAAGTGGTGATGATATGTATGATTGCCCGAGTGGGGTGGCTGTCGCGAGGTACAAGAGTGATCTTCAGTGAGTGTGTAGTTGGTGGGGAGTGGTTGTTGATGCGACGAAATATTTTTTGTTCCAATTCGGGCAACGGCACCGTTGTTGGGTTCTTCTGGTCGAGCGAGAGGCTTGTTGTTTGATTCTTCTTCTTCTTCATTGGAACTAGGTCGTGATGGCACGCGTGCTCTCGTTCGTCCTTCTTTAGAGGTGGCGGTGATGGCTGTGTTATTAAACCAAGGTGAGGTATCTCCTGTAGTCGTCTCGTCATGAGTTGGCCATGACTCTTCTTCTTCATTGGAGCTTGAATAGGTTCTTATCCTTCTGGTTTGAGCTGAATTCTTCTTGCTGGTGATTACAAATCTAGAAAGTGTTTCTTGATCGGAGAGAGGTCTTGCATCCAATTTCTCTTCAATTTCACGTAGTAGTGATTGATTTCCCATGGAAAGATTTGAAGAATTTGATCCAGACGATGAATAGGTGGAATGGACAAGAAGATTGTTGTGGTAAATATTGTATTGATCATCAGCGTCATCATCCATTTGAGATCCATTGGTTGTAGCTGATGATCGGATCGTATCATTTTGAGTGGTGGTGGTCGTGGTGGTGGTCGTGGATGGTTCTCCTTGTTGTTCAAATGATGATCTTGAAATCCATGACAAGGTTTGTTGTTGTTGTCGAATCAACAACCCACTCTTTCGGAGTTGTCTGAAAGCTTTAATGATGATGAATGCCACTATGAATAGGAAAATAATGACAAGTGGAAAACCAATGAGAATGAGTGGAAGTGGATGTTCTTTCCACAATTGAGTGAGTGTATCGGAAGAAGGATTATGAAAGAGAGAAGATAGGATATGTACAAGGATTGTTTGATATTGAGAAAAGAGAGAAGAGGTTGAGAGTGGTTGTTGTTGTTGTTGATGAATGAGGCTTGAAGGGATTGAAATTCGTGCTGCCGTTTTGAAAGTTTTTAAAATTCTTGTTACTAAATACAAAAAATTATATTATTACTGAGTGGGTGTTTCAGTAATAATATGAATCTTGGATGAGAGACAATTTCAAATAATTGTTATGTGATGATGACAATAGTCGGAGTGTGTGATGCAGTTAAAAAATAATTATTCATCAATGTTACTGTGGAGTTCAATGACACTCAAGAAGCGTTGTTGTGGGAATGATACTAATAATTTACAAATTTTTAAAATCACAATAAGAATGGAGAATTTTTTATTGAAAGTTAAGAAATCTCCGTTTATGAGACGAGTCTTGCCAAGATGATCAAAAAGGTGTATTACAGTCTGTTGGCATGCAAGAAATCTCTCTAGTGTATTCACACTTTCGAAATTGGTGTTTCCAAAGGATTTAAAGTGGAAGCAAGATATTGTGAGGTCCAAGCGCACTGGAAGAATCGCACATGCGTAGAGATGATTCAGAGAACCAAGTTCAAACACAAAAATTGAAGCAACATCATCAGCAGCACCCCACAACCGTTGTTGCGGTTTTATTTTGTGATAGAGTATACCCGATTCTTGCTTTTGTTTGTAATCATCATCAACCGCCACTGAGTTGTTACTAAATTATATATTGTTGTTCAACAGATTTCATCATTATGAATTTCTTTTTGGAGATTGTGAAACAAATCTTCATCCTTCTCAAGAAGAATGGACTACTCTATGTAAGTACAATATGTTCCATAGAATGATTGGATGATTTTGAATCATGCTCGTTTGCCTTCACTCACGCGTCAACCTCTTTTCCATGGATTTTTATCGTCTCTTGTGACTTGCACATGACGAATGAATGATGACCATTGACCGCGTTGATCCATCATGATGCATCCTACAACTCTGAAACTATTGTATACACCCTAAATAGCTCAGAAGATGGAAATCCACTCTCCTTCAACTCCTTTCCCCTATTCTCATTTTGGCAGTTCTAGTAATTCTTGCAAGTATTACTGAAATATCTTTTGGAGGTAAAAGTGTGACTTCTCAACCCGTGTTGAACATTCATTCTCCTAACATTGATATACCAATCAATGCATCAACCGCTAGTCCTCTTCGTTTCTATAATTGTACTTCATGGAATGGAAAATCATGTTACTCGTTGAGTGTCACTGCTAATGGTGTTCCAATGGGTGAAATTGTATTGAATCAATTTCTAGTACAAGATTATGGATTGGTTCAAGATAGAGACTATAAGAATTTTACAACTCAAAAACAATTAGAATCATTTCTTTATGAAAATCAAAATTCAACAATTATTGGAATTGCATTTCTTCCAGATTCTCCTAATACTGTATCTTATACTATTTATTACAATCGGACCAAAAATGATTTATATTCTCCAGTTCTATCTATTCAAAATTTAATTGACAATACAATTGTTTATTTGAGAATGAAACAATTAGGAAGATTGGACTATTTGAATTCTGAGAACCCAAAACAAAGTATTCAAGTCCATTATAAGAATTTTGCTCAACCACCTACTCGTAGAAATGGACAAGTGATTATTTATAATAGTAAGTATAGAGTGTCTCAGAGGACTTTTGAATCATTCTCTGTGTTTTTTTATTGTTTTTATTGTTGTTTTGGTTATTCATCATTGAATCGTCATTCTCTCACAACAACAATGCATTAACCACACAACTACTCATAACCGCCAAAACTACGACAGGTACTGGACCAACCTTCTTTAGTATTGGAGCCATGATTATTCTCATTGTCAGTTTGAACGGCCTTGTAGTTGAGAAAGAGGCTCGTTTAAGATTTGCCATGATCATGATGGGCATGAAAGACTCTGCTTACTTTATTTCATGGTTGATTACATTCTTTATCATTTGTGTGGTATTCTCATTGGTCAATGTTATTGGAGGCATGATCTTTGGAATTAGTATCTTTTTGAAAGGCAATTTCTTGATTTTATTAATTTTATTCGTTTGCTTTACTTTCTCATTGATTTGTCTTGCCTTTTTATTATCCACATTTATTAAGGAATCCAAGAGTGCATTGGTATTGGGATTTACAGTATTAGCAATATCATTTGTAAGTGGTAGTAATAGCAATAGTGATAGCAGTAATTATGTATTGAAATCATTGAAAATTGAAAACCAATATTTGTACACCACTCCATGATAGATTCTCAATCTCTTTGTTTCTAATGGATCTGTGGTATATCAATTGTACTCTCCAGATGTCACAGCTGTATTTAGAGTTATTCTTTCATTTTATCCTCCTTTTAACTTTGCAAAGGGTATGAGTCATTATTTTTTTCGTTGCAATTTTTTAACCACCAATTCGTTCATTTAAATGTACATTTTGATACACATCATGTACTTTTGCATATATATATATACATACATATATCTAAAATCTTTACATTTTACTTATAACAGTCTTTACTGACATTGCAACTAAAACGCTTCCAGTCTATGATGAAGTTCAAAGAAAATTTGTTCCAGGACCAGGCTATTCCTTTGATGATTTTGCATATGGAACCAATACCTATGATTATGTTCCAAAATCCTATGTTGGTATTTTGGTACTCATTTGTAATGGATTGTTATTCTTATTAATGTATTGGTATTGTGATAATGTCATTTCAGATGCAAAAGGTGTTCGAAAGAGTCCCATCTTCTTTTTATATCCTTCTTATTGGGGATTAGACAAGATCATGACACGTTTATTGAGAAAGAATTCGGATTTGAATATTAAAATTAATGAAAAGCAAGATGAAGAAGATTATCAAAATATGGAAACAGATGATGTCAGAAATGAATTTAAGAGAGCACGTGACGTTGGATTGAATGCTGTTGTGAGAATTGTATCTTTGAGACAGGTAAGTTTGAGTGTGTGTGGAATTTTGATATTTATATTTCATCATTATCACCCACCCACATGAATGTTAAATATATATATATGTATATATTCGTTTGTACTTAATATTTATTGATTCATGTGTGGATGGTTGGATCATGAATTTCTAACATGTATGAATGAATGAATGAATGGTTGTGCACAAATATTATCACCACACCAAATATTACCACACCAAATATTATCACCACCACACCAAATACCACACCAAATATTATCACCACACCAAATACCCAATTACCACACCAAATATCATGATACCACAGACCTATGCTGGATTGTTGAGTAAATTAGCTGCCAAGTTCCTTCCCGCCAAAATGGCTCAAAGTAGATTTTTTAGAGAGAAGAAGGCTTTGAGAGGTTTGAATTTAGTGGTTGAAGATAATCAATGTGTATGCTTGTTAGGGTAAGTATTGAACTACTATGTAATAGATTGAGAACTCTCAATGATGTAATCAATATCCTAGACACAATGGTGCAGGTAAATCAACTACAATGAACATTCTCACTGGTCTCTATCAACAAACATCAGGTGAAGCCTTTATTGGTGGACTCAATGTTAAGACATCCATTGAACAGATTAGAAAACAATTAGGAATGTGTCCTCAACATGACATTTTATGGGATGATTTGACAGCAGAAGAACATTTAGAATTATTTGGAGATATGAAAGGTGTTCCAAGATCTCAACGTAATGAAGAAGTGAAATCTCTATTAGAATCTGTAGATTTATTAGACGTTGGACATCACTTGTCTAAAACATATTCAGGTGGTATGAAGAGAAGATTATCGATTTGTATTGCTTGTATTGGAAGTCCTAAATTGGTATTATTGGATGAACCTACTACTGGATTGGTATGTTTTTTCAATGATATTTTTAAATGATATTGAATGGATTTTTAAAAATATATTTTTAAATGATATTGAATGGATTTTTAAAAATATATATTTAAATGATATTGAATGGGTTTTTAAAAATATATATTTAAATGATATTGAATGGATTTTTATATATATTTTTAAATGATATTGAATGGATTTGAAACATGTTGCAATTGAACTGTATTGAAATACTATGAATTCTCAATGATTTGAAAATGATCATTCTTTTTATCAATCATCTTTAAATAGGATCCATTCTCTAGAAAGAAGGCATGGAATTTAATTCATAAAATGAAAAAGGGTAGAGCCATGATTCTCACCACTCATGCCATGGATGAAGGTAAGTTATATTATGAATTTCATGTGTGTGTGTCATCATATTACACTGTAAATTACCACTATTACCAATACCACGATTACTGCCATTTCTGAAAACCCACGATTACTGCCATTTATGAAAACCCATGATTACCACTATTACCACTACCACTACCACCACTCACACCATATATAGCCGATTATCTTTCTGATCGTATTGCTATTATGGCTCATGGTCAATTGAAATGTATTGGAGATTCTCTTTCCATTAAGGCTCAATATGGTTCTGGTTATAATTTACTTGTGGTATCCAATACAGGATTTGAGAAACAAGTTCTTAAATTAGTTTTTAATTACATTCCCTCTGCAAAGATTGTGAGCCAAAGTGCAGGAAATTATATTTTCAATGTTCCTAAAGAACAATTAACTGAATTGGGTAATTTATTAGAATATTTTGAGAAATTGATGGAGAATCATGATTCTAACCATGATACATCACCACCCTTATTGAAGGATTGGGGTATTTCCCAAACCACACTGGAAGAAGTATATCTAAAGGTGACCAAAAAATCAGAATTTGGATACAAGAATCAGGATGATACAGCTGGATTGAGCACCATTGGAAGTGAAGCTAATTTAGAACAACGAGAATTGTTACCTCACAACCCACTCGTCAACAGTGAATCCGAGTTGACCATTCCTCAAATTCCTTCCACCAATGATTTTGAAATGAATACGATTGCCAGTAGTGGTGGTTTGGATCCAAACAACCAAACGACTCGTGAATAAACCGCAAAAGGGTTGTTTTGTGTTCATGACTTTTAAGTTCTTTGCAATATGGATTCATTCATATGAATTCTCTAATAACTGCTATAAGCTCAAAGGGGTGTCGTAATGCAAGGAACAACAGATTCAAAGAAAATGTTTCAACATTCACAATTAGCTAATTTTTGATCATGGTCGACCTTGATCAACAATTAGCTGCAAGCTCTAATTTGCTGGTATCATGTTCAAACTTTTCAGCTTTTCCATCGACGAAGTAACGCGCAAACCTAGGGCGTAAACATCTCGAAGTACATAACTGTCGTAAAACAAGCAATTAAGCCCAACACACAAAGAATAACATATTTCCCAACAAAATAGAGAATAACATGTTTGCCAACAAGGGATAATGACTGTTTCAGAATGTAATAAATGTTAGAGGATAAATATTATATTCACCTATCTGTGATGATAGTCGTACACTCATGTTTATGTTGTCTGTAGCGCATTCAACAATAGTACTTATCTGTTAAATCAAAATACTATTACAAACGATATAATAGGTATAAACTAAGTACAGATTATTATCGTTTGGTAGTCGTAATACAGAATCTACGTTATAGTGTATTAACATTATCAAATCATTCAATCCTCTGTTCGTATAAAGGTTATATACTCAATCTTAGGACTAACATATTCCATGGGTGTTCGTTGACAGTTTGGATAAATGTCAACTGAGACTTTGGTACAATCCATCAGTAACAATTTGTTGATACAAACAATACTATTGAGTGTCCACCAACAACTTTATTTCTGTACAGTTGTCCAACGTACTAGATTGTGGTGAAACTGAAATAGCTTTGAGAAAACTGTCGTGAATGGAAAAGTACACTGAAGCGGCTCTTGACCCTATAAATTTATTCAATCAAATCATCAACAAACAAGAAAATGTTATAAACCATTTATTGACAAACAAAAATGTTAAAGAAAATCAATGATAAATAAGGCCAAAGCTAATTAACTGTTTTTGTGGTGCCAGATGATCCCTTGCTCTTTCAAAATATAATTTGACACTCTATGAAGAGCAAACTAACAGAGCTTCCCAAGTCTTACACCACACCAATTCTTCGTTGCAGCGTATTGGGCACAAACATTGATGACTCAACAACTTTAATACTCAACACAAAAGTGTCAAAACATTCCTACACACCAAAAAAATGTTGAAACGAAGTTTGCAATACGCTGCTTTGTTTTCTTTATCGGCCACTGCTTCTTTCTTGTACAGCTCGATGAAAGATGCCGACTCACCCCTATATCCACATGTATTTATGCCCATTCTACAACGATTGGATGCCGAGGATGCCCATAATCTTTCGAAATTCATGCTAAAATGGGGACTCGGACCTGTCGATCGTTCCACCAAACATCATCACCAACATCAACAACATCCTCTCACACCAATGATGAATTTACAAACACAAGTATTCGGAAAATATTTTGAAAATCCAATTGGTTTAGCTGCTGGATTTGATAAAGACTCTGAATGTATGGAAGCCATTGAACAATTAGGATTTGGATTTATGGAAGTCGGAAGTGTATGTCCCAATCCTCAAGAGGGAAATCCTAGACCAAGAATTTTCAGAGTTAAATCTCAAATTGGATCCGAACAAGAATTTGATGCCATCATTAATCGATGTGGATTTAATAGTAAAGGAATTCATGTCACACAAGAACATTTACAAGACTATAGAGAACTTAAAAAATCATCTTTTCATGTGGGTGTTAATTTAGGAAAAAACAAATCGAGTCCACCTGACAGCATTCAAGATTATTTGATTGGAATTCAAAAATTAGCAAAATATGCTGATTTCATAGTGATTAATGTGAGTTCTCCCAACACTCAACATCTCAGATCCCTACAAGAAAAACATGCTCTTGATCAATTATTAGAACAAGTCTCGATGGAACTCAGAAAAGAATCACAAATACCTCTTCTCATCAAGATTGCTCCTGATTTGACTTTGGATCAACAACGAGATGTTGCTACTCTTGTTTTAAAACACAACATTGATGGAATTGTAGTTTCAAATACAACCATAGAGAGACCATTCCTTTCAAAGGATCATGATGGATCAACATCAGCATCTACTAGTACTACTACAACTACCATGGGAACATCTACTACTACAACATCTACCATGGGAACATCTACTATTACGGGAGGATTGAGTGGTCGACCTTTATTTTCAAAATCCACCAAAGTTCTTAAAAACATGTACAAACTCACAGATGGAAAGGTCACATTGATTGGTGTGGGTGGTGTTTGGGATGGATATGATGCTTTACAAAAGATTGAAGCTGGAGCTTCACTCGTTCAAGTGTATACAGCTTTTACTGCTCAAGGTCCTGCAGTGGTTGGTAAAATTAAGAGAGAATTATCACAACTCTTGAAAGAACGAGGTTATAAGGGTGTTTCAGATGCTGTTGGAGCAAAGGCTAAATTTTCAAAATTGGAAGAATAAATGTGTGTGATGTGGTGGTGGTGTGGTAAATGTGTGTGAGGTGGTGCTGGTGCTGTTCTTCTTTATAAGGACTATTACCACTATTACTTAATAACTGTATTCAAACATGTTACGTTTCATGAATTTACAACATGTACTACAACTGATATCTGATCCAATGATTCTTCATTTCATCCTCAGAATTCTGGTACAAGTAGATGATGGATTCAAAAGATGTTACTTTTTTCTATTCATAAAAGATGTTTCTTCTTCATCAAGATTGGTATTAGTAGTAGATTCAAAAACCATATCTACAAGTAGAAGCATGAATATTACTCCAAAAAAAGCAAGATAAAAGGCAAAAAACACACAACATGCAAAGAATGTAAATACAATTCCCTCTTTGACACTTGTCATGCATTTTCTAATTTTACATTTCATTCGTATTGGAAAAGAAACATGTTTCATAAATATTGGTAAATTTTCAAGAATCCAATAAGAAATGGTTTTCATGACATCTCTCGTTACGAAATGAATGTTAGAATGATTCTGCATTTCCAAATGAATGTTAGAATGATTCTGCATTTCCAAATGAATGTTAGAATGATTCTGCAGAATTGAACAAGTTGTTGTATTCATCATCCATTGATTCAATGCCATGGGCACTGAATTTTCATTATATATGTACACAACAAGTGATTCTAATGTTCTTCCATTCAATTCAATCTCTCGTAATGCATCTAATTCATTGGGTTGTAAATGACATCCACCTTTGTGAAATGGTTGTTGTAAGACTCGACATGTATTGGAAATGTCCCAATCTCGGAATCCATTCAATTTAAATTCCATCAATGAATGTGAATCATAGATTTGTTGTTGTTGTGCATGATTCTCAACAAACACACAGGAACCACTCTTTGATTCATGAGGATTTGGTGACCAAGCATGATGTGATACAAGATCTTGTGTTGGTAATATTGATCGATGACTATTGTCGTGTTGTGCATGATGATAGGGTTGTATTTGGTAGTTGTTGTTGTTGTTATTGTTATGGATTGTGTTCAACAGAATTCTGGTGTATCCTTGATTCATGTCATGATCGCACAATCGTCTTGTGCTCGAATGAATCAAGTTGTATTTCATTGTTGCATTGAAAATCACACGATTCATCATCATTTTTTTTAATTGGATGAATTAAAAAATTTCATGAACTGACAAGCCAAACAGAACACACAGATGAAACACACATTATTCCAAATCAATCCAAGAAGCGGAAGCTGACTCGTATCCATCCTCAATCATCATCACGGAAAAAATGTTAAAATCTCATTATTCATGGTTACAGCTGCTTATTTTTTGCTTATTCATGGTGACAACCATCATGATGATGTGGTCGAATGATTCAAACAAGCACCTTGGTGTACATGCACGTGTGATGATTCAAGACTATGATTTGATTGATGATAATGTAATTTCAAGAAAATGTCACCAACGTGGTCGTAGACGTGTTCATCGTTCTTTATCTACACAACCCTCCTCCTCCTCCTCACTCGTATTACTCGATGATTCATTACCTCGAATGTCACCAAGATGCACTCGGACAAGAAGAAAAACTCAAAAGATTATTCTTATTCAACAACAACAACAAAAGAAATCAACTCTGAGATCTTCATGTTGTTGTCAACAAAATCAATTCCCAGGTGCTGAATTGACCATTCAAATGCCACCCTCTGAACATCGAATTATTCTCAAAGCTCCTCCTCCTCCTACTGCACAACCAACTGTGGAACAACCACCCAGCACTACTCCAGTTGAAACTAAATCTCAACCAACCAATGTTCAAGTGAGTGTGGAATTAGGTATTAAGCGTGGTGGTGGTGGTGCTGGTGGTAAAAGAGTGTTACCCAATGTTGTTGAATCAGCAACTCCAACAACAACTCCAACCACAAATAATAATCAACAAACCTCTTCAAGTGGTAGTAGTTCCAGTGCAAGTACCAGTGGTAGTAGTGGTAGCAGCACAAGCAACTCTCAAGTGACTACAGAGTCCAGTGGTGGCAGTGGTACCAGTAGCAGCACAAGCAGTTCCACAAGCAACTCCAATCATAGTGAGTCTTCTTCAAACAGTTCCTCTCAGCAACAAGAAACCTCCTCAAACAATGAGAGCAGTAGTACAAGTACCACTACTACTACTTCTGGAAGGAGCAATAATCGTCGTAATCGTCGACGTAAAAAGATTATTCGAAATGTTATTGGCACAGTGATCAACAACAATCAGAGTTCTGTTTCCTCTTCTACAAGAAGAAGAAGAACAAACACCAGTCGTACGACAAGTACAACTAGTAGTACAACTACTACTCAGAGTGGTCGTCGTCGTCAACGTCAAACACGTACGACTCAAAGAAGTAAGGCTAGCAGTAGTAAGGCGAGTAGTCGTCGTCAAATTCGTACGACTCAAAAGACCACCACCAATAATAGTCGTCGTAATCGTAATCGTAGCAGTACAACTTCAACTACTACCAGGAAAAGACAAAAACCATCCACCACTACAACAACAACAACTAGTAACAATTGTCGTTTGAAATATTCATTCCCTTCATTCAAACAATGTGATTCAAGATGGAGTAGTGATAAACTTGGAACAAGTAGTGTAACTATTTGTAAGGCTGGATGCTTGATGACTTCGTAAGTGATTATTATTATCAAATCATATCAATTTGTATTCATATCGTATATATCAATGACCACACACACATGATCCATTCAAAAATCATCACACCAACACCTGAAACTCCTCAACAACAACCATACATACCCACCTATTGTGAATGCTTCCAACAACAACAACAACCACCATAATAGTATTGCCATTGCATTGAATGGTATTGGACGTACACCATTCACTCCTAAAGAATTCAATCAATGGCTCATTCAACATGGTGGTTATCTCAATAAGAATTTATTTGTATGGGCATCCATTGAGAAGGAATTTGGTGTTAAGTATGCAGGACGTACGACCAGTATTGAAAGTGTGGTACCAAAGAATTTGTGTGCTGGTCGATTGGTTATTCTCAAATTGAGACGAGGTACTACCAGTAAGAATGATCATTTTGTTGTGGCCACATCCTATGATGCTACAAGTAAGGAATTTACGGTAGTTGACCCTGCCTTTAATAGAAATAGATACAAATTGAGTGATATTGAAAGAAGTGATTCTTATACTTTTTAAGTGTGTTTGTTGTTGTGGTTCTTCATGTGGTCGACTCGTTTTTTATAAATAATAAACGAGATGGATTGGGTAGAAAATATGCTGCAAACACTTCAACAAGATAACATGTGAAAGAACTTTACGTTTGAAAATCTTCATAATTCATGTGTTTTATGTTTTCAACATGGTGTATGCCTATTGAAAATTCACTGTATCTCAACAATTATGGAAAATATAATCACAACGTTCATGATGGAATTCATTATCCTTAAAATCTCATTAAAAAAATATTCTCTGTTGACACGCGCGAGTGTTTTGAAACAAGCCTCCCTCACCAGAACTGTGTGTGCAGATTCAATTGTACAACCGCGATACAACAACAACAACAATACTCGTGATATCAACAATAACAACATAGTCAGAAGCATATACACTCAGTAGTATACAAAGGCAATCAACTCATCATCCAATGCCTCGTCTCACAAATCCATTCAAATCCAAAGCTCCTGCTCAGAATCAACATCTAGTTGTAGAGGATGATCGTATGTAGAATTGTGTCTTTAATACATGTATTGAAATGATATTATTATTATTGGACTCATTGTCAATTTGATCGGAAATCAACGTGCGATTGAATATATCGTTTTCTACCAACAATATGACAATCATATGAATTCATATGAACCACTCTTGGCCCAAATCAAATCTTTCCATGATGATCCTGTGATGAATCATATGAACTTACAATGATATAATAATAATATAATGAATCATAATAATATAATGAATCATAATAATATAATGAATCATAATAATAATAATATAATGAATCATCATACAAATATAATGAATCATAATAATAATATAATCAATAATCATCACAATAATCATATATAAATCATACATCCCAATACTTTAGATATGGATGAAGCCATTCATGAAAATGGTCTCAAACTATTAAATGAATCACTTGGAGATGATGAATTACAAATTAATTATCAATGGTGTTCCATTGTCAATTATGGTTTTCCTGAACCTCAACAACAGGATGATGATATTGAAGTCTATCAAGCCTATCATCAATGGGAAAAGACTAAAAGAGAGAAATTATTAGATGAATCGACACGAGTATGGAAATCATTGATTGATGAAAATGGAGGAACCACATGTAAATTATTGAAAAATGATTCCATGAAGAAAACAATTAAAAATACAATACGAAAATATTCCATACCACCATGGTATAGAAGATATGTATGGACACAAATTACAGGTGTTGATAAGAAAATTAAAGAAAATAGAGGATATTATAAAAAGATTTTAGAGGGTATGTATTTGAGTGCGTGAATGATTCTAAATTATTGAATTATTGAATTTTATATTTGGGGGTGTGATTTGAATTGTGTATATATATGACTTGAATTGTGTTTGAATATATATGACTTGAAATGTGTGTATAATATAATTTGAATTATGATTTGGCAAATATGTGAATATACACAATCATACAGTCCATAGAGGTCAATCATGTCCCAATGAAGCACAAATTGATTTAGATTTATGTAGAACATTTCCATCTCATCCATTCTTTTCTAATTCTCATTCAGTTGGAAGAATGCAAATGAAGAATGTATTAACAGCATTTAGTTGGAGAAATCCATATGTATCTTATTGTCAAAGGTAAGTATAGAAGAGGAAATGATATAACGATTTCATGAAATGTTTTAAATTACATCTCCATATGCATGGATGGATCCATGGTTTATATACACTATATACACACGCACTATATATACACACACTATATATACACACACACACTATATACACTTCAGTCTCAATTATTTGGTTGGTGCTCTTTTATTGCATTGTGGTGAAGAAGAATCGTTTTGGTTGTTGGTCACCATTTTAGAGGATATTTTACCCGCCAATTATTACAATCCTGAATTAACTGGAATGAGAGTCGATTCTTATGTGTTGGATGAATTGATTAAAGATAGACTTCCCAAGTTACATGCTCATCTCCATAAACTTGGTGTGGAGACTACGGCATTTGCAAGTGGTAAGTTGGAAATGATTTTTTACAAAATAATTTCATCATATTATGTGAATGACATACACGAAATAACTTTCATTGTGAATGGATCGATTGTGAATAATCATCATTTCACAAGGATGGTTCATGAGAGTATTTATTGAAGTATTTCCAATTGAAACTTCAATGAGAGTATTAGATTTAGTTTTTTCTGAGGGAACTAAAATTCTTTTCAGAGTTGCTCTTTCTTATCTGAAATTACATGATTCACACATTGAACAACGATATCACATGGGAGAAGTACTTCATTATTTAAATCACAGCACAAGACGGTTATATGACAGCACTCAACTCTTTAAACAATGTTTTACTTTTTACAACTTGAAAATTAAACAAATTTCTGAATATAGAGAAAAGTATACAGAAATTGTTGATGAAGAATCAAGAGAATTGGAACAACGAAGACGTGAAGTGAGAAAACGAGAAGAAGCAAAGAGGAAACAAATTGAAGCTCAATGTTTGGAAGAACGATCGCATTCATTACAGCATGATGAAGATGAACAAGACTCGATTCATCCATCACATGGTACAAATTCCACTAGTGTCCTTCCTCATGACACTGCTACTACTGCTACTACTACGACTCCTTCTCATCATGAAGAGGATCATGATCTCTCATTGAATGCATCTAGCTTGACCTCTGCACCCGTCCACAACAATGAAGAACAGTAAAAGTCAAACTCACTCAAATTAGCTCGTACAAACCTCATTTTGTTAAATACATACACAATAAATGTTGTTAACCCTTAACTAGCCAGTGGGACACAAAACACGGCAAGTGCCCCTGAATCTTTGAGTGAATCTTGCTGTTGGGAACTTTGTTCAAATATTTTAGGAGAAAAAGTTTTTAAAAAATAAAATTGTTGTGGGCAAAAATTTAGTTTCAACTGATTTCAGCAGCAAGCTTGCGTTTTTGTGTTTGCGCAAAAATGGGTTTTCGTGCAAGAAAAATATGGCTTTGAGAACAAATTTGATTTGTTTACCAAGGGGCAGTAAACTTGGCCAGGTTCACGTGGTGTCCCATACTTTGCGAGTAGTTAAGGGTTAAAATAAATGCACTACAAGATCACAACAAAATTTACTGTTCTCCCAAACTACTTGCTCCTCCTGCATTCAATGCCTTTTGAATTTGTAATTGTTTATCACGGTGGTATTTCTGACATTCTGTAATACGATGTCCCAATCCTTGACAATATTTACACTCGACTCGACTACCAGCACCCATATTTTCACTACCAGCATATGGATCATAAATGGTGTTCAAAATAGGTGGTACTCTCTGTTTAGCTTCAATTAGCAAGTATTTCAAATCCAATAGAATTTGTTCGGATTGATTTCTATTAATAAATGTTGTAGCTAATCCTGTTTTACCATTTCTACCCGTTCTACCAATTCTGTGAACATAATTTTCAATTTCACGAGGCATATCAAAATTAATGACATGTCTTACGTTTGGAAAGTCAATTCCTTTAGAAACAATGTCAGTTGCTACTAGTACATCTTTCTTTCCATGTTTAAATGAATCAATTGCATATTCTCTTTCAAATTGATCTTTACTGCTATGAATACTCACAGCTTCAACTCCTTTCAATAATAAATATTCACAAATGGTATCAACTTCTGATTTGTTTTGAGAAAAGATGAGAACTGGTGGTGGTGTTTTTTGTAATACTTCTAATAAATAGGTAATTTTGTCTTCTTCCATAACAAACTCAACTTCTTGTACGACATCTAAATTAGCAGCACCAGCACGTCCAACATTGACAATGATGGGTGTAGAGAGTGTTTGTCGTGCCAAACTTTGAATCTTTTCTGGCATGGTAGCAGAGAAGAAGACTTTTTGAATGTGATGATGATGACGGGAGTGTTCAGTTGATGAGTCTTGTTCTTGGTCATTGTTATATGGACGATTCATATCTTGTTGTTGTTGTTGCTGTTGATTCATATCTTGTTGTTGTTCATTTAAAAATTCAAAAATTTGCTTAATTTCTTCTTCAAAACCTAAATCAATTAAACGATCAGCCTCATCCATACAAATATAACGACAATGAGAGAGATGCATCTTTCGATCATTGAGCATTTGAATAAGACGTCCAGGTGTAGCAACAACCATATGAATACCTCTTTCATGTTGAGTTGAAGTATAATATCGTTGTTGTTGTCCCAAACCACTGCTACTACTACTACTACCACTACTACTACTACTACCAAATATTCGATCTTCTCGAATACCTCCAATACAGAGTGATACATTTAATTGAATCGTACCGCTCGAATCGTACTTTTCAATTCCCTTAAAAAAATATTCGACCAAATCAAAGGTTTGTTTCGCTAATTCTCGATTCGGACATAATATTAATCCAAGTGGACCATCTCCTTCTCGTAATTTCTTTCTTTTTTCTTCTAAATAACAATACATGACTATTGGTAAAGTAAATACAAGAGTTTTACCACTTCCAGTAAAGGCAATTCCAATAACATCTCGACCACTTAATAAACATGGAATACCTTGCATTTGAATTGGTGTTGGAGTGGTTATATTCTTATCATCCAGTAATTTTAAAAGACATTTTGGAAATTTCATATGTTCAAAGGTGAGAATGGGTGGAGGTATTTCCCTTCCTTGGACGTGAATTCCAAATTTATCCAAAATATATTCTCGATCCATATCTGAAAGTGATGAATAAAAGGAAGGAGGAGTCCATCCATAATTTAAATATTCAACAGGTGTATGGTCATTGTGGTGTTGTTGCTGCATGGTATTTAAAAAGGATTGATTCATTAATTCTTTTAAAAGTTCATTTTCTTTTTGTTCTAATTTTTCTAAATCTGAGAGTTGAGGTTGAGATTCTTTCAATTCTTTACTCTTCTTTAAAAGACTCTTTGATGTATCAAGATTGAATGAAGGAGTATCATCGGTCGTTACAGAATCACTCTTTGCTTCTTGATTGAGAATTTCCTTGATGAGTTTTGTTTTTTTAAGAGTTGGAGTCATGAACGTGGTTTCATCATCATGAGTCGTCGTCGGCGTCGTTGTCGTATCGGCATGAGCAGCAGTAGCGCTCGGTGGAGTAGACTTGTCATTTCGTTTTCGTTTTTCTCCCATTTTTCGTTTCCACTCTAAATAGGCCGAGTGATCATTGTGCGAGAGAGAGTCGTCGTTGTTTGAAGACTCGGAATGTTGCAACCGAGTCGAAGACGTTGTTAGCTGATGATTGTTGTTGGACATTTTTTTTGGTTGAAGGGGTATCGACTTTGCCACTCCGAGAGCTTTTGGTGGGCTCTAATCATATTGAAGGAGCAATCATTATCATGATGTTGTTGCCGAAAGTGTTTGATTATACATCTATCTGTAAGGATGAATGTAGAAGAAAAACATAAGCAAACTTTCATCGTCAATAAAAAAATGGTGAATGTTTCTGATGCTCTAGGGTTGACTCGCCGTTTTTTCAGTGCGATAAACAACCCAGTGCCTGTCCGTTCCGGATGTGCTGTATTGAAAAAAACAAAACCTGATTTAACCTCATGGTAGGTTCAATGATGATAACTGGAAATTATTGAAATGAGTGCTCGGGATGAAAATTTATGTGCATTCAAAATGATTGTCTAAATTATTTCGGATTTATGATGATGGCAAATTTTAAATAATGAATATCTTTAATCACATTTGGTGGAAATACACTTGAAATGATAAATTTTTGAAAATTGATTGGATTCCGACTCGATGATATAAACAACAGGGTACCACCACAAATAAGACCCTATGATTTGACAGGACTCTACTATAGCAGAGAAGAGCAAATTAGACTTGCAATGGCATTCAGATTAAAGTTGAGAGGAAAGGGTCCACCAAAGAAGGGTCAAGGAAAGAAGTCTCAAATGAAAAAGAAAAAGTAAAAAATTTATTTGAGAGGCAATTTGGATTTGTAACTAATGGATGTTGGCGTCTTGGATCTTTTAGAGTCATCATAGCTCCTTCTGAGGTTGAAATCATTGGTCTTGGGTGTTGGTGTTTTGCTTCTTGGAGGTTGACTAGATTTCTTTGGAGCAACTACCTTAAATTCATCGTCGTGTTCATCTCGAACCAGTGTGGTAGCTGAAACTGTATCGCCTTGTGACGATTCTATCTCTTCGTCATTCGTTGTGCTCGATGAGGGTTCTAAATTCTCTTTCTGATTCATAGCCGAATCCTGATGACTTTCGACATTGCTGTGATCTGTCTTGCAGCAGTCATTCTCCAATGCTTGTTCATGCATGTCGATATGGTGCTTAATCAATTGTTCAAGCCTCTTCTGTAAAAGTTCATCAAGTTTGTAAGTTTTTGCAAAATTACTGGCCAATGTTTCTGCGGAATCTCCTTCATGGATTGCAAGACGTCCACTCTTTCCAACACCAAGGTTAACATCCATGTAGAGGAGAGGTTTTGACTTTTTTCGTTTGTCCAGTTGGAACGAAAATGGTTTAAATTCAGTTTTCTTGTTTTTGAAATCGTCCGTTGTTGTTGCAGCTTTCTCTCTGACATTGTTGAAATAATTGTACAATCGTTCTCGCTCCTCATTGCCTTTTCTTATTCTTCCAATGGTTTCCTTAAATCCTTTAATGGAGTCAAAATCAATGGACTTTGAAAGACTCACATTCTTCGTTTGTGAGGTATCAGGACGAAAAGTACATTCTTCAATTTCTCTCTCTGCAGCTGTCTTTTCTGAAAGTGGTTTTTTAGGTTTGCTTGCCATTTGGTAAAGCAAGTCAAATCTTGAAACGCTTGATGCATTGCTATTGTGAGTTTGCCCATAGGACTTTTTTGCAGAGTTGGTTCTGGGTTGGAATGTGCAATCAGTCATCTTCTTCTTTTCCCATGCCTCTCGATCTCTTTTCATCTTTTCTTCCATTTCACTGTGTTGTTTCATGAGTTTCAAGTACCTAGGTTCATTTTTCGTGTCAGATTGTTCGCTGGATTCCCGCTGCTTTTTAGGGGTTGAAGCATTAATGTTAGGTTTAAATGTTAAATCCTTATCTGTTTCTTTCTTAATTTTTTCAAATCGTTCTTCATTGATTTTGGAAAAGGCGATTTTGTTAATTGAGAGCTTCTTGATGGAGTGACCTAGTTCCTCTAGCTTGTCTCTTATTGGTTCATCTGATTTTGAGATTAGATTCTTGTCGAAGATTGCCATCATGATTGATAAATATCTTTCAAAGTGTATAGATCCACTTCCTTCAACATCCATAATTTTCCAAATTTCGTCAATGATCGCTTGTTCCTCCTTCTTGGAGGCAGAAAATGAAAGATTGGACAATACCTTTACAAATTCAGAGAAAGTTATGGTCAGCTCGTCCTCTCTTGGACAATCTTTAAATGCCTTTGCCAAATCCTTGATAAGTTTTGCCTTTAAAAACTCTTCAGATTTCTCGTTAACTTTAAATTCTTGGAGCTTTTTGGCTTGCTCTAATGCTTCTTCCTCTAATTGCTTCCTTTTTTGCTCGCGTTCTTTTGCTTGATGGAAAAGTTTTTCGTCTGTTGGAGTGCAGGATTCGCTTCGCACAGATTTTGATTTGGACTCTGAAGAAATGGTTGTGCTATTGAGGTCCATTTCACTTTGTTCTTCTGAGGGTACTTTTTTTGGAGTGAATAATCTGTCGAACACGTTACCTCCCCTTGTTCCTAGCTGTTTTGACGTTTCTGTAATCTAAAGATGGGTGCGTTGGAGAATAAACAATAATCAACTTGAAACTTACTTGTGGAGTGAATGAAGCTATGCTTTCTTTTTCTTCTCTGGTCTTGCGTTCAATCTCACACTTTTCAAGAAATTCTCTTCTTCTTTGTATTTGTTCATCAATTGATTCCATAAAATTAGTTCTCTTTAAACAATAATCATGTTTTCTTTTCGAAAATGCATTTCACCTACCTTTCCTCTGAATGAGTAATCGGAAATATTGGGCTTAAAGGTCATTTGTTTCTGTTCTTCCAAACGGGATCGTATTTCTTTAATTCTTCGTTCTCGTTGTTCCAAAATTTGTTTTGTTCTTTCTTGCACTGGATCTGTGGTTAGATCTTGCAGCAACACTTTAGACTGAAATAATCATGAATGTCATTCCGAAGAGTTTCTTTTTAAACTTACATTTTCGGAAATCTTTGGTTTAAATGTACATTCGTTTAATTCTTGTTGTGTATATACAGTGTGTGGTTTTTTCTTGCCATATAATTGATAATCGGCAGTAATTGTTGAAGGAGAAAGTGCCCTTGCGACAGGAGATCGGGCAGTTTCGCCCATGATGTGTTGTTGGCTCATTTTTTTTTGAAGTGTTGTTTACTGTTTTTTTTTGGCGGAATGAGTGGATCGTGTCATTCGGTCGTCACATCATGACAGATACATTCGAGAGAGAGTCGTTTATTATCGAAGAATAGATATGAGGAAAATCGTCAATTCAGCCAAGCTCAATAATAACACCACAGTAAAGTGAAGGGTATTAGGAACGTAATACACCAAGCCGAGACCTGTGGGGCAATTACCTGCATCAATAATAGAAACAAGGGATAATAACCCCCACAAGTGCAGTAAAATCCACGTCACAATACCAATAATCGTTTGTGCTTGAGGACTCAGTTTAAATTTCGAAGAACGAGTTGTTGAGGATGGATCTGTGGATGTCACGCTTTCTTCATCTTTCAGAGGTTCCAATGAAATGGAGGTACCAAATAAATTTCTATACAGGCTAAAACTGTCTTGATGAACGAACTTTCGATCTTTTTTAACAACTGGCTTCTTTTTAGACTTTGCTTTTTGTGGATGGCTTGAATTCGGTCGCTTTGATTTTCTCCTCCTCTTTCCCTCTCGACATTGAAAAATAATTAAAAATATAAAGAATATCATAAAGCTCAAACAATTCACTAAATCTGACAAAAGAAAATATTTCATGTAATCAGTGTCACAGGTAATTCGAAACGAATTTCCAAATATAAATAGTGTTAAAAAAGTAAAACATAAAATTGTGAAAATAGACAGCAAGATCACATGCGCCGCAACGTTCCTTGTCCAATATGAAAATCTGTACATTCTTCGAGAACCACCCTCATAAAGTGTTCTAAATTCCCTTATTTGAACTTGCTCATTGAAATAAATCTTCCTTTCTGTTGCTGTCTCATCACTAATCAATGGTTGTGGTATATAATAACACGCTTCTGAAGAAGATTTCGATTTCTTTAAAATTGGTTTCCCTTTCTTCTGCAAGTTGACATATTGGTTGGAATTAAAAGATGATGTTTTTGATCGTAATTTTTGTGAGGCCGTTGTTGAATCAGTTCCAACAGAGGAAAAGCTGCTCACTCGATAAAACTTGGTTGACTGATGAAAGATTCTTGCTGGTTTGGGAGTATCCCCTGAATTAATGGATTCAACTTCTTCATTTTCTGGTAGTACTTTTCCCTTCTTTGGAGCAATCTTTCCATGTAAAATGTTGCCATCACTAAGGGTATGAATATTAATCTTACTTGCACTTTGAATGCTATTCGTACTTCTGGAATACGTTGATAAACTTGAATGAGGATGTTGAATTAAAGAACAAGTTCTTTGAAGTGATAAACTGGATGAAGAATGTGAGGCTTGATCTGTGATGATTGTCGGAATCTCTCGATCGCTACTACTGGAATTTGTTTGAGAATTTTCTCTCATTTCAAGAGTTGGGGTTGGTGTTGCATTGGAATGATCAAGGGAAGAAGTGTTTAACCTAATTTCTTGTTGCGTCGAAGTGAATGAAAGATGTTTAGAAATCATCCATGTTGAAGTTGGTCTTGGAGATGGTTTCTTCAATGGCTGAGAACAACTTGGATCATCTTGAATCCTTGTTGGATCTTGCACCATCTTTTTCTCAACGCTCCTATCGAGTACGATTTCAGAGGAAGAAGGTAATTTTGGAAGAGATACAAATTCAATCATTTCATCTTCTGATTCAAAAGTAGTTGTGGTGGTTGCAATTAATTCATCTTCTTGATCACTGATGGATCCACAACTAGTACTTATTGAACCATCATGGGTACCATAATTTTGATCAATAAGTGAATCCATAAACGTTGATGGATGTGTCGAAGAACCGCTAGCCTTTTGATATTTAAGGAGGGGAGATGAATTTATGGAAGGAGATTGTAGGATAGAGGCAGTAGTTGTTGCTGTCGATGCGTTTAGCCTCTCATTGGAGGAGGTACCCAATGTTACCACATGCCGTCGATTGTTGTTAGGATCATGTTCTACATCCGATAAAGTTGTTGCAGTGTTGATGATGACGGTGGTGGTGGTGGAATTGGTATGAGAGGAATCAGATGGAAGTATCATAATGATATTCTCATTAAGGCTTCTCAATCGCTCTTCGTCGTGCGCTGTTGAAGACGAATGAGCAGCAATTTCGTTTTTCATGAATTTTTTCAAGTGGAGGCGGAGTAGAAAAGGAGAAATCCACAATGAACCGCATGATGATGATTCATGCCCACTGAAAATATGATGACCCATGTTGTAATTGTATGATTTCATTCAACAGCTCCTTCATCTTCGCTACTACTACTGGACCAATCAATGTCCTTCTTGAGCCTAAAATCACTCAACCAATGTTTAACCTTTTCTTTCAATACTTTTCCTTGTTCTTCCTTTTCTTTTTGAATACGAGATTCAATCACTGCTTGTTGCAAGTTTCTAAAATAACGTTTCAATAAATACATTTCATAGAATTGTTCTGCCTTCTTGTTATTTTCATATTTCCTAATGAGTCTTCTCTCTTTTGTTTTCTTGTATCGAATTTTCCATTGAGTGAAATATGTTGTGAACAGAGAACAAGAATAGTGTTCTATGGCATCTTGCATAACTTGTTGATTCTTCTTTACATTCATTTTCAATCCTTTGAATGCACGAGACATGAATTTCCTCTCCATGGCTTCAATTCTACGGTCAATACATTGTTGTTTCATGACTCTTTTCAATTCCAATTCTTCCATGACATTGGCACGTAGAGCAATAAATACTAGTTTGACAAGTTTCAAATGATAGATGTGATCCATTTCACGTTCCTTCTTCTGAACTTGTTGCACCAAGCGTTTGAGAGGTTTCAAAATTCGATTTCGTGCCAAAGTATTCAAATAATGATTGTGTGCCTTTTCTCTTTTCTGAATATTTTCTTGTCGTTGCAATTCTTGTTCTAAGGCTTTTTGTTTGAGTAATTCTTTTTCTCGTCGTTTCTCTTCCAGGAGTGCTTTTTTACGTTCCAATTCTTCTTCTAATTTTTTCTTTTCTTCTTCTTGTTTTAATTTCTATCATGAAATCAACCAATGGTGAGGTGCAATAACAAGTCATGGATGAATAGAGTGTGAACATGTTGACCAACATGTGCAGAGAGGTCATGCGAATGTTTTCAATTCCAATCGTACAACGACGTTATCGTTGTTTTCAAATAAATGCTATTGGAATGAGTACAATACTTTTTCATACTTACCTCCTTGCTCTCTTCTTGTAATTTGTACTTTTCTTGAAGTTGTTTCCATCGTTCTTTTCTTTCGTTCACTCGTTCTTCCATTGCTTTTAGGAAGGATGGAGTTTGTGGAAGATGAGAGTGTTTCTTTGTGAACTTTTCATGACTATCATTGTTACTTGTACATGATGGTGGTGGTGATGATGACGTCATGGTTACTTGATTGGATGATGCTATTCGTTCAACATGAATGTTATTGTCCTGTATGGAAGGTTCTGAATGTGAGGTGAGATGATTCTGTGAATGTTCCACAACACACAATGACTCACCATGGCATGTGGAAGGTACCGCTGTGAGATTGGAAGGCAAACCATGAAGAATATTCTCTTCGTTTTTCCTAGTGATGGTATTCTCATTGCTGTTGTTAAGGTTGGTCATACTTTCTTCAACATCTTGAAGAGTCTTTGTGGATTTTTTCAATACCTGTCTTTGTTTGTGTTCACCAGCATGATCATTTCTCTGCTGATGTTTGATATTAGGATGCTTGTGAGTATTATTGTTGTTGTTGGTGTTGGTGTTGTTGTGGTGGTTAATATTATTATTATCACTCGTAGTGCAAGACAATGAACTCACTGAATGATGATTAGGGGTGTCATGAAGGGCTACTTCCTCTTGTTGTTTTTTCATCTTCTCAATAAAATGATTCATCATGTCCCTTCTTCTCAAATGTTGTCTCTCAATAATTTTTCGATCTCTTGCAATTTTGTATTGACATACCCATTTGAGAAAACATGAGGAGAGAGACCGACTTCGATAAAATTGATCTGCTGCTTGATTTCGTTTCTTTTCAAGTAATAACATCTTTTCTATTTGTTGTTTTTCAAAGACCTCTTTTTTCAGTTTGCAATTTTGGTAAAGTGCTTTGAAGGCCTTTTTTTTAACTTTCCACTGAAAGAGAGTCTTTAATCATGTCGAAGAGTAATCATTCAGAAGAGTAATCATTCATGATGTCGAAGAGAACACACATAGGAGAACGTTGAAAAAGGCCTTTTGTTTTACAAAAATTCAACAACTCTTACCTTTGCTTTTAACAATAATTGAAATCGTTTTGCACTCTTTTTCATCCACAAATTAAATATCTTGCTCTTCAATGTTAAATTATTGTTCCTCAAGATTTCTTCAGATATTTTTTGCAACATTTCAGTTCGCTCTTTCTCATGCTCTTTCAGCACTTTCAATTGTTGTTGTTTGACTTTCTCCATCTCATCTTTGCTATTCACAAAAAATTGTAATTTAAGAATTATTTAACACAATGTAATGACAATGAATTCAAAATATCATTCACTTACATTTGTTGATGTTGTTGAATTGTTTTCAGTTCTTGTTGTTTCATTTGTTGAACTTGTTTTAGTTTGTTCTTTTCTTCTTCCAACTGTCGCTTAATTTTCTGAACCTCTTCTTCTGCTATTCGTTTTTCATTTTCTGCAATAAATATTTCTTTCTGACTTGTGATATAATTTGTTTTGGGAGCAGTGTCTGTGATTTTTGAAGGAGCTTGAGACACCTGGGTTTTTTGAACGGAAGGTTTTTTTGAGACAGTTTTTTCTTCCATTTTGTAATCCTTTCCTAACAGTTTGAATCTGAAAGCTTGCAATTGTTGTTCTACGGAATCACTCATTGTAGGATCTTTCACAGGAGTATTACTTGTTGTTAATAGTACACCTGTCGAATAGTTTTGAGTCTCGTATGTAGTACTTTGATCGCTGATACATTCACTCAAAGGTTTGTACTGAAACAAGGATGATTCATGTTTTTCATCTTTTCTTAAATCATTACAAGTTGGACTCCATAAATTATTTACAGACATGTTTGTATTTTTACATTCTTCAATATTGTCCACAAGTTGTAGAGTTGGTTGTTTTTTCCTCTCCATTGAAATTCTTAATTTTTCCCATTGAGAAAGTTGGGAGGGTTTCTTAGATTTTACTCTTTCAAGATAGTTTGAAGGAGTATTTTCTGTCGTTGTACTTGTTTCTGAAGAAACATTTTTAAACATGGACGAGGAATTTCCTGTCACAATGTTCGATATCAAATTATTAGGTTGCAACGTTACTTGATCGGAATCCATTGCAAAGTATTTTCCAACATTATGTTGTATGGTCCATTGATTAAGGAGTTGTTGAGCTTCCTGTGCTGTTTCGTCTGAAGAAGCTTTCATATCGGAATGTGTTGAAAGATTTAATAATTTTGGATGAGAGTGCTGGTGTGGACGTGCTGTTTTTGAAATTCCAGAAGTGTTTGAAGATTTTAGTGGTAGTGCCTTCTCACCAAGCGTTGGTTCTCTTGTATTGTAATGGTTGGTAGTAGCACCAAGTTTACAAGCACTGGTACCAGAGATGATCAACAGGTTGGAGGATGCATCATCGGAAAGGTGTGCTGATGTGGATTGAGAGGAACCTGCTTTCAACATGTGCTTCGGGTGCTGTCCATTCTTGTTGCATTTCATTTTTTAAAGAATTTGCTTTTGCCACATGGCGCCAAAATTATTATTGGTATTTACAAAAACTTTTACTTTTGATATTGTAACATATCATCGGCTTCATCATGTTCAGTCTCATTCTTATTCTTTTGTGATTCCCAATAAGCTTTACCACCTTGAACGGCCAAACTACCACCTACTTTGGCACCTTTCACAGCTCCTTTGGCTACAGACATGAATCCACTGGCTACCTTCTTTTGCACTTCTTTATTGGTAGCAGCATTGGCAACAGCATTTCCAACCTTTTGTTGCACTTCTTTGTTTCCTGCTGTTTTAGCAAGAACATTTCCAACGGATTGTTGAACCTTTTCATTCTGTGCAAGAGAGGATACAAATTGATTATCTGTATTCTTGGCAATCATATTTCCAACTGATTTTTGATATTCTCGATTGGTAGAGGCATTTGAAACAGCTGAAGAAACACGTTCTTGAACTTTTTCATTTTGAGCGAGATTGGCAACACCTTGACCGACTTTTTCTTGAACTTGTTCATTGTTCACGACATGACCAATGCCATTGTAGACACGTTGTTCATTATGTGTCAAGTCAGAATCAAGATGACCATGTTGTGAAGAGGGTCGAGGTGGAGGTGGTAATTTTGTTGTTGTTGTTGTTGTGGAACTTTTAACCTTGTTTTGAAATGATGAAATACCTTGATCCACAAATGAAGAATATAAAGAGGTGTTTTGAGTTGGTGGTTGTTGATGTTGTTGATTCATTAAAGACTTGGGAGGAGGTGGAGGTAAGGTCGTAGTAGTAGTAGTTGAAGTAGAAGTTGAGGTCGTTCCTTTAAAAGGAGGTGGAGGTAATGTTGTTTTTTGTAATGATGATGGCAATGGAGGTGGTACTTTTTTGATAGTGCCAGTAGTTGCAGTCGTAACACTCTGTTTCAAGGCAGGAGAGTTCCTCTCTTCAGGATACTTTTTGAAAATCTCTTCCAAGACTTGATTCTTTTCTTCACGAATGGCTTGTAATTTTTGTAAATTATATTCCAATTCTTGTCTGTATGGATCTTGGTTAATTAATGGATGTTCATTGGGTAATTTTATACTAATCAATAATTCATAGGCGTATAAATTGACATAACAATTTTCAAAATCACAAAGCTTTTTGTACTGTCCTGCCATTTTGAGAAAAGCGGCACCATCTTTAAAGTATTCGGAGGGTGATTTCTTTTCATCAATATATGGAATTTTCTTGGAAGCGTTGACGTGAAGAGTTTCAATACGTCCTGGGAGTGGCATGATGAGATGGAGGTAATTTTGATGGAAAGTATTTGATGAATATTATGCGGTACTGAAATAGACAACAGGGATCAGAGTCAATTGACGACTGCTCGATGGGAATGTTGGGTAAAATGGGGTGTATGCTGCAATGATCGTTGAGATATTTTTTTGGATTAGAAAGGACGTCAATGTTCAATTTCCGTGTTACTCGCTGTTGTGTTAATGGCCAACAACGATCTTCATATTTGACAAGAGAAAGAACCCGGGTTTAAAAACTTGTGTCATAAAAGTTCAACAAGAGACGAGAGGAAACCAAAACAAAACCTCAGCTGACATTAATAAAATGAATTTTTGAAGAAAGAAAAAATGCAAAAAGCCTCATCTGTTGTCATGAGAAAATCTTTCAAGTCTTGCACCACTCATCTTCTCAAGACTTCTCTCATCAGCACCGCCGGTTCATCAGCTCATCAATTGGGTAAAAGATTTTATGCTACTTCATGTATCAGCACTCCCAACAAGCCTTGCTATCCCGGTGCAGTAAATGCCACTTTTACGCATAATTTGGAATTTAGATCAAGTCTTAATCCTGATGGTACTCCATTCCCAATTTTCAGCATCATGTCAAATGATGGTGAGATTGTGAACGAAAAGGCATTCAAAGAAATTGATGTGAGTATTGTTGTGTTGTTCTATCATTTGTCTTTTAAAACAAATTTTCATTCACGGAATATATAATTTTTGATATTTCAAAAACTTTGGATGATTGATATTTGTTGAACGTAACACGATGATGATGGTATTCATCATTTAAAATCGGTATTCATTGTTTTGAATGCTTTCTCCCAACAGTACACACCAGAACAAGTAGTAGACCTCTACAAGACCATGATTCGTCTCGAAACTATGGATGATATTCTCTACAATGCCCAACGTCAAGGTCGTGTCAGTTTCTATATGACCAATTACGGTGAAGAGGCTCTCCAAGTGGGTTCGGCTAGCGCTCTTTCTCCCGATGACATGATTTTCGCTCAATATCGTGAAGCTGGTGTTTTAATGCACCGTGGATTTACTTTGAGTGAATTCTTGAATCAATGTTTTTCAACTATTGAAGATTATGGAAAAGGAAGACAAATGCCAGTTCACTACGGATCTAAAAAATTGAATTTCCAAACCATTTCATCTCCTTTGGGAACTCAAATTCCACAAGCAGCAGGTGCTGGTTATGTTTACAGAATTCAAAATAGTCCACAAGTTTGTGCTTGTTATTTCGGAGAAGGCGCTGCAAGTGAAGGCGATTTCCATGCTGCTCTCAATTTTGCATCGACTCTTTCATGTCAAACTTTATTTATTTGTAGAAACAATGGTTTTGCAATTTCAACTCCAACACGTGATCAATACCATGGAGACGGTATTGTCGCAAGAGGTATTGGATATGGAATGCCATCGATTCGTGTGGATGGTAATGATTTATTTGCTGTTTATTATGCTACTAAACAAGCTCGTCAGTTGAGTATTGAGTCAAAGGGTCCAGTTCTTGTTGAATTTATGACCTATCGTGCTGGACATCACTCTACATCTGATGATGCATCTCGTTATAGATCTAATGAAGAATTAATGTATTGGAGAAATGAACAAAATCCAATCATACGTGTTCGTAAATATTTGGAAAAGAAACAATTGTGGAATGATGAATTGGAAAAGACTGAACGCGATACTAACAGAAAGACTGTCTTGTCATTATTGGCTAAGGTTGAACATGCTGAGAAACCACATTTGGATGAATTGGTTAAGGATGTATTTGATTCAGTGCCACCAATATTACAACAACAACGAGAATGGACTGAAAATATTGTTAAAAAATATCCAGAAGTATTTGAGGGACACTAATGGAGTTATTGTTCATTATTGTACACACATGATTGCAGGAAGACATTACAACGATTTAAAATTATTTTTTCATGAAAATTACTTTAATTTACCATTTGCTCTCTTTGGTTACAACCAAATATCTTAAAGCTGCAGTAGGATAAGAACAACAGCAATGACAAAGCCTTGTCTCTTATTGATTATTTTCTTCTTTTCTCTGCCATGGGGATTCAGATTTTGCCTTTTGGAATTTCTCATTAGTCACTGTGGATGGTGGGATTGAAACTCCCTCACGTGGTTTTGATTCTTCTTGATCTGTGACAAACAAATTCTTTTCCTTCATCATTTGATCACTGAAACTCACGTCGGGAGGCTGATCCATTTTCTTATCACTTCCAGCCATTTTCCCTCCTTTCGTTTGCTCCGATTGCTTTTTAGTCATACCAGGTTCTTGAAACATTTTCTTACTGCAATGAAGAGAGTCCAAATCCACACTGTTGTTGTTGTACATTCATGATTCGACCTTGAATGTCTCGGAATGCAAAATTTCCAATTCTTCTATACTTGACAACATATATTTAGATATTATCTCATTATGAACGATATAAACAAGTACATTGTTGATCAGTTTAAGGACTATTTTGATGTGCACCCGTTCATTTACATTTCTGAGATGATTGAGGCTTTAAAAAACTTGACAACTTTTGAAGCATGATCAGCGCCAAAAATTAAAAAGAAATGCCAAAAACAACTTGCCACCATTCATCGTCCTCTCAATCGGAAACTCTTGACACCAATAATTTTTCAAAACAAAATCAAAACAAAATGAAGAGAAAATCCAATTGTAATCCGAGAAAGAAAAATAGGAAAGAATTTGTTTCCAATCTCAAAAAGAATCAACCCCCTCGTCCAATCATTCTGGAATCCTCCACTCAAGAGCACAAAGATGTCATTGAAAATCATTCTAAATTCAAACAATCGAACCAATCAGTAATTTCCTCCCCTCAACACAATCATCCTCAACAAGTGCTTACTCCCTTCATCCAAGAATGTCTTTTCAACACATTGGTTCGAGATGGATCATTGTCTTCAGGAACAGAGCAAAAAGAAATATTAAGAACGACCTACAAGAGTGACTCTCCTTGCGTTCAAAACGAGGTGGATCTCAACGATGATCAACAATTGGAACTCATGGCAGAGATTCTTTCAGATACTTTGCTACAACGTAGAGGTTTCATTTCACAACGGTCGAAAAGCATTCGCCAAGACAGACATGACGACTACACTCAGACAGACTCTCGAATAATCCATCCTTCAGAGAAAGCAACACGTAATGAAAAAAGTGAAGAATGTCATTGGGATTTTTCATGTCCTGTCTTTGATGGATCTCAAACCATGATGAAACACCAAAAGACACCATCAATGGAACCATCATGGAACGAAGAAGATCAGCATTCATTCAAAACTCAACCATTCATTACTATTCAAGGGAACTATCCTGTGCATTTGAACACTTTTACACCATGCCATCAAGAACAAGATCCACATTATCATAATTCAGAAAAGTTGATGAATACTACAAATCAAGATTTCCAAGCTCAATTGAAAGAATTACAAGAAATGGCTGAAAGACGTGCACATGATGCATTAATATCTCAGTATTTGAATGAGAAAATGAAAAGATACATGTTTACAACAAACTCCAAAGAAAAATCCCTCTCACATCTCTTTCCAGGTCTATTTAGAAAGCTTAAATTTGATTTAGAATTGAGGAAAATGAAAATGTATAACGACACTTTCACCACACCTACCATGCAACAGTTGATGGATGAGATGAGAAATGTCGTCATTCGTCATCGATAAAGTTTTTTGTAAGCGCGCGCTTTAAATTACAGAACGTTACACTACAAAAAATGAGCCTTAACGTGTTTCATGAATCATCGTTGTCAAAGGATCCTGAGAATGTTCAGCAGCACGGACAGGATGATCAATCAAAAGCACTCACGATTTTTAATGAATCGGGTGGCTCCCAAGAAGAAGGTTTGAGTTCAGACGAGTTTATGACTGTCTCGTCAAGTCCTGAACAACCTCGGGATGAGCCATTCGATGGTTTAGCTTTAGAACATGGGGATGATGAAATATTTCGAGAAGATTTTCAGAGTATGCTCTCATTTGCCTCTCCAATTCCAATGATGGCAGTCGACGACAAAGATTCCTCCCTTCATTTTCCAAAAACTTTCCTCTCCAATTCACCTCATGAGAACCATCATTCAGAATTTTTCATTCAAAAATCGGAAGATCCATTGACAGGATACGAGACGCCAGTGAATAGAGAATGTAATAATAATTTATCAGACTGTTCGGCCATCCTTCATGCATTTTCTGCAAATTCCCAATGGAGTGATGTACCGTTAAGTGAGCTTCCTGGTTTTAAAACTCCTTTGAAATTTATTACACCTCCAGTTAAGAAATTTATAATTTTACCTGATTCTGCACCTAGAAATGTAATATCGACCTTGGTACTGTCAAAGGATTTCTCCTCAACAACAAAAAGGAAGTCTTTGAAAGTTAAAAAGATGAACATTAGTGGAAATGCTCTTCGTTTTACGCCAAATTGTGAAGACAACCACTACTGCCAAAGTGCTCAAAATGATCAAACAAGTTCAACTGCAATCATCGTGCCAAACGAAGATCAACATGACAAAAGCAGTGGAATATTTAGCTCTTTAAAAGAATTACAGTACTATGGAGAGAACAAGTCAACAGAGGAAGACTCTTCCGTTTGTTGTCATTTGTGTCGTTGCAAAGACGCTGAAATTCATTCACTGAAAGAGCAGCTTGAAGATCAAATATCCAAGTATAATCTCCTGTTGAAAGAATACGATTTATTGAAGGAGTTGTATGAAAAAACAGAGTCCACTTCTGATACATCCTCTGTCAACTCTCTTACCTCTTCCCAATCATCAGATTCTGCAAGAAAAGTGCTTCGAAACGTTATTTCTTTCGACAATGTGAAATTCATCAAACTCTATTGCCGTGTAAGAAACTTTACATGCGAAGAACTGGAAGAAATCTCCAAGATTGTGAGTGTAGATACAAATTGTTGCAACCATCTTTCCCAACTCGTTCGTCACACCACAGGTGATGAATGCAATTCTGAGAGTTCTTTCTCTCCCCAAACAGAACAGTCCCTTCCTGTTTTAACAACAGATGATTCAAAAGTGGTCATTCGAAAGTATTTAAACAATACTATGAGCGGCGTTGGAAGCAAAATGTCAAAATATGAGTTTCATTTTGACAAAGTTTTTGGATACAACTCTGACAATTCACAAGTTACAGAATCGTTGAGTACTTTTATTAATAGAGTTATCGATGACGAGCCTCAACAAAGACTTACAATTATGGCATATGGTGCCACTGGTTCGGGTAAGGTATGTTAGAATTGAGTTCTTAACCTCCAACTAATTTTGATGATTTCAATTATATTGATAGACCTTTACCATACAGGCGATTATGAACTATGTCAAACCAATGATCTTTTCCAAACTTCAATCAAAAATTGTTCAATCCATCCATTTTAACTGCTTTGAGGTTTACAATGAGCAAATTGTTCTACTAATGAATACAGAAGCTGACCAATTCAAGTTGGTACAAAATGAGAACGAATTAGAAAAATTAATTCAATCCTCTCATAATAAGAGAAAATGTGCTGAAACAGAATTCAACAAGCGTTCATCAAGAAGTCACTGCATTTACAGATTTAAAGTATGCTTTGATGAAAACGATCAAGACTATTGCAATATTTTAAACATTGTAGATCTTGCAGGTAGTGAAAGACTTTCGAGCGATGAGTTTTTACAGACCCAACTCAACACCTCTCAGAATAATACCCCTCGATCGAGAGATGTCAACAAGGAAGAGGCATTGAAAGGTCTTAAAAAAATAAGGAATACCGAAACTGTGAATATTAACAAATCGTTGAGTGTGTTGAGCCAAGTGATCAAATCGTTGGCACAGGGATCAAAATTCATTAATTATCGAGATTCTACACTGACTAAAATTCTCAAACATGATCTTTCTCAAGTAGCGCTTGTGGTGAATTTAAAACCTCCCACAAAAATTAAGGACAAGACAGAAGTTGAGAGAATTGTCAATTCTTTAACATTTGCGAAAAAGGCAAATGCTTTTGAAATTTCAAATTTCAAGTAATTTACTGTCTAAGGAGCAATGGTGAGTAATAAAAGAGTGATAATACAGGCTGCAATCACAAATGCAAGAATGATCATGTCTCTTCTATTTTTTTGTTGAATTCTCGTAAGCAGACCATCAATGGCAGGGAAACGAGCTTTGTTGGAATCAACCAATTAATTACATTCAATTAAAACAATCTTCTCTAAATCTTACCTTTCATTCCGTTCAGCACGTGATCGAAACTTTTAAACATTTCCATTTGCTCCTCAAGAGTTGCTTTCGAGTATTGACCTTGGGTTATTAAATTTTGCATTCTAGTGTTTGCATCTCTCATGCGTTGAATGTCTGATCCAAACCTGTTGTTTAATCCTAATAAAGAATCGTTTTCATTATTTCTGTTTCAAAATTAATAATAAATTTAGAGTTCATTGACTACATACTCTACATCTTCGTCTGATAAATATAATAAATCATTTCTATTTTTCTTGTTGGACACTCGTTGTTTGATTGTTCTATATTCTTTTTTACAGTTGTTATATATTGTTAAATGCTGATCATATTGATAAACTGTTGATGATGTTATCAAGGAGTGATTATTTTCATCATTAATAAATTCTTTCATTTTGTCATTCACCTCTCGGAGCTAGTGTATGTTATTATCCGGTGTGTACTTGTATTCATCCATACCTCCTTTAGTAAGTGATCAATTTCCTCCGATACCTTTTTAAACAATTCTTCAGATGAAGAAATATTGTTCAATGATGGTGTTGGGTTCTGGAACAGCTCCTCTTCAATCTTGGAGGCAAGATTTGAAAACGTTATTAATTTCTGTTCGATTTTATTTTCTAATTGTGAAGATTGTTTTAGATATTGATTCATTTTTTTTGGAGACTGTTTAAAATAACGTCATCAATGAGGTCAACAAGTCTTTGTTTCTTTCTCAAGGTTTTGAGACAAAATGAAATCTCCTTAAATCATGAGTTATGAATCTCTGTGCGATTATTGAACTTTGAGTGATACAATAGTTCTAATCTCTTTATCTTGTTTGATATCTTCAAGGACTCCATTCAATGATTGAGTTGTAGTCTCATCATTCTTGTCGTTGGATTTATGAAACAAAATTGGTTTGTAGAATGAGAAATTGGTTAAACTAAAAGTCTTCCAATTCGGTGAAGTTTGATAATAATAAAATCTCAAATTATTAAACTGCATATCCTTTTTGTAATTTGAATTGAAATCTTTGCCACAATTGATTCGAACGTAATTTTGAGAATCGTTTTCATAATTTGCATTTTCCATTAATTGAAATTTTGAGAGGAGAGTAACGAACATTCCATTTTGAGCCTTATATTTAATAGTGATATGAGAGCAATAATAATTCCGAAATATGATGAAGGCTATCTATAGTTTCCGATTTGATGATCATTGAATTTTATTAGAGGCAGCTGCCTCAAATCATTCTACTCACCTGGGTTGGCTTTTCAAATTTTATATCTTGATAGATCAGGCAAGGCCTTTTCGATTGTTCCTTAACAATTTCCAAAGGTTTAAATTCGCACAGCACTGGTGTATTCATAAAAGTTGGATGAATTGAGCTTTTTTTACAATTGAAAATACAACATTTTTCGTTGGCGCTATTCAAAGTGATCACTTTCAGAGACACAGAAAGGTGGTTGCCATTGGCAAAAAACAAGATTGTTGTTGTAAAAAGGTTCCTACGATCTATTCTTGGAACTTTCATCAAAAAATATTCGAGTCATCCTCATCACAAGCAAGATCATCAAGCGACTTCCTATTGATCTTCTCCTTTCGGGCTCAACGCAATATTGAACAACAATAAAAACACACCACTGATCAACAAGCCATGGCCGATAAACGTCTTGCTGAAATTATCTCTACTGGTCAATATGCTACTCTTCTTTATGAGTGCGAAACCTATGAAGTTGAACACTTGTCTGTTCAAAAGCAATCGCCATCATCATTTTACTATGCTTGCTTCCTCTTAGGCTACATGATCAACAATGATTTGAATAATTGTAGATTTTTATGGAAGAGAATGCCAACGGACGTGAAAAAGAATGATGACGTGAAAGGCATTTGGGAAGTTGCCAAGCACTTGTGGAATAGAAATTATGAAGGAGTCTATCAAAGCGTTGCTGCGTTAAATCCATCATCAGTCCATTTGAAAGAAATCATTCAATACTTTGTTAGACAATTACGTCAAAGAACGTTGCAATTGATTTCTAATGCTTATGCCAATATTAATACAAACGATTTGATGAAGTGCTTGGGTGTTCCTGATGTCAATGCCCTCAATGAGCTCGTGACTCCATTGAATTGGAAATTTGATGCCACTAACAATTTGTACATTCCTGAAGTTGTTTCTGTGAAACCTCCTGAAATGCCAACAGGATTGGAAGCCATCAAGGGCCACACTCAAAGATCTGTCTTTTTGGAATTGGAATAAACACTACTTCGAACACTTTTCTATCATCCATGACAAGAACACATGACAAGCAAGGAACAAAAAATAACCTCCCATACCTCGCTCGGCAGAATTGTTTGATTGCTGACTTGGTTCACAACAGCTATTCCTCCAACTCTTTTTGTTATTTTGGTGTTGTTTGTTTGAATATTATTCAGAATAATATCAACAAAACTCCTTCTCATTTTCTACCGATCCAATCCTTCGGAGCCTGAATTATTCTGCTCTTATTATTTATTACGTAATTTACTTTTTGAGTGATTTTGAAAGTTTACCCATAATCATCAACTACCTTTCCTCTCCTTCCTTCCTTCGAATCGTTTGTTGCTGTTATTATCATTTAAACCGATAATAATAGTATCATACAATCATAACCGACATCACGTATTTTCATCATCATCACAACAATAACAACTACTCCCCAACGTCCTCTCTACAACACCATCGTGTTGATTCATCCATTCGTGTTTATCAACAATATATAACTACAACAACAACAAATGAATAACAATCCTGCTGCTCGCCCTCCAATGTTGAACGTTTCTACGGTCATCAAATCCAAATGGAAAATCCAAGGTAAACTCGGACAAGGTGCTTTCGGTGAAACCTATGCTGCTGTAGATCTTCATAGTGGAGAAGATGTTGCTATCAAAGTTGAAAAATTGGATAATAAGAAGATGATTCTCAAATTGGAGGTCATTGCTTTAAAGAAGGTTCAAGCCTGTCCATATGTTGTGCGGTACATTCATAGTGGTCGCCAAGATGATTATAACTTTTTGGTGATGGAAAGGCTTGGAGAGAGTTTAGCTGACCTGCGTAAGAGAACTCCTCGTGGCGCTTTTTCTATGAGCACAACATTGAGACTCGGAATTCAAATGATTGAAAGTCTAGAAGGAGTACATAAATTAGGTTATATTCATCGTGACGTAAAGGTATGTATTTATGAATGATATGAAAAAGAATTTCTAACATTAATAATTCAAACATGACTTGTTTTACATTTATGCCACTCTTCAGCCCTCTAACTTTGTTATGGGAAGATCAAAACCAAAACGTGGAAGAGCCTATCTTATCGATTTTGGTTTGGCTCGTAAATTTAAACTTCCAAGCGGTGAGATTAGACCTCCTCGTCGCAATGCTGGATTTAGAGGAACAGCTCGTTATGCATCGATAAATTCCCATCACTCTAAAGAATTGGGGCGACGAGACGATTTATGGTCAGTCTTCTATGTTTTGGTGGAATTTGCTTTAGGATCATTACCTTGGAGAAAAATCAAAGACAAAGAACATATTGGTGAGCTTAAAGAGCGTTTCACAAATGCGGAGCTTGTGAAAGACTTGCCCAATGAGTATCAACTTTTTATGGAACATTTACAAAAATTAGGATATGCGGATGAACCTGATTATGATTACTTGAAATCTTTACTTTTGCAAGTTTACAGCAGAGAGGGCTATTCTCACGATGAACCATTTGACTGGCAAAGAAAAGAAAAAACTTCTGTGCCTCCTCAAATTGATATTACAAGTATTGTAGATGATCAACCAGTCGTTTCTGCTGATGACAGACTTCCAAATAGATTTGTGACAGGTGGCCCAAAGAGTTTGGACAATGATAATCAAAAACCTACTCAAGCAAACAAGAAAAATGACAATGAGGAATCGGAAAAGTCAGGCAAAGGTTGTAAATGTATTATTTTGTAAACGTTATTTTTGAATATCACTATCCACTGATTCTGATTTCTCATTGAGCGCATCATCTCTATTAGTACTCTCTGCTACTTGTGCTTTTAACTCCAATTTCAAGAACTCCATGATTTCAAGAAGGTTTTCATTATTGATGAAGCTATCACTTCTCATCTTAGCTTCTTTCCATTTGGCAATCAGATCTGTTAAACATTTAAAGGTATGTTGTTGTCCCATATTCAGAAGATCGTTAATAGTTTGCTCTAATTTTGGTAAAACATTTTGTTTTAGGTCTAGTAATAGAATTTTTCTACCTCTAGCATTATGGCCTTTTGGAGCGATGATAAACTCTTTGGCAATTGTCTTTACATGTTTTTTCAATCTATCAAGGGTTAAAACAATGTGTTTTCTGTCAAGATTATCAACAGGCATTTCGAATTGAAAAATGTCTGATAATTTTACGTCTTCGATATTCCACACCTTTGTCAATTTTTGTGGAGAATGTTTGAAGTGATATGGAACTTTTTGGTAATAGAGATGTGTTCCCTTAATCGCTCTTGGATCTTTTGGAGAGTTTACGGGGCTATACATTGGTGATAATTTTCCAAGCTTAGAGAGTTGAAAGGCAGTGATGAACCTTTCTTGCTCCTCTTCCCTTTGATATCTCATTTCTGTGCTTTCATACCAGAGGGAGAATGCTATGTAAAGATTGATAAGACGTTGAAATTCACTATTCTCACAAACTGTTGGACGGTGTTGCTCAGCTCCAAACATTAGATCCGGTTTATCACCTTTTGGTACCTTATTCATTGGCTGCTCGTAGAAACCAGGCATAAACTCTTCTCCGTCTTGAGGAGAAAGTATTGAGACAGGAATAATTGGAGGAAGATCTACTTCTGTTTCTAACAGTAGTAACGGTGATGTTTTTGAGCTCTGAAACGAATTCAACGGTGAGGTTGGCGTTTTAGGGGTTTTTGATTTAGGTGGAGAAGGATAGGAAGCACTTTTTTGTTCAGATGCTTTTTTAGAGAATGCTCTTCGTTTTGGACGAGGACTTCCATCACTTTCTGACGAAACTTGAGATATATTGCTTACGGTCGTGTTTACACTTTCATTTGCAATGGCCTTACTGATTTTTGGTCGAGACAGTGTTTTTGAAATGATTTGACGAACAATTATGAGCTTAAGAGATCCATCCTCGTCATTCGTAACGATACTGCTCATATGATCAGAAGGTTTGTCCGTAATCACATACTCTGCACAAACGTTTTCTCCTTCCTTAACTTCCTTAAGCACTAACTTTTTAGCAAGGTCATCTCCTCTATCATCTTTAAGTATCAAATCCGAGTAATATTCTTCTTCCGCAAGGTCAAGGCTCAAAAACATTCGCTTCTTAAGGAGCAAAGCAGAACCTGGCTTAAGAGCATCCTTAATCTTTAGTCTCAGTTTTGTGCTTTTTGCCATAATAACCCCCAATAGAAGAGTAGATTCTAAATTTGCCAGTTTTGCTGAAAGGCTGTCAAACTCATGCTCCGTGGGATGGGTGTGTGTTAACTTTCGCTGAGATATTTTCTTGTTGAGCCGTTTCTTGTTATATTTACTCTTTTCATCCTTTTGCACGGTTACCATCTTCTCGAAGGTATTGTCGAGAAGAAGCGATATTAAGAAAGATATTGCGTCATAATTCTCAATAAGAGCTTGTGTCACACCCTCTCCTGAAGGCGCGCTTTGCAACAAACACCTCAATGCTTTGATAGCAATGGATGCTGTTCTTACTTCTCCAAGCTTCACAACATTGACAAATGCAATCCAATATTTGTTTCTGATGAATTCATCATGAATACTTGCTTCATGATCTATTCTAAATAGAGTTTCGCATAGTTTGCAACAAGACTCGATAACTTGTGGACTCTCATAGTTTAGTTTAGCATGAAGCAATTTTGACAAATCAGCCACAGAAACCTCCTTAAATTTAGAAACATCACTTTTAAACAAGGTTTCTAGCGTTTCCAAACTTAGAGCTCTCACATCATCATTGGTGTCTCTAGACATCATTAACAGACAGTGGTCAATGCAATTTTCTTTGATAAGGTCTTCAGCAAAGGAGACACTGAACTCTCTTAGAATGGCACTGTAATAGCTTCTAACAAGAGGAACTGTCTCTAGGGTCATTAACTCCATAATTAGAAGCAATCCTTGTTGGAAAACCACAGCAAGTCTCGCAATTTCGTTTCTACAAACGAGTACAAACAAACACTCAACTACAAGCAGTCGTATTCTATCATCCGAAAGCATTGCAGGCTCGTTAGGAACATTTCCTGTCGGGATGACTAAACATTCAAAGAGAACGGTAAGACCTTCCTGCTGTATCAAAGATTCTGCGCATAGCCTAGAGAGTTCCTTAAATTCCGTTTCTCGTGATTCGTCCTTTACGGGCTCTAACGAGCATACAGATATTAACTTGGCAAGACATTTTAAAGCGTAGATCTTTAAATTAATGAAAATCTTTACAATCTCATTAATACTAAACGTTGATAGAGGGGCACTCTCGATATTGGATAAATCTAAAGAAATGTAATTAAGGATCATTGTAAGGAATGAGGGATTTCCGTTGCAAAAAGCCACTTCCTTTATCCTTTTGGGATCAAGATCAACTCCAAGCAACGACACTGATCTCGGTTTGCAACCTTTTCAATATATTATCAAAAACACGTACCTGCCAGCTGAAAACACTCTAGGGATTGATCTATCAGAACGACATTGAATTCCTCTTCACCATCGGTAAATTGTTTAATGAGCAAGTAGCAGTCGTTAAGGCATTGGCATACATTCTCCATGCAAATCTTTTCTTCGGCCAACGGGTCATTGAGCATTGGATTACACTCCTCCAAAGCATCAAGGGCCTTCTCTACATCTTCCATAACGTTTTGAGCTGGTGAAGTGGGTTTTTGCTTCATTTTTTTTGCAGCTTTCTGTTGAGGGCACAACAAACTCTATTGAGCAATCACATTACTTGAAAGAACGATTTCATCATGAAAGAATTTCATACGTTTACACTCTCCTCCTTTCAAATTATTGGTCAGGAAGGTCGTTTCCCGCCTGGTCCCTGCTACAAAAAATGAATAAGATTGAAGACGACCCACATTTCACCGAGTTGATCCAGCAAGTGAAGACTCCCGTTGATACATTCTATTTGATGAAAAGCTTGGGAAAGACAAACTTTTTAATCAAGCACCAAGGCAAAAAGTACAAAGTAACAATTGGAGAAAAAAACGAATGTTCCTGTTCTTTGAGAAGGACCTGTAATTGTATTCATATTCTATTTGTTTTAATGAAAATTTATGGCATTGATGAAGATGCCGACTTGCTTCGGAAGACAGGATTTAATCAGTTTGAACTAAATAATATCCTTTGCGGAAAGAAATGTTTTTATGAAAAACGAAAGCAAAAAGAGGCTCAACTCACAAATAAGCAACCAAATGACGAACCAGAAAAGAAAGGGCCTAAACCAATTGAAGAGGGAGACTGTTGTCCTATTTGTATAGAGGATATCAAGTCAGAAGAGACTGATAATTTAGTTTGCTGTCGTTTCTCTTGTGGAAATTATATTCACGCCTCTTGTTTGAAGGAATATTTTGCTAATTGCTATCATAAACAGAAACCATGCCCGTTCTGCCGAATTGACTGGAAAAATGATTTAGACAATCAACTTTTGGAAATAACAAACAGAAAGTTGAAGAAGAAACTATCTGAACATCATCCTGTATTTAAATGTAGCGAGTGCGAACAAATGCTAGACCCTAAAAAGAAAAGTTTTATTTGTCAATTTTGCTACAAGGTCCATAGTAGTGTTTGGGCCATGTGTGGTTCGTGTTATTTAAGCAAAGATTCACACGTGCAACATAAGGGAAAGTTTTTCGCAATCTCAATTGGAAACGCTAAGAAAATAGATCATGAATTGTTAAAAGAGGAGTATCTATCAGAACGACAGAAAGATATAATGCCTTTTGCATATTATTGTAATAGACTTAAAATGACAGATGCTCCTTCCCACAACAAGATGTCCTACTGCACACCGAAAAAGCCTCATTCAGCTAAATCGGTCCGCACCAAACCTGAGTCAACGTCACCTCCAACGTTCCCTCAAGAAACAACAACGACATCACCTTCTCTGGCAGTAGTTGGAAACAATTTTTCAGACTCACCAATGACTCCGTCCATAGTTTCGAATTGCAAAACTCCTTTGGTGAAGCAATCCAGCACGTCAAACATCAAGAAGGGAATAACTGTCAAACAAAGCTCTTTCCCAGCTCATAATGATTTGACCTCACTATTGACCATTGTTCAACCTCAAATAACCATTCCCCCAAGTTCTCCTAGAAAGCGATAAAGTTTTGGCGCCATTTCTTTTACAAAGCAGAATTATAATTAAAAAAATGAGCACAAGACCATTGATGAGCAGAGGACAATTATTCACTGGATCACAAGGTACTGCAGGCGGTACAGCCAGACGAATCGGAACTGCTGCTAGAGCAGGTATGCAGACAGGAGGTGTCGGAGTGGGTTTGAGTACAGATATCACAGTTGAGGACAGACCCGTCACCCGAGAAGGAATGTTCGGAATGAAGACTGGAAATACAACACAAAAGAGACAAGTTCAATCAGCCTCCTATTACTTAGGAGAGTTGCATGCCAAGATATCAATGCTGACCGAAGAGCTTGAGAGATTAAGAAATGAAGGACGAAAACTGCAACAAGATCGAGTGCAGTCAGAAGTTCTGGTCAAGAAAGAAAATGATCTTAAGGACGAACTGGCTCTACTCTCAAACAAAGCAAGAGATTTAAATGTGAGCGTGGAAAAACTCCAGCAGTTTGACGCCATCAATGCCCAAGATAGAGAACCTTTGGAAAAACTCAAAGCACAGTACGAAAAGTTCAAGTCTGAAAACGAGAAGTTAAAGGAGTCAAACAACGAAATATTTCGAAAGAGAAACAATTGTGAAGAATCAGTCAGAGAAATAGAACAGAAAATTCAAGATTATAACGACGATCTTGAAGACAAACTTAACATTGACCTTTCTAAAAAGAATCTCTTCTTGTCCCTAAAAGAAGAAAGAAGTGAGCTCGAAGAAGCACGTATTTCAATGGAACATCAACTGCGAGAATTGAACGATTACTTAATGGGAGATGGAGGATCTGTTCTTTCTAATGACCCTCAAAAGCAAAAATATTATGAAAAGCTTCAAGAAAAACGAGCCTTAGAAAAACGAAAACAAGACGTGCAAAACAAGTTAAGTGGAGGTACAGTTACTGATGAAGAAAAGAATCACTTGATGCTTCAAATGAAAAATGATAAACAAGACACTGTCAGAATAACCGAAGCCATTAAACAGTGTAAAACATTGGTGAACTCTGAAAAAGAGAAGCTGAAACAATTGCAAGACCAGCTGGACTCGCATAAAGGTGAAAAATCGAAAAGCTATGCCGAATTTAAAAACAAGGACGCAGTGCTCACGAAATACATGGCCAATTTTGACACAGACAAGAATAAGGAATTAAAAGAGCTTGCAGACCACCAAGAAATAATCGTGAAATTACTTGATCACATAAGCAACAATATGGGGGACCAGGAGAATCTTCCAACCCAAAGCAAGTTAGAAGAAATGAAGGATGATCTTGCATTCAAGCAAGACCAAAAAAATATCTCCCTGTCAACACTCGAACGATTGAAATTAGATTTAAAACAAAGAAAAGAAGAGCTCGAAAAAGTCAATAACCTTGAGCAAAAAATCACGCAAGACATGAAGAGAATGGATGAGTCCATGAGAGAAATGAAACATTCACTTGAAACTTATAACAACATCGATTTGCTTAAGCGACAATATGAGAAGCAAAAATCAGAGCTTGTAGAGAATAGGGAACAGTTAAAACTTTTAAAGGAAAACCTGAAAACAGAAATGCATTTATTAAGCAGGCACAACACAACTCTTGAGCGAAAAATCAAAACCAATGATATTTATACAATCCTCAACGACCTTGAGCAAAAGATCAGAGTGTATGAACAAAATAATTTCCTCCTAAATGATTACATTACACAAAAAGGAGCTGAATCTGACTACACCGATGTAAAATATAACACCATGAAGTTAGTGAGTGATGTCATTGAAATGGTCAAAGAAGAGTCCAAACAATCCTATTTCTAAGTTTGAATGGTGTTACCCCTCACTAATAAATGAGTATAAATTATGACATCTTCTGTGAATGTAAATTCAAGACTTGAAGCGACTATTTTAAAATCTTCAAAAAAATGGCTCCACAACAATCCGGATACTCCGCTCGCTCTCAAAGTTCCAGCAACAATCGCAATAAACCTCGTAGAGAACATGGCAATAGTTCAATAGCATCATCGTCTTCTTCCATGGATGACGCACAAGACATCACTAACCAAAAAACTCTTCGAACTCGAATTAAAAACATAATGCAAGCTTCGGAACCTCAGCACAATAACCATCATCATATCAAAAAAAAATCATCACACAAATCTAAAATTCCGAAAGACATTCTCAAGAGGTGTTTTTCTCAATTTCAACAACTCATAAGACAAACTCATATTGAACATTATTTTGCTTCTCATCCGCAAGAAAAAACAAAACGACGATTGACCGAAGAAGATCTTGCTTCCATTGAGCATTTACATATTTATGATTTTGATGGAACGTTATACGAAACCTTGCTACCTGAAGAAGGTATACCGCTCTATGAAAGCGTAACGGGTAGACCATGGCCTTATGGAGTTGGTTGGTGGTCAAAACATGAGTCGATCTCTGCATTTTCTTTTTTAAAAGACGTTAATAATGAACATGTTGTAAAAGAAGGTGAAGCTTTAGAACATTATTTATTGTTGAAAGCCCAAAAACAGAGACATGACTTGATTGTAATGATGACTGGTAGAAAAAGCTCTTTAAAGAGATCAGTTATTGAATTTTTAACTTATAGGCTTGAAGACGAAACCTTAATGCCAGAGGTCATGTGTTTCAAACCTGACGAATTTGGAAGTAACACTCTGGGATACAAGGTGCAACATATATATGCTTTTTGTAATTCATTACCTAATTTAAAATTTATCACCATGTGGGAAGACAGAGTAGAACATGCCAACAAATTTAAAAATTTAACAATCAAGAATTTCACACTTAACACTTCGATCACCATAGATGTGAAAATTGTCGGTAAAGAAAAGGATAATATTGCCACAGATGAACAATAAAACGTCATGCATGTTCCAAGAATTTGATTCACGACCAAAGAATTTTTATTGTCAACTAATTCACGATTGGAACATATTGAGGACACCACATTCTTTTTCCCACATATTCTTCCATTTCAGCATTTGAATCGATGAATGTTTTGGACTTGTCTGCAAATTTCAAGGCATTTCCTTCAGACACAGCCTGTCTAATAACACCGACAGCTACTTTTTTAGTGACCTCTCTAATGTCTTCAACACGTGGATAGACTTCCTTTCTTTTGATTGCTTCATCACTCACAGAGGCAGCTAACGATTTGGAAGCAGCATAAAACATGTTATTTGAAATATGTTTAGAACCTAAGTTAAAAAAGGTAAAGTGATCTGATGAAAAACTCTACATCTTGATACCTACCTGCCAAGATGCTACCAAGGCCTACACCAGGGAAAATGAACATATTATTGGCTGTTCGTTTGTGAAAATGTTGTTGAAAAATAATTGAGAGTCAGTTCAATGTCAACGACTTTGAATACAAACCTTGTGGTGGTCTAATTGTCAACCCATTTGGTAAGGTAACATCGTCAAATGGAGATCCACTAGCAAATACGCCTCTTCCTTCTGTACATCTGAAAACAAGCTCAGCACTGGCCTCTGACTTGCTTGTTGGATTTGAAAGAGGGAAGATTATAGGTTCTTTTCCTCTCTCAGCACATTGCCTGTTCATTTCTCTCAAAATATCTTCTGTGAACAATCCTCCAACACCAGACAAGCCAAGAAGAATGTCAGGCTTTACAGTTTTGATAGTTTCAAGGATTGAAAGACCTTCTGGCAGGTCATCTCTAACTTCAGCATAGGATCTTTGAGAGGCAGTAAATGCTATTCCCTTTTCATCTCCTTCTTCAATTCTTCGTTGTGTTAATAATCCATCCTTATCAACAACATAAAAGTTCTTACGAGCTTCTTCATCGTCTAGACCTTCACGAACCATGGCCTCTGTTGTTAAATCGTAAAATCAAATTTGTTAACATAATAAAAAGAAATATTGGTGTCTTACCTTTCAAAGCATTGGCAACTCCAAGTCCAGCTCCACCACTGCCCACCACAAGGAACTTTTATATTTGTTGTCATTGAATGAATAAAACAAAAATCTATCACCTACCTTCTGATGTTTGATGTCAGAAAATTGTTGTCCGATAGCTCTCAAACTGTTCAAAATACCAGCAACTATTGTTTTGTTAACAAGTAAAATGCTTCTACGAATTCAACTTACCAATAACTGATCCTGTTCCTTGAATGTCATCGTTAAATGAAAGACATCTATTTCTGTATTTTTTGAGAACAATTTCAGCCTTGTCACTTGTAAAATCTTCGAATTGAATTAGCACTTTAGGCCATCTAGTTGTTACAGCTTCCATAAATTCATCCAAGACATCAAAATATTCTTGACCAGTTAATCTTTTTCTCCTGATACCCAGATATAATGGGTCATTCAATAATTTCTCATTATTAGTTCCAACATCTAGCATGACTGGCATTACTCTTCCAGGGTTAATTCCTCCTGCAGCAACATAAAGCGACAATTTTCCAATTGGAATGCTGATTTAACACAATCCCATTTGAAATTAGTTCATTATATCATTACCAATGTAAACATACCCATCTCCGTTGGCTCCTAAATCTCCAAGACCCAAAATTCTACCGCCGTCCGTAACAACAATCACGTCAATTTCATCCACAGGATAATTATAGACCATGGCTTTCATTTCTCCACGATCTTCAGCAGAGAAAAACATTCCTCGAGGTTTACGGAAAATGTGACTAAATGATTCACAAGCCTTTCCAACGGTGGGAGTATAAATCTGATGAAATTAATATTTTCAAAACCACAAGTATAAATTTTGATAATATGATGTTGTCATCGGATATTGATCTACTTACAATTGGTGCCAATTCTAATTTACAAAGAAAATTGTTAATTACCAATTGTAGGAAAATAATTATCTAAATTCTTACCCTTGATATTGTTCACTAAAAACTTGTAAAACAAGGTTTCGTTTCTGTCCTGTAGTTGAGTAAGAAATTGATACCTTTCAATATCACTGGCTAACATGTTGTATCTTTCTCTGATACGTAATAGTTGTGTGTCAATATCAACAATCACAGCTGGTAACAATCCTCTAATGTGCAATCTGTCTCGTTCTGTTCTTGTGAATGAAGTACCCTTATTCAGTAATGAATTATTCATAACATCAACACCAGACTGTTAGTAAATTCAAAAGAGAATTTTCATAATTGAACCATGGCAATCCAAAACACAAGGTGATAATATTTGAAAAAGATTGATGAAACATCACCCTGTCATAAAAACAAACCTGAGTGGTTATAATTAATCCTCTCTTAAAATCTGAGTGATCATGAATACATCTCGTACTGCATTGATTGTTTTGTTTCATCATCATCATGCTCACGGAACAAGCTTTCAAAATGTTGGCATGATGCAAAGCCTTTGATGATGATTTTGTTAATTTCATTTTTTTGAAATGATGATGATGAACGATTCATGAATGGAACGAGTATTACAAAGGGTATTTAAACAATTTATTATACGAAAATGTGGTTAACTTGCGAAATTGCCAAATGGTGATGCAACAAATGGTTTGTTTACTACATCGCCATTAGGGTTTGACCCAAAATTGATGATGAAATGATGATACACAAATAAATACCACAGATACTGTGGTTGTTGTTGTTGTTATTATGATTATTATGATGATGAATAATATGGATAGGGATTTACAAGTTTTTGCTTTCCTTCACGTTATCTCCATAGCTATAATCACCCATTCAATGCAATTGATTTACATCCATGATGATCATTGAAAATAATGTGATACGTAAAATTGACAATTCTAATTCAATCATCAAAAGTACACTTACCAATTCCTCAAATCAGCACCTGTTGTATCAGCATCTTTCCAGTTACATCCTCCCAGATCAGAAAATTGCAAATTTACATTTCTCATATTACATCCATCCAAACGTGCTCCTTTCAAGCTCACGAATTGTAAATCAGCTCCTTCCAAATTGGCACCACGTAAATCAGCATTCTACATGTTCAGAACAATGAGTGTGTGTTCGTGTACAGTGCCACACACGGAATGGATAGAAAATGATTGCAATATTTGGTCGTCGTCATGATAATTATGTTATGGTCGAGTTAGTGGTTCCATTTGGGTTTATCATCACAATGTGAATGATCAAAAAGTTAATACCATAGTAAAAACACACAGTATTGTAGGTAACCATACAATTTCACAGAAACACACACACGCACGCACACGCACACACATCAATCCATCCATGATTTCTCTCCAAATGATGATAGAATGATTATTACTCACCTTCAAATTAGCCTTCTTCAAATCTGCCTTCACAAAACGTGCTCCTCTCAAATTAGCCCATTCAAATGTTGCACTTTCCAATCGTCCTTCATCAAATTTTGTTCCTTCCAAATTACTTCCTGTGAAATTGGCACGTTTCAACCACAAATGTCTCAAATCAAGACCAGACAAATTACAATGTGGAAGCTGAAGGCCTGATTGAACATCAAAATCTTGTTTGGTTTGATTACCGGAAACCACTTGAATAGAGACTCTAGTTTGACTCAATTGATTCACCATTTGAAGGATTTCTTTTCTTGTGAATCGATCAGTAGGTTCAATGAAGCCTCCTGTCAATCCACCGACTTCTTCTTTGTGTTCAAGAGTGAGTTTACTTTGTAAAGAATCGTTGGAACTCATTGTGTAGTAGGATGTATGAATTATTCAAAAGAAAGAATTTCAATGCGGAGCAGTCAATAAGAAGGGTGATGATGTGTCAAGCAGAGACGAGACGATGACGACGTAGAGGATGTTGACTGTTGTTGAGTGAGGACGTTTTTTGATGCTCTTCGCAAATTTTTTTTCTTTGAAAGTGACAGCAAAAATGACAAGTTTCGCTTTGCATCAACCGGTCTTGATTTGTCATGGAAAGTCTTGTCCTTTTACGAGACAACTGGAAAAACTAGTTTCAACATCAACATGATAACAAGGTTGTGGGTTCTTTATCACTAACGCATCTCTTAGAGTTGATCAATCTTATCTGCAACTCGTTGTCGAATGGTGTCAATGATAAATTTATCAGCAAATATTTCATTCAACACCTCGTCCAAGCAAGTTTGTACCAATGCAGGTTGATATTTGGCAAACAAATTCTTGTCAACACCATTAGATCCTCGTTCGAACAGTATTGAATTTTTAAGTCTTTCCTCAAGCGATTCTTGTGTCGTAGGAGTGGTAGGAGCCTCCTCTTGTTGTTTTGCATTTTGTTGATGAAGATACATTAATTCATTGAGGGGTATTTCCAAAATGTGGGAGTTTGAAGATGGTTGAGGTAAATGAGCATCAAATACACTCAGATTGACGTCAAGCTTGAGATGACCTAGATCACAATTTGGTCTAAAATCAAAATTCCAAAATCGACTTTTGATGACTCTGGAGAGTGTATAAATAATTTCATTGATATGGCTAAGGCTAATCCAATGTTCTAATGTATACTTGTTTGTGGATAATTTGGTAAAAGGAAAGCATGACATGAATGTTTCAAAAAGTGTACTACTCAGTTCTGGACCTCTATATGAAAATGATGGAATGTTCATATTACTTCCGCCTTGTGAGAGCGTCGAATAGTAATACAATGAAATGGTATTCAGAATTGTAGCTAATTCACTCATTAAAATAAAAATCAAATTACTTCGAAGAGCTCGGTTGTTTTTTTCAAGAAAATCTAACAAGTACAATTCTAATACCTGTGCAAGACTCCCTTCGTCTTTGAAATGTTGAGAAAAAAGAGATGGTTGATCTCTAATAGAGCGTGACTTGGAGCTAATCTTAGAGGTGTTAGGATTGGGAACTGAGGTGGTTGTGTTGGTGGTCATATCAATCTTGTCTGTTGCCCTTGGTACTCGCTTTTTAAACGAACTTTGAAACCTGTTTTTGTCACAAGCTTGTGAAAAACCATTCTATTGAAAGTACATCGATATTGGTCAATGAGATATCGTAAAAAATAACATACAGTATAAAACAATCCAAGAACTAAATGAAGAAGGCTTTCGTCTCGTAAGTCAATGTTTTGCCTCGAGGTCTTTTTAGAAAGCGTTTCAGTCATCGTTGATTCCACTCCATACTTTCGAAAAACATTATTGTTCCACAGTTCTTCTTCTGGTGATTCGAAAGCTGTTTTAATTTTTACGAAGGGGTCTGATATTTCAGCTTTCTTAATCGAAGGGATAGGGGCACATGTCTTGCGTTTCAATATTTCCATTTCTGTAACCTTATGATCCTCATGTTTGTGTGGAATAAAGATGGCTTCTGGGCTGGCCTTCGAGGTTTTGTTAAGCGCTTTGGGGAGTAAATCTTCTTCCTTTGGTTGTTGTTTGGAGCTCGATTGAGGAAAATCTTTGTTCTCTTTGGGTTTACTTTCAGAGTCGGAAAATTGACAAATTTGCTCTACATTCCTTACATCATTGAAAAACGCTCTTCCTGCTAATTGTTTTTGTACATCATCCAATTGGTGTTCCTTAGAAATATTGTGAGTTTCATTTGGAAAGTTAGAGGTTGTTTCATTTTGAGGCTGATGATGTATCAAACTATTCTCCGAAGAAGGAAGCGATGCTTGCAATACCGTAACTTCTTCTTCGTTGTGCTCGTCTCCGCTGAATTCATCAAAGTCCTCGATATCTTGTAATGAGGACTCATGGGAATCCTTGCCTTTATCTTCCATTAATGATTTCGGTTGTGTGGGTTTGTTTTGAACATTTTCATGCGAGCTGTCTAATGGATTGAGTTGACCATCAGAAAACGACTGCTCTTCGTCACTTAATTCAAAATCTTGCAAGTCAACAATGAGAGGACCATCTTTTGAGCTATTATTTTGTGCCTCTTCGAAGCTTTGGTTTTCATTCCCTACATTGTCTTGATGTGTCTCAATACCCCCGAACATCATCGGATCTAGATCTTCCAATTCATGAGGATTTTCTTCTTCACGCTGATGATGAGATAATTGAGGCTCTTCGCTTCTGGCTGATAACTGTTGCTCGCTATTCTTGTTACTTCTCCAAGATCCATCATCGGAATGTTCTTCAACGGAAGAGTCCTCAAAATCCTCGTCATCAAAATCGTCCAAATCCAGTATTGACATTTTTTAAATTTCGGTTTTGAAAATTGTAGATTAAAAATTGGCGCCAAGTATATTTGTGTGTAATAAACATTCGTATCATAACCCTTTTTATAATCATAACAAATATTTGAACTACGCAATAGTATGGATGATGATATCCAACATGATCGGATTTTCGGAATTTGAATTTTTTTGCGTAATTAAAAAAAAATGAATGTCGACCAACTCAAGACATTGTGTGAGGATGGAAAATTCTATGAAGCACAACAAATGTTTGTGGTTCTGTATAACAAGACCTATAAACAAGAGAAATATGATAAATGTGCTCAGATTTTGTTATCGGGAATAAATAAGATGCATCAATATAAACAGGTGGCTCTCATGATTGATTTAGCGAAATATTTAGTTTCCATGTTTTCCAAAATGGATGCACCAACCACTCATAAATATGCTATAAAGGACGATCAGATCACAGCAATAGGTTAGTATACATAGTCTCTGGCTGATATTAACAGTTTAATTGAAATTGTTAAATATTATTGAATTGTCATCTATGAATTAATTCATTCCAGATATTGTCAAACACGTTATTGATTTATATCACGAATTGGAAGATACAGTACCTAAAGAAGATATTCAAAGAATGATTGGATTTTTGGAGAAGGTAGTTACGTGGAGTGCCCAATCTCAGGTTCCTAAAATTTCCGATAATCATGGAGAACCTTTTGTTCACATGGAGTTAGGAAAGTTATATTTTAAATTAGGAAACTATGAAGAAAGTAACAAAAACTTTTTGAAATCAAACTCTGCGGAAGAGTTTGCTGACATGATTTCTGAATGGATGAAAAAAGGAGAAAAGTCAGAATTTGATTTATTTATTACTAGAGTAGTGTTGCAATTACTGTGTGCTAAGAAGGAGGAACTAGCAAGAAAAGTCTACAAACTATTGATTGAAAAAACTGAAAAAGAAGCTACAACTCCACTTTTGAATTTTGTGAAATTCTTGCTGCTGTCTATTGAAAAGAGCAACCTAGCTCTATTCACCTTCATTACAAACAAATATCAGTCTGAGCTTACCAGAAGAGATGCTAGTTTTAAGGAGCTGTATACTGATAAGATTGCTTCTATTTATTTTGGCATCAAGTCCTCCAAAAGTCAAACTGGTTTGGGTTCAATGATCAACTCGATTTTTTCTTCCATGATGAAATAAATGTGACGAAGCATACCATAATGACATCACAAAAGATTCCAAGAGTGACACATATGTGTTTTGTTCTGCCATATTTTGTAATTAAAAAACGTGTCGAGAACAGCATACAACTCATTGTAAAAAAATGGAGCGACTGGTGGTTAAGAATGAAGCGGAACGTCATTTACAAGCCTATCTCGAGTACAGAATGATTGTTGGTGATCGGGATGGAGGCGTGCTGTTACCAGAGAACGAGTATGAAAAATTAAGGAAAGAATTTTACGCCAAGAGAGAAAAACACAATTTACATTTTGTAGATACTTCATACATTGGTGGAACTAACAAACGACACCAACCCAACAGCGAAGAAATGAAATATGAGAAGAGTAAAAGCGACCCCTCCAAGAGTAAAACACGAATCTTGAAACCGAATGTGTCCTTATTGGATTTGTACAAAACGTATGTTGAACAAGCTGTTTTTAAAATTACATTCACCCTTCAGTCCCCCAAAGTTCGAATTTCATAACGACACCATGCCATCATCTAACAGCAGAATCAGTTCAAGGAGCTCATCAGCGAATTACGATTCTCTCAAAGTCACCAGAGTAAATTCTGCTAAAAGAATCGTTAGTGGAAGTTCCAAGGAAGCTTCCAAACAACTTCCAACAGTGTCACGATTTCAAATACAAAACGAAGATGACGATCAAGTGAAGCTTGATAGTATGATTGCTCAATTACAAAATGATACTTCATTGAGTGAGGCCAAAAAGTATTACCTTAAAAAACAAATACAGTTATTGAAGGCGAAAATTACAAAGGCTGCTAAGAATGAATAGTTCACGTCTTGGTAGATTATAAATTACATGGAGAAATCTAAGAGAGAGTCTTGCTTTTGAGGAATTTCTTTAGGTATCACAGCAGTACTTGTTGCTGCAACGAACATATCAGTGTTGATAGGATTAATGAATTCCTCAGTCAACTCTTTGTGGTTGGATATCAAAAATGCTGTTGCCTTAAATTTTGGAGTCATACCCTCCTTGTCACTACAATCGTCTTTAACGCTGCGTTGGTTTGGTATTTTAGTGGACAAAAAGAGATGAGAAAAAACAACGGAAAGATCCTTAATGTTCTGTTCTGATGTTTGGTAGTTGTCGCTCACCAAGCACAGGAAATTGGAGATTGTGTAAAATATTTCAATGCTTTGTTTTGGAAGTTCTTTGAAAGCTTCTCTAAGAATTTGGATCTTTTCTTGAGCGCTTTGGGAGCTGTTACAGGTGTCAATAATTTTTCTATACAATAAAGAGGTGAAGAGTGGTTCAGGCAACGATTCTAAAAAATAACAAATCAGAGAAGCAACCGAGTATGGAGATGTGTCATGATCAGATAGTAAATCTTGTTCATCAGAAATGTGTCCATGATCAAAATTGAGCATTAGACGCAACATGAGCGTATCTCGTGTGTCGTATTCATTTGAGAACAATCTTGGAAACTCTAAAGCAGCGCTCTTTCTCAAATATGATACACAAATGTTGATCATTCTCCTTGAACGATCGTCAATATCTACGCCAAATAATGGCTTTGAGGCAGTATTATTCATGTAGATCATGGATGCATTTGCATAGGTCGTTAACCCCATTCGTCCTCCAAGAACGACAAGTCTATTGTTGAAAATTAATGTTTTTGCATGAATCAATGTGCATTCACTTGCTCCAATACCTGCTGTTGTTAATTTAAAATTTCTAATATTGTAAATCAGAATATCATCTAAAATAGGTTCTTTAGAAAATGCATTTCTTGGTCTGTCCAATAATTCACCTCCAATGATAAATATAAAATCATCAAAAATGGCAGATGAACCCCATCGAGCTGGTATCAAATCTACAGTCTCAGGCCGTTGAGGAATCATGCCTGCAATTTGCCAAGTATTTGTGGCAATATCATACTCTAAAAACTCTTTAAATGGTATGTCTTCATTTCTTTCACTCACACCACATCCACCAATGACATAGAACTTCTCACGTTTTTCACACAACACCATTGAGTGTCCATATCTTCCTGGTCTGGGAGGAGATTTTAATTGAGTCCATGTATTTGTCTTGTAATTGAATGCCCAAAAATCATTCAGTGGTTCAGGGATAGCCTTTTTAAATGTTTGAACAAAGGCATAGCCAAATCCTTTTGATTGTTGACCAATGGAATAATTAAAACCCTCTCCTCCATAGACATATAACACTCCTTTATATGCACAAGCACTGTGGTATCTTCTTGGTTTTGGTATAGGTGTATTTTCTGGAGTTCTAATTCTTTGAATTGTGTTTTGTGACAAATCAATATCATAAATATATGGATCATATTGAAAATTTTCGTCGCTCTTTCCTGTAATTCCATTTCCAATTTGTTTAAAGAAATTATTTAAATTCGTTCCAATACTGCTAGAGTTATAACCCACTTGACCTCCATATAATAACAAATGATCGGAATTGATTTGATTGAGAGTATGATGAGCTCTAGGTCTCTCATGAAAATCTTCCAGAACATGTGCATCATTCTCTTGTATCATTTGTAGAGTAATACTCTTCCAATCCAATTTCTCTACATAATACAACATGAGCGGATTATGGAATTGATTGAATCTTGTTTTTCCTCCATGTACGTAGAAACGATTGGGATCCAAATGACCTTTCAAATGAAGAGCAGAAAAGCCTTCGGAGGGGAATGGGGCAAATTCATCACGAATCATGTACATATCATCATTATGAAGAGGTTGCCATACATTGTATTGTTGTTGTTTGGCTCCATTTGAAAAATCACTCCGGTTGCTCGTTCCTGCTTCGGAATCATTCATCATCCATGCAATAGATTTTTCAAAGACATTGTTGATTCCGTCCGATACGGTGGTGAAGGGATTGTTCATCTCAAAGGAATGGATGCTGGAACGGAATGAGTGTTACCGAGGAGTTGATGAGTTTTCTTGACGGTTGATGATGATACTAAGGTCCGGAGTGTGTGTTTTGCCTTTTTTTTGAATGGAATCGATTTTGGCTCAGGGCTTTCATTTGATTATTGTATTATTATAATTATTGGACGAATAAGAATCGAGCGTTGTTCGAGGGCACACTTGCCCTCTGTGACGACTTGTTCAACAAAATTTATAAATTAATTTATTCTTCAGAGAGTAACAATTTATCTTGACAATTACTTCTTTTCTTGATTTTCATTATTCAATAATCTAAACATGTATTTCACATACTCATAGGTCGTCCATGTAACTGCTGCTGAGGGCGTAAAGAATACCACTCTTGGAATAGATCCTCTGAACAAATTTCTAACAAGTCCACCTGGTTCTGAACCTAACAAGGAGAGTGCTTCTCTCACGTTCGATGCTTGTCCAACTTGAAGAAGAGTTTTCACAACATCAAAAGGATTAGAAACCAAACCACCTGCAGCACCAGCAAGACCACCAGCTGTAAAATGTTTGACATGTTTCCATTTGTCTTCATCGTGATCATGGTGATGGTCATGGTGGTCATGATCATGGTGATCATCATGTTCGAATAGCTTCTTTTTCATAAATTCATAGGTCACAAAGTGAACACTCGTGTATGGAATATTCATCAAAACAGTGGTAGGTAAACTCACAAAGAATCCTCTTAGACCTCTTAGAGCATAAATTTCACGAGAGGCATTAATAAAATTGTAATTTTGAATATGACCTTTCAGTTGCTATGTTCACAATAAGGTTCAATATGTCATCATGAATCATAACCAATTCATAAATAATAATTCATTGGTGTCATATGTGTCCATACAGTCATTGATGTGTCCATATATTCATTGTCACAAACATTATTGTAGTCAATTTTCATTATTTTCAATCGAAATAATTTCTTTTCACACCACCTACCATATGTTGCTTAATCACATCTATTGGTGTTGCAATACCATCGTGACCAATCGTTGCTGCTATACCTGCAATAGCACTCACACTTGCATTGCTTGTAAAATGTTGTTCACGTCCTCCTTGAAATAATCTCTTCACTGCTTCATAAGTAGCAAAATAAAAGGCATGTGATGGTAAGGCTCCATAAAGAACCACGGTTAAACCACTATAATAATTTTTTAAACTTCCAATAGCTCTGATGGATTGCAAAATGCCCTTATTGGAGGATTGGACGTAGGTTTTGATCGTATCAATGGGATACATCACTTCAAGTTTTTCGGAAAGATGTAAAATATTCGAATGAATTTTGATGGAGAATATCAAGTGAATTTTGGTCATGTGTTTTCACGTACGTAAAAATCAAGACATACCAGCATGCTCCACTAATCCGGCCATTGCTCCGGCTGTCATGTATTGAATTGGATTTCCTTTTAATTCTTCATCATCCTCCAATTCTTCTACGTGAGTGTAATAGGTTGACGATGATGACCGATTTAAACGAGTTGTTGGATTTAATTCCTCTTCGTCGAAATTCCGATTCATATTGAATTTGTAAGCTAGTTGTATTTGCAATGATTGTGTGGATTTTCACAACAAAATTCTTTGTGTGATGGTGGGAAAGAACAACAAATTTGAGCTTTTTTTCGAAAGAAATTTCTGTTTCCCAAACGGAGTGCTGTGAATCTTGAAAAGATTCTTCACGCACAATAAGGATATCCATGAGGATGATGTCTCTCAGGACCATCATTGTCCCTCTTCTGAGAGTTGGTGTTGAATCACTTGCTCAATGAATGGAATTGCTTTAGATTTGGATTCCTTGTCTTTTTGTTTCATTTCCTCTAGGCACTTAGAAAGAACATTTAGAACTGCCTTGTCATTCTTTTGATTCATTTCGAGCCACCATTTGCTATATTCTCGTAATGAAATGTTCATGTGTTCATGAGGAGGAACTATCCACTCAGAATTCTCCACTTTGGTGAAAAGTAAATGGATCATCAGAACAATGTATGACAAATTATTGGTTGCCAAATGCTTTTCTACAGATTGATAATCGCTTTGGAAGAGAGTTTTAAGGAATGCTCTGAAAAGTAAATGCCCATTCGTTTGATAGTTTGTATCGTCAGCAAAAAAGTCTCCAATCATCAATTGTAACTGTTTGGCATCATTCAACACGGACAAGAAATGACCTTCTCGTTCTTCCAATGGATAGGCGACTGATAAAGTAATCACTTTTAAGGTAAGCTCCACAGTTATATACAAGTATAGTTGTTCAATTAAAGGCAGGAAAATATTTTGCTGTGGTTGTTGCGTGTCATAAATGGATAAGTAAACTCTCTTAGCACATTTGACACAGAAAAAGAACTGCTTTACAAACAGTGAATTGGAGTTATACTCTCCACCCATTTCAAGATGGCTCATTTCCAATTGCTGTTGTTTTTGATATTGCTCTCCTTCAGATAAATGCATATTCAGTAATACAGTCAATAGTTGTTTTTTGATAATGTCGAACACTGGTTGCAAAATTTGCTTTCCAATTTCATCTAATTTCTTTAGCGATGGCTCCAAATACAGGTCTAACTGTGCAAATCCATTAACATTAGAAAAAGTCTTGATAACCTTTCTTGTGGAAGATAAAAGCAAATAAATGGATGTGAAGAGATTTGCATTAAACATCTGTGCGGGTGATGGTGTCTTGGCGATGGTGTTGAGAGAAGTTCCCTCCAGAACAGAAAGAAGATCAATATCTTTTGCGGATGTATCGGTTATCATCATCTCTTCAGATTTGTTTGAAAATAATCGCAGAGCCTTTCCAACGTTCTTGCCAACATCTATAAAAAGTTTTACATCTGTTTTAACATTACTCAATTCTTGTTGAATTACCGAGGTCAAGTTTCTAATGTCAGAAGAGGATAGTCCCTTAAAAGTGCCAGAATCAGTTTTTGGCTTTGGGAGGACAACTTTAGAAAAAACTTGCTTGGTTCTATCTAAAAGTCTATTTAAACATTGACTTAAATAGTGAGTTTCCAGAGAATCCAACACTGATGTCATCCATATCTGAGGTCGTAATTCTTGTTGTGTGAGTATTGGTAAATAGTTTGAGATCGAGTTCGAAAACTCCTTCATCATTGATTTGAATTGAGGATACTCATTGAGTAAAATATCCTTAATTATTTGATTGTTGCTGTTGAGCGTTCTTTTAATTGTCTCCTCAAATGCTTCTGCTATTGACTTCCAAAAACTTTCCAAGAAATTATCATTTCCACATTCTCTGAGTATTGATGAAAATTCTATTTGGGTCAAGGTATCTCTTTTCTTCTTTACAACCATATCCAAGTGGTGTACTTGTGCAAAATTGGTCTCTAAATCAAACAACATGGATTTAAGCTGAACTAAATATTGGGTTTTAAATCCCTCGTTTGTTTTTGTGATCTTTTGGTTCAGGGTTGATTTTATGCCTGAAACTGCTGTATGTAATTGGTGTTCTACTATCTCAGACACTGTCTCTGATAAAATTCCAAAATTAAAGAAAACCTGCAACCCAGTTGCAACAAATGATTGTTGCTTGTTTTTCATTCCTTCCTTGATGGATTTCATGGCTTCATTTTTCACTTCTATTGAGACTTCTTTCACATAGGGTACTTCCTTCTCTACAAGTGTAATCTTCTCCAATTCTTTAGATTTGATGATTTGTTCTTATTTTACATGGTGTTGTTTTAATTTGTTCTGTTGTCATGCTTTATATTGTACTCACCTAAATCATAAATATACTGAGAGACATTGAACAAATTTGTCTGTTCAGAGCTGTAACCGTTGTAACTCTTTCTCAGCTTGGACACCAGAGACAAGAAAGTGTACACTTTCCGAAGAAGTTCAATGGTTTCAAATATATTATATAATTGCTTATATCGTGTGTTTAAATTAGTGTAGCTGGAGCCCAAGCTTGATTGGAGCCTATAATGCAATTAACAGTATCGTAAAATTATTGAAAAGACTGATCCCGATAATTGATAAAACACCTACTTGGATACAGAATGTTGCAACGTTTCCACATTTTTCTTCACTTGAATCAAGTCATCTTCAAGCTTTTGTACTTCAAAAATGCTCTTGTAAAATCCCTTTCCGGATATTGTATTTTGATACTGATAAACGAGAGACATGTCTGTTTCCTCAGTGTTCTTTAATTCATCTCCAAATGTTTTTGACAAGAAATTCTTAAATTCTAATTCGTCATCTTCGAGTTGAGAGCTTTGTTTTTCAAAAATGTTGAAAATTTGATTATCAATCACAGATATACCTTCTTGAAGTTTTGAAATCTCGGAATCAAGCAAACCATGTGATTTTACGCTTGTTTGATCATCCTCTTCTTTCAATTTGTTTTTCAAATAATTGGAAACATCAAATGACAAAGCCTCCGATGATCCTTGATTCTCCACAAACAATTTTAAGTATGGATCCTCTTTGAAATACTTTTGAATTTGATTCATCTCCTCTGAAGAAGGTATATTTTTCACCTGTGATGATGATTGTTGTTTTAACAAGTGCGTCTTTGATGCTTGACCGTTGATAGACGATCCCGATGATGGATGACCGCTTCCGTGTGATGATGGTATCATTTTTTTAATTTGACCTTTGTGCTGCCCCAACAAATCTTCCACTTGATATTTGTACTACGGAATGATTATATATTTTTTATTGGGGTTCAAACACTTCTTGCGGAACTCATATCTTGAAAAGCTTTAATGTTTTCTATTCTTAAAGAACTTGACATGCTTATCCATAGAGTTCACCACTGGTTCGTTCAACATTTGATCTGCCTCTTGTTCCTTAATAGCTCCATGTTCTTTCATTTTCATAATTCTCTTTTTATCCCATTCCATTTCCTCTCTCCATTGTTCTTCATGATTATAAATAATATCCTTATCACCTCCATAACTCTTATCTAATTGAGAAACATCAATAAAAGGTTCCATAAAAGCTCTCAGCTCTGCATGTTTAGTTCCTTTACAAAATTGTATTTTCTGTTTAGTCACAGGAGGAATGAATGGAGAAATAATTTTGTAAAACCAATGAAAAACTTTGGGAGCATGAACCATCAAGCAAAGACCCAATCGTTCAGGGAAATGAGAACCTAAAATTTCTACTGCTTGTTTACATACACTCAAGGGAGGTGCTGATTTTGTTGTGTAATCTCTGAAATCACAAATCCATGTGATTTGTTGACATTCTTGTCCATTCGTAGATGATACTCGATAGGTGGCAGCTATGAGAGTATATACAAGGAGATATAAACCAACGACTGGATCCTTAGTAAGATCACGACCAGCATGGAGATAGATAATTGGTCGATTGGCCTTATCAAAACCACGAATATAAATTTTAGCAGCACTTGCTTCGAACCACAATTGTTTGGCTGTCAATTGATAAGGTTTATAGGAAGATTCAATCCATGTGAGAGAAGATTTGAGTAATTTGAAGGAATTATTGAGGTCCCAATCTCTTGCTGTTTGGTTTGATTCAATTGTGAATTCATGTAAAATCGTTGCAAGGTTAAAATGTTGTGTGTAATCAACAACAATTCAGGGGCGGCAATTACGGGGTGACCATTTTCATGTCCATGCACGAAAAAGGAAAAAAGGAATCACGTTAGAAGAAGCATCCAATTTGTGAAAGGTGCATTGCGTCGATTCATCAAGGAAGCAGCATTTACGCCACAGCAGAGATATGTGTGTGTTCACACCACCACCATCATCATTCCGAGTTGTCGCAATGAATGTTCATTGTAGAGAACATTATGATTATTCGAGTGACGTCACGTGAAAGTATCAATCACATTACCCATTACACATTACACAAACCTACCTTTCAAATATCGAATCAATGTTTTTGGTTCATCATGAAAACAATAATAAATTTGTAAATTGGTCATTTTTGAACGTTCTCCATTCACCATTTCTTTGAATTTCTCTAAAATTCCTTGCTGAGCATCTGTCAAGTGATACGAATGAGCTTGTAATTGATTGAGAGCACTCACGGAGAGTGAAGTTGCAAATTCTTCTCTCACTGCTTCTTCGACATCAATGTTTTCATCTTCGGCATGAGCTTGTAACTCTAATTCAAGAGCAGCTGTGGAAGCGGAAGTATTCATGGTACTTGTCGAGGATTGTTGTTCACTTTCAATGGAAGACATGATGTTGGTTGGTTGATTGATTGGTTGGATGAGAATTGACGTGTGCGTTGTTGTTATTGATGTTATTATACTAGCACGTGTACCAAAGAGAAGTGTGTGTGGATTGTTTTTCTTGTTTCGGTTTTTTAAAAAGTGTTACGAAGTCCTCTCACTCGGGTTTGAACGCACTCGAATGGTCGCAATAATAGTGTCTCTAATTCGTGCGTCGCCAATTCCTCCAAATTGATTCTTATTGAGTCACGCTGAAGAGTTTGAGTATGAGAAGATGTGAGTGATGACTGGCCGCCGCATCACCTATGAACGAAGGAATTGACTTGTATGTGATTGTTTCCATAACGGATGATCACATAATCAGATATTGAAACTCTTCTTCTTCTTGCTTCTAATTCCACTACCAACAGAAAATTTCAAAGTTTCCAACTCTGAGCTGGTGATTCATGAACTTTCATGAGCTTGTTCTTGCTGTTACATGATTTAAAGCAAGGTTGACACCTGCAACAATGATTCGTTACAATTTGTTGATATCAACATTTGTAAAATTAAGCGAACTTTTAAAATACGCGAAAAAAATGAAATCCAATCGTGCGTTAACCGTTGTTGCGGTTATTGTGGTCTGCTTGCTGTCTTTGACCACAAGCCTTGTGTTATCTGCAAGAACCAAATCGCTCAGTAGAAATACATCCAAAGTTTGTTTGCGTTACACTTCTTCGGATACCATTGCTTCGTTGGGAGGAACTTTTTTAGGATTTACAATTCGACCATTGCCAAAGATTTGTCCGGGACCTACTGGAACATGTGATCTTTATATTACTCCAGTGAGTTGTTTGGGTAGGTTGTCGAGTGTGAGTTGTTGTTGTGAGGTCATGATTATATTTTAAATTTTGATGATGACATTTGCCATTCTTGCATTAAATAATAATATTAACTGAACCACACGAACAATATAGGTTGGAATGGTCCTTTGGGTGGCTATGGGTATGTAGTAATATACTGACTTTGAAACATGCATCATGTGATCCTATCAAAACACATTCACAGACCATTGGCAAGTTTAGGTCCATTGAGCCATGAAATTCCATCTCCAAACAATTCATGGGAAATTCTTCGTAAATTTGTGCAACAGTTATTGGGATCTGACAATTCAGATGCTATTCGTTTCTTTATGATTAATAATGTTCAAAATCCACTTTCTGCTGCAGGTCCTCTTGGAGATTCTTATTTCACAGTCATGCCAACGATTAATGATTTTACCAAACACATGCAAGGTATGTGAAATTTCATACAACAATATATGAATTTTGAAAATATATACCGACATGTATTGTGTTGAACTGCAAATGTGAAAATAACCTCCCATGAAACTTGGAATTTCTAAAGGTTTGGGAGTGTGGAGTATTCTTGGTCCAATTGGTCCATTGGGTGCTTTGGGTCCATTAGGTCCATTAGGTCCAATGGGAATTCACAACTATCAGAGAAATTCTGATGGAGATTATATTGATGCTAATGGAAAAATTCAAACCACTTTAAATGTTAAATGGGATGAAAAAACAAGTATTCAATGGCCATTATTTGAAGATTATACACGAGATAGAGCCATTCAACTTGGTAAACAAGGAAAATTAGATTCTAGCTTTATGGTTTCTGCTGTTGGATCATTGACTCCTGATGTCTATACCATTACTGTTACTGAACCTCAATATGTGACTGTTTTGACAGCTCCATCCATCTATGCCAAGAACTTTTTAATGACTGTGAAAGAAAAGAAGTCAAAGCAAATCATTGCTAAAACTGGTAGTTCTGTATATTTTACACCTTGGCTTCAATTCTTTGTAGAACCATCGAGTTTGGCAAATGGTCCATTGCAATTTGAAATTAGTGTTGCTGTTGATCCATTGGATTGTGGATTGGCATCTGTTTTTGAATGTTTTATGGAATATTATTTGTATGTGGTTGGAAGTACCAAACAAATGTTGAGAAAACCATCCATTGCATATAGTGGACCATACATCAACAAGTCATGTTAAACAATAAACCGTGTTTTCACATGAACACGATTGATGGACAAGACTTCCCAAATTTTTTGTTGTCAACGAACGATGAAATTGAGTGTTGGAAGTTATTCCAACACCAGTACCAATTTATTTCCTAAATCACATACCAGTAACTCCCCACTGAGCTCGTTCAATACCATTCCATGTATCCATTCAAAAGGCCCCAAAAGAACATCTCCATGTTCACTCAACATTTTAAAGTTGTCGCTTGACTTTTCACAATTCCCTTGCAGATTGAAAATTCGAATTTGCGTGTTACCAAATATAACGCATTTCATTAATGGATCATACACAATACATGTTGAGTGAAAATAATAACGAGTTGGAAAGGCATCAAAGCTCATGATCTTTTTCCATTCAACGTCATGTTCTTCAAAACTTTTTGAACCATTTTTCGATTGGGTCATCACCATTTCAAATCTTTCAATCTTCTTGTCACTAAGGACCAACATTGATAAGGGTGAATCGCTTTGAATTTCGTTCAAGTAATTACTCTGTGTAAAAGTCACTGATAATGGAAATTTAACAGAAATACTTTGAATGATTTGTCCAGAAGTTGAGTTCAAAATGTGAATATTGTCTCTATTGGTATCACATACATAGATATAATTGTAAGTAGCAGCAACATTAGAATTCTTTAAAACATCCTTCTTTAAGAGTGCAATCCCTCCAAGATTTGAAGTGCTTGATGCTTTCCATAAGAAGGACTGTTTTGTATTCGTGCTTTTCGTTCTTTTCTTTCTTGACTCAACCTGTTCATAATTCCTTGCACTTGATAATAATGTGGTTAAATCATATTTATAAACACCTTTTTGACCATTCTTGATACTTGACACAATTAAATGACAAAATGTAGAACAGTTCTTGTCATCATTCACTTCTTCCTCAATACACATAACACTTGGTTGTTTCATTTGTAACATGAGAGAATTAATACATGTCAAGTGCATTTTTGAATGTAAATGAAAGATCTGAATACAATCGTTGAAAGTGTCGCTGATCAATATTAATCCGAGAGAATATGAAATTTTTACATCTTGAGGAGATTTCAAATTTATAAAACCTTCTTGATCATCTTGTTCTTCTTCTTCATCGGAATAATTTCCAAAGATATGAGTGACTTTAAAAAACATCGAAAAGGGTTTTGTTTTTCCTCGAACATGCATCATTTTGGATTTCAACAATGAATTCACTTCAGTGAGTGGTTGTGCATAAATTATAAAATTAGAGTCGAGATCAATGATGACTTGATTTGTGTGAGAAGAATGGCACAAGCATTCAGCATTCTCGGATGATGAGAAAATCATGGTGTTATTTTTTTAACCAAGATCTCTAGTCCAAAAACTTACAACAGCAACACATGAATTTCAAACAATGGAGAAGTTCGACTGTCTTTTACATTGGTTCACAGCACATTAAGAATCCACACGGATGGTAAACAGATCGTTGGATGCATCATAAGTCAACATCAAATCTCCAATGCAATGTCCCCAAATTCCGTACACTCCAGTTGTTCTGCATCTGTTCACCAGATGACATCCTGGATGAGCTACATTCATGGGTTGAGGTTGCACCGAAGTGGACTTTTCTTCTTCATCATAAATTTCTTTGTAACCTTCACAAATCAATGCAACCAGCTGTTTTTGAGTGAAACCTTGCTCTGGACATTTGAATTCCTTGATAGCTGGTGTTGAAAGAGGATAATCATAGTTCACTCGGATGGTTTGCTTGTCTGGGATGAGAGGGGTGGAATCGTCCAAGCGCTTGGAGTCATATTCGTAATGCGCAACTGAAACATAAACTCCTTCCACTGAAAATGTGGTGTCGTCTGTAGGAGGAAGTGTTGGAACGAGGTTGAGAATATTTTTGCAGGTGTTGTAAGCTGTAGGAGAGATTGTGCTATGAGGCATGATATCTTATTAATTTTTTTCGATTACAGAAAGAACTGGAACGATGTTTGTTTACAATAAACATTTTTTGTGTGTATGGAACGAACTAATAAAAGAAAGTGGATGCAAAAAGGAACTACATTCTCCATCAAACCTTCATTACAAGTTGCAATTTGACATGCATCATGGAATTGAATAAAATCTTCTTCTCCTTCACAGTCCATTTCTGCCAATTTGCTTCAAACAGAAGGTGCGGTCGCATTCCGACGAAAGAAAAAGCAACAGCAAAAAAAAATCACATCATCTCATCACTGGTTGGATTCTTTATCAAGAGTTGAGAAGCCTTCTGCATTGCTGAAGAAATACAACCATTGTTGCTGTGAGAATTTGTAGAATTTTGTTCGGAACATATCATCTTGCTGAGCTTTATAGTCTTATTGACATCATCAGCAATACATTATCTAATCAATATTCGAGTTCTTGTACACTTTTAATTTATTTGCCATAATATGTACTCTCACGAGCAATTACCGAACAAGTCGGTCTCATATTATTTATCATTACCTTCGTATTGGTTGGATAGGTTTTTTAGAGCAATTTTTTATTGGGTCGGATACATCACTGCTAGTGCTCCAATTTTGTTCATTGTGGCTGCCGTACTTTTTACAGGAGGTATTGGTGTCGGTATTATGAAAATTCAATTGATTACCGATCCTCAAAGCTTGTGGGTGAGTACCGATTTTTTGAGATTTTTCTCATTGACACAAATTTGGAAATGATATTGGTACTCCGATCGATTCGGTGATGCCTCTTCCATTTTATTGAATGATTTTAAAAGGTTCCGCCTGATAGCGACACTGTTAAGCAAAAGAATTATTTTGATGATCAATTTACTCCGTTCTTTAGAATTGAACAATTGATTTTTTTACCAAAAAACAAATCTGTGACAAATGCAATTAACAAGGAAATGTTTGAAGATGTTTATCAAATTCAAAAAGAAATATTAGATATTCAAATTTGGGACACTTCGAACCATTCATTACCACCCATTACATTGGATGATTTATGCTACAAGCCAATACCCTCCAAAGGTTGCATGATTCAGAGTCCAATGCAGTTTTTCCAAATGAAACAACAAAATTTAGAAAGATCTATGGACATTACTAAAACAATTTTCACATGTGTCCAAAGGCTAAGCTTGCAATCTTTCTGTATGTCTGACATTGGTATTCCAGTTTATGATAAACAAGTGTTTGGAAAGGCATCATACAACACCACCACGCAAACAGCAAGTGCAGATGCTCTTATTGTGACATACCTATTGAATAACGACAATGTAACGGCAGCGAAAGCTCTGCTTTGGGAGAAAGAATTTCTTAATATTGCTGCCAAACCTCGTAGCCACGTTCTTGTTTATAGATCTGCAGAGAGATCTGTTCAGGATGAAATTTCTGACGAGACTGGAGATATTTACACTGTGCTTATCAGTTATGCTGCCATGTTTGTGTATGTGGCAATTTCTTTAGGACAGATTCACCCTGTGAAATCAAGAATTGTGATGGGATTATGTGGAGTTGTCATTGTGATCATGTCTGTTGTGATTTCTGCAGGTATTTGTGGCTTGTGTGGTGTGCCTGCTACGTTGATTATCATGGAAGTGATGCCTTTCCTCATTCTAGCCATCGGTGTTGACAACATGTTCATTATGGCTAATCATTTGGATCAAGTTGCCAAGCTCAAAAAGAACCAAAATCTTACTATTGCTCAAATAATGGGAGAAACACTCGGAACTGTTGGCTCTTCAATGACATTGGCTTCAATTTCTGAATTTTTAGGTAAGGACTATGAAATGATCAAATTTTGTTGCTCACAATACTTTAGCTTTCATGTTGGGTAGTTTGACAAAGATGCCTGCTGTGCAAGCATTTTGTATTTATTCAGGAGTAGCTATCATCACTAACTTTGTGCTACAAGTTACTTGCTTCTCTGCATTACTTTCGTTAGATTTGAGAAGAAAATTAGGCCACCGACTAGAACTTGAACCAACAGTTGTGGTCACATCCCCATTCTTGAGAAAGGATTGGGTCAGTATTGCTGGTTTCATTAGACTTTTGATGAAGAAGGTCATTGCTCCAATTGTAACGTTTATTCCATTGAGCTTGTTGATCATTGTTGTTTTCTTAGGTCTTGCAGGTGCTTCCATCTATGCATCATTTTTCTTAAGCCAAGGGTTGGATCAAATAACAGCCCTACCAACAGGATCCTATTTGGGAGAGTATTATTTAATGCAAAGAACGTACTTGGATTTAGGTCCTCCTATCTACTATGTTACAGGAAATATTAATTACACTGATCCTAAAGTGCAAGATCAAATGTCAAAGATGGTCAACATTGTTGCAGAAACTGAGTACCTGGATCGAGGAAGTATTTTATTTTATTATGCCGACTTTAAGCAATGGGTATTAACAATTGAGTGTTCAAATAAGAATGTATCAGCAACGTCGTATGTACCACCTGAACATTACATTGAATGGCTGCAAGAGTTTCTAGGTCAACAAGCATGTTGCTCGTTCCGTGGGCAAACGACTCCACTTTGTGGGTTCCAATACAAGAATGACGTAAAGTTTTCTGCTGATGGAAAATCTATTGAAGCAGCTAGGTTAATGACTCAAACCAAAACCCTAGTGACTCAGGATGATTTTATTAACAGTATGAAATCGGCCTATTACACTTCCAACTATCTGGCAGATCCAAAGAAATATTTACCTCCTAATCAATGGGATAGCAACATTCCACTAAGCACTTTCCCATACAGCGTCTATTACATTTACTTTGCTCAGTATTTATATTTGCCTGAAGTTTCCGCAACGAACATTATGATTGCTAGTGGTGCAGTGTTTTTGACTACCTTAATCTTATTGGGCTCTCCTGTTGCCTCTATTTATGTATTAGTTTGCATTTTCATGATTTTATCAAACTTGTTGGGAATTATGTCCATTTGGAATATCTATGTCAATGCTCTCTCTGTTGTCAACTTGGTCATGTCTATTGGTATTAGTGTTGAATTTTGTGTACATATTACACGTGCATTTATGAGAGCTAAAGGTACTCACAAAGAGAGAGTCAAGAAATCAATGATAGGAATGGGTTCTTCCGTATTATCTGGTATTACATTTACCAAATTTATTGGAGTTGTTGTTCTTGCATTCTCACATTCTGAGATTTTCCGAATTTACTATTTCAAAATGTATTTGAGCATTGTCGTGTCTGGAGCGTTGCACGGAATGCTCTTCTTACCAGCCTTATTGACAATAGCAGGCCCTAGACAAGATCCTGTTTCTGCACTTAAGGGTGAAGATGATGATGAAGAAGAGGAAGATGCAGCTGAAATTGATATAGCAGGTGGAAGAAGTGGGTTTGTAAATCCACAACATTTAGATGCAGATGATGAGGAACAACAAACATCTCCAATTAACTACTCTAAGTAACCAGTTTGGGCTCTTGTGGTTTAGACATGCTAAATCCAAATTTTTATCATCTTTTCATAAATTATTTTGTAATTTGATTCAAGAATTAATTTCTCACTATGTGTGTTTAATGAGAGAGAGTGTAGTGAAAACTTGGAGTCTCTTGCGTCGTGTTTCAGATCAAAGAGTCATTCAATAATTTTTATAATCGCTACAACAAAGAAAAAATGTCGTCACCACTTGTTCCTCATCATGAAAGTTTTGATGAGGAGAACAAGCCTTCCAATGATATTTTACAACCAATGACAGAAGAAAATTCTCACATTCTAACCAACAAAACCGAAGCTAATCATCATTCTTCTCACGATAATCATCAACATCCTGTAAATATTCACCTCATCAAAACTTGTGCTGCTTCCGATGGTACTGAGGTGGAAAGCGAAACCTTGAATAATAATTTGAATATTCAACAGTATGATACTAGTGTCGACACTAGTATGGAGGGTGAGATGGCCTCATCATCCTCTCATTTCAATACTACCACCAGTGCATCAATCGAAATTCATCACGCTAATAATGAAAAAATTAATTTATTTGAAACTGAATTGAATTTTCATTCGGAAGCAGAAAATGGTACAAATTCTATAGCAGTGTCAACAAATCAAGTAGCTGCAGAGCCCAAAAACAATATAGAATCCGATAAGAAAGAAGAAGAGGAGGAAGAAGAGGAAGAAGAAGAGATTTCAACAAAACCAATACCACTCAATTCAAAAATTTCTCACACAAAGAGTGAAGGTCATTTAGATGCTTTTCTGTTGGCACGGAGATCACCAAATCGTAGTACTGTTACTGAACCTCAAACACCTACACTTCTCAAACAACGTATTATGCAAAAATATAAGCAACATATTCAACAACAATCCAGTTTTACCACCGATACAGATACAGATGACGATTTAGTTTTAACGAGCATGTCACAAAACAAATATTTTCGATTATTTTCTCTAATGATTGCAAAATTCTTTAGAATTCAATCTCGTGTGATAGCTCCTAGTGGAGGTTTACCACAGAATATAGAAACCATACGGAAGCAAGAAAAAGCTAACAGAATAATTCTCAGAGACATGTTAACCATGTTTATTAGCGGATTTTCAGTGTTTGGAATTTTTGCCATTGTCTGGTATAACATTTATTTCAATACTGATTTTTTAAAGACCATTTTGGAAGGCAGAGATTCATTAGTAGAAAGGTTTTATTTTTGTATCAAGTGTATATTCGTCAGTGCATTGATTTTCCCTTTAATATTTGTGGCCATTGTGCGAAATCGATTGTTTGAAGAAGCCAGTAATCCACTATTGACGAATCTTATCAACAAAGAGCATCAGCTGAAACTTGTCATTCTGCAACGAATATTCCAAAATTCCATTGAACAGTTTTTAATGCATTCGATGAGCTGTGCAATGTTGAGTTATTATTTACCCAGAGAAGACCTCAGAATTTTAGTGTTTGCCACTGTCACTTTCCTATTTTGCAGATTACTCTTTTGGATTGGATATTCCATACATCATTCATTGCGGTAAGTATTTTGATGGTATGAACACTTTTGCCATGTCTAACTTTTTCACATCATTTTACTTTTCAAAGTGCTCTCGGTATTGTCACAGGAGCTTTTTTCAACATATTGTTGCTCGTACTGTCTTGCTACTACATATCAACGCAAGACATTCTGCCATTTATTATTAATGACATGCTCTTGCCTATTTTTGTTATATTTTCAGCATAGACATGTGAAATCAAATCACTGACTTTAATAATTAAATTTTGTATGAATGGAATAGTGAAGACAAATCTCTAGCATAATCATTTCTATTTTGGAAGTAATAACAATTGTTGGAGTGTTGAGCACAAACATCTAGAACGTCAATGTCACAATTACAAAGCATTGGAAGTTGAATATTCATATTCTTAATAGTTTCCAAAAACTGCTTGTTAAGCTGTTTGAGATATCGTTTTTCCTCTCTGTATTCTTTCTTCTTTTGTTCTTTAGTAGTGGTCGTTCTTGGATTGGAAAGAACTACGGAATTAGCCGGACCTGTTTCAGGAATGGAAGAAATTTCATTATCTTCCTCAGAGTGTGAACTTGCATTGAGAGGAATATAATTTGGCTTATTCAGTAACGAGGATTGAGGTTGTTGAGTTGGCTCATCTAGGTACACAGTGAAAGAAGGAGCTTGAATGACAATCATATTTTCATCTTTGCTAATGGCTCGTTCATATTTTCCATACATTTCTTGAGATTTTGATGTGGCCAAGTTTGCCAAATTATATCTTGCAAAGTTTACAAAATCATTCACAGTTTTTTCATGAGACACCTCATCCACACTGCATTCATCCACTTCTTCAGAGGAGGTGGTTGTGTCACTCTCATGTGGAGATGGACATGATGAACTACTTGATCTATTATGAAGCATATCATCATCATGAGCGACATCTTCCTCAGTATCATCCATGGTTTTAGAAGGATCAGGTCTTGGAGTGTTCATTCCTCTTGGTGTATTGTTTCCTCTCGGTGTGTTCATACCTCTCGGTGTATTACTTCTAGGAGTACACGATCTTGGAGTGGTTGTTTTTGAGGATGATGACAAGGATGTTAAGGAGTGACTCTCTTCCGAAACTTGAGGCGAGTATTTCATATTTACATCATTCACTTGCTTTCCATACTCGCCCATCTTTTTTCGAAGTTCCTTTTTTCGAATCTTTTCTTTCTGTAATTTTTCAACTTCGATTTGTTTGGCCAGAATGGTTTCATTCTTTCTCTCCTGAATTCTTTGTTTGACCTTAATATTGAACTCTTTTAATTTCTCTTCCTTTCTGAGTCGTCGTTCCATCATGCTGTCCTGATAAAATTGGGCAGCATCATTCGCATTGGTAAATACATATTTACTTCCTTCTTCCCCAAGAACTTCGGTCGAGCATTTTTCAGCTCTTGCCACTCGAATGTTGTTATTGTGATGGAGGCAAACATGAAACTCTGCGTTGAATATAAATCTCTTTTTAGGATCGAGATCAATTTTTCCATTCGCAAGTTTGTGCTCTCTCACCAAATAATTATTTATATTATCTTGATTATCTGCCACATGTTTTAAAATTCGCTTCTTGGTGCAGCTCGAGAAGGATTCTCTTGTATTTGAAATAATTGGTTCGTTACGGAATTGTCTGACTCTTGTTGATGGAATTCCTGGCAGGCTTGAATGGCCCGATGAGGAAGATGCCGATGAGTTGGTAAACGAGGGAGCCGAAGAACCTGAATGGTTCATTTTCTTTTTATTACGTATTGAAATGATTTGAGGTTTTTGAACATGTCTAGGCGGGAAAACAATTAAAGGCGGGTAAGGGAAAAATTCTCTTCGAGAATTGGAATTAGTAACTCTCCAAAAAAGGTTTCCTAGCAAAAAAATGTTTGCAAAACCATCTCCTTCGCATCATGTCTATTCCCACCAACATCATAGCTACGGAGTTGGTCACCATCCACTGCATTTTGTTATATATGCCATGATTGCAATTTTGGTCATCATTATATTGTATTTTATTGGAAAATCGTTTGTTCTGTAACCCAATAACATTTTTATTTATTGATGCAGTTCCAACACGTGATCGATCATGAAATACACCGATGAGTTACTTTGTTCTTTCTACATTCGAGCCAATACAGTGCGTAACTCCTTCTTTCCCATTCTTTGCCCATTCTGAAACATCAAGCTTGATACTGCTCTTTTTTTTAGTTTTGTTTTTAGAAGATTTTGGAGGGGAAGAACGCACGGAATCCTGGCCTTTGCCTGACGTTGTTGCTTTGTTTGGACTAGTAAAAGTCGTAGGGTTCTTAGAATCATAGCTTGGATCTTGAGAAGTATCGTTCGCACAATCTGTCTCTATCAAGTCACAAGTTTGAACTGAATCATTCACAGTGTTCCATTCATTTTGATTGGTATTTTTCATGGGAGCTTCTTCATTGTGCAGCTTGTCATCGTGACGCTCAATGGTAATTTCATTTGTTTCTTCATCGATCGATGAATTCAAGGTTTGTTCTGAGGTGATATCCTCTTGTTTTACAGGTGGAGAGGAAGAGTTAAAATCGTCATTGGATTTTGATACTTCTTCGGTTGCTTGCAGAGTAGCATCGTTATTCGTTTCAGCACAAACCATGTGCATGGATGGTTCACTATCTTCCTCGATGTTTTGAACTTTTTCATCCATTGGTTCTGTTGAGTTTGCATCCAATGACGTTTGTAAACCATAGGATTCTAACTGTGGTTGTTCTTGCTTTGGATTATTATCCAATTCATTTACAGTGGAAACACTTTCTGGCACTACATTCTTGACTGAAGTCAACTCTCCTGTTAAATCATCTGTCATTTCATTGGACGGACTCGATGGTATTCTATTCGAATCTGGCAAATCTTGAGCAGTATTTGATGAACTTTCCACAAGCTGTTCCTCTGACAAGGTAATTTTTTCGTCGAGTGGAGATACTGTATCCAAACCAATCGTTTCTGAATGCTCCTCACTCGCTTTGGTTGGTTCAGCTGCGCTTTTTTCAATCACCGATGGGTCCACTTGGTCTGTTTCATTCACCTTGTTGAGTGGAGATGCGTCTACTTGGCTCGGTGTTGGTTGCTCATCATCATGTTCAATAGTAGCAGAATCTTTTGATTCAGTATTTTCTGTCACAGTAGGCAAGACATGGTCATCACCATGTTCAGACGCTTCTACGGATTGAAGATGTTGCATGACATCATCCTTCGTGGTTGTTGGTACAACTTCTTCGTTGCCTTCATGTTGTTCACAGAGGTCTCCGAAGTTGACTCATTGGTCGTCTCTGTTTCTAATTGATTGTTCACCAAAGCTTGAGTCGTTGTCTCCTCGTTGGCCATTGGAGGATTATCATCCTGTGTTTCGGTTTCAGTGAATTCCAAGATTTCACTTTTTTGCTCTTCACAACCATGAAGGTCAGAACTGCAATCTGAGCAAGCAACGGTTTCCTCTCCAGAATGATTTCGGGTGTTGTGGCAGGATGGTAGAATGGGGTGAAATTGGTGTTTCGGATAATGTATTATTCTCTGCTTTCTCACATTCTGTGTTGTGTGTTGAATTATCCAAGACAATATTCAGACATGTTTCACAAGTTGTCCTTGTTGAGGTTTCTTCTTGTTCCTTTCCCTGAAGATCAGTGGATGAACCATCTAAAGGAGATCCATCCTCCATTTCTTTGTCTGATTTCTCTGATTTAACTTCTTGATGACTTTCCATCGAAACTTCACCATATGACTCTGTTTGTTGAGAAGAGCTTGTAGATAATGATGGAGTTGAATTATTAAGATCTGTGGTCTGTGAAGTATTATGATCATTTTCGTTGAATGAGCTGTCTTGAGTATCTTTTTGAGTGATTGCCAATTGAGAAGCAGATGTATTTGTTTGTTGAATCTCTTCAGTAGATTTCTCGGTATTTGCTTCATCTGAAACAAGGATATTACTTTGTACATTACTTTCTTGCTTCAATGAACTCTCTGTAGGAGTTTGTGGATCGACACTTGATGATGTTTCTGATTGATGACATGTACTTGTTGGTTGTATCTCACCAGCAGGTTTTTTCATGGTACTTGTTTCATCTGAAACAGAAGTCTTGCATTCTTGCTTATTGGTCTCTGAATGTGTAGTATCATTATTTGCAAGATCTTGATTGTCTGTGCTGGCTGGATCCTTATCTGTAGCTTGTGAGGTGGATGAATGATCGGAGGTTGTAGAACCAGGGACATCCATAGTTGTGGTAGGGTCGAGATTTTCGCAAATGTCACTTGTCATTTCAACTGGATGGTCACTGAAATTGCATTGTTGAATGAGTAACAATGTTACTATTCCAATGAATAGAATGGGTGCAAAAACAAAAGGAACTTGTTTTGGACTCAACAATACAAGTTCTTTTGTACCTGGTTCCGAACACGAATGCCACAGCAATTGAGCAAGAGTCTGGTTATTCATTTTACCATCCCTATTCTCTGTTGACTGAATTCCCCACGATTCAATCACTTGATTGTAGTAAGCACCAATAATCTCCTTCCCAATGTCACGATTGGTTTCATTATGACGTACTTTGAGAACATGTGTGAACACAATATGGCTCGCACAAAGCTTGATTGCATTTGAAATACATGTGAAATTTCCATCACAAGCAAGGTAGGTTTCTATTGGGAAATTGCCCATACCCTCTTGAACGTTGACAGCTTCAGCAGAAGCAATATTCCACAATTGACTTGTTGACATGGATTTGAACAATTGAGAGAAATTGCCTTGGATCCATTGTTTTTGATGTGAATCATTAGTATCAATAATCCCATGGCATGTCTTCAAACTGGATGATATTTGAGTAAACGATGCGGGGTAGTGAAGCTTGGTCTTGTTTGGAGAAATCTTCTCAAAGTCTTCAATGACTTGATTGTAGAGATGATTTCTTGCCAATCTGAAACAACATTCAGCTTCAGAGTTGTGTGTAGAAGAGTTGAGAGAGGAACGAAGTGGATAAAAATAGAGATTGGATTCGAGACATCTCTTTAGGAAGGCATGTCTTTGATCATCGTTCATGATAGCAGTAGTGTTGGATTGGGTTGTTAATCCCACCGCTGATCTGTTTTCTGGGATGGAAGAGTTTGGAGGTGCTACTGAAGAAGAAGATGGTGATGCCTTCACCACATGGATGATCACCAACACCCAATAAAATACACAAAGAATGAGAGCCCAGCAACTAGCACGTGTGAAACAACTGGACATTTTGGTCGTGGTTTTGTGGTTTTTTAGCGTGATGGTCTCTCACAAATTTCTTGCCCGGAAATCTCAAATTTTTGAACAGGAATTTGTGATTCGTGAGGAACCTCTTTTGGGATTTTCACTCCATTTCTAGTTGATGGAGACGAATTGATTTAAAAACTTTGAACATCAAGTCAATTTGAAAAAACAATGGAACACAAGAAGGAGAATAAATACATTGGAAACATGTTGTCATGGAGTCTCAAGTGTTGGTTGGACAACCTTTTCATTGCTTCTTAATATTGTCTCCTGTTGATATGTTTTGATACAACAAGGTCAATGAGGGTAGAACTTTCTGAAGAGTTTCGTCATCCACAGCAATCTTGATCATCTCTCGATCAAAGCACATGATACAACAATCTCGAAAGGCTTGTGGATCCAATGTGGAGCTTTGCCTTTTTACCTTTCTTGAGGAACCAGTAGCATTGGCTTTCGAAGGGGAATTGACAGCAGTCGAACAATGGGAGTCCTTTGAAATCGAATAATTCTTTAGGGTTTGATATTTGTTCTTGAGGTCCTTTAAATCCTCCTGTAGCTTCTCTAATTGTTTTTCGAGATCCTCCTTTTGTTTTTGCATATGTGTGAGAATTGCTTGCTTTTCATCTTGGAGCTCTTCAATCGTCTTTTCCAGTGATTCTGATCTCGAAATGAATTCCTGTTTGGCCTTTTCTAACTTGTTTTCCAATTGCTTGATATGTTCGTTGAGCTGTATTTTTTCATGGTAAAAGGTTTCTTCTTTTGTTTGGTGACAGTCTTTAAGTGTTTGCATTTGTTGTTGTAACTCGTCAATGTTCTTCGTTTTTTCATTTTCCAGTTCATCAAGATTAATCTTTAACTTTTCACAACGCTGCTTTACAGACTCCAACTCCAAGGAAGTATCGTTCACTCTTTTGGTGAGTTCCTCAATTTGTCGATCTTTTACTTCAATTTGTTGTCCCTTCTCGTGACATTCACTCTCAATCTGTTGCTGAAGAATGATATTCTGTTCTATTTCTTTTTTTGTTTTTTCTAACTCCATTTCAAACTCTAACTTTCTCGCTTTTAGTTGAACCATCTCACTATGGAAGTTCTCCATCTGTTTTGTGAGTGTGTCATACTTCTCCTCTGCTTCCTTGTTTTTGAAAGCAAGATTTTCATTCTCTGTTTTAATCTGTTGAACATTCTCACTTTCTTTCATGAAACGTTCATGAGTCTCTCTCAACATCTCAAGAGTTTGTGCAACTTTTTCTTTCAAATGGTCTCGCTCCTTGATCGTAATGTTCAACAGTGATGCTTGTTGTTCAAATTTGTTCTGCCAACAGACACACTGATTTCTCAACTCCTCCATCTCTTTTTCTGTAATGGATTTGGAATCCTTAAGCTTTTGTTCGGCCTCACAAAATTGTAATGCAAAATAAATTGTTCGTCCAAATAGGTCTGAAAACTTTTGGAACTCTTCACATTCGAGTGGTGTAGATGAGGTGGTATCGTCAGCCTGGGAATTCGCCTCATAAATCAAGAGCCATTGCTTTACAATTTTATCATCGAGCTTCTCTAAAGCATGTTTTTCTTCGGGTGATAATTGAAGTTGTTTTGCACACTCTTTTGCGACTCGTTCAGGAGTAATGTGATGAGAGTGTGGTTCAAAAGGTGGGACTGTTGACACAGAGGGTATGCTGGCTGCTGTATTTTCAGGAGGTTTGATTTGTTGTCCGTCGTCTTTGGAATGAGCGTCCTCGCTACTTGTTTCAATCACAAGTTGAGAACTTTGGACTTCTTTTTCTTCAATTCCATCGTTCGCTTGTACTGACTTCTCCATTGTCTTGGAAAAGGGAAGATAGGTTCTTATTGAAAAGCACACAATTCCAACAAGACAAATTGTGATGATCATGATTGAGGCATGTTGTTGGCTCATCATTGGGATTTGGTTTGCTTCAAGGTTTGGGGTGAATTTGTTGTTACTCGTATTGTGATGTACTTTTTCCTCACAGGAAGACCAGAGCATTGAAACGAGAGTTTGATCCATTCCTGAGAACCTTGAATTGATGACTTGGTGGTAATACGTGTTGATGACTTGTTCACCATTGTGGTAATCATTGGGTTGAGTTTTGAGATTGTGTGTGAAAATGATATGACTGGCACATAACTTCATCATGATCGACACACATGTGAAATTTCCTTCACAGACGTCATGGATTTGGGTTGGAAACGTTCCCATTCCTTTTTGATCCTTGAGCGTGTCAATCGAAGAGAGATGCCAAGAAGCTTGTTTCGAGAGGAATAATTGAGAGAAGTTTCTTTGAAGCGAGTATTTTTGTTTAGGATCATCGATATCAACAATCCCTTGACAAACTCTCAATGTGGAAATAATCTGCGCAGGAACGGAAGGATAGTAAAACTTGGTGTGGTTGGCGATTGAAATACTTTCAAATTCTTCAATCACTTCCTTGTAGAGATGATTTCTTGCTAATCTCAAACAACATTCATCGTTCGATGAAGCTACCGATGTCCTAAAAGGATAAAAACGCTGTCTAGATTCCACACAATTCTTTAAAAAATCAACTCTTTGTTCGTCATTCATGACAACTGTTGTGTCAATCACGGTACTGTTTGCTGTGGATGAGAGCATTGTTGCGAATGACGCAGCTCTCACAGCCGTTGCAGCCTCCAGCCAAAAGAGGACACATAGAATGAGAACGCTGCAAGCATAAGCGAGGAGAGACATTTTTTTTTGTGTGATCACGTCAAGATTGTGATTTTTTGGAATTCTATTATTGTGCAGCCCTCTTTAGGAATTTACAGTTTCAGCAGTTCAGAACATTATTGCCACCTTAATGGCAACAACAGTCCAAGGAAGAAATTTTAAGGGATGAGTTAAAGCTCACCTGTAACACACTCATGCACGAATGACAGGTGTTTGCGGAATCCTATCACTCACCGCAATCCCTATTACACGCTGTTACAACAGAGTCTTGTATCTGCGATGTTCTCCAAATGTTCCATGGTAATTTTGATTTTCAGAAAATAAAAAAGCAAGTGATGAAACGAGTCCTCTGTGGGCTTTGGACCCACTCAACTGTTGAATGAATTGTGTTTTGTAAAACGAGATTTGATGATGATGGAACGAACTGCTGCATAGGGTGCTTTGAACTTGGCGACTGCCAACACCCAAGTCGTGAGATGATGATACGGGTAACGGTTTTTTCGCTTGAAAAAATATTCTTTTCTGCTTGAAGGCTCGCATCTGCAATTTGGTGCTTGATCATCATCAAACCTAAAAATTGTTATTAAATTTTATAACAAAAGATGGGAGCACATAAAAGCAAACATTCAAAGAAAGATGGAGATGACGATATCAAACAGGTAGAGGATAAAAACAACAAAAACGGAAATTCTAACAGCACTACATCAAAAACAACAACGGAAGAGGATGTCTTTACAATTCCGTTACCTTCATTGGATGAAATGAAGAAAGTTGTTGAACAGAAATTGTTGACAAATGAGATTTACAGCGCCAAATTGAAATCAAACCGAGCATTGCTGGAGAAGTTCAGAGATGCTTTATGTGTCAAGGAAGAATTAATCAAAACTTACTTGTCAACCGATTGGGCAGAAACCAAGAAGCTCACCATGGACATGATGGGACAAGTAAGTGACCAGTCAAGCGGCTCCGCATTAAAAAGCACAGTGAGCAACAATCTAGCCAGTTCAGACGTAGGAACAGTGGTCAACAGGGAAGAAGACGAAGATGACAATGAATTGGATGTATTGGATGAAGAAAATAATCCAGAGGTTGTCAACATGCAGAATGCCAAGATCAAAATCAAATTTATAGTTTCAGAAGTATCTCACACAAAAGGAAAAAGAGCAATCAGAAGATTACTCTCTCCTGTTGTATCTGCTTTTGATGATACATTCCCAGAGTAAGTTTTCTTCATCAAACATCAATTCGTTTATTAATCATAATATTCTAAAGACTGGGAATGTTTCACAGTGCTTTGCTGATTGGTCCTTGGAAATTAGAATATAACAACAGTGCTTTGGTGGTGGTAAGTATTTTTCTCGATTGTGAACTCAAACAAATTATTGATTGGAAATATCAGCCAAGAAAATGTGTCAGCACAGCATCTTTAATAACTGCCGACTTGGGGTCCATTGTACTTGATGATAGTCTTGATGTTTTGGTTTCTAAATTAGCTGACGTTATCATTCGATGGAATACAATCATGTTTTACAAAGATCATGGAGGAACGGGAAGATATGGTAATTGCCAGGACTTTGTTGACTCTGTTTTGAAGGCAATAGGTGTTAGCAAAGACAAGCTTTACCAAGGCCCTATGGCCGAATTCTTAAAGGACATGAGATCCAAGGGTAAATGTGATCTCGTTTTCAAGATGGATTCTGCTTTTAGAAAGAAATTTAACAGAACAGAGACAGAAATAGCCTTTAAAACTCATCTTGAGTTGGATACATTTGTGAGTGAATTAATGGAAATTGATGATGACTTTCAGAAAAATCATCCTCTGGAATATAATTTCTTGAAGAGCTTTGATAGATCTTTCTGGCTTAAGCATTTTAGGTTCCCAGAAGATCCAAACCACAAACCACTCCACAAAGAAGAAACAGACGACGAATCCATGACAGTACAGGTTCCTTGTTGTCCTTTCAAGGACCCTCGAGAAACATATTCGCTAATATTAAATTAATTGCAGCATCGTTTCTTAAAAACATCCATCTCCTTCAAACAAGCTTCTACCATCAAGCTTTCTCTCGAATTCAAAGAGTTGCGACTAAATCATAAAGTTCCTCGCTGTCCTTAAATCTGAAGAAGCCAAAGCACTGCATCTCTCAGAATTTTGAATAGGTACAAGAATATCGCTGGACTATCCAAAAACATGGCTCCAATATTATCACTTGGATTTGATTTCAAATAACTTGTCTGAATAGCAGCCCCTCCCTTTGACAAACCATATAATCCAATATCTTGATATTGAGATTTTACAAAATCAATAGCTCCCAACAAGTCAGCACATTCCAAACTTCCATAAGTGCTGTATGATTTGTCTGGAAGAATGGTACTGTGATATTCCTTTTCAGAATTTCCATGATTTCTATATTCAAAAGTTAAAAAATCATATTCGCCATTTGGAAATGCAGAAAGTAACATTTGGAGAGGAACCATCACTGTGAAATGATTTTGTCTCATTCTAAAGCCATGGACGAGAATGATAATCTTTTTTGTTGTTGTTTTTGATGATGGATTTTGTGGATTCACAATTCTATATAAACGACCATTGAGGTTCACCTTATATGGAATATCTGAAGTTTCTCTACTTTTGAAAGTGACGATTTGTAATTTCTATAGAGTCCTTTAATTGAATGGTCTTGTGAGTCAATTCTTGTAAAAATTCGCTATTTGCAATAGAGTTTTTCCAATTCACATAGGTCTGTACTCCGAAAATTGAATTCTCTCTCGATTTTAAATATCCTTCAATATAGAATTTATCGGAAAGTGAGAACATGGTACATGATATGACTTCAAAAGCGAGGATTCATTCTCTTAACAATAGACTTCAACAACAAGAATTTCATTTGGAGAATTTGAGAGAATCACACGACTTGATAGTCTCTGAAATTTCACATCTCCAACATGAAATCCTATTAGATGTGTATCGTAGGCGTAATATGATTTCAGTTGTTCCAATCTCTCTACTAAATCATTTCTATATTGTTGATAGATCCAATATGTTTTGTTGAAATGAAGTCTATTTACATTATTTGCCTCTACAATCGGAACACCAACGCTTTGATTATCTTAATGAATGAAAGATGTATGAAAATTTAATTGTTGTTCTTGTTGTAGATAATTAGAGAAGAGATTGGCATTGAAATTTAATGAACTAGGAGTTACAGATCCCTGAAATTGATGATGACTCTTCATCAATGATGATCCAATCTTTCCCATGAAAATGAAAGAAGTCTTGTTGCCGATTTACTGCTTCTCATTTTTGTTTTTGTTGTTGAGTAAAATTTTCGTTGTCATTTTCGCAGTTGGCATTGAATTATTAACAACTTTCTTTTAATGGAGAGAAGTTTTAAACAATTTATTGCGTAACGAATTTCTTTAAGTAGCTCTTAAAAGTATCTATATTGTTGACCATTACTTTTAAAGTATTATCCAATTCTTGAACCAAATCATCAAGCAGATTGTTTGAAGAACATATTGCTCTTATTTCTTCTGCCACTTCTTTTGCAACTGTCTCTAGATGTTGCAACGGACCACTAGTCAAAATCTCAAACGTCAATGATGCTCGTTTAGAAACATTACAAGAGCGCAAAGGATACCTAAGGCATGGATGAGCAATATAGTATTTATACTTTCCATTTCCAAGAAGAAAGTATTCAAAATCACAAGACGTAAAATCCTGTAGGCTGCATCTAAAATCCAGGACGATAAGTCTCCTGTTTGGAAGTAAGAAACCAAAATTTTGATAATTCATCAGCAAATCGGTCAAAAAGAACATTCTGCATAGAAGATCTATCATAGTCACCTGATCAATAAATTCTTTTGCGATTTGATCCAGCTGAATATTGTCAACATCTGTTGGAGCGTTGAGTTTTCTTTCTCTCTCCAGAGTGGCCACATGTTTTACCAAGTTCCCACAAACAGATTCGAGAACCTTGTGGTGTTCTGATGACGCATCCACAATTTTATCGAATTCGTAGAAGCTGCCATATTCATTAGCGTCTAAAGTTGCTATATAGAACTCTTTGCAGTCTCTCCCAATAAAATGCACTTCAGGCATAAATCTTAGCCTCTCCAAAATTTTGTACACCATTAATTCGCACAAGTCCACCTTGTCTCTTCCTGTAGAATCAGAAATTGTGTTACCTTGTGAATGAGTTTTAACGTAGTATTTTTGTTTTTTCTCTTTTCCAAAGTGACTATGGACTTCCAAGATACAACCCATTTGAACACCTGATTTTTTGGGATATGAATGGATCATTGCATTTCCTTGAAATAAATTTGTAAAATAATGTTTGGCGCGTTGTTCCAATCTTTCCAGTTCCAGATCGGGCAAACTGTCTACAATCTTGATCACCTTAAAAGTCAAAAACGCTTCGTCTTTGCTTGTCGCTACTTTTTGCGTTCTCTCTTTTAACCTTCTGAGCTGCAATTGTGTACTTGCTGAATCAAGAGGGCATAACTTCTGCTCGAATACATCCCACTTAATACTCCAAGAATCAACTACTTCAGTTCCAAAAACATCAACAAATGTTTTTTTAAACAGCCATATGGACATGTCTTCAGTTAGCTTTTGACCTGGAGTATTTTTTGAGCGCGTAAAAACATTTGATGTTGGTGTAGATCGAATGCTCGTATGAGAATAGTCGTCAGTTTGCTCATATTCCGAAGGCTGAGCTTCATTCAAAGCTTTTCTTTGTGGCGTGGAAGGGAACATTTTTTTATGTGCAGAAAGTGCATGGCGGCATCTGAACCGTGAAAATCTCAACAGTTCTGGGTTGATTGCTTAGACATGTTCAGTAGTGGAGTCGGCCTCAGTAATAATTGCTTCATTCCTCATATTTGTATGATGACAATTTCAAACTGAGATAAGAAAATGTAAGAAGATGCTAACGGTTTCTTTTTGTTTAGCCTTATTAAGACACAAAAGGTGAGTAAAGTCGATATATATCTCAGTTTAGAATGAGGAAGGAAACCTTCATAATTTCTCGGATACCTTATCGTCTGGATGGAGAAGGAAAAGGAATGTATTTTGATCATTTTACAATTCAACACGCTACCCATATGAAAACATGTTTGATAAAGCCTAACAAGGAGATGCAATTGTTTTTAATGAACAAAATTATGAGCCATAATAATAATAATCGGGATGATTTTAATAATTTATTCGACAAGAGAAAGCATCATTCTCCGGATAGCAGCAGAATTAATAGGAGCAACAAAGTGGTCATTCCTTCAATGATAATGGAAAATCATAGTAATGGAAAACAACGAAAAGTGAATCATCACTGTTCTGGTGATAAAATGCACCAAAACAAAGCATCAGGTTCATCTCATCGAGACTTTCGATCCATTTTGAAAGATGCACTACAAATATTTCAAAGTTATATGAACAAAATTGAAGTTACTTCTCGTTTACCATTTGAATGTGAAAAAAGAAGAAATGGTTTACCTGAAGTCGTATCTATTGATAATCCTGATATAACAATAGTATCTGAAAAGAACATTGGATTATTGATATTCACAGGACACACGAGAAATACCACAGACACATACACTGATCCTGAAATTTTATTAAGATTTCAATTCGAAAATCATTTATTGAAAAAAGCACTTTTAAGAGGCCAACCTGTTTTGTCTATTTGTTCAGCGTGTTGGAGATTGTGGAAACATTTGGGTGGTGTGGTTGATGGTATTTCAAATATCACTGATCAACAACATACCAACGGCATGGTAACTATTTCAAATGGACAAATAGTGAAAAATCAAAATTTTGAACATGAGCTACTGCTTGATATCGTACATTCAAGCGATATTTGTGAGCCCACTCAACTACCACTACCCTCTTCGAATGTTTCTATTTTGAAAAGTGCTTTGTTTAAGAAACAATCAGATCAACTAGCTATTATCAATGTAAACTCAATGCATTGGATGGCTCCAAAGTATGAACTTGAAAATGAAGAAAAATCAGACTACTTTAAATTAGTTGACGTGACAGCTGTCTCCCTTCCTGATTTCTCCATAGAGGCTTTTGAATTGCGTTATGGTAGTCCTGTGGTTGGTTGTCAGTGGCATCCGGAGGCATATGTTGCAAATAATAGGAGGGAAGAACAGGAAAATTTACTGAAATACATGTCCCTGGCAGGAGAGACTTTTTTGCTCAAACAAGCTTGTCTCCAGCAGTTGTTAGAGCACTCAAAACATCAACTTCACGTTTCTTTGTGATTGCTGTACTTTTAAGTTCGTCATTAATATATGGATATTTTAATGTTAGAAAGTAACACTTGTCTATGAGTTCTGTAATTGTTTTATTGTTTCCTGTTTGGTTGGTTGAAGATCACCAAACATAGCATTGTCTAAAATATTTGAACCTCTACGACATGAAAGAAATCAATATCTCATGCTCGTCCTTCAATTAATATTTGAGAAGACCAGAGCATTGAAACGAGAGTTTGATCCATTCCTGAGAACCTTGAATTGATGACTTGGTGGTAATACGTGTTGATGACTTGTTCACCATTGTGGTAATCATTGGGTTGAGTTTTGAGATTGTGTAAAACGAGATTTGATGGAACGAACTGCTGCATAGTTGGTGCTTTGAACTTGCCAACTGCCAACACCCAAGTTGTGAGATGATGATACGGGTAACATATTCGCTAATATTAAATTAATTGCAGTCACCGTTTCTTAAAAACATCCATCTCCTTCAAACAAGCTTCTACAATCAAACTTTCTCTCGAGTTCAAAGAGTTGACTAAATCATAAAGTTCCTCGCTGTCCTTAAATCCTTGTTCAAACTTTGCCAAACAATTTCCAATAAGCTTTGAGTTGACAGACAGAGACTGGAGAGCAATTTCTTTGTCGTCAGTTGTGCTATTGGATTAGATTGTGTAATTTTTGTTGACTCAAAATATCGCCTGTACAAATCATCGTTTGATGCCATTCCATAATATGTATGATATTTGGATTCGTGTTGTTGTGCGTTTTGCAAATTTCTCATCTCTAGCAAAATATCTGCGTAGTAATACATGAATACAGAGTGAAGAAATATTTGTCTTTCTTCCCTTGTTCTGAGTTGTGCGATTAATCGTTGAAACTCAATAGAATGCTCTGTAAAATAGGAAATATTATCTTCGAAAAATTGTAAAGTGTTAAATACAAATGGAGTGAAATTGGCATTTGGCAACACTTTCTTTCTTAATTTCTGCAAATATTGTTGCTTTTTTACAAGATACTCCATATTTGAGAGAGAATTTTTCCTTTCAGATACTCTTTCGTCTTCTTCCTGTTTTTTCATTCTTTTTTCTTGTTGTTTCAACAACATTGTAAGAAAATCCTTGGTGCTTGACTTCGGAGTGGTTGTTTTGCTCTTCTTTTCATCTTGTAATTGCTCCAAAAATTCCTCAATGAATGGTGCTTTAAAATTGTACTTTTGTGATTGGCTTTCTGCTGCCAATTTATTTCCTATTGATGAAGTACTATTATCACTTTTCGGAGATTTCCGATGTGCATGACTAGCGCTTTCGTTTGATGATGAACCTTTGCTTGATGATTTCTTCATTTTTTTTGTAATAGCAAAATGGATGGGGAGAACGTCATCAATAGGAAATAATTTGGCAACTGTGTGTCCTTTTGTAAAGATCTATTTTAGTTTACGAGTTCTTGAATTCCCAACCCTAGAAAAAATGTCTTCGTCATCATCATCAACTCCCGAAGAAAAGGTAACCCTCAATATTCGATTGTTGGACGGAACACCACTGCAAGTTATCTTCAAAGCAGAGGCTAAATTATCAGTCGTTCAACGTTATGTTCAAGTCAAAGCAGTTGAACTCGAAAAACATAAATTACCTTTTGGATCCGCATATATTGAAGACAATGGAATTGAATTTGAAACCTTGATGCCAAAGAAACGATTTCACTTTGAAGAGTTTCCGAATATTACTTTGAAAGAGGCTGGTTTATTTCCTAAAGCTGCTCTCGTTGTGGTACGAGTAAATAAAGATCCTAATGATTTGAAGAGAGGAAAAGGAACGATTGCTGATGCTCAAAAAGGAGATGGTAAGTGTGGCTGATGATCAATGTTGATGATTAAATATTATTTCATGTGGCGATCAAACAATTTAAATTTATTGCGTATTTATTGAATTATTAATCTCGGATCACAATCAATATAATAATTATTAAAATATGTTGTGAAAGTAATCCATCATGCACATCATGTTCGGGGTGACAATCATGAAAAGAAACAAGCCTTCGCTGAGAAGCAACGCTTGGAGGAACAAGAGCAAAAGAAAAAGGAAGTTGAAGAGAAGAAAAGGGAATTAGAAAAAATTAGAGCTCAAATTAAAGAAGATAAAGATACGAGACAAACTGTTGATTGGGTGGGAAATGCATTAAAAAAGGATAAAAAGGATACCACAAAGAGTGCAAATATACCGCCAAGTGATGATCAGTAATACTATCACGTTCGTCGATTTTAAATCGTGAATTCTCAAATTATTTGTAAATATGCCAATGATGATCAAAATCCAAGTGAAATTTTCAACTAGCTCCGTTACTTTTCCAATGCTTCTTTTGCTTTCAAATATTCCTCAAACATTTGTTTTCGTTGCTGTTTGGTGTAGGTTTGCTCAAAACTTGTTGGCCATCTTTCAACATCGACATACTTTTCGTCCATAGGAGGAATAAATAATCCAGTTTTTTCATCATGCTTTAAAATACTTAATAAAAACAATCCTTCACGACGTTTCCTCTGTATAATCCTATCATCATAATGCCGAGCAATATATCTATTTTCAAAGAATTCGATAGTCATTCCTACTAAAAAAAGATAAAACCCTCCTACAACAAAATAAAACCAAGGAGTGGTTGTAGGAGGTCTTAATTTAATTTTTCCATCTCGTGATTGCCCCGTACTCAATAAATAGAGTCGATCGTATAATTTGGAGAGGAAAGGCTGTTCCGACATTTTTTTAATAATTATTATTTAACCATTTTATTTCATGAAACAAATTTTCAAATCCAAAAAATGGCTCAACTGGAACACACAGATCGTTGTGTGTGTATTAATTGTGGACACATTCAACAGCACACTCCGATCTATTCAAAACAAGGACAAAAGGATATACGATTAAATCATTGTGAGAAGTGTAATGGTTTGATAGATAAATTGGTGGAATATGAAATGACAACGATTGTATTTGATTTACTGTTGCTGAAAACAAAGGCTTTTATTCACGTATTATTTAATTATTTGGATAGATCTAAAATTGTGAATGTACGTGTATTCTAGCGTTAAAAAATTGTGAATGTTAGAAAATTAATTTTCGGAATTTAGTATAATTTATTACGATTAAGTCTATTTTCTGTTTTGGTCCGAACATGTTAGTATTATTTTATATGTGGTTGATATACAATTATTTTCATTGACTAAAAAGATTTAAAATTTTTGATGATTACCAAGAATGAAATTACTGATCTGTGTGATGGATTTTATGTCTCTGAATCCAATAACCAATTGATATTTCTTGAGAATGCGTCACTTTTTTACTTATTTTTCTTTTTCATGGCTCTTGAAGTGATCTTGTCTGTGATATTCCTTCTCTTGGCATCATTTGTATTGACTCCACGCGGAATGTATGTTGAAAACGTTGTTTATCATTAATTTGAAATTATGTAAAAATCATTCGTCACTACTAGTAAGCAAAAGGTTCACGTATTAATTATGGGAACACTATTAAGTTCGTTTACAGAGCTCTGGAGATTACCTCTGATTATTTGGAAGAATGAGATTGAACCTCTTTCGCCTTACATTACCTTCTCAATAACTATTTATAGTTTTATTACCATCATGACTGTGTGTAGAGTGGTTTTATTTGAAGTTGGAGATTTCAACAAGGAAAATCCTTCTCCAAGACTCAAGTGGATATACTCGTTCGTTGTTACATTGATAAGCTTTTTATTCAAAATTGTATTGTGTGCCTTAGTTATGGAGTTGCTCATGCAAGAAAGGAGATGTATTTCTCAATATCATGATTGGTCATTACTAATGGAGCTTGTCAAGCATATTTCATTTTACAAATAACTTTAAAGTCATGTTCCACGGTTTATCTTGACGTTGAATTTAGGTTGAATGGATTGTAGCTTTAGAGTCTACTGAAAGCACTCCTATGTTTGAAACTGTGTCTCCACGTTGGTCACAACCAAAGCCAGGACACTCTAGTTCAAATGATGCTACTTTGTTTGAATCAATAAATATTTATTGGGCAACGATTCATTTCTCCATGCTCAACAGTTGTTTGAACTTCTACTTGAAATATTTACATTCAGCCTTCTCAATGGTTCCTTCTCCATACCCAGGTAAGTTACGAGCTGCGGGAAGTTGAGAAAGTCTCACTGCTCTATCAATAGAATCCTTAATCCATGGTGCCTCCTTATCAAAATCAGTCAAATCAGTAAATTGATTCAAATCTTCAAATTGATTTGAATTTCTCAAATAATTTCCCCACAAAAACTCCACAAACTCTTTTTCACTTTTACCATAACCACCTGCTCTTCGATCAAAATAACTCAATGATCGAAATGGATCGTTTTTCAAATACAAAATCGATGTGGGAAGAGAATCTGGAAAATCCTTCAAAGGTCTTCCTCTTTCATCATTGGTATAGGTCAAATTATTTCGTACCATGGTACTCCAAAATGTATTTCGATCCATTCTTGAATAATCTTTCTGAATGGTTGCATACACATAACGATCTGCCAGGTCTGCATACGAATGAGGTAAATCCTTACTCTTCAATAAGGTAATGGCATACAACAAGTGATGATGATCCGTAATATATAATGAAATATTCGAATGAGTATGTTGATTATTATTGTAATATCCCAAAACCACTGGTACTGGATTCTTTTCTAAATGATCATAAAAATCACTTGTGGAATCCTTTTCCAAAATATTCAACAAGTGATCACGTTTACAAGCAGCAGCTACATAACCGACTGGAAGTTGTGTTGGAAAAGCATCAATGACTTTCATGAGACAAGTATCACCTTCTCGGAGTGAGCCAGGTTCTTCTAAACAATATTTGAGAGATTTACTGCTTCGTTTGCTTGATGTGAATTTGATATTATTTGAATATGAAGTGGGAGCTTGATAAATTCTAGTCTTCACCTCCTCGAGTGTTGTTGCAGTCATTGGGATAGCCACAACAACAACGAGTGGTATCATCATGATTAAGAGAACCATCATCAACCATCGGACTTGTGATGTGAACATTTTTTTTGTGGTGTGCGTGAATGTGCAAACTCAAAGCTCCGGATTATCATAATGGTTCACACAATATGGTTGCGGAGTTCAGTGTTACTGAAATTTCACTTGTGGTTGTATGTAACAATCATGATTCCTTGGAACCAATTGGTTGAATTGAACTAAAAAGTTGTGAAGTTCAGACTAATGAGACAAAGTGCGAATGGAAATGTCAGTAAATGCTCCTCCTTGTTCCGTGCTTTGTAAGATCTTACTCGTATTTGGAAAGAGTTTGAACATGGATGGTCTTAGATTACAATGGAAAACAATGAGGGATGAACTCTCCCATTGTCGTGTACGGCCTGTCCGCGAGCAAATAGATCCACCGAAAATATAGACCTTATTTCTTTTACGATCATAATTCATGGAGAAGTAGTTTCGTCCAACAAACGCTTCGTCAAATTCATTCTCATTGAGTTCGTATGGGTTGTTGTTAGTGAGGGTTGTTGAAGAATTGTTTTGATGAACTCCTCGAAACATATTGTTCATGCCTTCCAAACATGCTTCTTCCGACAAGCTTTTCGAGAACTTGGTATTTACAAGATATTCAACTTGTGAATCATAACTGGAAAGTGACTCGTTAACTTCCCATCTCAGCTCATCAATATCAAAAATGAATATTTCATGAGGAAAATCGTCTGCATGATCACGTGTGTGACATGTACCTCCATAGTAGAGCAATTTGGAATCACTCAACTGAGCGGCACAATGAGAACGAATTTTGTCTGTTTTGATCCATGGTGTTCTGTTGAGTATTTTCAAATGATTGGGTGGAACTTTTCGATCCTTTAGTAATGGGCAAGGGTCTCTAGAGGGTCGGACATGTGTTTCAAGAATCATCCATGTTTTTGATTTGAAATAGTAGAACAGTAAATCATTGCTTAAAGGTGCATTTTCACCACTTCTCATCTTTCCACCAATTACGATCATAACATCATGTTTTTTGAAATATACAGCTTGGTGATATGCAACTGGAAATGTCACTTGGTCATATCCAATCATATTTTCATGTTTCATATTTGTGAAATGCATAGTATTATCTCCTATTCGACTCATTCTGTAAAAAGAGTTTGTGAAAATTAAATTGCCTCCATGTCCACCATAGGAATAATATTCGTCTTTACCTCTCTTGATAATGGTGTGACCTTCAAGGAAAGGAAATATATTTGATCCAGATCGATTGATGGGTTCATATTGTTTCCATTCCAATGTTTTCATGTTCAACGAAAAGACTTCATTGGTCAAATTTCGACCTTGTTTTAAACCACCATGCCTAGAGTCATGACGAGCCAAGTAGGTATCAACAATTTTGTCGTTATGCATGGATCCATTTACTTACATGAAAACTTCGAGTAATTCCTCATCAAAATAAACTCCAGGAAATATTCTGCCACCAATGGGTGCATTTCCAGAGGTTGAAATTTCTTCTACAGCAACAGAATCTAAAAGTAAAATTTAAAAGTAAGAAACGATGCGAGTCTGCTCAAAAAAGACCTACCAATTCCTTCGTATAAATGATCAATATCGGATAATGAAATTCTAAATAAACAATCATCTTTGATCGATCGATAATAATGATGCCATGCATGAGCACCTATAAATATATACAAATAATCATCATGAGTAAATTGAAAAGTGTGTGATCTGTTCCAAAGTCCTTCGGAAGATGGATCGCTAAAATCCAATGTTTTGGATTTCTCTCGATTGATGGTTGGTCCTTCTAACAAAATTTGTTTCACCTGATCGACATAAAAATCGGCGTGTGGTTTCAATGATGAACCATCCCGACGCGATTTATGAGTACTGGGGTAGAAAATTGGTTGATAAAGTTCATTCGTTTCAGGAATGATGATCGTTTGGCTTGTATTATCGTTGCTGTTATCCACAAAATTACTGAAGGGTGATAAACGATGGGGTTGATGATTCATGTTTCGGCTCTGATGAACACCCATGACCGAAATTCGACGATGATTATTTTTTGTTTTTTTTAAGTTCCAATCTTTCGGGATGTTTTCGACAAACGAATGTACATTCGATGATGAAGTCACTCATCTTTCTTCTTCATTTCAATCATTCTAACATATTAGTGTATGAGAAGATGAATTCTTTATCTACAAATCAAAGAATGAATCAATTTCCTCTAGAACTCCTAATTGTTGAGGCGCTGCCAAGTTCAAAACACTTTCATCTTGATTCTTAGTAATAAACTCTTCAAAAGATATAGGATCCACTCCAATGCCTTCCATTGATTGACGATATCGTTCATATTCCCTTCGTCTTGATTCCTCCTTCTCTTTTTCTCTCGCTTGCTCTAACTTTTTCCTTCTTTCTTCTTCATGAATTTCTTGATGTTTATGTGCTTTATGAATAATTTCTTTGGCCTTCTCTACAGCTTTCATTTCCTTAGACACATTTTCAAGAATTTGTTGAGACACCAATTTCATTTCGTGTTCTTCTTCTTCCTTCTCGTTGACCCTTGTTAACTTTCGAGTGTCAACTTCAGCAAAGTACTTGTTTGCTTTTTCGAGATAGGCTTTCAATTTTTCGTCTTGTTCAGTCTCTGATTCTTCTTGGTCAATATTCGTTGGAGATTGATGTCGTTTCTTTTTCTTTTGGGATGAGGAGGACTTCTTCTTCGACTTCTTGGTCGTACTTGTTTTCTTCTTTTTCTTCTTTTCCGTGTATTCTTCATCTTCAGAGGATTTGGTTGAACGATCTCCTTCTGTTTCATCACTGTCTTCCGAGGTGTGTTCTGAATATTTTCGTTTGGAGGTTGAGGTTCTTTGTTTTCTCTTGGATACACGAGGCTTCTTCTCATAGGATCGTTCATTCGTTGAGATTTGATCGTCATCTGCCATGGTGGATGTAGTCATTGCTGATGATGTTTTTAATTCAACATCATCATAGTTTGATGGATTCTGTTCTTCTGCTTCATCTCCCGAAATGCTAATGTCATCGAGTTGTTTCAAGTGAAGAGAAGAGGCTTTATGGTCCTCATGATCGAGAGCTAGTTCAGAAGAAATTCTTCTTCCAATGGTGGTTTGTTTCCGTGAGTAGGTTCTCATGATGATGATACAGTCAATGTGTGAAAGTGAGGCGCTGTATTGAGTGAATAAATAAACAGAGAGCGTTAACGTTCTTTTTTTTGAATTTTGAAAAAGGCGGCTAAAAAGAGTTGCCCAAATCGCAGAACGAAAAAATGCTTTTGAGAGCAAGTTCAAAAGCAAACGCGTTTCGTTCGTCATCATCCCGTCGGGGAGGCTTCTTCGGGAATTTGGATCATAACAAGAATTGGCTATTGATGATCATTAAACTTTTATCTTTTCTTCTCGTGTTCTCTAACGCTATCATGAATGGAGAACCAACAAAACCTCTCCATTTACGAAAATTCAATCCCGAAGCTTTCTTTCATTTCATTCAGCTCACGGATATACATACGGAGGATTTTAGTTCTTATCGTGTTGGAGGAAAACAATATTGGGAAGCAAAGGAACGATTTGATGATTTGAAAGAGTTATTTGGAACTATACTTCCGCAACGTGTAAAACCTAAATTTGTCATTATTACTGGAGACTTGACTCACGCCGTTCCTATTTCATTTGATCGGGAGAAACAAGATTGGATCACTCGTACCATGAATATTTATGTTCCAGGTCAGTCACAAGAGCAGTGGGAAATGTATCAAGAGTGTATGCAATTAGGAAAAAAGGTGTTACTAGAACATTTTCCACTCGAAAATCAGAATGAAAGTATTCAGCTGAGATATCCTTTTGAAAAGGAAATACACAAGGAAGATAGAATATTTGATTTGCCAGGAAATCATGATAGCTTTGGAACTCAAAATAAGGCAGATCCACAAAGTCGATTGTTTTTGAACTATTCTCAAAGTGGAAAATTTTTCTCATACCCAAAACGTCAGAGAAATCCAAAATTTTCAACAATTGCATGTTCTGAAAAAGATGTGACGTCTTTCTTTTCGTTCGATTTTAAGTCATCATTTGGAACCTATAGATTTGCTCTACTAGATAGCACTCCAAGTATTGGAAGTTATAGACCTATTAATTTTTTTTCTAACATTCCACATTGTCAAATCGAGAAATTGGAAAATATTCTTGGAAGAGCAGGTGATCAAGTTAATCAAACATTAGTATTTGGACATTACCCATCTTCCATGATAACTATTACAGAGGCCGATGGGAATGTTTCACAGAAAACAATGTCTGAATTTTTTAAAGCTACGAACGCTCATTCTTATTTCAGTGGTCATTTGCACAAAGTGTTTCATGACATGAGAAAGTTCATCCCAACAAGTGGTCATTTAGAAATTCAGTCTCCTGATTTCAAGAAAGAGAGAAGTTTCAAAATTATAGCGATTGACAATGACAAGGTATCATTTGAAGATTTTACACTACCATATTTGAAAAATCGGCCAGGTGTGTTAATAACGCATCCAAAAGATTGTAAATATTACTCTAAAAAGGAGCCTCATACTGAAACTGGGCCGTTCATTCGAATGTTGATTGTCACACCCACAAATTTTGACGAAATAGAGCTTTTTGTGAAAGTAGATGGAGCTGCTTTAAACCAATCATTGAAGGTGACTCCACAAACAGTCGAGTACCGAATTCCCTTCGAATTTTCGAAAATAGCCAATTCTACACAGCACCTCATTAGCGTTGTGTATAAGAATGAAGTCATTCTTGAGCACCATTTTTCCTTCAACGATTCAATTTGTCATATTGAAACATCAAAATGGAGTTTAGAGAGAATATATTCATACATATCATGGTTAGTGCTTAGCATGAATTGGAGGAGTTTATTTCGCTCAGTCACCACTTGGCATGCTGGTGTGCTGTTGCTATCGTAATAGTTGCCAGACGCTACGGCTTCCTAAATATTGCCTCTACTTTGGATTTGTTATATCTAATTGCACATCCAATTTCCATGAGATATGGAATTTGGTTTATTGGCGAATTGACTACGGGAAGCAGATTTGGAGGCCTAATTAATTTGACCTATTTCTATTTCAATCCATCTCCTTTGAATGATGCAGAGGAAAAGCACAACTTATTTTCATATCCTATAACTATTGTGGATGATTCTACCGTGTTCTTCACTCTCGTTGGACCAACATTTGTTTTTTCATATTTAACAACTTTACTTGGTTTCATAGTCCTAGATCGGCTAAACTCACTAGAGAAAAAGTCGTCAACAAGATACTCAAAAACGAGGATAATAATCACATTGTTGGTTCTCATTGCTAACTTTGTCTCTTTTTTATTTAACTTTTATAGAAAGTATGCCAGGTCTTATGGAAAACTAACTCTTATAACTTCCCCGAATAATATTATTTTGCCACTTTATGGCTGTATCAAGCTGGCACTCACAAGACAAGAAGAAGAAGAAACAAAAACTAAAAAAGAGTAAGGCAATAATAATTTATAAAACTAAATCAAGAATCATCATGACAATGAAGCCCAAAAAGAAGCCAGTGAGCCCTATTCTACTCGTCAACTTGTAGAAACGAGGTCTCTTTTTCCGAATTGGCTCCACAATAGAGATGGGTTCCAATGACAGAGAGGATCCTTTGCCCTCTTCCAACTTGGATGGAACCAAATCTGATTTTGGCTCGCAACCATGGCCATGTTTTGTAATTGTTTCAGGAATCAACTCATTCACAACGACAAAGACCATACAAGCTGCTGCAAACGACAAGGCATATGGCAAAATACTCTCGCTAAAGTATACTAAACCTGAGCCAATTAAACCACCTAAACCATTGTGAATACACTCTTCTATTCAAACATCGACCAAAATTACTTACCAATAATCTCAACTAAGGCACTAGCACTTCCAATGAGGAATGCTTTAACAAATCCAGCACCATCTCGAACCAAAGGAAGTGACACTGACAACCCTTCTGGTATGTTTTGAATACCTACACCTATACTCAAGCTTACTGCACTGGAAATTGAAATACCTGTTTTACCCAATCCAATAGATCCAAAAGCCACTCCTACAACTACACCCTCAGGTAAATTGTGAATTGTCTATTGAAATTATTTCACACAGTTATTACAAAAAAGATGATTCATGAAATGCAATGAATCCTTACCATTGACATCATCAACAAGGATGATCTTCTAAATTTGATCAGGAATTCACTCATCCTACGTTTCCAATCTTTCTTTTGTGGTTCCAAATTCATAGTTGGAGATGGATCCTCTTGTTTTTGTTGCGATGATGGTTGTGCCTGCTCCATGCTGTTTGTTACGGTAGTTCCACACAGGACTGATCAGTCTTATCCTCTTCTTTGGATGGACGAATAATGTTCTCACAAGAATCGGATGCTTGGAGTAAACTCGTTGAAGAAGGTGTTGCCTCATGATGGGACAGCATGGGTTGAATGGTACTCAATTCATTCTCTTTTAATTTCTGCAACTCTCGGTCGTACTGTATTTTCTTCTTTTCTACATAATCATTGATGTAATCAAGAGCAACATCAAAAACAAGAAAGAAGATGATTCCAATTGCGAATCCTCCAAATACTATGTGTTTTTGATGGAATTTGGTTTCATTGAAAGGAATTAATTTGTTTGAAATATACAATCCCGATAGAACATTCATATGAAAAACCGAATCATCAAGAAATTTAGGAACACCATTCTCAATCTGTGAGTACTCACCTGGCAAAACTGAAACATATTCGGGATATTGTTTCTCGGATAACTCGATGGCAGGAACCAATAATGAGAAGAAGCTAGCAGCAAGCATGATACCACCTCCTAACCCAAAGCTCAAGGCTAGGAAATCATCATAGAATCGATTCGTGGATTTAGCACAGCAAATCATGAAGAAGCAAGCTGCAGCTCCGAGTGTTGTAAATAACCAATTGATGGTTGTGAAGATAACTCCGAGGCCAATGGGATGTATTTGCAACAAGACATCATAGGGAGATGTTGAATTTGTTGAATTGTTGATATCGTTGAGTGCTGTGGATATCGAGTAATGTTGGTGCGAAATGGAACGAAAAGGCATGATTCTTTTTTGTGGTTGTTGGAAAAGCTCACACGTGCAACGGACACTTTGCGTTTCGAGAACAACAGTTGCCATATCCAAGCAAAAACACGTGTAGATCAATTTTGTGGTGGGATGCATCCTTGGGTGGACTCCATTGGTGTTGATGCATCTGTTGTTGTTCCATGAAAACAATTATTCTCACTAGATACAAATGCCATTCCAGTTGTTTCCAAAGTAGTAACACTGCGAGTTTTGAAAAGAAAAAATCATGCTTGCTTCGAGTGCACTCTATTCTTGCTTGTTCCAAAATTATGGAATTACGCACAGCAAAACATCATCAATATTAGTTCCCCAGCTCTTGGAAGCTCATTGTTTGAAATTTCAGCCAGCAAGAATGTTATGGATGTGTCCTATTTATTGGACAATTCCAAGCAATGGGTTTTAAATGCAGACGCAACAAGCCGAACTTCTCCAACAATAACAACAACATCGGAAGGTTTCGTACAGGAGCCTCATCAAAAACATGAAGAAACAAAAACCACTACTACTCTCCTATTGGAATTATATTTGGTTTGCAATGTTCGGAAAGTGGTCTTCGATTTCAATCGTCAAGCCTTGCCGTCAGAACTTGAAATTTCATATTCATCCAATGAAAAGAAAATCAATTTTAGGAAATTAGCAAAATTACGAAATACGGAATTGAAAAGATCCAAACCTTTTGTTATTTATTTCACAAAACCTGTACAGCTCAAATACATGAAATTTAAAATTGTTATTCATGGCCATTCATCGGACAGAAATAATGAGTCGGCCCCAACAACAAGCTGCAAACTGAATTCTATCAAGTTGTTTGGCACTCCTGTGCTTTCCACCGACAACTTATTTGATCTTTATCACAAGAATCAAGATCAACTCAAAGCACTTGCAGAGATGATTGGTCTTACAACGACTACAAAAGAGGCATCAGAGTACGAAAAGGAAAATTCTGACAACTCTCAACAATCTGCAAGTACAAAAGACCCATCTGATAGCGAGGAGGGGATTACTATTGAAATTCTACCAGATGATGACAAAAACGCATCACCCAAAGTCAACATTTCTGATCCTAGAAATCGAGCATCAAAACTGTAGGTGAGACAAATTCACAACCATTCAACCATTGGAGTAACATGAAGTTGACTTTATTTCACATCAGGATTGACATTCCAAATGTAGGGAGAACCATACAAGGGAATATTCGATGCTGGACTGCTTGCCTACCCTTCACACACATGGCTGTGCTAGGGATTGTTCAACACGGATTTGTGTGGTCTTTAATCACTCATGGAAACGTATTCTTGCTCGTCACTCTCCATGAGATGTTGTTGAACATAGTAGTTCATCGAACATCGATTTATTCAATGAGTTGAGTAAGAACGAAGCATTTCTTCAAAAAGCCATTGGAAAAGATTCCAAATAGTTCCTTCAATGGCCTAATAGAACTTTGTACATTAATGAAAAGAAACCATGATTTCATTCGCTTACAAATTGAACAATTGCATGGTTGTAGCGGGTTGAACGACGAAGACTGTGTGACATGAACCGCTTTTCGTAAGATTTGCACTTCAAAATACATCACACTTTGTGATTGCCGGTTCCCATGCCTTGTCTGTAATAATCAGACATTGTATCTCTCCCAAGAACAGGAAAACCGAACCATCTCCAAAGTTTGCGCCTTTACATTTTATACAAAATGAAGATCCCGAGAAACATGGCAATTATTAATTGAAGAAGAACGACCACTTTCAAAAAAACAGAGGAATAAGAGATGACAAAAAATCAAATACGACCTTCCTTGTATTTAGAAGAAAATCAAACTCTTCTGAAGCCATCCAAAGCTCCTTCTCATGAGGTTGTACTCTCCATCAAATTTTGCCTCATTACACTTTTGTCCAGTTTGGTCGTGTTGACAGTGTTTGTTTTGACAGTTGCATGGCTGTCTGGATTTGTTCCTACTCTCCTTGAACTTTCTTCCAGTGCAAGAGAAAAACAATTTCAATTAATAGTTGATTATTCTAACAAGATATTAGAGGAGGTAGCAATTGGAAATCAAGAATTGAAGCAGCAGTTTTTTACCGATGATTACAACTTTTCATTTTCATCTATCATGAAGAAAACATATGCCACCTACAAGGTACGTATAATTATTGACAAGTGGAAACAATAATCAACAATTATATTGAATGTATAGGCATCTCAGAAATATCTACCAGGGGTCACTGTTTCGGCCTTTGTTGGAGATCCTTTCAATAATGCTCAAAGTACAATTTCTTTTGGAGATGTTTTGGCTCAGATCAATAATTCTAATGCACTGGGATCTGTAATCTATTTTTGTGGTAATTATACACTTTATGACCAATGTAATAGAAGCTCCGTACCAGACAAGATTGTCAGCGCGTTTGACAACTCGTTTTTAATCAAACAGTGTGAATCAAATCCTAACCATCAATTCTACACTTCAAGTTATGTGTCTCAAAATGTTCAATTTACTTTTATTACCATAGTGAATTGTGCTGTCATTCCAAGTCTTTCTTTGACACCTGGTCATAATTTTCATTATTTTATTGGGAATGATTTGACCATAGATACCATTTCCAAGTTTTTATTGAAGAGTGTCCAATCCATATATGGTTCAAGATCTTTCATTATCGAGACTCAAACATCTTATGTCATTGCAGGTTAGTAATATTGTGAAATCTTCATGGAGTCACGATCATGTTTTCAGTGGATAATGACTCGAGTCAATTGACAGAATGGAAAGCAGATGGCTCCTTTGATAGGAAGACATCTGAAAACATTGCTGATCCAACCATCGTTTCCTTATCTAAAATAGTTCTAGCCACTCACAAGTCGTGGAATCAAATACCATGTAACACCTATTTCAGTATGTCAGACACGACACAATACATTTCAATTTACAGGTTGTGTACCAGTACTCGAATCGATTGGTAAGTAGTGTAGCAAATAGCAACCCTCTGACTGTTTGTGTGTGAAGGATCATTGTTTTATCAGAACCAAAATGGAACACCATTCGTTCGACAATCATTTCCATCATTTGTTCTCTAATTGGAAGTATTTGTGTCATCCTGTTAGGAATTATTCTAGGTGTGATTGTTTCATTACGTCTTGTAAAACCATTTAATCATCTGATTCAACTCTTTGAGAGCGTTGCCCACATGGATTTGGAGTCGATTTCTCTCTATGGAACTATATTCTTAGAAGTCAAAATACTACAAAGACAATTCTTGTCCATGGTTGAAAAAATCAAACTCTACAAATCTTTCATTCCACGACACTTGCTCGCAGAATTGGAATCTACTTCTTCTGAGGAGAATTCTCAACAGAATAAGGACACAACTTCCATGTTAGATTCTAGCACTCATCCTTCTTCCTCGAATGCTGCTCACAGTACTCGTACTGGAGTTGGTGTTAGAAGATATAGTAATGACCATCCAAACAAATTTGCTCTTCATTTAGAAATCAAATCTTCAAGTTTTGTTCAGGTTCATTTGGGAGGTATTGGTCAGTTGTTGAATCAGTCAATTCCACCCGATGAGATTGTCAAATTGTTGTCAGATGTCTATCATCAGTTGCATGCCGTTTCGAGACATCACGGAGGTGTCGTGAGTTCAAACTTTGACAATGAATGTGTCACAATTTCATTCAATGCCTCCACTTCTCAAGCCAATCATCCTCTGAAAGCATTGACGACTAGTTCCGTTCTGAGACAAAAATTAGCACAAGTCAAGTCAACCAAATGGAATACTCTTGTGTTCCACGAGTTATTGAACCATGTTGAATTTAGGTTTGGAGTCCATTCCCAACAGTCGTACTGTGGAAATATTGGAACGAACGAAATCAAGAATTATTCCATCATTAGTAGTGCACAGAGAAATCTTGAGCAATTGATTCGTGTTGCCCATCGATTGTGTGTCGATATTGTATTCTCTGAGGCCTTGTTGAAAGAGGCACTGCATGGTTATCAAGCTCGATACATCGACACTGTTTCAAAATATGATGATTTCACACTCTCAACCCTTTACGAGACAGATCATTCACGAGCACCCTTTGATCCCCATAAGGGTATGAAGGTTTATGAATTGGGTTTGAGCAATAAGGTGAATGAGGATGAATGGATGTATGAATTACAAGAAAAGACCAAGAAGAGTCAATGGCGAGATTACAACGATGCATGTGCTCTCCTTTTTGAATACAAGTACGGGGATGCTGCCTCTCAATTTAAAGCCTTCTCGAATGAATATCCACTCGATACACCTTCAAAATACTTGTATCAGCAATGCATTAGATAAGACTCAATTTCAAGTCATGAACATGGATTTGTAGGTCATATTATGTTTAGGCATGTGAACAAGACCATCAATGGAATACAGTAGTAGTAGTACAGCAACAGTCGAACGCAATGAACATTATGATGACAAAGAAACATGTTTCATCCAATAATAACCTGCCTGATTCACCACAATCATTCTAATCAATTTCCAAAAAATGTTCAACGATCGCCTCGCTGCGGCAAACAGATTATCAAAGGTAGCACATCAATTTTACTTCTTTCAATCATTTCTTGGTATTCACAACACTTGTGCTCAACAACCACACTACTATTTTCATCATCATGCTCACACCAAGCATCTTGATCCATCCATCACAAAGCTGGTTAAAGATTTTATTCTAGACAAGAATGATTTCTTGCAGAAACACATTCAAACTCATGGCTCACTTCAACACATGCCTCTACTGTTTCAGTCCGATAAGAAGATGGTGTTGGAAGCTGTGAAAAAGAATGGATGTGCCTTGGAGTTTGCTTCTGAAGAACTTCGAAATGATTTACAAGTGGTTCTGACTGCCATTCGACAAAATGGCATGTCTATTCAATATGCCAGTAAGAGTTTGCGATTAGACAAGGATCTTGTCATTGAAGCTTTGAAAACAGCACCACAAGTAATTACTATTCTTATTCCCGAGTTGGTACAATTTTATAGCAACCACACGAGTAAGGAATCACTGAGCTCCATTCTTGAATTGTTCATTGTACATGAACCTAAAGTATTCAAGTTTCTACCTTCTCATTTACATGATCTTATTGAACCAAGTCGAGTACTTGTTCGAAATGGAATGCTGTTGAAATATTTCCCAAGACATGTAAAAAAAAATTATGCACACGTGATGGAAGCTGTCAGTAATCATGGACTTGCTCTCAAATTTGCTAGTCAAAAGTTGAGAAATACTGAAAACGTCATTTTAGCAGCAATTGTGAATCATGATGCAGCTCTACAATATGCTTCTGATAAATTCAAGTCGAATGAGGAATTTATTTTGTATACCATGGGATTCACACGTGGACGAACATTTATTCATGCATCTGAGGATTTGAAAAAGAATATATCTGTGATCAATCAAGCATTAAGTTATGATGGAATGCTGCTGCAATACGTTCCAGATAAGAGTGATCTCTCAATAGTAAGAAAAGCAATTCAAAACAATCCGTTAGCTCTACAATTTGTACAAAATCAATCTCTTCTTGAGAAGGACTTGATCATGTCTTGTGTGAAAAAGAATGTTCAATGCCTTAAGTATTTAAATGATCCTCATTTCAGAGGGATCGAGAGATTATTTCAGCAGCCATTCAAGCTTGTGATTCTTTTGAAACTTTACAAGAAATTATTTCACTTGTCACTGTGAAAAATCCTTCCCTGATTTGGAATGATCAAGATCTTCAAATGGATATTCTTATGAAAGCAGTTGAACATATTAGTTCATCAAACATCGATTTATTCAATGAGTTGAGTAAGAATGAAGCATTTCTTCAAAAAGCCATTGAAAAAGATTCCAAATGGTTAGCATGGTATGATATGAACTCCATGTCAAGAGAGCAATTGAAAGAAATGATTTCTAAATATGGATTGAAAGAATTTTCTGAAAAATATATCAATTACACCTCTGACTATGATCTTGTCATGCATGCAATCACTACCAATGGTGGACATAATCTTCAATATGCTTCTGAATCACTTCGATCCAATTTGGAAATTGTTAATGCTGCCATTGAAAACGATGCAAGCACCATTCGATTTTGTGGTAAAACCATTTTAGGGAACAACGAAATCATGAAAAGGGTCATTGAGAAAGAGCCACAATACTTTATCTATGGAGACGCTACTCAATTATTATCCAATAAGGAAATGGTACTTTTCATTTTGCAAGAATTTAAAGCCAAAAAATACCACCCAACGATGGACTCGGTCTTGATCAAACTGTTAGAAGGACTCTCTGAAGAATTGCGCAATGATGAAGACGTTGCCACTCTCTGTGCAGATATTCGTAGCGGTTTAAGCTTGCATTATTTTTCACCTCATATTCGAAGTAATTTGCATGTCATGTCACATGCCATTGCCAATGATCCCTTCTCGGTTCAATTCATTCCAGAAAATTCCGAATTGAGAAATAATTTTGAATTCATGATGCGTGTCGTTTCCTTGTCCGGACAATTGCTCTGTTATGCCAGTAAGGAGCTCCAAGATCATGCAGAACTCGTTTTCCAAGCTTGTAAATCTTGTTCCAATGCTTTAGAATTTGCTTCTCTTCGCTTACGAAATGATTTCAATTTAGTATTGAAAGTCGTTCAATTAGAGTGCAATACATTTAATTCTGTGTTGGCATTTGCTTCTAAGGAACTCCAAAATAATAAGGAAATTGTGTTGAATGCCATTCAAAGAAATCCTCGTGCTTACTTGGAGGCATCAGAGAAACTTCAAGCAGATGAGCAAGTGGCTATGGAAACTGTTTCCCAAAATGGTATATTCTTGTACTTTATGCCCGAGTCCATTCGAAATAATCTTGAGGTTGTTTTGAGAGCAGTTGAAAATGATCCTTGGAGTTATGCTTTTGTGACAAGTGACAGTATACGAAATCATGAACAAGTCATAAAGATTGTAGGACTCGAATTGATTGAGAAGATTGATCGATACGACCAAGATGAAGTATTTAGAATGCGCTATCTAGCCCTCTACGATTAAGCTTGACTGATTAAATTTTTCGTGTGAACAATTTTCCAAAAAAAGATTTAAAAATGTCTGATGAAGATCTTATACGAACTGGCAAATCTTCCAAAATATTGTCCGTTGTGTGTGTCGTGACTGTCTTGATTGGATGTGTTATCTTTGTCGGATTAGTCACAGTTCAAACGTTATATCTTTCTAAACGTATAAGGTAAGATTGTTCTTTTTGATCAGATCGTTTCAAAATAATAACATTGTCATTCAACCACCTCTCGATCGAAATACAATGCTATAAAATCAATACCAACACTTGTTATAATAATATCAATTTCTAAAATTACATAGACAATCAGGAATTATATTTCCAAATCCACCATACACCAAAGATTCAGATTGTCTTCATTTTCTCGTCATTGGAGATTTCGGAAGAGGAAATGAAATGCAAAAACAAGTGGCACAATCCATGGGTGATTATTGTCAACAACACGATGGATGTGACTTTGTAATTGGAACTGGAGACAATATATATCCAGATGGAGTGAAATCTATCAATGATGAACAATTTAAATCAAAATTTGAAGATATTTATACGCATCCAAGTTTGAATCAGTTGGATTTTTATATGGTGTTAGGAAATCATGACTATCGTTCAAATCCTCAAGCAGAAATTGAATATTCGAAAATGAGTACGCGATGGAAACTGTTGGATTACTTTTATGAATTGAAAAAGAAATCAAGATTAGGAGGATTTGAATTGAATTTGATTTTCACAGATACAACTCCATTTCACAGATTGTTTTATTGGGATCCTAAAATTAATAGTACAGCATTGAATGAACAAAAAAAGAGAATTCCAGAACAAATGAAATGGTTACGACAAACCTTGACTTCTCATGAACCAAGAGGAGATTCTACATGGAGTATTGTTGTGGGTCATAGTGCCGTCTATTCTGCGAGTTCTCACTACGATTCTCAACCCTTAATTGACAATTTTGAGCCCTTATTCAAACAATTTCAAGTTCCATTGTACTTGTGTGGTCACGATCACTATTTGGGATGGCTAGCTAATCGACTCATTACCAATGAAAAGGAAAAAACTCAATACGTTGTGAGTGGAGCTGCAGGAGGAAACATTTATGACCGATTGAAGTATAATGCGAACTTGTTGAATTATTATATTGGACCAGGTGGTAAGGTAAGTGTGAGTGAAAATAATAATGTTGTACTCTAGAATTCACAAATTTGTGTAATGATTGTGTTGAAATTGTATTTGATAATTAACCGTCGTGTTGTTGGAGTAGTAGTAGTTTAATTGTAGTGTGTTTTGTGGTATTTACCAAGTTGGATGGATGGTTAGGATTCTTCTCGGTGGAAGTTCAAAAAGAACTCATATTTGTTAGAGCATTAGATGAGAACGGAAAGGAAATTTTCAAGTTTAGAATTGATAAGTGAGACTGAAACTATTATTGTTCAACTCTGTAAAAAACACCTCCTTGTTCTTTCCGAATGTAAATACTAATGGATTATTTAAAACATGGCCAGGATGAATCCAATCAAGAATGAACTTGTCAATGGATAATTATCCTTTGTATATTCTCTTAATTTTTCCCATTGTTCTAAAATCGTTTCCTTAATATTCATTCGTTTAATGTGTTGGTTAGCTGCTTCAATTCCCATTTTGGCCAACATTTCATATTGCTCCAAATTGCTGGGCTCATTGTCCTGTTGTTGTTTTTTCCTCTTCAAAGCTTCTCGATTGAGTGCTGTAAACGTAGATCCAGCCAAAAGTAGTGCTGCAACGGCTCCGAAAACCACCCGAGATCCAATCCGTACTATATTTCCACTCATATAACCTCCACAAACACCTACTCCAACAGAAATGAGAAGAGCTTTTGAACTGTCGGATTTGGTTGGTAGGAGTGTTGGTGATGAAGACATTTTAGAGATTACTTGTGATGGTGATGCCATCATGGTTGGATCCGTAATAACCCGATGGTCTTGATCCTGTGGTTGTTGTTGTTGTTTTTGATCATTGAGAATTAATTCATTCACCTCCAATCCGGGGTAGAGGTGGAATGTTGTGTTGTTGTTGTTAGCTGTTGTTTGTGTGGTGCCATGATGATGATTATATTCCAATAAGGAAGCAGCTTCTTCCAGCATTTGATCGTGAGAAGACATTTTTTAAAATGCTTTTTCATATAAATTAATAAATTTGGTTTTTGGAAACTTGCAAGGTGACAAATTTATATACGATAACAGTACTCTTAGACTCACGCTTAATGTATCTACAGGATCTTATGAAGTGTTACTTGATTATTTTGTCTCTTCTTGAACTTGGCTAATAGCAAAAGCATATCTGTATGCAACTTCCTTGTAGGACTCGTAACGTTGACTGGCTCCACCATGTCCTTGTTTCATGTTTGTTTTGCATAGAACGAGACTTGGAGTTGGAAAGTGACGTGTTCTATTTGGTGTTGCATAAAAATGGCGAACCTTTGCAACAAATTTTAATCCTTCCCAATACTGAACTCTTGAATCATTCAATGCATGGTCAATGAGTAAAGCTGGATAAGGTTTTGTAATATTTTCCTCCTTATCAATATTGTCATAAGGTGAATAAGACAACATGTATTCGAAATGTGCTACGTTTTGTGGATTACCCCATTCATCGTATTCTAGAATTAAAGTGTAAAAGTTATGGATTGATTGTTCAATGTACACATACCTGTGACTGATAATGGAATGGATGAATCTGACATGGAATTAATGATATCAACAAATGGAACTTCCAAAATTGCAGCTCTAAATAATTCAGGTTTAAAAGCAATTACACCACCAATCAATAGTCCACCAGCACTTCCTCCCTCGATCACTAGTTTGTTGGTGCTCGTCCAACCTTCCTTAATCAAATATTCAGCACAATCGATAAAGTCGAAAAAGCTATTTTTCTTATTCAATAATTTTCCATCAAGATAATGACCTCTACCATTCTCAGAGCCACCCCTCACATTTGCAATGGCATAGACAAATCCTCTATCAAGAAGAGAAAAAGTAGCGTGTGAAAAATAAGCATCAAGCGAACATCCATAGGCTCCATATCCATATAGAAGAAGTGGATGTCTGCCATTCAATTCTATTCCCATATCTGAAGAGTCTCGTCGTTTAAAACGAGTCCAACCGGAATTTTAACTCCATCTCTTGCTGTAACCATTATTTTTCGTTGAATATACTTGCTTGGATCGTAACCTCCCAATACCACCTCTTGTTTGAGAATTGTAAATTGGTGGTTTTGCATATCATATTCATAAGTTGTCGTTGGAGTAATAAATGATGAGTACACAATTCTAATTTGAGCACAATCGAAATTATAATTTTCTGAAGGTCCTAACTCATAGGAGGGTTCATTAAATGTCACTTCTTTGGGTGGATTGCATTGTGAGGATCCAGTATTGTCAATTTGGAACTCCTTCTGATCTTCCAAATAATGCAAGATGGTTTTTAAAGCAAATAAGATCCTCAATATAAAACTCAGAATTGTAAGGCAGTACTTCTTCAAGATTATTGAAATCAGGGTTCTCAACAGGAGTTCTCATTAATCTAAAATTGACAAACCCATCATCATTGTGCCAAACGTAGAAATGCTTGGTGTGATGAGAAATGTAAAACTCAACTCCTTCTTTTCTCTTCTTATTAGCAAAGAGCTTTAAATTATCTTTTGGTAAATCATCTGTTCTTACATAATAGTACTCGGACGTGTTATTAGAACAAGTGTCCACAAATATAAATTCTTCAGATAATGTCTTGGATACTGAAACAAAAAATTTTTCATCAAGCTCTTCAAATATCAATTCACATTCTGCTTTCACGCTTAATGGTTCACAATCTTCCAGCTTGTCAACAAAACTGTTCATTTCAAGAGTTTTCCTATAAACTCTAAATGGTCTATGTGCTTCATCGCAGACAGCAAATACAACTGTTCTAGAATCATTGCCAAATTCAAAGCTTGTGTCCAAATTTTCTTCCTTACTAAAAAAGAAAGAATAAATTTTGCCATTGGACAAATCCTTAAAATACAAATCATAAAACTCATCTCCATCTACATCAATGGAGAATGCCATAATATTTTGGTCAGGCGAAATTTCATACATTCCTAGCTCTAAAAAATCGGTTTCGAGTTCTTTGGCTAATTCATTCAAATCTATTAGAATTTCTTCTTCTTTACCTTCTCCAAGAGCTTTTCTACAATATATCTTGTAATCCTTTCCATCTTCCGTCTGTCGTGGAATATTGGTTCAATGTAAAATGATGTCAACAATCACGTACCCTTGAATAATACAAATAGTCCTTCCAAACATATGGCACTGATTCATCGGTTTGCAAGATTCGGTTTTTAATTTCCTTGAAGATGGTATCTTGCAAATTCTTCAACGGCTTCATCTTTTCCTTTTGATATTGATTTTCGCTCTCTATCAATTTTCTCACAGCACCATTTTCTCGTTCTCGGAGCCAATAATATGGATCCGATAGTTTTCGTCCATGATAGGAGGTGATATGATCTTTTCTCTCAGCTACGATTTTTGGTATGTCTTCAGGAGAATGGCATCCAATCCTCGGAATAGTTTCGTTTGTGGCATCTATATCAATATGAAGCATTTTTCTTTGAATCGAACAAATGTTGCTATGGAAATGACCACTCTGATTACTTTTCAAATGAGAATAGAGGGATTTGACGAAATCACCATGACAATGATGACTTGTGGAATTTCTTGTGAAAAGCTGTTTGAACATTTTTTGTGGATTTAGTTGGTATTATTTGAAATATCTTTATGCTATTAAATTAATGGGAAGGAGCCTAGTTGTGATCATCCATCATGTGTGTTTGGTGTTGCAGAATGTACTGACGGAAACTCTCAACTTCTGCCTCTACTAAAATCTTAATGTCTTCAGTTTTAATGTCCTCACTAAATTGATAATCAAATCTTGCCTTACAAAAGTAGCTGTTCTCATTACAGGATGGATCCAAATTGTATTCATCAGGATCAAACATTTCTTTCAAGTATGGATGTTTTAAGGCGTCTTGAACGGTGATTCGTTTTTCAGGATCCCATGTCAACATTCTTTCGAGTAAATCGATAGCAAGTAGGTTTGTGACATGAGAAAAAACTTGAGCAAAGTTTTTCTTTTCGTAATGCTGCTTGAAATTAGTTCTAAGGAACTTAATTCCCTCACTACATCCTCTCACCTCTTCGTTGCTTGGAGTTCCTATCAATCGAAGAATCAATTCGAGTTGGTCTTTAAAGTCTTTTCCTGGAAATAAGATGGGTCTTCCATTCTTGTGAAGTGGTTTTACCAGCAATTCCTTTTCAAATTTTTAATTTCAAAATAAATATGTTTCTCCTGAAATGTTGTACGGTACTTACGGCAAAAATACAACCAATGGACCACATATCCATGGCTGCATGAAGTTTGTTCCAATAAAGAATCTTTCATTAATAAATAGATGATAGTATTAAGAATTTTGCCACAAATGTAAAAACCAACTAAATACATACCACTTCTGGACTTCTATACCACCTAGTCACCACATATTTAGAATCCTCAGGATAATCCTGTCCAATAGCTCTACTTAAGCCAAAATCACAAATTTGCAAATCCAAGTCTCTGTTTAACAGAATATTGCTTGGCTGTTCACAATACTTGATATGCAAAAAGTACAAAAATCAAAACATACTATATTGGACAATATTATCCAATAATGAATAAACATAAAATTACCAATTAATTACCTACCCTTCAAGTCTCTATGAATAATATTACTGCTATGCATGATGTTTACGGCTTTGAGAATTTCATGGAGGAAATATTGGATTGATTGTTCACTAAATGTTTGATTGCTCGAAAGTAACTTTTCTAAATCAAAGTCCATCAAATTCGTTACAATATAAATACTTCCTGGTTGATAGGGATCAAAAAACAGGTCCTTCAATATCACAACATTATGTGCTTGATGAATACTAAAATGTTTTAGAATCTTGATTTCTCTCAATATTCGTTTTTGGTAATTCCTATCTCTTTCCCACAAGCTTGATACTTTCTTGATGGCCACTCTTTCATTGTTTTTGTTGTCGACTGCTGATACTACACAACCAAATCCACCAGATCCCTTGACTCCATCCATTGTATATCGTTTCGGTAAGCTGAAAGTGTTTCCATTCACCGAATATTGTACATATTCCATCTGTAAATTGGCAAACGGAACTTGTTCACGATTGACTTGCGGTTGTTGAGCATGCATAAATGATTGTTGCTGAGTTGCATAGTCTTGTTGTTGGTCCATATAATCCTGCTGTTGCTGTTGTTGAAGCAATAACCGCTGTTGTTCATCATTGTCGTATTGTTGTTGCTCAAGAAATTGTTGATTCATCATTTGATCTTTATTCTGTTGTTGATTCATAATCATGGCTTGATCGGATCCAGCAAGGTAATAGTTACTCGGAGCCAAGCCATGATGAGATTGTTGTTGATGATTCGAGTGTTGTTGTGGCAACATTTTTTATTGTGTTGAGTCGCCGAAGCTCATTCCCTCATCGCTGCCAAAAAGTTCATATGGTGGGTGATGATGCTGAACTGAAAATGTAAAATTGAGGTAAAAGGAATGTATGAAAATATCACAAAAGGGCGAATTCATTGACATGTAGTATTGTATTTAAATTGAAAAAAACCTTTTCGAAGGAAGAAGGAATGGGGCGATTGAATTTGATCTTTGTGGTCCGAATGCAATGCATGTACAGATTAATTATTCGTTGATAAAATTACTCCATTATCAGAAATATCACTAAACGTGGCTATTGGATTAGAATGAATATGTACACTCAATATCTTAATATCTTGCAAGGGTTTATATTTGTTGTCAACGGGTATTGATTCCATCTTATCTAACACTTTAAATCCATCAATGACTTTTCCGAATACTGCACATTGATTATTTAATTGTGGTTGAGGTCCATACGTGATATAAAATTGACTCGAATTTGTATTAGGTTTTGATCTATTGGCCATTCCGACAATTCCTCGTTCATTATGAGTCAATTCTTCACTAAATTCATCTTCAAAGAATTTTCCATAAATTGATGTACCTCCTTTGCCCGTTCCTTCTCGATCTCCACCTTGAATAATAAATCTAGGTACATTCCGATGAAATATTGTGTTATCATAATATCCCGAAGCACATAACGCTAAAAAGTTCTTGCAAGTTTTGGGGCATTGCTCGCAAAATAATTCAATTTTAATTGGACCTAGATTGGTTTCTAAAGTTAGGGACATTTTTTTATACGTAAATATAACGAATATTTGGCTTTGTTGAAGGTGTTGTAATATTTCACTTCAAAAAGATAGAACATTCAGAGCGAAAGACAAAGTAGTCGAAAACACTCCCTTTTTAATCTGTTGATAAGCAAGGTGAAATTAATGAAGTTTTAATTGTTGTTTTTTGTTTTTTCAAAATTAAAAAAAATACCTGAACATCATCCATTGGTGCGCAGTATTGAAATTTGTAATTACCGGAAACATATAATTGAAGTAATAATGATACCATCATCTAGTAACAATAGTAATAGAGATGAAAGGCCAATTGAAACTGTAAATATTGAAGATCAAGCAGCATTGAAGAAGAGAAGAAAAAAGGAAGAAACAGAGGCTAAAAAGAAAAAACAAAAATGCGATCAAATCCTGGATGATTTAGATAATGAAGTCACAAAGAAGGCACAAGAAACACTTGTCCGAGACATTTTCAGTCAAAGAAAAGACATTCAATTTGATCATTCAAGTCTCACTCTCAAGGAAGACCACAAATTGCGACCAATTTGGATTTGCTCTGGTACTGATGGACTATTCCATATTTTCATGGAAACATTTTCTCCAATCTATCAACAAGCCTATGATTTTTTAGTTGCAGTGGCTGAGCCAGTTTCTCGTCCAGAAAATCTTCACGAATATATTTTGACAGAATATTCTCTTTTTGCTGCTGTTAGTATTGGTATGAACACTGAACAAATAATTCAAGTTTTGGAGAAGCTGAGCAAGGTAAAATTGCCAGATACGTTAATCACCTTTATTAAGGAAGTAACAAGAAAATATGGTAACGTCAAACTTGTTCTACAGAAGAATCGCTTTTTCATCGAGTCGCATCACTTTAGTGCCATGGAAAAATTATATGACGATTCAGTTATTAGTTCAGCTGCTGTAATTCCTGACCGAACAGAATTTCCTAACATTGATAAGAGTGGAAGATTCATTATTAGATCAAGATCAAAGCAAGCTGAATTAGAAAAGTTCCAAAAGCAAGCATTGGCTTCGAATACTTCATCAGTTCAAGGAAAAATTCAAACTGAAATGATTCGTGCAGTCAATCAAATTGACGATGAGGATGACGACGCAGATGATTTTGATGTCTCTTCTGTTGTGGAAACATACTACCAATTTGAGATTAATCCTAACGAAGTTGAGCATGTCAAGAAGAGATGTATCGAAATTGGCCTTCCCACACTAGAAGAATATGATTTCAGAAATGATGTTGCAAACAAGTCATTGAGCATCGATCTTAAACCTACAACTACCATCCGTTCATACCAAGAAAAATCTCTAAGCAAAATGTTCAGTAATGGAAGAGCTAGAAGTGGTATTATTGTGCTGCCGTGTGGTGCTGGAAAAACGTTAGTTGGAGTCACTGCGGCTTGTACTGTTAAAAAGAGAACGCTAGTATTGTGCATTAACTCTGTGAGTGTTTTGCAGTGGAAAAATCAATTTAAATTATGGAGTACAATTGACGAAAATCGTGTCATCATTTTCACATCTCAAGACAAAGATCCACTTCCCAAAGATGATGAACCTTTGGTCATTATTACAACTTATACCATGCTTACACATCAAAGAAAGAGAAGTGGTGAAGCAAAAGAGGTAATGGACCATATTGAAAGTAGAGAGTGGGGCTTACTTGTCCTGGATGAAGTGCATGTTGTGCCAGCCACCATGTTTAGAAATGTATCGAGGGTAAAATCCCATTGCAAGCTTGGTCTAACCGCCACTCTTGTTCGTGAAGATTCGAGAATTGAAGATTTGTACTTTTTGATTGGTCCCAAATTGTATGAGGCCAATTGGCTCGATCTTCAAAAAAAGGGTCACCTTGCTAATGTCCAATGTGTTGAAGTGTGGTGCCCAATGACTGCTGAATTTTATGCCGAATATTTGACTGCCAATGCTAAGAAGAAAACTCTGTTCTATGTAATGAATCCGAACAAATTCAGAGCTTGTGAATTTTTAATTCGATACCATGAAAAGCAAGGAGACAAGATTATTGTGTTTAGTGACAATGTGTTCTCATTGCAAGAATATGCCGAAAGACTCAAACTTCCATACATTTTCGGTAACACTAAACAACAAGAAAGAGTGTATTGGTTGAATCAATTCAGACAAGGGAATCAATATAACACTATTTTCATTAGTAAGGTTGGTGACACAGCTATTGACATTCCAGAAGCAACTGTCATTATTCAAATTTCGTCTCACTTTGGAAGTAGAAGACAAGAAGCACAACGTCTTGGACGTATTTTACGTCCTAAGGGAGGAGGATTGAAAAATCAACAAGCTTATTTTTATACATTGGTCTCTCAAGATACACAGGAAATGTACTACTCAACCAAGAGACAACAATTCTTAATTAACCAAGGTTACAGTTTCAGAGTGTTACCAGATATCCAAAAGTACTATGAGCAAGGAGCAAGCGAATTAGGCTTGTCCCTAAGTCACATGACATCCAAGAAGGATGAATTGGAAATGCTTGCTGTTGTAAGAAAGGCAGATGATGCAAGAGGTCAAGAAGAAAAGATTACAGTAGACGATGAAAGTGCTCAACAATCAACCTCTATGGCACAACTTTCAGGAGGTCAAGGAGTTGTGTATCAAGCATTTGACACTAGTGGTGGTTCTTCAAAGAAAAAGAGAAATAAGTCTGCAGCACCAACAGTTCATCCACTCTTCAAAAACAGAGCTTCTTCATCCAAAGATTAAATGTGATCATTCTACAAAAATGTATTAATGCTTTTTCGAGTGAAATTTGTCACGAAGTAATTAAGTCTCGTTTGGTGTTCACAAGAGCTAAGTGGTACAACATGATCACTGTTGCTGACGATTCTGTCAAACCCATCGCGAAAAGAAAGACAATGTTTAATTCATTGAGATACCATTATAGCTTGTTGCAAGTACCTAAAATTGTACAGGGCCAGTACCATCACAGTATTATTCACGAAAAGTAACAAGAAAAAGCAATTCCTGAAGTTTTTAAGGCAACATCGATTGTCACCAGTGTTAGCACTCATCCCCGTCAGAACTTTTGGCTGTGTTGAAAAAGAATCAAAATCGAACCGAAGTCATAACCAAAAACAACTTGGGATCAATAACCAATTTCGATAAAGTGCTGAAAACGTTCCAAAAATGATGGCAATTCAACCATTTTGTAGCTTCGATTATTCTAACAAAAACAGATACTTTTTATTGAAAAAAACTTTTCCTATTTTTGGAGATGACTATTCACAGGTTTTAGAAGAACTGTATTACTCTCGAAGATTCATTTGCAATTCTTTGAAGTATTTGGTTCAAGATATTTTCGACAGATTTGGGATACTCCCAGTGAAGTGTTGTGTCCAGGGTCATCAAAATGAACTATAAATCCAATGTTGCTACTTAACCATGGACAAACCTAGCGATCAAAAGTAAAGAAAATGTCTATTACAATACACAACAACACCCAATATTACATTCATGTGGTGTTGTCACAGGTTGGTCCACTCTACGATGCAGTGATACCTCCTGGCCAAGAATACACATTCCAAACAGGAAGGGTTTACTTTACCATCTCCGCCACAAAGTACGATCATGAGGAACAGTGCAACCGCATTTCTACCGCTGATATTGCGTTACCGATCGTTGGGTTGTCAACGCTTGTGGGAGTAGTTGCAACGAGTTTGGCTGGATTAGGTGTTGGTATCTATGTAGGTATTAGTACTGGCGCTCTGGCTGCTTGTGTTGAAGCTGGGACTATCTCTGTTTGTTCATGCTGTGCTGCTGCTGGTGTTGGTGCTGCTGGTACAGGTACTGGTACTGCTGCTAGTGCTGTTGGGGTGGTTGAAAAAAGTGTTGAGGCAGGCAAAATGATGCTTGTTAAAGATGTAGCAGGGTTTGTTAAAAAGTTGTTACCAATGGGCTATAGTGGAGAAGTTAATCAGAGAAATGTATTAGCCAGAAATAAGGGGGTCCATTGGCATGTCGATTTGATGAATGGCGTTTTGAGTCTTAGAAAAGGAGACTGAACGGACTGGTATGAAACCCTTAAAGTTAAAAACATCAAAAATTTGAGTGTGTAAGGAAATTATTGGACCTCTGCCAATGTTGAATAATGATGCTATTAACAACACTAAACAATCAGTAACAGGTTTACAAAAATAAATGTTCACACAGCCAATCCATGAACGAACCAACCATCTCACCAACCTACCATTCACACCATCAATTTCGGTAAGGAGTAATAGAGTTTTCGGAAGAACAAGATTATGACTGAAGATCATGAAACAAAAAGCTCTAAATCTGTCCCGTGAAAATCATCATTTTGTTTGATGGTGGCTTTTCAAGAGTCATGTTGTTGATTTTGCTTTTTGTTGGTGATTGGAAGTGAATCATTCACGTCACGTTTTCGAATTAGAATCAAACTCATCATCGCCAATCTCTACGTTCGTACAGGTGATTTGAGTGAAATATCATGCAGATGCACCTAAATAAGCGCCAAAATAGCATTGTTCCATTCTTGCTTGAAGTAGCTCATCAGTGTAATCGAAAGCAAACCCATTGCATTTCATTGCTTCCACCCAAAGATCTGGATAGATCTCCCCAAATCTTACGAGTCTTAATGCATATCCATTGTTTCTCACGGCTTCCGAAATTATTTCTTCGTCGAATTGAAAGTTGATGTCTGCATGCTCAATCGCAAGACCGTTTAGCTTGACCGCCTCTAATACAAACCCCTTGTCCTTAATCAATTCCTTAGCTGCGCAGTCTAACACTACTTCACATCCAACTTTAGCAGCTTGTAACAAGAAGTCTTTGTTGTGCAATAATTCGGTCGCAGCGAAAAGAGTTTTCTTGTCTTGTCTGATCGATTCAAATACAATTTCCCAATCTCTTTTCATGTCGTTGGATGCAACCTCAAGGGCTGCTCCTCGTTGTCGTATTGCAGATAATACCACTTCCTTATCATTCTTTAGTTCATCTGATGCATATTCAAGGGCATAGCCCTCTTGTCGAACAGCAGCTAATACCACGTTTTTATCACTCTTCATTTCTGTCGATGAATACTCGAGAGCATATCCGTCTTGATTGACAGCAGCTAACACAACCTCTTTGTCTCCTTGTAATGTAACAGAAGCATATTGTAACATATTGCCGTTCCCCTTAACAGCATGTAATGCAATCTCTTTGTCATCTCTCAATTTTTCAGGCAGCATTTCAAAAACAGAGGCATCTTGTCGAACGGCCGCAAGAGCAATCTCTTTGTCATTCTTCAGCTCTTTAGAGACATGCTCTATGGACAAGCCATCGCTTGTGACAGCGTTCAAAACAAGCTCTCTATCGCTCTTTAGATCATCCGATACATATTCTAATAAAAAGCCAAATTCTTGAACAACAGGAAGCATGATCGCTTTGTCAGAATAATCAAAAGAGACAAGCTCTGGAAATACGACTCGAAGGGCAGTCAACATAAAATCCTGATCTTTGAGCAACGTCCGTGATGCAAAGCGTAATGCTTTTTTGTTTTGCCTGGTTGCGGCAAGAACAATTTCTTTGTCTCCTTTCAAGACAAACCATATAGTCCTAATCACCATACCATCTTGGTTGGCTGCAGCCAACACTACATCTCTGTCTTCTCGGAGAGGAGTTAACCGAACAGATTTTCCATTCAGTTGAACTGCTTTCAAAACAAACTCCTTGTCATGGGTTAGCGAAGATGAAACATATTTCATGGATTTGTAGTTTTGCTTTATGGCAACTAAGGCTAGTTCCGTGTCGCTTCGCAATTTCTTGGAAGCAAATTCAAGCTCTAACCCTCGTTGTTGCACCACTTGCAATACAAAATTTCTATCATTTCGGAGTGATTTGGACGCAAATTGCAGTCCTTTTCCATATTTTAAAACATGATCCAATACAAATGGTTTGCAATTCATAAATTCAATGGGAAAGAAGTTTGAAAATTCCGATTCTTGATTCACCAACCATTTCTTCTTTCCTAATTGTTGAAGAGTAAATTTGGTACGTAATAACAATTCCTTGTTCCTAATTTCAGCCATATCCGAATGATTTTCATTGTTATCATCATCACAAAAATCAAAAATTTTCACGACACAGATTTCATTCTTCATTTTTTTCACTTCTTTGTTGGAACGTCGAAATTGTGACAAACAAAAATTCTGATCCTCGTTGGAAACAGAGTTGAGACAAACACAAGAGAAACGTTTGACAGAAAATTATAATTGGTTGAATAATGACTCGAGGGAATTCTGAAAACGTGAACGTGAAAGATAATAATGGACTTTGTAAAATTCGAAATCGATGTGAGAAAATTTGTATTGATCACACGCGCTATGATTCACTTCCAATCACCTACAAAAATCAACCACATGACTCAAGTAAAACCACCACTCACCATCAAACAAAATGAAGATATTCATGGACAGATTTTGACAAGATGTCACTTGAAAAACTGCAACATTACCAGTTCTCATCTCATTGATTGCATTGTGGAAGAGAAAAGCAATGTCTATGGAGGGTATTCTACTGGCTGTGTTTTCGATCATTGTGCAGTTACCAATGCCAATCTTAACGCATGTAAATTGAAAAACAAATCAAGCGTTCAAAGCTGCAGTTTTACGAGCTGCCAACTGGAGCAATGTCATACTGCTGGCGGTGCTTTTACATGCTGCAATGTGATGGCCGGATGTGAAGTATTCCATACAGGAACTGCTGTTTCAAGTTACTTTTCTGTGCCAATTTTTGGAAGTGGTGCCAATAACAATCCTAGTGCAGAGCCTTTGCCACTGTTTGAAAAACAATGTTCGAATCATGTTTCAAAATGAAGAACTTATTTCCGTCTATGTCTGATCTTTATTGGAACAATATTGAACTGATATCAATTTTTTAAGGAGTGCTCCTTTCCTTTCATTGTTCTCCTCTTGTTCTTGATTCCCTGGCCCAATAAATAACAAGGATCGCGTCCAACAAAAATCATCATCCAAAAAAAAGTATTCATCAAATAACTCACAATTTCACAATACTCATGGGCAAACCATCTCAAGATCAGTTAAAGAAGATTTACGGAAAGATTAAATTTGTTGATTCCTTCCCTGATTACAAGGTTCAAGGTTAGTGTTCTTTCTTTGATATTATTCATCATCATTATTATTACTTAACAATCATTGAATATTTCAAGTGGTTGATTCATTTCCTGATCTCAAGGTAAAACTTGTAGACTCTTTCCCCGATTCTGTTGGTAAATGGAAGATTGTGGACTCTTTCCCTGACTATAAAATTCAAATTGTGACTTCATTCCCTGATTTCAAGATTAAATATGTGGATAGCTTCCCAGGATTGTAATTTGGATCATGATCGTTAAATAAAATTATTGCTCCAACAAAAACCTTACTTTGGCGCAGAATAGTCCAAATAAGATGTTCATTCTGCAAACAATTAATTATTTCTAAATAAGGCTTCAAAGCGAAAACAAAGAACTAGAAAAAAATTCAAAACAGGTCCTCAGAGTTCGAGCTGTCATTCAAAATACAACACGATGAAAAGTTCTCTAACAGCATCATCCACTCAAAAGATCCTCAAGTCTAGATCATTGGGCGTGGTGTACCAACACTCATTCACGAAGAGAAATTACTCTGGTGATATCCAATCTCATAATCAATTTAAAAAGGGAGTGATCTATACGAACGAGGTGAGTTGGTAAACGATTGAATAGTAATTTAATTCATACAATGATTCGTTTTTAAAAATTCAATTTTAAACAATTTAATGATATATATACAATTCCGAAATTATTTCAGCATGGTATTGATGTGATGAATAACAGTTTGCTTAATAAGGGAACAGCGTTCTCCATGACAGAGAGAGATCGTTTAGGATTGAGAGGACTCATTCCAGCCACTATTTCCGATATTGATTTACAATTAGCAAGACTTAAGGAAAGATATGCCACTATTTCGTCCGATATTGAAAAGTACCAATTTTGTACTCAATTACAAGACCGTAATGAAACTCTCTTCTATCGTTTTGTGATGGATAACATTAAGGAAATTGCACCCATTATTTACACTCCAACAGTGGGCAAAGCCTGCGAAAACTTTTCTCACATTTTCCGTAAATCAAGAGGAATGTTCTTTTCAACTTTGGACAAGGGTGAAATGAGATCTATGGTTTTCAATTGGCCTGTCGATAAAGTGGATGTCATTGTGGTGACCGATGGAGGTAGAATTTTGGGATTGGGAGATCAAGGAGCAAACGGTGATGGGTAAGTTGTTGGAATCTTGAGCCTTCTTAGAAACATAATTGTTTTCCTTATTTAGTATTCCAATTGGAAAACTCTCTCTCTATGTTGCTGCCGGTGGAATTAACCCAGGACGTGTGTTACCTGTCATGCTGGATGTTGGTACCAATAATGAAAAGCTTCTCAATGATCCTCTGTATCTTGGAAGAAAGCACAAACGTTTGACAGGTAAGGAATATTATGACCTTGTGGAAGAATGGGTGCAGGCAATTACATTGAGATGGCCTCATGTACTGATACAATGGGAAGACTTTTCGAGCGACAAGGCTGATATTGTTTTGGAAAAGTACAGAAACAGAATTTTATGCTTTAATGATGACATTCAAGGCACTGCAGCAGTGATTTTGGCAGGAGTTTTGAATTGCTTGAGAGCCACAGGTCAACAATTTTCGGACATTACCAAACACAAATTCCTTATTGTTGGTTCTGGTGCTGCTGGTATGGGAGTTGTAAGTGGCCTGAAAGATGCCATGATACGTGAAGGTTTAACTGAAGAACAAGCTCTTAAAAACTTTTACATTGTCGACAAGGACGGATTGATGACCAAGGATCGATTGAACTCTGATTTGGCAAAAGAAATGTCCGTGTCGGCTAAGAAATTTGCATCTGCTCGAGACGACATGAAAGAAGGCACACCACTGTTGGAGGTTGTTAAAAAAGCCCAACCTGATATTTTGTTGGGAATGTCCAGTCAACCAGGACTGTTTTGTGAGGAAATTCTTTCAATTTTCAATGAGGACTGCAAGAAGAGAGGCAGAACTCCAATTGTATTCCCTCTTTCCAATCCAACCTCAAAGGCTGAGTGCACTGCTGAAAGTGTTTTCAAAGCAACAAATGGAAATGCCATTTTTGCTAGTGGTAGCCCATTCCCACCTGTGACACTTCCTAACGGAACTGTGATTCAAACCTCACAAGCGAATAACATGTTTGCCTATCCTGGTGTTGGACTTGCAGCCGTTCTTTCAGGCTGTAAAAGAATTACAGACAACATGTTCTATGCTGCTTCTAAGGCGTTAGCTGCTACAGTGTCTGAGGAAGCTTTAGCAAGAAAGGAAGTTTATCCTCATGTTGAAGATATCAGAAATGTCAGTAAGAAGGTTGCCATTGGTGTGATGAGACAAGCATATATTGAAGGAAATGCTGCAAGGATTCAACATTTCAGCAAGGAATTCATTTTCAGTGATGAAGAGATGGACAAGTGGGTGTCTGAGAATATGTGGTATCCTGAATATGTACCTATCGTTGTTAAAGATTAAATGATCTGACAAGTTGTTAGATTTTTCTCGGTGATTGGTTATTCGAAATTCATGGTATTATTTATCTTCTTGCAAGCCCCAGAAAAGATGTGAACATTGTGACTCAAAAATTCTTTAATCATTCTAAATAATTTACAAGTTGTTAAGGCCCAACAACTCGGCGACTCTTCGACCATAATCCTTATCAGCCTTATAGAAGTTTTGCAATTGTCTCAATTGGATTTCTTTCTTGGCATTCTTCAAGTGCACAGCAATGTTGTGAACAAGTCTTGAACGATCATATTCAGTCATGACATCACGATAGAGGGCTCCAGCTTGAGCAAAGTCATCATTTGGATGATTGGTCTTTGAACGAGTAATGACACCAGAAACCTTAGTTGGATGTTCAATCAATTGCTTGGCCTCATAGGGTCCACCAAATGAGTTTGGTTCATAATTTGGAGCACTTCCACCATTTCCATTCACACTCATAAAACCATCTCTGAATTGAGTGTTCAATTTAGCCTTGAGTGGAGCATTGATTGGAATTTGAGCAAAGTTTGGTCCCAATCTATGTCTGTGTGTATCTGGATAAGAGAAGAGTCTTCCTTGAAGCATCTTGTCCAATGATGGTTCAATACCAGGAACCAAATTCGATGGTGAGAATGCAGATTGCTCAGTTTCAGCAAAGTAATTGTTTGGATTACGATTCAAAACCATTCTACCAACTGGAATGAGTGGATAATCCTTATGTGGCCATACTTTGGTAATGTCAAAAACGTCCCACTTGTATTTGGCAGCATCTTCGAGAGGCATAATTTGGAAGTAAACTTTCCATGCAGGGAATGTTCCTTGCTTGATTGTATTGAACAAATCACGAGTAGCATGATCTGGATCTTCACCAGCCAAACGAACAGCTTCCTCAACAGTCAAGTTCTTAATTCCTTGTTCAGTCTTGAAGTGAATCTTACACCAGAAACCTTCACCTTGTTGATTGACCAATTTGAAGGTGTGACCACTGTATCCGTTCATGTGACGATAAGAGAATGGAGTACCTCTGTCACTGAACAAGACAGTCACTTGATGGATAGATTCTGGAGTCAAACTCAAAAAGTCCCAGAATGCATCAGGATCCTTCAAGTTGGATTGTGGATTTCTCTTTTGAGTGTGAATAAAGTCTGGGAATTTAATGGTGTCACGAATGAAGAAAACTGGAGTATTGTTACCAACAAAATCATAGTTTCCTTCTTCAGTGTAGAACTTGACAGCAAATCTAACATGATTTTAAAGTGAAATGAAAACAATTTTTTTCAGTTATGAATTGTAGAATCCCAACACAGTGATCAACAACAATCATAATGATTTGAAAATATACTTACCCTCTTGGATCTCTTTCACTGTCAGCACTTCCCTTCTCACCACCTACAGTGGAGAAACGAGCAAACACTGGAGTTCTCTTACCAACACGATTCAAGAAGGCAGCTTTGGTAAATCTGGTAACGTCATGAGTGACTTCAAAATAACCATGAGCACCAGCTCCCTTTGCGTGAACGACTCTTTCTGGAATTCTGTTGAAATTTTGTTCAACGATTGAAATTATCAAAGGAATGAAAGGATGAGGTTTTGATCATTAGCATGGTTTGTATGGTGTGTGGTTATGATTCAACAAGTTATTGAAGCCATCAATCAGAGAAAATGCAAAACATTGTGATACAAACCTTTCACGATCAAAGTGAGCCAACTTGCTGATCAAATAAGTATCTTGCAAGAGGATTGGACCTTGATGACCAGCAGTGAGAGAGTTGTTGTTGTCGGCAACTGGATGGCCAAATTCATCAGTCAAAGTGCTGTGGAGTTTTATGGAAAGAATAATTTCGGATGGACAGCCATGGTGATGGTAATGAAAAAATATTTAATCATCAGTATTAACAAGAGAGAGAAACCATGATCAAGAAATGACCTGATGCTCTTGCACGGAAAATACCTACCTAGTGTAGTCGTAGTTGTAGTTGGACATTTTTTTGAAGGAGTTTTTTGTATCGCCTTTGACTCGATTCGACGACTTGAAAGAAGCGAAACGGAGAATTGACGAAACGTTGTAAAGTTGGGTTCTGGTTGGTTGGCCTCTGATTTGGTCTTTGTAGAACAAGGTTGAAGAATTTCAAAGCAGAAAATCTCATTCAACAATTGTTGGGAAAGTCCTTTATTTGAAAACGATAGAAAGTATCATATTGTGGAAATCAGCAAATCTTGTGAGTGCCGTTCCAAAGTTTCTCTTGTCGTTTTGTTGATCACCATCTTGCTTTCCAATTGAAAAAGGTTCAACAAATCCTGGAACTCTTGAATCCAATCAGAGATGGTCGATGGAGGACCCACCTCAGTTTATTCATTTGTACATTAAATAAATTATGTAAGCTGTCCAAAATTTACAGATGGTTGGATATTTGCTGTTGTACCGACCGTGGTTTTGGTAAATCCTTTGAGATTTCCTCCGTCCTAGAATTTCGTCCCTTTCCGTTTAACGAAGTGTCAGATTTTCGTTTCTTTGAATTTTGTTGAGCATTTTCACAATCTGGACACACATATGTACTAATAGAATTTGCTTGGTATTTCTTCAAACCCAAACATCTTCCATGGAACCATCTAGAAAATAATTATACGAGTTATTGAATATTTAAAGGCAAATTCAAGTACTTACTTATCACAACGATCACAAGCGATCATCCAACCATATGAAGCTGGCCTGTTGCACTTGCAATATAACGTTTCATCTTCACTCGAATCCTCGTCAGAGTCATTTTCTTCCTCGTCGCTAGCAGAATTTTCATCCTCGCTCTCCTCTTTCTTTTTTCTGTCCCTGTTGATGAATTGGCGTTTCTTCTTGGATTTTGGTGAGGAATCAGAATTGCTGGAGTGACCATTATTGATGGTTATGGTCGAGGTACCATTCTTTTTTGATCCTGAATCCTCGGGTGATGAATGATGGGTTGAAGAGGAGGCATTGGTTGTGGTAGACTCGTTAGATGGGGACGTTGAAGAAAATGCTTGATGTTGTAATGACGCTAGGGCATCAATAGTTGATGATAGTATATTTGAAGTAGTTTCTGATGTGGGATTATTTTGTGGGTGGGCTTCTTCTTTGATTGCGAAGATTGTTGTTGGAGAGGTATTTGTGGTAGTGTTGGTAGAGTCGTTGGTGGTACTATTGTTATTATTCGTTGTGGTGGAGGTGGTTGGAAACAAGATAGTGGAAGGAAAGTCTGAACGATCAGAATTGCCTATTACCGTGGTTGGAGACATCTTTGATGGCGTGTAGAGTCTCTTTTTGAATGGAACACTTTTCATTTGTTCCATGGTAGAATATTCGTGAATCATATTGTATGATGATGGAGTGGTGGGACGAGTGTGATTGGTAGTATTAGTTTTGTAAATAGGATGGTATTATATCTACGAGGATGGTCAAAACCAAATTGACAATGAGATTGGACGTAAAGTACGTGGAGGGTGATGGTGGGTAGTGTCGAGCAGGTGCTAGTTCGTTGGAAATGATGATAGTACTTTTGGATATTTGCAATTTGAACGGAAAGCAATATTCTCTTCAGTATGTGATGATAATAATGGCGGTTTGGACAAGTAAATATTCTTCCGTATGTTTCTCTAATTCATAGAAGGACGTGGGGAGTGTCTTGATCGTTGGTGGATGGAGGACGATCCTTGCTAGTCCTTGTTGATGGTGATATACTATGAATTATTGTTGCGTTGGTGAGCACCAGAGTTGGAGTTGTATTTGGGCAGTCGAGTCGTGATGGTCGAGTAACTTCAAAAGAAGCAAAGGGCTTCGGCTTTACGGAGTGTTGACACGTTGTTGATGGAGTAGAATATTTTTTTCTTTGCGAGAGAGTTGATTGGGGTTACAATGCGTTTGCTTGCTATTTTTGAATCCGGCTTGGCACCACAAACTACGCCTGAGCGTAAAGTGCAAAAACTGACGAAGAAAAAATTCGGCTCGTTTTAGTAAGTCCCGGAGTCAAAAAAAATGGAGTGATTGGTCTGTGGTGTTGTTTTCTGCTTCTCACACAAAAAAACACACCAACAACACACACAACATGGAAGCTGAATTAGTGGTCATTGAAGAGGGCACTGTGCCTCTATACTGTGTAAGTAATTGATTATTACCACAACAACAACATCATCAAACAACAATTTCAACACCTACACTAATCTTTACCTCAGCTTGGTGTTTCTGATTGTGATTCGAGTTGCGAAACAAATACTAATCACGTAAGTACTAGTGAATATCGTTCACCTTGTATTGATCTCAATTATCAAGGCCAATGAATCACCAGCATTGGATAGCCAATCCACAACGAACCAGAGTACGAACAATGTAAGTATTATGTTTGTCCAGTATTCAGCAGTAACATATTTCACAAGATTCCTTCATCATCAAGCATCGAAATGAACCCTTCTCACCCATCATCACCAGTAATGACTACCTCTACAGTATGTTTCAAATTTGTTACAATGTGTTTGCTTAACTTGTTCAGGAATGGATCTTCACAGACGAAACTATATCATTTCCACCTTGCTGTCTGTTGCCTAGCACAAGCAGCTTCTCTGGTATTGTTGATGAGACACAATGTACGATAACACCAAACAACAAATGTGATGATGACAATATTTCCCAACAGAGCAAAAAACGAAAATCAAGAACCACAGATGAAGCTGCTGAAGACACTCACAAGGAATATCAATTCACTTTAGAGAAAGGACTGTTTGAATTTGTACCAAAATATAATTCCTTTAAAGAAGTACCAGATGAGAAGAAACAAATTTATGGAATTATATGGGAACAGTTCGCCAAATGTGCAAGAAATATTATTTATCAACATCTACAGATGAGATGTTCAAACTCCATCAGCCATGAAACGGTTGGATGTTGCAACCCAAACGTGTTTTATCTTGCTCTGAGGGGAACAAAGGCTAAATATTACCAATGGTATCAAGACATTTTGTGGAATGGCCTAAAGAAGAGACAGAAGTGCATTCAATTCAGATTTACTGACAGTGTTCCTCCTTTAGACAAATGCAAGCATTGGTCTGAGTTGGAAATTACTCACTCACGTCTTACACGTAAATTCGGAAAGAAGATTACGAAACACAAGATGAAAATTGTATACATTTCTCTCACATGTAATGTGGAAACTAATCAAGTGTGGACATCGTTCAAGTTTGACAAAGAATTCGAGTTTGTACAATAAAACAATTAAATTCAATCCTCAATACACTCTAAATCACAAAAAATGTAATCAAATTGAAACTTTTCATCACCGTCCACAAACCAAACCACATCTAACAACAACTTTTTTGAAGGTCAATCATATGGACTTTCAAATCAAAATCACCACACATGGTGTTCCTCTCCATTATCTTCTTTCAATGTGCAATCACCGTCATCTACCGGTTTCAGTAGCATTAATCCCGGCTCTTTTGATTCACCAAGAACATCACACCATCTTTCGAAAGAATTTATGAAGATCTGATACAACCAAACCAATCCAATTCAATGAGCTATCAGAATATCCCTATTCAATATGGAGGATGTGAACATTTATTTCAAAATCATCAATCCTATTATCCACAATCTTCTCATAATTTCTCCACAATCCAACATAACCTTGACAATCCGAACACATTATCATCTCAACCTTCACAACATGAAACCAATCAAACCAACATTCAAACACACAACAAAATACAACAATTACTTTGTCGATAAGCTAGCTTCACTCGCATAAAACAAAAGCGAGGAGGTCCACCGAGCACAGAAAACAAATTGAAAATAATTAATAATATTATTGATAATACTGATCTCAATTTCTCTCAGTTAAGCTCCAAGGAGATGCTGTTATTAAATTAAAGAACAAGAGTTTTTGCTTTTTGTTGTAATTTAATTTTTCAAGTTGACATTAATTTTCACTCCAAAAAAAATGCCTTCACCAAAAGATGAGGTCGAGTATTTTAAATCACACACCTAAACTACGATTACACAGCAACAACGTGGAACAACTTTGATGTAACTTAGATACCAAGTGATCAGTACAAAAGATGGATTTTTATCGTGTAACGAGAAACTTGTTGAACGGTGTAATGACGGTGAATGTGAGTATTATCATCAACAATCAACCAATCCTTGTATAACGAAAGGCTGAAGAGAATTGCTTTCGAAACGTTAGTAACTGGCTTTGGTACAATAGGTGTGGTCATAATCAGGAGGAGGTTCACTTTTAATGAACGAACGTCAGCACTACTGAATAAAACTTTACAAGATTCTGAACCAATCCCGGAGTTTCTGCATTTCGTTGTCAAAAAATTTTTGCCTTTTTGAGTCGAATTTTTTCGCTGGTAGTTTTCTTATGGCGTAGTTTGTGGTGTTTGGCGCCTAAAATCGCACTTGCACAAACATGGGGAAGATACTTTTGATACATCAAGGGATTCTCTGTGGTCTTGTCTCTGGTTAAACTTCAACACTGTTTCCGATAGATGGTTGGTCTTGATTTCATCATGGGAGAGTGATTACTTTTTGGAAGAGCGAATTATAAGTGCTGTGATGGCTTGTGAGAGCACAGTCATAGTACCAGAATGACCTTGTTCGTTGAATGGCCATCAACTCTGGGCCATTCATACATCAAATCGGTTTATGGGTTGTCGTTTGGCGTTGTGTTTCAACTCGTTGTGGTTTCTTACGCCTTCAGCAGGCAGCCTTGCTGTCCAAACAAACACAGGGCTAATATTTGCCTCGTGCAAGCAAGAAGAAGTTTGTATCGGGACTCTTTGGCTCATCGATGAGCTTGTGTATGGTTTCTTGGCTCGTCATTGTACGAAAACGGAATTGCTCCTCATTTTTTCGATCATCAGCGGTCCAAACGGAAACGGCAGCAACATTGTCGACAGAGAACTATTAGAACATGTAACTCTTGTGGTATTTTTTATGGTCGTTGTTGCAAGAAACCACAAATGATTTGGCTGGCCAGGAATCTTGTATCGCAAGTTACTCACGGGATTGGAGAACTTGATCAAAATGCCATCCTGTATGAAGGGTGAATTTTTTCGTTGTGTCGTTTCTCCAAATGATGACTTTGAACTCTTCATTGAGTAATTGAAGTGTGCATTTGTCAAATCAATGCACCTGAGCCGGATTTACGAATCAATTTGTGTGGAACAATGATAACTCACAAGAAAACATATGAGAGAGGAAAGAGTGCCGTCCTGTTTTTGAATGTAATGAATTTCGTGCAACAAATTCATTAGAGCGTGTTTATTTCAGTGAGCGAAATTAATTGCAATTCACGAGCTAAATGACTTGGAGATTCATAAATCTTGGCCTCCATCACTCGTGTGGTCTTGTCTTTGAGTGATTCCAAATGCATACCTACAAAGTAATTCACTCCATTCACCACTTGCTTGTCCACATGAATGATTTTTCTAATGACGAAAACTACTCCATTTTCTCCTTCTGCCAATCTCTTGTTCAAGAAATTTACAAGTTCTGCAATTTTCAAAAAGTTGGTTTCAGGATGTCTTCCACCTGGTATGAATTTAGTGTCTTTCTCATCCTCTTGTTGAATAGGTGTTGGAGATGATACAGAGGATGAAGATGGTTCACTCTTCTCAATCAAGGAAACAATTCTGAATTCGTGAGGTAAATAATTGGGTGTTTCAAACACTCGAGCTTCGAATATTCTTGCATTCTTGTTTTCATCATTGCCAAAGATGAGATGTAATGTGATAAAATAATTGACTCCATTCACAATTTGTCTCTCTACTCGAACCACTTTGTGGATAGTGGCTTGATACTGTGCTTCGCTTAACTTGGCACCTAAGAATTGATGAAGGTCTGCGATCTTCTTTTTGTCTGTTTCAAGGGATTTTCCACCAGGTAGGGTTCGGAGAGTGAATTGTTCGCTTGGTAAGATCAAGAGAACACATATTAAGAGTAATGCTGAGACAACTGTCACAAAGGTTATGTTTCTATTCATTTTGTTGTTTATGTTGAATTAATTGTGATCTCAGATCGGTCAGTCATTCAAATGCCATTTGTCAAATTTAGCATTTTTTCGGTCAGTCATTTTCAGGTACTTAAGAGGAAGGCACGCAAAAGCAGTACCAGTCAAAAACTAAATTGTACCAAATTGAGTTGGCAATCAGAATTGGCATATTTTAAATCATATCTCGTTCTATTGGTTGACCTCTTTATACAACGATCGAGAAGATTACAGTGTTAAGGTAAAAGAATGAACAGCTTAGGCTGAAACAGCAATTTCAGTTTCAGTTGGGAGTGATTGATCCTGTGTTGTTGAGGTAGTAGTAGTAGTGGTGGGGTTTGACTCTGTCGGCGATTCCATGTTGGTTGATTCGTCTTGCTCATCTTCCAAAATATCTTGCGTCATTGTTTCAAATAAGCTGACATCTTTTTCTTCGTCATTAATGGCTGTCTCTGGAATGCAATAGATGGTGTCACTTTCAGTTTCTTGTTTTGGAGAAAATCCGTCCAATTTGCACAAATGATTTGAGTAAAATTTAAGGGAGTAGGTACATGTGCTAGGCTCTTCAATGTCACCAATAAAGTGAGCATGCACATCATGTGCAATTGTGTTTGTGAGCTGTCTTCTTTTCAAATCAGTGGCACAATACATTCTTACCTCGACCGTTCTTGGTTGACGAGTAAGATCACAAGGAGTACCCTTGTCAAAAGGAATAGAGACATAGCTTTCTTCTGGATGAATGTCATTAAAATGTACATCAAAGTGTTTGATTATTTTTGGATCATTCTTGGAGTCAGGATGTTCTTTTGAGTGACCCAAGAAAAATTCCGTGGTCACAGCTTGTTGTTCTTGATGAAATTGTCTGACATGTTTGTTGAAACAAAATTCATAGATCCACCATCCTGCAACTCTAAAATAGCAAGCTTGATTGAATTTTGGGAATATAGTTTGCAGTACCTCTTGTTTCACTCTTTCTTTTTTCACTTGCATGGATTCCGTTTGTGATTCGGTTTCTGTATTATTTTTCCTCACAGGAACATGACATCTGTGTAATTCACTTTCAAATGTCATGTATACAACCTGACTATTCTTTTCAATCTCATCCAAAATTTTTACATCTTCTGTAAATTTAATTTTATATTTCGGAGAGGCATCCGACAGTAAATCATGAGCACTCCGTTCCGATAGTACAAAGTGATTCAATCCTAACATTAGAAGTATCATCATGATGGTAAATATTAAAAGCCTTTCTCTCCGAGATGGGTTGAATGTGACCTGTGAAGATTGATCAGCGTTGAATTGCATTTTTTTAAAACTTATTTGCCAAAGCTTTTAATTTGATGGAAATAGTCAATAAAAACACGTGTTCCTACAATGACAACTATGAAAATGTACTTTGTTTTGTCATTGGTTATTCTGTGTATCACTGTATTAGTTATCAAAGAGCAAACATAATTTAAAAAATGAGCAAATTCAAACGACTGAAAAACCAACTCTCACCGACAGGAGAGTACGGAGAAACAACAAGCCTTCTTTCTGCTCAGTATAGCAGTAGCAGCTCGGGTGGGAGCTCCCTATCCAATAAATATGATGGAATAGACCAGCAGGATCATCATGCTTCTGCGGACGATCGTGATACTTCATTTCCGAACAGTTCGCCTCCAATGCAACAAGCTTCAATTAATAGCGATCCTCACGAGCAGGTAATTTCGGATTTGGAAGAATTGAAATCAACATCTGGTCAAAGTGGAATGCTGACTCGGCTATTTTCGAGAAATGTAAATGATGTAAAAAAAGAAAATTATTTTGAAGAGAAAGAAGCAAGACAAGGATCTCAACAAATAGTAACGCAGGTTTCATTGCAAGAAAAAGTTCATGGGTTGATTATTGATCTTTCTTATGCGTTGGGAATTTATGGTGTGCCTTCACATCGGTTGGAAATGCATTTGAAAACTTTACTTGAATACTTTCCATATGAAAAGTGCCAATTTAGATACTCTCCAACGAGTCTTTGGTTTTGTTTCACCCCAAATTTTACCAACACGGAATACAATGAACATGATGGAATAATTTCTCATGATAGAGAAGAATATTTATCTCAATCGAAATTTTATGTGGTGAAACTGGATGAATACGATCTCGAAGATATGGATCTGATAAAACTATGTGAATTGGATCAACTCGCAAGCGAGATACCAGGCTTAATTGAAATGACAGACAACAGTCCTGAAGCTCTTGCGGCTCTTATTGACGATTTAAGAGACAAAATAAGAACAATTATTTCTCGATATTCACTGTGGAAAACATCATTACAGCTCTACATTGCAAATATCATTTCTTCTAGGTAGGTGAATGGTTTGTGTTATAGGTCTTTATTATACACATAATTTTAGTGCATGGGTTTTATACTATGATGGTTCTTGGATGGAAGTTCTATGTGGATTTATTGTAGGTCTTGCGACAGGGGTTTTCACAGTCATTTCTGAAAAATATCCATCCTTTAATAGAGTTAATCCATTTGTATCGGCAATTGTTGCAGGAACAGTTGCATCTCTTATGAAAGTAATTTTTTCAAAATTAATGAGCGATGAAGATCGAGGTAAATATCCATTTTCTGTATTTCTCGTCACGTTATGCGCATTGTTTGGATTACTTCCTCATGTGAGCTTCACGAACGGAATATCAGGTTAGTATTTTCTCAAACAGTCAATCATGGCTATAACAACCATTTACACCAAATGCAAAGAACTGGCAACTAAAAATTTAGTTTCGGGAAGTACAAGAGTTTTCTATGCGTTTGTATTAATTTTGCAGGTATGTAGGGCTCTCTAGCATCACAAACCATTAATTTTCAACAGATGGGTTTTGGTATTGTCGTAGCAGACAAAATAAGTTATTTATTTAACATTTCAATGCTTCAAGAAAAGTATTTTAAAGATGGAGCCGATGACAGAGAAGAGTTACCATTATGGCTAGGGTGCCTTTGTTTGCCCTCAATAATTTTAGGAAATTATTTAGATTACAAATTACCAATAGTGTTTAGAAATCCCAATACAGAACAGCATCTCTATAATGAATCAGACAGATTTCGAACTCTGTCAGGATTTTATCATTTTGTGGTTAGGAAAATTCTTAGTATCCACTTGCCAACATTTGCATTTATTGTCTTGGCATCCTATGCTGTATATATTGTTACTACAGTCTCTGATGAATATGTGGGTGAGGAAATGTCATGCTTATTAGGGGCTTTCTTTGGTATGTTTCTGAGATGCATAATTGAAAATTGTTAATTATGGTGTTACATGGATACCAATAGGTGGAATTATTGCTAATATTTATGCTTACATTTCGAATAGACCAGAATTGGTTGTCTCTATCAAGTAAGTTGCTTTGAATGTAGCTCAACAGCTTTAAATAATATCATTAATAGCGTTCTTGACTTGTTAGTTCCTAGCACCTATGGTGTCACTGGAATTGCCAAGTTTTATAATCGAGGTCAAGATGATGAATTGCAGTCTGGTGTGAAATTTATTGCAGACTTGTTGGTTATTCACCTCTCACTGTCTATAGGACTACTATTGGCAGATCTTGTTTCTCCAAAACAGAAATCAAAGAATGGAGCTTTCACCATAGTCTAACACATGGCAAATACTTGACTCTAATTTTTCGTTGCGGAATGTTTTGCAAGAAAATTATTGGCAAGCTTGAAAAAAAATGAAACGAAATAGCGTTGCATCCGCAAGCTCACAAGCCAACTCTCCAGCAGCAAAAAATAAACGTCCATCAGTAGGAGATTCAACATCATCACGTAAAGAAGAAATTGAGGTATTTTTGCTTACTCGTAGCTTGGATGATCGGAGAGATGATTCTGTGGTTGAAAATTGGGATCGGATCGATTTTAGAATAATACCAACGGAAAGTACTCCCACCCATACGAGCATGGTTTGTCATGTGGAAGCCTTCAATGATGAAACTGTAGAAAGTGTGAGATTAGGTATATTAGTTGAAAATAATAGTAATATGGATATTATTGTTGCATTTGAGGTGGACAGTGTAGAGGTTGCAGGTATGGCTATCGTTGTTTTGAAAGGAAAGAGTAGAATTGCCGCAAATGTCAGGCATGACGGTTACTTGCAGCCTATCATTATCAGAAAAAACAAGCTGGCAGAGGACTATTCTGAAGTCATTCCAAAAGAAGAGCTAGGTAAAATCGGATGTATCAAAGCCACAATATACAGAGCGAATAAGGATAAAACGGTGGCAGACACACAACCCAAACAAGGTTCTGGTACTCCTCTTGAGAATAAGGCAATTAAGATTAAAGAATCAATGTCCAAGGATGGAGCTCTTTCAATGGGATTTGGTGAACGAAAGCCTATCATTGTTCAGCCTGGTTCGACTTGTACCAAATATAACCGCTGTGAAAAAATCAAGACATGGAATGTAAAATATCGCAACAAGATTGGGTTTTTGTGGACCCTTGTTCAAAATGGCATTACGATGGAAGAGGCAAAAGCACAACAGGAAGAAAATGAAGCACGAGGAATTGGCGCCAAAGAACAGGGTGTTATTGAAATTAGTGACGAAGAAGAATCTGACGCAAATGAAACAGCAACACCTATCATTCCCAAGGTTGCTCCAATCAAAAGTCAAACGATCATGGAGAAAGTGAAAGGAGTGTCGAAGCTAACAGTAGAGCAGAAGAATGTTGATGAATTGTTGAGTTTTATCAAGTCGATAGATGAGAATTTGTTTAATAACGTTAGGGCCACGTTCAAGAAGGAGCACATCGATGGAGTGGCTTTTTTGAGCCTTACACACAACGACCTAAAAGATATGAAAGTGAGCATTGGAGACATGATCAAAGTGAAGCAAATCCTTCAACAACTCGCAGAAAACCAATAGCTTCAAAGAGTTAACAGATTGGTGGAATTTCTGAAAGGTCTTTGTCATTCAACTTTGTTATGCTTGCTGCAGAGCTGAATTATTGTGATTATTGCCTTAACAAGAGCATGCTCATACTATTGATTCAACCTCTAAATACGTCTTCATTCAGCTCGGCAATTTGTTCTAAAAGGAATTGTAGAAAGGATTTTCAAGTTCGTCTTGTAATAGTCAAAAATACCTCAAATTTGTTTTGTAACCTTTTTAACATGATAGCCGCGCCCTTTCAATCATGTATTGATAATTGATAATTGATTTAATTGGAAATGGTTAATTCAATTCCATTGTACAAATAAATCGAAAAACTGCTTCTGGAATTCCTTTAAATCGTGAATAATGATGTCACCAAAGATTTCTCACCAAAAAAATAGAAACGTAGCAATTCATTCATGTTCCCAATGAACCACATAGTTGTAGCCGCTGTATTTGTGGCTATTTCCTGCTCTCTCGTTTTTACACAAGAAATTTCATTACCAATTACTTTCAATCCAAATGCACACCGATTCAATTCTTCATTAAGTGTGAGAGGAACAGGAACTGTCAAAATTCCTGTCACCCAAGCAGATATTACTCTCTCCGTAGAAGCTCAAAGACCCACTGCTACAGAAGCGCAACGACAAGTAGGTGAAGCCTCCTCTCGTGTGGTTCAAGTGTTGCAACAAATGGATTATGTATTCAAATTGAGAACCTCCACCATTTCATTATATCCAGTGTATTCGTATAATGAGAGTTCTAAGGAAAGCTTTGTGAGTGGTTATCGTTCATCGAATACAATTTCATTCTCTCTGAGTGAGTTGAGAAATACTGGTGCCGTGTTGGATAAATTAGTGGAATTGGGAGTGAACTCTATTAGTGGAATGAATTTGGTTGCGAACGAAACGCAAATTGCTCAAGCTAGAAACAAGGCCAATGAATTGGCTGTACAAGATGCAATGGCTAAAGCAAGTCGAGTGTTGAGTGCCATCTATGACGCTGCCTCGATGGATGCGTTGAAACAACGATTGGAAATTACCGAAGTCAATATTGAAGGAAATGCTCCTGTTGGTATTCCTCTCCCAATGTACAGTGCTGCTGGAGCTGACAGTAGCAAGTTTGTGGCATCGGCAGCTATTCCTGTGGTTGGGGGAGATCAAACCATTGAGTCCTATGTATCCCTCAAATTGCAGTATTAAGCAATAATTTTGTTGTTCGTTTTCTTATTGACTCCAGTGTGGAGTGATTGGGTGTGAACTTCTTCGTACGCGTTAGCAATGTTGCTGATATTTCTATTTGAAAATAAATTTTGCGAATTTGTCAATTATGGTAACAGAAGCTCGATAGACGCATGAACAAGTGAATGGCAAAAAAGAATAATGGTTTAAATTTCTCATCAACAAAATTACAAAGGAATATTGGCCAATTTCTTTTGTGGATTTTCCTTCTTCTTTGTCCTCAAAACTTCTAAATCTTCAATAATTCTTTGTCTGGTTTCGTGTGGCTTGATCACATCATCCAAGAATCCACGTTCAGCAGCAAGAAGTGGAGTGGCAAACTTGGAGCGATAATAATCTTCACGTTCCTTTTGGCTTGAACCTTCAATGCCCTTAATAATTTTAACAGCTCCTTCTGGACCCATGACAGCAATATTGGCTGTAGCCCAAGCATAATTGTAGTCACCTCTCAAATGTTTTGAGCTCATCACATCGTAAGCACCACCGTATGCCTTTCTGGTAATGACAGTAATCTTTGGAACTGTAGCTTCAGCATAGGCGAACAAAAGCTTGGCACCGTGACGAATAATACCACCATATTCTTGAGCTGTACCAGGTAAGAAACCAGGAACGTCAACAAATGTAAGAATTGGAATATTGAATGCATTAGCAAATCTAACAAAACGAGCAGCCTTCACTGATGAGTTAATGTCCAAAACACCAGCCAATTCACATGGTTGATTAGCAATAATAGCAACAGTCTCACCATTCATACGAGCAAAACCAGTAATAATATTCTTGGCATAATCTGGCATAATTTCAAAGAATTCATGATCATCAACAATTGGTTTGATGACACCTGTGAGCATATTGTATGGTGCGTTGGTATCAGCTGGAATTGCATGATCTAAACTGTAGTCCTTACGATCAATTGGATCTGTTGGAGCTAAGAGTCTGCTTTGTGTGTTTTCTCTATTACTAGAAGGCAATAAATTAATAAATTCTCTGGTAAATCTAAGTAATTCAATGTCATTGTCAAATGCACGATGAGAAACACCGCTTACTTGAGTGTGAGTAGTGGCACCTCCCAATTGTTCACTGGTCACAGTTTCACGAGTAACTGAGTGAACGACATCGGGACCAGTAACAAACATGTAACTGGTGTTACGAACCATGAAAATAAAGTCTGTCATTGCAGGACTGTAAACAGCACCACCAGCACAAGGTCCACAAATCAATGAAATTTGCGGAATGACACCACTGGCATTCACATTACGTTGGAAAACTTCAGCATAACCAGCCAAACTGGCAACTCCTTCTTGAATTCTGGCACCACCGCTGTCGTTGATACCAATTACTGGAGCACCCACTTCCATAGCCTTGTCCATGATCTTACAAATCTTTTGGGCGTGTGTTTCAGAAAGAGAACCACCGAATACTGTAAAGTCTTGGGAGAAAACAAACACTAATCTTCCATTGATGGTACCATGACCAGTAACAACACCATCACCTGCAGGTCTGTCCTTTTCCATTCCGAAATCAGTACATCTATGTCTAACAAAAGCATCATATTCTCTGAACGAGCCCTCATCCAAAAGAAGATCAATACGTTCTCTTGCTGTGAGCTTTCCTTTTTGATGTTGCTTTTCAATTCTCTCCAATCCACCTCCTAATTTTGCTTCCTTCTTCACTGCATCAACTTTTTCTTGAAGGCCACGAAGAATGTCTGATGGTGATTTTCTATCCGGAATATCCATCACACCAGAAGTATCAATAACGGTTGGGCCTTTATTTCCAAGGCATCCTCTCAATTGTGTGGAAAAGTTTGCCTTTTGAATTTGACCCATCATTCCAGTACCGCATAATGATGATGAAGAGGTCGATGATGATGTTTTTTGGAGAAGAGGAAGAAATCTTCTTGATGATGAGGAAGCCTGTTTGAGAAACATTTTTTTGTTGCGAATTTTCAATCAGAATTTCGTTGTTGGCCTCACCTTTGCAATATGAAACCTTCTGCTCAAATCGAATTCGTGTTACTTCCGATTTGGATGAATACCAAGAACAAGAATAAAACAAGCAAGAATAATTTGTAAGAATTATCAGGAATCATAAAAATATTGAAACACCAAGCATGGTCCACTTCATCAAATATATTTGGAGTGAGAAATTTATGAATGCTTGTTCCGTATTGCCTGCGTACAATCGGCATTCGGAACAATGTTATTACAAGGATCATTGTTTAGGGAGCTCGGAACAGGATGATGATGAATTTCCTTCGCGTTCTCAATTAATCCATGAATTAATACAAGCCTTTAAGATTTTTCATACTAACGAAATTGGATTGGACGAAACTGATGACGAGAAAGAAGGTGAAAATGATGAAAATCTCGATTCTCAAATTATTTCAAATAATCATTTGAGAAAGCGAACGGATATTGAAATTGTTGAACCAGAGAAGGCTTTGCTTCATGATTTGGAACTTTTCCATTCGAGAGAATATCTAAAGGCACTCTTTAAAATTGACAAGTTCTTGAAAAGAAACGAAAAACAATTTGATAAGGAGAAAAGTAATGAAAGCTACGAAGAAGGAATGACCGATAGTGGGGAGTCTTCTGATTCTTCAAGTGACAGCGATCAGGATGAGGAAGAAATTATGGAGCTCAGAAAAAAGTTCGGCCTTGTTGATGACGCCCACGATTTTCAAGGAATGGTAGGTACTAGAAGCAATGCGAGTTTTGTTGTATTCGAGTTCACATGAAAATAGCTTGATTACGTTTTATGGCTTGCAGGTTCTTGCAAAACAATATCTTCTATTGTGAACAAATTTTGTATGGAAAATGTTGGCAAGCAACATTCACTTACTATTTTCAATTGGGAAGGAGGTAGGCATCATGCACGGAAAGCAAAAGCTGCTGGCTTTTGTTATGTGAATGACATTGTGCTACTCGCGTTACAAATCAAGAAAAAACGAATCATGTGCATTGATATTGATGTTCATCATGGAGACGGTACGCAGGATGCTTTTTTCAGCAGTGAACGAGTATTAACTGTCTCGTTTCATCAGTTTGGGCCAGGTCTGTATCCTGGAACCGGTGATATAACAGAAACTGGCCAAGGCAGGTGAGTTTTCAAACAAAAGCTTATCTAACATCCTTAATGAACAGAGGAAAAAATCTCAATATTAATATTCCTCTCAAGGAAGGCCTCACTGACCAAATGTTTCAGCCATTATTCCAGAAAGTGATTTCCAAAGCATATGAAAAGTTCAAACCTGATGTTGTTCTCCTAATCAACGGTGCAGATAATTTAAATGGAGACCCACTTGGGTCGTGGAATCTATCAGATTCCAGCTTTCAATTTGTTGCTGCAATGGTTAGGAACATGTTACAACCTGAAGTGACCATAATTCTTGGAGGAGGTAAGAAATTTAAAAATTGAAAAGCGTCATGTCATGGGCTTATTTCACATTTTCAGGTGGATACAACTATATAAGCACAGGTAAGAAATAGAAGCGTTATCTCGAGTTTGTGAAGTCTAGCTTAACATTTTAATAGCGATTGCCTTTGCTACAGTTTCAAATGCGTTTGTTAATAACACAAACCTACCAGAACTGATCCCAGAACATCGGTACTTTGAATTTTATAAGAGCAATGGATTTTGTACGAAGGTTCCAAGTGGACACAAACCCAATTTGAATACTGAGTACTACATCAAGCAGTTGGAAGAAACAATTTATGACGCAATTGGAAGGTTAGCAGATTGAACTTTAAAAAAATGGGACCTGGTTTATCCAGGTGCAAAGCAACTGGTTGCCAATCTTCGGCAGCCACATGGAATTATAATCACCAAAGATTTTGTGCCCGTCATGCTTGGACATGTGAAACCTGTGCCAACTGTCAAACAAATCCTCAAAATATATTTTGTGAATTTCTTTACTTGTATTACTGGAGAAGAAGAACGCGTCATTTATGTAGCGAAAATGTTTATTCATTACAACACTTATTTAATGAAATACACCTTGATGTTTCCAAAGACCGAATGAGTAATAATGATTTAGCCATGAACCAAGATTCGCTACCATCATCAGAGGTAATGGATATTATGTTTGAAAATTATTTGCTTTTAGAAAGTTCACTCAAGCTTGATGTACAATTTATTCTTCCTCACAGCCATGCATCTAATGTGAGAGCCACGTACTATCAAGAGGATCCATCAGCAATGGTATTGAGAACAAAGCTCATGATCTTGTGGGAAATATTTGACGAATTGAACAGCAACGGGACTAGTCATGAACTTTATCTAATGGATTCTCTCAAAGATTTCACTGCATTTGAGAACCATGTCAAATCCAATTCAAAATTTGAGTTCTTGTGGGACGAGCAATCGAGCATTTGGTTAGAATTACTTTTTCCTTACATTAACCACAGTTACGCTCCTCATTTAACTCCAGTTGCTTTAGTGAAAGTGAATCTATTGGCCAACATTCCAGACCAAGTAGTTCTCTGCACCCATTGCTTGGAACACTTGGTCTCAAATAAGATTGATCAATACGTGAAGATACAACAACAGAGCCAATTAGCAGTTGCCGATCAAAATTTGAATACCACAGCAAATTATTTGCAGTGGCTGAGCAATGAAATCATGGGAGAGATTTTATCATTTCTTCCCTTTCCATATGGATACATGAACCTATCACTAATTTCAAGACAGTTCTATCAATTCATCCATTATGAATCAACATACAACTGGATCAGCAATTTTATAATACCATATCGTCACGCCTATTCCACCGCTCATTCCTCACTTGTACTGGAGACCACAGAGAGAAGAAATGAAATATTACTGAGTGATATGATGGAAAAAGTGTTTCGCACCTTCAAAGGTTTTAATGGTCTCTCCTCAATTCACAAAATTTACAATTTTTTCTTCAGTGATCGTGCTGATAGCTACCGCACACATGATTTTTTGTTTGAGCTTGTATTGTTTCAAAAGTTGTTGAAGAGAAATTGCAAAGATGGAAATTTGAAAACACATTTCGATACAATGGTTGTAGGCTTGTTGGACCAGCCAATTCGCTACTATCAAATGTATTGGTTATCCAAGCGAGAGAGAACCTCAGTCCGATTTAAACACTTGACATTGCTCGTTTACTTTCACTTGAGTGGCGGTAAGCATTTCAATTACAAGCATTTTAGAAGAATTTATAAGAGTCTTTTTTCGCAGAGTGAGACCAATGTAATGAATGTGGAATTTCAAGAGATTACATTTTACACCACTTTTCAGATCGATCCAACGTATTACTTTGACTTGAAAGCTTTTAAGACAAATCTTGGTCGTAGCTTGCTTCTAACTTCTCCCCAAAACACTGACCAAATTGCATCTTTTCCAGATTTTGACGAACTTTATTTTGGCCGATTGTCAAGAATTAGTTGTTTGACTGTCATTATGGTCCATTATGAGTGGCATGTCAAACAAATTCAAATGTTCAAAAGAGGATTGAGAATTGATCGTTTGAAATTTGTTCACTCTTCATCAGATTCAATCAGTAAGGATGATGTTTTGATCATGATGAAAGTATTGCGTGCTATTATGGAACAACAAATTGTGGTACTCCAGATCAAGCTTTCGTTGAAAGACAAACAAGAAATGAAACAATATGATCCACATGAATTTTCCATTCTCGAAACCTACTTTGATAGTCTGCAAGAGCTGCACTGTGATCACAAGAAATTTATTTGAACCATATTTTCATATCATTTTTGATCACCCTTTTTTGTTCAACAAATACGAGGGAGGTTGGTGGTCATGTAACTTTAACAACCTGTTAGTCAATAACACCAACAAAGGCTTCTGCTTTTGTCACTCACAGTTCATACAGTCAAAGACTGTAGCGGGAGTGTCGCCATATTCCTGGCAGGCTTCCCGTCCAAAATTATTAAGAGAGAAACAACTAATTGCAAAAAGCTCGTGCTGTGGTTAACTGGGTGCTCGTTTAAGTTAATATTTACAATTTTTCAACCCTTTACAGTGAATGTTGAATGTGACGAAAGCTTTATGGACGGCGAATCTTCAAAACCTTTATTGATGCAGTAAGGCTAATTAAAACAATCAATTTTAGTTAAATATTGGCTACGGCCATATCACGATGAATGCACCTCATCCCGTCCGATTTGAGAAGTTAAGCATCGTCGAGCTGCATCAGTACTGAGGTTGGAGACAACTTGGGAACCTGCAGTGCTGTAGCCTTTTTTTTAAATGAATACAGGTTGTTATTAAACCTTTATAGAAGTGAACGGAGTGACTATTTAATATGAACGTAACAGCAGGATTGTTTTATAGGTAATGACGCCTTAGCATGAACGAATTCCTGAAAAATGGCGTTGACCCTATCTAATTCCAAATGCAACTCAGTTAAACAGGTGAAGTGATCCTTGGAGAACTATTTTACAAAAAATGAATTTAAAATTTTCATTCATTTGTAGTGGTGGAGAGATGAACATGTTTCCTATAGTTTGATATTCTTATGGGGACAGGAATCAAAATTCTTTCTGTCCATTCAAAGCAAGCTACACTATCTCCGTAAAGTGACTTTTCACGAATTATTCAAAGGAATTTAGACTTGCCAATTAAAACATTCAAAGAGATGAAACGAGTGGTTTGCAATAATTGCAGTCATGTTATTTTTGAAATGATGGATGATAGGCTTTTTATTTATGATGTCGAATCGTTCAAGATGAAGCCTTTCAAAATGCATCGACGAGGTGATCTAATTGCTATCGGAGCTGGTAAGATGTCTCCCTATTTTTTATTTAATACGATACAGGATCCTACTCAATTTATTGCCTATCAATGTGAAACTGAGACTGAGGAAGCATTTCCAGTTCCAGATGATAAGACAAAAATCAAATTTATGACATCTTATTGCAATGATTTATTCATATTTATTTTGGAGGATAACAAATTTTACATTAGAAAATCTGGGTCAGAAGCATGCGGTTTGATTATTACCCAACAGGGCGTATGGTTTATGTAGAGACACCTTTCGAAAAGCGTTCTCCCGTGATTCAAATTTCATCTGGTTGTGCACATTTGGCAATCCTTCTTCAAAGCGGAGCCGTATTTGTGAGAGGACTCAACAATTATGGTCAACTCACAAGCCATCCTGAAATCACTCAAGCCTTATTTTTTGAGCTTAATATTTCTTCCCCAATTCAATCACTGTGTTGTAGATCTATTTGCACATGTTTAATTAGCGTAACAGGTGAAATAATTTTCATTGGTCAAATATTGATGGAATTAAAAAAACAGAGCAACATTGATCAAAAATTTATAGAGTACAACAAGATTTGGGTTCTCAACAAAGAATACGACGATCAAGAAGTGAGGTAAGTGTTAGCTTATTTCGTATTTGGTTGTTTAATTGTGAAATATTTTCATTCATTCAGCTTAGGGCCATGGCATGCATTTATTACAGAAAACGGATCCATATCAGAAAGTCAGATTGGTTTTCTTTTTGAAGTTGAAAGAACTCACCGGAAGAGGCGCATTAAGTGACATCATGTTTAGCTTTAACGAAAAATGATTGTTGCTCACCAATGGAAATGTTCGAAATCATTCTCAATCTGACTCAAACGAATTTGAAGAAATGAAACACAATATTTTCCAAAGGTTTTGTGACACATTTGTTTTTTATTAAAAAAGCACACAATCATCATTGCTTTGTGGTACTCGATAAAATTGCTTGAATGGATCTTGGGAACGAATAAGATCATGAATTCTCGGTACAATAAATATTGAGGTCGTATGATCATGAACTGGTTGTGGTCACTAATAACTAAACACCATACTTTGCTTCTATTAAGACCTTCCAATGACAATAGTGTTGGTAAACCAATTACAACAAAAACCTTGTTGAAAATAAAAAGAGAGAACAATTCTTCAGTCTTTTCTCATCACTGGAAGCAATTTTTTTGACATTCCAATGAATTTGAGTTGTAGTGGAAATCATCATAACATCCACAGAAATTCTAACATGGATTAGATTCTTTTCATCTTCCTGGAGAAAAAGGCAAAACAGTCATATAGAGCTGTTGAACCTTAATAAACAGGATTAGTAGTGATATTATACAGTGTATGATCTGTTTTCTTTTAAATTTTCCAGTCATTAATGACATTCCTGAAGCACTGGTATGTGCTTTCTGGACCTTGCAACTCTCGTGTGGTAACGTGGGGTACAATTTACACGTATTGAGCTCATTTGAGGAACATTCGGTTAACAAGCATCATCATAGCATTGACTCATTCTTTCTTGATACAATTCATCACTGTACTGTAGAACAAAACCATTGCATTTAAGAGCTTCCAAAACAATCTCTCGATCTTGTTGTAATTCTTCGCTTGCATATTTCAACGCGCAACCATTATTCTTAACTGCTGCTAACACAATTTCTCGATCAACGCAAATATATGAGAATCCAAGTACTCCCAGACTATTGAGCTGAATCGCTTGTAACATGAATTCTTTGTCTTGAGTAAATTCTTTTGGAGCCACTTCAAACACATTGGTACATCCGAGTTTGATGGCCTTCAACAAGAATTGTTTGTCACCTAACAATTGATCAGCTGCATATTTCAAAGCACTCTTGTCTCGTTGGATAGCAGCAAATACAATGTCTTGATCAAGCTTCATGGTGTCATCTGCGGACGGTAGAGCAAGAACATCTTGCTTTACAGCTGTTAAAACCACATCTTTGTCACGTTGTAACTCTTTGGATGCAAATCCAAGCACATAACCGTTGTGTCGAACAAGTTCTAGCACTACATCTTTGTCACCCTTTAACTCTTTGGGTGCAAACTCTAAGGCGTAACTATTTTGACGTAGAGCAGCCAAAACAATTTCTCTATCTGACAGCAACTCGTCAGGGACAAATTTCAATGCCTTACCATTTTGATTAACAGCCACAAGCACAACTTCTCTATCTCTCTTCAATCTATTAGATGCAAAATAAAGCAAATTGCCATCATTTCGAACGGCATTTAAAACAATGTCTCTGTCTTTCCTAAACCGTTTTGGCATATATTCAAGTAGAAAACCGAATTCTTGGACTACTTTGAGCATGATATCTTTCTGTAAATCATCAAAAGACTCTAAAGGGTTAAATTCAGGATATATGACTTTGAGAGCTTTTAACATGAAATCAGAATCTTTGAGTAAATCTTTTGGTACCCATGGAAGTGCTCTCTTATTTTGTTGAAGTACTTCAATAAAAAATTGTTTGTCCTTCATCAATTTTCCTAGTAAAGGAATATGTTTCAATGCTTCAACATGTTGTTTCACAGCAGCTAAAACAATTTCCTTGTCATCTCGATATCCCTTCATATTCATATACCACAAGGCTTTGCCGTGACATTGAACTACTTTTAATACAAATTCCTTGCTCCATAACAGTTCTTGAGAGACATAGTATAGTGCAGACATGTGTTTCTTTATGGCTACCAATGCCACTTCTTTGTCATTGCAAATATTACGACTTGCGTATTGTAGTTCTGATCCAGCATATTGAACCACATTCAACACAAAATCTCTGTCTTGTTGTAATTGTGTGGATGCAAATCGTAATCCATAGCCATACTTTTTAACATGATTCAACACAAATTCTTTGTCATTCATAAATTCGATAGGAAAGAAATTTGAATATTTCATTTCCCGATTCAATAACCATTTCTTCTTTCCCAATTGTTGCAATGAAAATTTCTTTTTCAACAATGTGCCCAATTTCCGAATGTGGCTAGAACTAGTTTCTGAATTCCCCTCATGATCATCATCACGATGAAAAGAGGAAATTAAACAATCAATCATGATCATCCGAGTATTTTCGTTATTCAGCATTGTTCTTGGAACCAATTTCTGTTTCTTGTTGTTGCTTGAAATTCTTTGCGAAAGCGGTGGTGAAGATGAGTCGATATTATGATTATCAACCCGATCACAAGTTGAATGAATATTACTGTATTCTCGTTTTGACATTTTTTACGTTTAAGCTGAAAAGCTCTATTCACGAACTTGAAGTTTATCCATTGGAAATAATCATTCCTTCTTTCTTTTCAGCTGTACAACCAAGATTTGCACATAGTTATTACTTTGTTACATGTAAATAGGCTCCATGGTAGCAATATTCCATTCTTGTTTGATACAACTCGTCACTGTATTCAAAAGCAAACCCATTGCATTGAAGAGCTTCCATTACAAGCCCTGAATCCCTCTGCAACTCTTCACTTGCATGTCTTAAGGCACATCCATTACTCTTCACTGCTTTCATCATAATATCCTTGTCACAGCAAATGTCGCGATATCCAAGAGTATTTAGTTGCAACGATGCCGAAATAAATTCAATGTCTTCAACAATTTTCGTACACCCAAGCTTAATAACCTCTAGCAAGAATGTCTTGTCACTTAAGAGATTTTTGGAAACGTATTTCCAAATACCAACATGTTTGTGTAGGATAGTAAAATAAGAATCACTCTGTCGTTGTTTGATGGCTTCAAGTACAATCTCCTGATTATTTTTCGTACTTTCATCTGCATACATAAGAGCACAACCATTTTGTTTGATAGCAGCGAGTACAACTTCTCTGTCCTTCTGTAACGTAGTTGACGCGAATTCGATTGCAAAAGCATATTTTCCAGACGTTATAGCAGCTAATACAAGTTCTTTGTCCCCTTTTAGCTCTTCAGAGACCCATTGTAAGGCATTGCCGTTTTTTGAAACGGCTGCAAATGCAATTTCTTTGTCATTCTTCAAGTCATCAGACGCAAAACGTAGTGACATGGCATCATTTCTGACTGCATTCAAAACAATGCTCTTGTCACTCTTTAATTCATCCGATGCAAATTGTAACGATCTACCATCGTTTCTAACAGCAGTTAAGACAATGTCTCTATTTGATTTGAGCGTATCAGTTGAAAATTCAAGTAAAAATCCACAATCTTGGACCAGTTTGGCCATGATTTCTTCCTTTGAAAAATCAAAACAGTGTACTGTTGTAAATTCTGGAATTATTAATTTGAGGACTTTCAGCATGAAATTATGGTCTTGAATTAAATCCTTTGGAGCCCATCGAAGCGCCTTCTTGTTTTGTTTGATGGCTTCAAAAATTATTTCCCTGTCGTATTTAAAATCGGTCAGCTGAACAAACTGTAATAATACACCATTTTGTTTCACAGCAGCTAACAAAATATCTCTGTCAATTCCGGATCTAAACCACAAAATGTCTCCATTTTGTCGAGCAGCTTCCAATATTAATTCCTTGTCATTACGTAACATATGTGATGCATAACGTAATGCCCTTGCCTGTTGTGTAACAGCCGCCAATACCACTTCTGGATCATTACGAATATCTTCACTCGCAAATTCTAATTCTAATCCATTGTGTTGAACTATTTTCAACACAAAATCTTTGTCTTGTTTTAATTGTTTAGTGGCAAAATTGAAACCATAGCCATACTTTTTAACATGATTCAACACAAATTCTTTGTCATTCATAAATTCGATAGGAAAGAAATTTGAATATTTCATTTCCCGATTCAATAACCATTTCTTCTTTCCTAATTGTTGCAATGAAAATTTCTTTTTTAATAAGTGTTCCAATTTCCGAACAAATTCATCATTTTCGACAATATTTTGTTCGTGATGATGAAGAAAAAGCATTTGAAAAATCAATCATGAACATTCTAGTTGCGGATGAGTGGCTACATATCAATTTTGGTTTCTTGTTTTTTTGTATGTTTAATGCATCTACCAATTCCATAAAACAACCATTACCGCTGTCATGATCTGTTGTGTGCTCTCGTTTGGCCATTTTTTTGAGAGGGTCAGCAAATAATTGACATAATAATATATTTTCAAATCGTATGTTTATTTAATCACTTTTTCATCTTTCTTGATTTTGTAATTTTCAAGGGAGATGAATTGGCTCTCTTTTCCAAAGTGTTATTCGACGATCGTTTCACTGTGACTTGCATTCCAGTTAAATTTGAAACGTGATAATCCACATTATTTCTTCTTCGGGTTCCACTCACAACATTGCGTGGATCAATATCAAAATTAGGTAATCGTTTGGTAATATCAATGGGTTTGGATCGGACCCATTCAGTCTTTGTTGGAATTTTATCAGTGGATGAAGATGATGAGGAATCGTTTGATGATGTTCTTGAGACCATTGTTATTGTCGTTATAAGAGTGTTGTGTTAGTAATTTGTTTTGTTGCTGAATTTCGAGATGTTTTGGCTTGAGTATTTATTGAGCTTGCTGTCATCCATTTTTTGTTGGAATCTCCTTTGTGATGGAAATTCACAAAATACTGGAAACACATTCAAAAATAAATTCATGATGAAAATGTGAGAATTTGAAAATCAACAACAAAACAAATATTGAAAACATCTGAACAATCAAACAACACAACAACAATGGTCTGCACAAGAAGCAATAAGGGATATTCCAATTACTCTTCTGAAATTTCAATGGATAATATCATCGGAGGAACAAGACAACGAAAACAATTCAATTTTAGAGTCATGAATCAATATGGCGATCATGATGGATCAGAAGTGATCAATTATTTCTCTTCACGACCTTCTCACAATACTTTGGAAATGAGAAATAAGACTTTCCGAAAGTAATTGTTCATTATTCAAACCTAATTCCTAATTCACCTAGGCGGACGAGATCTAATGTCTTTTCTTTGACCGTTCAAGTTCTGAAATGCTGCACGCTCAATTCGCAATGTTCTATCGAATTACTTAGTAATTTTGCTGAACCACATTTAAATGGCTAAAAGTGTTCATGCCATCCAGACAATAAATACAACACGCTCTTCTTCACATGTTTCTTCAACCAATTCTTCTGTTAAAGAACACAACAAAGGCTTCTGCTTTTGTCACTCACAGTTCATACAGTCAAAGACTGTAGCGGGATTGTCGCCATATTCTTGGCAGGCTTCCCGTCCACATGAATAACAAGAGAATTTTATGTCTTATTTCATCAACAACTAAGCAGAAAAGGTAACTTGGATACTTTGTTCAAGAATTGCTTTGCTTCTGCTTTGGCCAAAGGACTGTTGACTAGCTCGATAATTTGAATGATTAACATTGAATTCTAAGAAAATATCGTTACCAGCAAAAGAAATCACGGTGAGAACAGCCATCTTATAGGCGGAAACAACGTACCACGGATATGTAAAGGCAAAAAGGCTACAGCACTGCAGGTTCCCAAGTTGTCTCCAACCTCAGTACTGATGCAGCTCGACGATGCTTAACTTCTCAAATCGGACGGGATGAGGTGCATTCATCGTGATATGGCCGTAGCCAATATTTAACTAAAATTGATTGTTTTAATTAGCTGTGCTGCACCAATAAGGGTTTTTAAGATTCCTTTCATTTCTCTTTGACATTGATGTTACGCACTTTTACCAATTGTTAAGCTGAAGGATTAAAAAAAATGATCCCACAACAATCACTCATGTACACACCCACCACACCGCAAGATGATTACCGATCAACAACTCCGAATTTACAAGCTGATACAATCACCAATAGTAATAATGATGACCTAATGATAACATCCTCTTTATCGGCTGAATCGCTCGAAGAAGCCACAACTCAAGTCATGACAGATGATCCTAACATCACGAAAAGTAAAATTGAATTATTAAATCATGATGAAATTACGGAATGTCCTCCACCCATTTCTGAATATGCTCCCGATGATTATGAATCTAATGTTTACAAACAGGAAATAATTAGAACCATGAGCAACCAATCAAATCTTCAATTAATCTCCATTGCAACTGGACAAAGTCTTTTCCGGACCAAATATAATCAATTAAGAAAATTCTGTAAATTCACTGTTGAGACCCAAAAGCCTCTTCCTCCAATCCCAACTCCCAAAGAACAATCTGCATTGTTAGGATCACTCAATGAAGAGGTATTTCTGCGAATTAGGGCTCAACAACCACAACGTTCTCATGGTGATGATGATGAAGAATTTGAAGATGAAAATGATGAACATGTCGAAGGTGGAGAAGATGAGAACGATGACTTTTGGATTGACGAACAGGAGGGAGACGATGAGACCTTGGAAAGTGCTGGAGAACAACCACCACTGCGACAACAACCAAGATTATTACCAAGACGGGCACCAATACTCATTCCTTCACGACGTCATGAACCATTTCATCGACCATTCCATCACTATGAAAACAGTGACGAAGAAGAAGAACCTGAAGAGGAAGAACGCTACACCTTTGAAGATAGTGAGGAAGAAGAAGATGAACAAATGAGAGATCAAGAAATGTAAGATTTGTGAATGACGATCAGATTAAGGTGAGAACATAAAGCAGGTTTAAAAAAATTGGAATAATCAATTCAATGATGAAGTTGAATAAGATCTTTCACGACAAGCGTGAAATTCACTCTTTTGCAGAAGCAAAGGACATCGCAAAGATAAAGGTAACATTTACATCCAAACGTACTCGGCACTGAACAACGTTATCCCACTTTTTGAATCAGTCTCCAATCAAGTTTGCAACACACTACTTCTCATTATGATGGTTCAATAATTTGCCATGAGCGGACTGCAGGACTCACGACCTCTCCATTCTCCAATCAACGCCAAACGTTGTAAACTCACTCCGCAAATGTACCACAAAAGAGCCTGAGACGCGAGCCTTCTGCTTCTGCCAGCTGCCAATCACATTCAGCTTTGTCTCCACCAAAAAAATGAGATTTATCGCTTCCCTCGTCATTTTGGCTTTGATCGCCAGCGTTGCCTATGCTCAAACTCAAGTAAGTATTTACACCATCTTCAAAGTGATTCGATTCTAACATTTGTACTAAATTCTCTCAATCGGTTGTGTACTTTTGGAAATCTCTCAAAACATCGTCATAATAATTTTATTTCTCGTTCGATGTGCGATCTCATCAAAACCATATTGTCATCATAACTATCATTCCATCACCTATGGCATCATGTGTTCTCTTTTGTACATACAACAACAACTCACAAATCACCAACAAATTTCTTGTGAATGATGATGAATACATTAACCTATTTTTTTGATGTGAATTCACACAATAGCACTGTATCAGCAAGGCCTTTATCACCTCCTCTGTTGTTGTTGATGCCAGCAAGGCTTTCGATGATATTGAAAGAGTTTGGTTCGATGCTACCACCAACAAGCAAGTAAGTGTGTGAATTTTGTGATTTTTTCATGATAATGATTCATTGACACTTTGTGTGAAACGACCATTCATACTACTACTACTACTCCTCTTCCACACGTCCACAACAAAATGGTTCAACACTCATTCGAATTTATCCATATTCTGCTGTGAAAAAAACTTCTTAGAGAACCGATGTTGAAGCCTTCTCTCCAGTTCGTAGAAGTGTTTCCCTCTACTTTAGACATGATTTGCAAAAGGGTTACGAATATAACAAGATCACTGGTGAATGCAGATCCTTCCCAATTGGTGGTACTTTGCAACCATTCTGTCTTGCTCAAAATGCTGTCTTGAACGGAACTGTCACCATTGGTGGATCTTTGAAGTGCACTGTCTGGAATGAAAACCTTCGTGGTTTCAATGTTAGATTGGTTTTGGCTCCAAACCCAAGCTTTGGTATTCCAGTCAACGTGATCACTAAGGGTGGAAGAGTTGGAACTGCTTTCCAAGAATTCTTCAACTTCCAAGCTTATAACACTTTGCAAGATCAATCCGTTTTTGATATCCCAACTTCATGCAACCGTGCTACTAGATCTGCTGCTGAAGTTTCTGAACTTGCTTTGGATGTCATGGAAAGACATGCTTGGTTGAATTAAATCATTCAAAAAAGACGATTTTGAAATACTTCATAAGAGAGCATGCTGATAGTGTGTGATTGGTGATTGATTTTCACCACGACACAATTTTTAATAAACAACTTGAAGTATTTATCATTATAAATTCTAATAACATGTTTTTAATTGGTCTTTGAATAGGGTAAGAGTGGGTGGACACAGTTCAGTTTTTTATCAACCTCAATGATGATTTCCATGAGGTCAATTTGAAACAACGAGTTTACAAGTCACATACATTGATTGTGGATTCGAATTGAACACAGTAGCTGTTGTGCATTGTACAGTTTTTCGAGTTCTGTCTACGAACCTATTGATTTGTGAATGAACAACCAACCGTTTCCAAATGTAACTCTGAGTTGAGCACAACAACCTCTTCTTCTCTTAACATTCATTCAAGGTCATGAAACTATTTGAATGTTGAATCAACCTTGTCCTTCACAAGCATTGTTTCGAACGAATACCTTTGATAAAGTGCTCTGCATCTTCTCAATTAAAGTCTACCACATCTTAAAAAGGAACATCCACGAGTTCCGTACTTTCGGATTTACCCAAAATATGTTGTCGACCCACACAAAAAAACAACACTAACACAACACCCAGCCGAAACATTTCAACATCAGCAACAAGAGAGTGAGCGATAGGATTCGACACAAAGAGTTAGATCATCATCATCAACACAGTTGATTCAACAATATTCATCCCTTTATCATTCAATTTTACCATCATTATTTGAAGAACAGAAAAATTCACGACCAGAAATCATGACATCATTCACTTCCACGTTAGTACCTCTCACATCACCAACATCAACCATGGATATTAAACAACGTTTTGGCTTACTTTCTGAACCCTCTCAACAACAACTATTACCCTCATCCTCACACGGAGACTCTTCTCGGAGGCTCATTGTCGGTGAGGACGGAAAAGAAGAGAAGGAAAAAAGCCTTTTTCATTCTAATCATGAAGACGAAAGTTGCTCTTCTTATGATCATAACAATAGAAATAGTAGTAGCCCAACCGGAGAAGATGAGGCTTTTAATGATATGACAACTTCTACTTCACCTTTTCAATCATCGACATCACGGAAACCAATTGAATTTCTCTCTGCTGTAGATAACCATCATCATCACCATGTAAATAATTCCAACATTCCTAACAAGACAGATTTTACTAGTAGCAGTTCCGGCATGCCATTACATCCGTACGAAAACATTCGAGATGAAAAAAGTTCATTACGGTACTTGTTACAGACCTTCTTCCAAAGAAGCAATATAAAAGGAGGTTTTTGGGTAACTTTATGGTTTTTACTGAATTTAATTGTGGCATTTGGAAACAAGATTGTGTTTTGGGGAGGATTTGAATTTCCTGTTATTTTGTCTTTGAGCCACATGATCATGTCTTGGATTCTGTCTTCATTGGCCATTGAATATTACAAACGAAAAGCAGTGAACAAGAGTGAAATTGAAGAATATGAAATCAGCCCAGAGGTGAAAAAAGAGCTGTGGCTGTACATTGGAGTATTTATTTTGAACATTATCTACGGAAATATTAGTGTGTTTCGAACCTCGTTACACATGTCACAGGTATGTATTGTGATGGAAATGCACTTTTATCATTTTTCATGTCAATTCTCGAATCCACAGATTGTTCGAAGTACAGTACCTATTTTCGTACTAGTACTGAGCTATCTCTTCATGGGAACAAAGACCTCATTATACAAAGTTCTCATCGTTACTACAGTGATCATTGGTGTGATACTGACAGTATTACACAACGTTGAAATCTCCATTTCTGATTTAGTGGTCCTATTAATTGGCAATTTATTCGCTGCATTGAAGACAACATTAACAAACAAGTCTCTTAAAAGCTACAAAATCCATCCATTGGTTCTCATCAAGTTTGTTGCTCCTTTCGCTTCTTTAGGAATGTTATGCATTGCCTTATTCAACGGAGAAGTTTTCTCATTGTCGAAACGATATCATCAAGTAGAGTGGTGGAAAGGTTATGGATTTGTGTTCATCACGTCAGTTCTTTCCTTCTTCCTAAATACCACTAACTTTGTAGCTAACAAGACAACCAGTCCTCTCACCATGAGTTTGACAGCCAATTTGAAACAAGTGTTAATTGTCGTTGTGAGTTTAACCTTAATGCATGAAGAGAGCATTACCTTGTTGAATATTTGTGGAATTGCAATCACCTTGTCAGGAATGTTCCTCTATTCGATTCTCTCTGTGTAGGAGTGAGTCACATGGAATAATCAAATTGAATTTGAAATTATGAAACAAGTAGAAATATTTCGGAGTTTAAAAATCTTACAATAAAAAAATGTCAAGCTCCGTATCGACACCCTCCTCTTCTACCATTACTCTGTATTCATTCAAGCCTTCGTCTTCATCATGGAGAGTCCGTGCTGCTCTCTACCATAAGAAATTGTGGCCACAAGTAACCATTGAAGAAATCTCCTTGTTGGACAAGGTCAATGAAAAACAAGAATACCGGGATGTAAATCCTATGGGACAAGTCCCATGTCTGGTCATTCATGATCAAGTCTTAACACAATCCATTCCGATCATTGAATATTTAGAAGCAGTTTTTCCAAATCATGGTCATGATGATAGTACTGGTGATTTGATTCCTAAAGATCCCATTCTTGCCTTCAAAGTCCGACAACTCTCAGAGATTATCAACTCTGGAATTCAACCCATGCATAATGGACGTGCCATTCGTATGTTACCAGAACAGCAACGAACAGAATGGATGGAATATTGGGTCCGAAATGGTTTGAGCGTGATTGAGAAAATTCTTTGCTTGAATTATCCTAACGCACTACCATCCAACGAAGATTACAAGTATTGCATTCCTCAATATGGAAAATTGAGCATGGCTGATATTTGTCTTGTCCCACAGGTATTTGTTGCTAAGACTCGTACAAGTATTAACGTGGACGAGGAGTTTCCAATCACTTCAAAAGTTTATTCAAATTTGATTAAGATGGAAGAATTTGTACAAACACATCCTCAACTTAAATAAGTATGTACATTCAAATAAGTGATCGTGTGTGACGTATCAACTGTTATTTCTTAATAATTATTATTTGTAGATGTCAATGAAATTTTCCGCATCACTCATGTACCACAATGCTTCATCGATGGTAATTAATTTTCAAAATTGTTATTCTATGGAATAGTTGTTTGTGAACCATATTTGACGTTCACATGAAATTGGGTTCAGAAAAGAGCTTGTAAAAATAGTTCCTCGTTCTTCTTGAAACATTTTGCCTCGAATCGTTCTCTCTCCATAAGAGTTGATGAATTCACACTTCTCCAATCCAGGGATGTAGATCCATGTACAGTCTTTGAATTTACAGTAGAAAAATCGCATGGACCTTAACTTTTTAAAATGTCTCGCGAACAGAGCAAATAAGGAACAATCTTCAATGTCATTGATATTATACACAAGCACATGCTCTACATTAGGAAACAGTTGCATGGTTCTTGAAAGATATCCTAGAGAAATCGAGTTCATATCTATATATTGTGAGTTAATAATTGGAAAAGTTTTTTGTAAGCTTAATATTGTGTCAAAATAAGCCTTCCACGATCGATTCAATCTTCTCAAAATGACAGCATAGGGCATGGGAGAGAGGTATGAAAATATTTCCATTAATATTTCATCAGGAAGATAGAATTGATCAAAATCCGGACAAGATTCCTCACTCAAACAAGGACAGCAGTCACTCATTGGATGATCTTCCTCTTCTGGAGACCATGTCATGCAATGATATTGCTGGACAGGAGAGTTTGATTCATTTGTGGTTGCAATCTCATCTTGACTTGTCACACTGTTTCGTTGACTTTTAATGAACAAACTTTTCGGATTGCAATTTATAGTATTTGCTTCTATCAAATCCACTAAATCATAGAGATAGGCGTCTCGATCGACCAATACAACAGCACTGTATGACAGTACCGGTTGTTGTGGAAGATGCGGAGATGAATGAAGTTTAGCATGATGCGGGAATGTCCACGATGAAGACTCGGAAATTCTTCGTAGCATTCTTTAGTTAGGAAGGTGAATAGTTAGAAATGAATCGATGTAGGAAGAAGAGAATGAGTGCTTGAATTAAGAATTAGTGTTCCGTTTGGAATAATTACAATTTACAATTTTCAAATAATTCTGTTTGCAGTTTGTAAGAGGCAATAACAGTCTGAAGGAAAGAACCGTGATTTGCAGCACCAGTGACGTTGTTGTACAACCCTCGGAATGATGGCTTTCAATAAGCCTCTGCAACCTCCAATCGAGAGAGAATATTGTTCAAGTTTAAATACTTTTTTTAAAGTCTGCTTACGGAGAGTTTGAGCGGGCATGTACTCGCCAAAGACAATAATGTCATACATCTCTATTAATAGAGAAGAATAGTGTTGTGACAATGCAGAGTATTTGTCAACTGTTTACAAAATTGAAAATTAAAGATGCAAACAAGTTCTTTGAAGGAATTTACTGAATTTCGAAAAAGAATTGTTTTGTATAAAACGGATACAAGCTTCAGAGACTCTGAACCTCAAAACTTCACGAGTTCAAGTACCAAATGAAATAGTTTCCAAAACGATGTATGGACACAGAACCAGTGACAAGTTCCCATCTAAGATGCTTCCTAATAATTATTATTACTGAATGCCCTTTTCCTTCATATAGCATCTGATAATTTCTTGATCCATCTCATAATAGCTCGGTATTTTGGCTGCAATTTTCGGATCCAAATCCACCAATCCAATATCATAGGCAATTTCCTCATCACTACTTCCAACATGTTTGAGATTGAATGAAATCATCACGGAGCAATCCTTTAAGCAATGAGCAATCAAATACATGCGAAGTATGTGCCAACAAAACTTCTCATCCGTTCTGCAAGCCTCTATCAGATCATCAAGGGTACGTAACTGAGGTCTCACTCGTGAATAAATTGATATTGGAGGCTCTGAATGTTTTCCGTTATTAGAAGAAAATCCACTACAAGAGCATTCAAATTCTATACAACCATTGTTAGTGCTCTCGTTTTTCAATTCTTGTTTTAAAAGATCCATCCATTCATTCATCTCGTTATTAAAATTGAAAAGTAATTCCTGAATTTTCTCATCACTTCCATACTTGTTTTTCAATACAGAATAAACATGAGGATATATAAATTCAATATCAAAACGATCCAATCGGTGCAAACGTTGCAAAGTTTCCATAATATTCGAATGAATCAAGCAATAACAAATACACTGTACAAATTCTTCCATATTCTCTACGCGATGCTTTTTCAATATTTGGTTTAACTCTTCTCGGAAATTGCGACTCGGAACCACCACACGATTATCATCAAACCACTCCAATTTTCCATCAATATAGAGCCTCATATTATTTTGAGGATTATCAATGAGATCATAAAGACCCTTTTTGACTCGTTCTTCCCGACTGGAAAATAGGTTCGTGGGACAGAAAGCACTCGTGTTGAGAATGAGTCCTTGTTTGAGTTTGGTAAATTGTTGCATGCAATAGCGACAGGTTTCATACTTGATGGGTTTGTTTTGTGAGGAAATAAACTCGGAACTGCAAATCATTCCCCATTTGGGTTTAATTTCAACGCAAAAGGTATAATCACAAGTCGTGTCTTGTTGAGAGCTTGTTTCATGATTTCTGTTGAATGTAAAATCTCTCATGAGCATGGCACTATCGGCATAAATGTCAAAATCGAGTTTGTAATTAAGCATTTGTTCGGAACGGAGTGGATTGATTTTTTCTTTAATTTCTTGAAGAAATTCTCGACTCACTGAAATTGTTTCCTAATTCATGGACATGTAAAATTATTTTAAATCGCCATTTGGGTTTTGTAATTGCAAAATTCAAATAATTATTGAATGAGAAATAAAATATTAAATATAATTAGCAACAATCATGCTTCCAATACGTACTCCTGGATCCACTAACTCTTGCCCTTTTTCATGACACTCGTTCAATAATTTTCCAATCACATCTTTTACATAAATTTTTAAATATTCTTCTCGGGAGGACACTCCTTCTAATCTCGAGTATGTGGAATTTAACTCGTCTTCGTAGGTTTTGTGTGAATTGGATGATGATGTCAATAATTCTCTAGGACATTTGCGAACTCTCAACACTTTTCCTCGTAACTGTGTTTGTATGATGAAACAACATTTGTAAAACCACCATAGTGTTTTTTTCCGAATCGGATCACCATGTTCGAACACAATACAAACACCATAGTAAACCAACAAGTCCACATAGTAAAAGGTTACTAACCTTTGAGGTTGTATGACCGCTGCTTTCGACATGAGAAAGGATCACGTTTCCCAACCCTTCGCATTTGTACTCCCAATCGTCGGAATGAAGCGTCATAGGGCTCGACATTTTTTATGGAGTTTTGGGAATTGTTCAAAGGACGAGACACAAGTTTAGAATGATTTTTTTTATATTTTAAAAAGATTGTTGGTAGAAAGAATTAATCATGGATGACACCTTGGACAGTGAGATCTTCCTTTGGTTCTTGAACAGTGACAACGTCAGGTTGTGGCTTTTGGTTGGTTGGACCAGTACCAACAACCCAAGGAAGCATAATCTTGACCTTAATACCCAAGACACCTTGCTTCATGTAAACGTGACGAACAGCAATGTCAACGTAGTCCTTAACTGGTTGACCAGTTCTGATCATGTATCCTTCAGCGAATTTCATGGACTTGGCTCTTTGAGCTCTGAGCTTACCAGAGACAATGACTGCACCACCCTTAGCACCACTGTCCATGATGAATCTCAAGATACCATAACAAGCCTTTCTGACAGCAGTACCATCAGACAACTTCTTCTTGAGCTCTTCAGCTTGAGCAATGGCAGACAATCCCTTATTCTTGACATTGTCAGCATATAATTCAATCTTTCCTTCATCGAAACCGAATCTCTTTTGAATGACAGAGGTCAATTCCTTCAATCTTCTTCCGTTATCACCAACAACACGTTGTGGGCTTGTAGCACGAATGACGACTTCAGTTCTAGCAGCAGTGGCTCTGAGTTCAACTCCAGAGTAACCATCTTCAGCGAGTTCTCTCTTTAAGAATTCGTTCAATTCAGCATACAAGATACCTTGATGAACGAAGTGCTTCTTCTTGTTGACTTGTGTGGCAACCATGTTGTGCTGTTGGATGGCTTTTAAATAAATAAAAAGAGTGTGAAAGAGACACGTACTTTTGGCGTATTTTTTTTCAGACAAAAATTAAAAATTTTCAGGTCAACCTATAACTACAATTTACAACAGCAAAAAAATGAAGCTTTTCTCTGAAGCCGTTGCTCAGGTGTTGCGAAGAGGCAGGCAGCCAAATATTGCCAGACAGCCCAAGAAACTCATGGGCCACTTCTCCAAGAGACACGGAGGTTTCATCTTTGAAAAGGAGAAGGTACCAATTTTTGCCAACCCAGACTTGTCAGATTTTAAAGTATGTAAATTGTTCAAAGCTCCAAAATCATGAATGACTGTTCCGAATTTTGTGATGAAAACGTCCTTTCAAAATTTGTATGAATGATGTTCAAATCATGATGATACTTGCGTGTTGATAATTTTAATAACGTTCAAATGTTCATCGGAATTGTAATGATGATGCAAAATATGACGAACTAAAATTGTTATTATTTTCGTTGATGATTTCTGTTTTGAACAACAACTTGGATAATGATTGAAACGCTATTTCGAATGGTGTACAATTTCTGCAAATCATGAAACACTCTCATTACAATTTTCAACAATTAACGATTACCACGAACAACAGCTGAAACCATATGTCTCGCATACGACACCAAAGAACCCACAAAAAGCAACAACAAAAACTACCACTACTGCATAACTTGTCTACAAAATTCTAAAGCATTGTCATTTTCTAAAACCTATGGATATTTTGCCACCCCTATTTCTATCATACTACTCCACACACCAGTTCACAATTGCATGCTAGACTTAATAAACATTTAATTTCTTAATTTATACAAGGCTAATCAGCATTGTAATGGGGACAAATAAGGTCACTTTCAACAGAGTAATTATGCACGAGCAAGTGATATCAGTTGAGCATTTGAATTCCTCAATTACTCACAACACTTTTTGTTCTTGTTATCTAACAACTCCTTCATTCCTTCAAGCAATTCTTTCTTTGGGCTTTCTACTACTAATTGTGTTTGACTCTTGCCGAAAACGAGAGCCAGCTGGTGATGTGTGAACTGCTTCTGCGCAATAGCTGCTTGGTTCACAGTGAATGTCATTGTATCATCACCCTTCCACCATATTGGCAACGCATGGCATATGGGATTCATCATTATCTACTACTCTGACAATCAGAATAACATCGGTTCACTATCACATTTTCAAATAAAAAGCACTGCTCCGTTATCAAGCATTGCTCTTTGTCTCACCACATTTCCGTTCACGGTCTCAACTCTCTCTCTGATTCTCAAACACTGAACACTTTAAAAATCACAAGAAATACTAGTTGTCAATTGTAAGTGATTATCTCTCAAATTCTTTTTTATCACACGTTTCCATCGATGATGCCAAACACCTGAACCTGCTTCTCTCTCTGACACGAAACACTTTTAATCGCCATGTGAACTGCCTCTTGCCAAATCCGAATTCGGATGCTTGCGGCATGTGTCTGCGGGAACACGGTGCAATAATACTTTAAAAATTTTGGACCACACTTTTTAAAAACAACAACGCAACAGCAGCAGCATCAACCACGCAATAGACGAGGACGAAATTAGCATCATCATCCACCATCTTCGTTAGCTGTTTTCTTCTTCAGATTCTTGGACAACAACGAATATCAACCATCTGTTTTTTTCAAAAAATTCCTTTCGGAGTTGTCTTGCAACAACACGCAACAGTTGATCATCAAATAGCCTCATTTCTTCTCATTCCCGATTTTCTGTTGTTCTTGCGCAAGTTTGAGTTCAGTACTGTAACGGCGAGCACTATTTTGAAAAATATAAATTGGCTCTGGACGACCTCACACAATATATTCAGCTCAGGAACGACCATCATCGCAACATGAATTCTCTTCCTCAACAATCAACACAGCTTGATGGAGAGTTAACTGGCCCAGTGGAGGTGGCTCAATACAACACGACGTCGTTTCCACCACCACCACCACAACAGGGCTTGCATGCACAATCTCATTTCCATTCATCAACTCAAAACACCGCTGTCACTTGCTCTTCCATAAATGACATTGATGACATCTCTGCTTTTCTCTCCATTCCACAACAACCCCACACTCTATCACAAATTGATCAACAACCACCTTTTCATCATGTAACCTCCCTCAAAAGAAGACTTTCACTGCTTGATCCAACATCACTCGCATCGTTGCAACAACAACTCGCTGCATTATCAAGAGACATTTCTTCTTCGTATCGACAATGTGAAGCGATTTCAATTCAATCACCCACAAGTCACAATTGCATTCATAGTATAACGTCAGATATGGTGAACATGTCACCCATAACCCAACAAGAAAGGAAGAAACGAAAGAAAAAAGTTCCACATGCCATTGTAAAACAGGGTTATCTCATGTTTCATCACTATGAGACAAATCCTCACAATTTGCAAAACACGAGATTGCTCATGAGAGAGCCTGTCATTTGTATTTTAAACACAAAGAAGATCCAGCTGTTTAGCCTTAATTGTTATCAGAATCAATTAGAACAGCAACAACAATTACTGTTATCCCTCACTGAAATTTCTAACTCTTCCACCAACAATAAGATCCCAATTTGTGACAAGTACTCGGCCAATTTGGTTGGAACTATTTATTTAGATGATAGAATTTGCAAAGGAAAGGTAGTTGTGAAATGGATCTCCCCAACGTGTTTTAGCGTGTACATTGAAAAGAACCAAACTCAAGAATCCTCACTCTCTAATGACTGTACAGAAAAGACAATTACTAATCATGTAAACACAATAACCAACCTTAATAGAGACTCATGTAAATCAACGTTTAACGATCGTCTCAAAAATTCAACGACTAGAGATGAATTTGACATTTCAATGTTGCCTGTGGACATGTCAGCACCATGCATGACTACCTCCATGACAACAGATAACGACAATGATTGTATCATGCATGAAAGAAACACAGAGGATCGATTGGTTTTTGAGGCTCCCAATGATGCTGAGGCACTCCAATGGATGTCACAAATTAAGCAAGTCGCTGCCACTCTTCACAATGAAAATGTTTACATCATTAGTGAATTACTTCTCAAAATTTTTGAATACCTCGACGAGAAGACCTTACTATGTGGTGTTTCCCTCACAAGTAGAAAATTCTTTGACGTGTCGCAACATGATTCTCTGTGGTTCAATTTATACAAACATCACTACGAAAAGATGTCCTATGATATTAATTATTACAGACACATGTTGCGAAATATTTTAATGACCTCGTCTCAACCAATAGCTTCCCCAACTCCAAACAATGATACTTCCACACCTCACTCCCAAAAACCAGAGATTAGAGACGACCCAGACGCTCTCTATGGTGATCAAGTTACTTGGAAATACATTTTCAAGAAACGAATGACTTATGAAAAGAAACATCTCCCTTCACTCACTGACTCTTCCACCTCTAGTCAACCATCCTCTTCCAGTGCTAGTACCACAACTACAACTGCATCCAATACCAATTCTCAAACTCCAAGTACCACAGGCACTCCACCATCATCTGCTTTGAACAATAACACAAATAGTTCTACTTCTGAATCATCATCTCAACAACAACAAGTACCCTCACCTCCATCCCAACCACAGTCAACAACCAACGAGCAGCAGAATTCTGCTGAAACCAATACTGAGAATTCTGCCACCGAACAAAAACCACTGACCAAAGAAAATGCAGAAAGACTTCTTAAAGAAGAAGAAGAACGAAAACGAAAGGATGAAGAAGAAAAGAAGAAAACACTTTCGTCACAATATCTCAAGAAAGGAAATGCACTTTTCAACGCTGCTGACAAATCTTCAAATCCTTTCGTCAAGAGAATGCTGTGGATGTTTTGTGTTGACAATTACGAGACATGTCTCATGCATAACGAAAAGAATTGGACAGCTGCTCGAAATTGGTGTGTTGCTTTAATACGGCTTGAAAAACTTGCACATAACTTGAAAACGAACGATGCACAACTATATCTTGTTTTCCTTCTTAACCAATGCATTGACAAATTTGAAAGATGTGTGAAGTATGCTCCCAAAAACGATGAAGTAATTACACTCTGGGCTGGTACCTATAGTGACCTTGCTATTAAGGTTTCAGATATTGAGCTCAGTGATCACTTATTCAGGTTATCTCATGAGAAGTTTGAGGAAGCTGTCAAAATCAAGTCACATATTGGAACCTATAACGATTATGGTATTAGTTATTGTGATTGGGCTGAGAAGAGAATTCGATTCCTGAAAAAACGTGTCAAGATGTCAACCTCTATTCTCAAGACGGGAGCAAATACATATCTCCTCGACTCTGATCCCAAGTCACCAAGTAAGACTCTAAATTCAGGAAATCCATTCTCTAGTGCTCCATTGCCACTTTCTTCCTACTTCCCGAATACTCAATTTTCCAAATACTCTACATTCACAGCTCCAACTGAAATTACACTCGAAGAATTCGAAAAGGAGCGAAGAATTATAGAGGGATATCTTGACGAAAGTTCCAGGCTCTACGACATGTGTCTCAATATCAAACCAGATTATTACCACGCGTTGAATAATAAGGGTTTTAATGAAAAGCTCAAAATTGACTTGTTAAAAGTTCGAAAGCATTCTTTAAAGTTGACAGACGAGCAGATTCGTGAAACAGACATTGAACGAAAAAGACTCATCGATATAGCTTGTAATCTTTTCCAAAGATGTATCGAGATCAAGGACTTTGTGATTGCAAGAAATAACTTTGGAAATGTCTTGTTACAGGAATCCAAAGAAGAGTCTGGTGCTGAGAGATTTAGACTTTTAAAGCAATGTATTTCACAATATGAGCAAGCCATGATTCTGGAGCCTAACAATGATGGATGCATTTGTCGATGTTCCATTGCTTATTTGATGAAGGCAGAAATTATTTTGGCTGAAATCAAGTCTGGAGAATGTCAAGTACGGTCAAGTTTTGGTACCCTAGAGCAACAACATGCCTATCTTGAGCATTTGTATGAAAGAGCCAAAGTTGGATTCAAGTGCATTAAGAATGTTTCTCTTTCACATTACAATTTGGCATGCCTCAATGCAATTTTTAATAAGAAAGAAGAATGCAAAAAGGAACTCTTCTCTTGTGTGGACATTCTTTCAGAGCAAAAGTTAAGAGAAGATAAGGATTTTGACAATTGTCGAAAAGAGCCATGGTTCCATGAACTGATGGAAACGGTATCGAAAAGACAATCGGTTCCCATTGGGCCAACCAACCAAAATCTAGATTTGTAAAACTTGGATAAAGAGCCTTAAAAAAGTTTATTTCTGATACATGGATTGAGGTTGTGGTTGTTGTTGATAATTCGCTCCAGAGCTCTGAGCATTGTTCACAGCACCACCATTGTTGTTGTAATAAACGATTGCTCCATTGTCCATATTGTTATTTCCAATCTGAGTTGTTGCCGTATTATTATAATATTGAGTATTTTGTTGTGGCTGTGAAACCATGACATTGGTTGTTGCAGGTATTTGTTGTTGTTGCGTTCGAGGCAGTGTCGTCGACGTTGCATGGCTAGTGACATTTCTTGTGGTTGTTGTCGTTGCTTTCTTCTTGGTAGCTCCTGAAGAAGCAGAAGAAGATGGAGTTTTTCTTCCGTTTTCAATATTCAAAGGTTGTTTCTCACTATCATTAATCGATGAAGCACGTCTACTACTACTACTTCTTCTTCTTCGATATATACACACTCCCAAATACACCACAAGCATTAACATAAAAAGTGATGTCAACACCGAAGTGACAATAACTCCAATCAGCCAATCTTGTGGAATCAATACAGGAAATTGCCATTGATGCCAATGAAACGTGCTATAACTTGCACGAGCATAGCAATTATATGGAATGACCGAACGATTGGAAACTAATTCCAAAACTTGAGCTGCTTGCTCCGGAGATGTCGAAACCATTCCCGATGCAATTGTGGAATATCCTCCATAATAACCATTGTAATTGACATACCACTCGGCTTCATAACACAAAGAGGTATAACTTTGACATGTCGTTGGGGATGGTTGTTGTTGCAGCAGCTGTGTCACTTGTTCTTCATTCCTCTGTTTGAACATTTCCAAATTTGTCGACGTGGGATCGGAACCACCATACATGCGAGGTGGTTCAAAATTACGAATATTAAATTGTTGAGCTTTGGTACAATCCTGAACCGTACACAATCGTTGAGTGATGAATTGTCTCTGAATATGGCATTGATACGTCTGTAATGCATTTAAATCGGAATATGCCTCCGAGTAGAGAATGGAGACCACAATAAGTGAGATCAATGAGGCGAGTCCAAACACAACTAAATACGAGCCGGGACTGCGTGCTGTGGAGCTGAAATAGGGTATGAAGATGAACATTTTTTTTTTGAAAGAGTTTTGTCTGAGAGAAGGACAGTACGGAGTTTACGGAGTAGATTGATTCGTGTGTGAAATTCAAAGGGTGGTGTGAGGGAAAACACAAGATGACATTTTTTAAACTTTTAATCAATGCTTTGGAACGAGCGGAGTGTGTTGGAATGGATCAGATTTTTTGGGTCCATGACACTTCGAACTGAATGCAAATTTCAAACATGAAAGTTGTTCGAATGGTAGAAAGTATGTATCCTTTCATGATGATTCGTCAAAGGGCGACAGAATCTCGAAGCAAAGTGGATGGTGTTACTGAACTCAAGAAACACTCCTCACCAAATCGAAATGAATTGGAAATGTGAAATTCCATGTCACCCTTGAATGAATTTGTGTGAAAACGCGCAAGCTGGTAAGTTCATAAATAAAACCTTTCAAAAAAAATTTCATTACACTTCAAAAAAAACAACCACACTATACTTGTTCAAAAACATTCTCAACATCTTTCATTATTTAACCATCCATCTTCACAAGACAAAATATTGATAATAACAATCATCATGAACAAGACAAGATTGAACAAGGGCATGGTATTGTCCATTGTGGTCATGATTCTTGTATTGAACCATCTTTCCGTCACGAAAGCTCTTCATTTGGGAATTCATTCGACATCTTCAACCACTTCCTCTGAGTTGAATCAAGAAGCCATCAAGATGGAGGAAATTCCAACTCGGTTCGCTCAACTCTATGCTCCTTCTTCTCCCAAGCATGTGAATTCAGACCATGCTACCATTTTAAAAGTTGAAGAAACAGAACAATCAGGATATGTTTACCTCTCTCAAGGACAAACCTATTCTGGAGTTTTAACACCAAGTGATAATGTTCGGTACTTTAGATTAAGTGTTCCTTCTGAATCGTATGGAGACATTTCCATCTACTCCAATAATATCTATTCGGGATCTATTTATTTCTCATTCGATACTCCACCCACGACCACTTATTATGATTATTACACAACATTTGGTTCCAGCACTCAATACATTAGAATTGTCAATACTTTAATACTTTGAGTTATACCATGAAAGTGTCTTCATTCAGTAACATGTTAACTCTCGGAGGATTGATTGGAATTATCATTGGAAGTGTGGGAGGATGTTGTTGTTGTGTGTTGGTGTGTGTGGTGTTGATGGCTGTTGTGATAACTTCACAAAAAAAACGAAAACAACGAATGGCACAAATGCAACAAGTGACAACAACAAACACAAACGCAAGCAATCCAATGATTTCTCCAGCTCAACAACAATATCATCAACCATTTTTGGAAGAAGGTCATGGAGTTCCTGGAACTACAAGTTCTCAACAACACTATTATGCTTTGAATAATTAATGAATGTTTATTTGAATATAATTAAGGTTTAATATTAAAATAATGATTGATGAAACATCCAATTTTTGACATTTTCACGTTGTTTGGTTCCTGACTTGTTCTAACTGGTGTGAAGGAATGTTGCGATTGCAAACAATGAGTTTGGTTGAGCTACAGGTCAATGACAAAAAATCCCTCAAACCAATCCTTGATCAAAGGAGGGATGTTTGGTAAAGGACTCGATTAGTTTCCTTTAATTGATTCCAAACTCTTGTTGTTTACGATGTTGAAATATTTTCATTTTGTAATTGTTGTGTAAGATTTTGCTTTTACAATTTGTGGTGTTCTCGGGTTAGCACTTCGAACCCAAAATTGTTGTCACGCAGTTTCTTGTTCAAATTATTGAATGGTCAATCTCGTGATACACCAAGAAATTTTTTCCTCATGTGAAATTCATAAAAATTCTGTAACGGTGACATTAATGCACCTTCTGTTTCTATTTCTTGTCGACCTGGCGAATAAATGAGACGAACTTGCAAGATCTGCAAGTACACACTATTTCATGCAAAATTCACAACTAAAACCTTTCAATTTTTAAAGTCGAGTTTATTATCCAAACAAAACAAAAAACAACACGTTCTCACTTGATAGTTTCCCAACCATAAAGCCAATAATAAGACAGAATAAGACCACTTTTTGTCACCACCATGAACACGACAAGAATGAACAAGATCATGATGATGTCCGTTATGGTCATGATTCTTGTACTGAATCATCTTTCCTTCACGAAAGCTCTTCATTTGGGAATTCATTCGACATCTTCAACCACTTCCTCTGAGTTGAATCGAAAAGCAATCAAGACAGAGGAAATTCCAACTCGGCTCGCTCAACTCTATGCTCCTTCTTCCTCCAAACATGTGAATACAGAACAAGCTTCCATTTTAACACTTGAAGAAACAGCACAATTAGGATATGTTTACCTCTCTCAAGGACAAACCTATTCTGGAGTTTTAACACCAAGTGATAATGTTCGATATTTTACATTAAACATCCCTTCTGCATCCTCTGGAGACATTTCCATCAACTCCAAAAACATCTATTCGGGATCTATTTATTTCTCATTCGATACTCCACCCACAACTACTTATTACTATTATTACACAACATTTGGTTCCAGCACTCAAAACATTAGAATTGTCAATACTTTTTCATTCTCTAAAACATTATACATTATGGTCAAAAATCCAAGTATTGAGAATACTTTGAGTTATACCATGAAAGTGTCTTCATTCAATAGCAGCATGCTAACTCTCGGAGGATTGATTGGAATTATCATTGGAAGTGGGGCAGGATGTTTTTGTTGTTTGTTGACATGTCTGGCGTTGATTGCTGTGGTGAGGATTTCACAAAAAAAACGAAAACAACGAATGGCACAAATGCAACAAGTGACAACAACAAACACAAACGCAAGCAATCCAATGATTTCTCCAGCTCAACAACAATATCATCAACCATTTTTGGAAGAAGGTCATGGAGTTCCTGGAACTACAAGTTCTCAACAACAATATTATGCTTTGAATAATTAATGAATGGGAAAATGTAAAGCTTTTAATATTAAAATAACATTTATTAATATTAAAAACATTTATTGAGGTACATGTACCAGTTAGGATTCCATCTAAGGAAACAGGGTCCTTAGTCTTCAATCTTGTCAGAATAGTTGTATTTGTGGCATCTGCCAACGAAGAGGGCTAACAGTACCTGGATTTCAGGCCAATTCCTTTCAATATCTGGGACGTGCCTTATCGCATCACTATCTGGAGGTAGGAAACCGAAGTGATGGATGTAGAAAATGGGACGATGTGGATTAAACCACGAATTCGAATCAGTGATTGTACATGGTTGGGAAATTAAAGAAGAGATCTTCATTTCACAAGTGTATCTCGCAGGTTCAAGCTTTTGACATTCTTGTATGTAGTGGTGGAGATTGGGCAATATTAAATAGCCCCGTCAGGAATTATTAATATTAAAAAATGAAGTCAAGCGTTGTGTTACTCAAGGGAGCGCGGTCATGTTCCATCCTGTACAGAGGCACCTTGTCCTTAAATTTAATTTATTCATCATCATCATCAATTTGCAATCGTAATTTTAATACCAAGCTCGGAATAAATTGTAACAAACGAAATGATTTCAGAGAGCAGCTCAAACAACATGCTTCTCAATTAGAAAAGATTTTAGAGGAGGATAGAAAATCATTGGATTTGGTTTCTTTCGGAACGGTTGTAGAGCCTGCTGATTTGGCAAAACATCCATTCTACACCTACGATGTAAAGATTTACAAAATGGGATGGGATTCTGATTTCGATGAAAAGGAATTTGTGGAGGGAGCTAAGCTTGCTTTTCGAACAATTAGAGAATTACTTGTTGAAGATCCATCTCAATTGGAACCCATGTTTACTCCTGAATCCTACGAAGCACTGAGAGATTGGTACAAATACGTTTCCGAAGAAAAACATTGTAAAATACAGGGAAGCCTTGACTCAATTAGTGAAGCACAAATATTGAACATTAGAATTGATGCAGAAGGAGCCACAATTGTTAACGTGAGAGTAAGTGAAAATATGACTGTTGATTTTCAACATGATCATGCTGAATGATTGTCATGATTCATTAATTTCGTTTAAAATCGTAATGATGAAATATTATTTTCGAAATGTTAAACATGAAACTCTAATAATTTAACATATTTTCTATGGGCATCATGACATTTCAATGGAATCATTTGAATTTAAATAGCTCAAATTCAAAGAAACTCTCTACTTGGAAGATGAGGAAGGAAACGTGGTATCAGGAAAGAAATCTCCTCTAACAAAAATTGGCGTCATCTCCTTTTTCAGGCCAGACAAGGAGACAGACTGGCAGGTGAGAGCTATTGTCAATCCTTACATTTTAACAAGCACAGCTGAAAATGATGCTTAACAAAACAGAAAACATTGGAACTTTGAAAACTAGTATAATAATACCTCTATTCGAACCAACCACTCACATGCATTGGAATTCTCAATAAATAAGGGTAATTATCCAAACTTGATAACCATTCGAGTGGCCGTACGAATGTGTTTCCATAGCGAATTGAGGCTATGATCGTTCCACCTTAAAAAAAAATGGCCATCAAGAAGAAGAAGAAATCAAGAAAGGAAGAAGAAGACACACCGTTAGTAGGTATGTACAAGCGAGTGATGATCATAATACACGTTCCTATCAAGCAATGAAATGAAAAATAACCAAAGTGTACACGACATATATTGGAGCTGTTCCGCAAGCTCTCTCTCATTGCAAATGGTTGGAGCAAACGTTTAAATCACTCAATGTACGATACAAAAAAGTGGATCTCGGGGTTCAAAAAGATATGGTCTCTTTTGTGAGGCAAACTAGTGGAAAGAGAGAACTTCCTCAAGTTTTCATCAATAATGTTTATATCGGGGTAGGTTAGAAACATATTGAGCCTTAATTGTTCATTGCTTGGCGGCAACTACAGGGCTATGAGGAGTTCTTTGATTGGCATGAAGACGGAAATGTATATTATGTCCTCAAAGAAATGGGATACAGTGATCCGATCCCTGAAGTATGTTTGTTAAGGCGAGTTATGTACAATCCATGTAACTAACTTTTAAACAAATGCATGACTTTAAATATCAAAGGAATTTGACAAATCCAAGGAACAGATTGACCAAGAGGCCGAGGAATATGTCAAAAGCAATGAAGGAGTATTTCAAGAGATCAAGGAAAAGGCAAAAAAGATGGAAGCCGATATGGAACACTTGCAAGCAGTGAGACGGAAGTGGTTGTTCCTTCGAAAACAAAAATTATATGAAAATCTTGCTGATTCTGAAGGTGACAGCAAAGAAAATTCAAAAGATGCCATTGAAACGAATGTCAATGTAAAGGACATGATAAAACGTTTGAATGCACAAGCAGCGTCAATACAGCCAACATTTCCAACTAAAAAGATGGCAAGCGCGAAGGAGGACAATGCTACTGCAGAGAAAAAACTGGATGCCACGCCATCAGAACAAGTCACAAGCGAAGAGATTCACCAGCAGGAACAAGAAACAGTTCAAGATGACGACGTTCCTCTACCTGTCGATGAATAAACTGCTCTATCCAACTTGGAATTATTTTTTTTTATTTTGCATCACAGGATTTGGAATTATTTTTTTTATTTTGCATCACAGGATCAGTCGTCAACGAGCAAAACCTAACAGATGATTAAATAATTAATTTTTGATTTTTCTTGTTTATTTACAATGGACGTTTTTTGATTACAGTTAATCTAGGGGATTTGTTGAGGAGGAAAATTAGGAAACAATGATCGGTTCATAAAATTTAGTATCCGAAACCGTAGAGTGTTCTTCCTTGTCTCTTCAAGGCATAGACAACATCCATTGATGTAACAGTCTTTCTTCTAGCATGTTCAGTGTAAGTAACAGCATCTCTGATGACGTTTTCCAAGAAGTTCTTCAAGACGGTACGAGTCTCATCATAGATTTGGCCAGAAATACGCTTCACACCTCCTCTTCTTGCCAATCTTCTAATGGCTGGTTTGGTAATACCAGCAATGTTATCTCTGAGGACCTTCTTGTGTCTCTTAGCACCACCCTTTCCGAGACCCTTACCACCCTTACCTCTACCAGTTGTTGTTGTCATTTCTTTTGATGATTGTTGTTGTTATGGAGAATTGATTGTGTTGAGAATTTTTTTTGATTTGGACAATTCTAATTTAAAGCCTTCCGCTGAACGGTGGCAGCGACAAATTGTAACGGTAATTTTTAGAGCCACTTTCAAAAAAAATTCTTCGTTTTGATTGGTTGTAATAAAGTTTACAAAAACAGCAGTATCCCAGCCAACAGCCAGACCAGCTTGCACAAATACGAAAACAATTGGTATTCGCATTGTTGTCTTGCGAGGAACCGCGGCCACTGTTGAATTAGATCGAAAAGAGTCATGCTCTTTCGATTCGCTCATTCATGACGCGTCATGTGAACAATTGAGATTAACAAATAAATAGAGAGATGTTTACTTTATTCTTCTTTGATACAATCTAAAAGTGTTGAATTGGAGAGGTTGCAGTCTCACCAGTCTTGACACCATGCAATTGCTTGCTTCCGGAGAAGTGGACATAGATACGAAGATGTACCACATCATCACCAGTGTCCACCTTCACAAAGTAATTGGTACCAGCAACAACTTGAGTGGCATACTTGAGTGCTTCATACTTTTGCAAGGTCTTACCGAGCTTTTGTTCGACTTCTCCTTTCACGGCGTCGATCACTTGCTTGACTTCTTCATCGGCTGGGTGTTCGTTTCCAATACTGAAAGATGTAGAGAGTGGTGTTGGGTTAGAATTGAAGAATTTGATGGTGTGGTGCGTTTATCATCATGATGTACAAGTATTTCCGTACAATGTTGTGTTTGTGGTTCCGTCCATCAGCAGATCAATAGACACGCGTGAATCATCATGATCCAAAAAATCTGGAGTAAGCCAACAACACCACTCTGAAATCAACAAATTTCTACTTACGATCCTGGCTTCATTTTTTGTTGTTTGATGATTGTGAGTGACGATGCTGATGAGGCGATGGAGAAGCTTTTTATGTCATCACGAGAAGGAGGCTTGAAAAAGGATGCTAATAATTGTTTGAATTCCTTTTCGTGAGCTGCATGAAAGGTTACGTTTTATTTAATAGAAAGGAGGTTCAACCCGAACACGGAACTTTGTTGCTTTTCCTTCAAGGAAGCCAAAACAATGCCTTACAATGGTTAGTCTCCTCAAAAAGAGCAGATCCAATAGTTTCTTGTGAAGAACACCAATACAACAGGGCAGTGTCAGACATGGTGTTTACAATTCAACCTCAGATCTCGCCTAATTTCTATATTCGGGGATTTTTAAAGCATTTCGTGTTTGTAGTTGACCAGCAACTTTTTAAAAAAACAACTTCACTTCTCACACTACATTCGATTACCATCATGCGATTCCTCTCCTTGCTCGGCAGATCATCTCTGCTTCATCATCATTGTGGCCACAACAGAATACTCTTGAACGTAGCCACTTCAAGAATCATGGTCGGATCATCGTATCACTCCAGCATGTGTGTTTTCAATAACGATGTAAAATAATAGCAAGGACAAACCAGCCACACCCGAAAAGAAGGAGGAAGAAGAAAGAAAGAAGATTAATTTTAGCTTTGATATGGTTGAAGGAGAAGATAATTTGAAACGAGATGATTGGTACATGAACGAGAAGGAGGCTGCAAAGAACTTTGAAGAGGAAGAAAACTTTAGAACCAACAAGTCTTTCATCTCTCCCACTAGCTAAGTGGTGTATTTCTATTCCGAAATAATTGTTCATCATTTGTTGTTGCAACAGATCTGTGTACTATTTTCTGAATTGCATAAGAGCAACGAACAATCTGCCCTCTTACACACATCATCCCTGAACCCTAAATATTGTACAATTTTTCAAAATCACCATTCTCTAATCATCATTACTGTTTTGATGGATAAAACTTCAACTACCAAATTGTATTACTATTAAAATTACAATCCGTTATGAGTAATTTGTAGTTTGTTTGGCATCACCAACAAGGAACATCCTCGGCCCGTTGAAATACATGTTCATGAAACCACATTACAAGCGAAAGATTTTCGCGTTTTCTTCTGTCTTAGTCAAATATATACCCACTGACCTTTCCTTTTGCAACATCTTGAATCTTCATCATCACGATGATTTCCAAGTACTCTCGGTCAGAGGCTTTGTCTTCTAGCACCAAAAAATATTTCGCATGTCAAGACCACAGAGCAGGCCTTTCAGAAAGTGATTTTGCTGAGAACCCTCGTCAGAATACAAGACTTGACTTCTTTTTCAATCAAGCCTTGTGCTTTGGCATCACTTTTGTACGGAATTGAAACCTATGCCAAGTTTTATTGATTCCATTGAGCAGTCAAATTGCAAATACATTTTGTTCATTGTCATAGCTCAAGTCTATTGAATTGATATTGAACATTGCCGATTATTTGATATTAATATTTTAATTAATTTAAATATTGCAAGAACAATATTATTCCAAAATCAAAAAAATGATTAGCTCTTCTTCCATCCTACTCCGACGACTTGCACTGCAACGTTCTCATGGAACGAACGCATTGGGCTGGCAAATGAATACAATCACAACTGAGGAACAAGATTCATCGCATCATCAACCAACGGCTTCATCTCCTTTGGAAGGTGAAGAAGGCGTTTATCATCGGGATTCTCACATTGTACAAGAAGAGGAATCCATAGAAAGGAGTAACAATCTGACTGGAGTGGTTGGAAGGGAATATAAACCCAATTCAAGGTATAACTATGATGAAGATTTCGAATTAGAAGAGCGAACACCACTCATATCCACGAATGGTCATCTCGAAAAATCATTATTACCGAGCATTGATGATGTTTTAAATTCTCGCTTTCAAAATTTGGCAAACGTGAGAAAAGAAAATGGCTTGAGATTAAGTTTAAAAGATTCTTATGAATTTTTTGATGCAACAGGAACGAGATTCTTGTATTATTCTCTCGATCGAGAGGAGAGGCTATATTTTCCCAATGTTGAAGACTTGATAAGATTCATTCAGAAAGATATCAAATTTCAAACAAACGCTAAAAATTTGGATCCAACATTTGATGCTTCTGATCCTGAACTGCCGCAATTTTGGATTGATTGTCAAGGATTTACCAATGATGACGTGGACACATTGAGAATGTATTTTAATTTCGAGAAAATAACAGCAACATCTTGTTACAGTGATCACTTTGATGCATCAGACAAATGGGAGTGTTTTGAAGATTATTTCTTTGCATCTTTGTGCGTTAGAGAAAAAGGCGATGTAAGCTATGAAGACAATCCAACGGAGAAGCCGAACACAAAATCTAAAACACTATTTGACTTGTCACGATATTATTTTCATCGAAACAAAAAGAAACAAGAGGATAAGGACAAGCGACCAAAACCCAAATTATATCCCAGTATATTTATTCATTTACTTTTATATGATCGATGCATTATCACATTTCATGAAAAGCCGTTTATTGCGTCTGAGATTATGCTCGATCACTTGGAAAGACAATATTCAAAGATTGGAGGACGCTCAAAGCTTAAGAGAGTTTACACAGGTGAGAGTATCAATAATAGTGTAGACTCTCCTCACTTTTCTCATTCGTATGCTTCAATGGCTATTTCCCCATCCACTATTTTTCATAGCCTGTTGGACGGTTTTATTGACCGTATTATTCCTATAGTAGATGGAGTCGTGCGAAGCTGTGACATGATCGACGAGTATGTGCTATCATTCTCGAGCGCCTATGCCGGCAATACAGTGATCAATGACATTGCTGATTTTAAAAGAAAAGTGATTATTCTAAAGAAGCTGATTTTTCCAAAACATAGAATGCTGATTTATATTGTTTCTCATCATCTTTCTACCTCATATTTCCAAGAGGAAGTCAAGATTTATTTGAGAGACATTTTAGATCACGTTTCGTTTTGCACTGAAAAATTAGATATTGCCATTGATTCTCTTAACGAATCTCACACAAATTATTTGACCAAGTTGCAAATGGAGGTTTCTCAAGCTATGGCAACAACAGACAAGTTTTTCAATCGATTGAGTGCCATGGCTATCATTTATGCTCCATTGGCGGTAATTGTAAGTTTTTATGAAACAACCACGTGACATTCATTGTTTGGGTTTGAATCATTTAAGGTATCATCATTTGGAATGAATATGCAAGTACCTGGCCAAGAGCAAAACGACCTGTATTGGTTTTTTGGTATTCTTTGCTTCATGGGAATTGTGACGGCTACTATCATTATTCTATTAAGAAAGAAATTTATTTAATACTGTTCTTGATGAATAGGCCAGGACAGTTTATAGGAAAGGTCAAACTTGGCTGCCAAGATTTGTGTGAATGAGAAAATTAAATGGAATTTACTCCAATGTTGTAGAAATGCAAGAACATGACTCAAAAAGACAATGGTTGTACATATTTTGTATTTCTATTTTAATTTATAATATTCAATTGTTCTTGAACGCGCGTTTACGGTTTTACCAATAATTTACACCAGAGTGAGCCTCCATTCCCATGCAAACTACTTTTATCCTTTTTCAGTCATTTATGCGTTGTAGAGCTGATTGGTTACGAAAGAGATAGAATCATTACTAACTATTACTAAATAATATTTAAATGGAGCCTAAATGCAACATTTAATGTTTGAATTCATATTCAGTCGAACTTTTTTGAATAAAAACAAACAAAAACAATTTTCAAATGCCACTCAACCTCGAGTTGTGACAGCAACCACCCTCAACGTTCGATGAATTTCAACAAGTCGACCAACATTCAAATTCTTTCAAACGTACCATCTTCTCCATTCGTTTCTGTCTCATTACATTAATATCTTGTTTGATATTACTCAGTGTGGTCGCGTTGAGCATTACTTGGGCGTCATCGTTCGGTCCTACAGTCACTGAGCTCAGTCATTCAGCTCGAGATGCCAAATTGGAAAAAGTGATTCAATTTGTCGAACTGACATTCTCAAAAATTGTCATGACTTCAGAAACTGTCAAACAATTTCTCGTGGGGGATGGATTGGACATGAGTAATTTTCCAGCACTTCAACAGAAAATCTATAGTGCCTATAAGGTAAGTATAGTGTCAACACCTTCTTGACAATTGACATTCATGAATTCCAGAGTTCTCAAAAAGTACATTCAGACATGGTCATGGCATGTTATGTTGGTGACGCTTTTCAAAACATGCTCGGTGTAGGACGTCTCACTCTCATGACTCCTCTCGCTACTTTTAATCTCACTTCTCAATTCACGAAAGTTTTCATGTGTCAAGGAAATTTCACTCAACTTGATTCTTGTATCATTAATTCCACAAATCCAAACATTGTTGCTCCTCCCAATGATAATAGTTTGAAAATTAAGACATGTAATCAAAATTCAGGAAAAGTCGTATTTACACCAAGTTATGTCAAAGCTGGAATGGAGGATGTGATTTTCATATCCATGTTGAATTGTATTCCTTCAAGAAATGTGAGTGCTCAAGAGGATGAGAATGGAAATCGATTTTCATATTATTATGGTTATGATTTGACGTCTGACTCGGTGTCGAGATTTTTGAAGAGAGAATTCAATCAATGGTTGGATATAGAGTGTTCATTATTGAAACTACAACGAATTATCTTTTAGCAAGTAAGTGGAACGATTTGCGAATTGGTTGTTTAACAAGGTTGATCTCCAATAATGACAGCTGACAATGATGTGAAGATCTTTCAGTCTAAGAAGGAAAAAATTATTCGGTCAACCTATGAAACTGTCAATGACACAGAAATTGTGGCAATAGCCAAAACTGCGTTCACAAATTTGGCAACAAGTCCACAAAATCTTGTATGCAACAAGATTCTCTTGACGTCAAATGCCAATTCTTATATTTTGCTCTATCGATTGTGTACAGAGACCAAAATCGATTGGATTTTTGTTTTGGCAGTTCCTCAATGGACATATATTTCCTCAACACTCATTGCAGTTTTAGTCGCAGTTTCTGGCTCACTTCTGATTGTCACAGTAGGAATTATTTTTGGAATTCTCTTTTCAGTTCGAATTGTACAACCTTTCCATCAATTAATTGAATCTTTTGAAAGCGTAGGTCAAATGGACTTAGACAGTTTGTTCATCCAAAAGAGTTCCTTTTCTGAAGTTAGAGAATTACAAAAACAATTTCAATTCATGGTGAATCGAATGAAACTCTACAAAAGTTTCATTCCATCTCATTTGTTGTCAGAGATTGAAAATGGAGGAGAACATGATGTAAAAGATGACGCAGGTTATCATTTGGTCAATGTTGCTGCAAGCTCTTCTTCTCAACGAACGAAAGGTTCTTGTGAAAGTTTTTCGAAAAAATCCTCAAATTGTTCCACACAAAATATGGGATCTGCATCATTACGTAGAAAATATGTCCAAAAAGATAACAAATTTCAATTGTATCTTGAGAAGAGAAGGATCACGTTGGTTGAGATATTATTGGAAGGATTGAATGATTGGTTGAGTATTCTCACTCCTAACGAAACAGTAATGCTGTTAAGGTAAGTTGAATTTTCACTTGGCAAATATTCAATTTCATGTTTCTACTAATCCATGGATTCGTATTTCTAACTCTGAAAAGTGACATTTTTGAGCAAGTGAATAGTATTTGTAGATCAAGTGGCAGTTCTCAAATTTCATCTCTCGAAAACGATTCCCTCATCATTGCATTCAATGCCACTCGAAATCAAAACAAACATGAAGAAAAAGCAGCACATTTCTGTCAAGTCCTTAATGAAAAGTTATTGGGTGTTAAATACATGAAATGGAAGAGAATCATGTCTCATTCTAATCTAGTCAACGAAACCAGCAGTAATAGCCTTCAAAGTTCCAAGAAATTCCAACCTCTTAATATTTGTGACTTGATGCGTTTCAGATTTGCCATTACCACTTGTGACAGCTTTTGTGGAAATGTTGGAAGTCAGGAAATGAAGCAATTTAGTGTTCTCAGTAGTGGAAAATATAATTTATCCACCATGATGGAGGTTGCAAAGAAGCTTAATGTGAATATAGTCTGTTCAGAATCTGTGAAGAGAGTGTGTGAAAAGTCATTTTGCATGCGTTATGTGGATACTCAGAATTTAACAGATGACTCATACGTGGCAAGTTATGGAAATATTGGCGAGGATCTTTCCAAACTCATTCCACAAACAGCAACTCACATCTACCAGCTGGGTCAAGTATTACAAGTCAATCAAGACGAGTGGATGTATGAATTATTTGAAAAAGAAAAGATGAACGAATGGAATACTTACAATCAAGCTTGTCAATTGTACTTTGAGAGAAATTACGCACAGGCTTTAGAGATGTTCCAAGAATTCTCTGCAAAAAATTCACAGGATAAGCCAACGGAGCAAATGATTCAAAGATGTACATTGTCTCTGTAAATAAACATGAATTCATTCATGCGTGTACGTATTTGGAAAATCTCAATTTGATCTCTTTGACATGCAGTTGTTTTCCAAAAACCAGCAAATTTATTTTTGACTGGCTTCCCTCAGTTCATACATTTTCACATCCAACATGTTGGCATATAAGGAAAAATTGTTGGGTGGTAATAGTTCATCATCCGCATCAGTGAGTCCTGTAAGAGAATGTTCCATCATTTGGGTTTGCTCAAAATTGGATTTAAGCTTCATTTCTTCCAATACTTGAAAGTTTTCGAATAATTCGTGATCCATTCCAAGTAAAATAGATGCAAGTAAGGTGAGTTGGTTGGGTATGATTCCACTCTTGTAATATAATCGCTTAAACATGTTGTGTAATTCACAAAGACGGTCCACAAATTCAATTTCATCCAAGGTTCGTTCATGAGCTGGTTTCCGACAAATTTCTTTGCACGCTTTTGCAATTTCAACTTGAATATGAATTGGAATTATTTGGGAAGAATGATACGAAAGATAGTAAGACATGTCTACCAAGTGCTGTTCCATTTCCAATGAAACATCATCAAAATCAATGGTTGGAGTAGAAATTTCATTTTCCTTCAGTGAGAACGAAGACAATTGAGTTGTGAGATAGCTATACAGGTCAACACTTGACATGAATTGACTCACAATATCCTGATAATATTCTTGCTCTGCTGCGGTTCTTTGTTCTTCTGGAATGCAGAAGATGACCGTTCCCAGTGCCAGTCCATAAGCAGGCTTACAATTATGTTTTTTAGAATGCTCTTCGAGTTGTGTTCTAAAATAATTCATGGCCACAACATATGCTTGCTCTTGGGGCGTTCGTTCCATTTCATCTTTCAAGAAGATGGCAGCTGCGTTAAGAGCAATACTAAATTCTTCCTCATCTGTCATTGTGCTTTCTTGAATTGTTAGATTTGGAGTATTGAATTGATTGGTTGGGTCAATTGTGGAGACTGGTGTTGATGTGACATTTTCTTCTACTGTCTCAAGGCGAGGACTTGTTTCTGCCGTAGGTAACAATGTTGATTCATTATTCATAAATTCAATGAAAGATATGGATGACGTTGAAACAGTGGTAAGCTCAGATTCTTGAGAGCCTTTAAGAACACTCGTAACACCAGTAAATGATGAATTAGCAGGGGAGGATATAACTACAGGGGAGGAAGAAAGAGAAGATGAATTTTGGGTATTCGAAATTCGAGGAGAATTCACGAGAGAGGAAGAAAGAGCATAGTTAGAAGTAATATTGTCCACATTCACTTGTTGTTGTTGCTGTAAAAATCGTTGAGTCGAACGAGGTGTTCCCTGTGATTGTTGTTGTTGCTGCTCTAACAGCAGTGGTGATAAATTGAGTGATGTCGACAAGTGAGGATGCACATCACTCTTTTTCGAACTGAAAGGTTGAGAAGGTGAATGTGAAGGAGAAGTTGGTGTCGAGGATGACACGATCGAATATCGAGTGGAATTCACACCACTTGTCAATAATGTTGGACCACCACCATAATGACTGTTGCTGCTCGAGTATTGTTGTTGTTGTTGCTGTACAACCGCATGATTAGGACTCGACACTGAGCTCACTTGCATTTCAGCAGCACTCGTACAACTCATATTCACAACTTGATGAATGGCCTGAATCCACTCCAACGATTCCTCTCTACTCTCTGTAAACAAGTAATAATTTCGGGCATGTTCCTTATCGGCCACAATAAAACCAAATTTCAAACCTTCTTTCTGAGCTCGTTGATCAATGTTGGACATTTCATAAATATTGGAAGAGATTAAGCCTTTCAAGGAAATCTCTCCTTGAGGAGTCTTGTTATATTCCTTCTTCTTATTCATCTTGTGGTAGCTGATTCGGTTGGAATAGAGTAAAAAGTATCGTGTTTTGTAATTCTTCACTTTGGCTCCTTGTTTGATCATGATGCCTTGTTTGAAACATGTTTTGGAAGCACTGTAATGTTTGTGTAGTTGTTGTTGTTGCTGTTCAAGTGGAGAGAATGAAGTTGAATTGGTGGTGGTATGAATTGGAGAAGAGGAATTGTGATCAACAACAATATTGGACGCTTGTGGAGGATGGAATGGAGCATGATTAAAACTTGCAAATGTGGTACTTTGTTTCATGCTCGGAGCTGACTTTCTATTGTGGTTGCCAATGATCATCTCGCACGACGATGATGATGAGGCTGCCATACCATTGCTTGGGGAAGAAGGAGAATTATTAGGCTTCATCGTATTTCTCTTGTTGAAAGGGTCATTTCCTCTCGTTCCTAACAACATGTTGTTGAATGGATATTTGTTGTTGTTCCGCAGAGATGATGTGAATATATGATTGATCAATCAAACAGGCAAGTATGATGATGATGATGGTAATAGGTTCTCTCGTGAGTGTAATGGTCTACACTGTCTATGAGATGTAATGATGATGGTCGAACAGTTCTTTGGAAGAGCTTGCTCTCTTTCGCACAACAAGGCTTTTTGTTTTGAGAGAAGTGTTTACTTGCTCTGATTGGGTCCAAACACAAGAATGAGAAGACCAATCTCACAATCAAGTGCCAGTCGGAGCGGTCGTTTTGAGAGAAGGATTCACAGAATGAGAAAGAAAAGAGGTGGTAGCAAGAGAAAGAATTCACAATGTAATTGGTTGATCCTCTTGCTGTGCGTTGTGCAAGGAATCTAGGAGGTCTGTTTTTTTTCCTCTTTGGCGTCAAATGTCAACTGTTTGTTTTATCGATTATTTGTAGATCAGCCGAAACCGAATCCTTTTGCATGGGCTAGGATTCGTTATTGCAAGGGATCATTGTTGATTTGGTTGGACCACAATTTGATGTCGCCTCAGAAAAACGGTTAGATCAGAAATCACCAATAACTTCGTTTCACTTGTTAACACTTCCTATGAGATGATCATCATAATGATTCGCCACAAGCCCATTAAGGTAGAACGTCTTTGAGATTGTCCAATAGTTGTCGTGCTGTAGGTCGTTCATTTGGATTCGATGACCACATGGATTCCAAAGTTGAGCAAATCTTTTTCATGTTCTTGATGAGAGATGACTTGGTTTTGTTTGGATCATGATGCAGAATATTGAAACTGATTGCTCCTAAATAATCATCATTTTCGTAATGAGTGTTAAACCAATTCCAAATAGAGTCATCTCGTTGCAGATCAAATGGAAATTGTGGTCTCAACTCTCCACTTATTATTTGAGATGTGTTCACAACTTCATAAGGCATTTTAAGGAAAAACAAGGAAAACATGACCATTGACAATTCGTAAATGTCGCTCTTAAAATCAAGGTTTAAAGGAGTGGATTCTTTCTGTTGAAGCACTTCAGGACTTTTGAACATGAGATCTGTTTCACTGAATACAACATCCTTGCAATACCGTAAAAATCCATAATCCGTAACTCGTGCAACATTTCTACCAGCAACAAAGTTATTGATACTTGACGCCAGTTTAGACTTTTCATTTTCTTCTTCTGGAATTGTTCTTGACTCCTTTGGTTCCACATAATGTACTAAAATATTACTTGGTTTGAGATTTCCATGAATTTGGAATCCCTTTTTATGAAGATAGGATAAGCCGTTCATGGCATCTCGAACTAATTGAAGTTTCTCTTGGAAGGAAATAAGATACTTTTCAAGAGAATCTTTTTTAGCTTGTTGTACATTTGGACTTGCGTTAATAATACCAGCTTCAACATATTCTCTCAAAGAGCAAATGTAGTCTGGCAATTTTTCATAAACAATATATTTGATGTTCGTATCATCTATTGAGATTCCAAGATAGCTTTGAATGTTTCTATGTCTTAGGACACTGTCGTTGAGTAGTGATCGCAGGAAAAATGGAGTCATTACACTTTTTACCCATTCGTAACAACTTACGCTAATTGTTTGGCTTCCTCAATCAAATCTTCTCTGTAAACATTGAAAGGAGTTGTCATTTTCTTCATCATGATGGGAGTATTGGAAAGAGTTGCATCAAACATGATTCCATGAGGCCCCAATGAATGAGGCATGTTGGTGATCAAATTAGTGGGTCTGAACTTCTTCTTGATGAAAATATTATGTGAACTCACTAAATATAATCTCTTTTGAATGGTAAGCTCGCCAACGCTACTTTTCACAATGAGTTCTCTGAATGTCTTTCTCTTCTCAGAAATTAATCGTCTTCTCTTGTATCTCATAATAACAGGAATGATACACACAATACTGATAACAAACAGTGTCACACTGAGCAAGGAAATTACGGCAATCACAAGGTAAAATCTAATATCTGGATATAACGAAATGTCCCTGATTATAATATGTCCTTTTAGATCAATTAATAAAAGAGTTCCACTTGTATCCGCTGTTTTCATGTCTGCTATTTGATAAATGTTAACTGGTTCAATATCATACAAAGCAAAAGGAACAGATCTCATCTCCAACTTGTAAATGGCTTCATCGTCACCAGTAAAGTAAGTGTACTCAGCGTAGCAATCAATTTCTGCTGTCCATTTGGTAGAGTAAACATCTTGAGTACTCTGAATAAAAGGAAGGTCGTAAAATTTCTGACTAATTGGTACGAGTGCATATTTTCCATTCTTAAATGTTTCTCGGAATTCAACATCCAATATTTGGCCTGGATAGTATGTCACATAAAGGTGAAGATTGAAAAAAATGCCAGACATGGGTATCAATGATGTGTTCTTCACTGAGATTGTATTCTCGTAATCAATGTACGTATATTTTCCATTAAGCTCCATCTGATAAATTTTTCCTTTTGATGTTGCATAGAAAATATAAGGTTGCAACGGAAACACAGGTTTAGGGTCGGTCTCAATGAGCTGAGACATATTTTTGTGAATGATGGATGAAATTTTCACTGTCTTCTCTATTTGACCAGCAGTGGTTGCTGTATTGTCTAATGGCAAGAAGAATGATGAAAAATCTTCCAAACTCAAAATTGCAACGCTAGATGTTGCGTTCGCTAGATACAAGTAGTCGTTATAAATGTAAAGAGAATCTGTAAAAATAGTATTTTCCAATTGTTTCCTTCTTGTGATGGTCCAATCTTGTGTTTGAAATTCAATAAGCTCTGAATAAATATGAGAGCCATTTCTAGAATTAACAGCAACAAGTAGTGTATCATTTGAGTACGGAAAGAAAGAAACAAGGTCCTTTGATATTTCAGGTGTTGGGTTATAAGAAATCATGAGCAGAGTTTCTAGGACATGAATGAAATATTTTTGTGGGTCAAATTCAAATCGAATAAGATGAATAGCTGTTGCTTTCGTTCCAACTTCAGGGTTATTGATGGAATATCGAATTTCAGCAACAGATGTGCTGTTAGTATTGAAAGTAGTAGCATTTCCATCAAATAAATAGTCGTCAAATAATTGAATCCTCTTTCCTTCAACTGATGCTGGCATCCAGTCGCTAGCAAATCCAATTTTGTAATCGTTCAGTGATGAAGTAGAGTTTTTCAAAGTAGAAGTGAATGTTAAAATTCGTTTTTCCCTGATTTCTACAAACAGTGTTCTGGTTAGGTCATCACAATAATTGATCATCATCATGTTATGAAGCTTTCCACCTTTCGACGATATTAATGGGATGTCTGAGGAATATAGTGCTAACTTTCCTTCGTTTCTGTAGATAGCAGAATGGTAGACTCTTTCTGTGCTATATGTTACCACTAATGGAAGGTTTTCTCCTCTAAACAAAAAAATATTGTCTATAGTGGACTTGTTTACATCTGATATTAAATCAACAAGCAATAAATTCTCCTTTAAAATGAAAACACTCTCTTGAGAAGTGCTGGCTTCCATTGATATCAACGAGAGCGATGTTCTTGCAGAACTCAATGCCACAGTAAATATTGTTGCTTTTTGGCTGTCTTCGAATAATTCGCAAGGAAGAGCAAGCTGGTTAAATAATTGAGGTAAGTGATACTGCGTTGAAAGTGCGTCCAAATTAATGACAGATTCACTCATAATGGCGATATCGCTCTTACTTATTCTAAATATTTTGAAATAATGATCTAGAGCAGATCCAGCAATCATTATTTGGTCCGTAGTTGTTGTTAAGATCCGACCAAAAAATGAATCAATATATTGCTGGTCTTTCTGTTTTTCAAGAGCAAATATTTCAACAGATCTTGATGCTAAATCTTCCCACTCTATTCTCATTACTGTGGCTGAAGTTAATCCTCCTTCCATGGATTGAATTCCTAAAATGTTTATAACGGTAATGTTTCTCTCTGAGGTAATGCTACAGTCCATAATTCTTTTCATTCCTGTGTTAAAGTGTGTGACCACAATGTGGTCTTGTGTAAGCTGTGTTAAAAATCCATCTCTACAACACATAATTTGATCATTCAATGATGACAATGACAGAATTTTGAATGCTTGTGGAGAGGATGTTCTCACATTTCCAGGAGCCATATAGAGCTCCTGAGTGACATTATAAATATTTACATTTTGTTTGCTTCTATACATGAATTCTGCATGACCGCTGTCAAATAGCCTATGCAGCACGTGAGCTTCTTGGCTAATTAAGGATCTTTCATCCATCTGCAATATCACTGAAGGTTCTTGCTGTTTTGAAGTGTCAGGGTTGAAACATTTTGAGGTATTTCTGCTGGGAGCAACATCAAGAATAATTCTCGATGAAGAATAGACTAATTTTCTCGTGGAATATTGGCCGCTCTGATTTCCGAACTCATCCACTTTATCACCTCCGAGAGGAAGAAAACGAGCAAGAGGCCTCCAGCCATTCACAACATCTACGACGCTCAAACTTAGCAAGAATATCAAGCCAAAATATATCGAAAATATGCACATTCCTTTACCAGTTTTAGTCGTTGCATCATTCCTCCGAGATGATGTTGTTGGTGTACGTTCAGCCCAATGGTGTTGGTAGCAATCGAAACTCTTTCGGCAGGACGCAACAACACGCGACGAGTGCCTCCGATGCTTCATCATTTTTTATTGTTTGTTCAGAGTCAGATTTTTTTGTGATCGCAAGACATGAACCTTAAAAGGAACTTTGAAAGAACTTTTGAAATGACTAGTTCACAAGATGGTGTCATAAACCAGTTTTATGAGCTGTTTGTTTGTTTACATTAACAAAAGACAAACGAGCACCAACATTAAAGGTGTGACAATCGCTCTTGAGGGAGAAGAAGAAACAACTACGTACACACCTGTGCTGCTCATTGTCAAAGCGGTAATATCACTGGTTAGAGTTCCAACTTTACAAGTACTGTCAGTGACACTGAAAATATTTGTGTTCCATTTTCTGCACTCTAGTTTTTGGATGGTTGTTGTAGCCAGTGTGTCACTGGTTTCCAATGTCAACTGAACCATGTTGGATCCAGTGATCTTTAATGGAGAATACGAAAGTTCAGGAATAACTGAAAAATCAACGACCTTAGTTTTAACTGTGAGCAAATTAGATGAGATGCCAAACTTTGTTTCTGCAGTTTTAGAATCATACATTACAAATCTTTTAAAGTGTTGACATCAAAATAATGCATTTCGAAAACCCTTACCTTATTGTTGCATATTTCATACCAGCTGTGACAAAGGTAGAAAAATTGTAAGACAATGCAAAACTATTCGTCTCAAATATTGTTTCGAGCAAGTTATTAAGAACCGATGGAGCAGTCATTGCTTCGGTGGTGGGTGGTTTCATTATTATCGTTCTATTGCTGCTGATAATAGTTGGATTGGTGATTCGTAAAGTCAAGTTCAAGAGAACAGGATAGAACATTCTTTAAGTTATGTCAAACCACAAAGTGTTGAAATGAAATCATCTCTTTGGACAGGTGTCAATGATTCAAATTTTAAAGCTGTTAGTAGCGTGCTCATGGAAATTTATCCTTGCTCACAACACACCAATCACCTGGACTTTCAATTCCAAGATCCTCCAAAGAAATCTCTCCAATGTGTGTTCTCTTCAGAGCAACTACTCTCTTAGAACACGCTGCAAACATACGTCTCACTTGATGATATTTTCCTTCTACTATCGAAATAGATATCGTTGACGGATTAATAAATTCAAAATTAGTAATGGGTCGGAGAGCTTTTTCTTCACTCCTTAATTGCAACTCCCCAGAAAAGAATGTTCTCTTCATCTCTTCTAATTCCTGCTCTGAAGTAATTTCAGGAATAAAACTCACTTCATATCTCTTTTCAATGTCATTCCGCAATACTCGATGATGAAAATCACCATCTTGTGTCAATAGAAGAAGTCCAGAGCTGTCGAGATCCAATCTACCAACATAGCCAAGTGTTGGATGCCTATGAGAAAATTCTTGTGGTAATAAATCATAAATTAACTTGTGATTCGAGTCCTCCCGTACAGTGGAACATAAATATCCAATTGGCTTATTTAAAGCTATGGTTAAATTGAGAGTTGGAAATTGAAAAGGAGCTCCATTGACGAGAAGTTTGGAAATATCTTGTTCCAGTATTTTGTGTTTTAACGACAGGATACGTTGTTTTTTAATGGGATCAATAATTTCGTTTTTTCTAATAAATGACTGATTAGGAGGAAGATCAAATAATAATAAATAATTCATTATATTTTCATCAAAAAAATATTTCATTCACACAACATTATCAAAGAGCATGAACCAATATAGAGTATAACCAATAAAAAATCATCAATGGTATAAATTCCAATAATTTCCTCTCACCTACAATGGCTTCACTTCGGGAACAAAGTCCCATTCCACTCAAAATTCGATCGATTCGGAACAAGGACATTTTTTTTACCTCAAAAAATGTTTGCATCATCTTACGCTTGGACCAAACACGATGAACGAGGATCAAGAGGCAAACCCTACCAAATTTCGTTGATATATTATTATTGTTTGATATTGTTGATGGTCATGGATTTGGTGATCGGAAAGGAAATGGATGAAATTATGAATATGGAAACAACATCTCCGAGAAGGAAATATTCAGCCATTAAGCACCAAGAAATTGGAAATGAATGGCTGTATGAAATGATCAGAATTATGATGTATAGCCTAACTGTCGCTCTTTCAAATTGGAAATATATCGGAATTGGATTAACAACCATGATGATTGCTGTTTGGGCTGTAAAATTAATCATGAGAGAGAAAAGACGGCCTGTCGGAAGATGTTGGAATTGTGGAGAGTCATTTCGACTTACTAGAAGACAAATTGATTTGGGATGGAAGTGTCCCACTACAGGTTGTAATGCTTTCAACACAGCGCATCATTCATCATTAACAGGAAGAACATTGAAGAGTATATTTATGAGGTTTTCAATTTATTCATTTACACTGTTGCAATCAGCACATTTATTATTTCTATTGATGGGAAGTGAGACATCGAGATTAATCATTGGTACATCGTTTGAAAAATCAGAAAACAAATTATTTGTTGTGGAATTTATCATGCTAATATTCTCAGTGGTTGGATGTATTCTCAATGGACATAGCATTGGTTTTAGTGTATGTTATTTCATGGTTGTTACGCTTCCTTTGAATTTGAATATGTGAAATAGTTTTTATTAGGAGTCATGAGTTTTTTATCATCCAAATGCAGGCTCGCTTTAAAAGGTGTCTTGCTATTCTCGAATATATCTATTACTGTACTTGTATGTTTGATTTTATTGAAGTAATTAGTACAATTTAACAATTATTGCGAACACACATGAATTTTCAGAAAATAATTAAGCTTAACGAAGTACAAATGGACATGGGAGATGAATATGATTACGAACGATATTTAGAGGAAAGAAAACTAATCAATAGATATAATTCTCATCAAGTCGTTCAGTCTCTCGAGATAGAGGACCATTTTCAACCAATACAAGAGGCTGAAAATACTGCTGAATCTACCGGCTATGTATTGACTATGGATCATCAACCCTCCAATGACACTACTAGTGCCATACAAGACGATTTTAATGAAATTGAAAATGTGGACCTTTCCCAGCTTTCGCTTTCTGGAGAAATGAACAAGTCAACATCCAATGAAAATGTCAGTCCCTGGTCTCGAGATGACCATCTCTATTACAAACCTCCAAAATATGCCAAATCTCATCAAGAATTGGTACAATTTTCAAAACACATGAACGGTACTGGTGGCACTTCTTCCAACAGTAAAGAAACAACGAAACCTAAGGCAGAGGTCGATACAATTTCCATGCTGTCAGCTCTAACTATTTCTGACGAAGAGGACGAAAATATGCATGACATACCTGACATCTCGTCGAGTATATCTTCTAGTGAGTCACCTCCAAGACAACTTTCACTAAATTCTGAACAATCCAAACCACCAAGCAATGCTTCAGTTGTAATGGGCATCGAACAAGAGGACCGACCATCGTCACCAGCATCTCTTGTTGTACAACAGAAATTGAGCAATATTCCATCCAGTCTCAGCAAGTATCAAGCTATTGGAATTACATTTTTCATGTTCAGCCTTACTGCTGTTCTAGCAGCTACTTTGATGAACATGTATCAAATTTCAAACTACACGTAAATTCAAATTAACATTGTATACGAAAACAGGACCGTAAGAACATTGACAAGGATAGTAATATTTTATTGTCTCTTGTACTTGATGAGAAATTCAGGATAGCACTGATTCCTATCATAGACAATGAATTCCGTGTAGGCACTGGATGATGCATTCGACTTTCCAATCACACTATCATACACTCTACCATTGGTATTTGGAATTTGTGGAGGTCTTCTCTGATTTCCCAAACTTTGTGACGTGGAAGCGCCTGCCTGATAAATTTGTCTTCCCAACACAACTCGACTTAAAAACATGGAATACTCTTGATTAGAATCTGGAGTGCAATATTGATCACTCTTACTACAATTTTCTGCAAAATAAATTCCAGCTCCAAAGAGACCACTCAAATTACTTAGTCTCTCATCGAATCCATGTTCTGTAATAGATTTGACGACATTGGGTTTCGTTCCATGCCATAAATACACTTCATTGCAAGAAAGATCTAAACCACATTGTTTGATCCATGTCTGAGCATTGGAATGTGAAACTTGATGAGTTTGAACATGGATGGGATTTGCAGGGTCATTATACGCCATCAATTGCTGTTTTCGAGTACTATATAAGGAAAATAAGGTTGGATTTTCAATTCTGAATATCTGGTGCACCACTAACTGAGTGTAAGTCATTCGAACTTGTTGATCTCGTCCACTTCCCAATGTTGAAGCGCGACAAGTAAAATCCAGTAACTCTTGAATAATATCTTTCATGTGTTTGGTCACCTCAACAATCATCAATGGCGATGAAGACCCATGTTGTGGAGAATTCACAAGTCGATATTTCCAATACGAAGGTAAAGAGACCGTGAGCTGAGATTTTGAATCATTTCTCAACTTTTCATCCAATTCTTGCAAAGTTTTTTCCTTTTTTTGGAGCATGTCAATTTGATGTTGAATTTCCATTCGTTGTTGTTGAGTTTCATCTTGATAGAGCTGTCTTTCATTTTCCAACTCGAAAACTTGTCTTTGAATATCTTGTCGTTGTTTTTCTAAATTTTGCAATAATTCACTAATTTCTGATTGTTTCTTCTCTAACACTTGTTGATCGATTTCCACTTGTTTTAACTTATTTTGGAATTCAATTTCTTTTGGAAGCGTATCGACTGTGAAAAATGCATTGGCCAAAGCTTCAGAAGAAGAAGGTCTCTTTGATGGATCTTCACTCAAACATTGTGTTACGAGATCATGAAGAGATGGATATTCTTTCAATTCCTGTAACATGACATTTTTGACAGTTTTTCCAAATGCGTACATATCTGACATGAACGATGCTTTTTGTCCCAATTTCACAATTTCAGGAGCCAAATATTCCAAAGTACCACCGCTAGATCCACAAGTTCGAGTGACCATATTCAATGTTCGATTTTGAGTGTCCATACTGACATCGAAATCTCCCAAAATCACTCGAATGTGAACTTGATGAATTTCAATAAAAATATTTTCTGGTTTGATGTCGCAATGAATGACACCACTCGAGTGAATGTGTTGAATCGCTAATAATAATTGTCTCCATAATCGTTCCCAAAATATCATATCTAATTTGAAAAGTTGTATTGTCTCATGTTGTTTCTGTCTGGAAATAAATTGTTTTAAATCTCCTCCATTGTAAAACGGCATGACCACATAAATCGAAATGGAACGATGTGACGTGTTGGTCTCTAAATAATAACCTTCCAAAGTGACAATATTTCGATGCTTAATTTTTTGAAGAATTTTCAATTCCTTTTTAAGTTTGTCCAAATCTTTGTGATCTCGTACTTGATATTGTTTGATAATGTAACGTTTGGATTGAAAATCTGTGGCTTCAAAAACGCTGTGATTACCACTCCAACCAGAAAGTTGAGAAATTTGTTTGAAAAAATCAGGAGAGAGTTCTGGAATTCCCAAAATGGGATGCATCTCTTCGAGAGTGTGTGAAAACACTTCGGAAAATCCAAGTTGGCGCAATTTCAATAAAGTCAGACGAATTTCATTCGATTCATGAATCAATTGACGAGCTTGTTCCTTATGTGTCAGAATTTTCAACTCTTGTTCTGAAATTTCCTTTTTTAGAACCTCTTGTTGCTCCAAATTCTTTTCATATAACAGCTCTTCTCTCAATCCCTCAATTTCTAACTGAATCTTTTTAATCACTCTCTCAATATTTCTTTTTTGTTTGTTAATTTCTTCCAATCTCTGTTGCATGTGTGAAAAATTTTGAATCAATTCTCGAGCATTTTCAAAATATTTGTGTTTTTGAAAAATCAATGGAATACTTTCCTGAACGAGTGCATTGGCGATTGATTTCAATTCTTGATAATATACCATACAACTCACAAGTCCTTCAAATAATGGGTGTGGAAAGGTATTTGCATTAATAAAGTGTTGTGAAAGAAGGGAATACTCATGGACAAGTGAACGCTTCACTTGTTGAAGCAAATCATTGAACCAAGAAAGATCTTCATGTTCGGAATGACCTTCTTCTAAATGGAGAGCGAGATCTCGAAGAGTTTTCGAGAGTTCTTGCACGGTGGGTGAATGATTCGTCGTCCATGATGTCAAATTCAATTCTGAATAAAAATCTTGTTTCCAATTCGTCAAATAAATGGCAAGTTCAAAGTCTTTGAGTCTGTCATTGGAGAGAGTGTTGCTACATCGATGAATTTCATTGTGTAACATGGATTGGGTGCAAATTTGAAAATTCAGTAAAAAATTGGAAATGGTTTCAACATGTTCTTCTGTTTTTACAATAAAATCGTTCAATAATGGAATGCAATCTCCTTGAAGAATTTGATCTTTGACTTGTTGAAATTCTTTAAAAAGTGAATCAAATAATTGGATATCTTTTTCATTCTTGATACTAAATTTGGTAGTGGACGGATTGGTAAGGATGAGATGACACTTGTCTAAAGGTGTCATGACAAGATGTTCAATGTTGGTCAATAAATCAATTGCTAATCCATTGGAAGCCAATTGTTCATATAATTCATCAATTTTGGCCATTTGTTGTAAACATTGTTGTTTTCGTTGTTTCACTTGTGAGTTCAATTGTGAAATTTCTTGAAAAATCATCACGGATGGAATTTCAGAGAAGGGTTCCTCTCGGATCCAACTGCCACTTGTCATGGATGGATCATGTAATGATGATGAAGTTTGAAGATTCGGTAAAGTTCGAGAAGTTGTGTTGTTTAAAAGTGATTTCATGGCTTTCATTGAAATGTTCATAAATTCTTTTTGGTACTTGTTCAATACTTCTTCATCAGTGTCAGTTGTCAAATCCAATAATTCTTGTTGGAGTGTCATGAGTTTGAAACGAAGTTCAAGATTTTGTTTTGCAATCTCCGTCGATGAGCGATGATCCTGAGCCGAGTCGTCACGGGGAGCAGAGGGAGTCAGGAAGGTATTGCCAAGTTGCATGAGAAGAGTTTCGATTTGAGATTGGAGAGTGTGGAAGGGATGGCTTCGCATTTTTTTGTTTTTTTGAATGACGTGATTTGAATTCTTTTTGACAAGTGACAGGTTGATAAATTTTATTCATCCGTTTTCACTCTTTATTGTACTGAGCTCGAATTCTATCTCCTATCGTATCCATAGGTTCCTCCTCTTTGATTCTTCTTAAACACCATTCCATACAACTTTTTCAAATCCCAATCATTCATCCACTCAATTTCATTGGAATATTTTGGAATGACCATTTTCACAAATTCTTCATCGCTTCCATGAAATTTACTTCTTTCTCTCATTAATGAATTTCCAATTTTCGAAACCATATCATTCACAATCGTGGCACGATAATGAGGTGTTCGTTTTGAATTTTCCAAATTCAGGAGGACAGAGGTCACGTGTTTTTCTTGTTGCAATAAAAATCCACAATAATCCTTCTTGATCTTGTTCGTATCTTGATGACTCATTCCGAGTGTCCATTCAATAAAATGTCTATAAAATTCATACAAGTGTTCAAATCCGACAACTTGTTGAACTACAAAATAGGAAAATTGTTTTTGGGAATTTTGTTGTGAAAGTTGAAGTGAACTTTCATTCCGATTGGACGTGAAACTCCATCCTTTATAGGCACCTACCATGGCACCTACCATCGAAGCAACCGTGTCTGTATCTCCTCCAACATCAATGACTCGCTTTAAACAAATAAGGAAATCTTCATTTCGCAAAATAATGGAATGTAAAAGAGCAGAAGTGACACTCGCAACAGCAAATCCATCATGAGGACCTCGAACCGTTTGGGAGGTGGTCATTTCACAAATGTCAACAATACTTTTAAGAGAAATGTCAATTAATTCTTGTTTCGATGGAGTGCTGGAAGTTTTTTTAAGAAATGAAAGAATGGCTTCGAGAGCGGTCGAATAGATTCGTTTCTTGGCTTGTTGCTCATATTTGGAAAATTTAGAAAGCCATACTTCAAATTGTTTGGTTTCTTCAATGACTACTCGAATCAAATCCAAAGTTTCAATATGAAGTAATTTTCCTCTATTAACGTGGTGTTGACATTATTCGAGTGTGAAAAAATTGTTAAAATTCTTAATACAAGAAATATTTTGCACTTACTGAATCCATTGATAAGTGAGCCATGCAACAGAATATGCAGGAACAATTCCAAGAATATCCTTATGAGTCAGTTCCCCATTCATTACAACATCTTGTCTTAATCGTTCAATTTGTTCTATCGGTGAAAGTGACACGTGACAGGCAGCAATGGCACATGGCCACGATCTCATAGCTACTCCATTTCCAGCTGTTTTCTGAGAAATGTCATTATCACACTCTTCATTCAATGAATTGACACTTTCTCTGAAATTTCGACCTGTTCCTCGAAATCCACCAAATTGATATTGACTTAGAGGACAACCAGCCCATGTGAACCAGTCCTTTTTGGAGAGAGCTTGCCAGAGTGTTTTGATATAGATTGGATCGAGATGATGATTTCTATGATGCAATGAGTCATGTTTTTGCAAATACGTTTTTTTTGAGAAAATGTCAATTTGTCAACATCGATCACACCACATAATGTAAATGTTTTTCGAGTCCAATATTTGTTTTCAACCGATCAACAATTTGTTAGAATCATCATTATACATTGTCAACTCGGCATCAATAACTTCATTAAAATACTCACATCAAATAACTCTCGATCAATGAAATGGACATTTGTGTGTCATCAGTATAAATCAATCCAGAATGACATAATTGTTTAGGAAAGACATAATGAGTACCAGTCGATGCTGTGTGGTTGGATTTCTTCATGAGCCACATGCTCTGAATTTCAGATTTTGTTTTGTTTTCGAACGGAGATCCCAATGCGTCTCCGATGGTAGCTCCGATAGCAGTAAGAGCCATGGAGTAATACATGGGGTGAGAATTGGCTTGTTCGAGAAGAGGGATGTCTTGTCGTTGATCGATTTGATTCTCGAATGAAAGAGTTGAGTTGGACATTTTTTTTCGAATTGAGATTGCTTATGTCAAGTGTCAATCAAAGTTGTCTTAATGCACCAACAATTGGTTCAAACAAGTTTTAAGCTCCAATGAATTTAATAAAATCATGATGTCATTTTCATGAATGACACAAATTTCTGTGTGTTTCTTGTTCAAACATTTGTGCAACGAATGTGCATCAACCATTGTGACGCGTCGTCCTCGTACTCATTAAGTATGCCTTATACCCTCTTTCAGAGTGCTATTAAGGTTATTTCTCCAATAAATCCGTTCACAAGAATCAGGGAGGGTGAGCCAAAGCGTAGGCAACCAGCCTATACCCAACCATTCTTGGCGACGTTGACGAACTCAAGTGTCATCACGAAAATAAACATCTCCAACCAAAAAAAATGCCTACAGCAAACAAAACGTTCTGGCAGAAGCTGAGTGATCAACACAACCACATCAGCAAGTTTCTTCACTTCAACAAAACAACACGCAAACCAGAGTAGGAAACAGAGAAAACAATTCATCGAACTGAACAAACCATCAGTGGAATTCCTAGTCGTCTATTGTTGTACATTCTGCTTTTCCGATGGCCTTCACAATTTCTTGATCGTTCCCAAACTTCGACAACAGCAAATCATACAACATAAGCACATCCACAACGGCATTATGTGCTATTCCGGGAAGAGAGTCACATACTTTTTCTCTAAAGTGGTTTTCTAATCCCTTTTTTCCAAGCAAGTTTTTTTGCATAGTAGAACAATAGTAAATTGTTGATCGGAGTTTAAGTGGTGCAATTGCAGCACTAAAGAAAGCCTTGTCCAAACCAGTTGAATGAACCAACAACATCACATCAGCAGTGTCATTCCTAGTCAAATAATTACAAATTTTAGGAATCATGTTTTGCAATGTTTCACTTTCATCCAAAATCTGAAATTTAGTTTCGTGCATTTGTAATGCAATAGAACTCCACACACCACTAGGGGATACAAATATGGAATGTAATTCATTACTAAATAATGATAACATTGCAAATTGAATTATGGAGTTGCATTTTGGAGAAAATCCTGTTGTTTCTAAATCTAGCACAAAGAAGTTCAATGGTCGTCTTGTCTCTTGATTGATACAGTGAGGCGTGGGAATTGATTTAAGAGGTGCAAAATTATATTGAATAGTCAACCTGTTTTTGAATTTTGAAATCAGGTAAGGTGGTTTGTGTTGTACAATAATATTCTCATTGTTTTTGCAACTTTGTTTCCTAAAAGCAACATCTTTTTCTAATTGAGCAGAAAATTGCAAACATTCTAATTGAGCAACTGTTGCTTCTGCTTCTTCGTCTGAAAATTGATGTTTAGCTTTCAAATGATTTGTAAAAGACCCTTTGATAATATATGGTTTTTGTTTTTTACATCCAGAAACAGGGCAGCATAAATATATACATTTAGGAGCACACACTTCAGCCCTCAACGTAGTTTTTCTTGAGTAAGTGGCTACGTTTTGATTAATAATTTGTAATTCTTTGCAAGTTTTTTTCTTGACATTTCTATCAAGTACAATTCGACCAGGAAGAGTTGGTAAAATCTTGATAACCAATTTCATACCAAAATAATGATCAGTTAATGGAATATCTGGGAGTGAGAACCCACGAACATCGTCAGTGGAATGTAATATTAAAAATATATAGAATGAAAATAGTGCGCTTTGGCAAAATTGTTTGGTTGTTGGCTTGGGAAACATTCCTCGAATTATTGAAAAGAGTAGCTCTTCATAATTTGTTGTAATGCAACTGGGTTTGAAATTTGGAAACCGAGACGCTAATGCAAGAAATCCTTCAAGTGTGTGAACACATATTTTCTTCGTTTTTTTGGGATAATTGGGTAATTTTTCGAAAATTGTTTTGCTTTCACTCAAAATATCAATTATATCCGGACTGTTATCATTAATGCAGTCATAAATATCACGAATTAATTCAAGGTAACCAGCAACACTATTTGCCTCTATAGTGCCAATTTTACGTAATTCTTGCAATACAGGTCGTTCTGTTAAATTTAGACATGATTTCAAATTCATAATATCCGTAGGATCAACTTCTTCTCTGTCGAGTAATCGATACAATGTCCTATGTTGTATCATGTAATAAATTATGGTCTGCATTGAGATTTTCTCGTGCAATATTGTTCCATTAAATAATACATTTCGTTGATTTTTGAAATTGTGAACGTAATCATTGACGAAAATGAAGTCTTTGTGTTTTTTTCTAATAATTGTTTGCACAGCATGTGCATCAATTTCTGCATCAGAACATCCACACACAATTGTTACAGATTCTTGGAGCAACTCTTTGAAATAAAGTATTTTGCTAGTGACAAATTCAAGTACGTCTGTTTCAGAACTAACTCCAAACCAACCCAGCGGTAAATGCCATGAATTATCGATGGCATTAATAGAAAATAAAATCATTTGGTCTATTAGATGTTTAACACCAAATTGTTTCACGTCTTCAACAGTGTAACAATATTTTTCACTTCCAACAATTTGATCTCCCAAAACATCAAAATGTTTAAACACTTTCATTCCATCAAACGAGATACATGTATCTTTACAAGAGTCAGGCAGTAACATGTTCTTTAGGGTAAGTGTGATGTCGGGAATCATACCATAACAACCAGCAGGTGTCCATTGTTTAACAGTATTCCAACTTGGTATAATTAGATTATATTTTAAATGATTAAAATTATTCCGTTCAATATTTTGATTGCGCTCTCCTCCCATTCTGATGAAAAATTGTTTTCCACAATAATATTTCATCACAACCCAATATCTTCTTTCAACCTCTGAATATTTGTGATGAAATGGATTCTTTGTATAATTTTGCAACTGATTGAATATAAAGGATCCAAAAAATGTCTCTAAGAATGGAGTAAAGCTTGACCTTGGAACCTTCAAAGCTTGTGTATCACGGTGTTCATTGTTCGTAATTTGTTTGTTGTTGTATTGTGTCGACAATGCTTCATTGTATGAAGTTTGAGCTTTTCTAAACACTGTTAAAAGTTTGTGTTCATCTTGGCTGACTGGTATAAATGGCACAAGTTTACACAATAACTCATACATCAATAATGGAAATGATATTAATTGCTTGGGTTGTGGTAAAATTCCTTTCAATAGCATTTCAAATATATCATGCCTATTTTCCATGATTGAAACTAGGTGTTTTTCCAATTCACTACATTGACGACACTGATTTTGAAAAATACTACAATATTTTGAACAACATGCTGATTCTAAGGTGAGTTCGTCTCGAATAACGCCAATTATGTCATAATCGCAATTATAAATTTGTTTTCCTGTTAATAATTTAGAATAATTGTTCCGATTTATACCTCTGCAAACGTATTTCAGTTCGGAATAGCACTCTTCATAACTAACATTAGTAGCTGGTGTAATATTTTCAACCATGAACGGTTGATCTTCAAAATAAACTCTTTTCTTTACTGACGGCATTATTGAAGCAGTTGAACGAATATCGGGAGCATTGTGGTTGTGTTGATCACTCAGCTTCTGCCAGAACGTTTTGTTTGCTGTAGGCATTTTTTTTGGTTGGAGATGTTTATTTTCGTGATGACACTTGAGTTCGTCAACGTCGCCAAGAATGGTTGGGTATAGGCTGGTTGCCTACGAAGCTTTTTCTATCTGGCTCACCCTCCCTGACAAGAATCACTAAAAATTTACAAGAAACTTTCAACTCGATGTTTCCTATTGTAATGAAAATAAAATCTCCAAGTTTCTTACTGGTTAATAAATAATATGGTATGAAAAAGATAATTAAGTGATGGAATTAAGACATCTTCTTGGTTTTCCTTCTACTCAACAGTTACACTCGAACATTCCCTTATTAGACAAATAACACCAAAGAGACATTTGACAATGTCCATTTCTAACTGTTCCTTTGACCAAAATTGTACAAATACACCCCTTCCAATCATTCACACGCGTTCATAGTTTTACATTGAACCAGCACACACACGGAAGAATGGATTCCCTCCTTTCATCTCTAATCGTCATCACCTCGAAAGCTCAAAAAAACTCAAAACAGGGCGAGGTCATGAGGTTGTTGACTGCTTTTACTGTTGTACTCTGATCAAAGTTGTTCATCTTCTTCTTGTTGTTGTTGTTGATAGATACAAACCCACTGCGTACTTGTGTTTGCTTTGAACTCAAGTGGCTGCACCCAACGATTGAATCATCTCTTTTAGTTTTATATCATCATGAAATGATTCTACGATGAATCGTCGTAACAGTATATGTAACAGTAGTAACAGTTCCTCTATTCCAAACATTTACAACATTCCTTCTCGAAACGAGAAGTTCTCGACCACAACAACAAGGCCTTCAAGGATGAAGAGCTCCTCAACGACTCGACTCGAACAAGAAGGAGAGAACGATCCTTCTTCACGGGAGCATGTTTCATTGCATACTGCTTCCATTCCACCCCATCCACTTTCTCATCATCAACAACAGCAACAACATGAACCTTTTGAGGATTGTATGGAATCATCTTCTCAATTGTCGAATACAGTTTTGGATGATGGTGCTTTTCCTCTTTCCAACATGCTTACTCTCCATCATCCAGCTTCTTCGTCCCCTCTGGTACCGAGCATGTACCAGACGATCGTACTTCCACAGGATGAAATCATCCATCCATCACAACACATGCATCATCATCATTATCATCCTCAGATACATGAAACACATGTGTCGGATTCTAGCAAGAGTCCTCAAGGAACATTGAAACAAGGACGTCCTCGACATCATTCACTTCCGAATTATTCAGAAACACATGCATCGCATGGGTTTCTTCCTCCCCTTCCTTCGTTCTTTTTATATATGGAAGAGTCTTTGGATGATTTATTAGCATTGAATTTAGAATATTATCGACCACGAGTGATGAACGAATTGAGGGAATTAAGGCTCATGGAGTCCAAAGAAGAATCTTCAACCATTGTTTCCCATCCTCCCAATGAAGTCATTATCGACCAAGGGAATGTGTCTTCTTCTCTTTTTGAATCGAATCCATCCTCACAGCACGAATCTACTGTGATGAATCCCATGTCCTCCCCGTTGTTGCATACTAGTACTATTACTTCAAAGAGCTCGAGCTTGAGCAGTGGAAATGGGGATTGGAGGTTTGCACACGATTCAAATTTGTTTCATTCCAATGAATCATCATTCCCTAGTGGTGTCGAACCTCATGTGGTACATGCCAGAAAATCCTCCATTCATTCAACCTCATCATCGAATTCACAAATAGGTACCACCTCGAACCCAATGAACATTGCTGTGTTGCACCATTCACATCTCAGGGAGAACCAATTACAGCCTGGAAGGAATCATCATGTCAATACCATTTCCATGCATTCAAATCATGGACAGCAACAACAACCACAGAACACGAGTCATGGCTCGAGTGGAGCTTTCTTTCATTATAGAAATTTTGTCTCGCCTTCACCAAATTCCAGCGTTGGCAGTTCAGCAACAAATTCCACACATTCGGAATTGACTTTGAACGAAGCGAAAAATCATCCTCGAAGAAAACCAAAAGGTTATGATCATATGGTGAAACAATTTACATTGAATGCACAACCAAAACCAAAAGACTCTGATTCTAGAAAATGACTGCACGGGCAGGATGGTTTTCAGAGACTTTTGTTTACTAGTACAATGGGAGCGTGTTCCAAGTTCTTAAGACAATAAAAAAAATGAAAATTTCCTTGTTGAGCGATTTGCATGTGGAACATTTCGAGAGCTTTTCATCGTTTCAAGACAAGTATGAAGAGAAATTTCATCGGAAACTGTTGAGTACAAAATTAATCGAGGAAGGATCGGACGTGTTGATTCTTGCTGGAGATGTTGCCAATGTCAAACAAGAAAGTTTTAAAGAATTACTGAATGATGTGAGCCACCGATTTAAACATGTGATTTATGTTGCAGGAAATCATGGTAAGTGTATTTCCTCTTCGTCAGAACGGTTCCGATGAGTGGAGATGAAACAATTTTCATGATTATTTCTAAATGTATGAAAATTAGAATTTTATGGAAATGAATATTATAGTTGCATGGAAAGTATGAAACAAGTGTGCCTAGAAAAGAAAAATATTCATTTTCTTGATCAATCAGTAGTAGAAATTAAAGATGACGAAACAGGAGAAATGGTTGTTTTTATTGGATGTATTTTGTGGAGTCGAGTACCAGAAGCGTCAAAACCATTCGTTGGAACAGTACGTTTTGATATTTATATTCAACACGGTGATTTGATTTGCCATGCATGGTCAACCATGGTTTTAATTATTATGATTATTTCAATTAATTTAATTTTTTTATTTGTTTTATTATTTATTTTACCTTGTTAAATAGTCAATGAATGATTACAAGGTCATAAAAATTCAAGACAATGCTTCTACAGAACCAGTCAATCTCACAGTGAATGATACAGTAAAGTGGTTCGAAGAACAAGTTCAATTCATTGAAAAACAAATTCAACTTGCAAAACAAGAAAATAAGAGAGCCATTATTGTCACACATAATGCACCTCTCACAAAAGGAGTTAGCGACCCTAAATATGAAAACAGCACTACTGAATTTACAAAACATTTGAACACTGCATTTGCCACTGATTTACGGCATTTAATGGGACCTCCAGTGATTGCTTGGTTTTTTGGCCATACTCACTTCTCATCAAGACAATGTCATAATCAAACCATTGTGGCTAGTAATCAATTGGGATACTTATTGTTTGGAAATGAAAAGAATGAATTGTATGACGAATTTTGGGTGTTTGACACAAACCATATTGACTATTCCAAATACAAGCAAGTGAGTGACCATTCCACAGAGAATAATGAGCATCACGCTACATCAGCACAAACAACGACTACCTCCAATAAGAAGAAGTGTCTATTCATGTGAAGGCAGTCCTCCTCTTCATGTTCAATTGTTTCTTTCAAAAAAAATGTCTGAAAATCTCAAGACCATGAACCCATCATCAACACAAGACACAACCGACCACGAGAAAACTAACAATAACCATCAAATACAATCGGAGGATAGAGTTCGTGTGCCAGGTTCATCCACACTATTTCCGACAGGTATCATTCAAGATGGACAAATGTTTGTTGATCCCGAAACTAAGCTTGAATATATCTATCATGGAGACAAGAGTGCTTGGTTTCCTCATGTTCAGGAAAATCAATTCGAAGATCAACAATCCATCTATAATTTTCAGGAAACGGAGGAGATGAGACAAGAGAGATTGGAGAAGGAACGTGCTTTGAAAATACGAGAACAACTCCAAAAAGAAAAACTCGAAAAGAAGAAGCGAAAACATGGCTCTGAAAGTACAAATCAAAAATTGTTTAATTCAAAGAAAGTTGCTTTAGAAAATGATGAACAAGAGGAAGAAAATCAAGGCGAAATTTCCACTCCAGAAGAAAAGAAGAAAAAAACCAATGACGATTTTTTACCTGGATGGCATGAACAATTCAATACTTCAATATACATTACTGGATTACCGCTGGATGATAAGAAGGTCACTCTGCATTTTTTAATTGACACCTTTTCCAAGTGTGGAATTATCAAAACAGATCCCTTCACAGAGCAACCAAAAGTTAAATTATACAGAGATGAACATGGAAAGCTTAAGGGAGATGCCAGAGTGACGTTTCTCAAGGAGGAGAGCATTGATTTGGCTCTCACTCTATTTGATGGAGCTTGTCTTTTCGGAGATGGAACTAAAATTACTGTGGAACGAGCAAAATTCACCAAGCCTGAAAATTATGATGCATCGCGAAGTTTAGAATATCACAATAGAAGAAAACAAATTAAGGATAAGGAGAATAGAAAATTACAATGGGGCTTTGGGGATTATCCAGACGAAGCAATGGGCTCTGAAAATGAACCACAAGGGCGAGTGGTCATTCTCAAACACATGTTTGTTCCAGAAGATTTCTCGACGGATCCACTTTTTGGAGCCGAATTGAAAGATGAAATCAAAAGTGAAATGGAGAAAATTGGAAAAGTCGACAAGATTAAAATTTACTCTGAAAATCCTGAGGGAGTTGTGGAAATTCGATTCAAATCGCCCAATCACGCTCGAGCATGTATTAAAGAAAATAATGGAAGAATGTTCGATGGTGGTCGTGTGGTGGCCTATTTATGGGATGGCAAAGAGAATTTCAACGTTGTGGAGTCTAAGGAACAGGAAGAAGAACGTCTTGAAAGATATACGAAAGAGTATGTCGAAAAGTCCAATGAAAAATCAACGGAGAGTAAACCTTGATTTATTTGATTTGAAATGAGTTTGGGAGTTGAGTAGAGGAAAAAGAAAAAACAAAAAACCACAAAAAAATGCAAAAATCAAAGGAAAAGCTTGATTACTATAAAATTCTCGGAGTGGGTGAGTCGTCATCATTTTGAACATACATATTCGGAGATTAATGAATGCGGATTTATCTAAAATGCTTTATTAAATTTTTTTTAATAACAATTAATTTTGGTAATTAATTACATTATATTTGAACAGATCGGGATTGTTCCGAAGAAGACATTAAACAAAGTTATCGGAAATTAGCCAAACAATTCCATCCCGATTTAAATGTTAACAAACAACAAGCCACAGAAAAATTTCAAGAAATTACAGAAGCCTATGAAGTATTATCGGATCCTGACAAGAGACAAAATTATGATGCATTCGGAGAGGCAGGTCTCAATAACAGTAATAACTCTTTCGAGCAAATGGATTCCGTCATGAATCCTTTCGATATGTATTTAAATCAATTTGGATTTTTTGAAACATTATTCGGAGGAAAAGTAAAACCTCCAACAAACGAAGATCAAGAAATGATCATTCCGATCGATGTCACACTCGAAGAACTCTATACTGGATGCAAAAGAGATTTCACAAAGAAGAGAAAGATAATTTGTAGAACTTGCAATGGTACAGGAGCATTCTCAAATGAACACGTGTTTTATTGTAAAGCTTGTAAAGGAACTGGACGAAGAATTATGAGGCGAACGCTTCCAAGAAACATTGTACAGCAATTTTCAACGATTTGTATGGATTGTGAAGGAAGAGGACAATATGTCACAAAAAAGTGTGAGACCTGTAAAGGAAGAAAATTGGTCAATGAGATTAAGACAGTCACTGTGAACGTTGAGCCTGGAAGTAGACATGGAGAGAGAATTATTTTGAGAAATCATGGAGATGAATGGCAAAACAAGGCAACTAGTGACATTACTTTTGAAATACGACAATTACCGCACAAGGAATTTGAAAGAGTGTAAGTAATCACCCCTACAAAGAGTTCTAATTGACCTCGCTTGACGCATTAATATTTACTATTAATTAATATTAATTTTATATGTTGCGTCATATCAGAGGAGATGACTTGTATGTGAAAAAAACAATTACACTTTTGGAGGCGCTTACTGGATTCCAATTGACACTCAACTCCCTCGAAAAAGGTAAACAAATAATAGTGAAATGTGAAGATGAAGTCATTCAACCAGGTCAGAAAAAAGCCATCCCCAATCAAGGAATGCCAAAGAAAGGTACTACCAATGAATTTGGACATTTAGTGGTTGTTTTTGACGTTGTGTTTCCAGAACATTTAAATATGGAGATGAAACGATATTTACGAATATTACTCGATCCTAAAACAAAAGATCTTTCCAGTATACCAATCCCGCATGATTTAAGATCAGTATCCTCCTTCTCTTCTTCATACTCGGATGGAAATATTTCAGCATTTGAGATTAATCAGACAAAAGGAAATGAAAAACGTGAGAATGAAAACAAGCACCTCATTCATGCACAATTCCTTCCTGGACATTATGGTATTAAGGCAGGGTCTTTGGCGCCACACAACAATCTTGAGAGCAGTACTGCTCCCCCAAGCACAGACTCTGATCGTGATGGGTCTATATTTTCTTTCATTAAGAATAAGGTAAGTAACTGGTGATAGATTTTGTGTTGAATTTGAAATGCTCTTTTTGGTTGTGTTACCTAAAATAATTTTGATATTCACACCAACAACAGATTAAATCCATGTTCATGTAATTTCAATCATCATAATTGTTGTGTTTGATGTTTGTTATTTCAAAAAAACACACTAAAAAAATATGACAAGAAAAATTCTTCGAGTGCTCATTCATTTCTTGTTGGATCATCACTGGGAAGAAATGGACTTTGAAAATTGTGTAAAATTTGTGTGTCATCATGATCTGGATTATGCCACGAGTCATGCGATTTCTCATCTCATTACACAAGCGTTCCCAACATCAAGAATGACCATTCAGAGTGCATGGGTCATTGATTGTTTGGAAGTATGGACGCGAGAAGATCCCGAATCAGCACAACAAGCCTTCTCTGAAAATTCCTATCATTTCGGGTCGACTCTGATTTGGGATTTGTGTACACACTATTTCACCACACAACATTCGAGACTTTTTGAACAATGTCCTCATCCGAGAAGAGAGAAGGATATGAAATCAACAACAAATGAAACCACTAATTTAGAGGAACGACGAAGAGATTTATTACAAGTTGTGGAATATTTGTTATCACATGGTGCAGATGTTGAGAAGGGTTTTGTGAGATCGAATTTTGTTTCGTTGACTCCCTTATCGATTGCTTCAAGTTGTGGACATTTAGAAACTGTGAAATTACTACTTCAATACGGTGCACAACCTTTCAAATTTGGTAACATTTACTATCAATATGAATGTCCACTCTATGAGGCGTTGAATTCACGACATTTTCAAGTATTTCAAGAATTGTGTCATCGAAATTATTCATGTCTTTCTGAAATTTGTTGGTATGAACACATGGATGGTACGGAACAGAATGGTTATGAATCATTGATACGAGGCTACTCGAGTCCTGGGTTGATTGATGCTTTGGATGAACGTTTTTTTCTAATGGAATTTGTTCAGGGACATGTCGATTCAGAATTATTACTCGAAATGCAACAATATTGGAATATAGATGTGGATCAGTGGAAATGTATTTCTCGAGGTTTTCATCAATTCTTTAAGAATTTGAAAACAAGTCTAAATGTTGGACTCTGCTCCGATATTGAGATTGTATTCGGTCCAACCTCTTTCTCAAATGAATAATACCCTGATGATGGAAAGAATGCCTGTATGGAATAGATGCATGTATCTTTAACGATCTTTGAGTGGGGATGGAGAAGTGATCTCTCTTGCGTGTGGACTCTCAATTTGGAAGTTTCAATGCCTTGATTCATGCTCGAGAGACAAAAGTCTTCCGTTTACAGTTTTTTTTCTCGATAAAAAAATTTCAACAAGCAGTATTGGGAACGAATCGAGAAGTATTGTTGTTGAGGGCATCTGCATCACTGAGAGAACGACGATTGAATATTCGGAGTGAGTCTCATCTCTTCATCAGCAGCAAGTGTACCCACAAGATCAAAGAGTTGTAATCGTTCTTAAAATTACTTACTACTCGCCGTTAAGAATGCCTTCAATTTTTATATCCCGATATGAGGATATTTCGCAACTTATATTGAAATCACTGACAAGTGGGGAGGAAGAATCCTACCAAGAAAGTAGTTATAATCATCATCACCATCACGAACATGGATCAAAGAAACACAAAAATTACGACATTACATTATCGGAATTTCATGACATGTTTTCGAAAGTGCCTTCGATGGAACAAACTCTACAGCATCAACAACGAGCCACCAATACCGAAAATAAGGTGGTTCCTTTCAATAATCACATTGAGAAAAAAGATGATACAACATTTTGGGTTTATGATCCGACCGATTTTGATCCATGGTTTGTGGCAAAGTTTAATCCACCAAACTCGGAAACGTTTGTGGCGAGCAATGTAGAATTTATTGTGAGCACTACAGCTCCAAGATATATAAGAAATATTATGAATGCCATACAAGTGGCTTTCAAAATGGCAACTGCAATTAATGCCAACTGTTATTTAAAAGATTCAACAAAATCATATACCATTACCAATGATTCAATAAGGAAATGGCTTTTTGACCCTCAAATGGTCTTTGTAAAAGACAAACAAAAGGAATGGATTGATAAGATGGAACTCATGGTACAAAAGAAGATGGCTCCTCTTGAATTTCCAATAGGAAATATGGACATGATTCGAGATTTCTTCTTTTTTGAAATTACTCGAATCTCGGACGTGGTGGCAACGTTTAAATCTCTTCACAAGATCATTCCTCCTTCCTTGAGCGTGGCTGCTCTTGACGCAAATTTAATGGATATTCCAGAATTTCGCCAAGCCACACCAGAAGAGAGACCTATATCGAGGTTCAATGAGCATGAAAATCACTCTTGCCTTATCATTGATCGAAAATCAAAAATATGCAAAACAAAAGTGGAATGGGATAGCGCTGAGAAAGTCTTGCGAGTGTCCTCCAACTATTTTGCAAGACCACCCGTTGGAGGCATGTACAGAACTCTTCCATTTCATTCACTTGCAAGTTGTACACTTCTCATTTGCAAAAGTATCATGATCCATCTGGGGAAGTCTTGGAGTGACGATTGTTTCCTCAATACCCGAAGTCTCAACGAAGAATTTGTCAAAAATCTTCAAGAAAAATTGAAACATGATCCAATAAGTACAGAATTTTACTATTGGCTCGAACAAGCTCAACGAGAAGACGACCAATTACTTCTCTCAGATAAGTAAATGTTTTGTGTCATAGAGTACACACACGAGAAAAAGATTTCAAAAAAAATGACAGCAAAGCATTTTCCGGAAATTTTCTTTGATCTTCATATGAACGAAGAAGAATTGGTTTCATTGATTGAGTAAGTGCACTGATGGGAATATAAAAGAAATATCTTGTACAAATCATCATTTACAAATCATCATTATACTTTCATGGTTGTATGGTGGCCGTGTTTTGATATCGGAATTGAAACTCATTTACAAATTGGGAAATATTGAAAATTCATGATGAACAAAAATCCAAACTATTAATCATCACTGACTTGATTATTGAACCACTCTTTTTAAATCATTCTTCTTATTATCATCATCGTCTTTGCTATCATCTTTCAGAGAACGATTTAAAACAGTCTTCTTTGAAAACGTTTCCGAACCTCTCAAAATTAAAAGACTTACAGGAGGCATTACCAACCGAATTTACAAAGTAGATTTCAACGGAAAACAAGTATTGTGTAGAATTAATGGTCTCTCTACAGAAAAGATTATTGATCGAGATGTTGAACTATTTCATATGCAAGAAATGCATAAACATGGACAGGGACCGCAAGTCCATTGTGTTTTCAAGAATGGTTATATCTATGATTTCATTGTTGGAGAATGTACCTCGACCGCTGAATTGATGGCCGACAAGTGTGAAAAAATTGCTGAAAAATTAGCCATGTGGCACAAGATGAATATTGAAAAGGAGAGTCGAGCACCTGTGCTTTGGAAGTTAATTAACAAGTGGGTCGATAATGCAAAAGGATTTGAATGGAGTGATCTCGACAAGAAGGAAAAGTTTTCTCAATTGAATTTTGAAAAAGTTGTGGAACAATGTGAATTTCTCCAAAACAAGATTTTTAATGTGAAATCCACACAGGTGGTAGATCCAAAAGATTTGAACTCGGTTCTTGATTTATTTTCTGTTGGGTTTTGTCACAATGATTTGTTGGCATTGAACGTTCTCTATAATGATCAAGATGATTCTGTTCACTTTATTGATTACGAATATTGTGGATATAGTTATAGAGCGTTTGATATTGGAAATCACTTTGATGAATATGCTGGATTTGATTTGAAAAAGAATGACTATCCAACTCGTGAAACTCAAACCAAATTTGTGAGAAAGTATCTTCAAACCATGTATGAAGGTCCATCGTCACACATTTCTGATGAGATGGTTGAAAAGTATAGAACGGGAATTCATCTCTTTGCATGCATTGGACATATTTATTGGGGTGTTTGGGCGATTAATCAAGCTAAATTTTCTGATATTGATTTCGATTATCTAAGCTATGCTAAGGGCAGATTCGAATGGTATTTTGAGGAGATTGGAAAGGTGGATTTTGACAGCTTGTAACAACACTGATAAATTTATTTTTGCACAAAAAAAAAGATAAACAGCAACCGTGGTGCATCGGTAATTCTTGAGATAAGAGTTATTGATTGGTAAGTTTGCTGTTAGGTTACTTGAAAATGTTACTAGCCGCTGTAGCTGTTGATTTGCTCTTCCCATTCGTCAAACTGATTTATGGTTTCAAGGATATGTTAATTGATTGCGTAATTGTCAACCTCGTAAATGAACTCTCACCAAGTTCTTTTTTAGGCGTCACCCCAAAAACACAAATTCTTGAATGAAACAAATGTTTGTTTAATGAAATATTAAATTTCAACAACAATAGTTAACTTTACATTGTGGACTAGAGAGAATATGTCACGAATTGAGAACCAGCACACTCTCATGCAATCAAGCAGTACGCTAATTTGCCAATTATTTGACAGTGAGGTGGAATTGTAGTCACAAAATTCTAATCACGAACGTCAACAGTGATCTGATCTGTTGAGAGTGGCCTTGATCCTTCTGCAAACAGAGGCACGTTACTTGGATCCTTAATTAACTTTTTGAATTGAGTCCAATTATTCTCGCAATATACAAGGCAATCCAATACCCTGTCGTTATGGAAAATATCTACAAAGTGAGAAATCATAAGTTCACATACGGAACTAAGTGCAGGTAAGTGTTGAGCTAAAAATTGTTGTTTCGACACGTTTAGAGAGCTTGGTGGATATGCAAAAACTGGACCAAAAACGATGGCCAAATTTGTCTCCTTCATCATGTTGATGTGACTGAATGTTGTTATTCTGTGCAATAAACAACACATGCATTGCAGCAAAAAGTAATTATGTTCTGGTAGCTTGTGCATAATTTCTCTCAAATGATCAATCTTCTCATTCTTGTCAGATATCTTGTCAAGTTGCAATACTGAAGAGTACAGAGCGTGTGGAATTGGAGGTTCTGGAAGTTCTCTCAAAAATAATTTCAAGAGGCCTGCAATTGTGTGTTCATCTTCTCCCTCTGAGAATTTAATATCTTGATCTGGATTTTGATCGAATTGAATTTCATAAGCTCTCATTCTGTTCTTATTTCCAGGAACTCGGAACAAACCTTCAGTTGTCAAATTTCTCTTATAAAGTCTAGAGATACACTTGTAACAAATATCTGGTAAAACTCTTTCTGGATGTCTGGCATGTAAATCCACAAGTGGAACACCAAATGTTACCTTTCCTTGTGTGGAAAGATCGTAACGACATTCCACTCTCATGTGAATTTTACCGGCTGCCTTTTCTCCAACGCACACTGGACGTAATGGGAACCAGTCCTCTTTATCGGCACCAGCTCTGGCACTCTCAACTTTGACAACCACTTGTCCCAAAATGTCATCCGATTGGAATCTGTCCTTATCAAAGATTATAACGTGCAAATCGCATGGTAATCGAGAAATATCAAATGTAAATTCTTCACGCCATTTAGGCTCCAATGTGTTGTTTTCAACTCTTGTATGTTCTACTTTATGTTCCATATTGAGGACAACATAGGGATCGGCCAATCCTCCCATGATAGCAGTGTCACTCTTTTCCAAATCTTTTGCTTCTCTAATTTTCACAACGACTCTGGCCTTCATTTGGAAAACAGTTGGAGCAGCCACTCGAGCATCATCAGGTACCAATTTTCCAATTGTTGAATGAGGAACATCCGGATTATTACTCGACGAGGAATCATCCGTCGTAGATGTATTAGAAACCAACTGTTGATTGCTCACAGACGATACATCTCCACTTCTATTATTCTTATTATTTCCATTCTTCTTCAAAATAGTTTCCCGAGCTTGCTCCATAGCTTGCTTAAATCCTCTCATCCACAAATCCTTCTCATCCCAACTCTGGAAAACGACCAACATGTGCGAAACATCGCTCTCAATCACGATTTGATATTTTTTTTCATCATTTTTGGATTCATCCGTAAATTTCAAGCGCGGTTCAGTGGTGAGGACGTAGGCTTTTGCTTCCGTTGCCTCGACTCGATTCGGATCAAAGAAGAAAATACCTTGAGTAGAGACGATGGTCCAATTGATACGCCAGGAAGGTCTTAGAAGGTTACGGCCTTGGGATTTGAGGGTTTTACGGTAGAGGAAGCCTTGTCGGATGGGAATGTCAATGTTGTATCTGAGAGTTTTTGTGGTTGTTGTTATTATTGTTGTTGTTGTTATTGGAATGGAGGATTCGGATGGTGTTTGTGAGGGATGGTTTCATACATATACAGCAGTAGTGATGTTGGAAGTTGGTGTGTTGTTTGTTGTTGATGAACATGTTGTTGAAAGTGTTGATGGGATAGGTTGTTGTTGTTGTTGTTGTTGGAAGGTTTAAAGTAATAATTATTGGTGTGCACGAACGGAAAATGTTGGAGGAAGACGGCCGTGAGCATCAACGTGCATATGATGATCCAATATTGATAGTGGTGATGCACACATCCATTCATAAATGGCGGATAATGAAATCGGTTGATGATGAAAATTGAAAACACACAAATATCAGTGATGATGATTCGAGTCAATACAAAAAGATCATGTGTATATCATATGTTCATTCAAAATATAATAATAATATCAATTGTACCAATAGATTCCACAGCGGCGTATCATGATGATGTTTGATGGATTTTGTTGTTGAGAAGAAGATGATGATCAAATTATCGATAATAGTAATTATGAGTTTTAACTATATGGTTTTTTGAAGAAGAACACCTACCGTCCGAACTCTTCCAAGTCCTTGGAACTGCTAATCATTATATATTTGTTGTGTGCTACGAATTGTGATGTAATTACGACTTGTTGATGTGATAGAATGGTTTCTTCTGTACACTGTGATGATGTTTAATTGTAGTATTCTATGTGAAAAGAATTTGAAATGTTGAAGTCTCTCGAAAGTATTGTTGTTGCGGGTGAGTATCAGAGACACAAACGGTTTTCCCAACAAACAAACTCGTCAAAATTTTTTTATGTGTCAGCTGTCATCAAGATGATGAATATTGAACTTGCAATACAAAAAAGAGTGCACCGTTACTTTTTGCAGCTTAGAATGCTACGTCCTTAAATCCAAAACAAGAGGTTTTGGGGCCGAATCAAGGACAGTGTCTTATTTATAATGACTCAGCTGGAGTGTTTCCTTAATGACTGTCAGAAAGAGCAAGAATGGCTTGACTCAACATGGTACACTTTTATTATAGATCTTTAAAGATCGTGGTATTATTTAAATTTTGCATCTTCGTCACCAGACCTTCTCACCCATTGCATCACAAGCATGACAATTCCCATCACCATAAACACCACAGGAAGTGCCTTCTTTTCCACCGATACAAATCTAAAAGCTCCCAATCCGAACAAGACAAAACTAGCAATCATGGAAACTGTTCTTGCAATTTCAAAGTTTTTCACATAAAACAAATAAGCAGCATAGAGAAAGAGCAATGCAATGATAAGACCTCCAAATAAGGAAGGAAGAGAACCTGATGTTATGAGTGATTGAAAAATATCATTATCATTAGTGTGATGAATGATTTTTAGAATTTGAACACGTAACCGTAACGTACCCTTTTCATTTTGTACAAATTCATCATGACGATTTTCAAATATTGAATAATTCAATTTTTTTTCAATTACAGAATTAAAATTTCATTTTCGTGATTTCATTCCGATCATTGAGATTGTTAGAAATAAAAAGATGAAATCAAACCTTTCTAGAATATCCCATAAAACCTCCTCCTGCCAATAACAAGCAGTAGAGGACATGCATCACGACGTCGAGCATTTTTTTTTGTAATGTGTGAATAACGAGATTTCGCGCGCTGACCAATGAAATGGTTCTGCTCTTCCTTTTCTAGAGAACCGTTACTACTATTGAAATACATATCCACGATAGTAGTAAAGGATTAAGCTCTTCATTCTCGCCTGTGACTGCTATCGATCAGAGAATATGAAAATCAGGCTGATTATGAGCATTTATGTTCAAATTTGAAATATATATTTAATAAATTATACAAGATGATGAAACAAATTAATTGGAAATGTCTTTCATAAAGACATTTTTGAATTCATCGAAATCGATCACTCCATTTCCATCTCTAAACAAGTTCACACAATTGAATAGTCGTGTTGCCAAACCACAACAATACATTCAAACACTTACTTATCAGCTTGCTTAATCATTTCATTGACCTCTTTATCTGAAAGTGTTTCACCTAAATTGCACATCATGGACTTTAATTCTTCATGACTAATATAACCATCATTATTCTTATCAAAAACTCGGAAAGCTTCACGAATTTCGTCCTCAGTGTCCACAGTTGTGTTTTTAAGTTCCATCATTTTCATGAATTCATCAAATTCGATCGTACCATTATTGTCTTGATCGACTTCTCTGACTGTTTTTTCATGATCATGTCAGAATCATTCATCAGAGTTATGATTATTCACACCAAGAGAGATGAACCAATAAAACTTACACATAATTTCTAAATCTTCTGGAGAAGGAACTTGACCTAAATTTTTCAATACATCACCCAATTCTGTGTGTGTCAATGATGTTGGTTATTCAGTCATCAACAGGTGGTTTGGATAATCGCGATATGTTTGAAGGGGAAGTTTTCAAGATGATTCCAAATATAGTTCGAATGGTTGTTGTTGTTGTTGATGACGAATGAGAATGAAAAGGAAACGAGAGAGATCGTTGAACAGGTTTTGATGCATCATGATTCAAACCGAAAATAGTTTTCAATAAGTTCGAAATCCATCGATCATCATCAACATGTTGTCAATGGTCAACAAGAATTTCAAAAAGGAATAATTGTTGTTGAAAATATATACAAATACCACAAACACATGAAGAAAGGCATTCAACATGTTGATCGTGATGGTTGGTTTCATCATTTTGAAAAATTGCGCACCAACAATCATAAATGTACACAAACACGCAATTGATGATCATAGTCATGTACATGGAGAACGCAAGAATATAAATTTGCGAAAATTGGTTGTTGTGGTTATTGTTTGGTTTAATCGACGATGATGATGAATTTTGAATGATGAATGTCATTGGTCATGAGAGAATAAATTTTAAAAACACACGTGATTCATACCTTCCATGGAAATCTTGCCATCTCCATCTCGATCGAAGAGATTGAAAGCGTCTTTCAATTCGTTCACGAGTTGTTGGTGGGATTTGGCAGTACTTGTGCTCTCGGTTTTGTTCGACATTTTTTGTTTGACTTGTCAAGTGCCAAACAACGATACCCGCTTCGCGTCACTGCATCACCCACATTTATCTCTGAACTTATTCTTTGCAAACGTTCTTTTGAAGTCTTTGACAAATCATTTGTTTGTCAGGTGATTTATTTACAGTGTGAATAAAAAAACAGAAGAAAATAAAGGTTGAGAACAGATAAGGTCTACAGCAGTTAGAGTTGGATTGTTGTTGTCGAAATTATTATGCCATGAGAGAAGCAAGCTCCTTCTCCAATTCTTCATCTTCCTTATTGGTGGCTGCAACAGGCTTCTTAACAACCTTACTACCATTCGTCGTCGAGGTGGGCTTTTCTTCAGGTAATTGGAGGGCCTCCATTTCTTCTTTGTGAATGGCATCTTCCATTTGTTCTAATTCGTCCAATAAATCTCCTTCGTCAATAACATTTCCAACATTTTGAGCTAGCGCGTCAGATATTTGATTTGCATCTTCCAAACTGTTTCATTTTGTACATCATGTTGTGAATTCAAAATTTTGAGCATGTCATTTCACGTAAATCATGTGTGAATTCAAAATTTTGAGCCATATCAATCATTCAAATCACAAATTGCAAATAATTCATACAATCCATGATTCAACCATAATTTTCAAAAATGTAAACAACCATCCACTTGAAAAGAATTCAAACTTACGTTTCTCTTACATCATCCATGACATTTTCAATGTCCTCAGCGGTCATTCCTTTATACACCTTCTTGATGGCATCGGAGGTTTCTTTTTGTGTCTTGAGTGTTTCAGCATTAATAACAGCCTCTTCCAATGCAAGTAGTGTTTGTTCAAGATTTTGTTTTTGACCTTGAATTCGTGATAATTGTGTTTGGTATTGCTTCTTCTTTTTCACACATTGAGCAGCTGCTGTTCGGTTTCCTTCTTGTAAAAAGGCTCTTGCTTTGGAATCTTCCTCTGAACATTTCTTTTCTAATAATTGTTCTCTCTTTTCCAGTGTTGCAATGGTTTCATGAATATTGTTTATGGATTTGTTATGTGCTGGTTGTGTATCTTCTGATTTGGTATCCTTTTTGGTGGGTGTGCTACCTATCGGTTTGAAATAAATTTATTGTGCCGAAACGATGAGATGAACCGGATCCGATAAATTAAAATTCATATCCATTAATAATAATAATCATTCCACATAAATTAAATTGTATAAATATATAAAGGATCAGTATCAATAATTGATGTAGATGTTTCAATGTTCGGATTAATAATAACACATTCATCATCACGAAATGAATCGGAATTAAAAAATCTCTCTTCACCTTCACTTACCCCAAAGCCATGAAAATCCCCATACCATTTTTCTTAAACGAACTCAATAATTGAATTGTTGAGAGAGGTAAGATAATTTCGAATGATGATGCACTCGATGAATAGAACCGCTATAATCGAATTTTTTTCTTTTAAAAATAGAAAAGGGAAAGAGCTTGCGTTCGATTTGCCGAGTGACCTTTCAACTGCCCAACTGGTTTGTGGTGTTGGCAATCACAGGTTATAAGAGGAAATTTCATCACTAAAATCTAAATCTCCACATGCTTTCAATTGTTTCGTTTCAAAAAAATGAAATTAAAATCAATTTTGCTGGCGAGTCTTTTTCCTGCCATGACGCTGGGAATGTTTTGGGGAGTAGCGAGATTGAAAAATGCTGGTGACAATTGGATGGAAAAGAAGGCAAAGGATGATCCGTTATTTGCTGTACGTGTTGAAAATAATTTTCGGAAAGCGAATTTTGATGAATATTTGTTGGAATTTGTTGACGGATTCATAATTATTATCGAAATTTTCAATGTATTTATTTAAAATAATAATATTTTTATTATATTATTATTATATAACAAAATAATTTTAACTATGAATTTACGAACATGAACAACCGTGTTAATTAAATTTAAAAAAATTTTGTAGATATTTAAGGAAAATAAGGAACGATTGGACGATGGATTACCACCGCTTCAACCAGACGAGGTGCCACAGGATATTCGAAAAGTGTATCAAAATTATTTTGAAAAGGAGGTGCAAAGATACGAGCGAAATAAGTTTTCACAGGAAGAAGACTGAATAAGCATACTCAACGCTAACAGCAAACACGAAACTCTTAGCATCCCATAACACATTTGACCCCAACGTAGAGAAAGAGGTGACAACTTCATGTACACACAAGAATGACGATTATTCATTCCATGGCTACTTTACACAATTTAAATATAAAATTCTATTTCCAAACTTTAAGCATACCATCACGAGAAGCAGTCAACAACAGGGGTTGGAAATGACCTTTCGAAACTCCAGACACAACTTCAATATCAGTAATAGTGTCCAAGTGATGTGTAGCAATTGGTTGTGAGAAAGTACCACCCTTTCCTCTGTTACTTGTGGTGCTTGAGGTGAGAGACTGATCGGTTCGTTGGAGTGACATGACGTCCTCAGTAAAGACCGTACAATTATCTTCTTTCTTTGCACCATACACAAATGCTTGTTGAGACGCTCCACTGACAACATAACTCTGATCAATTTTGTTTACGTCCCAGAACCTTACAATACCGTCACTGCTGCCTGAATAAAAACATCCATCGTAGTCGTTCACATATAAGGCATTAATATCAAAGGTAGGCTCTTCTGTTGAAAATTGCTTTCTGTCCTTCATAATCTTTTTAATTTCTCCAATGGCAAATTTATCTGAAGAACCATATGGCTGCTCAATATTAGGAGTGGTGTATGGAGTTGATTGACTCTTCTTTCTAGTGTCAGAACATCTGAACCTGAATAAGGTTTGTTGTGTTTCCAAATTCCATAAATTAATATCATTGTTTTGAGATGCAATATATACAGAAGGAGACGAGAACGAGCTTGTCAAGACGCTATTCTTACAAATGCTTATTCTGTTAATAGCACTATCATTAATTCGCGTGTTGGAAACACTAATTTGATATCTCAAGTCCCACAATGTCAAAAATCCACGCTTCGTCGAGGAAATTACCCAAGGTTCGTTATCACCACAACAAATTTCAGAGATGGGTCCTTGCTCGAGAGCCTCTTTGGATTTCCATGAAAAGGCCTCTCTTGCAGCTCTTGGATCAATACCTACAACCATTCCGTTTTGATTTCCACAAACTAGTAAAGGTTGATTTCCAATGTTGAGAGGTCGTACTACATTAATAGAGGCCTCTTGAGTTTTTGATCCAGTAGAAGATTGCACAAATATTGCACCACTATCCGAAATGGTGATAGTATACATGGTGGTACCTAAATCCGCACTAAATACATGAATCCACCCCTTATCTGTACAAGCAGCAATGAGAGGAGAGGATACGTTGAGTATTGCCACCGAGTTCACTCGTCCTCCGCCTTGAATGATGGTGTATGTCATTTTAGAATTCATTGCAAAATCTCTTTCCGTGTTGGTGAGATCCCACAACCTTACAGTTCCATCGTTGCCACCTGTCACAAACCAATACAAGCTATCGTGAACGGAAATTTCATTGATTGATCCTTTGTGTTCTGTGGATTGACCGAACAAGTTACCATTTGGTCGCCATTTTCCAATAGTGGAGGCTTTTAAGAGTGGATTTGTAATGTTCTTTGGAAATTCGTCATTATCTTTGGTTTTGGATTTTGGTTTTCCTGACATGGAGAAGAATGTATTCCATTCATTGTTGTACTGCTTGGATTGCGAGGGTTTTGATGGAGCTTGGTTGTTTTGTGCAATACTCGATTGTAGGCTAATGTAGGGACTTTCGATGGGTGTGAAATGAGTAAAGAGAGGGAGATTCAATTGTACAACGCCACCACTATCATTACTGGATTGATTTTCACCATCATTGTTGTTTTCCCATGATTTTGATAGTATAGCTGTTGCCACTTGGGAGAGGTATGGTAAAATGACTTCTAATTTGTCAACCTCTTCATTTGTTGTCTGAGGCAACTTTGTGTAATTAAAGTGCGGAAGGGTTGACGTGAAGACGCGCTAAAGTCTTCCATGAGAGCCTTAATAGCTCGATCAAATGTATCTCGTACTATGGGTTGATTTACACTTTCAAGAAGTGAATATTCTGTAATGATCATAATGCTTTGAGCCAAATGTGGTTTCAAAATATCGAGTAAGAAACAACTAGTGTCAGCCATTCCCAGTTGCTTGCTGGCTGCAGAGAAAAAGGCGATTGCATTATATCGAATCCATGTGTTGGGATGATAGAGCAGATATGAAACCTTTTTAGCAATATCTACAATTGTAGATTTTTCGAACATGCCCAATTCACACAGTGCAACAAGTCCATTCAAGGCTTGATCTATAACAAATTCCTGAACGTCGTAAAGAGCTTGCATGATACAGGGTAAAATGAATTCCTTGAGCGAGGTTGGGCCTACAAAAATCGAAATGCCAACAATTTGTTCAAAGAATGCATGTCTGAGCCTCCATTGTCGTGAATTGAGAAAAGTGATAACCATTGGCAACACAAAATCGTTGGTTTTTCGTCTTCCGTAAAAAATACATAATGGTGTAATATTCTTCAAAAGGGATCGCTTCACAACTGTACATTGATCCATAGAGAGTTCTAAAACTCGTGATCCAATTTCATCTTGCAAAGAGTTCAGCTCACTATCGTATGTTCCCTTGATCATGACTTGATTATTAATATTTTGGTTAATGATTTGACTCATTTCCAAAAATCTTCTGGCTTGATAGGCAAGCAAGGGTAAATTTTCGGCAAAAGTCACTCTCACTAAATCCGACTTGTCAGTACAAATAATTTTTAAAGCAGGAAGAATGTAGTCGTTGAACAAGTTAGAATCGCTTGGAGGGAACGCTGTGATCTTGGTCAAAATATACGTAAGTGTGTCTATGGCTTTTGATTTAACAAGAGGTGCTTGATCGTTCAACAAAGCACAAGTGTATGGAATTAATCTCTCCAATTTTGTGTAATTGGAAGAAAAATCTGCGAGCTTTTTCATGAGATCAAGTCCTTGTACCCGAACGCTCACGCTCTGAGCATTTCGAACACTCGAACAAAGAAGAGTAGCAATAATTTCAATGCCTTCATGGGTGGTTTGTGATTTTCCCAGCTTTTTCCCGTTATTAAATTTTCTTCTTTCAGAGAGTTTTTCAATTTTGTTATTAGAGGAAGGTGCTTTTTCTTTGTTTTCTGCATCGTCTGAATTATGATTAAATTTCTTTGTATCTGATATGAGCTCAGGTAGAGAGTTTTTCTGTATATATCCAGTATATTCTGTTGCGTTCTGTGCGTTTAGCGTGTCAGAGCTTTTTTGGCCTGTTTTTATCATTGTAGATGATACGATTTGACTGCTAGGACTCTTACTAATTTCTGAATGTTCTGATAATTCGTCAATAATGCTGTTATACATTTCTGCAATTGTTTGAATTCTCTTGTCACAATTTTTATCCAGCATTTGAATCATAACTTTCTCATGGATGTATTTAAAATAAATAGGGAAAATGGTAGGTGTATATTTGGTTATGTATTCTTCGGCTGAGAGTCGCTTGTTTGGATCCAAATCGAGCATGTGAGTAATCATCTCTCTAACATCTTTATCTTCGACTCGTTCCATTAATTTCGAGAAGTGTTCAGTGTCTCCTTTACGATATGCAAGTAACTGAGAATAATCAAAGAGTGCTTCACCGTCAAGAAATAGTTGTGCAATGACACATCCAGCACTAAAAATGTCCATCTTTTCGGTGATTTCTTCTGTGTTGTTAGACGAGGTGTTATTACTATTCGATTCCGATGATGATTGATTGCTCCCCGAAGGTGGAGACAATGTATCTTCGTTAATGACCATGCTTTGGTCCAAACCGTTGTTATCAATCATGACAAATGCGTTTGCTAATGACTTGGTGCTTGCGAGTGGTGTTGCTGACGCGCTGGCTCCGATACCAGAAACTTGCGATGTTGGGCAAAAGCGTTCTGGAGCCAATAAACAAATTCTTCTTCCAGAGGTATCAAAATAATATGAAAAGAATGAAGGATCATCATCGGGAATTCGTGATGGTTTGAAAGGAGCCAAATCGGTCAGAAAGACCCAATCCCAAGCAGTCAAAATTACATTATCTGCTTTCAAATCGCCATGATAAAGACCAAGTTTATGAATCTGACTCAATCCCTGCAATATTTGAAAAGCAATCCAACGTTTTCCGATGGCACTGAAAAAAGGTCGAGTACTAATTCTATCTGCTAAATTGCTGTAACAATATTGCCGAACTAAATAGCCAGCCTTGTCGGTCTCAACCATTCGATTATAACTCAACACGTTGGGTTGATTTCGTAGACTCAATTTCTCATTCAATATTTTCAATTTGGCATGATGAGGTGCGAGAGCGAGAGGAGGATCATCCTCTCTCTTCAGGTATACCTTTACAACGACTGGCATACCCTCCTCCGTCCAACATTGTACACTTTTGAGTAATCGACCTCCTCCGAGTGGGTGATCCTGTACCAATCCTTCGGCCAAGTCTTGCAAGTGAAGCTCTTGAACGGAGCCACTCACTGCGAGTTGATTGCCCATTTTTTTGATTGTGCTGTTTTAATAAATCAGATTGATTCACAATTTCATACGTGATTTCATTTCTGACCATATGGTGGTGTCATGTCTTCTCATCACTCTCTTCTTACGTAAGATCGTAATAGGGAAGCTTGATTTCACAATTCCAAAATTGTCCGCCATCCACACAGTGTTTCATGAGCGGTAAATTGTACCAGAGTTACGCCTTAATAAAAATATTGGGCGCATGGCCATGCTTGGAAAAGAGCAGTTTTGATCCTCATACCTTGTCCTCAAAGATAACAGTTCAGATTCGTATTAATATTGCACCTCTTTAAATAATTATACTCTCTTGAACAAGTACTCATTTATGGTTGGATCATGGCAGAAAGACAACATCATCCTATGGAGGCCGAGCAAGCAGAGAAATCTCAAATCATCAATAACAACAATACTCATTCCGCGACATCATCGTTTAAGATGAAGCCTTCCACGACCTCAGCCATCCATCCAAAAGCTTCTGTTTACAAAAAAAGAGGCAACTTTAGCACCAATGCCATCGTACCTGTCAGTGATTCATGGGATGGTATGATTGATAATTCCATTCAATTAAAGGACGGCATTGGGAATGAAAAGCAACCACACTCCTTTTTGGAGGACAAAATTCAACAATTTTTCATATTCATTGCCTCCATGAAATTAGAACGATCCATGAATCCCTTGTTGTGTTTGAGTCTTCACTTGATGATGATTTATCAAACACTTTCGTTGGGAATTTCTATTGATTATGGATGGGGAGAATATGGAAGATATATTGTCCACGCTTTGGTTGCTCCGAGAACCTTTGGATTTCAATTTCTGCCATACTATGGATTTGTAGCATTATTTTCAATTATGTGTCTTGTTGAATGTATCGGAGGAGTAATCATTTTCATCACTTATCGATCGTTAATATATGGAAGCAAACATTGGAAGAAAATTCGAACGGCTGGAAGAAGCGTGTTTGCTACCATGACTTTTCTTGCCTTGCCAATGGTACGTGTTGAAATATTTGTTGTCTGATTGATGAAATTATTTCATCCTGTTACTGAAATTTTTGAAACAATCCAATTCATTCAATCTCTATCTGGATGACAAAACCTAAAGACATTTGCTTTGATGCAAGGTTTTTGGGATTGCGATTATTCAAAAACAGTTGAACTTCAGAAAGGTGTTCCAACATTTGTGCTCTCCAACTTCCCAACCGAAGCATGTTGGGGAACCATGAATGCTGTTTTTGCAATACTGTCCCTTGTGTTGGTTTTGATTCAAGTGTTGATCACAATGGGAACAGTTATGATTTTTTGCGACACATTTGTGAAATCTAAAGCAAAATTCTTATTGTTGGACCCATTTCTCATCTCTTATGTGATTGGATCCAATCAACTCTATTTGATCATCTCCATTGCAACACCTAAATTTGTGAGCTTTTTAAGACCCATATATTACGCATTGTTTTCTCTTGGATTCATTGTTCTATTGTATTGGAATTTACCGTTTGTAAGGAGAAGAGCCAACTCTGTATATGGCGGTGTTGGATTTGCAAGAGTGGGTATTGCTGTTGGCTCCTTGGTTGCTTCATTGGTAAATTCAAGAGATGCATGGGAAATTGGTCTTGGCATTGTGTTTGGCCCACTATTATTGGCCTTAGTTGGTTTTATTATTGGCTTTTTCGTGACTGATTTCTACACAAAACAAATTTTCAACAGAGGTTATGAGATTGTCAAGCTTGCACTCACAAATGACATACATTTCAATGATCGAGACTTGAAACCAGTGAGTGCGTTTCTTCAATTCTCAATTAAGGACACACAACAAAACAAACGATTGGTATTGGATTTTATTGAAGTAGCACAAAATTCAGATCGGCTAAACGCCCACATGCTGCTTCTTTTTGCTCTTTATCTGAAAGATGTTTCCCACACTCCTCATTATTTTGCCTCTCTACAACTGTTAAGAAGAGCAGGCAAAGAAATCTCAGCAAGCATATTTATGAGATATAACATTTTCATAAGAACGCGAGAATGTGAAAAAAGTTTATCGAACGGTCGTTTAAACAGTGCATCCGAAATTATTTTAGAGGGAGTTAAATTTAAAATGAAGAAGCTGAGATACTTGATTGTTCAATTTTGGAAGAACTTACTTGCATCCATGGACGTCAACGATTTAATTCAACACATTCAGTCTCTAAGTTCTGACTGCGACATTACCTTCAACAATCTGATGTTGGAAAATGAAGACGACCCACTTTTTCAAAAATTGTACACGGAGTATCAGGAAGAATTGAGTTTTACAATGGACACTGTTTTTGAACCAAAGGATGTTCAAAACGTAGTTAAGGAGAGCTCGTCTGATCATCATTTACTGGATGTTCCTTTCATGGACGACAATTTAGATTCAGCATCTCAAGCCGAAGAGGAAACAGTGGACAAGCAACAAGAAATTGTTTCAAACGCCATCAACAAAAGAGAGTCGAACCGTCCAATATTTTATTTTCTCGTATCATTTGGAATTGTGTCTGCTTTCTTTGTTGTAGTGTTAATGTCAGTCACATTTCCACTGTTAACATACTTTACAAATTTGGATTTACTATCAACCAGTGCATCACTACCATCGTTACCTTACTCGACCGTAGTTAATATTGAAAGTAGTAATATTTCAAAAACAGCTAACTTGATAACATACAACCAATCCCTCAAATTTGGAATAGAACAAATTGAAAATGTTGAATTACTATTTGATCGTGGAGTACCTGATCAAGAAATAACTCTCCTTTTTAATAGCAATGACAAGAAATTTGTTGTAAGTAGCATGATCAACAATTATCACAACTGACCATAAATACATTTAGTTCGACGAAAGTACTGAGCTAGTACAAAATAGTTCCAATTCGTGGCTTGTCAAAAAGTTGAAACAAGTCATTTATCCAAGAATTAATAGCTCATCATTACTTGCACCAACAAACAATTATTTTGAGTTTTTGAAAACGAATGCTGAATTTTTTACAAACTGTTTACTTGAGTTCTTTTCCAACAGTAATGAACTTCAAGCAACACACAATGAACAAGCTCAGATTTCATTTATCATTGTTGGAACTGTAATTATTTGCTCGTATTTTATATATGTTGCAGTTATAGCTTTCTTTGCATTCAAATTTATTCGGCAACGAAAACTCATAACACAACTATTCACACGAATTCCAAAAGAAGAGACCAAAAAGATTATATCTAACTTGGAAAAGCGTTCCACTTCCAAAATTGTTAGCACTGACAAACTTGTACCAGCTTCTTATAAGACTTTGTTTTTTGTAATTGCGTGCTTCTTAGTGACCTGTTGTGCATTGTCATTAATGATGGCTGACGGTATTAATAGCTTCAACTCTAACTTTGTTGGTTTGAAAAAGCTTCAGCTAGCTGCAAAAACAATGCTACTTTCTCAAACCTTGAGATATCAATTATGGAACAAGTTGAACGTAGTGACTAATTTCACACAAGCTTCTCATGACTCTCTGACCTCCACATTAGGAGAATTTGATAGTGTTTGGAATTCATTTCGTTATGGTTCTGCTTTAGATGCATATCACAGCTTGACAGGTTACTCTTCAAACATTAATAGTTTAATTTTAAACAGAAACAACATGAGTTGTAACGAATTCAGTTGCCTTTCATTAGATGACCAAGTTGCAAACTTTAGATCAAACATTTTACTGTACAAGGACCTGACTCAAAATCTCACCTCTACTAAGCTTCATACATTTTTGATGCAAGAAAGCTTTGAGATTATTGTAAGCTTCAATAACGTCACCCAATTATTGCGACAAACACTTGAATCTAGTCGCTCGTTGATGTCTATTATTGCTGTTGTGGTCTGCTGTCCATTATTATTTATTGCGTCCTTTTGGCTGTTCGTCACTGTTTCCACTTTGCAAGAAGAAAACTTTAGATTGAGAAAACTATTCAATTATGTACAGGTAGGTTTGAGTTCAAATCTGGCATATGTAATCACTGACATCATTTGACTTTGACTCCAGTGGGAAATAATCGATGCTGACGAAGAAATTAGAAATTACATTTTCTTTTATTTTTTATCCGCCGGAAATGGAAGAGCCAAATTAAAACAAAAGATATCGAAAGAGAGAGCAGTCCTTGAAGCAGCATTAACATGTGCAACCATTTGCAGTGCTGGTGGAACGATCGACATTTTCAACTCATCATCAGAAAAGTTGTTTGGTTATCGTGGAGATCAGATAATTGGCTTCCATTTAAGCAAGTTATTCGATAGAGAATCTATATCAAAACTTGAACCTATATTAGCAAAGGTAAGTACAAGAGCGATCCGTGTTTTATCATTATGATGTTGGTGTGATTAAATGGAATCGTTTCTACTTTTCAGATGGCTTTTAGTGCTGTCAGCTATGCAGAAACAATTGAACTCGTTGGTCAAAGGAAGAATAACAGCAAATTTCCTCTTGAGCTCAGAATCTCAGTAGGGGTTTTGGACGGAAGAAATATTATTGCTTGTTTTATGCGAGATATTACAGAGTACAAAAAACAAACAATGGAATTGGCAGAGGAAAAAAAGAAAAGGTATGTTAAGGTGTAAATCATTTTTGTACGTCCTAGAAACAATACGATCAATCTTGTGTCATTGTGACTTTTCATGCTTTCCTGGAAATTCAGCGAGTCATTGTTAATGAACATTATGCCAGAGAATATCGCTCAACGGCTGATAGCTGGAGAGACCTTTATTGCAGACAAGTATGAGGATGTTACCTGCTTTTTCAGTGATTTGTACGGATTGTTGGATTTAAACCTTTCTGCGTATGAACTCGTTCAAACCTTAAATTTAATCATTCACCAATTCGATGACTTGACCATTGCCTTAAATGTAGAGAAAATCAAGACCATTGGTTCAAAATATTTCTGTTGTGGAGGATTGAAGCCAGACACTTCGACAGATGTTCCTCATTTAGAACGAATGTTTGATTTTTCAGTTCAATTATTTGACGTGGTCGAATCATTCCGTCAGGAGAATGCTCTCAATATCGGATTGAAGGTTGGTATTCATACAGGACCCGTCGTTGCAGGTATTTGTGGATTGTTAAAATACGCATTCGATGTAAGTGGTTTAAGTAATTTGGATACCTTAATTTGTTTTTAATTATTCTTGCTCATTCAATTAATACGTTCAATAGATATGGGGAGACACCGTCAATATAGCATCACGGTATGTGATAATCATTTGATATTAAAATTATTAATCCACACTGTATATTAAACACTAAAGAATGGAAAGTACATGTCCATCCAATCACATTCAAGTCACCTCCACCTGTTATCACAAATTGAAAGACAAGTACAAGTTTCAAGAACAGAGCATTGAGGTCAAAGGAAAAGGGTTGATGCAAACCTATCTTTTCAAACCAGAGCGAGCTTCATCAGCAATTCCATCCATGTTAGTCACAAATGACCTCATGAGTTCACGAGAAAGTCTTAATACTTCTAAACGAAGTTTAAAAGCATTCTTAATATCTCATTCTTCGAGTAGAAATGCCATTCAAGACATACTCACCAGTAATGAAGAAGAAAATCAAGAGTAAGAAGAGTACAAACTCAATAACAACCAATACAGACCTTCTTCTTTTGGAAATATTGGATCACAAAAAAAATGTCTCAAAAACTGTCATCCTTCATCATTTCCAAGAAATTTCTCTTCGTTACCATTGGTGTGATACTTTTAATCTATTTTGTATCGTGGATGAATTTGAGAGCAAACAAAGCGTCTTCTTCTTCTACACATGGAACACTTGAAATAATTTCCGAGAATGAACTCTCGGAATCATCCACAACAACACCCCAACCACCGCCATCATCCAACAAGCCTCTTCTTCACAATGATGATACCAATGATTCATCAAATTACCAAACTCCTAAATTCATCTATGAAGAAAATTTGAAAGGCTCCTCCATTGAATCTTTTATTTCCGAATCAGCCTCATCATCACCCGTTTCATTCATTTATATTTATGCGCCGTGGTGTGGTCATTGTAAAGCCTTTGCTCCAACGTTCACATTATTGGTTGAGAAGATTAAAGAAAAATTTAAAGGAAGAGTCAAAGTAGGGAGAGTGAATGGACCCGATAATTATGAAAGTGCCATTGTCAAGTTGGGTGTGAGAGGATATCCTACTTTAGCCTTTTTTAGAAATGGTGAGATGAATACGAAATTGTTTTATGAAGGGAGTCGAAATGTGGAGGATATTATTAAATTTATTGAAGAAAAGATGTTGAAGTGATGAATTCGTATGATGTGAATGGAAGAGAGTAGTAATAATAATATTACGAGAATTCTCTCGTAAGAGGAGAACAAAAATTTTGTACTTTGATCTAAGCGATTTTTGAAATAACAATAATTTTCATATAATTTTTACAAATCATATTATAATTATCAAGAGTGGAAATGTAAATAATTTGAAGGTAGTGGCCAATTAATAATTTGATAATAGTTTTCTAGAAGACACGTGTTTTGATGGAATTGATTTCTCAATTAAGAAAAAAATTGCAGTTACATCACACTTGCGTCATGCCACCAACAACCGCTTCCGACAAAGAATCAACCAACGATCAACCAACCACTGTTCAAAAAGAAGAAAAGAAAGATACAATCGAATCAAGCCAAGATTTATTTAAACAATTCTTGGATGAGAAGGATTCTAAATGGATCAAAGAACAGCAAGAAGAAAAAACATATTCACTCTCACAAATCTTATCGGACTTGACACCTGAGGAACGGATTCGACATTTTGTGAAATTTGCTCTCTCACAAAACGAATTATATCATTCACAAATATCCAAATCCGATCGTGATGATCAATACAATGAATGGAAAACAGTGCATGTGAGTGACACCAATCTTCTGGAAAATTTACACCATAAAAATTCGAAAGTGGCACGTACATTGGGAGAGATTATTTTCAAAGAGGATAATCCTAATCTCATTTCATTGATGAACAAGTTGTCTGACAAACCTGTGATTTTTGTGTGGAAACACAAGACAATTCCATGGTTCAAATATGTTGATCAAGCAGAATATATTTGGAAAACTGCTGTCGATCGAGTTCAAAGAGCTCATGGTGAAAAGTTACTGGAAGATCGAGAGAGCATCTTGTTGGAATTTGCAATTCAAATGAGTTCAGGTCCATCAGATTGGGAAATTGAAATTTGTCAAGAATATGATGACAAGGAAGATGTTGATTTAAACGTAGAACAGTCCGTATACAAGTTTAGAAAGGACTCGGTGTTTCCAAATGGTTTGAATATTGACAGTGTTGGAGCGTTGATCTTTTAAAACACTTCTGTAAAATATTAATGAATGTTGTTTACCTTCCCCAAGTAAGAACGTAACAGGCTTCTGAAATCTTCCAAAACAAATGGCTTGTACACAACGTCATCAAAACCTTGTGACAATAGTGTTTCTTTTGGTTCCCAAGTGTTTGCTGTAATTGCAATAATTGGTATTCGTGGTAGCTCCTCTTTTTGATGATGACGATATTTGACCCAGTTACGAATCATTTCACACGCCTCCTTTCCACTGCATTGCATCCATGAATCGTCTTGATGTGGACAATGAGTCAAATACTTACCTCAAGATGGGCATGAAACAATCCAACAAGACCAAATGATACGACTTTTCTTTGAATTTTTCAAAACATTGCATTCCATCGTTGGAGGTATCGATGTCTTTAAATCCAATAATTTGTAACATTTTCACCAATACTTTTCGATTCACTGCATTGTCATCCGCCAATAATACTGAAAACTTGCTAAAATCAAACTCGTGTTCCTGAGAAAGAAGAGATTTCTTATCACGGATTTTGTCATGCGATTCGTTTCTTTTAACTCGCATTTACCACAAGAGACACAACCTTCCATATCGACGCTTTCATTGTCACTGTTCTCTTCAGAGGTCATCATGGTGTTAAATAGTTCAACCAACTCTGAAAATTTGATTGGCTTGGGAAGATACAGTGCATGTTGGAAATTTCTTTTTTCCCCTTTGAAAATGGTGGAAATAATCTTTGACTGTTCATTCTTTCCAAAACAGTTCGTTGCTTTTTCATATTCTCTTTCTGGTACAATGATCAGAGACAGAGATTTTCTATCAGAATAGGAATCATCACAGCTTTTCACTTGGTTTTGCATGGATTCACTAACACTCTCATAACAGGCAATACTTTTCACTCTCTTCATTAATGAAAGATAATCCTTAAGTACCTCTCGAAAGCACTCGTCATCGTCAATTATGGTGACATGATAGGCCATACTATTGTCAGACAACAAGAAACCACCAATACTTTTCTCGATGTTGGAATTGTCGCAAGTTTCTAAGGGAAGCGAAATGGTCATTTTTGTTCCAACTCCCACTTGACTTGAAACAACCTTAATGTGACCCTTCATTTTGTGGATTAACAATTTAGTGATACTGAGACCAAGTCCATTTCTATGGGTGTAAATTAATGTACTTCCTCCATCATTGAGTTTTCTTAAATTTTCTGACTGATGGAAGTATTGTTCAAAGGAGCTATTTTCAAATTCTTCGTTTTGATGTTCGAGAACACCATAAGGTTGAAACAGTTTGTGAATTTGATCCTGTGAGATTCCACATCCTGTATCGATGAATTCTAACAGAACTTGACAAGCTGAGCTATTTTCCACTCTGTTTTTTCTTAATTTGGTAAAATCTTCGTGTTTGTCGTCCTTTGCAAGCATGCAGTTCACTCTCACATAACCCTTTTTCGTGTATTTGATGGCATTGGAAATAATATTCATGATGATTTGACTCAATCGAACAGAATCTCCTTGAAATAGTTGAGGTACTCGGGAAACGTCATAAAAGAGATGTAAGGAAATGTTTTTCTCATGAGCCAGTTGTGAAAAAACTCCAATCAATGAATCCAACAGAACTTTCAAATTAAAAGGTTCATGTTTCAATTGGATTTTCCCCATTTCCAATGAACTCATTTGCAAAGAAGATGACAGTATATGTAATAACAAGGTGGCATTTTCCTTAATGTCTTCTATACTTTCCTGAATAGCTCCATTGCTTAAAAAACAATGTTTACAACAATGCTTTGCTGAATATTCTTCTCCATCAAAATGATGTTCCATCACTTGCAAACTTCCCATAATGCAATGCAATGGATTTCTCGCTTCATGACTCATATTGGCAATAAATTTGGTCTTTTCAACATTCTTGTATCGTTCCTGAGCTGCCTTAATGTTCTGTTGTAGAAATTCTCGATTCTTGAAAGCCAAAAAATGTGAGACCACATACGATCCAACCATCACGGTCAATTGCAAGCATAATATTTCAACCAATCGTCGATGAAAGAGCTTGATTTCCAATTCAGACATTTCCTCACCCCATATACCCGATAAATATGTACACAACACGAGCACACAATTGTAATGAGTCCATTCCAAGCACAAAATCCACCATGCACGACATCGCACGCTGAGGTTAACATTTTAAACGTTGAAAAGATGGAACTCGGAAACCAAGGTCCATAATACAATTGAGTCAAGAATTGATGAATAAAGATATCACTCATCATACGAGCCTCAATGGCGATTTTGGAAAGGATGGAAGAGTGGTGGTTGGGTTGTTTCTTTTTCTTGCAATAGTCTTCTAATTGATTCATCCAATAATGTAAACAGACTTCTCCCAAATAACAGGCGATAAATACGGAACATCCCTTCTCTTGGCAAAAAGTAAGCAAATGATGATGGGAACTAGGATGAGTAAAGACGCTTGGGCATATTTCCATACATCCTTTTCATATTCGGGTTGTTGTTGTTGAATCAATTCGTGGTGATTGGAATTCAAAGTACGAGTGGTTTCAATTGAAGGATGATCCATGGTGGTGTTGGATTCATCAAGCAGTGCACTATTTTGTTTTGAATTTGGACCTTTACAGCAGAACGTCTTTTTTAGAAAAAGTATCCTTCACAGTTCGCACCTTAATGCTGAATAAGGTTTTCCGAACCCGAAACATGTTGTTTAATGGTTTTGATGGTGAGGTTGTGGATGTCCATTTCCATACAGATAATGATTATTATTGGAAGGATGATGGAAATGATGACGTGAATAGTAATCCAAAAAGTTGGTAAACACTTGTTTCAAATAATTGACCTCGAAGGGTTTGTAAATGACATGATCGAAACCATTCGATTTGAGTACTTGTTCACTTTCAAAGGTATTGGCAGTGACTGCAATGATGGGAACACGTGTATGAGTTTGTTTTTCTAAATTTCGAATCATTTCACACGTTTCTCGTCCACTCAAAATGGGCATGAAACAATCCAACAAGACCAAATGATATGATTTTTGTTTGAATTTTTCAAAACATTCCATTCCATCATTCGAAGTGTCAATATCTTTGAATCCAATAATTTGTAACATTTTCACCAATACTTTTCGATTCACTGCATTGTCATCCGCTAGTATCACTGAAAATTTGCTTAAATCAATGGCTGCATTATTTGTTTCAACAAGAGAAGAGTCTTCTGAATGGTTATTACAAGAATTTGGTTCTGCATGGTTATGAGAAGGTGTCGATTGATCTTTCACTGGAACTGTTTCATCTCGTGGTGTAGCATTCGCAAAGGACATAAATTCAACCAATTCACTGAATCGAACTGGTTTTGCAAGGTACTTGATGTCGAAAAATTCTCGTTCTGCTCCTCGAAAAGTTGTCGGCACAAGGACTACGTTGTCATAGTTGTTAGGAATATCTTTAAGTACTTTGTAATGTTCTTCCGTACAAAAGATCATAGTTTTTAAAGATGGATTTGAGGATATTGGAGACATTTCTTCAAGAGATTCAAAAGTTTCTAATGTGACCAGGTTCTTAAATAATTCAAGATAATCTTTCAATACATTTCTAAAGCATTCATCAGGATCAATGATCTTGACACAAAATTTGATGTCATCTCCTTGTAGAATTTCTGAAATGGCATCTGACATGTCATTGGTAGTATTTTGTAATGGTAAAATGACAGTAACTGTAGTACCCTCATTGAGAACACTATTGACGTGTATTTTACCATTCATCTTGTCGATCAACAACTTGGTAATGCTTAATCCAAGACCATTTCTACTCGTATTGATGAGACTACTTCCTCCATCATTCAATTTCATATTTTCTGATTGTTTGAGGTATTGTTCAAACCCGAGAGAAATATTTTCATCATTTTTCTGTTCAACAATTCGATAAGGTTGGAACAAGTTGTCAATTTCTTGTGGAGCAATACCACAGCCAGTATCGATGACTTCCAGTTTGACAAATGTGAACGGTGAGGATACCGAGTTCGATAACATTTCTTTCACATTGAGTTGATTGTCCAACTTGGAATTATAATCTTTCAAGTCTTCAATAGTTGCCAAATTGCAATTCACTCTCACATAACCCTGTTTGGTGTACTTGACTGCATTGGAAATAATATTCATAATGACTTGACTCAATCGCACCGAGTCACCTTTGAAAAATTGAGGAACTTGTGCCACGTTGAAGAATGAATGAAGTGAAATATTCTTCTCATGAGCCAGCTGGGCAAACACACCAACGAGAGAGTCCTGTAAGAATTTCAAATTGAACACTTCGCTTTTCAGCTGGATCTTTCCCATTTCCAGAGAACTCATTTGGAGAGATGAAGAAAGAATATGAAGGAGCAAACTTGCATTTTCCTTAATATCCTCAATGATTTCACCAATAGCACTATGATTTACGAAACAATGTTTACATCCGCCACAACATGTTTCTCCTTCAAAATGATGATTCAAAATTTGCAAACTTCCCATAATGCAATGCAAAGGATTTCTCGCTTCATGACTCAAATTCGCAATAAATTTTGTTTTTTCACTATTTTTCACACGTGCTTGTGTGGCGTCGACTTGCTGTCGAGTATACTCGAGATTGGAAGAAATAAGAGCATTGGAGAATATATACGCACCCACTAGAACTCCATATTGAAGCACAAACACTTCAAACATTCGATAATAAAAGTCGGTTCTTTCAGCTTCTGTCATTTCATTCCTCTCCAGCAAGTAAGCACAGAATAATGAAACACATGAACACACGAGAACAAGTCCACCACACATGGCCATCAACGATAATCTGAAAAAGATGTGTCTCGAAAGGAGAAGAATCTTGAACGTCGAAACGAGATGGTATGGAAAATGTGGGCCATAATAAATCTGCACTGTGAACATGGTGACGACCATCAATGCTACTCGTACAACGTTTGAATAAATTAATCCTTTCAAAGTCGAAATATTGAGCGAATCTAGAAATGCCTGAAATGCCAATTCCAATATAGAAATGATTAAAAAAGTAGAGCTTCCTCGTTCTGTACTAAATGTCAACGCAAGGAGTTGAGGAACGACAGAAAGTGCCAAGAACAAGGACGAGTTGTCGTTTCTACGCTTCTTGAGCACATGATTCAAGAATTCCTTATCAATACATGGAGTAGAGTCTTCTTGAATGGTTGTATGCAACGGAGCAGTTGTGGTTGACAGTGGAGAAGTTGCTTTCGTTTTTCCTTCCTTCTTCTTCTTTGTATTTGATACTTTTGAAGAGTTTGATGATGGGAGTGTATGATCATGATGATGCTGTGGATGAACTGTCGTGGTTGGTGAAGGAGTGACAGTAGTATTATTACTATCGATTGACAAGTCATCATGCGTGTGTTGATGTCGTTGTTGATCGTCATATTCTTTGATCGTCACGTGATGATTGGGTTCGTCTCCTCCCTCGCAGCACGATGTAGATGTGGTTGGTGATGCTGACAGTGCTTTTTGAGATTTCATGGAATGACTGGATGGTGTAATCTGTTCTTCTTGTTTTTTGGTGTTGTTGGATGTGATTCTTTTACGAACAGCATGATGATACTGCCGGCGAAGAGATCCGTTTCCGCATGAATGGGCATGCAGGAAAAAAAAGTCAATTTAACCTCTCATCCACTCGCCATTCATGATTTTGAAAGTACGCATTACATAAATTTGTCAGATCGTTCAATGTCCTTAGCTCGAGTTTGGGGGCAGTGCGCCGAGTCCTTTCGGCACGCACCCGTTCAATATCCAAGGACCGGTTAAGGTAACCTAGAGTCTCAGCAACATGTGATCGCTATCACGCCTTGGAATTCGTTTTGTTGTGGTCTTCTGCCGAGTGTTCAAAGTGAAAGTGTTGGTGTTGCTTGAACAGTTTTGTATATATCTACAAATTGCTTTTTGTGATGTGCAGTATTAATGCTGTGTGTATTGTCCTTCCACTACAATTCGACATTGATACCATATCTCTCTGATAAACATTGTTTGCGCATCAGTTATTAAATGTGTCTCACCGCTTTACTATAATGTTTCCTATTTCTACTTTCGTTTCATTGAGGACTGACTGGCAGGGTGAGGAAGACCAAGATTATGATGGTGGTGATGATGATGGTGATGATGATGGTGTAAGGAGGAATTGTTTGTTGTAGCGAAACTAGTGGTACTACTAGCACTTGAACTAAAACGTTCTTGATTTTGAATCCATTGTCGATTAATCCGAATAATCATTGCTGGAGCTACATCTTGCCAGTCCTGATCTTCCTTAAAGTGTGAAATGATGCGTGACCAATGATTGGCTCCAAATGAAATAATCTTTGAAATCATTGGTTTTAAGGGTTGACTATTTCGATAAGGATTGGCCCATTTGAGAACGGATACAAAGTTATTAACGCACAAGTTGGTATCCAGTGAGGAGAGGCAGTAATCTTGAAGGTTTTTCATTTGGAATTTCCATGCAATTTCCATAATGGGTACCAATAATTGAGTGGGTAAGGAGGAATGATCCAACGAGTCATACATGTATTTGATAGCACATTCTAAAGCATCAATTCTAATGGCTTGCTCTTTTTCAATATTTTCAGAGTTGGTTGACTCAGACAAGTCCAATGTCATGGGGAAACCTTGTCGTGGTGAAGTGGCTTGTTGTTGTTCTTCTTTTTCAATTCGCTGAGCCAAGTACGGGCTCGCAGAACTAAGGATGGTTTTGTGAGCTTTGATTTTCTTCGTATGTGCCTTATCAAGAAAGAGAATCATGTCACCAAAGGGATCATTATAGAGGAGTTGTAAAGGATTACCAATGTCAAATCCAGCTCTGGATTGTTTTCTTCTTTCCTCATTCCATGTAATGGTATTGGATCGCTTATTCCACTCTGGTACTTGCTTTAGGAAAAGTTCAAATCTAATATCGTTAATAATTGCTTCAATTTCATCAGTTTTGTTCACTGAGTTTTCTAGCAACTTTCCGTTCAATTCATGGAGTATGGCATAGCATTTCGCTCTGCATACAGTCAAAACACCTTTATCCTTATTATTACATTGTTCCAATTTCATTTCAATAATTTCTAAAATATCTAAAATGTTGCTATATTTGAGTGTTTCCTCAAATCGATCATAGAGCTTCTTTCTCAATTGTACTACAGTCTCATCGACAGAATTATAATCATGAAGCCATCTCAACAGCTTAACAACAGCTCTACAATCCATCTCTCTAACAAAAGCAATTTCTGATCGATCATAACACGTGTTAATCATTCGTTGCATGTATAGCTGATCTATTGAATCAAGCTTGCCCATAAATTCTGAGTTTTTCAGCATGGATTCTAAGAAGGGTGATACTAAACGAACAAGAGGCATGAAGGCATACATGTTGGTTTGAAATACTCGGTCTCTTGGAGAATGATTTTGCTTCAATTGTTTGGCAATGGAAAATTTTGGTTTGCTATCGTCTCCCGTGTAGAGAATGGTCGAATAAGGCCCACTTGTGGCATTGATTGGAATGTTGGTGTCATTGATTATGGAGACCTTTGTGGGAGAGGTCACATATATCGCTTCTTCGTCATCTTGCAAGCCCAATTGGCCAAGCTCATTGCTTCCACATTGATAAACATCATATCGATGTGTCACAAAGGTGGTATGTTTGTAACCACAACGAATTCGATCTACATAGTCCAAACCAGCTTCCATGATCACCAATTTTGTGGGAGTGTAAATGTTTCTCATTAGTGTGGATTTTCGTTCTGCTGAGTGAAACGTCATTGGTAAGCCTAACTGTCCTTCATTGTTACATCCAAAAACATAGATGTCAAAGTTTTTGTTCATAACTACCGAATGGTAGAGGCCGCATTTGATTTTCTTCACATTTCCAAGTAAAGATTTGTTTCCAAGAGGCATTGGAGATTCTGGAATATCGATTTGACGCTTTGTGTCTTTGGTTTGGTCTATGGCTGCCTTTTCAACACTTTGTTTGCTTTGTACAGCAGTGGTGGTAGAAGTAGTATTATTAGTGGCCGAAACATTTTGGTTTTCTAATTCTGCAACATCACTATCTGTTTGACATACCAAAACCGGGCTATGCTTGAAATGAACTTGGGGTTTTGAAATACCGAGTTGACCAAATTGATTCGAACCTGTACTGTAAAGATCACCTGTCGTTGTAAGAAACAAGGTATGCTCAGCTCCACAAGCAGCTTTTCTAACCTCTACTTCGCTAAGTTCCTGAACTAGCTGAATGTATGGCTCATTTCTGGATCTGGTTCCGAGACCTAATTGTCCCATTTCATTCAATCTGATGTGGTTCATTCACAAAAAATTCAAATAATTTAACAAAAAATCACATCCTTAATAAGGTACGTACCCACAAGCATAAACGCGTCCATCTTCGGATATGAATATGGAGTGATTTCTTCCAACAGCGACTTTGGAAATGTCAGATAATTCAATTGTTGTTGAGGGTGTAGCGATTGAACTGCCAGTACTAAAACTGTCTACAGCATTGTGTGGCGCACGAGCAGCAGCAACAACTGCCGTAGCTGTGCCAGCTGGTGGAGGAGTGGTCACAGTCAAGGCAACAGGCTCAAAGAAAATGTTTGCATTGTTTTCAGGAGAAGTTGAAAGTTGTTTTCCTGGATGGTTGGAAATTCAACATGGTTCAATTCGTGTGAAGAGAAAGTGAGACTGACCATGCACATGATGATTTAAATGATACTTACCAATTTGTCCAGAAATGTTAGATCCTGTGCCATATACTCTTCCATCCTTCAACAAGAAAATGGTAAATTCAGCGCCACAATACACGTTTGCAATTGAACCATCTCCATACTCTGTGCTGGAAGCAGTGGCGTTTGATGATTTTAGTAGTTCGTCAGATTCATCTAACTGCACAGTAGAAGCAGTACTTGAGCCTGAAGTGTCATCTTGACTGAGTGAGCTACTTCTTGACAAACTCACTCCCATGTCATCAAAAGACGTGAGTCTTATTGGTGTTTTCACGTGATGTATATCTCTTGGAAGTCCAATCTGACCATTCGTGTTGGATCCAAGCACAAATGCTTGCTTTTTCTGTGTGAGAAAGATTGTGAAATCTTGTCCACATTTGATACGTTTGATTTTGTCGTCCTGAGTGAGAAAACAGTTGTTCACGTCTACTGAGGACGATTTTGTGGTGCCCAAAGTCTTTAAAGAAGAAACCCTCTTCACACCACACATCATTTCACAAAACGAATCTCTCTTTTCATTATCCATTGTTCCTAGTTGATAATGATCATTGCAACCAGTGACATAGACAGAGTTGGGTGAAAGTTTCAATCGTCGAGGAGTACTGAGTGCTGTTACTCCTTTCTCAATCAAAGGAGGAATTACAAGACTATCAACATTGAACAATATACTACCATCATTATTACTTCTGTTTGCTGCATGAGTTGCCGTTCCTTCCTCCACTTCGGAACACATTATGATATCCTTCGATGAAGAACGTTTGTGATGGCTGCCATGGCTATGACTTGTATGCAAGTGATGATCAACAGAAAGGTCCCGATTGATCTTTTGAGAGGAATGAGTCGCGTGCATGGGTGTTGTGGTCAACTGCTGTGTAGAATTATGGACTTGATTCGGAGTACTTGTCGATAGAGTTGTGTGGTTGATGTTGTTGCTGGCAAGCATGGTTCTCTCAAAATTTTTGTTCGAAATTTAAGCAAAATTGTTTCATGGACCAAATTTGGTGTTCATTAAATTCTCAATGAGTATGGCTGGGTGAGACATTTGTCGCAATTTGGTGAGTGGGTGATGAGAGCAATAAAAAATAACTTTTCTACAAATTTGAACAATTGTTCATTCACAAAATTTCAAAAGGGGAATTGGTTGATGATGAGAAAGTATTGTTGTGGTTGTTGAACGGTGATGACAGTATGGAAAAGTTGGAAAAGCACAAGTGAATGTAGCGATAGAAAAATTTCATGCTTCCATTCTTTGGAATGAGAGGTAGGAAATCATCTGGTGTGCAAGAACGGGCCAAAAGCTTCAAAATTCTGTCGAGAAGAGCATACAAAAATGTTGGTGCTGTAGAATGTGAGGCATCTACGCTGTCCACTAAGGTCGAAAGCTTCTCTTGTTCATACTCTTTCAAATGTGAAAAGATCAAATCTAAAACATCTTTCCAATCGCTTAACGAACTACAATGACTCTCAATAAATCCAAATAAAACATCAAGGGAATGATCTTGGTGTTTTTCTTGGCCCAGTATTATCAATAATCGTTCAATAGCTTGTTTGAATTGTTTAGAGCCCATCATGCAAAGCAGCTTTAAATTGTCAAATCCAATGAATTTTCCCTCATGGTCCTGAATGATTTCAATAAATTGAGAAAATATTTCCATTCTATTGGTAGACACGAATTGAACAAAATAACAAATTAATCCTTGAGCGTTTTGCAAAGTATGCACTAACAGGAATAATGGATCATTCTCTGTAATGGAAAACAATGTATTTTCAGATATCGAAATTTCGTCCAAAATATTAATAATTTCGGCATATTTCTCTGATAAGATATCTTTAGAGTCAGATAGTATATTCAGTTGTGTGTGATTTCTGTTAAATTCATAATTCACAAATTCTCGAAGCCAACCCAGATTTTCTCTAAATGGTATTAATGAATAATGAATGAATGAACAATATTGTCTCAATTCATTGAAATTATCCATATATGAGAACAATCGCTTGGTACTTGGCATGTGATCACATGTGACATCGTTAATTGGCGACTGGGCAGAAGAAGATGGAGAGTGTAACTCTAACACCTTCTGTTTGGTCGCATTGACTAAATCTTTGATATTTGTTTCCTTGAGAAGCGAGGTAATTTGTGTGAGCTCTTGTACAAATACGAGCATGAGTAGCAATGCAATTTCTTTGAGGGTGGAGTCATTGGAAGGGTCATTGGAAATTAAACATGTGGAAAGATAAATTTGTTGCATGAAGAGGGAAGTTAAGGGTGTCTCCACATTTTCTGAAAGTTGTAAATTTTCTCCTTTCAACAAATCCATAACTTGGTTGCTTCTCAAAGGGCATGAATTACTAGCTGTTAACCGAGTTATAGATTCAACAAGACACCAAGGAAAATGTTTTCTGAATACAAATGCCAACTTGGAATATTGTTCACTGGTTGTATTTGGTGCAAGTAAGGATGGATTTAAAACAACAAATTCAACGAGTACATGGCTTTCTACGGACTTGAAAATTGCAACAGCTTTTTCTTCGTTTCCAGTTTGAAGATGAAGTAGTGCGAGGACCATGGCGTCTTTAGGCATTATTTCAAACCATGAGAGTACTTGATCACCTTGTTGAGGATATGCGTCATTCTTTTCAATAGAGTGCTCTTCAAAGCGTGACAACGTCAGTTGTTGAGCTTTTACGTACTCCAAATTAATTTCCTCCAAAAGTGATAGAGCATGAGTCTTTGAATAAGGAAAACTGTTTGCCAATATGACGGTGGATAAAGTATGAGGAATTCTTTGTTTGTAAATAGTGAGAATTTGATTTCCCAAGTCTTCTGAAAGGCTATCTAACGACCAATGATTCTCCTTGTCAAACAAAATATGTTCCAAAAATAATAGCAACGATTCCTCTCTAACAGAAAGCTTTGTGAAAATATCTGCCATAGGTTTGTCGCTATTTGCATATGCATACGCAGCCAAGTCAGTATTTTCCATGGACACATAGGCATCTCCTTGAAGTCCAAAGGACCTTTTCAAAAGTGTCGTATAATTTTGCAGCTCAATTTTTGTCTTCAACAATGTGATGGCATCAACATCGGTAGACCTCTCCAATTTCTTCTCCTTAGTTAATAATTCAAAATATTTCGATTGTAAAAGACTGTGTGATTCTTTTAGGAGTTTCATGTAGCTTGGTTTGTCGCTTTTTTCAAACATCATAGCATGCTCGAGCATGTCTTCATAAATATCAGACAATTCTACTGCATTAAGCATGTAAATATTGTATGAAAACTCTTCTACTGATGGCAATGTAGAGGAGGAGCTATCTTCTCGTTTTTTCCTTGCGTTGAAAATGGGAAATAGTCGTCCACTTCTTGTGGCATCTTTGGAGGGAGACGCATTTCTATTCATCTTTTCAACGTTTCTAATATCTGATACAAGTACAGTCTTATCTGTTTGCTGATTGTAATAGGCTGCAATCGAGAAATTCTCGTTGCTACTTATCTTGGAGATGAGAACGACATGGTTATTGGTTGCTGAAACGCTCTTCAAGCCAATAAATGGATGAAACCGTAGCAAACATCCATTACTGCCTCCCAAGACGCTCCAAACTTCTAAGCCTACAGGTGTAATGGCATAAAGAAATAGAGAATTTACAGCACTCATTAGACATTCGTCAGTATATTGAAATTCACATAACAACGATTGAGGGCTTGACAAACTGTACACGTATCCACAGGTTGACGTGCTTATTATGCACTTCATTCCAGTATTTTGGTTGAAATCTTTCTTTTGAGAAATGTTTTGGAGAAAGTGAATTGATCGTGGACTCTCGTCGAGTGTAAAATGTTTGTGGAGAAGATTTATACAAATGTCACTATATTTGAGTCGTTCAATATTAATATTTGAATGTGTTTAAAATCCTGTCGATATGATAATTTTTTGTACTTACATATAATTATGATTCACAAATGCAGGATGATCAACTGTTGGTGTCTGTCCAAAAATATCATATGCAATATTGTTCGCAGAACTGTGATTACCCTTCTTCATAGTGGTCTTGTCACTGATACGAACGGGCTCACCATAACTCTGAGTTGCAGGAGAAGGCAATAAATCTTTGGTTCCCATGTCAAATCGTATTTGAATTTCATCAATGGATTCATGAAGCTGGCTAACGCCCCAATACATGGCCATTGCTTTGTTGAGAGGATTCAATGATTGGTGTCGTGTAATAATTCCTCCCTGTGATACTTGTGATTGTGGACTCTCATTTGTACCAACTATTTGCTCTTGAACGTGAGCTTGAATTCTCTTTTGAATTTCTGTGAGACGTGATGATTTCTTTTTTTGAGTATCGCTGTGGTCAGAGGCGTTGGGAGAGACACTTCCACATACATTTACTGCACCAACATGTTGTGCTAAAGTTGACTCTTCTCCGTTGGTGCCTCCATTGTTGAGATTAATATCATCATCTTGTGAGTTTTCTAAAAGGGTTTTTTCTAATTCAGTCTCTTTTTGTTTGAGTTCAATAACTCTAACATCTTTGTCTGTACCGTATCCAATAAACTGATTAAATACTGAAATACACTTCACGTGCCATGATGTATGTAATTTTAAAATGCAAATAGGAGTCTCAATATTATTGGTAAATTTCCACAGTGAAATAACATCTTTTGCACATGTCAATAATTGATTGCTGTAGGTACAAACAGAAATTAACAGCTCACTACTGAGAGTCATGCCTGATTTTGCTGCTTGAGATGTAGTAGCACTGTTGGCTTGTGTTGTGAGAGTAGTACTGGTGGTTGTGCTGTTGGTGGAGACAAAATTCTGAATCGGAAGTGAAAATGGATAAATGATGGTTTTTCGTTCCTTTTTATCGTATTCAAATCGATAAATTCTACAACATTGCTCTACAATTGTTTGTGTGTTTTGATTCGTGGTGGGCGTTGCAGTAGACGATGATTGAGAAAAAGATTTTAAAGCATTTGAAAAATCGCCTGATGATTTTGGTGATCCCAAAATATTATTATTACTACTAGAAGCATGACCACTTCCTCCTCGATGATGATGATGATGTCCTAATGGCGTTGTTGGTGTGGTTGGTTGTTGTGCTGTGCCTATCGTGGTCATTCTTCGTTCCACCGTGATGACTCTCCGAATGTCTGGCAAATAATGAATAGCATCCACTTCGGACCACAACGGCTGAAATTCATACATGCATTGAAATTCCTTTTGTGTGGTCTGAGTGGCATATCCTTTAATAATTCCACTGAAAGCCACCCAAAATAAGCCTTCACTGGCAGCACTGCAGAGAGGCTGACCCAACTCGCTTGGGCATAAAATATCTTGTGATTGAAAAACCCGAATATTGTGTGAATTCATTTTTTCAAGTGTGGTGATCAATAAAATCCACGGGTGGACAACTCGAGCGTATTTTTTCGTGAACACCTCAAGCTACGAGAAAACTTTTCGCTGGGAATTTTAATAACACAACGACCATAGGATGATTTTATGATGGTTTCAATCCATCAAAACCTACCAATACAATTGATTGTTTCTGACACATAAAGGAAACACCACATCACTATTGGTGCCTCAATATGTTGAATTGGCATTACAAGAGCCATGGTAGCTACTTCTTAAAAATTTGTCACGTCCATGGAGGACTGGAATTGTGACTGAGTTGAAGACAACCATTCCCCCTCATCACAATCACATGATCGACACCATCTCTCTCTCAAACAGTCATTACATACTTTCAAGCCACAATCCTTGCATGGAGTTAGTGATAAACAGGGCTTGTGGCATGAATTGCACAGCAATGTTGGCATGTTTGGATGGCAGATCTTACAAAGGCCATCATAGTAACACTTGCAACATGTTGAATTTTGACATTGAAGGCATTTAGAAACGGCATTGGTTAGTCTGTGACAACATTTGCAATGATAAACTATGAATATAGAACATCGTTGACATTCTCCATTGTAAGAGCATCGTTCACAAACAATATCAGAACAACAGGAACATAATATTAGTTCCGTGTAGTTGGAACAAACTTGGCACTGTCTCCGTTTGCAAATTTCTGAATTACACCCACAAGTTGCATCACATATTCTTCCAAGCTTGGCACACTTACAATTCAAACAATTTCCTTTTTTACATCTACATCCAACTTTCTTCTTTGCTTTGTGTTCATTATCATTACTGTCATTAATTTTCTCTCTTTTCCTTTTAAGTTGGTTGGTATTGAAGCACTCGATAGCTTTCAATGCATCGTCAAGATTACCATAAAACTTGATCAAAATATTAAGCAATCCAATAGCATCATAAAATGCACAATGTGAATTGTTGACATTTCCTAAATTAAAGTGTTCAATTAATACATCCTCAGCAAAAACTGGTTTAGATTTCCCTTTCTTTGTCATTTTCCGAGGAAGACAATTGTGTAAAGTCGATTCTGATTTCATTAATCGGAGAGAATCAACAAAGACAATATTGTCATGATTAAATTCAGAAAACTTTCCGAAAAATTCTTTGGCAAAAACTTTAAAATCCAAACGGTCTCCATTATGAGCTATTAAGTAGGTTTTTCCTTGAGAGTTATTGTTTAAAAATTGGATAATATCATTCACATGCCCTTCAATAGGCAATTTTGATCTTAAGATATTCAAGTTAAGTCCTGTAATTGATTGTGCTTGGTTAGAAATCACTTTTCCAGGATTAACTAAGCCATACAAAACAGCTCCAGCCAAAACGTCCACAAAACAATATTCCGTAATTTTTGGTGGATCATCATTCTTCCATAATCCAGTCGTTTCAAAATCAAAAAATACATATTTGTTTTGAGGTGAAGTTTTTGATATTTGAGTTGAATCTTCTGAAATAGAGTCAATGGTGGCGATATTTGATGTTGAAATATTTTCTGCTTGTGATTGCTTCTCGTTAGATGGAACAAATAATCCTTTTTCTGAATTAAATGTAATAACTGATTCTTTTGGTAATTCAGGTTCTGTTCGAATTCGAATTTGCTTAAAGGTATTGGTTACCAATTTGGTTGCTATTTCCTCAACAATACCCTCAACATGTTGGCCAAATTGGCGAGATTTGAGTGAAGTAATAATTGTGTTGTACAGTGTATCTTTGCATTGCTGAGGTGAATAATTGTGACATTGTAAGTGCTTAATGAATGATCGTTGTCGGACCATTATTTGATTACATTCAGGGCAGCTGAGAAAAATATTGTTCATAATAGTTCCATCATCCGCGACTGGTGCTTGTTTACATAAATACTCTCGTATCAGCATTACATTTTTCTGAGGAAGAAAATCTTGAGTGACATCGAGCACATATTCATACATCTCTTCAGAAATAGTTTGATCTTTCTCTAACAAAGTATCCTCATCGTCTTCTTGAAGAATGTGTTTCTTTACATAGTGTTTTCGATGTAATTCAGAATAGTCTAAGCGTACGTTACAATTTCCATAACACTTTGTGGTTGATTGTTGATTGACATTAATTGGAGAATTTTTTGCCAATTTCGTCTTCAAAGCAATCCATACGGCTCGATAGATCCCACAATAATCTCGAAAATTAGGGTATCGTATTTTTCCTCGAATTAAGGAAAAAAAATGTTCAACAATTAACGTCGAAATTCCACAAGCCTTAATTTGAATATGGTTTCCATATTTTTCAAAAAGAGAACGAAGTGAAGTCATAGTCATCACAATATGAGAATACAATTCGTCACTAATGATGTTAGGATTCGCATCTTTCCATTCCTTAAGTGTTATCAGTACAGATTCAATTAATTGTTTTTTCTCATTCCAGTTTGAACATCGTTCATCGTCAAAAATTTGATGTATTTGTTGCATTAACGTTAAATATTTTGCTAATGCACAACATCCTATTTGCTTGCTTTGTTCAATTCCACTAATAACATTAGAATCTATCAATGCAAAAACAGGTTCCATTTTCATAATGTCGACTGGGTAAATTATATTTTCCGATACCCAGTCTCGCAGTTGGGGTTCATTTCTAACCTTCAATAATGTATTCATAGAAAAACTCTCTTTTTCAATAATCAAATCATCCCCTTTCAATAAACGATTTCTCAACCGTTTGAGCAAATGAGACCAATCAAAAAGGTGAACATAATTTTCATTAGTATGAGAGGTTGCATATTGATAATTACCAGCTAATCCATCACTACAACCTCCAACCACCTCTAAAACATAATCTCCATAAGAAGTTCGTTTGAATTGATCTCTAATTTCTGTCATTTTCTTTGTAATAAATTCATAATGGTTTGATTTGTGACCACCAAAACAAATAGGAAAAGACATCTCACCGTCAAGAGTTGTTGCAAAAAACTGGCACACATGACTAGCAATATCGTCTGGTGTAATTTCTCTTTTTGCGTTATATATATCTTCAAAAGACTTTTCATTGCAATTTGTGAATCCAATTACTTTTCCAGTACTTTTCATCACACATAATCCTCCTCTAATCTCTATTTCATCATATGAAATTATGATCTTATTACTAATATTATTCAATGCCATGGCTTTAACAATATCTTTCAAATCACTGTCGACAAGGTTACCAAAAGACAAGTCTGGAAGATAGCTCTTAATTGTTGAAATAGATGGAAGTAATAGATTAAGCTTATCTAATGCGTTTTCAGATGTTATAGTTTCACCGAGAGAATTTCCTTTCAAAATATTCCACAAACGAGAACCACCATAAAATCGAAGTAATAAACACCAATGAATGATACACTCTTTGTATCGAAAACCGTTAACATTTTTCGACGAAACCAAATTTTGCAAAGTATTTTCTAATAATTGATAAAAGAACTGGGTTTCATGTAATTTTCCTTCCTCTAGCGCAATCGAGAGAAGTTCTACCAAATAATGTTTTTGATCTTTTTCTTCAATTAATTCTTCGAAATTCTTAATTGTAGTATCTCGTCGAGAGATTTTTGCCTTCAATGATTTGATGACATTTTTGTATTCTTGTGTTCTTGCAGCGAGGTGAGCTGTTTTGGTTTTCAATTGTTCGCTGATAATGGCGTAATTTTGTTTCATAGCATTCATAACATTTTTCACAAACTCCATATTTGTTGAGATTGCAATTATTGCAATCTACACTAAAAAAACAAAATTCGCCATGATGATTGAAGTTCACACTTCCGAAGCTGTGGCCATTGTGTGATATGATTCCCGATACTGTTAATAAATGGCTCACTTTTTCGAAATGAATACCATTACATAACATGTTACCCTTTTTACAGTTGCTACACCGCTTGTCGTCGGAGTGTTTACATTGGCCAAAGTTTTTAGGTACAATTGAAATGATGTCTTTGATTCCCTTTGGTTGCCGTTGAATTGCGAGAGTAATAGGTGATGATGTATCTATTGAATTGTTTTTAATATATTCAGTAATATATTTGTGGTGTGTGTTGCAAAGTAGAGGCTTCTTGTAATCCACTCCGAAAATTGTGATATTTTGTGGAGTACTTAATTTTGCATTGAGTGAACAGCAGCAACAGCGATTAGGCCTGCCCATTTTTCTTTTTGAAGAACTCAAAAATTTCTGCCTTGCTCCTGTGCTGTTTGATGCAAACTGAGTGTGTAAAATTCAACCAAAGCTCATTCAAATCGACAAGTTTTCTCGGTAAATCTAAATCTAAACATGTATGAACAATTAGTATTTTGCAAAAGTTGTAATCGATAATGATGAGAATTGTGTTTAAATTAACTCTGACGAATGCACACTTTTTTCAAAGGCTCGTTCTCACTTTTTACTTCATATTACTTCACCAACAAAGAGTATGTATAACTAGAACGCATAGAGAATCTACTCTCAAGAAATCAGATTTATTGAAGGCTTGTTTGTTGTGTTTAACTATCTCTGATAACAATTTTCGAAAATCGTCGGGGTTGAAAAATGAGGTGAAATACCTTGTCCGCTCGCGAAGAATCTTGTCTCGCATCTTGGTCATTTTTACTGAAGGAGTTGGCCACCCGTGATAAAATCTTTACAAAATTAAAAAGTCACACGCGTTAAAAATAATGAACAACAACAACACTTACTCGGAGAGCACACCATACTCCATCAATGATAACAATGATTTTTTGGTGTTTTAAAGTGCTCCGATCACATACTCATCTCTCACACGAGAGACGGAATTATCATCTTGACAGAATGATAATCACATAGTTATTATTATATAGATCTATGGCCCGAATGATGAATCATTTTAGTTGTCTCTTCAACTTACCAGTGTAATAAATGATGGTAATTATTTCTTGCTCCATTACCGTCACGAGGGATGTGGAAGTGACAATGATTGCAATGAAACCATTTGCTTCCAGAAAGGTCTTCCTTGATCATTGAACATTTTCCACACGTTTTCGATGTGTATTGTTCTGTGACAACATGTACCTTGCATCCACGCATTTCTGCCTTTTGCAAGAGTTTCATTCGAAAATCATAGTGTCTAAATCGCAACATTTCACAATATTGTAAACACAGGCTCCGTGATTTTCAAGCTACTTGAGCAACTGTAGATGCCTTCGGGTTTCGCCGTTTTTTAAGGTAAAAAAAGAGCACCACCCTGTTATGCGCACAATGAACCAATTCTTCCCATTTCAGCGACTGCGAAAAAGTCCATTCATCCGCCAACATATTTAATGCAAAATAAACACAAAAAAAAAGTGATTCAACCCTTTAACTTGTTGCAGAAACACGAGGTGTTTGAATTCATTCTGTAGTGTTCTTTTGGAGTGTTTCATCTTTCTCCTCAACAACACGAGCTCGTTTGGTTTCGTTCACGGGAGCACTGATTCGTGGCCATCAACCATCAACAGAACTTTAAAGAAAAAAAAACCGTTTCGGAAACGACCACCACCTCATTGATGAAATAACAACGAGATCATGGTGTTCACGAAAGGAGATCGTATTAAAATCAGAGTCGTGAGAGGACATTTCATTGCCAAGCTCGATGAATTACTAGTGGCTGCTGACACACCAGCCTCACCTCGAACCAATGTCAATAACAATGGCAATCATATGAACAACACTACAACTCTCAACTCCCATCATCCGTTGCAACATGAGAACATCTCTCATGTTGTATCGTCATCGGAAATGCCTCATGTTACCTCTCAACCACAGCTTCATCCTTCACCTTCTCTGGGTTGCTTGGAACGATTAGATCATAGGAAAACCTATGTCATGATACAACAAGCAGGAAGTAGCTCTCAAAAGGGAGAATGCACAAAAAAGAATACAATGAAACGAGTTAAAAGTCGTGGCACGTTTTTAATGAAAAACTTTGGTGAGGATTTGAATGAGAATGGAAATTCGTCGTTATTTCAAGGTGAGGAGCATGCTACAATGGTCGATCATGATTCAAATGTTTCAGCCTTGTCTGCAGCGAACAGTCAAGAAAATCTCGAAGATATTGAGGCCATGACAAGTGCAGTCTCTCATTCTCAAATTGAGGACGAACAAGAAGGTGACGCCTTTACAGAATTTCTCTATCAATGGAATCAAGATTTTGAATTTCCAGAAATTGAGTTGACCATGCATCAGGTCAGATTTTGGTTTACTCTCATGGAGGCCAGATCAATAAGGAAGGATGTAAGTTTTTATGATTTCCATCAATTATTGCCTAGAGCTGTACAATTTTACTTTTCGTTCACTCACAAATAGAAAAAACTTGCTGAAGGATCGTTATTAATCGATGGTGACGATTTGCAAGCGATCAATAATGACAAAACAGTGAAAGTGAATATGAGAACCATTTGTTCTTCGAAGAAGGGTAAAAATGGATTGTCGTCTGTCTCTTCAAGCCAATCCGATTTAGATGCTCATGACGATTCTGATGATGCCGAGCAGAACAATACCTCTCCAAACAGTAATAACAGTTCAAATCACAATAACGCAAGCTTTTCGTTACAGTCAGAGGAAGAAAAAATTGTTGGATATTTAGAAGTGCTTGTACGAATTGAAAGAGATGAGCATTTTGCTGCTGCTCGGTTTCTTGAAGAGTCTCATTGCCCTGAACGAATTGAGCTTTCTCAGTGGAATGCCACCAATAAGATTAATAGTCATGCTGTTTCTACAAGCTTGCCCAATGAGGTCAATACTCAGTCCGATGTTCATGAACATATTAAGGATTGGACTAAACATTCAGTGAGCCGAAACTTGGTAATTTATCTTCCACAACAATGGAAGCCAAAGGTAAGCATTTGCATTCTTAATTGAAATCATTTTGATATATTAATTTGTATGTACGAATAGAAAATGCAAACTGTAAATAAGAGTTCTCACACCCACTACGAAGCTGATTTCTGGTCGGATCGATGTTTAGGTGCCGATACAGAGCATGTTGAAATTTTGTCAATTGTATACCAGAAGGTCTGTTCGAAAACAGAGGAAGATTTTCAGTTAACACAGACTCTTTATGAAACTATGGTTCATCACAAGTTGTCATCAGAAGCAATGAATGGTGTAATAATTTTGGAAAAAAACCAAGATGTGACATCAAATTTTGGAGTTGCTTTTGATTCCGTTTCCCGATATCATTATTCCTTCACCAAGAGAATTGGATTTGCTCAAGTGGATCATGTATTATACATTTTCAAGCCAAAAGGACTCAACGTGATGTTGTGTGCCACTTTAGAGACATCTTTTGGTCTTGGACAAGCTGAACATGATCTTTTGCAATATGCAGCTCAATCTGCCATCATTATTTATCAATAAGCTCGTTTTGCACATTAACATACAGCATTCTCCAATTCTTTTTCAAACTCTTTCCAATGAATTAAATCATTAATTTATTATTTCATAATGAAAGCATTAAGGGCAACCATGGTTATAAAATGGTCAAGAAAAAAATGCAACCACTTCACACTTCTTCGGAGATGTTGATGCAACATGTTTTTGAATCTTTATCCGGAGTAGGATTATTGGCAATAGTCATCATGGTGTTGGGCGGAGTGTATTTGTATTTCTTTTACTTTGATTCTTCTCGTAAACATGATGACAACCAAAACCATAACATCAGCGCGGAACAGATAATTGAAGATCATCATGATGATGAAGATGAATTGGCATGGTTTCCAACGAATGAACATCAATTATGTACCGACTTGTCTACATTGTCTGTGTCATCGGATGATCCATGTTCATCCATTCCTATTTCAGATCCATCATCCAAAGAAACAAAATTACATCCTTTAATAGATACAATTCACGTACATGATGAAGCAACCATCGGAATTAATCGTCCTGTAGCAAGTGATACTTTGGAGGCTGCTCATTCATTAAATCATGAACCAATGCTTGAATCCAATCATTTACTTAACAACATCTCGATGGATTCACCAAAAACAAAAATCAATCAACAAGAGCCTAATGTAGCGCATGGTAATTCTTCCTCAACAACCCAACATGATCATTTACTCTCAAAACATTCATTCTTGATGGTCTGCTCGAAATGTAATTATTTATTTGCAACCTTTTTACCTCCGTCAAGATTACCCGAACAAGAACACATGGAATTTCCTGAACGATTTACAAATCATCCATTCACATTCGGAGTATTGAAATTAGATAATGACAATAGAAGAAGAAATGTTGCATTCATGCCACGATTTCATCAAGAATATAGAATGAAGGACGAGCAAGAAGATGACAAAAGACAAGAAGAGGAAAAAACTCTCATTCCAACATTATGTTTTATGGAAAATTCCCCTCTCGAACAAGAATTTATTTGTAAAAAAATTGAAGAATCTGAACTATCTCAAATGAAAGATGTCTCCAAACGAGAACGTGATGCTGGAAAATTATTGCGATTATATTGTAAAAATTGTAATACCAAAGTTGGATCCTGCCTCAAAGAGCCCCTTAAGATCCAAGTAGCTCCTGGTTTGTCTCTTCCATTTAACACATTTATGGATCAACAAGATTGCTCCATTGTTGAGAAGTGTCACTGTGAACAACAAATGGATGATAGCAAATATATTGATTCGAATAATATTGTCATTACTGATGAAGAAGACAGGAAAACATTTCGTAAAACAACTTTAGGAGAGTGGAAATACAGCTCACTGGCAAGCATGTTGTTTGAAATGCCTGAATCTAGAAAGGACTTGAAACCACAAAAACGAAATTTCATGCAAAACAAATTTCATCACAAATCATTGCACAACAAGAAATTCCCTCCTCACGACAATTCCAAATACCCTAGGGCCAATACTAATATTACTAATGTTCAAACACAAAGAAAGAAAGGAAATAACAACCATAGACAACAACCATCTGCTGCAACATCAGCTTCAGAGCCAACGAAGAAAAAGAAAGGACAGAAACGGAAAAAACATCCCAAAACAGATGGTTCCTCTAGTGTTCAAAATGCAAAACTCAACAAACAATGAATTGACTTTTCGAAATGAGCATAATGAGTTCTTTGCAATGAGAAGTGAAGACATTACTGCTTTACACAAAACATACAATCAAATATTTTATCTAGATAGTGTACAACTACATTCAGAATTCCTAAATCACAAATTCCTTCAAGAGTAATGCAGCCCTTATGGTACTAAGTGTGAAATAATCCTCACTGAACGACTTTTGAATGCATGACAGGTAATCACAAGCTCCTTTTGAAATAATCATCTCATTGCTCACCGTGAGCATTAGTTTTGGAATAACAGCTTCAAAATCTTCCAAACTTTTCATTCTGATCTGGGATGAGTTGGTGAGTGTAGGAACCTTTAGTAAATTATAATGGCTTGGTATTTGCCATTCTAGGTTGTAAATGTGATTTCTAAAATTCGTGAAAGTAAAATTATGCTTCCATTTAAAATTTACAGAAAGAGATTCTAATAAATCGTCAATAAAATGCATATAACTTAGGTCTGGATTTTTCTTTCCAGTGTTCCATCGAATGATGGTATTAGCGACAGCGTTCATGGCAGAGCCATCAGAATTATTGATAGTTGCTACCACAGGAATGCTTTGTATGTTGGAAAAGAGCTCCGATGAAGCATAAATTAATTTTGGAATGATAATGCTAGAGGAAGGCAAGAACTCCAATATCCAAAAACCCACCACTGCAAATATCACAAACTCGTTGGATTGAATAAAAGCATCTCTGAAATGCAAACTATTTCTGTTAGAAAAAATTGGGGACACCATTTGCGCAACTTCATGTTTGGCATAAAAGGCATTCTTTAAAATTCTTGGTAAAATGAGAAATCGAATTGGTAATTCTGTACGATCCATAATGTGAAAAGGATTCAAAAAGTCTCTCTGATAATTAATAATTGAGGATGAAACTTCATTATTTCCCAATCCAATATCTCCCATATTACTTGTAATATTTTCATTGAAGTCCTCAGAATTTGTCAGATAGCCCATCGAATAATTATTGGAATAGCTCACATCTCCATCTTCAGTCATTTGCATTCCCCAATTGGCGCTATCAAAACTACTTTGTTGATGAGAATTGTGCATAATTGGAGATTTTGTATAGGAAGAGGAAGGTGTGGAAACTAAATTTTGAGAATGTGAGCCACCAATTGGTGATTTTCCATAGTTTTTTTCGTCCTCTTCATTCAAAAACAGCTCCTCAATTTTCGATTGCATCTCCAAATAGAATGAAATGTCATTTCCGCTTGAGAAAATTGTCTCTCGTAATGTCACTTCATCTGAAAGAACAATTGAAAAGTAGGACAAAAAATAATCTGGAACATTTTTCATGGAAGGAAAGGTTTGTCGTAATTTCTCATGTACCACTCGTTGCTGTGGTGTGAACATGGTAGTCAACGACTGTCCGTTTGTGTCACCGGCACTGCTACCATTCAAAGAACTATGTGTGTCATAACCTGTATTACTGAACGCGCTTGAAGAAATAAAATTTGAGTCTCTATTCGATGGTGATGATGTCGTCGACATGATTCCGCCATTATTGCTAATCGGTGACAGGGAATAATTATTCAGTATTGGGCTAGCAGGAGCGGAAGAAGCCAATGTATAATTGTACAATAAATAATTATGGTTTTGGTAAGAGTGAGGAGAGGATGATGTATTCATAATCAACGATAACGGTGGTGGTTGACTCGTGGTCTTTCGATGATGTCCATGATATGGCAATACACCCACCGATTGGCTCGAGGTGGTAGCTACTGGTGATTGGGTATTTCCGCTCGGCTCTTCTACAATCACCCTCGGATTATTTAATAATGTTGTTCCATTCTTCTCTTGGTTGGAGGGTGTTGATGGTGTTGTTGTCGTTGATGGTTGTTTGTTATTATTATTCTTTCGATACGTATTGGTACTATTACTTCGTTTCCGTAATTTGAGAAAATCTGCAGCATTTCTACTGGATAAATTCTCAGTTCCGCCATTGGATTCAGAAATCATTCTAAATCTATTGCGATAGTGAGAAGAAGAAGAAGGTGATGATGTAGAACTTGTATTGTTGTTGTTGGCCGTATCATGATGATGAGTATTCCGAGAAGAAGAAGAGAAACGGTTAGCAAAATGATTGCCCATATTTTTTAAAAAGGATGATGATGGCAAGAACGTTGTTACCAGTCGGGTATGAAATAGATACTAAAAAAGTCAGTTAATGATGATGAGTGCCAATGTTGCTGCTTGCTATTTACAGAATTCAACCAAGTTGATCATCAGACACGGAAACACAGCACAAGGTGTTTCCGAGATGCCAAATTTATCTTTTTGAAATTTAGGTTCAACCACGCAACAAGAAACCACGTTTACAATAATTTTTTGAAAGATTTCAAAGATAAATCAGTCCTTTTAAAGACATCAATTCCTTTCATCATCAATACGGACCTTGTACGACTCTGCTCACGTATTCTAGCCTACACAACAGAAGGTCAAGCTTTAATAAATTCTTGCAAGCGAAAGTTCAGTAAAGTTTTTGAAAATTTGTGGTGAGCCGTTCAAAACTTTCATTGCATGAGATTGATTCGCTGTCAGGTTTTACAAGGTTACGTGTTTTCAATCGTTATCCAATGCGAAACCAAGTTTCCGTCCTTTAAAATCACACACGCCAGCGTAGACTCATCGGCCGAAACTCCAAAAAAAACAATTCAAAACCTTGGCTGGCACACAAACAGCTCATTTCAAACAAAAGATCTTTCTCCAAACTCACCTCTCCACAAGCACCATGAATTTCAATATGGGTTTTAACGGACAACCTCCTCACCAACAACCACCCCAAATGAATGTGAATATGGGATTCGGAATGCAACCACCTATGCAACCTGGTGTTGGTATGAGCGTTGGTTTTGATTCCAATGGAATGGGTATGGGTGTTAATATGAATATGGGAATGCCCATGATGGGAATGAATGTTGGAATGAATGTACCTCCACCTCAACAACAACCACAAATGTATATGAACACCACTTCCTATCAACCACCTCAACAACATGTGAGCTTTACTACCACCACTACAACCACTTCGGGATCATCCAACTTGGGTAAGCAAATCCTTGCTGCTGTGCAAGGAGCTTCCTTTGATAGCGATAAGGTTAAGGCTGTTCAAACCTATTCATCCTCTCAATTCGGACCTGTATTCGCTCACGAAATTGTATCCATTTTGCAAGCCTTTGGATTTGACAATGATAAGATTAAGGCTTTGACTCAACTGAAATCGACCAATAATGTGGCAACCATGACTTGCTCCGATGCTGCTAATATTCTCTCATGCTTTGGATTTGATAATGATAAGATGAAGGCTCTCGAGTTGATTGCTAGTCACATCTATGATCGTATGCAAAATGCTGAAACTGTGGTGAGCAAGTTTGGTTTCTCGAACGATCAAAACAAAGCCAGACAAGTGTTGATGAAGTAAATATATTTCATTGGACGCGGAAGACACAGCATTGTATTATTAAAATTATTACTTCAGTTACAAATGATCAAGCATCTCTGCAGTGTGTTCATCTTATCTCAGGCTAAAACCTTTCGTAATTGCCATGTAAACCCATCCATTGGGATCAATTAACATTTATTAAGGTACAATCTTGGTCTACTTGATCCAAGATGAGATCATAATTGTTGTTGTTGGCTACTGGAATGGTCAAGGTGTTTCAGTAACAGCTGTTGAAATTGTTCCAAAATCACTGGTTTGTAAACGACATCATCAAAACCTTGTGAAAGCAAAGTGTCCCTCGGTTCCCATGTATTGGCAGTAATGGCAATAATGGGTACGCGTCTCTTGACTTGAGTTTGTTTTTCTAAATTTCGAATCATTTCACATGCTTCTCGTCCACTCAAAATGGGCATGAAACAATCCAACAAGACCAAATGATATGATTTTTGTTTGAATTTTTCAAAACATTCCATTCCATCATTCGAAGTGTCAATATCTTTGAATCCAATAATTTGTAACATTTTCACCAATACTTTTCGATTCACTGCATTGTCATCCGCAATGAGTACTGAATTTGATCCAAAATCAAAGGGAATATTTTTCATGCTATTCTGAGTTGATGGTTCATGCATCCTTATGGTTGAGGTACTGAGATTTAAATCTTGGGATGAGACTTGTGTTTTGGCAGTTCTGCTCTCATTCCATACCTCATCATCATGATGGTCACGTGATGGTGTTGCAACATAGCCATCACACAAGGATAGTTTTGCAGAATTCTCCTTCAACAAAATTTTGTCATTCGACAAGACGTCCACAAGCTCTGGAAATTTAACAGGTTTGGTCAGATACTTTAAATTGGAATAAGATCTTTGAGAGCCTTTGAAAATGGTTGGAATGGTAACGATAGTATGATCTTTGTTAGACATGCTTGACAATATTTGTGTCGCACGAGAATAGTCACTTTCTGAAACGAAAATGACCTTCACCGAGCTGGTATCAAGTAATGATTGTGTTGCAAGAGACTCGACAGAGGAAATGCAATCAATTTTTCGAACCTTATGGAAGAGTTTCAAATAACTTTGTAACACATTTTGAAAACATTCATCGTCGTCAATAACTAATACGTGCATGTCTTTGACATCGTCTCCTCGTAAAATTTCGGAAATGACTTCTGAACTGTCGTTGAGAGTATTTTCGAGTGGCAATAGAATGGTGACTGTTGTTCCAACATTGAGTGCACTGCTCACTTTGATTTGGCCATGCATTTTGTTGACAAGTAATTTGGTAATACTTAAACCAAGCCCATTTCTATTCGTATGAATCAAACTGCTACCACCGTCACTTAACTTGTTCATATTCTCTGAATGGTTGAAATAATTTTCAAATCCGAGAGAGTAATCTTCGTTTTGTTTCTGATCATCAATGATGTGATAGGGTTGAAACAGTTGTTGAATTTGCTCTTGGGAATACCACAACCAGTGTCAATAAATTCAAGTTTCACAAATGTCTTCTTTTGCGTCGTGTTTTCATGATTGGATTCTTTCAATAATTCATGATCAAAACTTTTCAAATCTTCATCATTGGCCAAGTCACAATTCACTCTCACATAACCCTTTTTCGTGTATTTGATGGCATTGGAAATAATATTCATGATGATTTGACTCAATCGAACAGAGTCACCCTTCAATAATTGTGGAACTTTGGAGACATTGAAAAAACTATGCAATGAAATGTGTTTCTCATGAGCCAATTGTGAAAAAACTCCAATCAATGAATCCAAAAGAACTTTCAAATTAAACGGTTCATGTTTCAATTTGATTTTTCCCATTTCCAATGAACTCATTTGCAAAGAAGATGATAGAATGTGCAATAACAAGGTTGCATTTTCCTTAATATCTTCCATAACTTCTTGAATGGCGCTATTGGTCAAAAAACAATGTTTACACCCATCCACACATTTCTCTCCCTCAAAATGGTGATTCAACACTTGTAAACTTCCCATAATGCAATGCAATGGATTTCTCGCTTCATGACTCAAATTCGCAATAAATTTTGTTTTTTCACTATTTTTCATTCGTTCTCGTGTCACTTCCTCTTGTTTTTGGCAACTTTCGAGCATTGTGCTTGACATGAAACTAGAAAATAAATACGCTCCAACGATCATTGAGTATTGCAAAATGAATACTTCCACAATTCTCTGGTAAAATGCATGTATTTGGTCTTCACTCATCTTGTCACGTTCTTGCGTGAACGCCACATACATCCCAACCAAATTGGAAGCTAATAGTACAATCGTATTTACACAAAAAATCTTTAAATTATAATAAAACACATTCGCTGATATTAAAATCTTGTATGTATGAAATACATGCAATGGAACCGAGTGTCCATAATAAAGTTGCAATGTCCACTGCAACAATATAATCACTACTAATCGACATGAATTATGCTGTACAAAACTCGTCACCGATTTGACATGATTTCGCATGTAAGCATTCAACATGAAATGAAACGCAACCTCTCCCAGAGAGCACACAAAAAACAAGAGTGGGCCTCGATCCCAACAAAAGGTCACTCCAAAGAGAAGTGGAAGGAAGGATAATTTAGAGCCTATTTGAGCTTGTCGTTTTTGGTTATGTAAGAGTTGTTGTAGCAAAGCATCAGATCCCATCGTGGTTGTGAGGTCAGATGGAGAGGAGCATGCTAATGAACCACTAGTTTCCTCTTGATGATGGAATGATGAAGACGACGGCGATGATGATGATGAAGGCGGTCGTGGGATGGATGTATTTAATGATGATGGTGGTTGTTGTATCATGTCATTGGATGAAGCGACAATTTCTTTGCTGCTGTTCATGAGTGATGTGTTGTTATGATGATGATGATGGTTGTTGTTGTTATTGTTGCAATTATTGTTTTTCTTCCGACCACCAAAAGAAGTCATTGGAGTACTATTCTCTCGGGTGATGATGTTCCCTCCGGTCGGTGAATTCAAACGTTGTTGTTCAAGTATTTTTCTTGTGTGTCGTCGTCGGGTTGTGTTGTAGTACAAATAGTAGTAGCAAGCAGCGGAATTTGTTAAATTGGTGTTTCAGAATAGTAAGAACTGCTGCTCTTTCCAAATGAAACGCCACGGCTGTCAAAAACTCAATGACAAGTTCAGGGACGAAGGCAATTCTAGAAGGTATTTGTTTTTTCTAGGTGCGTTAGTAGTGGTGTGGTGGTGTGTTTAAACACAGAGAGATAATTGACCGGAATGGCTTAATCATTGAAGAGTCAGTGGGAAGATGGATCAAAAAACAAAATGGTTGAAACGATCGGTGACGAAATGAATTGTTGATTCAACCATGTTGTGTTTTTAGATTCATTCACATAATCCATAATCTACAAAGCTTATTGGATTTTGGTATAGAATGCCGGCGACCGATTTGCATGTGTTCCAAAAACGTATTTTGCCGACGTCAATTCGTTTTTAGGATGAACGTATGGAGTGGAAGAATCATTACTCCACACACTACTTGTTGTGCAATGGTGTTTTGATTTCATTCATTGCATTCACGCCAACACACGTGTACGGTATCCAGCACGCATCAAAATAGTTGGAGGTAATAGTAGTTGATACCTTTAAGGGATTATTCGAATTTCATCATTGTTGAATGGTCCCAGATCGTTCGTTGGCTTCAGGTTTCTTGGCAACAGCATTGCTCAATGAATGTCGAATGACAAACCACAAGCTTAATGAAATGCATGCAATGTTAATCACAATAATAAAGATGGCAACCAGCCAATACGGTATCACACCACGGAAGAGCACTTCCACAGATCCAGTATCAGACTTTCCATTCATCTTTGAGAATAAATACATTAAATTTTCATACATGGAGATGGCCATTTGCACGCCAATGAACTGCAACGAGAAGGTCACAAATGGTTTTGGTGCTTTGATTGCAATTCCGTATAACACAAGAGACACTATTGGTAGAAAGATCATCCCAAATATTGATTTTCGAATAAACAGAATCGTGACGAGTAAGACAATCGTGGCAATTGTGGAAATTAACACTCTAGAAAATAATTCATGTTTCACAAATGCAACACTTAAACAAATGATGAGACATCCAAAAAATGTTGGTCCAAGTGGTCCATTCACACTTATTAAGGCGTTGCAAAACATGCTTTGTGACATATCTTGATAGACCGTTAATCCACTTCCATTACTTTCAATTTTGATAAACTCAATCGTGTTGCCACAAACTAGAGCAGTAGTGGCATGTCCCAATTCATGCCAAAACGTTCCAAATATTGTAAATGGATAAATAATATAATTTCCAACATCGGAAGGTAATTGCCAAAGTAAAATCGTTAAAATTGAAACCATGATGAGCCATGTAATCGAATGACTGAATAATGAAGATATGAACGATTGAATGGTTCGGGTTGAGGATTGAGTGAAGGATGAGGATGATGTATTCCTATGATTGCTGTTGGGTTCATCTCCTTTCAATGGAGTAAAAATTGAGAATGAGCTTTCATAGAACTCTAAATTACTTTGTTCTTCATCCATAGAGGCCAACGAATTGAGTTGTTGATTTTCCAAATCAGCTTGGTCCCTATCATCAATTTCCTAATTGGTAAATATTAGACAATAATAATAATAAGGAATAATTTAAATTTCAATTCCAATGTTGGCATTTACCCACGAAATATGTTATCCAATAATATATGTATAATAATCAATGACAAGCATTACCAATCGTTCCGAGTCCGTTCAACGCACGGATGGAATCAAAATTTAAATTCAACACCCATTTGTTTTTAAATGCCGTTATTTTCATCATCTGATTGACTCCTACCTTTTCCATCATATTATTCTCCAAATCATGATGATGGTTCATGTTTTCCATTTTTTTAAAACTTCTGAATTTTAATGATTTCGAAATCGTGATGAATATAGATGAATATAAAAAATTGCAATAATTGATAATCCTCTTTCTTGAGAAGTCTATTAAAAATACAAGTAAATGTCAATTGTTAATTCTTCTGCCAAACGTCAATGAATTTTTCGAAAAGAAAAAAAATTCCTGAACATGAACAAGCAACCTTCTCATTACAAAATTTGTATCATTGGTGGTGGTGTGGCCGGATTGACTGCTGCCAATACTCTCGCCGAAAATGGTCAAAATGATTTTATTATTTTAGAAGCAAGTGAAAGAATTGGAGGAAGAGTTTGTTCTGATAAAGAACGAGGAATTGAACTCGGAGGTAGGTTTACATTTTAATATGTTCTATTTGATGCCATGATTTTATGATTCAATCATTGAAAATATTTCTTTCAATTTGTAATTTTTAATTTTTATTATTTACTAAAAATTGCATTCGTGATGAATGTGAAAAATTTTCAAAACAATGAACATCTATGAATTTTTAAATATATATATCATTGTTACAATAAGGCGAATTTGTTCACGGAGAAGGAAGTATTTTGTGGGATGTTTTGGCTAACAAGTTGAAAATTCCATTGAAAGTTGTTTTTGATTATTCTGCACCAAATCCAAAGGACTGTGGATTGGGTTTTCTTCTCAGTAAGTAGCGACAATTTATTGTCGAAATTGATGTTCTATTCATTTCTCATGTGTGAATGATAATTTTCACACTTTACAATTTTTTTTACACTTTCCAAAGATGGAAAAATTTATGAAATTAACCATCCTGTGGCTCAAAAAACACTTGAAATACTCGAGCAATTGACCACTGACGAAGAATTGAAAAAATCAAAAGACATGTCTCTCAAGGAATGGCTCGAATGGAGAAATATTCCAAAAGAATTTCACACTCTCATTGACTCTATTTTGGCTCAAACCAATTCAAGCTGTATCAACACGCACAGTGCAAAAGGAGCTCAAGAAGAGGAATTGAGTGGAGAAGATACAAATATTGGTGAATTAAACTTCCATGTCGAAGGAGCAAATACGATGGATTTAATTATTCCATATTTGACTCGATTGGTGAACATGGAAAAACAATTGAAATTGAATTATTTTGTGCATAGCATTGATTATTCAGACAAGAATGTGATTAAGCTTAACAATGGTGAAATTACGTGTGAAAAAGTAATCTTGGCAGTTCCATTGACTATTTTAAGAAATAGACAAATCAAATTTACTCCAGACTTGTCTCCACAAAAGAAACATCTCCTTCAAAATCAATTCCACATGCACGGTGGAATGAAAATTCTTTTAAGATACAAGAGACCAGTCTGGAAAGAACAAATGCCAAATGTCAACGTCGTGGTCGTTGGTGACGAAGATCCAATCATTGCACAATATTGGTTTTCAAGTACTTCTGACGAACAATGCAAAAAATATGGTCACATTATCACTGGTTTCAGTATGAGCAGAAAAGCAGATAATGCTCTTCATATGACCGACGAAGAAATCAAACAACATTTTAGAAAATTCATTCAAAAGACTTATCATTTGAATGATGACAATGATGGATATTTGGGAGGAGATGTTCGAAATTGGCAACACATTCATCACGTTGCAGGTGCCTATAGTTTTGCTCTCACGACCGATGCTTCCAAGATCCATTACATTGAACAGCCACGTGTGGTATTGAGTCAACCCATTGGTTCGAAAATTTATTTTGCTGGAGAGGCGTATTGTCAACATTCACCTGCAACCATTCATGGAGCAATGGAGACAGGTCAGAAAGCAGCTCTGGATGTTTTACAGTCATTGACATCTCCATCGTCTGTTCCGAGAGGTCATTCAAGAATGAGTAAGCTTTAAGTTTTTCTTTAGAACAAGAGAGAGAATAAATTTGGACAGTCATGTGAAAAGATCGTCGTCTTGTTTGAAGATTTGTTATTTAACAATGATAATAAATTAATGAGAGAGAATTCAATTTTTTGTTGAATCATGAATAATACCAAATTTTGCAACATTAATGAAAAGTCAAGCCATAATCACCAAAATGGGTCTTATTCACCCATATTCTTCTCGTCAATAGAATTGCAAATGCCACAAACACTCCACCCAACAAAATTCCCAAAATTGGCAACACATTCACTGTATTCGTGTCAGCAATAGAAACTGTACAATTCATGATGAGATAGAGTGCTCCGAATGGAATGATTGAAAAAATCGTTGAGGCCAACCACACTGCAGCTCCTATCAAGGCAATATTCACAAATGCTCTTTGTGTTCTATTCGTCCATTTCATCACTTGTTCCTTCTTCCAAAGCCAACAACAAGTTGCAACTCCAACCAACGAACCTATCAAGCTAATCAAAGCTCCGACCACTAAACAAAACACACCAATCAATGTTAAGCCTTGTACTTGATCATCATCCATTTTATCATCATCATGATCATCATACTTTTCAATAAAATCCAATTTCCACTTAATTTCCATCATTGATAATATAACGAAAACGGTTGAATATATTAAATTCAAAATAGCTCCGGCCAAAGGTGCTTTAAATTCAATCCTTCTCGGATCACCACCATTCGTTCTACTCAGAGCAGAAATATCTGATTGATCCATGGAAAACCTTGGATCGTGTTCATGTTGAGAAATATCAATCTCGGTAATTTTGGGTTTTTCTTCATCGTTGTTCAGTTGTTGTGTTTGTGGATGTGTTTGTAATTCTTCATCAGTTTCATCATGATTTACTTCAGCTGTGTTCGTTGTTTTTATATCTTTTGATTGTTCCGTAATTTCTTCTTCATGTAATTCAACAATTTCATCATCATCATGATGATGGTCTTGATGGTGAGACATTTTTTGTTATGAGAAGAACATTGTAAGGTACTGAAAAAGAGATTCAACTCTGTCCTCCAACAATGTTCGAAATGCATGGACCACCTGCTTGTAAACACCCAAGAAGAAGTGCTCCAAAAATCCCAAAAGAGCACTCTTTTCGACAAGTTCACTTTTGGAATTTCACATAATTTGGACATAAAAGGGCACTTGTGTGAAATTGATACACACAAGAAAAAATAGACACACACACTTAGCCACCAAAATCTGTTCATAACAACATTAAATCATGGGCCGTCTTAAAGTCACCGTCATTTCAGCAAGAGATCTCGAAGGAAAGGATGTTGGAGGTACCTCAGGTATGTGTTGTTGTTTTCTTCCATTTGAAACAACGAATATATATATCAATGATCATGATTACTGTGAACAAACATGATGATGATGATCGGAAATGTTATTTTAATCTTGATCTCACGGATCATCATGGCAATTCCATAACAGATCCTTATGTGAGAGCAACCGTAGCCGGAGTGAGTCATAAAACTGATCATGTCAATAAGACTTGTAATCCAACATGGAATACGACCTTGTTTTTTGATATTCCACCAACAGTCAATGCTGCTACGGAATCCATCACTTTTGAAGTTTTTGATTATGATCGATTTGGAGGAAATGATATCATTGGAAAAGCAACCATTGCTTTGGGAACATTGTCACGTGGTATTCCTGAACGAGTGGATTTGAAATTGACCTATTCCAAGAAGGGATTGTTGACTGTTGAATTGTTGGCAGAAGATTTTGGGTAAGTGACGATGAATATATATTTCAAAATGTGACACTTAATGATTGTGAATGAAATCAGACAAAATCCACCTCCACAACAACCACAAGGTTTTCCTCAACAACAACAACAACCATACGGATATCCACAACAACAAGGTTACCCTCCACAACAAGGGTATGGCTATCCACCACAGCAACCTTATGGTTATCCACCTCAACAGCCTTATGGTTATCCACCTCAACAACAACCTTATGGTGGTTATCCTCCTCAACAAGGTTATCCTCCACAACAATATCCACCTCAACAGCAACCACCTTATGGTGGCTATCCTCCAAGTTATCAATAATTGAAATTGGTGGATGTTGTGACACACTCGAGTGATTTGAAATATCTTCATCTTGTTTCTAAATATTTAGATCCGAATTATTCGGCCTTCCATTTAAAATTGTTTAAATTATTGTACACATAACATTAAAATTTCCATAATTAATTATATATCATTACTTGATTCTGTTGTAACTCATGGAAAAATATAAATTAATATTATAATCTATCAAAATATAGTCAATATCAATGCGTCCAACTTAGGCAAAGACCCATGGGTACCAGCAGACAAACTTTCGTTCTTCAAATCATCCCAGCAATTTCGTCAAATATTTGAAATAAGGTTTCCAAAACTTTCCAAATGCTCAAGAGGACCTTATTTCCAAAATCATCATTTATCCAAAAATGTCATCCTTCCACAAATTATATATTCTAATGACTCAATGCACAGTTGACTCAGCCATTCCATACAAGCAGTGAAAAAACACTCTCTGTCTCTCACTGCTCATTTGTCGACTTTGACTTTCATTGATTTTTAACTCTATAAAGACCAACCTTACTCACGTTGTGACAATCCTTGCATATTCACATACATAGATTTCAAATCTTTTTTAAATACTCATAACCATCAAATTATATACACGATTATAAACACACAAACGACCATGGAACCTTCTTTCCAACAACCACCTCCTCCACACACTTACTACACCAATCCACCTCCTCAACAACCCTATTCCAATCAACAACCTCCTCCTCCAAGCACCTCCTCACACCACTATCATGCCCAACCGACCAGTGTCCCTTATATAGGAGCAGCCTCAAGTGCCTCTACTCCTCTCACCACAAAAACCTATGGAGGAGATGATTATTATGAGGCTCATCAAATCAATAAGGCTCGGAATGCCTTTGCAGCTGCGTTTGTAACGAGTCTATTCTTATTCTTCTTTTGTACTCCGTTCGCCAGTTGTATTCCCTATCTGTTTGTATTTAAATATCGAACGAATGTGGTTCCCGAAGCGAGAAGATTTGGTGAATTGGCTCGTTCAATCTTTTGGGGACTCTTTGGATTGAATGTATTGATTATTGTGTGTGCCACATTGGTAGGAATTATTGTTGCTATACAACAACGCGTGGCTCATGATCGTCGTCATCATTGAATCGAAATTTAATGAAATTCAAATTCGGAACACTCTAATCTTTCATTCTTTCAAAATCTATCCAATATTGAAGTAAATTCTATGATTGTAAAATAAAAAGAAATTCATTTGCAAGTGTGTTTGTGTGTTTGATTCACGTTCTGAGTATATCTTTTGTTCTTTCTCAATACTACTTTCGTCGTTTTTATTTTCGCCGATTTTAAAAAAAATGATTTCACGAACCACGCAACCAATGATGAAGCAAAGTAGCAGCAACTTGTTTCACCATCATCCGAGTGTAGCCTACACAAATGGTTTACAATCCATGATTACAAGTAATAGAATCATCACGGGTGCTTGTTTTCATCAATCTTTTTTAATTTTCAATACTAACGAACAAGATAAAAAGCATCCGAATAGAAAACCATTCTTTGCAGGTGGATTGGGAAAATCAGGAGCGCTCAGTACTCCACCCAAAACATCCTCTTCTCAAGTTTCAAACCCTCCTCCTCCTCCATCAAATTCAAGAGCTGCCTATGAGAAAATGAGAGAAGAACGGGAGGAGCAATTGGAAGCTGAAGAGTTTGCAAAAAGAAGAGAACAAATTAGAGACAATTTCCAAAAACAATTTTTCGAAAATATGGATCCTAATGAATTTAAAAAAGCTTGGGAACAAGCTCAAGTGGATGAAAATGCTGAATATAAAAAAATTACTTTTAGACAACAAATGAGATGGTGGATTAAGGATCACGATCGTTTTGACCGATTCATGAAATTATTAATGAATCCTACAGCGACTGAGGATGAAAAACACTATGCCAAAGAACAAGTTGATGAAATGGTTAAATTGTATGGAGAAGTTAGAGTTCGTCCTTCAAATAGAAAGAAAATTCCTGCCAGGCTGACGCTTGTCATTTTGACAATTGTCATGCTCCTTTCATGGATGGCAGTGAAGGGCCAACAACGTATGGTGAATAAGGAGAGACAAGATCAAGTCCTTGAAGATGTCGTCAAAAGAAGTCAACCTACAGAAGAGATGCGAGCTGTGCCTCAGGTGAATCACCGTGAGATTCTCCAAGAAATTGAGAATCAAAGATTACAAAAATTGAGAAGAGAGCAAGAGAAGTCAAATCAAAATTAATTTGGTTTGGATCGATTGTCAAATCTATCAAGTGACAACACAAATAGTTTGCAAGAAAAACTTCGAATTAAGGTGTAACAACAAGTTAAAATTATTACTTTATTTGTGCTACGTCTTTCTCTTCTTTGTTTTTTGTTTTAAATCGTCAGTTGAGGAAGATCCTTCATTATTTGTAGATGTTTCTTGAATGCCATGCTCTTGTTTCCATTGATCTGCCATTTCAAAATATGTTTGTTTTTCTTGCTTGCTAGCATTCTTCCACGATGCAGCTACCATTCTGCTCACTTCATTGGGTGGAAGTGTGGGATTTTCAGCTTTAAATTGCGAATACTTCTCCTTGCAATAAATATTATAAGCATTGAGTGGTTTCTTGACAATTGGTTGAGCTTGTTTTGCAATTTCCAAGTAAGGTTTTTTCTCCTCTTCAGTCATTGATTTCCACTTTTGACCAATCAGTTTCGTAATTTGTTTCTTATCTACGTCTGGATATTGCTCTTGGAATGTGGGGAATACGCTCTTCACGAAACTATTGTAACCACTTATTGGTTTTTTAACACGGTTTGAAAGGTCAGCTCTCTTCGATGTGTTATCATTATGTTCTCCATTCTGTCCTGCTTCATTGTCGTCAAATTCATTTACAGATGTTCTCTTCTTGTTATGATTGTTGGATAGGGCATGTACAACATTATTTTGTGGAAACAAAATGGTATTTCCTATCGTTGTGTCATCTGTTGACGTCTTGGAATCTCTACGTGGTGGTTGTTGTGGCGAAGAAGAATTAAATGCTTCCATAATGTCACTATTAATGCTGCCGAGAGCAAGATCAATATATTTCTTCTTTTCTGCATCTGATAAGAGCTGCCATTGAGCCCATACTAAAATCTTTAGTTGTGACGACTCTGCCTCAGACATATTGTCACCATTCTCAATGTTAAGCAATTGCTCTGAAAAATATCTTTCAAATCCCAGTTGTTGTGATTGTTCATCATTAGGTTGGGTAGGAGAAGCAAAAGGATTAACCATTGCAGTACCATTGCTGCTACCACTTGCTGTGGCCACATTGGAAAATTCATGTTGGGTATCACCATCAAAATTGTCCTCAATTCCCAATAAATCGTGAAAACTGCCACATCGATTCATTGACTTGTCAATTTGTTGTGAATTCATCGACCCAAATCCAATACCACCACCGCTTGATGATGCAACGCTGTTCTTGGATTCAACACTTCCTATCAAGCTATTTTCATCTTCCATGTAATATCCTTGGTGGTCATTAGGACCTAAATCTTCATTGTGATCATGTACTCCCTCATCATTTGCTGTTTGTTTGGATGGATTAATTTGGGCCAATCTCGCTCTGTCACCGCTTGAAAATAAAAAGTTTCCGTCCTTGTCTTTTCTGTATAGACCTGATTTGATATATTTACGCTTCTTCTTGAGGCCCTTCTTATTTAACTTTGGATCGTAATGCTTGTGAAGTTCTTGTTTCTTTTCTTCGTCCTTGTCACAATTTGAAATATTCGACGTATTATTGTTCATATTGTTAGATTGGTCTTCTAAAAGGTCCACTACTGAAGCCAATCCCTCTTCCAAAAGTAAGCTTTCAAGTAATGCTTGTTGCGAAATGACATTATTCATTGCTTGGTTGTTGTCATTGCTTATTCTTAACGATGAGTCCTCACCAACGAAAGAAATTGGTGATGTGACAGAAAGTTCATTTTGTTGTTGATTGTCACTACTAGTCATGTTCACTGGTGACAATAGGAGTCCGCTATTACTGAGATTATCGCTGCTTGAAGTGAGTTGATTTTCATTTTGATGAGTTGCTTGCACTGGTTGTTGCACAACGTTTGATCCTGAATACAACCCACAATTCTGTAAATTCATTAAAATTGGTTTTATGTACAACTCGTACAGTGGCTCAGGAATAGAAATGGCAGTTGTGGGCACTGCATCGGACAGAGCACCTGTTTGAAGAGTGACACTAGGCAAAGACGATGATGTATTATTGCTGTTGGTGTTGGTGACCAGAGGGTTGCTAGATGACGACGATGATGATGGAGGTGACACCGATTGAAGGACAGGTGGTTGTGCATAATGTTGAGTGTCCATCACAGGTAAATTCGGATTCATCATGGACATCATTAACATCATGTTGTTCATCATGGCTTGCTGTTGAAGTTGTTGATTAGGAGAGAGTTCGGATTGTTGTTGTTGTGGTTGTTGCAACAAGGCTTGTTGTTGTTGAAGTTGATGTAATTCTCGTTGTTGTTGTAACAAGAGATAATGATTGAGAAGAAAGGAAGCAAATAATTGGTCTTGTTGAGGTCGTTGTTGTTGCAATGGTAATGATTGAGAGGGTGTTGGTTGTAATGATGATGTTGATGCGTTGGGTGGATAAAAGCCAAATAACGGAGAATTCGTTGCATCAAGGAGAGAATGATGATTCGGAGTCGTGGCTTGAAGTGAAGGACTCAGTTGTTGGATGGAATTTGGGTGGTTCATCATGATTGAAAAGTTATTGGATGAGTTTGTAATGTTATTGGGGTTGTTATGACTGATTCTAGATGGTCTTTGCTGATGGTTGTTGTTATTATTTGGTTGATACATCTTGTTGAGAAGTAAGTAAGAATATGAACGGAACGGACGTTGGTGGAATGAATTCCTTTGTTTGTGGTCGTGCTCACTTTAAAGAGGCTTCACGCTAGGATGATGAGAAAACCACACCAATGAAACAATAAACACTATGAACACCAAGAATGAAAAACCAATCTCAAGAATCTCCAGTAATTGGAATTTGAATTCGTAAACGTGACCACTGATTCAAATGCCGAGAATTGCTGAGGTGGGTACTTTAATGTAAGTGGGTGGACCGATAACAGGGCAGGAAGTGGTATTTGGGCTTTTTTTTAATGCCCGAAATGATCGTTTTGATGCTGCTGGACAAGGTTCGCAACGTTATGGAGATCGGAGTGGGATTGAGAACCGGTTTATTATTATTATCGGTGAACCCTTGTGTGAGTGTTTCAAAATTTATGGCTAAATGCATTGTTTATTTTCCTATGAGAGTCCTCTTTTTCTGCAAAGGAAAGAAAACTCTGTTTTCATCATGATGAAAGCTCCGTTCACAATGCGCATTCACTCGTCAAGATCGCTAGAAGCTCCATCTGTATTGTCTACCACCATTCGTTCACTATCGTTTGCACTACTTGCTGTTGAGTCCTGTTGGGTGGACCTTTGACTAGTCTCGTCAGTGTTGCTGTTGCTGCTGGTATTCAAGAGGTCAGACGTTGGTTCAATGCCATTATTACTGGATTGTCTGGTTGTTCTCTCAGGTGAAATTCCAGTGCTTGCATGAACTTTTTGCTTCTTTTGAGATTGTGATTTGGAAAATGATTCTTGGGCAGTCGCTACGACGTTACTACCACTTGCTGCGGTCGATGATGTGGGTGGTTGTTTTCGTTTTTCACCACTCGAAGGTGCTTTTTCTTCTCTTCTACTAGTTGCTTTTGGAGAAGATGGTGGACCTTGAGGTTGATGAACATGCATGGATTTGCTATGTGAAGATTTGGCTGAATTCTTGACTTTCTCATTGTTGCCATTTCCCATATGCGACGAAGAGCCATTTTCATTCAAATTCTGTTCCGAGTCTAAAATATTTGTTGTTGTGGATTGAGAGTTCTCATTTGCGGGCTGTTGACCATTGCTCTTTTTCTCATTATGGTTTCCTGTGAGAAGAGGCAAACCACACAAATGTCTCAGTGCATTTCTTACCTCCACAAAGAGAGCTTCTCCTAACTTTCGTACCCCTGTAAAATATTTAGCACATCTTAACAAGTCGTCGTAATTGGCCAGGTTGAACGTATCTAATGGCTGCATCACATAGATTGGCTCTATATTTGAAGTGTTACCACTCTTTTTGGAACTTGTATTGCTTTCAAAACAATCTACAACAGTGTGATATCTTCTCATGACAAAGCAAGTCACAATAGGTCCAACACATGTGACACCGGTCACATGGCGTTTCTTAGTTTTGGAGCCCAAGTTTTGGAAAAACGAATATTGAGTCTCAATAAACTTTTGAAGCATCAAACTCAATTCATTCTCCGCTTGATATTGATTTCCAGTAATGTCATTGCTCTCACAGGATGCAAAGAAGGGAAGTAAGGTTCCGCTTAGGAATGCTTGTTCGAGAAATTGTTGCTTTTGTTGTTTAGGAGACGAAGACGACACAACTGATGATGTTTGAGGAGAGGTAGATAATCTAGAGGACGTTTCAGATATAGGGAGCATGATTCTTCGAGTGAGTTCACGAATTTCCGTATTTCTCTGATGATTGAAGCCAATGAAGAAACTACTATCTAGTTTGATCTTGCTGACATTATCACCTAGGGAAGAAGAAGAGGTCAAAAGGTCACCAACTGGTTTGTCATGGTTCCACTCATGCAACCACTGAAAATCTCTATTCTCATCAAAAACTTGTTCATAATCACGTGTGATAAAACGATACAATGTTGAAAAGATTCCTCTCCAAAAACTCTCATGCTTGCCGCTATATTTGAGCATGGTTTGAGGTAATTTGAACATTTGATTCCATAACTCGCTGTTGCATGCAATTCAGTATTAATTTGAGCAAAATGTTCAGATCCAATTATTAATTCTGAGAAACCTACCTCAAATATGCAAATTCATTCTTGCCAACTCCAACTTCTTCATTGGCCTTGTCCAAAATTGAAATGCTCTTACTCATTTTGATAAAATTCTGAACTTCCTTTCTTCCACAATTTGAAATATTGATAATCGAAGCCTTTGGCATGAAGAAACTTTGCATGAGAAGCCTATTTTTGCAATCTTGAAATTCTTGGTCCAGAAAGCAAGTCGTTCCATCCACGGAGGCCATTAAATTGGTTTCCTCCTCCTGCATGCTCTGATTATTATTGTTGGATGATAGTTGCTGCTGGTTGTTGTTTGGAGTTGATGGCAACACTATCGGAATTGAAGCAAAATGGCCCACGTGAATATGATGAGAACCTTCTAAAAAATTGGTTCGGAAAGAAATGGGATCCATCTTGTTGTTGAAACCACAACACTCCGAAAGATTCATACTCAAATTGTCGGAAAAGAAGCCTTGTTGCTGATTCATTTTGTTGACGACTGTCAAAGGCTTGTTGCCAAGTGCTGTGTTGATTTTTTTTTGAACTTTTATTTTTGTGCTTCCACCAATGAATGGAATGGCGCTCTTTATTTGGTCGTCTACAATTGCTCCTTAAAACTCTGTGATACACAAAGGACTCTTGTTTAAGAGAGCTCTCTGTTGGGTAATGTAGGCAATTTCTCTTTGCGCTGCTCGTATACTTGCAGGAGACAATTTGAGGCAACGTAGAGTATTGTTTTGGATGAGTACTTTGGATCGATCAGGTGAAATGAACACATTTCTCAGAATGCAACATTTCAACTTCTCATTGGGGAAGATGTGATTGAAGCAAACATCAAAGCCAAGTTGTAAAAATTCAATTCTGGTACAATTCCTCATGAGAGCCAATAAATCAAGGTTAAAGTGACTAATGACACTCAAAGATCTCAGATTGGTCAATAACTCAACATTGAATTTTTCATCGTATGAGTCTGTTTTTTGTGAAACGTTTAGGAAGAGCTTTTCAAGGGAAGTGAACGTGATTGGCATGTTTTTCAAGAGTTTTTTGGGAAGCTGGGCAACTTGCAATTTCAAAACCTTGAGTTTGGTGAGGGAGAGAAGAGAATCGTATTCATTCACGTCACTCACAAAAGTTTTTTCAAAATGAACGCTTTCCAGTTGTGACATTTTACAAATAACGCTCATTGCGTGAGAGGGAAGAACACAATTGAAGAGTCTAATTTTTCGTAGCGTATTTGAAAATGCAAGGGAAGGACTAGCACCTTTTGGATTTGCTGGCAATCTAAGAGAAACCTTGATTGGTACGTAACCTTCCATGTCCACAATTTTCAATTTCTCTAAAACCTTACAATTCCTATAGATTTCTTTCAAAAAGCATGAGCCTTCAGAGCGAGATTTTCTCTTCAGTCCTATTACATGAGAGTTTTCGTCTTCAATCAATTCAAAGCTTGATTCCTCCAACTCATCTTCTGAAGATGATGACATGGCATCATTGAAAGAGCATGCACTTTTGCCATTAGGGTTAGTAGTGTTGTTAGATCCGGTGTCAACACAAGATGAAGCATCAATGTTGATGACATTGCCTCCCTGCAAAGTATATGCAGGATATGTTGGGTTGTTACCGCAATGATTGTAATAAATGAAGGTTTTTAAAGAACGTCCAACTTTGCTCATATACCCCATTTCACACTCGAGCGGTTGATTGGTTTTACGATGTATGGATAAACTTTGAATATTACAATCCATTGATTGATGATTTTTGAGAGCTCCAAATCCTAACTTTAGAGTACTATGCTGTTCTATGGTAATGAATCTGTAGAGTGGTAATATTTGATTATTCTTTTTAAATCTTCCATACATATTTCTAATGTTGCAAAACCAATTATCTCTTCCTGTACAATTTAAAAATTGAAATATGTACAATACACAATCAGGCTCTAAATTTTGTAACAAATTCGATAAGCCTGTTAACAAATTTTCTTGAGGTGTTTTCTTTCGTTTCTTTCGTTGTTGATTGAGATGGTCGATATCCGAGCATGAAATAAGGTTTGAGGCATTTTCAATACATTCAAAGTGAGAAGATTCCTCGTCCTCATCTGTATAATGTGGATTCATTGATTCACCATCATACTTGTTATGAGCGGCTGATCGTTTCTTGGAATGGAAGTAATTTGTTTCAAAGTTATCTTGCAGTCTCAATTCGGCCTCCATCTTGTCTTCCACACAACCACAAATGTGGTCACAGTCGTGATCATTTTTCCATAAATTGTGTTTGTGTTGGCGTGACAACTTGTTCTGTTGTACTAGCGTTGCAACACTTCCTGACTCATCATCAATGTCTTCCAAGCATGATGATGAGGATGATCTTTGCTGTGGTCGGTTAAATCTCTCGGTATTTTGACTCTTCCTGATATAGTAGAGTGAAGTGGGAATTGTTGGATGGTGATCATCAATGATTGTTGAAAGTGAGGGAGGCTCAAGTAGCAACACAGCTGCAGGAGCATCCAAAGGAGGCCTATTAGATGTCGTATTTGACTCAGGATTGGTTTCTTCCTTTTCATCATCGGTGTGCATAGATTGTGACGTTCCTGAGGAAGTTGTTTGAAGTGCTTGTGATGAAGTTACATTTGATCCTTGGCCAGTGCCAGTTGCAACGGTATGAACGCTTGGAATAAAAACATTTGGTTGTCCTCTATCTACAATTGCATTGGGCACAGCTTGCTGGACCGGGAGTGTGGTAGTTGTTGATGTGGAGAATAGAGTAGTATTGTTTGACAAGTAATGTTGGGGTGATGATGGCTGAAGGTTGTTCTGGATGTTACTATTTCCACCTGTGGTAGTAGATGATGAGATGGGTTGTACTGACGCTTGTTGTTGATTATTACTACTATTCGAAGAAACAAGCATTGAAAAGAATCGTGTGGGAGGTGGTGAAATAGCAAATGGTAAAAGGGAGGAAATATTCATTGGGGTTGAATTAGGAAATGAGTTGTTGACCATATTGGAGATGAGTGAGGGGGGAGGTTGGATCATATTGCTCATTGGTGCCGATTGGTTGGAAATTGATGAGAACAACAATGGATAATGTTGAGTGGGTGGTGGTTGTGTTGATGTTAACCTCGGATTTATGTCTACTTGTTGCTGATTATGAAAAGGATGATCAGCCGGTAGCATGCTGTTTCTACTTATTGTGTTGTTATTGGTGATTGTTGTTGGTTGAACGTTGTTGCCATTGCCGGTCATCACCGTCATGGAATCCGTGTTGTGTGTGTTTGGAAACAACGTCGCTGTTGTGTTGTTGTTGGATTCTTTCATAGCTTGGGATTTGATGGGAAAGGAAGATCTCTGTGGGAGCATATTTTTTTTTCGAAACTATCGGCATAAGAATCCCTGCAGGAATTAGTGCTTGAGATTTGGATCCGGTGTTCAACCACGCATGAGAGATCTTTGCACGCATGCAAACACCACGCATCACCTCAGAATCGTTTTGGGTGTTGAAACAGCTTGAAGTTTTTCTGCTGTGGGAAACATGTCCTAATTTGCTTAGCTCATGGATTTCCGTGCGGTTATCATTTTGAGACTCCTTCTGCGTAGGTGGACTCATTTGGTCAAATAGGCCTTATTTACCTCAAACCATCTTCTGAGTGTTGAAATCCATCTTCGTTTCTCATCCTCGTTCGTTGCACACAAGTAATATGTTCTGTCTTTTGTCACCAATTTAAAAGCAAAGGGTTTTCCTTGGGTCACATCTGCAGAGACATCCAGCGAGTCTTCCATTGAGACGTCAATAGTATCAATTGGCTTTAAATCCTCAATAGTTTTGAAGTAACTGAACGTTAAATCTTTTCTAAAGACGAACCATCTACGTTTCCAACTTTTTACGGTTTGTCCTACTTTTAGTAAGAAGCCAGCAGTTTCTCTAACTTGGTCTTCGCTATCTTTCAAAACATTGAGGTACTGCTTTTCCATTTTGTCTAGCTCATTTTCCATTTGGTCCATTTTCATTGATATGTTGTTTTTGATTTGTTCCGAGATGGACGCAAATTCATCCAGAAACTTGTTGGTCATGAACTTTGCTTCACTCTTGAGTGATCTTTGATCCAACTTGGCCTCAATGATTTTTGTGCTGACCTTCCGAACGTGCATTGCCATGAGTTGTTTACTCTTTTCATGTTGTTGAGTTTGTATTTGCATTTTGGCGAGGTTGCTTTGGAGTTGATCCGTTGATTGGCTTGAAGATATGGTAGATTTGGGTTTTTCGTCCCTCACTTTTTTTAATTCATTCTCCAGTTCCTCGTATTTCATTCGTAGCTTTTCTTTTTCATCTTGTTCTTGGGCAAAGGCTTTTTTATACCTGGCAAGCTTTTTCATCTTTGATTCCGATTCCAATAAACTTTGATTTAAGGCAAAAGCGTACTTTAGAAAGTCCATAATATCAAAGATCTAATACGATATGAATCAATTCAAGCACTTACATTCTCAAATTTAACTTTTTCCTTCCAAAGTTTTGAATTTTCCTCAATCAGAAAATCAAGAGCTTCCAACACGGTCATTTCACCAATTTCTTGATGAATATTTAAACTTTCATCCAACACAGGGTGCTCAGGTATCGGAGTCATTGTTGATGAAGTGGAGGAGGTAGAAGACGCCGACGATGAAAGAAGAATGGACGACGACCCTGTCAATCCTTGTGCTTCCTGATGATGATTAACCTCTTCCATTTGTGTTGTGTTGGATTTGAGCTGGATTGAGGCTGTAAATTTTTATCCTTAAAAAATTGTTGGTGTTTTGCCAGACTCATTGCCAGGACTGATGTAATATTGGAAAATTCGGAATGAATAATTCACCTGTTTTAGCTACCAAACAATTCCATTTGATGAGGATTTTTGTTTCAGATCCGATGCAAAAATTGCATCTTACTTTTTGAAAATTCATGTTGAACCATTGTCTCTCAGTGAATTGCCTGATGATGACAGATTGACAGTTGTTTTTACCCAAAGGCAAAAAATGACAAGCACAACACCCACTACGGATGAGAAATTGCGAGTTTTCATTCGTTTCAGACCACACGTTCTCGCAATCGATCCACCTACAGCCAACAAGGACGATGCCACAAAGTGTTGTGCTGCTTTTCACAAGTCTGGAAAGAAGCTCCTGTTGAAGGTTTGTATTTTTTTGTTGATTGTGTGTGGAATGAGAGTGTGATGAACATCCGATGATGCTGAAATTTGAATTTCTGGTGCTTCTTCACAATGACACCTTGTTGTTTATGTAACATTCCGTTCTATTTACAACAATGCTCCATCATGATGTAATATTCATTGACTTCAACACCACACACAAAATTTTACCATGAATCACATTTGTGTCGCTGTCGCATGATGATCTCATTTGTTCCTGATTGACATTGCCCATGATACATCAACACCTTCCATGGATATTATAATACGGAATGAACTCGTTGTTACTTCTCACACACGTTTATGATGGTACTTTTACAATTTCAATCCAAACAATACATTCCTCTCAACATAACATTAATAGTATGGCGTTGATCAACCCAAAGAATTTCAATTCGATCGCGTTTTCAACATGAATACAGCTCAGGGCGAGGTTTTCGAAGAGGCTGCTCGGCCCATGATCCCTCTCTTCATGTCTGGTCGAAATGTTACCTTCTTGTCTTGGGGCTCACCACCCAAGTCAGGTAAAACCTTCACAATATTGGGTTCCGAAGCTGTTAATGCTGGTTCAGTGATTGATTGGCAAGAAGAGAAAGACACCGACGGTGTGCTGCCCAGATTTATTCGTGGAATTTTCGATGCCATTGTGGAAAGTCCAGAAAGTCTTTCATTCACAATTAAAGTGAGTGTTTATGAAGTATGGAGTGGAAGTGGCATCATTTGTGACTTGTTGAATGAGAGTCATGTTCAACAACAACATTCTGAAGGTAGGTATTACAGGAGCTTGTAAAGTATGAACAATTGAAATTTAATTTTACCTAATGAATTGGTTGATGACCGAACAAATATTTCAAAATGTACATCTACTCTATATAATTATATGATTTCATGAATTCAAAAACTAATTACGCCAGATTTCACTGGTCTTGAATGTCTATTACAGGAAGACACTCAAGAAATTGAAGTTAACGGGCTGATTGAACAATTTGTGGAGGCTGATGACGAGTTGTTAGACATTTTGGCTTCCTCAATTCAAAAAAGAAAGATTGAAAAGGTGAAAAAAGACACAAAATTTGCTTCCAATTTGTTTGTTGAATTGACTGTGACGCAAAAAGACAATGAAAAACAAAAAACCATATGCAGCAAATTGACTTGTATCGATCTCGAATCACCCTTAATTGATATTTCAGAAGAAGAGGCAGAAGAATTAGAAAATGGTCATGCAACATTTTCGGATTTATGTAACTTGATGAACGATCCAAAATCTCAAGAGGACGACTCCCAATTCTATTCTTCAAGCTTATCAGCTATTCTATACTCTCGCTCTTTGCATAACTGTATTGCTACGACCTTTGTAAATTGCTCACCGGCAATTCCTCATGCAGCTCAGTTCACATTGGGAGTTTTGGAGTTTGCAGATACAGCTTTGAAAAATCTTGTGATACCAAAAGTGAAAACGGAGAACCTTATTCCATTTGTTGCTGATGACGCTGTTGCTACCAGTGCTGGAGGAGACACTGCTTCTTCAACTACGGAAACTGGTTCGTCGAGCTCTCAACCAGGTCTCGCTCCTGTTTCTGACCTCACCAAGACCATTGACTCTACAGCTGATCAGTTAATAAGTAAGTATTTCACAATTTTTTGGAATTAATTTTTATTATCATTCGACAACGTACTATTGAATATGATATATTTTCGAAAACAAACCAACAAATAGCTTCTGTGGCTACAGATTTGAAAAAACTTCAAGATACTGAAAAGGAGTACTATCAACAAAAGCAACAAATTAAGAATTTACAACAAAACTTGGAAGAAACAAATTCTCAATATCGAACTCTGCAAGAAGTCAATTCCACACTGAAAGATCAAATCGATCAGTTGCAACTTCAACTTAGCAAAGTGAAATCTTCTGAACAAGAACTCAAACAAAAAACTGCAGAGGATGAAGAAAAGATCAAGGAGCAATTGGAAAAGCTTGAAAGTACCAACAATTCTCTCTCCGAAAAGTTGAGAGAAATTGAAACCTTGACCGAACAACAGAAAAAACTCGAGTCCACACATGAAAATTACAAGAGTACTGTTACTGGCAAGTTGTTGTTATTGAGAAAGCAAATCAAGCGTGCCAAGACTGAAGTGAGAGAAAAATTAACAGTAGATGTGAAACAATTTTGTGCAAATGCTCAAACTTCACTTTTTGAAACCATGGGACCTTCTATTTTGGAGACTATTAACACACAGCTTAGTCTTATCAAAATTGAAAATGAAAAAAACATTTCATTGTTGAACAAACAACTCGAAGAATCAAGAAAAGAAGTGTCCAAGCTGAAGGATGAGATGAACAAGACCTTGGAAGAACGAAATGCTCTCAAACAAGAAATTGACAAACAAAAGCAAACTGTGAACGAATTGTCACAAAAGATTGTCACTTTAGAAAAGCAAGAACAAGAATCAAGTTCAAAGATTTCCACGTATCAAAAAGAAAATGCTGAATATGAAAAATCAATAGAACAAAACAAATTAGAAATCTCTAACTTGAAAGAAAGCGTGAAACAAGAAAAGGAAAGCAGAGAAAAAACTGTAAATGAATTGGAAGCTGAGAAGAAACAAAAAGTAGAGCTTGAAAAGGAAGTGTCACAAGTCAAGTCAAATATCGAGTCGTTGAAATCAACGATTTCAACCAAGGAACAAGAACTTCAAACATTGTCCAAGAATGTTGAAAACGAGAAAGAAAAATCTTCCAAGTTGGATAGTTCTCTTTCACAAAAAGAGCAAGAATTGACCAATTTGAAAAATGAGAAATCCACTCTCGAAAACAAGCTTAAAGAACTTGAAAGCCAATTACGTGCTGAGAAGGAAAATGCAGCAGACCTTGAAAAGAAATTATCAGCCACTCAAACGACACTTTCTCAATACGAAAAAACCATTGAGGACAAATCAAAAGAGATTCAAAATTTGAATAACAAGATTGCTGAGAATACTTTACAAATTGAAAGTTTACAAAAACAAAATTCTGATCTGAGAAAGGAAATTGAAGAAATCAATTCACAACTTGGTCAGAAGAGAGAAGAGGTCAGCAAGTTGCGAGATCGTGCTGAAAAAGCAGAAAAGCAAAACGAAATTCTCAACAATGACAAGGTAAAATCTGAAAATACCATTGCTGAGATTAAGTCAAGTCTTCAAGAGGCAGCCAAAAAAGAACTCGAGTCCAAACAAAACATTACCTCACTTCAGGAGCAATTGAGCAATTTACAAAATAAGCTCAAATCGAAAGAGGAAGAGGCTAATATACTTCAACAACAACTTGATCAATTGCAAGAAAAATCAGTCGAGTCATCATCTGTACTTGCCACTCAAAACTCGTCGAATCTTCAACGAATCAAAGAACTCTCTTCTGAGATTACTCAATTGCAAGATGAGAAATTGAAACAAAAGAATCAGTTGCAAACAGAGATTGATTCACTCACACAATCTGTTGACAAGCTAAATAAGGAGAAGGAAGTCTTCTCTGTGGAAATTTCAAACTTGCGTTCTCAATTAGAGAAGGAATCCTCTGAATTGGTGGAATGGAAGAAGAAACATGAGAGTGCTTTATTGAATTTGGAAAATGCTGAAAAAGCCAAAGACAAACTTGAAAAACAATTCGAGACTGAAAAATCTACTCTCCAAAAACAACATGTACAACAAGTTCAGCAACTACAAGAAGAGCACTCTCGAAATATTGAAGAAGAAAAGACATCTTCTCAAAACAAGATTGATAAATTGACCAATGAATTGCAGGAGGTTGAAAAGAAGCTAAAAGATTCCAAAGTCGAGTTGGATCGCGTTACTACTGACTATGAGAACAAATTATCATCTCTTCGTGATGCCAATCAAAAACTTGAGAAGGATCTTTCCGAAAAAAGCAGTGCCGTGCTCTCCAACATGTCAAGTGTAGAGAGTATCAATAATGAGAAACAAGAATTGTTGAAGAAGGTTGAATTGTTGCAAAATGATCTCAAGGAAAAGGATTCCCAATATCAACAGCTTGTCAAAGATCATGAACGTGTGAAGAAAGAACTTCAGGATGAGCAAAATAATTTGGCCAGCTTGAAATCGACATTGGAAGAGACCAAGAAAGATCTTACTCAAGCACGTTCTGAATGTGAAGATCAAAAATCTATAATGGAACTTCTCAAGTCTGCACACAAGACCGAGGTTGAATCGCTCACAACTCGTTGGACAGCAAGACATGAAAGTGAAATCAATCAACTGAAACAAAGCCTCTCTGAGGAACATAGTCAAGTGAAGACTCTACACTCTTTGGTAGAAGAGAAAAACTCTGAGATTGAGAAAGTTAGAACAGAATTGGTTGATTCACAATCAAAGGTCGACAATTTGGAAATTTCTCTCAAAGAGGAAAAGCAAAAAGGAGCCCTTATGATTCAACAAACCAAAAGTGAACTCGAATTGGAAAAGAATAAGGCAGTTGAAGAAGAACGTAAAGTTGTGACAGCTCGATACGAAAATGAAATTGTCGAAAAAATTAAGGAAGTCACAGAAAGACATTCTGTAGCTTTGAAAGAGCACGAAAAGAAATTGCGAGATGTGGAAAATGATCATTTACAAGCTGTCGACGATTTGAAAGTCAAACATCAAGCAGAGTTAGAAAAATTGCAACAAAAGCACAAACAAGAACGACTCGAGTTACAACAAGAAATTATGGACTTGACTGACAAAACTGAAGAGAAAGATAACACCATTTCAGATTTGGAAAATCAAATCTCAAACATTCATTCAGATTATGAAGACAAGAAAGCAGAGCTTGAAGGTGAACTCGACACGAAAGTCGACATGATCAAGAAACTCGAAAAGGAACTTGCTCAATACAAGTCCAAGTGTGAACAATTGGAAGAAGAAAACAAGAACAAAAACCAAGCAGCCAAAGAAAAGATTTCTGAACTCAACTCCACCATTACTGATCTTAATGACACCATCACCTCACTCAATGAAAAGAATGAAATGTTATTGAAACAATTGTCACAACAGGCCGAACAAATTCAACAACAAGAGCAAGAGCTCCTTTCTGCCAAACACAAACAAGAAGGATTGCAAGCAGAACTTAAACAAGCCGAAGCAAAACAAGAAAAGTTAAAGGCACAACAAGAAAAGCAACCTGAAAAACAACCACCATCCACAGCAGCAACACCTGTCATTCATGATGACACTCAAATCTCGTCTTCCAACGATGAAGTTTCTAACAATGGCCAATCCCAACCAGTTGCTACAACTAAAAAGGTCGTTCGTGTGGTTCGAAGAACTGTGGTCATGCCAAAAGAAGGTCAACCAACAACAACAACAGCATCAACCACAACTGCAACAACTACTGAACCCACTTCTCCATCGTCGTCAACCACTACCTCAACAACAACAACAACAGCAACTTCTCCAGTCAGTTCACCAACTCCCATGAAAAAGACATTAAGTACTAGTGGATCGATTATTGTGACCTCACCTTCATTGCAACAATCAAAATCAACTTCTACTACCGAGAGTTCTTCACAACCTTCCTCTACTGAAAATACTGATTCAACAGCAGCGGTCACTACCTCAACAACGACATCTTCGACAACTAGTACGGATGACACTTTGAATGATTACTATGAAGATAATGAACCAAACTTGGAAAATTTGGGAGCACCAAAATCAAGAAGCCGATTCTCAATCTTCTCTTCACACTCGGGTGATGTCAGTTCTGCCGATAAAAAGAAACGTGCCACTGTTCGTTTGAGAACGACTGGAATGCCACAAACCAATGCAACAACAAATTCTCCATCGACACCAGTATTTGGAAGCAACAACTCGAAACAACTCGAAGCAGCTGCTGATTATACAAGTGAATTTACAGCATTTGCCAATCCATTGTTTGAGGCCAATGGCAATACTGGCATGGGTGACAACTCGACAACAACATCTTCATTCTCTTCATCGTTATTAAGCGCTTCAACGACAGTACGAACAGCCGTTCGAGGATCCACTCTCATCAATGTGAAATCCAAAGCCACAAATTCCTCATCCTCATCTCTGACACGAAGCAGTGGCAGTAGTGGAAATTTGTCAACAGCCGATCGAGCAGAGAAGGCAAAAACCAAAACAGGATTTCTCGTAAAACAAGGAGGAGGATTTAAGAGTTGGAAGAAACGATATTTCGTGATTGAACCTGTTGAAAATTCTTCAAGTCAATACCAACTCTCGTATTATAAACAGAAAGGAGATCCAAAACCAATTGATTCCATTCCATTGAAAGGTACTCGAGTGCAATATGCTTCTGACAGTGACAAGGAATCGAGTGGAAGATTGTATTGTTTCAAATTATCGACCACATCTCGAACCTATGTGTTTGATGCTTCCTCTGTGGAGGATCGAACAGAATGGGTCGATGCTTTGGATATTTTGATTGTCTTGTCCAATAAATATAACTAAGCAGGGATTTGACTTGTGATTTTGTTGAAATTTTTTAAATTAAGGTCAAATGTTGATGTTGCTTTGGAGTGTCGATTGCAATCGCAATCGCATGAAATTGAGTTTGTTTTCGAACGTGTGTTTATTCCTCGTCCATCCTTATTTTAATTAAAATATTGTACAAGAGGATCTAAGTGAACAACACAAATTTAACAACCCAACACAGATCGAATACGTCTCCACTTGGCATCTCTGTCAGCCTTTCCATTGTAACCACCATTGATTCTTCTTGTAATGACATCAAAGTTAGCTTGATTACAACGATCAGCATATTGATTCAATGAACGAGAATTCCAGAACCAAACAGCAGTTCTGAAACCAACATCAACATCAGAAGCTCTGGTTGGGTTTCTCTCCAAATCAATTCCAATCGCTCTTCCAGCAGCTCTGTAGTTGTTTCTACCAGTGATTTGAATTGGACCACGTCCCTTATATCTCACACCATCACCTGGATGAGTATTTCCAAGGTCTGTTTGTTACACACATGTTGAACATGTCAATGCACGAAATAAACATTTGGCAAATCATTTGATGATATTCACGCACTCACTTACCTCTTCTTCCTTCATAAGCTCTTCCGCTTGCAAATTCAACCCACCAGTTGAGGTCACCACTTTCATGAGCCAATTGAGCTGCACATGATGATGATGATTACACATGTGATCACAAAAAGCAAACACATGATGATTCATCACAAATTTCACACAAATTTCACACAACGATGAGAGAGATCAATTGATTAAACAAACACTTACCCAAGAATGCACTTTTACGACAACAAGTATTAATATTTCCACTCTTCATAGCAGCATTCAAATATGGAATATAAGTACTGGCCTTGCTAGCTCTCAAATTAGGCATACATCTTGTCAATTGAGCAGCTGTCATACCTCCAGAAGTTGGAGCAGATGGTCGACTTGGTTGACTTGGACGAGTGCCCTTCTTCTCTGACAAGAATTGAGAAGCAGCATATCCTAAACCAAAAGCACCACGAACAGCATGCCACATGTAACCACAACCTCTCACTGTTTTACCAGTATAAGTCACTTGTTTACCTCTACCGAGAGATGTCAACACTCGTTTATTGGTACATGGTCCAGAACGAATATTCAATGCTTGTGTGTTCACGACAAGAGTAGCTCCACTTGCGAGATACGATTCAGAATCAGCAGCATGTGTGTTATTGACTGCGAAAAGAATGGAAGCTACCAACACACATAGTGTGAAGAGGAGTGTTTGAAAAGTTGACATTTTTTTTTGATGAAATGAAATGGTAATGATTGGAAACATTTGGAAAGTAACGGCCTTTGAAAAAGTAGCAAGTGAAAACTGCGATTGGCATCCACGGAGAGAAAATAAATGGTTCAATATGTTGAATTGAAAACTATTTGCCCCAAGTTATAGTAATCGAGAGATTTCTGATTTTTATAATAATTGAGAAATGAGATGGTGTGAAATGATACGCGATTTGGTGTTGGGGAATTGTCCTGGTTTCACAAGTACGAGTGAAATGATTTCAGTTTACAGTAAAAATGTCATGATGAGTAGTGACGTCCAGTAGTAGGTTGAATTTGATTTGGGATATTTTATTAAGGGTGATGTAATTTGTGTTTGATGAAATGCAGTTGTCAAACGCAATTAGTCCTTGCATATGAGAATCACCTCGTACTAAATTATTTGTCAAATTTTGAATTTTATAAAACGAAGATGTTTTTATTGGGAAAGAAACTCGGTTCAAAAATTTAACAACCCAAAGCACTTCTAGCACGTCTCCACTTGGCATCTCTGTCAGCCTTTCCATTGTAACCACCATTGATTCTTCTGGTAATGACATCAAAGTTAGCTTGATCGCACTTGTCAGCATATTGATTCAATGAGCGAGAATTCCAGAACCAAACAGCAGTTCTAAAACCAACATCAACATCAGAAGCTCTAGTTGGATTGTTTTCCAAATCAACGCCAATAGCTTGTCCGGCAGCTCTGTAGTTGGCACGTCCAGTAATTTGAATTGGTCCACGTCCCTTATACTGTGTTGTTAAATTTGTGTGTGTTGACAATATTTTCATCATGAAATTGCATCAAGAATGAATAATCTTCAAAGTGAGAAATTAATGACTCTACTTACTCTAACACCATCACCTGGATAAATGTTACCAAGATCCTTTCTTCCTTCATAAGCAGCACCAGAAGCGAATTCAACCCACCAGTTGAGATCACCAGACTCGTGAGCAAGTTGAGCTAATGTTCAATTCATGACAAGTTCAAATCCAAAAATGGAAATAAGTGTGTTGATGACATGATGATTCAACAATACATTTACATCATCATGATGAATCTTCATGAATCAAACATTGTAAAAAAAAACATACCCAAGAAGGCACTCTTTCTGCAACAAGTGTTGATGCTACCAGTTCTCAAAGCATCATTCAAATAATTAATATATTGATTAGCCTTGGCAGAAGATAAACCTGGCATACAAGCTCTCAATTGCTCAACACTAATGCTAGAACCAGAAGAACCACCAGGATTGCTTGGTCGTTCATTCAAGTATTGAGAAGCAGCATAACCAGTTCCAAAACTGCCACGCACTTTATGCCATGTGTATCCACATCCGTTCACAGTTTCACCACCGTAAGTGACGGTAGCTCCTTGAGAGATGGCAGTAATGACACCTTGGTTGGTACATGGTCCTCGACGGACATTCAAGGAAGCAGTGTTGACCACGAGAGTGGCTCCACTGGCGAGCATGGACTCTGAGTCGGCACAGACTACCAACGAGGCAGCGAATAAAACCAACAACAAGGAACAGAGGAAGAGTTTTGACATTTTTTTTTGTAATGATGATGAGAATGACATGCAGCAGTATGAGTTCATAAATAGGCACATGGTTATTATAATCATAATGAGGATGATTATGAAAAAATGATTCATGCAACGCACGACAGGTAACAAATGCAACGAACACTGTCGAGAAGTATTGCAATCTCAGTCATCTTTCTGTAATTTGGCGAATGGTTTGAAAAACACGCTCCAATCTGGCTATTGACGTGACCTGTTAATCGTGGTAACAAAAACGCCATGAATCACCATCAATTTGCATCTTCAGATGGCATCAGTCTCGAGTAATAGGAGGAATTTGTATCTGTGATTGAAGATGTTGTAGTCTGTTGTCGATTTCCACGTTTGACTTTGATAACACGCAAACAATTCCAGCAATCGTTGAAATCTTCCTTTTCGAATTCCGAGTAGGTCAGTCCGTTTGAAATTGCAACAAGTGAAGAATGAACCACAATGGAGACAACACCTGACAGTAATCCATTGAAAAAAGCTCCTGGAGTTGAGGATATTGTCATGTAGCACAAAGAAAACAGGGCACTAGAAACTGTGAATAATCCCACATATTTCAAGAACTTTTTCATGGTTGGTCAATACAATTGTGAAATCTTAATACTTACAGAAGAGTTGAAAATGTCTACATCTGAAACTTGCTTCATGGCCCAATAAATCCATGCTGATGAAATGGCGAACAAAAATCCAGTGCTTCCAGACATTGCTGTTGAGTAAATCGAGAAAAATCGAATAATTGATTGCAAATCTCCAAATAGAGTCATGGTAATTGGCAACGCAATTCCAACCAAAATAAACAAAATTGCTAATAGACAGTACAATACTGCAGCTACTTTGTTGCTTTTGGTCTTGATGAACAATACTAATGCTACCCATCTCAATACCCAAGTAAAGAGACTTGCAAATACCATAGCAATTCCAGTATTAATAATAACTGTAGATGGAACACTTGTCGAGTATGAAATTTCAAAAATACTTGCAGTAGTGAGAACAAATTCGCTCAGCACCACACTTGTAATTGTCACACTGTTCATAATTTTCTTTTGTTTGATGCATGTTCGGATTTTTGGAATAAAGGTTGAAAAAAAGGCCAATAATAATGAAAGCCCATGAAGAGTACAAGTAATAGCACCTATGGCTTGTCTTGCTGCAAAATTGGAGAGATTGTTGTCACATTTGAGAGCAAAATAATTGCCGTCTATGCAATAACAAATGTATGAATAATTCCCATAGAGTGCGTTCGGTTCAACGGCAGTGCTATTAATGATAAACGGAATTCCAAATTGATAATTTCCACAATATGTTATAGAGCTAGGATATTGGTTCAACATTTCGCTCACTTTTTCATCCTTTGGCGTACATGTTTTCAAATTACTTGCTTTGAATGAAATATGTTTGTAAGATCGCAGTGTCCTCTCATTTGTACAATATTGGCAATAATTGATCCAGTCATAAATAGTTGTTGAATATTGTGTTTCCCGTTCAATATATGTAGCCAAATCGATCGAAACGTTACTATTCATATCACAAAACAGGGAGTCACACGATAGTTTCAAAGCTTCTTCCCATTTTCTCACTTTTTTACAAACATCATAGCTCTGACCGATATTCTCAAAAATTACAAAACTATAATACCAAACAATTTCTTGGCCAGATCTAGCAATGACGGGCTGAACTCCATATTTTGTCCATAATGAAATATTTGAGCATCCAAACTCATCGGGTATCCATCGCTCATTTCCCATCTCTCTCAAAAAACTTGTGGCACGTGTCATGTATTCCGATACATTCCAACAAGTATTGAATCGGTGAGAATAAAAAATGGTTTGAATTTCCATCGAACCTTCTCGTTGTGCTTTCATTGCCCGAACAAGCCTCGATGATGATGTAAAATCAAACACAACTTTCATCATCACGACCATGGCAAACAGCCATCGGAGCAACAACAGCGATTGTTTCTTCATTTTTTTAAAAGACACCCGGGTGTCTTGGGTTTGACAAGTGATAAAGACGTCCACTAACCTGAGCGGGGTGTCTTTTAAAAAAATGAAGAAACAACCTCAAAAATCGCGTGTCCAAATGACATGACTAAGGTAGCCTTAAAGCAGAATCATTGATCACTTTTAATGTAAACATTTTGGTGGTTTATTTAAAATATTGTTAACGAAATTCAATCTACGACATGTTGGTTGGATTATAGGGATTCCTTGTTCTGGAAGGATCATGGATAACAAATTGAAAGATCTTTCAATCGTTAAGGATGGCGTTTGAGGTCAAGGCCTGTTGATACGGCACAGCTTTAGCCGAGTTAAGGCCATCAAGTTCTTCATCAAATCCTCAATCAAGTTCTCCATCAAATTCTCAATCAAGCTCTCAATTATTTTTCAAAGAAAATGATTCAAAACCACACAACGATCCACCAAATCATGATGATGAAATTCAACCCAAGTCTAAGAAAATCAAATTATTGAACAATAAGCTCATTAGTGAGAGAGATGGAACTTTTTACATTGCAGATCTTACAGTAGACGAAGCTCTTGTGATTGAGAAGCAATTTGAGAAATTGGAACAGTGTTATGAATTATTTAATATTCTCCAAGAATTACTTACAAAGGCTTACCAATGTATCACGCACAGAAGTGATCTCTTTAAACAACTTCCATTAGTTGTGGCTAAGGAAAGCAATCCTTGCAAATCTCCTCCGAGCTGGTACAGGAAGCATTGCAAGGCGGAACACAAAGCAACGCATGTGAATTCTTATCATTGAAATTGTTTGGCAAGAATTTGGAAAACTTGAAACAAGATTCTTTTGAAAGACAAGTATTAAGTGCTTTCATCTCTCAGAAGATGGGAGGAAATGGAGACAACGTGAGAAAATTAATCTCTCAAAAAAGGAAAAACCTACAACAAAAGAATCGAATTCAAACATCCTCAAAAACCTTAGCATGTTCTGTCACATCATGTAGCAATGAAAGTGAACAGAAATGTCATTCATGTAAATTAATGTGTTGTGATGCACATATTTCTGATGATTTGTGCACCAAATGTGCCAAGCAGGAAATGAGAGACGAATCTGACGAAAATGATTTTGATGAGGATGATGAGAATGATTCATAATAGTACCTAAATTCACTCAAATCCGATGTATATTGCTGAATAATGTAAAGCATAAACAACGTGAGTAATATTTTCTGTGCATCAAATTGAAACTTGAGAGATAGTCCTGACTTAAATGCAGCACAACATGAAATTTATATTGTGCTTTTCGTTAAAGTGCGTTCGTTTTTCGTTTGAATAAAATGCAAATTGGTTTTAAAAATTTTTAATTAGGTTTTGGCAGGTTGGAATTGGATTTGAATTGAAAAAATTTTGATTTTGGCTAGCGTATTGGTTTGGTCGTTGGTATCTGTTTCTCCAAGCATTTTATCCAGTAATGTAGGACATATGTCAATTCACATATGGTCATTCTTTATCTGGAGAAATCTGTCGGTCATCATTTAACTACACAAAGATTTTCATTGCTTGCTTGTATTAACATTGTTGGTGGATTAGTCTATGTCAATTTATTGATACAACTAAAAAAGCAATCAATTTAACGAATTTCTTCGTAGAATTTCAATTATGCTTCCAAAAGGCTCGATGATTAATATGGATAATGCATCTGTTCATATTGAATTGCAAAGTATTGTGGTGTCCTTGTATTGAAGCCAGACTACAATCCAATTGAATTTTGTTTTGGTTGGATAAAGCAAAAATTACAACACTACGAATATTCCACAGAGCCTCTTCCAACGATTGTTGAAGAAACAATGAATAGCCTTTCTGTGGACTTAATTGCCTCGTATATCAACCATTGCCAACGCCTTTGGAATGACGATGATTCTGTTTAATTTAATAAAATCACTTCACCTTTTCGAACCGATCGAACCAACCAAACCAATCAAATTTAAAAATGCCTCCAGTCGAACCAATCAACCAATCAAACCAACCAAACCAACCAAACCAATCGAACCAATCAAACCAATCGAACCAACCAAATCAACCAAATTTAAAAATGCCTCCAAAGTTTGAAAAAAGTTGGTCGTTCGTTGGATTGGATTTGAATGCCGTTCGTTTTAAAAAAAATGAGATTCGTTTTGAGTTGATTGGAATTGGAAGAAAAATTTGAAAAAAAACGAACGCACTTAAACGAAAAGCACAATATCAACACCCTCTCCGAGAGGATTCATGAAGGTTGTGCAGTGAGGATTGTTTTGATGGATTTATCAGTTCAACCATGTCGATCAACTAGTAATGATTTTGACAATAATATTGTTACCCAATCATCCAATGAATATCTTCCGACGAAAAAAGAATTAGAATTATGGCTACGGAATCGATTCACCTTACAACAAATCGGGAAAAAGAAATGGCTTGAAAATAGAGAACGTCGTTATGATGGATATTTTCCTATTGAATTTTTAAATGATAAAGAATTGATAATCCATCATATCAACAAGTACGGACTCGATACCGGATTTATTGCAAAACACTTGAGAACGGATGTAGATGTGTTTATTGCATCAATTCGGCAAAAAAAATCGCCATACACGTACGTACCTAACGAGTTGTTGAGCTGCAGAGATGCAGTGTTGGAAGCAGCAAAGATTACTGGTCACCGAACGTTGCACAGACTTTCATTATCGAACCATGAAAAATTTCTAAACGATAAGGAGATTGTGTTGGCAGCGGTTACTAACGATGGTATCGCTCTTCAATTTGCTTCTTCTGAGTTAAAGAATGATAAGGAAGTTGTGCTACGTGCAGTGATGCAAAACAACCAAGCCCAACGTTATGCATCCGAGACACTAACAAAAGACAATGATGTTTTTTTGACTTCCATATGTCCGACTGTGGCACACAAATATTCATCGATTAATTGGAACAATGATTCCATCATGTTAATGAAAACATTGAGAAACGATCGTGAATTTATTATTACTACTGCTGTCAAAAATAGGTCCATTTTGAGCTTACTGCTCAGCACAGCACAAGACTTGAAAAATGATCAACAATTAGCATTGGAAGCCATTAAGCACGATTTTGGCTTAATTTATCTCTTTTCGGACTTGGTACATGACCATGAATTTATGCTGAAAGCTATCAGTGTTAATGTCCTCTGTCTTAGGTATTCTTTTAGACTAACTAAACAAAAGGAATTTATGATGAGAGCAACTCGTATTAACGGCCTTGCATTGATAAATGCATCCGATGATTTGAGGCGTGACCACGAAATTGTACTTGAAGCAGTGAAACAAAACGGTGCTGCTTTTTTATATGCTACAGAAACAACAAGAAGTGATCCACAAATAGTCTCACATGCAGTCGAGCGTTTTGGGCCAGCATTATTGACAGCACCTATGGAGTTGAGACGTGACAAACAGTTTGTATTGAAGGCGCTCAATCACGATTTTTCGTTATTTAAATATGTGCATGAAGAATTAAGGAACGACAAGGAATTTATAATGCAATTGATTACACGTCATCCTTTTGTTCTTCGATACGTGTCCGATGAGTTAAAGAATGATAAGCATGTTGTTTTAACGGCTGTTCAGCAATCAGGACTTATGCTACAGTACGCATCAGAGGACTTAAAAGAAGACAAAGAAGTTGTGTTGCAAAGTGTGAAACAGAACGGAGGGGCCTTAAATTTTGCTTCCAAAACTTTGCAGAGAGACAAGCAAATCATTAGCGAAGCTTTACATCAAAGCCCACATGCAATTAACTTTTGCTGCATGACATTAAGAAATGACAAGGAATTTATGTTATGGGCATTAAAACAACATCCCAGAATGATTGAATATATTGGTGATAAGGACGATGCATTAATTTTGGAAGCTGTAAAAACTCATGGTTTTGGTGGAAACAGAAAGTATGAACCAGTCTTTAGCGAAGATTTATTACGAGCTAGGATGGAACATTATTATTATTCAGCATATTTTGGAAATCAAAAGTGAAAACCTTACTTTCAATACAGAAACCGAAAATGACACCATTGGTTGTTGTAAATAAATTCAAGTCACACAAATCTGCACTCGTTATTCAATTTGTTGAAACAAGTTCAAAAAAAATGGGTAAAAACAAAAATCGTTCCAGGCCATTCACCAACCATGGTGGAACATTATCAACTTCTTCGCAACAACAACAATCCGGAAAGAAAGCATCATCAAATCCGAAAGGAGGATCTAAATTTCACCCAAAAGTAGATGTTTCGTTGCTTGTGGATAGAGTTGAGGAATATATGGAATCTCACGACAAAACATCAATTAATTACAACAGCTCCGAAGAGTTGATGCCTGTCGTTACCTACTTGAGAAAGAGTTATGAAAAGGAATATAAATCTATTCCGTTGCTTGAATTTAAAGATATTTGTGCTGGAGCAATAGAAAAGATGTTCGGAGATGATTCAGACATGACATCTTCATCGTCGGAAGATGAAAATGCAATGATAGATGAAGCTACAAGAGTTAAAAATCTTACCAAGCTGAAGGATATGATCAAGAATGAAAAGAATTCAATGAATCAACAACTACAAAATGTGTATAAAGAACAACAAACCACTATAACGCCCTCTACAAATTCAAGCAGCCATGCTGGAGAGGCTTCTTCCCAAGCATCGAGTAATACCAGCTCTGAAGATTCTTTGAAGAGAAAAAGATCAACAAGTCAAGTCAATGAGCCTCAAACACAAGAGAACAAATCAACCACTCCCAACCACTCCAATCAAGAGACTAATGGTACTACCACAAATTCCAATAATAATTCTACCGTAGCTCCACCTAACAAAAAGACAAAGCCTTCCTCAGGCCAACCATCAGACAAAGAAAAGAGAACAAAAATTATTGTGGAGACACCCAATATCAGATTTAGTGATTTGGGAGGTATTGATAATATTTTACAAGACATTCGTGAGTTAATTGAATATCCAATTTTACATCCAGAGATTTATACGTCATTGGGAGTGGATCCTCCACGAGGTATTTTATTGCACGGCCCTCCAGGAAGTGGTAAGGTAAGTGCAAAGTTAATGTCAATCGAAAATATTTTCAACATTATTCTATTGGAAATACATTGAATAGACAATGCTTGCTAATGCAATTGCAGGTGAATTGCAAATTCCATTTTTGAAAGTATCAGCTCCAGAAATTGTTAGTGGTATGAGTGGTGAATCAGAGGCAAAAATTAGACATTTATTCAGGGATGCAGTTGCCAATGCACCAAGTATAGTTTTTATTGATGAAATTGATGCAATTTTGAGTAAGAGAGACAACGCCTCAAAAGAGATGGAAAAGCGTATTGTTGCACAATTGCTGACATGTATGGATGACTTGACACTGGACAAAACAAATGGAAAAGCAGTGATAGTCATTGGAGCAACAAACAGACCAGATTCACTTGATAACGCATTACGTCGTGCGGGAAGATTTGACAGAGAAATTTCACTTGGTATTCCAGATGAGAAAGCAAGAATGCAAATTTTAAAAATTTTAACACGAAAGCTCAAATTAGAAGGTGGACATGAAGTATTTGATTTCCAAAACATTGCACACAACACTCCAGGTTATGTGGGCGCCGACCTGAAGGCTCTTGTTAACGAATCAGCAGTTGTCGCCATTCACAGAATTTTCGGCAACATTGTTTTTGGTAATGAAACGAAGGAAGCTACTCCGAAAACATTAACACCAGAAGAAGAAGTCAAACGAAGAAGTATTATTAGTGAGACCCTTCGAAACATGAAAGAACCTCTCAGTGAAGAGCAATTGGCAAGTCTCAGTATTACTTTTGAAGATTTTGAAAAAGCCATTAAGAGAGTTCAACCAAGTGCCAAGCGTGAAGGTTTTGCCACAGTGCCAAATGTCACATGGGATGATATTGGAGCTTTAGAAGAGGTTCGTGATGAATTGCGACTCACTATTATGGAACCAATTAAGCGACCTGAAAAGTACAAGAAAGTTGGTTTGGATGTCCCAGCCGGTGTGTTGCTTTATGGTCCTCCTGGTTGTGGTAAAACTCTTCTTGCAAAGGCCATTTCTAATGACAGCGGTGCAAACTTTATTTCTATTAAGGGCCCAGAGTTATTGAACAAATATGTGGGTGAATCTGAGAGAGCAGTTCGACAAGTGTTCAGCAGAGCTGCCGCTTCATCTCCTTGTGTTATTTTCTTTGATGAAATGGATGCATTGTGTCCAAAGAGAGACAATGAATCGAGTTCACAAAGCTCAGAGCGTGTGGTCAATCAGCTACTCACTGAAATGGATGGTCTCGAATCGAGGGGAAATGTTTTTGTGATTGCAGCTACCAATAGACCTGATATGATTGATCCAGCCATGTTACGTCCTGGTCGTTTAGACAAGTTACTCTATGTTAAGCTTCCAAATGAAAAAGAACGAATTCAAGTGTTGCAAACCATTGCTAGAAAAACACCCATGTCACCTAATGTGAATCTTGACGAAATTGCAAAATTATGTGAAAATTTTTCAGGAGCTGATTTATCAGCGCTGGTAAGGGAAGCTGCCACCTGTTGCTTGAAAGAAAGTATTCAGAACAATACGGATAATCTCATTGTCACAAGAGAACACTTTAAAGTTGCCTTACGAAAGGTTCACCCATCTGTCTCGGAAAAAGATCTCAAAATTTATGACAAGATTGCCAATAGTTTGAGAACAAGTCGTAATCATATCGTGATGGACGATGAACCAAAGAAGAATCCACACAGTACTAGTTCCAAATAATCTCAAATGAATGTTGTGTTTACAGTTTCGTTATTTCACATTCTTTGTTGCAGTTTCACAAAAAATTACCAACATGAAGCGAACCAACAGCAAAAGCGCTCGACCTAGCACCAAGTCTTCGTCCTCATTGAGCGCAGAAGACAATGCACTCCTTGAAGAATTGGCAAGAGAAATTGAAAGAAAACGACAACGTCAAATGAAGAGACTTTTGGAACGTGAGGAAGAGGATGAAGATCATTACGATGATGATGATGACGACGATGATGTTTTTCATATCACAAGAGTAACAACCGAATTACCGAACAAGAAAATCAAACAACAAACTTATTATCATGACGGAGAGGACGAATTTAATCGTTTTATGGCCCAAATGACTTCTTCTCGTGCAAGTAGCAGCAATAACAATGCAACCACAGCCTCATCATCATCAAGTATAACTTCACGAGCATCCACAACAACAGCAACAACAACAACCGCTCCAACCACTGGAATTTATGATCATATGGGCCGTCCTGCTACTCAAGAGGATCTAGATTCTCTCCTAGAAAATCCACGACAGGCTTTCCGAGTTTTATATCAAGTGAAAGCAGTTGTTCAGGGATCTAAGAAAGAAATTTACAGAGAATTTGTCATCTCTGCGACCATCTTGTTTAAAAACCTGCATGAATTGTTGGTTTTATTATTCGGATGGAATGAAGTTTCGAATTATAGATTTACAGGAACGTTAAATGGAGACGCAGTCACTATTGCAAAGAGAGCGAGTAAGAACAATGTGAGTGCTGCTAGTACCAAATTCCATCAAGTATGTCCTAACATTGGTGATCAATGTGTTTGGATTCCTGAGGGAGGAAAGGATATTAGAGTCACATTGACTGTAGAGGTTATTAATACTTCTGGACATTTAGAATCTACTCCTCGATGTGTGGGACTTCTTAACAAAATTGGTTTTGCTGATGGGAAAGAAGGAGTAATGCAAGAAACCGACACTAACTTGGATCGAGTGAATTCAAAGCTGAAACATAAAAGATTTGCTGCTAATTCATCCAATAATAAGGTAGGCAAGCAAGGAATCAAGTTAAGGGTTAGGAACGATACAACTGCATCAGAATTCAAATCCATGGAGAACAAAGTGTTTCGACAAAAGTTGCTCACTCGTCCATTTATGCACTAGACCAGCCATATTCTATTTGGACAAACTGTCAAAGCATTGTTGTGCACATAAAGAACGATCAAAATTATAAAGCTGAATTATTTATTGACAAAAACTAATGCACACATGACGGTTATTTGAATAGTCTATTGTATTGCAGGACTTACAAAGTCACTGCACATCCATTGTTTTCAGAAGAATTAAATAATGCATCCAACACAATCATTGTTTTTTCTGTCTCTGATCCCAATGAAGATGCTCCTTTGGATTTTTTGCTCCTTTAAAGAATGATTCAAATAATTCGACATGTTGGGTCGATTCTTCACAAACAACAGTTTCATATCGCCCATGTTGTGAATGAATTTGGAATTTTCCATGCTTATCATAGGTGCTTCGTGGGAAATAAATTTCTTCATTGTCCCATGTCAACACAAAGTCATCCACAAGAATTCTAAAACGAGGGAACACAATTTCACTTGTTTGTCTCTGTGCCTCTTCAAAGCTACAATTGAAAGTGGCAACTCTACCATTTGAAAATTGCAAAATTCCATCAAAATTGATAATAGCTCTCTTATTGGACAACTCATGATCATGTCTTTTGGAAAATGCAACCACCTTTGTGGGTAACTCATAGTTGAAAGCCCACAAAATATTACGAACACAATACCAACCCAAATCGCCAAGACATCCATATGGCTCCAAAGTAATATCCAATCGAATATCGTTGAGATTGTCCATGAAATAATTAGCAAAAGAATTGTTCACACGAACTAATTTGTTGAACCTTTCATCAGTTGCAAACAAGTGCTTCAAATGATGAGTACGCTTGTTATGGACCCACATCTATTTGATCCATAGCATTACCATTTAAAATTTCAAAACGGAAGATTCGTATTCCATAATAGTATTATGCTTTAGAAATAATTGTTTCAACAACAAACATACAGTATTGTCCATGAAAAACACTCCATTCTCTTCACAAGCCTTGATCATATTTCTCACTGATTCGGCAGAGGCAAAAGGCTTGTCACATCTAAAATCATCAATTGATCATTAATTTCAAAACCAATACCGAATCATATTCGTGTTTTAAACTCTACACAAAAAATACTTACAAGACATGCTTGCCAGCCTTTGCTGCTTTAATCGCCCATTCTTCCTTCATTGATGTTGGCAATGGAATATAAACAGCATCTACTTCGGAACAAGCCAATAATTCATCATAGGTTGCAAAAGCCTTTTCAAATCCATTCTCTTTAGCAAATTTCTCAGCTCGGCTCATCTCTCTTGAAGCAACACCATAATTACTAGCAAATGGAGATTCCTGAATGGCCTTGGCTACTTTCTTTCCGATCGCCGCTGTGGATAAAAATCCAAAACGAAGGCTTTGTGTTTCAGTCATTTTCAATATTTTTTTATTGTAATCTTTTTTTAAACGTTAACCAAGGACGAAAGAATTCAATTCATCAATTTCACAAAATACAAAAAAAATGCCTGCAAAGAATCCCTTCCGTTCCAAACACAACAACAAGATTTCTCAACGTGATTCCAGTCATCTAGCTCGCCATCAAAATCAACAACAACAACAACGTGATTTGACCATGAATCAACCCAACATTCAGCGTTCTGATCTCTACTTCTCAAGAACCATTTCCTTTCCATTTACCTTGTCCTATTGGCCTCTCATTGAACAAGCTCTTTCTGATCCGATTCAAAATTCCTCTCAATTGAATCAAGTATTGATCAACATTCAAAAAGCAGTCTGTGAAGCGGTTGGAATGACACCTTTTACTCCGGTTCAATCTCAAACTAGTTTGACTCTATTATTGGAAGGAAAGATTTTTGGAGAGGAATGGAAACAAAGAGATCAATTCTTTGAAACTACACTTCCATTCATGATGGATTTGGTGAAACAATCTCCAAACATCTTGGGACCTGATGCATATCAACTGTATGGTCAAGTTCATTCGACCATTATTTCAAACGAAGGATTGTTACCCGTGATGGGAACTTTGAATAGAATTCCAGTTTTGGCAAGACCCAAGTCCAAAGTGATGACATTTAACAAATTAGAATGTGCATGTATACTAGCCAATGCATTTTTCTTAACTTGGCCAAGACTTGCAGATACTCGTGAAGCATCAGTTCAAATGCCATCCATTAATTTTGACACATTGTTTAAGGATTCACGACCTTCCTCAATTGCCAAACTTTTAATGATTATTCACTATTTTGAGAGAATTTCTGCGCGAAATTACAATGAAATTGCAAGTCATGGATCTATGACTGTTATTCGAAAGTGTGTAGATGCACGTCGAGTGAAAGATCAAATACGTCTTGATTCATTCATGCCTTTATCAGATATGAGTGTTCACACAGAAGGATCTCTTGAACAATGTGAAAATGCACTTCATGCAGATTTTGCAAATTGCTACATTGGAGGAGGTGTTCTTCGAGGTGGAGCAGTTCAAGAAGAAATTAGATTTTGTCTTTCTCCTGAAGCTATTGTCACTCGTTTATTTGTTGAGAAATTAGATGATAATGAAGTACTTTACATTTTGGGAACGGAACAATTTTCTGAGCATGATGGTTATGGATCTAGTTTGAAATTTAAAGGTGATTATGTGGATAAGAATTACATTGTGGATGGATTTGGAAATCGTCAGTTTACTTCTCAAATTGTTGCATTTGATTCATTGTATTATACTCACCACGACAAGGTGAATCAGTGGCGATCTGAGCATATTGATCGAGAAATTGTTAAGGCATATGCTGCATTCAGTGTGACACCTAACAGACTGAATGTGAATATTCATACAAAGATTTCAACTGGGTAAGTTTATTGCTTCTTAAACCAATGACAATTTCACACTTGGAACGCAGAAATTGGGGATGGTAAGTATTTTCATTGAAGCTATGGAACGCTCTTAATTGGTGACTAAATAATTCATTCAATTTGTACAGTGGAGCATTCAATTGGTAAGTCATGGCATTTCATGTTGTATATGATGGACCACTCACATTTCAACACAGTGACAAAGAACTTAAATTCCTCATTCAATATTTAGCTGCGTCTATATCACAATGCTCGCTGCATTATTATACGTTTGGAGACTATGAATTAGAAAACAAGATTGAAAAGTTTGTGCATACTATCACTACTCACAAATTTTCTGTGCTCCGTATTTATCAAGTGTTGATCGGCATGTGGAGCTTAGATGTACTTCCCAACTTGGAAACAGAAAACTACTATCCATCCACTTTGAAATTTGTTGTTGAGACTCTTCTGAAGGAGCAATTAGAAGAGTCTCTCCAACAAATGGATGAATCTGACTCACAGTTGTTTGCACCCTCCATAGACTTGTAAAATGTAAATAAAAGCCAGTATATCGTGAGAGAATATTAATTTATACAATATTGGAGAAGTATTCAGTTGGTAGACGTTGAAAAATTAATGATATTGACTGTTGTATGTAAAGACAGAACATATTAAAACCACTAACATTTCAACCACAGCAGTCATGGCTTTGGAAGAGCCTTAATGGTTTTTGCGCTTAATGTTGTGAAGGTGTTGGATTCCACCTGTGAAATCACTTGTACTTCACCACTAGTGTTTCTTTTGCAAATAAATGAATATACTAATTTAAACGTTCCATAAAATCTGCTCGAATATCCAATTTTAAGTCGTTCTAAAACGAGTTTGCATTCGTCGTTTAGCATTGAAAATTGAGCTCTCACAATCTTGTGTGTTACCAGTGTTTCTAGCCGTTTAAACTCAAGTTGATCGCTTTTTCTTGAATAAAGATCTACTTTGAGAAGCAATGTATCTGTAGTTCCAACAACTTGTTGAGGTAATTTTAATCGAACTTGTAGATCCAAGCATTTTCTGTCATAACATATTCCATCTGGAATATCTGGAGAAATGACATGCAAATAGTTTGAGGATCTTGGAGGAAAAACATCTGAACCAACTGCTGAAGCATTCACTTGTTGTGTGGTTGTCAAACGTATGGAACTAGTTTTTTGCTCTTCTGGATGTTGATAGATGGTCATTTTGAATGAAGAACGTTTTGCATGTTGAGGTAATGACATGTGTGATTGTTGTTGTGAAGTGACTTCTTCTTCACTGTCCTCCTCTACGGAACTGTTGTTGTTGGGACAGTTTTGGGAAGATACATTCGAATCGTGAGACATGTCTGTCGAGTTAGAAGGAGTTGTTCTGAACAGGGAGAGTATCATCATTTTCAATGGATGATAATTTTCAATGAGAAAGTTGTACAACGAAATGGCCAAGTTCTGAGCCAAATATGGAAGAAATAATGGAGTGGATAGTGATGACGATTCGTATGAGAGTGGTGTTGTTGATGTCGTTGTCGTACATGTTGTGGACGACATGACATGTTCGGTGCATGTGGTGTTGCTATTGGATTCTTCGCTTTCATATTGGAAAAGCTCTAAAATTTCACTCCAAGAATCTTGATTATCTATGGTTGTTGTTGTTGTAGCATGGTGTTGTGAAAGATGTTCTTCTTCGTCGTCTTCTTGAGTGGAAGGAGCATTGGATTCCATGTCACTCGTGCGGCACAAGCAGTAGTGTGTGGGTATTTTTTTTTGCACGAAATTTTGCTTGTTGGATGAATACTATTTTTAGTAATCTTGTATTCACGTTTCACGATTCATGTGAAAACATCAAAATGTGAATATAAAGATTGAGTGAAGTCAAATTATAACGATATCCTAGTGATATTGTTTCCTTCTCCTTTTTGAAAGTTCTATTACTGGCATTGACACATGTCATTATGTTATGCCATTACATGCATGTGATGCATGCACCAGAGCTAGGTCTCTCCATTCTCTCTTCATTCAACGCATGCAAACTCACATTAATAAATACAATATATTCTCTTGTATGGTATTGTTTTGATTTCAACTGATATTGATGCATGTATGTCTTGAACGTCATAACTTCTTCTGCACTCTCTTACTTGCTGCTTTTGAGCTCAGGGTAGTAAATTCGTTGGTTTCGATTTGTGAGATAATTTGGCAATTATCATCGCCATATTTGTCTGAAATGGAAGTTGAAAAATATGTGAATCTTAGTTTTAGCTTGCCTCTCTCCTTGTTAGTGGAGAGTCCAAGTTTCAAATAAGGTATCTTCAAAAAGTAATAGGTGTTTCTATTCCATTGCTCTCTCAAAATTGTTGCAGTGTGTATCTGTTTTTGTAACTTTACAACCTGTTGACGGCATGAAGTATTCGCATGAGAGCTTGATTTGTCAACCAAGTTTTGTTCGCTCATGCACAATACGTCGGTTTTCACTTGAAATCTAATATGGTTATTTTCTTGAGGAATGGATAACTTGAGTACTAAACCCAGCGATGGTTGATCGTAAATGACATCATCTGGAATATCTTGATGTGACTCTAGAGATAAATATTTTGTGCTTCTTGAAAGAGATGATGATGCATGAATTTGAGTGGTGTCACAATTTTCCGACCTCTTGTTTCCCTCTTGTTTTGGTTCCAATTTGTGTTGTTTGAATTCAAGTGGCTTCACTTTTTTCTTTTTCGTAATATGAGACAATTGGCACGCTTGGTGTGGGATAGAACATGTTGGTGTATCAAAATTGTTGGGACTGTTCTTTCGTTTGTTAGCAGTAGATGCAGAGCATGGTGTTGTGGTGCTGCATGTTGGTGGTGGAGACGGCGAGGGCGATTTCGAAATATTAGCCGAGCTTGCCGTCACGGAAGATCCAAAAGACAATTCTGGAGTTACTGCGCTTGGAGTCAAATCTGTCGTGCGTACCGAAGGAGGCATGTTTGCGGTTAGCACAGCAAGACTCGCAGCATGTAGGGAATGCACAACATTGACAGGTCTCTGCGCTGACATGTCGTACTTTGGATAATCCGTAACATGTTGCAGTATGGAAGGTGTTGTCAACAAAGCAGAGAGGTGTGGATCATGCATGTTCATGTTGGTACCTGTCGACCATTGTTGAATCAAAGCATAAGGAGTGCTCATTAATTGTTGTTGTTGTTGTTGATAATCACCACCGTTCTCATGAGCTATGAATTGAAAATTGGATTTCTCTGCATGCAAATACATGATCAAGCTCTCGACGATTTTCAGCAGTTTGATATCACATCCATTCATGGTATGAGTATTTGTTGCATCTCGGTGAATCTGGAGACCCTTTTGTAATGCATCATTAATGGTGGTGCTATGTTGTTGATTGACACATGTAAACATCTCTTGTGAGTTATTATTTGCAATGTGTTGTTGTTGTACATGAATTATGTTATGATAAGCCTCTTCTTGATGCAAGAGACTGGGCTTGTCATCTTCTTCTTTATGTATCAAACACATGTGTGGTGATGGTATTGCTTCAGCTGTAAGGGACAAGCTTTGTTCGAGAATTGACATACCTTGGTCTGTGGGAGAACACGCTTCGATGAAATGGAGTGGATGATTCTCATCAGAGATTGTGAATGACCATTCAATATCTCATCCAAGAATTGAGACATGGTAATTATATTTGAGCTAGTGAGCGTGATGGTTTTTTTTCGTGTTGGATTTCACCAAACAGGCAATCCTAATGTTGCTTGTCTTTTCGTGGAAACGAAATCGTGCTTCCAAATTCATCTTTGGACTTAAAAATCGTGAATTGCAATTTTCATTCACGCCCCATTCACGAGCCGAAAAGGGCACAGCTAAAATGTTGATTGGCAAGCTTGTTGATAGGTATTTAGTAGTATACCATCGAAACACACTCAAGTGGATGGAAAATCTGTCCCATACAATAGCTCTCCTGTTTCGCCATTCACGAACACGAAAGCAAATACTATCACCAATTATCCATTGTAACTCGATTGCTCTAATTATGTTACGGCCTGATGTTACATCAACAATGTAGGCTCACGAATTAGTATTGCAAACAAGCAATACTCTTCGACCAACAGCTCCAACCAGTTCGTGTCGACCTCATCGCAAAGACGGTATCAAGACCTGCTGGCAAATATTTGTCCGTTTTGAATCTTTACGACCGTCCTTGTCAATATTCTCACCAATACATACTCATCAAAACAAAAACACAATGATCAGCCACTGATTGTAAGCCTAATATGAGTCAACAGACGGAGCGAAAAATGTTATTAAAACTCTTGTGATCGTCATTTTTTGTTGTGGAAATCGAACAAATTTATGGCTCGGGGTTTTTTGTTAGTACGTGGTCACCAGAAGTTGTTGAAACATGCAACAAGATCCATCGTGAAGAGGATGGTTGGAAATTGGCTTAACTTGTTTTCCAATAACCTTCTCCATCACTTCAAGCTCGTATGAGTTAGTTTTTAAACCGTTTAATTAGTGATGTAAATGACATCAGATTCAATGCATGACACACGAGTGCTTGGCAAATGACAACTTTTCAGAGCTGAAAGGAACACACGAGTGCTTGGCAAATGGTGAATTTGTAATAGCTGAAGAAACAAATAGCAGTTTGCTATATTGAAACATGACTGAATAAGGTTAACGATGACTCTCTCATAACGACAAGAAGCAGAACTGTTCGATCCACTGTTTATCCTGATGTCCTTTGAAAGCCATGGCCATTTAGTGGGTGATGTGGTTGCATCCTATTTCGGGCTATCTATCTCTTCAAAATCTACAAGGCAGTAAAAATTACAGCACCCGTCAAATGGTCAATTCGTAATGTTGGCTGCCAGACAACTCTCTCGAATTATTATTTACAGAAACCGGTAGAGGAGAGAAACTATTTGAACTTGTCGGTTGCTGACACAGTGATTAGTAAATCATTCAAAAAAAATGTTTAGAAATACTTTTCAAAGTGGATTCTTATCAATTTTCTATGCCATTGGGTAAGTGTTGATGAGATCTCTCATGAAACAGTGTCATTGGAATGGATGCATGATCATGTGTTTTTCAATTTGTTAAGGAGTAAACCGTTACAGTTGTGGGAAAAACAAGTAAAGAATGGTCACATTAAGAGAATTACAGATCAAGACATTCAAAGCTCTGTTCTGGAAATTGTGGGAATTAATATCAGCACTACATTTATTAACTGTCCTGCTAATCCTAAAAACACATTAGGTATAAAATTACCTTTCCTTGTTATGGTAATTAAGAATGTAAGTAAGAACTTGACACTTTGGATTTCTTACGTAAGAATCAATTCTCATTTCAATGGAAAACAGTTAAAGAAATTCTTTTCATTTGAGGTCCAAGTATTGGACGATAAAAACATGAAACGACGATTCCGAGCATCCACTTGCCAAAGTACAACCCGAGTGAAACCGTTCCTTTGTACCATGCCAATGCGACTGGATGATGGATGGAATCAAATTCAATTTAATCTTGCCGATTTTACAAGACGTGCTTATGGAACGAATTATATTGAGACGTGTCGAGTACAAATTCATGCCAATTGCAGAATACGAAGAATTTACTTTTCAGATCGTTTATATTCTGAGAGTGATTTACCGAACGAGTTCAGATTGTTTATGCCAATTCAAAGATAATTCCAAAAAGCCCAAACAGTAACACTCATTGAATTTCATCAACTTCATTTTAATGCAATTTTCCAATAAAACACTCGACAAGTATGATGACAAATCAAAAAAAGAGCACAAATGCCCACAACAGCATTTATTTGTAGATCTTTGTTTGATCGAATATTCTTCTCTTGGGTGTACGACGATTTGGTTCAGCCTTTGAGAACCATAGTCGACTCGAAATTACAAAAAAATAATGCCAAGCAACCATCACCCTCGACCGATTCTTCAAAATTTAATCCATCATTGAACCCTTTGTTTTCACTAGGAGATCCTTCCGAAGAGAAGAAAAGAAAATGTAAAAAACAGTTTGAGTATATACAGCAAGAAACAGCAGACAGATACGATCACATTGATAATACTCGTGATGATGAATTTATTAATAATAATTTCAAAGAGATGAGTCTAACAAAAGCAGCCATCATTCTCCACAAACTCTTTGGGTGGGAAGTGCTGTGGTTGTCTTTTCTGTGGCTTTGTTCAATGGCTTGTGATACGTTGTCGGTGGTTGTTATGAAACATTTGATGCAAATATTCGAGCGCATGGATGACCATCATGACACCAACAATGAATCAAGTTCACAAACTTCATTGATATACTGGAGTTTCTTTTATATGTCCTGAACTTTATCGTTAAAATTGCAAGCTCAGCTTCATTTCATTATTTAGACTTTATGCGATTTAAAGATAGAAAACATAATGTTGAATGTATGCGAGAAGAGTTTTTAAAAGCCATCTCAAAGATATCATTTATTCAAAAGCAGAAAACGAATTTTGGAAAAGTGTCCACCATACTTGATTCTGACATTAGTACGGTAGCAAATGCAAAGTATGATCTACAAGATTTTCATGCCCATATTGCATATGTAATACTCAACTTTGTCACAATGGCCAATATTATTGGGGTTAAGGCTTCTTGTTCTGGAGTAGCGTTTCTTGCCCTCAGCACTCCAATATACCACCACTTTATGAAGAAAAGGGAAGCGAAACAAAAAGAAGAGATTGGTCTTACAGAAAATAAGTCCAGTTTTATCACACAATTTTTACTATCTATCAAACTAATTAAGGTTTATACTTTAGAAATATTTTTTAACAACAAGATCAAAGATATTCAAGACAGTATTGGAAAAATCAGAACTATTGAAATTGGATATAATTTTCTTATCAATTCTATACACTATACCCAAACAGCTCTATTTTCATCAATTACATTTTTTGTGTTTTGTTACATGGATGGAAACTCATTGAAGCTTAGTTCTGCGCTTTGCGTGATTGAGTTAGTTGACAGTCTCAAATGGCCACTCTATAATCTATCTTCAGATATTCAGGCGTTATTTTCCAAAAGACTGTCCATCGTCAGAATCGGTCAAATTTTGAACAGTCCAAAATACTCATTCCATACTAATTATTTAGATGAAAATTCAAACACAATTATTGAAATGAAAAATGTACATGCTACATGGTCTTTTTCACAACGGGGTGAGTCGGTCTTAAAGAACGTAACCCTGGAATTTGAAAGAGGCAAGCATTATGCTCTAATTGGTAAAATTGGAAGTGGTAAAACCACGCTCATCCAAACAATACTTAATGAATGTCATTTGGTAGAAGGAACAATCAAAACAACTCCAAATTTATCCATTTCTTATGTTTCACAAAACCCATGGTGAGAAGTGCTACCATTCGCGATAACATACTCTTTGGCTCCACAGTGGTGGACGAGAAACGGCTTGAAATGGTTCTCTGTGCTTCAGATTTAAAAAACGACGTTGCACAAATGAAAAATGGTGTTCTGCAAGTGATAGGGCAACGTGGAATTAACCTTAGTGGAGGGCAGAAAACTCGTCTTGCATTGGCAAGAGCATTATACCACAATTCTGACTTGTACCTTTTTGATGATATTTTCTCAGCTCTTGACATTCATACAACCTATAGAATTTTAAACGCACTATTCACAGGAGAAGAACCAATGCTGAAAAACAAGACAGTAATTCTGTCATCTCATCAATTACAATTTCTTCAACATATGGATTCAGTAATTGTCATGGATAAGGGACAAATTGTGGAGCAAGACCATTTCGACCATCTTTGCAAAAAGCTTAACAATCTTCTTCCAAATCAGTCGACCCCTTTTTCAGATTTAATATCGTCTACGGCAACTATTAATGATGTATATGAGAACGGCTTTGTGAAAAACAACCCAAATGAGCCAAATACAACCACCTCTCAAAACAAAGAAAATAATGGGATTATGGACGCCATTGCTAACACAGCTAAAAAACAACCAAAGCCTGTAAACTCCAAACTGATGTTGGTAATTGAGTTCCTTTTCTCATTAGGCTCTCTAAAGAGTGGATCATTCATATTTGCTATTTTGTGCTTGGGAGCACTTGAATACACAATGGTGGTATCTTCAGACGTATTTCTATCCGAATGGACAAGTGACGAAAACTTTCATAACCACTCCTTGGCCTTCTACACGAGCATCTACAATATTCATGGAATACTGATAATGATTGCTAAGTGTGTTAACAAGATCTTGATTGGCAACTTTCTGTATATCCTTGCTGGTATTTGCCAAGAAACTCTTTTGAAAAAATTAGCTGAAGCAAAATTATCTCTGTACGAAGATATGCCTAGTGGTCATATACTGCAATATTTCAGATATATTGATGAAATCAGAAATGATATTAGCTGGAAATTTTATGACCTCATATCGACAGCTTGGGATGGGTTAATAGGAATTGTGATGGTGTTATACGCATTCCCACAATCAGCGTTTCTACTTGTAATACTCATACCGATTACCAATTATTACAGAAACATTCATACAAGTGTGTCAGAGTACATTAGAGATCTTCAACAAGAAACACATGACCCAACCATGACCATTGCGAACGAAATTTTAGATGGATTAGATACCATACGAGCATTTGGGCATGATAAATTTGATTTTTTGATTGAGGAAATTCGTGAAAAAAAGAAACCTAAAACCTCTTTAGAATATTGTTTGGAATTGTTGTGGATGTGGTTCTTTTGGAGAAATACCTTTTTTCGAGAATTTGCCAAATCATTATGCTTACTTGGTGCTTTTTTTGTGTCAACCATGCAGCAGCAAACCATCCTTCTTTAGAACGCGTGGCTCAACCAACCTCAAACATGGCGACTCATGTAAGCCTCCACATTGCTATTTCCTTATTCTATAGAAGATTGAGTTCTCTTATCATAAGTTCATCACGTCTCATAACCACTTACACCAAGGCTACAAATTCATTGGCATGTGTTGAAAAAGTACAGCACTTCACAAACACTATCGAGGAAGAAAACTACTCATACCCAAATCTGGCTTTCAAAGAATTCCAGACCGAAGGAAGTATAGTCTTTCACAATGTGTCAATGCGGTATCGAAAAGAAAACGCTCTGGCTTTGGATAGCATCTCTTTTGGAATCAAGCCAGGTCAAAAGTGTGCCATCATTGGTAAAACGGCATCTGGAAAGAGTTCAATATTCAATTGCTTATTAAGATTCCAAGAAATTGAAAAAGATCTACAAAATTCTAGCGGTATTTATTTGGATGGAATAGACATTCGAGAAATTCCTCTTACTACCCTTCGAAAATGTTTATCATACATTCCTCAACAACCAACCCTCTTTCTTGGAACTTTAAGGGAAAATCTTGATTTCAATTCTTCACTAAGTGATTCTGAAATTATACAAGTATTGGACAAAGTTGGTCTTACTGAAGTGTTACATCACAAAATATTGAATGAATCTTCCAAGTTCGATAATATTCTCGATTACAAAATACTCGATGATGCCAACAACTTTTCGCAAGGAGAAAAACAACTGATATGCCTGGCAAGATGCATCCTAAAAAAGAGCAAAATAATTCTAATGGATGAAGCCACAAGTAACATTGATAATTACACAGATGTTCAAATCCAAAAGACTCTACGTGGACCATTATTTGAAAATTGTACAATCATAACCATTGCTCATCGAATTGCAACTGTGAAAGACTATGACAAAATGATTCTATTATCCAACGGTCAAGTCTTAATGGATGACATTCCAGAAGTTGTATTAAGACAGTTTGAAACACATGTCATGGAGAGAAATAAACATTTCAATGAGACATTAAGACCCTTATATTTCCGTCAATAACAAGGATCGCAACAATGGTGGATTGATAATTCTCCCGAGGCCATGAATCTTGGAACGGACTCCTTAGCAATGAATTCAGTCAACTCGTTAATCTGTTTGAATTCAACGAATTGTTCTAAAAAAATCCGAATCACAAGATCAAATTTTGAAACTCTTTTCATCAAAACACTCGTCATCAGATTTATCATTAAGCTTTTTGATACGTTCAATCAGTTATCTATTGATTGTGGATTGTTTGGAAACTTTGATTTGTGGTAACGGGATTTGTTATCTTTATTCCGAAAATTTAAATAATTTAAAAAAGCCAACACATTGTTGTTTTACTTTTTCATCATCAATGTCTACCACTCCACTCATCATTTGCTATGGCTCGGAGACTGGAAATTCTAAAGCCATTGCTACACGTATCTACAAGGCTTGCTCCGAGCTTCAATTTTGCAAAGATACTCAACTTCAGACTCTGAATGAGTTTGCAACCATCTACAAGCTTAGAGATAGAGCCAAAACCATTAAACAACCAACGGCAACAGATAACACATCTCCACATATTTTGGACAGCAAGGTAAACATGATCATTATTTGCTCAACCACTGGAAATGGAGATGTTCCTCAAAATGCTGATAGTTTTTACCGATTCATCAAGCTCAAGTCAACTCCTGCACAATTTTTCGAAAACCTTTCTTATTCCATTCTCGGGCTTGGAGACAGTAATTATGATTTATTTTGTAATGCGGCCAGAAATATTGATAAGAGGCTTCTAGAATTGGGTGCTGAAAGAATTGGCAGTAGAGCAGAGGCTGATGAGGTCGTTGGATTGGAAGTTTCAGTTGAGCCCTATATCGCCCAAGTTCTTCAATCATTAAGAAAGATTTACTCAACTGAGCATGTGGAAACAGAAAGTAAAGCTAGCATTACTGACAGTGTGGACACTGCTCGTTCACCTCATGGAGCTGGTAACGCTCTCTGTCTCCTCCAAATACACCACCCAGAGCTGTCACGTCCACAACGAATGTATCTTCATCGTCCCTTACAGGTCAATCCTCAATTACTTCTTCGTCATTCAATGGCAATACTGAACCAACGGATTCATTCCCAATACCAAGAAAACTCTCTTCAGGAGGAAAAGATCAACTTGAGGCTCTCTCAACTCTCATTGCAGCTTCTCATTCTTCGCTACAGAGTATTTGACTATTGTTAGAGCTGACAAAATGAGTGACAACGCTCAATCAGATGATTTGAATTATTATAGTTTGAGATTGGAAGAGCTATTTGGATCTCATTGTGACAGCAGTGAAGACAATTTAATCTACGAAAGTGATGAGCATGTACCTACTTCAACCGTTGCTCAAACTCCAACCATTTTTTTCTCTTCCATTCGAGGAGCTCGATATTTGACGACTACTGAGTCATCAAAACAAGTTTTACATTTGGAGCTAGATATGGCTAATGCTCCAATGAGTCAAGAAGCTTCATTTAAGTATGAACCTGGGGACGCGTTGGGAATATTTTGTGAAAATGATCAGGAGCATGTTGACTTGCTAATTGAAAAGCTTAAGGAAAGAGGATCTTTCAAATTATCTCCAAATGATCAACCAATTTCTGACACTGACCCAATCAGCGTCAAATGTACAGATGATTCCAAACGTTGCATTTTCCCAAAACATATTTCATCATTAGAAAATGAAATTGTCAATGTCAGAACTATTCTAACTAAGCGTGTGGATATCATGTCACCCGTAACGGTTCCCATGCTTCAAGTGTTAGCCAAATATTGTTCAAATTTCAGTGAGAAGAATGCCATCCTCAAACTCACTTTCGACACTGCTCTCTATAACACCCAAATTGTTAAGCAAAGGGCAAATTTATTTGATATTCTTTCATGGTATCCTTCATGCAAACCTTCATTAAGCCATCTTCTTCAAGAATTACCTCCTCTTCTTCCTCGATACTATTCCATTTCATCCTCTCCAATTAAGCACCCTGATGAGGCCCACATTGCATTTAGTATTATCAAATTCGAAACACCTCCTCCATATCACACCATTCGTCATGGCTCTTGTACCTCGTGGTTGCAAAATAAGGCGAAAAAGTTTTGGTCCAGCGAAGAGCAAGTTAAAATTCCAGTATTCGTTAAACCTTCACCCAACTTTAGACTTCCTGAAAATTTGAATACACCCATCATCATGATTGGTCCTGGAACAGGTGTGGTTCCTTTCCGTGGTTTTTTGCAACATCGTGAATGCATGCTAGACAAGAAACAGTCAGATGGGATTAATTGGCTCTTCTTTGGATGCAGAAGTATGAAATCTGACTTTTTATATCGAGAAGATTTGAGAGATTTCGAAACGAATAGCTTTGTTAATTTGAACTTGTTAGTGGCAAGCAGTAGAGAGGCCGATTCGGGAGGAGGTATCTGGTATGGAGGCTCTTACATACAGGATTACCTCCGGGAATATGCTGCCAATATCGTAGAAATGATGACAATGAAGAAAGGAGTGTTGTACGTGTGTGGAGATGCGCAGGGTATGGCCCCACAAGTGAATCGAGTACTTCATCAAATCATTGAAGAGGAATGCAACTATACGCCTGAGCAAGCGAAACACGTGGTTTCGGAATGGCAAGAAACAGGTCGTTATCTAAAAGAAGTTTGGAGTTGAACACCTTTGTTCTTTGGTAAACACAACATTTAAATTATTTTCGAATCATCAAACAACTTGTTAAATTATTTCTAAATAAACGGCATTCCGAAAGCCTTGATGATATTATTAACGATGTGAATTTTAATTGAATGACTGCAATGTCCACACCTAGGAGTTAGGAATGTGTATTCAAATAATTTGTGTTGTTTTAATTGTATCATCTTGAATCACACTAGAAATTTTGTTCAAAATTTACTCTTGTTCAGAGGTAAAAGACTTTGGCTCTCTCTCAATATATTCTCTGACTACAATATTTCTTCCTTCAAGTTCACTTCCGTTCAAGGTTTCAATAGCCTTTTGAACAGACTCTGCGCTTTCAAAAGTAACAACACCAGTACCTCTTGGCTTCTTGGTTTCACGGTCTTCAAAGAGTTTAACGAATTTAACGGCACCAACTTGAGAGAAGTGGTTCTTGAGAGCTTGCCATTGAGTGGTGAAAGGAATGTTGGAAACAAAGACTCTTGGTAATTTGTTCATTTTGTGATGATGAGAGGTTTGGTGTTGTTGTGTATTTTTTTCAACAAAAAAATTATCCTTCTACGATAATACAAAAATGGCATGCAATAAATTGATTGAACGCTGCTGAATATTCAAACGCCTAAAAATCGTTCAATAAAAAACCTGAACGCAAATCAATGCCCATAAATTCAATATTTACTCAATGTGAATGAATGACATCGTACAAAATGGATCACCAAAGGGACAGCCCATGCATTGATGATTTGGTTTTCTTCGTTGTTGCTCACCGTAGCCATTCCATATCATGATATTGTTGGCGAGTTCAACAGCTTTGGATTGCATGTTTAGAGGAGCTGTGGTTAACATTTCTAATTGTGTTTCTTGTTGTAAAACCTTGTTGTTAGCAAGATTGTTTGGTTTGGAGAGAATGGCAGATTTGTATTTGATCCAAAATGCACGATCGAATGCTTTCAGTAGGTCATATGTTTGAGGATTGGTACGAGGGAATTGAGGATCTTTCTGCAACAGTAAGTTTACAAATAGGTCTAACTGTTCGTGGGTGTGAAATGATATACAGTGGTTTTGAATTTCAATGGTAGAGAGAGGATCTGGGTTTGAAAACTTGGGAGTGTCACTCTTGCTTCTCTTCCGCGAGTTGTCGTTGGTGATTGGTGGGGTTCCATGATAAGAACTTGTTTTCTCTGTCTTTTTGTTGGAGCCTAGCATTTCCTTAATATTATTAAAGGAGTTGTTTTTAAGACCAAACTTGTCCAAAAATTGGTCGTCCAACTTGATCGTAAGATTGCTGTCACCTCTATTTCGAAGGTTGAGTAAAAATTGATGCATGGACTCTGAAAACACAGGTGTGATCTCTAATGCTTCAAGGACTTCGTCAACTGTTTCATTACGTGTGAATTTACAGCTCTATGTGAAAACCAACAACTTACCAAAATCTTGACAGTTTCCAACAGTTTTTTGTTCCTGCTTGTTTGGCTGGTAGGAGCATGAAGAACGATCACTATGTCTTGCGCTTAGTGCAGACGAGTTCGATGAGGCGGATCCTACAAAATTTTGGGCTACACCTGTGAGCGTAACACTTCCTCCTAGAGGTGGACTTAAACTACTTGGAGTGCTGTGCTCTGGCGTCGATGGAAGTGAGGAGCCGTAAAAGGCGTCTGAAATTCTTCGTTGACCTTCAACAGCTAGTTGAGAAGAAGGGCTTGAGAAAATGATGGACTCCTTTCTCACGTTGTTTCTTGAATAGGAGACTTGAGTATTCCATCTACACACCACTTGGGCAATTCTATTTACAGCTTCTGTTATGGCTGTCCAACCTTTCACTTCTCCAATGTCTATTGAAAGGAGAGCCATTTTGGAAGTAATTTTTCTTGGTATACACAAACCACTGTTCAGGTAATTATACAACGGATACGGTTACGAACGGCCTCATCAAACGATGAAAGAAATACTTACCAATCCGTGAATTCTAATATCCATGGTCCAATTGATATCGAAGAGTGGAAGATTCCATGATTAGGTAGTTTATCCATCTTGGCTAAAATGGGAGAAATAATTTGTCTTACATTCTTTGATGCGTCAGTCTTGAGAGTATCAACAAGGATGAGCTTAACCTTAAACGTAATTTCATCTAACAAGTTATGTTCTTGAATCTCTTCTTCTGGAATTTCTTCATTGTACCCGTCATCACAAGAATGATTAAGCGTTGAAAAAACAGGATCTAAAATTGATGGCCCATAAATGTTTGGGAGAATATCATGACTGGAGGATGCTTCTGAACCAATAGATCTACCAATAGATCTTCTCATTGCCCTATATAAATTTGTGGCTCTGGTAGCAAGCGATGGATTCTCAGTTCTTTCAGGAATGTTTGGAGGAATTTCAGAGTCGTCATCTTCAATGTGGTCAACAGCATCTCCGGTCGACTCAGATGCTTCTGAATCTCTGGGAACAGACGTCACAACAATTCCAGGAATACCTAAAGAATTAGGTTGACGTCTGGCATATCGTTGCCGAATGGCTGCAATGTTTGAAAAATCATCTTGTTGTTTTCTAAGGTTTTCTTTTTCTAGATACTGCAAAACAAAGTCTAGGTTAAGAAAATTGTTCTTGAGTTCAGTTTCATTCGACAATTGACGGACCAATCTGTCTCTGTCGTTCAAATTTTGTAATTTAGCAGACAGTATCTTACTAGACTCTATTTTTTGTAACACGACCATTTCAGGCGTTAGCTCTTCTCGATGTGGTCTTCTAGATCTACTTTGTGTGGATGGAGATAGCGAACCTGAGGGGTGGTATGATGGAGTAGTAGGCGGCTTTGGCTCGTCATCTCTGTCCGAGACAAAGATGGGATTTTGGCTTGAAATATTACCCATGTTGATATTGCAAGGCTAGTCTAGATTGTATGAAATTAGTTGTGATACTATAGCAATAATTCGTGGTGTAAGAGCAAATTGAAACGCTTGCGTTTTAAATTGACTAATCTGCTCAACGGGATAGTTCGGGGTTATTGTTCTTGTTACCTCTGAAACGGTTGAAAATGAATTCAATCGACGTAGGAGCTAACAGTTACTGTTGTGTTTCTTCTAAAGTTAAATGAAGAGTTAGAATATTTGTATCAAAGCAAGAGTGAGGCTCTCTTCTCTCTCAGGCTCTGTGGTGGTTGACCGTAGATGATGGGTGGAGGGAATTATTTTTTTTGGTTGGAATTAATAATTTTCGAATTGATCGATGATGTTTTTAGTTGATGTCTCTCGACAACACTACGCTAAAAACATTCGCACATCAGTTGAGAGCATGTTCTGGCTTTCATTTCAATGGCAATTGTTCATTCCATGAAGTAAATGCATTGATGTGCGCACAGGATCAATAATTTCGCTTTTAAGTCTAATCACAAAGCACCTTGTGTGTCTATTGAGAGATAACCTTTCACCATCATCACGTGCCACAATGTTTCAAACAAGTCCAATACTCGCATATTTGATTTTAGTGCCTCATTTGATTTCAATTTGTATTCAAAAGGTAAATTGAATCCAAATTTAATTCTGAAACATTGCAACATTTGCAGCTCTACCGATTTGGCTCTACTTGTTTCCATTCCATTCTGTATTCAGTTGTTGTAATTTGCCTTGAATAAATGAAATATGAGCTTGAAGGTTTTGTGGAGAGGCTGAGTGTTTAAGGGCAGTCAGAAGTTTTTCATATTCGTTCGTACAGTTGGAAATGGCTTGTTTCTTTGTGTGTGGTGTGGTTGCTTGCCGGGCAAGAGTTTCATGTGTGAAAAGCCATGAATATCGCAATTCCAAATCATAGGGCATGCCTCTAATATAGGGTTCTATGAGTTTGATCGATTCTTCCGCCCTGTTGAGTTGTATCAGAGAAAGATTCAGCATAATAATGATATCTCTCAATTGATCTTCGGTGAGTTTGAATTTTACGTGAAGAATTTCATTGATGGCTTGAAGTGTTTCTTCATACTTTTCTAAACTATATAGTACTCGAATTCTATTGTAGGCATTCACAATATTGTAGGGAATTTTACAGTATAAATCTGACAAGTCAAATGTGGAGCTTGACTTTTTGATGAGTTCCGTATGACCTTTGTTTGCTTTTGGAACCAGCGAGGCAGCATGCAACAGTAAGCTTGCCTTAATGTTTGTGTCAGCAGAAAAGCGAGGTAATTCTTGATCTGGTACTTCGCCTCCAAGTTGTCGATTACGGACAGAGTCAATAATGGAATTAAGTTTGGAAATGACTGTTTGAATTTCAGCTAATTTTTCAAGTTTTTCAGGATGAGCGACAAAGTAGCATTCTCGTGCCAAAAGACCTTGCGCATGAATGTTGGATGGATCAATCGTAATTGCATTCAATAGGTATTTCTCAGCCTCCTTAGGTTTGCTTTCACAGAGTGCTATTACTGCTCTCACAACATCCATGCAAGAATCTAGAGATATCGTCACGCCCGTCTCGAGATCTCTGAACTTGTGGTTCTTGTTTTGGGTCTTCCAATACTCAAATTGGTCACATATCTTTTTCATGTGAGCGAGGGAGTTTTCTTCAATTACAAATGAATTGATTGAGCAAATATAATAACTCCAATAAAACACTGCTTCAAAGAATTCTGCTTCTATTTTGACCGTCTCTGTAGGACTCATGTCATCACTATTCGAAATAACGTGCATTCCCATGGAAACATAGTCCGCAAGATATTGCTGAATAAATTGACAAATGTTAATATTCTCGGCATAGGCAGTGAGAATTGGAGAGGTTTTGAAAGCGTTGAGAAGATAATTAAAAAACCAATCAGGTTCTTCTTCGTCAATATTTTCAGCTTTGGCATACTTGGAGTCTTTCCCGGCAACCACTTCATGACGGATAATATCAACTATAAATGGAGGAACTGTTGGTGTTTCATCATCAATTTCTGACAATCGTTCTCTTTCTCGAATAAGATAGGTTAAAAATTCATCAGTGGTATTTAATTCAATCCATCCTCGTAATCCACATTTCAAACACAATCGGATTGCTCGTAAATACTCTTTCATAAATTGAAGAGAGGGTAAATTTTCACCTTCTGATTGTGATCTACACACGGTACTGAACATGGAGACGAGAGTAAACACATCACTTCCAATCATTTTCTTTGCTTGTTGAATCGTTAGCTTAACGTCTTCATGATGACTGCTCGATAATTCTTTTGAAATAATTTCAGAGACTTTCTTTTCCAACAGCTCAAGATTTTTAACACAAATTTCCATTTCCGTTTCCTCTTCTTTGTTTGTTTCATAATTTTTCATACTTGTGTGATATTGTCGATTCATCATGGTAAAATTGCAATTTTCCTCATGATGCCAGCACGTATGAACAAACACGGGATTTCTTTTCATGTTGAATAAACGAATTTGATCAACATGATGATGAAATCGTACAAAACTACATCCTACACCATCCTTGGATTTTGTCCCAACATGTTTCCGAAATGATGATGGCAAATTCTTCATGATGGATAAAGCCTTTCCATTGAAACAGGGGACCAATCTTGAGAGCATTTTTTTGATTGGTTCATGATGGTTTGCTTTCTTGTTGAATGGAAAAGAAAATCGAGAAATCAAAAAAAAAAATTGTTTCCGAGAGAAATCATTCTTACGGAATGGAAGGCTGATCAAACTACAAATCACACTGAGAATGGAAATAGAGAAAAAGATGTATCACATAATTCTCGCAGAATTTCAGTTGACAACTGGGTCGTTTTGTACAAAAGCGATACTGTGTGAAGCGAGTTTCTTCTAATTGCCAAATCGAGAGGAATCACCAATCAACAAACGTTCATCGTCAACAACAACATGAAATGACCGTCACAATACACTCAACAGCGACTACATCATCATCAAAAAAATGTACCGAATTCTCATCCTGAATCTTGTGATGATTCTCGCCTCTCTGTCCATAGGTAAGCATGCCAAAATGATCAATTTTCACACGTTCGAGCGAGTGAGTTCTCATTTAACATACATGATCCATCGATGATTCGAACTTTATAGTTTCTTCTATGGTGGGAGCTTCTCTGACAATTTTCACACCACTCGAACTTGTTTACAATCAATACATGGTTCAAAACGTTCTTGCAAATCCCAACTTTACACTCACACAAAGTATTCCGAATGCAAGTCCTTTTCAGAATTGGGCTATGGTCTATTCTGGTTCCAATGTTCAAGAAGTGACTTTGGGTGGAGTGCTGAGTGGAAATGCTGTGAAATTTGTCGGAGTTAATAATGGACTCTCCCAAACAGTGACTTTGAATCAATCCACAAGGAAAGTGGTGTTTTTTTCAGCATGGAGTAAGGCAGAGGGAGTTACTGGAAATAAGGATTCTGATTATTCATTTTACATTGATGTGAGATATCAAGATGGTACTTCTTTATATGGACAGAATTTGGCATTTGACGTTGGCACGACGAATTGGACTTACAAGTATGGTTTTATCATTCCCGAGAAGCCAGTCAAGAGTATGAATGCTGTTTTATTGTTTAGAAATGGACATACTGGAACTGCCTATTTCTCTAATTTGGTTATTTCTGAATTGAATATTGGAGCTGATCAGGTTCAAAACTTTGATCGAGTGGTGATGGCAAAATTTCCCAATTCAGTTGCCTTGGGCGCTATTCATACATTGAGCACTTCGGATAACCTCTCATTGAGATTTGACAAGTCCACTGGTATGATTGCTGGTGTCACCATTGACAGTCAAACGGTGGCATCTGACAGCAATCAAATTTATGGAGGTGTTTTTATCAAGGACATGCAATTGAAATCTAACGAATCCAATGTATATATGCCCTCTCCAAGTAAGGTTATTACCACTGCTAATACCTTCAGAACAGAGTCCTATCTTTCTGAATTAGATCTTTCCATCAATACAACCTTTAAGGCAGATGTTGACATTTCAAAAACAATTTCCATTCGAGTAGATGTTGAAAGCAAGAGAAATTCTATGAATAGAGCTCTCTCGGTCTATATTGCAATTCCTGTGAGTAATATGAATTTGGATTGGGTATGGGGAGATTATCTTCGATCTTCGAGAGGAATTGTTGATTTTTATCCAAAAGAGTTTAATCGAATGTCACAAAGAATATCGACCAATCAGTATACTTCATCCACTCCATTTTGGGGAATGTCAACAAATTTGACAAGCAACAATGTTGGATTGGGATTAGGAATTCCATTAGATTCTCCAAGAGTTGTTCGATTTTCATACAATGCTGTTTGTAAACTATTCTATGCCGTCATTGATTTAGGTATTTCACAACTGCCATCTGCCATTACAAATAAGGCTTGGATTGATTTAGTTCTCTACAAACTCGATAAGACTGAGACCACCATTGGAAATGTCAAAACACCTCTTCCATATCCAGCAAGAAGTGCAGCATATGGATACTATTCGAGATTCCCTCAATTCTATCAACGAAGAATTTCTCCAGAATCGGAAGGTCTTTGGGTTGCTTTCAGTGACATTACTCCCATTCCAAATATCACAGATTTTGGAATCTCTGTTCATGAAATAGCTTATGGAAGTTCTCCACGACATGCCAATTTTGGAAAACAAAAAGGAATCAAAGTATTTCGATATTTAACAGAACCTTTCTCTTCATGGGTCTCGCTGAACTCGACTTCGCTAGATCCCAATAATTACACACAAGTCATTGATTATTTGAAAGCACAAGCAGCAAATCCAAATTCACCTATTAAAACACAAGCTCAATATACACTAGTGTCTGGAATTAAGGATCCTGATACTGGCTTGTATCGATACACGAGTGAGAATAAGCCATGGTGTCCTGTCAAGTGTGCCTTATTCGATTTAACTCCGTTGCCAAATGTCAAACCAGATGACTCTCTTCCAAGTAATTACATCAGTAAGGCAGATAATTCTTGGAATTCAAATGTCATGAGCGATCATACCAATCCATTAAGCTCCAATTTCAATCTAAGCGGTGAATATTTAGATTCATTCCCAGCCAATGCCTATCTCCTCGATTACACTCCTGATCATGTGAAAGCTGTTTTACAACCAATTTTATCATTTGACGCCACTCGACCACAATTAGTAGGAGTGGTTCAAATTTTTGCAACGTATTACTTTTCTAAAAACATTGGAGATTTCTTACATTCGATTGGAAGATACTTTATGACGAATGGGGCTTCTTCGTTGGGAGTTTCTTGGGGAAGTGATTTATTTGATTACACAGGACAAGAAATGAAATGGGTTTCTGGAGGAAAGTTTGTACCATATGTGGATGAAACATTGTGTTTTTCAAGATCGAATTTTAATCAGAAACCATATGGATATTTAATGAATATTGATTATACCTTGTTGACAAGAGACATTATGGAACAATATATGCAATACGTGACATTTTATGGAATTTATCCAAGTGCATTCTCAGGAGATGCTAGTTCTAATCCATTTTGGTCTATTCCAGCTGCGTATGAACCCAATCGAGATTTATTTATGAAATATGTGCCACTTATTAAGAAATTGAATCGAAATGGATGGCAAGTCCTGACAGGTGTCAAGGGATTTGTGAATGGTGTTGAAAATGACGTGGTTCAACTTTCACCAACTCTCATAGCTCCTCCAAAAGTATTATTTGAAAGATTTTCAGTACTTTCACTCTCTCAAGAAGTTTATATCACTGTCATGATTACTCAACCCGTATATCATTCAAGAATTACATTGTTACTTGATTTGGATATGGTTTCAAATGGACAACTCAAAGCCAGTGATATTAATTGTAATTCCATTAGTGCATACTCACTCATGACCAAACAAAACTTGACCATTGTGAAAGACGGTTCCAACAATAATTGTACCTATTTTGGTGTTGAATTTATGGCCATTCCATACAATTCGACTTGGAATCAATATACAGAAGTCATTGCATTGAGTGTCACGGGTAAACAACAACCACTTCCTTCACCCATTCCTTCAAAACCAATGGGTAGTAGCAAGCCTAATAATTCTACGAATCGACCTGATCGATCGAGAGCTTTGAGTGAGAGTTCCAAATTTGGAGGAGTTTGGAGTGGATGGATTTTAGTATGCATAAGTGTAGTGATCATGGCTGTCATTGGTGTTTGATAAAGTCTAGTCTATACTCGTGAATGAATGGTTGAAAATCATCTGACAGCTCATTACTTCATGTGGTCTAACAGCAAAGACGTTCACCAATATTGGTTCCAGTAATTTCTTCGAGTCCTTCGTGGCCAATATTGTCGTTTAGACCATTTTTCGCAATGAATTTCACTTAACACTTGTTCAGCTTGCTCGAAGTTGTCTTCTTGGCTATCATATTCCTCTTGATCATCTTGTTCCTTATTCACCTGTCTTTCCTGATACAATTTGGCAAACTTTTGTACAGTTTGAATAATCACTCCAGAGCTGTAATAGTGATAACGTTGGAGCATGTCACTGTTGTTCTTTTGGGACAACGTCGATCATGAAGCTTGGAATCACGTCTTCCTAAATAATTGGTTTTGGATCCCAGTGGAAGGCAATGCTTAAAGAGAAACCTTAAATAATTTCGTGGTGAGGTTGCAATGGCTGTAATGGCTTTCGTCTTCAGAACTTTGATCAAGTCAGCTAACAAGTAATATTGTCCATATTCGATGAGATCAAGACTGAATCGTTGCAAGTCCATCTCATTGGATATAAATTCAGGATTTGCTTTGAGGCATTTGAGGACTATGTTGTGATGATGACATTCAAGATGTGTATTAAGAATGTCCAATCCATATTCATGAAAGAGATTGTGTCGACGAAATAGGGCCAGGTGAAACTCATTGCATTGATTTGACACCCAATCTCTTTGTGCTTGTCGTTCCTTCTTGTTCATTCGTTCCAACAAGTCAAGTGCCACATCATAATTGGAACATTGAAAATAACTAAAAATTGAGGCAAAGTTGTTCACAATCACTCGTCTTTCTCTTCTCTTCTTCCAAAATTGAAATAACAGAGAAGGGTGATCTGCTAAAATCGTGGGCGATGCATCGACAATGTCATGAAAATATTGTGATAGGTCCAGATCTGGAAGAATGGTATCCAGAAGAGTAAATTTTCCTTCAGAGACTAAATATTCAACAATTTCAGAGAGTACGTCTTGCACTTTGGGATGTTGCATGAATAGTGGCACTGTATCAAGTGTGGTTTCATGATGGAGCGAGCAATGAAATTCTCTCGAAGTTAGAAAAGTACAAATATCAAAACTTGTGACATCTAAAAAACCAAACACGGTGTACATGACATCTACGCGTGAATGTCGGAGAGCTTGTTGCAAGATCTTAAACAACTGATCCTGAGAAAAAGACTGGTGAAAGTTATTGAGCAAAGACAAACAAGAATATTCATACTTCTCGAAATTTCTTTCACAAATATCAAGACCTCCGGAAGCAAATGGTTGAAGGAGTTTAAGACTATGGATCAATTCGTTGAATAAGCGACAGGACTTCATGCACGAAAAGAGATCTCTTGGCTGTAAATATTTCAAAAATTCAAAACACATGTCGGGAGTTTGAGCCAACCTCGAACAATCCATGACTATTAACGGTTCATATTGTTGCACAGTTCGAGGGTGAGACAAGTATCCACACATTTTTTCTTAACTAGATCTTTCGATTGTTATGATTCGATTTGTCTCAGATTGTTAGGCTTTTTCGGTTGGGAATTCCCAACTCCAAATGAAGAAAGCTGCTTAAAAAGATGTTTTAGGGCTGTGTTTATGTTGGTGAGCACATAGAGAGCAGTGTTATGACAAGCGTTTGAAATGAATAAATTCTGTCCTATTCACTTTCGTCTTTTGTTAGCGTTGAATTAATACGCACTCTGAACTTTGTAAACCATTCGCACAAATTTATGCTCACGCACCAGTCGCCCATTTTAAAACTACAAAATAGGCCAGAAACGACAAAAGATCAATCGAAACAAGTTTAAAAAAACATCATTTGATAACAGCAATCGTCTTGGAACATCAACAATGAGTAAATTGATTGTCGTCGTAGGAGCTACTGGTAAACAAGGAGGGAGTGTCATTAAGCATTTGCTTAGTAACACTAAGAGCGGAGAATGGAAGATTAGAGGTCTCAGTAGAGATACAACCTCATCAAAGGCAAAAGAATGGGCTCAACAAGGTGTCGAGATGGTTTCATGTGATTTAAGTAACAAGAATGATCTTGTTCAAGCTTTTAATGGAGCTTATGGAGTTTTTGGTGTAACTACTCCCACTTGGGGAGTGGACAATAATCAAGAATTTGAACACGGAGTCAACATGATTGAGGCTGCAGTTCAGAATAAGGTTCAGCATTTTGTTTTCAGCTCTTTGGATGATGTTGAGAAAGCCACTCATGGCAAGTATCATGTTCCTCATTTCACTAACAAGAATCGTGTGGAACAGGAAGCAAGAAAGAGTGCCATTCCGTTCACTACCTTTGTGTATCCACCATTCTATGCTGAGAATATTCCATTCATGATGTTCAAGTTGAATCAGGACAAGCAGAGCGCAGCCATCTATTCGGGAGTGAGCCCAACACGAAAGTTGCCAATCTTTTCAGTGGATGATATGGGAATTGTTGTCTCTCAAGTGTTCCAACATCCAGAGCAGTACAACAAACATAATATTATCGCAGCTGGAGATTTTGTGACTTTCCAAGAAATGGCTGAAATTTGTTCCAAGGTGTTGAAGGTTCCAACTCAATATGTGGCTTTGGATGAAGAAGTTGTTAGAAAGCAAATGGGAAATGAGATGAATGACATGTTCCATTATTTTAGTCAGTATGGCTATTATCAAGCAGAGAATGAGAAGGAAGAAGTTGAAAAAGTTAGAAAGTCATTCCCCAGCATGTTGAACTTTGAACAATTTGTTGAAAAGAACAAACAATTCTTTTTGAGATCTTCCCCATAATTATGGAATTAGCAACTATTGACGAGTGTGGAGAGTATGAGTTGAAGAGTAAACAAACATAGACGTTCTCCAATTCTTCCTCTTGTTAAAAACATGCTGTTATTTCGAAAGTAAACAAACTGATCCAATGGTTTTGATTCGGTGAGGAATAATTTAATCTAAGGGTAAAAAACAACCAGTATGAGCAGGGTCTCCAAAGGGACATGCCACTACCGAATAATAATGCTCTCGCTTCGAGTGATCGTTATCAATTTCGTCTAATTCAAACTCGACCATCTTTTTATCGTTGCCGCCATGAGTATGCATCGTTGGATCTACACGAAATAGAGGAAGAAACATTTCATTCCAAACAGGCGTTGCATCTTCATTCTCTGGTTTTGCATTCTCATGTCGATCTCGTAAATGGCCCATCCAATAACCTCGGTCAAATGCTTTTAGTAATCGGTAATCATAGGGATGCTCCTCTTTGAACTTGGGGTGTTTCGAGAGAAGGTGTGAAACATATTCATCAAGATGTCTATGCGACGTGAAGACTATTTTCTCGCTTGTGATAGGATTTTTGAACTCTCTCTCATTGATCAACTTTCCATTTCTTACCCTTCGCAAGTAGGATCCTAATTGACCTTTCATGATAGATGAAAACTCCAGATCCAGGGCATTAATGCAGTCTCTTACGAAATGATGACAGTTGCAACTTCTATTATTGTACACCATTTTAGTGTTGTACTCTGAAATCACGTAGCAAAATTGTTTGATTTTGTCCTGGTCACACTTTTCCTCAATATCCAATTCTCCAAGTTCTATAGCTACGTTGGGATTGGCAGATTTGATGGGCGTTAAATGGACGAGTCCATCATCGAACCAATGTACGATATGTTGACCTAACAGCACAGCTACATGTACTAGACCAAATCCAAGTGTTTCTCCTTCTTTCACCCTCAATACATTGGACACCACCATGGTTTTGAGTTTGCTTTCTGTCCACTTTTGAATATTGATCACTGCAAGATTGACTTTCAATTTCCGAACCTCTCCATTTTCATCAAGCAATTTTTCATACAACGTCTCAAAATCAAAAAAGCATTCCTCAATTAATTTCGGAGATGAATATAAATTATAGTACTGAGTGATTTCCTCTTTCGTGAGAATATCCCCATAAATTTCTTCTAATGTTTTTTGAAGCTGATTGAGAGGTAACGATCATCATTAATTGATGAATATTAAAAATTTCAACCTCAATCAATAATTGTTTTTAAAAACGTTCCGAAACCTACATCTTTCTTCCTTCGTTGTTTTGGACGTTTCCTCTTGGTACGAACCGATGTTTGAGAGCTTTGGGACACTGCGCTTCCCATTTTATGATGATGTTATATGTTACAAATGATTTGTTGTTGTTATGGTGCTCTTAAGAGAGAGATAAATCTTTGGAAATGATGATTCTCCCAAAGAGATATCAATTGAAATGCAATGATGAGTTATTTACAACAGATAATGACAATATGAAAGGGAATCTTGATTCCGAACCTCGCTGTTGCTCAAGCGATGAATCTTTTTTTCCTTAGACCACAAAAATAGCCATGAAAGGCTCTCAACTGGTAATGTAAGAACAATTGTTATTTCTCAAGATTTCAAAGAGCAAAGTTGAAGATGAAACATGTGCAGCCTCCCATTCGAATCCAGCTGAGCGATGGAACAGACAATTAAGAAGGAAATTTCCTTTATATTTCTGTTTAGACAATTATGGAAAATTTATAGTATCAAAACAACCTTCAAACGATTGACCTCTGGAGAATTTCAATCGTTTTCAAATGAAAGATTCATCCTTCCATGATCAAACCTCTACATCATCTCCTGCAAACAAGACCTTAATTCCACTCGACACTTCAAAGGTTTCTCTCGTGTAAGTTTGCGGATAGTGTTGAAAAGTTCCATGATGCACCACGAACGTTTGTTTTGGACGAATACGTTCATGCATGGCTCGAATATGTGTTTCACCATTCGTTATGGGTCCCATTACTAAATGCAACAAAGAGCCAATGCCATATGGAATTCTTTCGACAGTGGCTTCACCTCCATTCGTAATGATGAAATCCAAAGGAGCTGAAAAGAGTTCATTGGTATCTTGAAGAATATTTTCTTCATTGAAAACATGATCTCCCGTGACATAGAATCGAGTGGAAGAATTCGAGCTTGTTATCACGTCTTGATTGGAAGAACTGGGTGTATGACTGTTCTTTCCATAGACTTCCTTCAACTCGACTAAATAACCATTTCCATTACCTCTTGGAAGTATTGAACCAAAGAATTTAGACTTTCCATGAAAGGCATGAACCGCACGAATCTTGACATGAAAACCATTCAAATCTTCAAATTCCACTTCTTGTTGAGGAGAGAGCCAATGCACTTGTCGATCGCCAAAAGACGTCGACGTTTGTTTCAAAGCTTTGGTCAGTAACTTCTCAACTCCAGGATGAGCCACAATAATAGAGCTTTGTTTTCCTTTGAGAATCTTTTCCAAACCAAATTCATCCAAATGATCGTCATGACCATGGGTGAGCAGCCAAATGTCCACATGCTCCAAATCTGACTCGCTCAACAAGGAAGGAGCTTGAAGACGTTGAGTTTTGAAAATGCCATAATCTTGAACGTGATCTTTGGGGCACAAGACTGGATCACAACCAATGGCAATGCTTTGAGATACATCGAGGGATGCAGAGTTGGATTGCTGTTGTTCAAAAACAAAAGTCGCACCACCAATGGCACGAACATGGCGTGTGAAATGCATTTCAGAAAGGTTATCTGTGTGTTATTGGGAGTTTAAGAATTAATTTCTTTTTTTTGAATTTGGCTTTGTAGTATCAAGAATTTATTTCAAAGGTGATATCTTCCTTTAGCAACTGGAAGCGAGAGCCTTTTTGATCCATCCAGAATGAGCTAAATAGCGAGGATATTGTCCTTCAGTTAGTGTCCTTTCGCCCTGCATGACGGGCACGAGTCGCTTATTCGTTGATCTATTTTGCAAGACATGCATTTCGATCCGACATGCGAGCGTATTAGGATGGCGGAAGGTCAATATGCACATTTTTCATCACGACATACATAAATCATGAACTGAGACGGTAATTAGAGAACCCTCCTACTACTAGTAGGGTTTTCTAGCTAGATAACTTGAAATTGTCAAAATACGAAAAGATTAAGGAAAGAAGAACAGACGAACAATGGTTTAAAAGGATAGCAAAGCTAGGTTTCGATCCTAGGACCTGTGGGTTATGAGCCCACCGCGCTCCCCCTGCGCCACTTTGCTTTACATCATTCATTAATAAATATTTTTATTTCTTCATCTCAGGTTTGAAATATTTCTATTTTTGTGAAACACAAAAAGTGGGCCTTATCACATCATTTCTGCAGCTATACCAGACTTGTTCATGAGAGGCAACATAAAGGATATAGAGCTGATGGGGTTAATTCATCTATTGAACGAGTTTCATCTTGACAAATCTGCCAGCTTTAAATCACAACAAATAAATTGGGTCAAAGACCCAAAATTGTAATCTTCATTCCTGCTCGTTGGTCGCAGCCAAAAAAAATAACTGAACTTTCCATCATTATCCCACACATCCTTTTCATCCGTTTTAAAACACCATTGAAAACACAGCAGCTGAACCTACAATTCATCATAACTTATCATGCTCTCTCTCAATACATCCCGATCATTGAGAGCTGCTTCTCAGTTCATGCAACACAAGAGTAAAGGCTTGCTGTCGATGAGTAGTTGTTCATCAGCTTCATCATGGCGTTCCTTCTCAACCACTCTTGCAAATTCTATGAAAGTTGTTCATCCAAATTATGTACCACCATCGGATCAAAGCAATAATAGCTCGGCTCCTCTGGAAGAAATTCAATATGTAGCACCCGATGAAGATGGTAGTTTGGCATCTCCCTCTCATGTTACGTTTTATGATATTGAAGAAGCCTTTGCTAGAATTCGTAAGTTTCTGAAATGTGGATTCGTTCATTGCCATCAACAAATCATTCATTTAAAAAATTGACCATCATCAATGTCCAATACACATGATGACGTCTTTTAAAAACGTTCACACAAAAAAGGACCTTTGCTTCCTCCCACTCCATTACAGGAATCAATGGTTCTCACACATGAAATTTTCGGAAGTCAAAAAGGAATATTGCATCCAAGAAAAGTACATTTAAAGTATGAGAATAAGCACATGACTGGTAGTTTCAAAGAAAGAGGTGCAATTAACAAATTAGCATCTTTGACTGCTGAGCAAAGAGAACGAGGTGTTGTGGCATCCTCTGCAGGAAATCAGTAAGTTTATTGAAATATTTCAGAAATTCCTGACATGACTTGTCACATATGACATTTAATAGTGCTCAAGGTAATTATCGTGTTTTTCTTAATTTTGTACCTTACCAAACGAAACTGCATTGTTTTCATTCAAAACAAAATTGACATGTTTTAAATTTAATTAATTGTATGACCCATGAACAGCTGTTGCATATCATGCAATGAGACTTGGAATTAAGGCAACTATTTGCATGCCAGAAAACACTCCACTTGCAAAAGTGGCAGGAACAAAAAGATATGGAGCTGAAGTTGTTTTAATCGGAGAATCAATTGATGACGCTTATCAAGAAGCATTGAGAATTAAGGATGCAGAAAATAGAGTTTTGGTCCATCCTTTTAATGACAATGACATTATTGCCGGACAAGGCTCGCTAGGTCTTGAATTATTGGTAGGTTTGTTTGACATGTGAGTTCAATATGTACGATCATTGACAATTGTTGTCTCACTTATCATCCTATAAATCAAAACAATAGGAACAATCACCATATATAGATACCATTGTGTGTCCAATTGGAGGTGGAGGCCTCATATCTGGCACAGCCATTGCAGTGAAAACAGTCAATCCAAAAATTAAGGTTTATGGTGTTCAAACTGAGAACATTCCATCCATGATCACAGCTAAGAAGGAAAGAAAAGCCACTATGGTTCCATTCAAATCTACCATTGCTGATGGTATTGCTGTGAAACGAGCAGGAGATTTAACTTTCCCAATTGTTGACAAGTATGTTGATGACATTGTGAGCGTGAGCGAAAGTGAAATTGCACATGCAGTTCTAGTGTTACTTGAACGAGAAAAGACACTTGTAGAAGGTGCTGGAGCTACTGCAGTTGCTGCTCTCTTGTCTGGAAAGCTACCTGAAATTACTAAACCAAATAGCCCTCTCACCGTGTATGTGTAGTTCTTTCTGGAGGAAACATGGATATTGGTACAGGTAAGTATGAACAAAACAATGATGTTCTTTTTATCAATGAAATTTCTGCCTTATCTCATAATTCTTGAAATCGTGCTATCCTATAATCATAGTGAGGGATATCATTGACAGAGGTTTGGCACAAAGTGGCAGACTTGTTAGAGTGAGAGCTGTTGTTCCAGACGTTCCAGGTCAATTGGCTAAGGTTTTGACACTACTCGGTGAATTGAAAGTTAACATTAGAGAAGTTGACCACGAGAGAACTGAAAATGTTCCAGTCGGCTTCACAGCAACAATTATTACATGTCAAACCAAAGGTTTTGAACACATTGAACTCGTAAAGGAACAACTCAGTAAGAAACAATTCACTTTTGAAATCCTCACTGCTCACGTCATTTAAATTATTGAAATCACACCTCTCAGTTTTGAAGTAACAACAATTTCAAATAAACGTTAAAAAATTTCGCTTAATTTTCTCAAATATTATTAACGAATATTTATTTAATTCCAAGTGCAATGTGGACAATTGTAAGATAAATATTCGATATTACAATAGAAAGAATCATGCAAGGGAAACCAAGCTTCATGAATCCCACAAATGACATTTTGTGACCCTTATTTTCACAAATTCCTGCTGCTACCACGTTTGCTGATGCACCAATTAGTGTTCCATTACCTTGTTTCATTGTTACAATGCAGCATTAAACGAAATTAATTGATTTCAAAAAAAAATAACTCACCTCCAAGACATGTTCCCAAAGCAAGAGCCCATAGAACTGGCCTAATCGGTAAATTGGTTGGAGACTCTGCTAACTTTAAAACCACAGGAATCATAGCGGTCGTGTATGGAATATTGTCAATAAAAGCAGAGACTATCGCAGAAACCCATAACAATAATGTGATAGCCACAAACAATCTCAAGTCACCTGCAGGAACAAAACTAATCACACTCGAAGTCAAATCTCCAATATATTCAATTAATCCCAATTGTGACAATCCCTCCATCAAAATAAAAAGAGATCCAAAAAAGAGTAAAGTAGACCATTCAACTTTTTCAATCACTTCATCCAATTCGTCAATACCACTCAATAACAGCATGATAATGGCTCCAATCACTGCAATTTCTGCCAATCCTACATGAACATATTCATGAATAAAACTCTCTAAAAAGAAGAAAATAATTACAATGACTAAAATGATGCAACAAATAATAAAAAGTCGAGGATTGTGAATCGAATATTGTTGAGAGAGTTTGGCAAGATCTTTTGGAGAGAGTTGAGTGTTGGTACTGACTCCTTTCTTTTGTAAATATTCTTGCAATTGAGCTTTCAAGTTGACAATATGATGTTGTAAACTTTCCTTAACCATGTTTTCTTCAACTCCATTTCCTTGAGTCTTTTTAAGAGTATATTCCCAAATTTCAATTTCTTTTTCTCGTTGAATTCTCTCATTATCTACTTGAGGAGCTTGTTTGAATAATTTCCAATTAAGAAGTCGACTGGAATGAATGTGAAAAATGCTACAATCAGAGCACATGGAGCTAAAAATAGTGAAATATCTACGAAACCAATTTTTAGTGCCTTGATACCTGGATGGTTCACAATGATGACGATTGGTGGGTCTCCTGTAATAATGTCATTGAAAATTCAGTATTCCAAATATGGTAAATATTTCACACACACACATGAAATAGTGAAATTTTCACTTACCAATAGCAGTGGCAGTTCCTCCAATATTGGAGAAAATAACTTCACTAATAATAATAGGAATGGGTGAAATATTCACAACTCGACACAATCTCAACGTCACAGGCGTTACCAACAAGATGGTCGTGACATTATCCAAAAATGCAGAAACAAATCCTGTGAACAAGCATAAAATAATGGTCAATCTCCAGACCTTTCCTTTCGATAGTTTGTAAGCCATCAATGCTGTCCATTCAAAAAATCCTGTATTTGAGAAAATTCCCACCATAATCATCATTCCAAACAATAATGCAAGAGTATCGTATTCCATCCATTCACAAATTTCTTCAAGAGTTGGTTTTCTATTCACAAGAGCAAGAACAGATAGAACCAAGAATGATCCTACCATACCAGCCAATGTTCTGTGAATTAATTCAAACACAATCAATACATAGACAAATAGTAAAACTAAGGCAGCCAATAATACTTGATATCTTGCTAAATTAGGTTGTTGTTGAAAATTGACTCGAATGGTGAATGAAGATGTAATATTTTGTGGAAAATTTGTTGAAATGAGTAATCGATAGGTGACATTGTGTTTTTCTTCCACAGTCAATTCTGAATAATCAGTGTAAAAGGTGTGTTTGCCTTTGATTTCTTGAATTTCAGATTCAGATTCATCAGCACTGTGAGGTTGTTCTGGATTGGTATGATTATCGTGAACAGGAACAATGGTATCATTCATCAATGACACAAATTCCAATGTATAGGTTTGATTCGCAAGGTTGATAAAAAGTTGGTGATCCTCCTCATTCATATCATCAATGTTGAATGATTTTTGATAAATTAAATTTGCAAAAGAATTTCTTTGTAGTTGAAAATCTAATTTCCAATCTTGATTCTTCTTTTTTGAAATGGTTTCCTTTTTCAAGTCATAGATGAGCTCATTGCCAACAATGGGAATATCCACTTGAATGGTTAATAAATCTTGAGGACTGTCATGTGAAAATTCAATGAATTTGGTTTGATTCTCTCCAATAGAAATATAATGTAAAGTTTCATGATTAGGCACTGAATGGAATAAACTGAAAATGATCGCAAAAGCAAGAAATGCAAGAGAAAGAATGACAATTTTTGAGGTCCTAAACGAAAATTTCACAACTTCTTTTTTTGTCATTCTCTTAAAGTTTGGCAAAATTGGTTTCTTGATGGGAGCTCCGTTTTTAAAAGTAACCATGTCATCTTCTTCACCTCCGCTCTCTGTTTCAGCATTGGCATCGTGGAGTTCATGGTCTTCTGTTTTTTCTTCCATGTTGCTGATTATGGTTTGAGATCGTTGATCGAGAACATCTGGTGATATCATGTCATCAATTATAATGGTCGTCATTGAGATCATGTATTATTTCATGAGAAATTTAAATACATTGAAATTATTAATTTTTAATTCATTTCAAAGAATTTTCGGAAAGTGAAATGGTATGAGTTTTCAAAAATTAAACTTGTTCACACACGTACCATTCGGCAGTTGTTGTTGTTGTGAATTTGATACTACTGGTGTTGTGTTGCTAATGTGGTACGAGGTACTACTACCCCACCACCACCACTCAGTAGGTACTCTCGTTCTTGAGTCATTTTTCACACTCGATGCAGATTCGGAACACCCCTAGATTTTTATTGATTCACACATTCGTTGAATGACATCATGTGCGTTGCTTGCCCTATGGTACGATTGCCATGAATGTATATCACTCGCACCGCAGGATGGATGATATTCATGTTCCTCTCAGTAGTGTTATGTATGCCATATCCACATTAAAGTTGTCCACATGATGAATGCATCTTGTTCATTGTACGCTTCCGAATGTTCTTACTTTACCATTTGATTTTCTGATGTTTGAGGAGCACCATTAATCCATGAATTTGCCACGAAAAAGTCATGAATTTTCTTCACTTGATCCTTATCCATGTCACTAAGTAACTTGCAAGCAGCACTTTTGCTGACAAATCCAGTCAGTAGAGATTCTCTTGTCAAGGTGTCCTTAATAAGCATGTATTGCCTAGGTAGAATGTGAAGCTCTGAGCACAAGATTCTTTCGCGTTTCGAGAGTAGCTCCATCCCTAAAGTGTTGGTGTCTTTTGGAGTTCCCATTAGATGATCAAAATTGCGCCTAGAAGTTGGCACTTTTGGAGTTGCTCCTTCTTTAGCTTTTTTAAATTCTAAATCTGCCTCTCGTTTCTTGTTGTCAGCATCATAGGTTGCACATTGAGAGAGTGAGGTGAGTCCATTTGCTCTATATTCTTTCAATTCTTGAATTCTAGTCCTAATCTTTGTTTCTTGAATAATACCTGTCATGAACTCTTCGAATTCATCTTGATTATCCAAAAATCTTGCAAAAGGTCTGTACTTTTGATACAATTCCTTTTCCATTTTCGTTCTCTTTTTCTCGATGGCACTAATCTTCTTCCAATCAACAAGTTGTCTCTCAATAGCAAACTTTCTCCTACGTTCTCGTTCGCTCAATCGAAATTCATAGAGCCTTAATAAATTCAACTTGCGTTCTCTTTCTTCAGGAGAATCTTCTTCATCAATCTCAATCTCAGCAATCAATTCCTCAGCTGCATGATCATAATCCATGTCAAAATCAGCTCGCAGAGGTAAATAACCAACATCAATTCCTTGTTGATAGGTATTCTTTTTTTGACCAACAATTTGAGGTTCTCTCGACAAGATGGTTCCCATGACAAATCTGGGATTTGCTGATCGTTTCAAATTCTCCTCAAATATTTTCTTTAAATCGATTTGTGGAATGTTGAGTTCCTTCTTGATGGACATTAACACACCATCATCATCTTTGCGAATGTCTTTTTTGGTCATGACTTGATTCTTCTCGATAACCAAGGGTGCTGATGGATCAGGAACAGGTATGTATTGTCCGTCATCGTCAATATTTTCAGTGTAAAGCTTATCTAGGAGTGATTGGAAGTCTTCTTGTGGTTGAGAAATGTTGTTGTTGTTCAAAGTTGTACTCGTTGCTGCTGGCTCTGATGAAGAGGGAGAGGCTGAGGGTACGAACGACCCAGCCGAAGATGATGATGTCGATTGCTGCTGTTGTTGGTAGAGTGCTTGCTCCCGTTTCAACTTTTCAATCATGGCTTTCCTCTTTGCGATGGGCTTGTCCACGTAATAGGTCCAATAGTGAATTTCGCAATCATACTTGCTTTTGGTCTTTCCTACGTGTTCAGCAATGTCGAGCCAATTGCCCAAACCATTGTGTGCAATACCTTCGAGAAGTAATAATTCCTCTTCCGCTGTCCATCCACTCGAGATGAGAGCCGTCCGAGAGAGATTTGGCTGTACCTTGTAGGCATGATCATTCTTGTGTTGTTGAGTCTCTACACCGACGCAAAAACAATCCACACACAAATCAAACTCTTCGCATACAGCACAAGTGATTTTAGCGAGAGATGTAATATCCTTCTGGCAATAGTTGCAATGGAAATGGGGCATATCAAAATCCTCCTTCTTGAATTCTGTGTGCTTTACCTTCTTCAGGTACGGTTTTGCAATATCATAGTATGTTTTGTATTGTTGTTGCGTAGAGATGGCTGTTGGTTGAAAGGAGGAAGAAGAAGGTTCGATAGCGTCCGCTTTCCTCTTGTTGTTGTTGTTGTTGTTGTTCATGTGTGATGAAAGGCGACTTGCCGTTACAAGAGTGAAATTTGGCGGTTACCAAATATTTTATCAGAATTGCTTGCTGTTTTTTCTGCTTGCAATGTGATGACAAAGCAAAAACATGTATCTTTGGATTGAGGAAGAGAGTTCAGCATGATTGGATGACAAGACTACCTGTCCTGGGTTTGCGACATGTATTCAAAAACAACAAACAATGAAAACGTAAAAGGGAGTCAATAGCAAAAAATTTGCGTCGACCGGGAATTGAACCCGGGTCACGGCGATGGCAACGCCGTATTCTACCACTAAACCATCGACGCTTTGATGAAAATTGATTGTTACATTTGAAAAAATAAATGTAATGTACATCAAAGATTGTATCGTTCGCTTTTTACAGATAACTGGAACAGACTACCGCTGTGGTAGAACAGTAAACGCTAGCGTCAGCTCAAGTTGGACAATTAAAACCACAACGTTACAACCGTTACAAAAGAAATCCCGCCAACGACTAAATGCCAAACGTCAATTTTATTAAGCAAAAAAATTTGTTACACAACACCTACTAAGGACGCACAATTTTCTCTCAACGAAAAGCTTGCATTCACAGTAGCAAATCAACAACCCAAATGATGAACAAAACACCAAGAACTTTCTCAAAAGAAAACATCATTCGCATCATCAGCAAAACTGACATCATCCCCGAGGACTTGTTTGAGATTATGGGAGAAATTAACGAAAAAGTATTAACCCAAACTCCCAGAATTCCAAAAACCAAACCAAATATGATGATTCTCTCTACTCAAGATCATGATTACGAAGAAACTCTAAACTCTCTCTTTAAATATGGTATCAGTACTGGAACTTTTATTGCATCACCAGGAACCTTGCAACCAGGTGAAGGTCTCTTTAAAGTTGAATACAAGAGCCCAAACAAAACCAATGTTCAAGAGAAAATTGGCATACTCATTCATATCTTGAGAACCCATGCAGTCAGTTCAATCTACGCGAATCTCTATGTCAGCAATGATACATTCTCCCTCTTAGTTGGACACACTGACAAGAATGTGATCACTACCATTGTCAATAGCAGCCAAGGCGTGTTTGTAGAAATTCCAAAGCCTTTCATTTCAAAAAACAGTGAGGAGTACTATAAAAGTGGTGTATGCTATTTCCCAGAAGCAACATCACCCAATGACATTAAGGAAGCAGTTAAGAAATCACTTGAAAATTCTCCCGTTAATTTTGATGAAAACAAGCTCATCATCACAAAACTTAAATCGAGTTACTCTTCCGGTGGTTACTATTACAAAGTCATTTATATTTGCAACAACCAAGTGGAGTTAACACAGTTGTGTCAAAAGTGGGTGCCCTTAATGATCAAAAATTCTCCGGCATCTAATTATCAAATCATCAAAAAATTTAAACCATTAGCAGAACAAAGAGATAGCACAACTTCATTTAAACGGTTACAGGGTGACAGCGAACGATTAGGACCTGTTAAGGAATTAGAAATGAAACTTGCACAGCATGACCAGAAAATACGAGAAATGAAGACAACAATGGACTCTATTCAAAAGGATATTGATGAAATGAAACAAGTTCTCTCAAAATTGCCAGAAACAATTCATCAATCTGTGTCTTCCTATGATCGTTTCATGAGAATAAGACCAACTGGACAATTATTCTTTTTACCTTAATTACCAAAGAATATTGAAACCTAACACAACCCTCGATTCTATTAATCTCTTCCATAAACAATAGTACAGTAAGTTTTACTAAATGACATGCACACTCAATTCAGAAAATTTCGAACAATAATTCCCCTCACAGTATGATCGAGGAAGGTTCATCACGCGCCATCAAAAAAAATGAGCTCTGCTGGAGAAAATGATGTCCTCAAACAAATCAAACCACATCCACTGCTGCAGGTTCCACCCAGTCGTCGGATCTGCTGAGGTTTTGCCGATTCAGACCCTTTATCAAGTATGAAATGAATGACGAAAGCGATAAAAAGGCTCAATGTAGTGTTGCCTTCCATAAATCCTTGAAGAACGTTCTACTCAAGGTTAGTAGTACAGCCCTAACTCGAGCCTTAATGTCATCCACTTGCCGTTATGTATGAAATAATTTTTGCAATCAAAACAGTACGGAGTTGAAAAGCCAATGAAGTATGACTTTGATAAAGTATTTCCCATGAGCACAACGACAGAACAGATATTTGAATCGATTGGATTGCCAATGTTGAACGGTATGTTGATGAAGGTTACATTCTAATGCAAATAACATCACGCTGGATAGATATTATTAATACCGGATGCAATAACGTGCTTATTAGTTGTGGAGGAAAATATAGTGGACGATCCTTCTCCATTGTTGGAGGAAGGAATTGGGAAAATGAAGAAATTGGACCTAATGATGCATTACTATTCCGAAGCGTTAAATTCCTTCTTGATCACAAATATAGCTTATCATTGTCAGTGAGTAAGGTGAGAAATGGATCTTTCGTTGATCTGATGAAAAAAAGTAAGTAGTATCAGAGCGGGTTGGCATAGTAAATACCTTCTAGGAGAGTCAAACAAAATTGCCTCTTTGAGAGATCTAAATGAATGTTTAAAAGTGGTTCTTAGAGAAGACCAGATAGAAAACCTTCCTGGAACAACAGTGTTCACAATCAAAATTGGTGATACAAATGATCGAAATAACAAATTTTGTCTCACATTAATAGATGCAACGTTGGACGATACACAGCTCATTTCAGAAGTTTTAAGCGGTGTGACAACAGATGCCAATTCAATATTTAAAAACGTTCTTTATGAAATATTGGTAGGAAGCTTGAAAGTTGTTGTGTTGGCAAATTGCTCTCCTCACGTATCTGCAGCAGAGGTCGCAAAGAAAACCATGGATATCACAACAAGCTTTTCTGTCGTTAAAGCAGATCGCGAACATGTAACAACCTCTGGAAATACATCTCATGTAGGTATTTCTTCGACCTTATAATCACATGCTAACGACTACTATTAACAAGGTTGCTGGAAAACTTGCCAAGAACAATGAAGAAATATTAACTAGGCTCAGGATGCATCACATCGCTCTCAAAGAATCATGCACAACTTTGAGACGAGAGAAGGATGAAATGAGGAATCTGGTTGCTAGCTACATCCAACACAACATTGAAACTTTTGGAACATTCCTTCTTGAAGAATTAGAAAAACGGGACAGGTATGAAAGAGCAAAGCAAAATATTGGGCTTGAAGAGAAGGATCAACAATTGAAAACGCTACATAGACAAGTAGTAGAAAAAGAGGAGAACGAGCAGCATTTGAAAGAAAAAATTGAAAAACTGCTACATGACCAAAGTATTAATAAGGATGTGGCCTCACGACTGCTTGTTGAAAAAGAAGAGTCTCTGAAGAACACCGTTAACGAGCTTGTTGAAAATCATGCCGTGCAAATTGCTGAAATAACAGAAAATTGGGAGCATGAAAAAAGATTGCGATTGGACATGGAAAGATATCATCATGCAGAAATTAGCAAGCTCAAGCAAGAATTTACTGAGAAGGTAACGCATTTCAATTCTATGCTAAAAGAAAAACAAGAGCAGTTGGACCGTTCCGTCAATAGAGTTGACGATTTAGAGAACCAGATCACCTCACTTGAAGAAAAAATACGGTCGGAACATAACGATCGAAAAACGATATCAGATCGCAGCGAACTGCTGACTCAGCAAGTATCCATACTTGAACAAGCTTTATTGGAAAGTAAGGAAAAGCAGGAAAAGTTGGCCATTACAGAGGAAGAAGCACAAAGATATAAGAATGAAACTGCTAAATTGCTGAACTCTCTAGAGATGGAACAAAAGAAAAACGAGGAGGCACATCAAGAGAGGCTTATGTTACAGAATCATTTGATAGGATTGGAAGAAAAATTAACGTCGCTCTCAAAAGCAAGAAGTGAAGAAGCAAGAAAGCATGAACTGGAAGTGAAAGAATTGAAAGCTAAATTAATAGGACTGGAGAAGGCGTTGGAATTAGGCAACACAGAAATGGAATCTTCGATGAAGCTTCAATTAGAACAAAAGGAAAAGGATCTGAAAGAAAAGGAGGCTCAATGTGATCATCTGAGCCATACTGTCTATTCGTTAAAAGAAAAAATAGCAGAGATTGAATTAAGTAGAAGGACTGGGGAGGAACGGGAGTCCTCTTTACAAGAGAAGCTTGATGAAGCATATTCTCAAATCAATAGATCAAAAGAAAGGATTGCTTTACTAGAAAGCGATATTGATTCGAAATGTTCAACGTTGAGAGAGCTGGAAAGCAAGAATTCGGAAAGTTTACAACAACTGCTTCAGCTCCAATCAGCTCTCACAGAGAGAGGAAATGTCATTTTGAACATGGATAAAGAACTGAAAATTCAAAAACATTTAAATACAGAATTGAAAATGGAAATTGAAAGCAAAAACAACAAAATACAAGAGCTAGAACAAAGTATTAAGGGGGGATCTACGAAAATTGCGAGCATTTCTGATGAAATTAATTCTCTTCGAGAGATGAACAATGTCGCAAAAGAGAATATTGCGAAACTCACATCTGAAAAGTCCATGTTGGAGCAACAAGTGAACATTCTAAAGCAGGATTGCACTTCATCAAACAATCAGCTTGTGATTGAAAAAAATAACTTGGAGCTTGAGAAATCAAAGTTAGAGTTGGCATATCAACAGACAGTGGACGCTACAAAAAAACAGAGCGAGAAACTACAAACACTTTCTGCAAGGGTGCTTGAATTAGAACGATTGCTCATAGACAAGAACAACGAGCTGAAAAATTTGCAAACCACTAGTCAGTCAGCAGACCAAAGATACAATGACTTGTTGTTTGAGTTCAACAAAATCAAGGAGGAAGATTCAATCCAGCTCAACGAAAAAGACAGAATGATCTCCTCTCTAGTACAAAAGTCAACAGATTTGACCAAAAAACTTGCAGAGTATTCCATCATGGACCAAAGGAAAAACGATCTCGAAAAAGAGAATAGCATGCTAAAGGAGGAGATTCTTTCCCTTAGTAAAGAGAAGGATATTATTTTGGTGGAGCAAGAGAGCTTGTCAAAGCTTATACTTATCTTAAACAAAAGTATTGACGAATTGAGAAAGGAAAAGAACATTCTGCACAGCCAGATGATGAACGTTAAAGAGGACTGCAGCACTTTACATGTAGAAAAAATCAATTACTACGAGTCTCAAATTCAAACTCTTGCCACCGAAAACAAAAATCTTTTGGATGTATTGGAGAAACAAAAGGAAGATCTTGATGCACACCAGAATAGAGCATTGGAGCTTGAACGGAAATTAAGGCAATCTGAAAAAGTTTCTGAAGAAACACGAAAGGAGTTGCAGGAAAAGCTAACTTAATAAGCACAATTAAGACAGAATTGTCCAATAAGGATTCGGAGCTGCGAAATTCGAAAACGTTGTGTAGCGAATCTATTACTGCTATTAAGAAGCTTGAATTATCTGTACAGGAAAGAGACAAGGAAATATTCAAAATCAAGAAAGAGCTGGAAAAGAAAAACAGTTTGCTTTTAGAAAAAGACAACACCGAAAGACAAAGTTCCGAACAATTACAGCCTGAAACATCGTCCACATCTTCTGAAGTAACACAACTCCGTAATGAACTTGAACATACAAAGACTGAATTGGAAAGTGTCAAAGACAAGCTTCATTGCTTATCCAGTGAGCAGAAGAAGAATCAGATTTTAATTGACATTTCCACCAAACCAACGTCCAAGGAAAAAATTCTGTCCACATACAAACTTTAATTATTGCTGTGGAGAAGGCAAAACAAGAGAAATACCACTACAAGAAGACTTGCAAGAATTTGGAGGAGGAATTAGAAAAGTGTAAAAAACTTGCTTTCTATTCACCCATCCAACGTCAGAATATTGACAAGCTCACCAAATGTGAAAGCATTATCAAAGAAGTGCGAGCAAGTTTAAAACAACTAGGTACCTTAAACGAATAAAGTAATAATGGACTCAAGAATGTGAAGCCTCTTATGTATGACTATTGGCAACTGTGAGCTGTAAATCCCTGCATTCTTTGCTTGACAGAACATTGTGTTTTTTTGTTGTTAAAACAGTTATTTTGAAGCAACGAATGGCTACGGCCATATCACGATGAATGCACCTCATCCCGTCCGATTTGAGAAGTTAAGCATCGTCGAGCTGCATCAGTACTGAGGTTGGAGACAACTTGGGAACCTGCAGTGCTGTAGCCTTTTTTTTGGTCACAAGTGAGACATCTCAACCCTTCCCAGAAAAATTACTGTTATGGACCTTTATTTCAGAATTCCTGGCGTGATCCGGAGTGTCATCAAAAAAAAAACAAGCATTCTCATGAGCATGTTGAACCCCCATAGTCCTTCGGCTTCCAACCAAACAGTCAGTCAACTTCTGACTCCTTCCGTTCAGATTTTTCTTAACGGTGTGATCGAAGATCAAGACTTTAAACCGCAGCAAGGTTTTCTCCAAACCAAGCACAGGAATATCATTCAATATCCTTCTCAAATCAATGAGAACGATCTTTCAAACTATGATCTCTTTTGTGGTACGAGAGGCCATCGCAACGATTTGCTCGCCTTCAGAAAAATATTTCTTGTTCCCAAGGATGGACTTCGTTTCAATTTGAGAAAGGGCGAGTTTACTGGGGAAGATACCAGGTCGGGAAGTAGCAAGATTTATCACTTGTTGTTGGTTCCGAAAGCTCAGACCATGAATTGGACGATGGCCACGAGCGGTGGAGGGAGTTGTGTGGCTTCTCACGGTTCTGTATTGTCTGCTCCCTTTGCCATTACGTATGATCGGAAGCCAACAGGATTGAATCGTGATGATGATGCCGCATCGGTTGCCTCTTCTTCTTCTGTTGGCTCTCTCTCATCTCCATCAGTGATTTCCACTCCTTCTCCATTATCCTCATCAGGATTGGTGAGCTACAACTATTATACGCCTTCTCCAACAGCAGGAATTCCAACTCAGTTTTCTCCATCTATGATGATGATGCCAACAACAACAAACCAACAACAGCCACAATTTGGTGTTTTGGGAACGAATAATGTACAACAACAGCCACAACTAACTACACACATGATGATGCCTGTTCCAATGTCCATGTATCAACACCAACAACAGAGCCTTCTACCCAACGTGGGAACACCTACCATGACCATGATGGAGAACCACTCTCAACAACAACCTACTACGGTGCATCGATTGAATGGTATGAACAGTCCCCAAGTAACTTTCCAGGGTTTCAATACTCCAATGCAACCAACAAGTTTCGAAAGCCAGTCATCCTTGCCAAGCACACATGGAACACCAAGTAAGAACACTGGTGTGCCACAACAGAAAGCATCACCACACACTCCTCCGAGAACACCTCCTTCTCGAGAATTGGTCACACCTCCAATCTTGACTTCTTCTCCTTCCTTGGAATCAACTCCTGGGGTGAACTCGTCAAGTAAGCAAACAACTCAGCTCTATTTTGATGCTCCCTCTGAACTTAGGGCAACTTTTGCTTCAACTAGCACTGCTGCAGAACCATCCATGTATTTGGAGGCTTGTAGACTTCCTAATTATGATACATATGCCTTCGCTCTCAATGATCAAGCAAGACTGCCAAGCACTTATGAACATCTTATTAACAATACAAAGCTTGGAAAACAATTGACAATCACCAATCAACAGCACCTCGTCAAAGGCCTTTTCACAGTGGAATCTGAACAGTTTAAAGACTCTCTTTTCATCGAACAAAAGTATCCATTAGTGATGCAAGTGTCAGAAAATGGTGAGCAAATATTGTTACCAAAGGACTGCAAGATGTGCTTTGAAAGATCGTCCAACAGAATTTCAAGAATATTCCGAGATATGAGTCTCTGCTCATGCTTACTATTTGTCTCGTTTTTCAACCTTAGAAACTTTGAGAAAGAAGAACGAAAAAAAAGTGAGCTAGAGGAGTCTGATGAAAAGGAGAAGTTGAAAAAGTTTTGCATTGACGGCATTAAGCTGGAAAACGGAAGAACATACACCTTTTTTGCCACCAGTAATTCTGGTATTTCAGGAAATACTGCTCTTTTTATTGACTGCACTTGTTTAAACATTCCCCACGTTTTCAAATTGTTGGGAGATTTTTCAGAGTCCATGAAGAGCGGTGATAGGAAATTTAACGGAAGGGTTGGACTCAACATTGGAACATCTGTAAAATCGAACATTCAACTCGAGCAAGGACAGTATTATGTAAGCACCACGGATGACAAGGAATACCCTGGTGTAGACGGCATTAACGCAATTGAAGAGGAATTCTTTAAAAGCATTTTGAAATGTTTGACTAGTGAAGGTGTAATATTAATGGATCAAGAAGAAATCGAGAATACGACCTCCTTTCAAGGACGAGTGTTGGGTATTAAGGGAATGTTTCAAATGATTCCTACCAAAGTTTGGAATGAACTATTTGTCAAGAAACATCGTCTTAATCCTAATGTGAAAGTGTATATACGAGCATCAACTGTCAAATTTGCTGCAGAGTCAAGAATATACAATTATTTTGACGTTTTGAACGTCTCATCACCAAAGTCTATTGGTAATATTAGTAGAAACACAATCAAATTCTTGTGCAGAAAATCAACCAAACCTCAGGAAATTGAGAAGTACTTTCTGGAAAATTATAAGCAATATTTGAACGAATTGTGTCAAGGAGCTCTAGACCGAGAATATCTGTTAAAGAGAATATTTATTGATGATGACTCTGATTATGGTTATGAAACCAAGATTGTTAGGGCAGCTCTTGAAAATGGAGAGACCTTTGAGACTAACCCTTTTTTGATTGATAAAATCAAGCAAAAGATTATCAATGAACGCATGATAAGACTTGGGAAAAAGCTGCAAGGACAAATCAAATATCCTGATCTATTGAACCTGAAGGGAGTGATTGATGAATCTGAATTTCTACAAGACGATGAAGTCCTCATTGCAAGCTCCAAATTCAAAGCAACACCATATGTAGTTGTTTTCAGAAATCCAATTGCACATGCCAATGATTTTTTAAAGCTTAAAGTCGTCTCTGCTCCTATAGAAAATGAATTCTTGAATCGGGTAAGAGAATCCATTGTCTTTCCAAAGCTAAAAGGTAAAAAAGGCCCTCATCAATTTCTTAGCTCAGGAGACCTTGATGGTGATTTATACAGTATACTCACAGACCCAAATTTGATTAAGCTATTAGACAAGCCATTTAACCGTATGGACTACGAACAATTGGCTAAAGATTATGTTAAACCATCACAAAAACCCAAACCAGTAACTGATGTGGGAGAGTCACGAAAAGATCAAGCAAGATTCTTCATAGAATACACACCAAAAATTGGTTTATTCTATACAGCGTTGACAAACGACTTGTATCTCAATAACTTGTCAGAGAATGACCGAAAGAAGTATGCATTATTCTTTTCGCTATCCATTGATGCCGTAAAGCATGGATCTGTGATACTGCAAGACCCCAAATCATATGATTCTTTAGATTTCATGGACCTTTTTACCGATGACATGTTGGAAAGTGATGTTATATTCGACGAACAGATTTTAACGAAAATTAAGCCGTTTGAACAAGAGTTGATACGAATGATTTATGGCAGTATTCAGTTGCTCAAGAATAAGTTTAGCGATTCGCATAAAGTGGATTCTCGGTACTCAATAGATGTAGATATTAGGGATTCCAACGAGTTGAAGGAAGCGTTCATTGAGTGGGAAAAAATCAACAGGGACAGCAGAAGTGAAAGAAGGGATCTCTTGTCTCAAGTTTACGGAAAAAAACAGCACAAGCAATGGCTGAAGTCAAAGATGACAAGAGTAGCTAATTACATTTTACCAGGAACACTTGACACGACTCCCTCTTTAGCCGTGAGAATTCATTCCACGTATTTTCGTGACAATGAATTGAATACCAATGTTGAAAAAGCAACAACGTGGCTAAATCAAGCGATTGCTCATCCCGACGAGAAAATGAGGAAGAAAATGGTTAGATTTGTTTACTTAGTTTGCTACAAGTGGCTCAGTATTCGTCGCATACAACAAGGCAATTTCTTGTCATTCGGAGTGTGTAAATACAGCAACCAATAAACTCATTGAGAACAAGAGACAATATGTTGAACAAGGCGCTCAATTTGGGCTGTGGGGATCGAGGAGTGTGGAAGGAAGGATTTTAAAGAGTGTATCAACAACTCGGCACTGCAGTTTTGCTTGTTTTGTTGAACCAATTGCTGGATGAGATACAAATAGGGAAGAGAATAGTAGATGCAAAATGAGCCAACATCCTCATTCTTGGAGGGTGAGTTCCAATTAATAAGATCCATAGATGCAAAATAATTTTCCAAGTAATTTCTAATGCATTCGATGAAATTTGGTGAAATTAGTGGCCTCATTGTCATCAAACTTTGCTTTAGCAAACGATATCTTGATGAGTAGTATGCAAATAATTGCTTAAAGCATGAAATATGGATAGATTTCGAAAGGGAATTGATTGTCGTTGTAGGGGTCGATTCAAAATTATTTGTTGTTGTTCTGCAACTCTTTGGTTCCACAATCAATCGTAACGCCTCAAGAATGTGTTCAAATATGTAGAGTACATCTGGACTGTCATTCATGAGCGAATCCACAAGCGAATGATAAAGTAATAGTGCAATATTTCCATTCGAGGAATCATTTAAAGAGAGTGATTGAATAGCCGTTGTTAATGCTTGTTCCTCCACTCCATTGACACTATTGTGACCAAATATCCTATATTTCACATATGGAGCAATGTGAGTGTGCGAGCCTGAGGACATTTTCTCAAAGAGTTTTACCAAATTATCTGGGTTTTGATCCACGAGATTGGTAACAAAATTCGAGTGAACCGATGAACGTATTCCTTTAGGGTCATCCTTGTATGTTAAATACCCAGATTTCTTCTTCACATAAATAATGTTACTTTTGAGTGGGAATTCAGTGATTGTGAGTGGATAGTATCTCTCGTTGCTAGTTATAATCTTGGAAATTAAATGTGATTCAGGAATAAGGCAAGGACTTAATTTTTGTAACGAGTTTCCATGAGTAGTCTCTATGATGATGGGTACATGACAGGTTTCTTTTGTGTCAATATCAACAGTCTCTAATAATCTATTCTCAGCAGCCAGAATATACAAGTGACGCAAAGCTTGTGAATGATATCGATTATCAGTGGTTGTTTGAGGGAAAACAGGATACAAAGAGCATAACAGAGCAGCAATGGAACGATCACTGGTGGAAAGGGAGAACCTTCCTCCTCCTAAAAAGAGAAGTCCAAGCGACATGGATAATGCCATGTGAATTCCATAGCCTCCATACTGTGTACTGGCAGATGAAATGTATTTCTGTCTAAGCTGTTTCACCAGTCGAATGACTTCCACGTTTCCACTTCCTGACATGATGCAACTCAAACTGAGTAAACAAATGGTGACTGTCCTATCCGTTGTGAATTTGTCTAATTTTACAAAGTAAGGAATGGATGAATCTTGTGTAAAAAGTCGGAGTCTCATTTTCAGTGCTTGTTGTGCAATGTTGAGAATCAAGTCAAACGCTCTGGAATCGTGGGATCCAGCATATTTGAACCCAATGGAAAGACAGCAACCACAAATGACATGAGCATAAATCTTACATAACTCGTTGCTCTCAATGATTGATTCTACTGGAGCCGAACGAAAGAGATCTGGAATTTTAGATTTTATCCATGTCTCAGTATTCTCGATGGTATTCCACATGATTAACGAGGAGCCAAGTTGTCTGAGAATAATCATATCAGGTCGAACGTAGTCCAACATGTACCTAGTGTCTGGAACCTTCATTTCTGAAGCTATAGTCTCGTCATGGGTTTTAAGATATTTCAATGTGAGAGCAAGGCATGCTCCTGGACCAGTGACATCTACATTCACAAATTTTTCATTTTCCTTAATTCTTGAACATGTATTGGTCACTGCTTCTGAACTGTTAGGTCCACTTTTAACAGATGGATGGGCTTTTGACTTGGAGGCCATTAATGCAAACATGTCAAACTCGGGACGTTTGCTACCTCCGGTCATGTACGAGAGCAATCGTTGATCCATTTTCAATTCGTGACTGTTTGCAGTTGCACCTTTCCCTAAATGTACCAATCCGAGTGCTAATCCCGCAGATAGAGAGTAACTTTCTCGGGTGTTTGTTGAATGATCATTTGGTGGGCGAGCCAATTCTCCTAATAGAACTTCAGTCATGAACCGATGACAGCTACCCATGTAGAGTAATCCAATGCCAAGCAATGCAGAGCCACTAACTTCCATTGGCATTTCCATATCGCTCATACCGACGACGAGCGAAGGCACATACAGGGATAGAGACCGAGTAATGTACTGATCTTGTGTTCCAATATATGAGCAAGATAGCCCCAATAGAATTCCAATAGTAGTCGCTTCATGTCGTTGTTGCAGATAGCTATAAATATCAGTGGGTCCAAGACATTTCAAGTGACCTTGCAAACCTAAGGCCAGAAGTAATCCAGCATGAGTAACGCTGTCATTCATATATCTGGTTCCTCTTTTGTTTGGTTTGTGAAACATGATCCATTCTTTGGTAATTTTGCAATCTGTTCCAATAGTGAGACCAGTGGCTACTCCATTGTGAAACTCTGCCCATTGTGTGCTACAACTTGCAGAAATTTCATTCTCCAAAACAATTTTAGAAATATCAATAGACATTATTGCTCTATTTCTTTTGAGCTTGACTGTAAGGGTAATGGGTGGAACAGCTAAAACATTACTGGCTGTAGTGTCTCCAGAGATGGAGCCATTGATGTGACGTTTGCTTGAAAGTGTAAGCATTCCTCTCCAATACAAAAAGATAATAATTGTTGCTTAATATTCAATAAAATGTGGCGTTGTAAATCAGGAGCATCATTAGGATCGAAACCATCAAGATCATCTTCTGTCAGCTGTAGCGTATGTTTTTGTATTTGTGTAGGTCTGCTACTATCTAGCATGTTGCTTACTTGTTCGAGTCTTCTGTCCTCACTCCAAATCATGTGCCCAATATCTTCATCAGTTTCTGAGGAAGCAGAATTGCTGGATGAGTCTGGCGGAAGAGCTCCTGCAATTTTTGAAAATTCGACAATGATCTGCTTTTCTCTAAAGGGTCTTTCCATTTCTGATTGGTTGTTGTTGATTGAGAGATCTTCTCGTTCAATTAATTTACAGAATTTGGTCGTTCGTGTTACTGGTTGATTGGAATTTCTGCAAAGTATCAGTGCTTCTCGAATTGGCAAGGAAATGCTGAATGGAATAAACTCCAATTGATCTATGCTCGTAAATCCTTCTTGTAACAGTGCAATTGCAACTCTTTCGTGAGGCGCAAGTTCAGAAAGAACCTGTAAATTGTTCGTATCCATGTAAATATCATCTGTTGTGGAAGATGACTGATGAATGTTATAAACGTCATCTGATCCATTCACTAGCAACGAAAATAATCTGCATACTTTTTTGCTCAGAGATGTCGCATTGCAATTTGAAATAACAGGATAAAGGCATGATTTGTCTACCGAGCCTTTAAATAAAATTTCCTCTAGCCATGAAATAATATTTGGAGGCATTACTCCATTTGCATAATATTCGTTTAAAAATTTGATATTGTCATTTTTCAATTCAATTGTCATGTTGGGTAATGTTGTTTGTGACCTAGAGGTGAGAGAATAATTAAAATCACGTTGATACACTTCGCAATAAGAATGCCACTGTAAACTAGTAGCTATTTCAAAAAGTAACGATGCTAGGCATTCCATTTTGCTCCATTCTGTCACTTGCAGCTTGTAATTTTCATAAAGGAGATGCAACGAAAACAGGATAAGAGGTAAATTGGCCACCAATGTTTTGCTATTCGTTTGCAATTTCGAAAAGTCAATCGTATGTCGAGTATCGCATGCATTTCCAGAAGAATTATTTTCTAAAAACTCCATTAATTTCCATGGATCATCTTCAGGAGGTTGCGGTTTTGGATATCCAATGTTTAACCCTAGATACAGTATTAAGGCAGAAAAAGTTTCCCATTCTTGAGATGAGGCATGTCTAGATATTTGGAAATCATAAAAAATGCTGCAATGGAGATCCTTACTCAACACCGCTTGAAACACTGAGAGACAATCTTGCACAAGCTTAGCCGATGGGCAAATATCCAAAGAAAATCGGAATAGTGAATCACTAGAAGCAAGTGAGAATCGATTTTCCACAACATAATCAATTTTCTTAAATACTCCCTTCTCTAAAGATTGGTTCCACATAATGTACTCTCCATTTAAAACGAGAATTAATATGTCTCTAGAGTTTTCTGAGATTAGCATTAGGTGTAAACATCCATCAATATTTCCGTTGAATAATTTCTCGTTCACGAGAGGGTCATTAAATTCAGCAACTGCAACCACGTCTTGTTTAGAAAATTTTGGCAATAGGAAAAAATTATCTTGTTGTGAATTTCTTTCTATAGCAAATGCATATAGTGTGTTGTTAATAATAATATATAAAATGTATCGATTGCCAGATGTATCAACATGAAATATTGATATTTGCAAATTTTCCGTATTGTTACATTGCAGATACTCGGAACAATTTTCTGAACAGTGTATTTGTTGAAGGAATCCTTCTTCGAGAAATAAATAAAGGGATATGAGCTTCGTATTAGAGTCATGAGTGACCATAAAAAGATCTGAATAAAGATATAGAATGGATTCATAACCATTTTTCATGTAGTCAAAAGTTTGTTCTCCATCCATCAGCACATCTTCGTCGTCTGACGCGGTTACAGGTATAGAGGAAGGCTCTATAACGGAAGCCAATGCTTTAACTTCATCAAGTGGATTTGTTAAAAAGTAAATCATTGGATTTGTGTTTTGCTTCTGCTCTACACTCAAAATCTTTCGTTCCATAATCAGAATTTGATTATTTAAGCTCCATAATTTGTGAATTTTGAAAGGAAGAGAGACGATGAAAGATCTTCCGGATTCACCATATATTTCAATTCTATTATTGTCCAACAAAATGCACAACATGATTTCATTTGATGAAAAGGAGCATAAACAGACATCATTTGGAATAATTGGAATATTTGGATTTTGCTGATGGCTGCTATATTTGTATTTTCTATGCACCCTAAGAGCATCCGAACTTCCATAATACCAAATCACCTGTGGAGGCTCCAACTCCTTGTTCAAATTCCTTTTGCTATCGTTGTTCAGCAATTCCGAAGGAATTAGTATCACTAGTCGTTCTTCTCGTCCTCTATTCAAAAAACAATATTGTTTCGTGATGCAATAATTTTCATCGTTGTCTGTTGTGTTTGTACCACAATGATAATGATGCGGAAGAGGTTCCTTGCTCACAGTGGTCAGAACCACTTGATGATGTCCCTGCTGCAAGAGAAACGAAGTCATTTTTTTGCATGGCGCCTTGGGGTCTTCGAAAAAATGTCTGAAAACCAAACCGCCCTCGGCGATGAAGACACTTATCACCTTCGCCATCACGCCTCTATCAAAGAGGTCGCTGATCGCCCGCATACTGCAAACAAATCTCTCTCTGCTCAAAAATCGGCACATGATAAATTGAGAGAGGAGATGGAAAACGAAATTTTAGAAACTCCGTCCTCCGTCAATATAGCCAATTTGTCGGTAATACAACCCAGCACTGTATGCAACTCTCCTATGTTGTCGCAACCGGAGGTCTCTAATATTACTACAACCTCTGGCGTCTCAGTTTTTAGTACCTCGGCCATGACCGACGACCATTCTACCAAACTGAAGCGACATCATAAACTCTTCAGAGTGGTGGCCTTTACTACCAACTCTGTCGAAGAAGTCCTTGCAACCGTCGCAATGAATGCCGATGCGTTGTACGGTAGTAGAGTTGTCAGTGAATTGGAGTGCATTATTCTCTTCTTCAAGTCGCGCAAATTGGCAAACCAAGCAATATCTTCTGGTGCTAAGTCCAAGCTAACCATGATTCCTCAAACCGTCAAAACGTCATTCCGTTATAAGGTCGACAAAGACTTAGATAAGACTAATATGCACTCTATTATCTCAACTCTTGGTACTTCTATCAACAACATCAATTTTAGCAAGATAGATGATCAAGAGTTTTGGGCTATTGGTACTAATATTGAATTACCAGCCAATCATTTGAAGAAATTTAAGCTTTCCAAAATGAGAACAGATATCTCTCGTTTCCGTATCGCCTTTAACGGTAAAGAAAAAGATCTTCCTAAACTCAAGGGTGCCATTAGTTCCCAATGGAAAGTCAAGATTGAGAGTATCGAGTTGGCTAATAAGGTGGCTGTTGTTGGTGTCAAAAAGGATCAAATCACCAATAACATTACCAAGTTCGTCCAAGTTGGAAATCATAGTTTCAGAAACCTCTCATTCTCTACTAGAGTTGCCAACTCCATCAGTCACAGAATGGAAGCTGTTGAAAAACAAATGTCTGAAATGTCATCAGCTCTCCAAAAATTGACAAAGGAAATGGCTGTCTGGTCTGGAAAAAAGGTCACTGAAGGCTTTAATAAGATCAACAAAGCTATTGAAGAAATTAACCAAAAAGTCAACGCTCTCTTAGGCACTACTACTCGCAAGAGTAAAAGTGGGCATAAGAAGGGCCGACATTCCCTTTAATGGCCTCTCATTCTATAAGAAACTCCTTCAATTTAGGTACTGCTAATTTCGGAGGAGTTGGCTGGGTAAAACAATCTCAATTACTTACCCTAGCCCGAAAATATGAACTGGATATCCTTAATATCCAGGAAACTCATTTAAAATCCAGTACGGAAGACTATTGGAATGTATGGTATTTCAGGTCCTTCTTTCGTGGCTACTTAGTCTATACTTCCAACGCCACCGAGGGAGATAATGGAGCAGGAATTGCTACTATTGTCAAACCGTCACCTTTTATTAAGGTACTCCAATTCATCGAGCATATTCAAGGCAGACTATCAGAAGTCATTTTGGAACATAAATGCCTAGGTGTGGTCCGTATTTTCAATTGGTATGGCCCGGCTAACAAAAACAAATTAGAATTCATGAATAAGGCTCTCAATATTATCAACATTGCTGCTCAAACAGCGGTCTTGCATGGTGAACGTATTGTCATATTGGGAGACTTGAATGCCAATACTAAAACATTCAATAAGGTATCCTATGCTGCCCATGAGCGACTATTAATTGACCAATGTGACAAATTGAAGCTCTTTGATGTTGTTCCCATTCCAAACACACCTTCGTTCTCTCAACGCAACAAATACTCTCATGGTTTTTCTCGCCCGGACCATATTATTACTTCCCACAATGATTATTCTAATGTAGATGATGTTTCTACTGCTTATTCTCACAAACTTTTAACTATCTCCTTTCCCAGTAACCCTATTTTAGACTTCCCAGAAAAGTTCAACAAATATATTATTCATCCTAAAACTCTGCAATCCAAGATGAAGGAAATTAATAACGATTTTGCTATGGACAACCCTAGCACTCTCTTAGAAGCCCAAAATACCCTTGCTAAAATTGTGAAGAAATATGGCTCTCCTAGCACCGACAAGCCTTCACTGATTACTGATAATCGTAATGTTAGACAATTTCAGACGATCATTTTTGATTTGAAACAGTATCTTTATAAGCGTAAATATGTCTCTACTGTCACCAGCCAGTTCTTGAATAATAATTTTAGCCTCAACAATATTAAGGCTAAATTAGAGGAAGCTAAAGCCTCGCTTAACAAGCTTATTGGATCTCTATTGGCTGACCGTAAACGGGTCTTCGTGAATAGAATTAACAATCTTAGCTCTAAACAACCGTACTCCTATGCCTTCAGAAAAGAATTAGTCAGTTCTTCTATACTCAATGTAGTCCAAAGTAACCATAACTCGATAATTGTAGATCATTTTTCAGCCATGTTTAACACAGAACAAGAAGTGACTAAAACCCTTCCGGAAATCAAGAAAAATAATACTGTAGCCCAATGGAAATTCCAACATATCACTGCCAAAGAGTTGGGTAAAGTTATTTCTAAAACAAAAAATTCCATGGCTGGCTATGATAATATCTCGGTGCCGTTGTTGAAAATTCTAGACAACAATTCGCTCCAAGTACTTGCAAAATGTATCAATCACACAATTGACAGTGAAATGGTTCCTAAAGAATTGGGTATTGGTATTCTACTCCCATTACCCAAAGTCAATATGCCTACAAAATTATCAGACTTTAGACCTATAGTAGTATTATCTGTGATCTATCGCCTATTTTCTTCTATTATCAACAAACAATTCATGAATATCCTTGAAGAGGCTAATTTAATCCATACTGCTCAGCGAGGATTCATGAAAAAAGGCTCAACATTAGAGCACCTTATCAATCTTCGGACTGCCCTAGCATACAAATGTCAGCACAAACAAGAAGTATTCGCTATGGCTTTAGATATCAAAAATGCTTATGGATCAGTAATCCATAAAAGATTTATCAGCATTCTCAAAAAACATGGTTTCCGTAGCTCTGTCATTAATCTCTTGACATCCATGATTTCCAATAGCGTTATGAAAGTACTAGTTAACGGATTCCTATCCTCCCCTTTCGATGCGAATGTTGGAGTCCCACAAGGCGACCCTTCAAGTCCAGCATGGTTTAATCTCTATATTAACTCCTCAACTAATATACAAGAAAAACTAAAAGGAGTCCAAATATTTGATGTTACTATCCTTTTATTATTATATGCCGATGATATTTTATTGATAGCTAATACTAAGATTGAAATGAATTCCTCTCTTAAAAGCCTCGGCCGAGAGTTAAAGAAAATAGGACTCGCTTTAGCTCCCAAGAAATGCAAGCTCTTAGCTATTACAGCTAAATCTAAACTATCTAAAGCCCTAGTCTCTATTGGACAGGATACAATTGCCTCGTCTACTTCTATTGAATACCTTGGGGGTATATGTACCTTTAAGGATAATCTTTCTTGGTCCTCTGATAACCCAGTCAACAAAATCTCGAATCGACTTGCATCAGCTAAAACTTCTAATCTATATCTCAACAGTATCACCACTACAATTATGTCTAAAATTATATCATTGCCTAGATATGCCTGTAGCTTCAATGGAATCAGTAAGAATTCTCTAGACAAAGCAGATATTATGGTTGCTAATTTTATCAGAAAGGCTATTGGATTAGATTACACATTATCAAAATCAGTCGTTTTTAATTGCAAACAAATTGGGGGTCTTGGTATTACTCGCCCCTCTATTTTATTCTCTATTGAACCTATTTGCACAGCAGTTAGATTATTCAATTCCTCATCCTCCATCACCAAAAATATAGCTTTGGCTGCTTGGAAAGATACTACTTTTAACGAACCATTTTGGAACCACGTGAAAAATATTGCTGCTCAAAATAATTGGTCTCTCCAATACATTGATGAACGATATTCATTTGTCAATGAATACGAAACCCCTGTCGACCCTAGAACTGAATTGCTAAACAGTGATAGATCAACCATGAGCATTTCTGGCCTTGGAACCTTAGACCATAATAGAATCTGGCATCCATGTACCATCTCCTTTTGGAACAATTATTCACTCAAACCATTCCAGCAACGACTGTTATTTGCTCACCTGCACAAAGCAGAAATCCTTAGAAATTTCGGAAAAGATTACCCTAATTGCCACATTTGCAACACCAAAGCCAACTGGGAACATGTATTCACCTCATGCGCCATGTGTAGCCCAGAAATCAAATCATTATACACAAAATGGGACAATAGTTCCCTCAAATTCAACGCCCCGCTTGTCAGACTTCCCTCTAACCATTCTCTCTCTTGTATTCCAATGGAGTGGAATGGTAGTATCAAAGACGAATCTCTCCAACAACTAGACCTATCTCCCCCAGCCTTGACTGATTGGCTAAATGAAATATATCTCTCATTCGCTGCTTATGTTGGCAGTTGTTACAAAAACGCCACTTGGAACAGTTCTACTGTACTCAAGAAGGCTAGAGGATATATAATTAAACCCAAAACTGCAAAATTTGCAACTGCTTGGGAAACATGTAGCAATCAGCTTGGCGAACTCAACTCCGACAACATTTAAACCCCACACATACACACCCATTAGACACACTCTCGTCGGACAATTGAGTACCTATAATTTGTTTATTCTTCAATAAACCCATCCCTGTATTTTTTTGCATGGCGCCTTTTCCCTTTTGACATGACCACACGCAGGATTTTTACCTAGGTGTTTCATCCTAAAAACTAAACCAGTATCAGTCGTCAGTGAGTTTTAATTCCACAAACTTTTGTTTTTTCAATATTTCTGGAACGACTCTCCATTCATGAAATCGACCCGCCTTTTGAAAATTACAATTTTTTTCAAAAACATCAAAAAATGCCACGAGACGAAGACGAAGAAAACAGTGAAGTCGGAGAAGAAGAGGAAACTGAGCCCAAACAACCCGAATACAACTATGACGAGATCGATGAGGAGACAGGGTTCAAGAAGGTTGACAAAATGATTTGGGATTTATATATGGAAGCTAGGACCTCTCACTTGAAAGAGAAGGAATCGGAAGATGCAGAAAATAAGGAAGAACCAATGGAAGATGATTTTGACAAAGATGGGTTTATTGCTTCTATGGTTGAGAGTAAACATTTAAATGATAATCGCGTCAAGATGGTACTTCGACTCGGATTGTATAAAGGAGAGGTGAACGAATTCAATGAACGACATGGAGAAGGCCATGCTATTTATTCCAACCAAGATCAATATAAGGGAGGATTTCAACAAAATTTAAAGCATGGAAACAGAGGATTGTATATTTACTATTCGCAACATCCAACAGCAAAAACATTGCTCAATGAGGATTTAGAAATTATGAAAATGAAAGAAACAGATGAAGTGAAGAAAATACTGTCGCAAGAAGACAAAAGTGACGATGAAAAGTTGAAAGAAGCCTCTTCCCTTATTTCCTCAAAAGATCCCTTCTCAAGATACCTTCCTCATAGAGTGTTCTACGTGTTGAAATATGGCCCCTATCCGTTCTATGAAGGACCATTTTGTAACGATAAAAAGACGACGTCTATGGATGCAAAATACCTAGTAGATCAAGCCTTCGAACCACCTAATTTTGTTGTGGACCCAGAGGCAGTGATCAAATACAAGGACGGATCAATTTATATTGGACAATTCTTGGACAGCAAAAAACATGGTTTTGGAACAATGTACTATTCGAACGGAGACGTTTACAGAGGAGAATGGAAAAACAATCTCAAACATGGTGTTGGTGATTATTATTTTGCCTCCAACAAGAGCTCATATCATCAATCCACTTGGGAAAATGGACAGATAAAATCAGGTCAATGGAGAATGCCTTGTGGAACTGTGTATCAATCCAATAACTTATCAAAACAATCACCATTCAACAGTACAGGAACCTTTATCTTTGATTCCACCACGTTTAAGGGAGAGAAAAAGAAAATACAAGTGCACGGAACATTTATTGAGGATGAGTGGCAACCAAAGAGTGTCGTACTTGCACAGGAACACTAAAATTGTCATTTTCATGTAACTCTTATTCCGTGAATGCTCCATTTGTTCCAATCATTTCAAACAATTTGTTTTGTGCATTTCCCAACGCATGCTGGAGTGTTTTACAAAGTTTAATATACTCTGTAATCTCTTCATTCTGTTTCAGTGTTCCAGTGTTAAAAATCACTCCATTTTTCATACTATACAGCTGCAGTTTCAACGTGCTGATTTCTTCTTGCAAACTCTTGGAGAGAGTCAATTGTTTTTCAGATTCTTGCATTTGAGCGGAAAGTTTCTGTTCCAATTCTCGAATCGTTTCATTCTTTTCTGCATTTTCAAGTTCTAATTTGAGAATTTTAGCATTCAAATTATTAGTAATTGTGGCTTCTAAATGTGGCTGTGTGTTTGGTATGAATAAACCTTTTGGACTTGTTGCCGTTGGTGTCGACATGTTATTCGTCATGTCATTTTCAATCACTAATTTAATGGGCTGTAGAATATCACTTCCCTCAGTGTGATGAGTAAATAACACTCTTGCCAAATCAGCGTCTGTGGAAATTCTAATTAAATAGCCCTCATGATCCTTATATCGAATCAAAGGTTTAAAAAATTGAAATCGTTCAATAATTTCCAATTTTAACGAATTGTATGAAAAACCAATCTTTTTGAGCGTCACGACATGAATATCATTATTCTTATACAATTTAAATTTTAGAGAATCACAATCCTTATAAATGGAATCCAACACACAATCCAATTTCTCAGCCGACGATACATTCTTCATGAAAATTCCTCCAATACTGGTCAAATCTTCCAAACCATCATCGGAAATTTGATCCAACTCCAATGAAGAATCATGAGATGGCAAGGTCGGTGTTAATTGAGTTTTAGGTTGAGTTGTGCTATTTCTGTTGTTATTACCCAAAACAGTGTGGTAATTATTGGAAGTGTTAATTGTTAAATGGGGATGAAGAGGATATGGTTGCTGAGAGACATGATGATGACTTTCTTGTAGTGGTGACAAATCTATTTGATGATTGTCACTTGTGATACTGAGAGGACTTGAATTTTTCAATAATTTAATCCAATTCGTTCGATTGTCTTTCAATTCTCGAATCGTTCTTCGTTCATGTTCACTGCTCACTTTTAATTCATTCATTAATTCGCTATCCGTTAATTCCAATAATTCTTCGCCAGAAATTTGATTTTGAACAAAGGCGAGTTTTAAGTGCGACATTTTCATGAGATCAAGCCATGCAGCAACGTCCTTGCAGTTCCATCGTGAAATGTCTTTTTCCAGTAATTTGGAAATTATTTGCTGTTGAAGAGGGTTGTTATGTGATGATTTTTGGTTGGGCATGATTGGAGGATGGATATATACAACTGCAGTACGGGTCAAACGTGAATTATTATTCATGTATTTTTTTTAATGGTCTGGAGTTAAAAATTTGCGATTGGTTCGGCATCTAAATGTAATGATGTTTGACATTTATGGTGTATAATTTTCGTTTTTTTGGGCATGCTTGTTGTGTCCTTCCAATGTGAACTGCAACTCGAACAAATTGGTCCAAATAGCTAGGACATGTCATGTAGTATAAATAATAGCGTATTGAGTCTTCAATAAGCGATGGTTTTGAATAGTTGTTGGCATGGGCAAAGAGTTCATGTTAGTCACTATCACTCTCACTTTCGCTTTCACTGCTGCTTTCTGATTCCGCATCAGCTCCAAATAAATCTGCTTCCAATTCTTTTGTTGTTTCTTCCTCTTGAATCCTTGCCAACTCTGATGCCTCTTGTTGAATATAATCCACAAAATCGGCACACACTTGCTGGAACTTGACAATTTCCTTCTTGCTTTTTGGATAATTTTCACTGATGGGATAGTGTTTTATATCCACGATTTGATAGTCAAACTCATTCTGCTTTTTCAAGTATTTCATGCATGCATATAGCCAAGATTCATGCACAATATGAACACCAGGCATTTGTTCAATTTTTCGCACCTTCTCGGTTCCTTTTCTGCCAGCAACTAGATGTGTAACGTAAGGACAAATATCGGTGTAACATGTAGCTCCCAAGTCTTGAGCAATCCTCCATGCAGGATGTTGTTTTGGGTCTTGTTGTAATGGAATTACTCCACTAAATACAATGTGCTTTCCTCGCAAAATGTCTTTCTTTTTTTCTTTTAAAATAATTTTTACGTCTCTGTTGTCAACATCCTCATCTTTTGATAACGTTAGTCCCTTAAAATACTCAGCATGAACCTTCTCAAGAAGGTTATAAACAACGTCCAATTGGTCGTCTTCCTCATAGTCATCAATCGTACTCTCAATGAGTTTGTAGTTTACAGGCCTAGGAGGTTGAGCAGAAGGTACTTGTTGTTTTCTGTCTGCATCATTTCCTGGAGCATTATTTACATCTAACTGTACACCGAATATACGTCTAAAATAGTCATAGGGAGCTATTTGAATAACATTTTCTGCATTGTTCTTCCAAACATCAGTTTTGTCATCAATGACGAGTACTGATTTGTCGCTACATGGAAAAACGTTACTTAGTGTTTTAGTATTAATATCTGGACATTCATCTCTAGAGAGTATTCTATCAGCAAATAATTCTCTTTTTGGATCTAGCATGGAACCAATTTGGTCGGCGTATTGCCTCTCTCCATGTGTGAAAACATGCATTTCGAATAAGTCGCCACATTTTCTCAAAAATTCATCTAATCTAGGTCTAAACTTGACAAAGTGAAACGTTCCTCGCATGAAAAATCGATGGATATGCTTTTTAAGCAACTCCGAGCCATCGTACACCTCTCTAAATGGCTTACTTCTATTTCCTTCTCTTGAATATTCAAAATCGTTAATTGTATGCAAAAGAGTGTGATCCAAATCGAGTACAAGTGAAAGCTTTTTCTTTTCTACAAGTCTTCTCTGATTTTGTCTGTCTATTTCAATTGCTTGATCAAAGTCAATAGTGTATCCCAATTTATGAAGAAGAGAAACGTGAGACTTTTGTGTTGGTTTAATCTCATCATGACCATTCATCTCCGGTATTGGGAAATTAAATTGTGTAGCCATATCATAAATAAATTTAAAAGGCTCACCGCTCAGCTTCTTTCTCATGTACAATGAGGAACAAGAGCCATTGCATCGGGCACATAATTCCTGCCATGTCTCCGGATGATTGCAATTATAAAGTTTGAGGAAAATTCTTTGTGATTCCGATAATTGATCTGATGATGATGAAGGTTTTTCAATTCTCAACAATTGTTCTACTTTTCCAGGCACATTACTGACTATTGTCATTGCTTCTCGGTTTCCATTCATCAGCCTGTACACTACTTTTCCCAAAGGCTCGTACGCAAGAATACATTGTCCTTCTTTGACCATCCAAGTGATAGATTCCACTTTTCCTACTTGCTCTGGAAAATGTATCAAAGTATAATCATTTGAGGCATGCCGTAATTTAGTTAATTTCCGATGATGACTACTGTTGGAGGATGATGATGTTTCCGTACTTGTATTTACTTTTCGTTTCCGAATATTATCTCCACCATTCTCTTCATTACCATCTGTATTTAAAATTATGGAAGGATGATTCGGATCAATCATGGTAAGTAATACTTCTTTGTTGATGAACGAAGAGCAAAGCGGATGCGAAATTTTTTTTTCTTGAATTAAAACTATTCACAGTCAACCTTAAAACAATGTTGAATAATACGAGAGACAATGCATCAGGATAAACTGTTCATCCAAGCACTGACAAACCAGTATCCATTGGGTTTTGAACAGTGGTTTCTGATTTTTTTGGTTGGCATATGTCAAAGAGAAGAAAAATTTATCAATGAAACAGCAACATGAACAATCATTGCGCTCGAATTGTCTGAGTTCTTTCAATTTCATAAAAAAATATTCATTACAACTGTTTCATTACTTTCAACGATTCAATTTCACAAATGCCCACTCCCGATCAAATCACTCTCATCAAACAGAAATGGAATTCAGCAAAAGAAAAAGCACTCCGAATGACCAGTCAAGAATCTCTCGAAGACTCTACTTTTGAATATCATCACACCAAAAAGAATGTCGACGTTTATTCATGCAAACAAGAAGGAGAGAGCGCATTAGTGATTCGAGGAGATGTTATTTGTGAAAATGTCACTCCGGAGGAATTTGTTCAACCCTTATTGTCAGTGGATATGAAAATTAAAAAGTTATTGGATCCACTTGTGAAACGTGTGGAGCTGATTGAAAGTTGGAACGATGAGGATGGAGAGTGGAGAATTTTGTATTATGTCGTCTCTGCTGGAGGTTTGTTTTTTTTCAATGAGTTGTTGTTCGAAATAATTGATCTCATTTCGAAAATTTTACAATTATAATTTCACATCCAATGAATGGACACAACATTGTGGAAAATTATAGCTCCATTTGTTTCAGATCGAGATTTCCTCTACGTATTGAGATTTCACAAAACAGATTCCTTTACCTATTTTGTTTCTACAAGCATTGATGGAATTTATGAGCCGCCTTCCTCGTTTGTACCTCATAAGGGAGCAGTTCGTGGTACCAACGAATTTGTGTGTCAAAGATATGTACCTGAGGAAGGTAATGCTGCGAATATTATGGTGACATATTCGAGTCTCACATTACCCAATGGATGGATTCCACAAAGTGTTGTAAATTCTGCTATTTTCCCAGTTCCTCTTGGTTTGGCTACTGCAGCTGAATTACTGAATAAGAAGTTGAGAACTCGATCAAATTCACCCTCACTCAACAAGTAAACGAATTGTTCAATAATTTTTTTTTCGTTCGAAATTATTGAATTCCATTCTTCGATGCTGATACTAAAAATTGCTCATAAGAAAAAGATATGCCAAAAAAGTTTTGGTGATAGTCGGGATTGAACCGACGACCAATGGCTTATTAGACCAACGCTCTACCGACTGAGCTATATCACCTTCACATTATTGTTAATGTTTTGTCCATAATATACCCATTTTTTCAACAATGAATAGCAATGTTGGAATTTTAGAGCCAATGAATTTGTGGAAAATCAAAGGAAGTGGGTGGAATTACTTTTGGAAATAGAAAATAACAAGGTCGAAATTTCATGGAGTGTGATTTGAAATTTCACATTGTAAAAGTATTGTTTTAAATTAATATTATTATTTCAAATTAATACAAATAAGGAAGGATATATTTTTCAAACAAATCTCTTCTCTCTACCCATTGCATATGCAATACATTTGGAACACTCTCAATAATTAATCTCTTTTGCATGTCAAGAGTTTTTAATCCAAATACGTCTCTCACATAAACATCTTGCTCTTGCATGGGTGAAATTTGTAATTGCATTGTATTGATATCCAGTTTGTAAAATCCGAAAAATGCAGAAAAATAAGGATGGATGACTTCATCTTGAGGAGAGCCCGTCAGAATCATCTTGTCGATTTGTAGAACATTTTCTCGAAAATTGTAAAGTCGAGCATAATCGGTAGTGAGAGAATCATTGTTGACAATGGTAAGAAATTGATTATAGAGCCGGTATTCCAAATAGTGATAAGGCTATTTATCCAATAAAATAAAGATAAATGAAAAATTATTATGAAATGTCAGTAATCCAACAATGTCAAGTTCAATAATAAATTTCAAAATAATTTCCAATACTTACATCCTTCCAATAATTTGCAACACTCAACGTCTTTTGAAAGAAATCGGTATAAAACACTCGATACACCTCTTCCTTAGTCATATTCCACAACCATGGGAATTCCTGATGTAACAATTCCAATACCGAATTCGTCGGTTGCGGAATTCCAAATTCTCCATTCTGAACTCCACTCAAAGAAATAAACACTTTCACTCCATGATTTTTCGTTAATTGAATATACGATCGACATAACAATCCTCCCTGTGAATGACAAATCAAATGAAATTCCGAAAATCCAATTCTCTGTTTCAATTCATTCACCTTGTTTGCAAAATCAGCAATTTGTTCCGTCATGGGTTTCAACAAGGATTGAACGGTATTCTCTGAATTGACCGAAGTAATAAATGTACCTGGAGGTGCCACTTGTCGAATAAAGTTCTCTAATGTGGACATGGATCCATTATCAGCAGTCACTCCATGCATCAACAAGATCGGAAGAAATGGAGTTGATGATTTCTTTTCATGAAGGGAAAATCGTATTTGTGACACCTCTTGTGGAATGACATGTTCTTGTTGTTCTTGTTGTTCTTGTTGTTTCATAATAGAGGATGACGAAAGAGAAAGTGAATGTACAATGTGAATGAACATGATCCATGAGAATAGGAAGAGAGTCATTCCCAAGCCAGACGGAAGGATGGAATGAGGGAGAGTTGAAGGAGGCATTTTGTTGTGCGTTGTTGGAGAGAATGATTTTTGAGTAGTATGTGAATGTTCACATGTGAGGGAAAGTTTTTTTTGGAATCTTCTTCGATCGGAACAATGAAACAACAAAAACATTGTCTTGTGGTAGTTAATTTGACGAAGCAAGAGTTGAGAACTGTAGATGAAGAAACAATAATTATTTTATGGAAGTATGAACAAGATGTTGTAAATGATTTGAAATGATTTGAAACTTCACGATGAAAGTATTATTACTGTCAATCTCATCTATTAGTAAAGGCAAATCAAAAAGGTCATGGTGTTATCGGTTCCTCAGTCATCAAGAACTTTGATTCAATCAAGAATGAAATAGATTGGGCAAAGCAGAATTCAGGTCCTCCTCGACGTGCATGCGGCAGCTTTCTTGTCGAATATTTCAGAAGGATCCTCAAAAAGATTCTCAATTTCGAAAACAAAAAAATTATCTTGCGTATTGAGTGCTATTGGTTGTGCTGCCACCGTAACCTAATCCCACCAACAATTACGCAATTCCAACAACAACAATTCTTCACAATTTTTGTCATTTGACAGATTTCTGACATTCTCCGAGCCGCATCAACCAACCACTCTTATTCCAAAAACATTTCTTGTTAACAACAAGATATCAACAACCACTACTCTGGCAGCACAATCAATCACATCGAAAAAAACTCTCTATATTCTTTATATTTCACCTATATATTTATTATTATTGAGTCTATTCGTTTGAGATCTTAAAAGCTAACTAACCACAACAACAACAATTCTCCAAAGCCACTCCTACCACTACTAACTTGGTGCATCCAATCAAAATCTATTTTTGAGACTTTTTGATTTTGATTGAATTCCATCTTCACATTCCCAATCTCTTTCTCTCATTGCAATTGTTGGCCATTCAATCAAGATCATCACCCCAAATTCTCTCTCGGTCTTTAACGTGTTGTTGTTACTCTCCGAGCTCGCATATTGATTGAAGTCCACGTTTATTTCTAAATTGTGCTTGCATAGGGCCAAATTAATCAATTTCCTAAATTGGTTATTCTTAGAGTGTGTCTTTTTGTGCACAAAAACCACTGTTTGGACTTTTTCGTGTTATTACGCCAAGCCTCTCTCTCATTCCTCCTTCTCTTCCTATCAATATAAGATTGGGTGAAAAAGATTATTTGAAACGCAAAAGTCTCCTCATCCCAATTACCCACGACATTGTCTGCCGAAACACAATTACGCAATTCCAACAAGTGTGTGTTTCTTCTCATCCCTACCACGAAGCGAAAGCTCACATTCACTCCATCAAAAAACAACTCCAGCGCTTAAAAAAATGGACTCACCATCCTCCTTCGGCAACAGCTCGACGTTTGCCTCGTCGTCGGTTGGTGAATGCTCGCTGGGAAGCACCGTTGCAGCCCGATGCAGCAACACTCCTAGGAGCAGTAACAGTAATATGATGATCAACAACACGAATGTTGGAAGTAGTAACAGTAGTAATAATATGAATGGATGTAATCCTTCTCATCAATCAGCCTCTTCTGTCGGAGGTTGTGCTGCGAATATTCCTCTCTCCATGGCACAACGATCTATGCAGTTTGTGCAGAGTAAGAATGAAGCATTTCGTAGAGATTCAATGAAGAGTATCATTACCAAGCAGAGAAAGACAAAAGATATCCAAGGACATGCCAGTACCGCTGCCAGCGAGTCTTTGAAACTTCGCTTATCGAATGAAAATGTACACATTCCTTCGAGACCTACAACAGAGAGTAGTAAGGATCAGAATATTTTAAACCATGACTATCGAGCCTCCTTCTCTTTATTTCAATTGAATGAAGATTACAAGAAAAGGCTTTCATCAAAACCAAGTTTCTCATCGTCTGTTCATGATTTTTTAAAGACAGTTGAAAGATGTCAAGCATTTTCTGCCAATTCCTTACCATCGCTGGACAAGACAATACTCGAAGACTACGACTCTATGAGTGCTTGCAGTTTAACACCAGCAGCAACAAACAACTTTTCTTCATTTCAAGACAAACCTTCCAATCCAACCCTCAATTCCTCACTTGTAAATTACTACAGCTCTAATTACAAACTAAAGACAGGCGTACCTGACCTCCATACCCACCACTCCAACAATTCCTCGTCAGGTATTATCACTCATGAGGAAGACGACAATGACGCCTTTCCACTTTCCACCAAACTGAAAAGAATGATGACTCATCAGAAAGAGCATCATGAAAGCAAACTCAGAAAGCAAGACGCTAAAGAGGAAAAGGACAAGAAGCTCTATCTTTCTATTGAACAAAGCTTACCCGCAATGGTCAATGTTTTCACATTGGACAATCAACACCTTCTGGACAGTAGCATTGTCCTTTCCATTCAAAACGTGAATGATCGACAGTCCTTTGTCATTGACCCTCGATTCAATATTCCAAGTTTGAAGAAGGGAGAAAAATTTGTTCTCTCCGTTCACAACAGACACTTGAAGCCTGTTAGATTTTGTATCATGTTCAGGGATCCTTCAGGCACTCACGTGTCAATCTATCCAAAGAAAGTCAAATTATTACAATCACTCGAAAGTGATTTAGAATATCTCCCTTCCAAGGAACAAGTGTCACAGGTTTTTGACAGCTCTTTGCTTCCAACCATTGCTGACATGAAGACATCATCCTGCAAAGTTTCTCTCATCTTGATGGCCACCACTCACATCAAGATTAACAATGCCATCTCTGAAATTTGTTCAAGAATTCAAGGAGTGGAGAAGAATCCAAATTCTGTTAAAGCTGCTATTATGGACAGAGACAAACAGCAACATCATCCTCTGCTTGAAGATTCTTCCTCCTTTAAACGAGTGTCCTTAAAATCGATTGAATTGATTATTGAAGATAATTAATGGCCAAATGAAAGGTTCACAAAAGTCACATGGGTCTCTTTTAGACTTGGGTAAACAATAAAACCTTTTCCTTCCTTATCCTGGATCTTGTTAGATTGAATTGTTGTTCTGTTTCTTAAACTGAGAGCGGGTCTCATGTTCCCTCTAAATTCTCCCGTTTAAAAACGTTGAATAAAAATGCCTCAAAAGAAACGCAAAGACCCACCACCGAAAGAAGAACCAAAAAACAACACCATTCTTAAAAAACAACATTTCAGTACAATCCATAACAAAACGGATTCGGAAGCCCATGAAGAAAACAAGCCAACACAAAATGAAAACTTTCCTGTAAAAAAGAAATCAAAGAGAGAAAGGTAAGAATATCTGATTTGTGGTGGTATCGAATATAGAAAATTGACATCACTTCTACTGAGTAGATTTGATCTTAAAGAGGTCCCACAAACGGTTCTGCAAAACAAGATCTTTCTAAAAGATGAGGATGTATCAAAAAATCACTCAGCTCAATGTATTAAGCTTGTCTTAATTGGAGAAGAGATCTATTCCTTCATTCCAGACGAAAAATTTGATGCCATTTCACGAAACGACAAAAAGATTCAGAGTGGAATAATACAGTTAGGAACAAACATGGTCTGTCCAGTCGTTCTCAAAAAAAGCTCCTCTGAAGAAAATTGGAACACACATTATGCGAGCAAAGTGATGAGAACCTTGTATGTTGAAACACGTGGAGACTTGATCAGCTTGAAAGGCATTCCTTTGCATGAACAACTAGGGAAGAATATGGCCCTCAATGAAGTCAAACGAATGGTATGCCATATATTATGCCAAATTTCATTTCTTGAAAAACAAGGATTTGTTCACAATGATGTGAAACCCGAAAATATTGTGAAATATGATGAACATTATTTTCAAATTGATTTTGAAATTTCCAAGAGATTTGATTATAACAAAGAAGAATATCAAGCATCAAAAGGAAAATGCACGCTGGATGGAGTTCCTCTAACATCTAGATCACACTCTCCAGGATATCGTGCTCCAGAAAGAGAGCAACATCATTTGATCTCTCCAAAAAGCGACATGTACTCCCTTGGTCTTGTTATATTAAAATGTTTTGGTTTGAGTTTTGAAAAGATTCATGAAACCAAGGACAGAACTATTGAGCACGATATTAAGCATGAACTGAAACGGATATGTGGTACAGATTCAATCTTCTATGAGGTTGTTTTGAATTTATTGGAATATGATCCTGAAAAGAGAACGTTACCGGATGGTCTGTTGTTTCTATTTACAGACGCTAAGACTGTTGTGAATTACTTTTTTGAAGCGAATGCGTTTAAAAAGAAATACTTTCCACCCAAACCATTCCAACAAGTTTGTCCACAGGAACTATTTTGAAATCAATTCCTTACACGAAACACACAATTTTACTCAATTTCCACATCTGACATTACTAATAACGAACACTTAAACAAAGGTTGGGAATATTTTTTCGCTTTTCCTTACTCTTCTCTGATATCAAAATTTTCACATCTTCATCGTTTAACAAGTCCAAATGCACAGCAACTTTTACCTCAATATTTTGTTTCAACGCCTCTAACACAATTTCCTTATCTTTTCTAAATTCAAAGAGAGTATGGAGCAAAGCAAGTCCATGTGCTTTCACAGCTTTCAAAACTAACTCTCGATCATGTTGAAGTCGATAAGAGGCATTCGCTAGAGCCAATTCATTCTTTTCTACAAGCTCGTTCATCAATTCATCATCATCCGAAAGTTGTAACATTGTATAACATAAGGCTTGTGGATTGTTCTTGACAGCTGCTGTCACAATTTCCAAATCTTTTCCAAATTCCACTCTTACATGTTGCAAAGCATTGCCTTCGCTTTTCACTGCTTCCAATATAATTTCTCGGTCCTTCAAGAGTAATGGATCAGTAATGTATGCAAGTGCTTCACCGTTTTGTTTCACTGCAGTCATGACTATTTCTCTATCATTCATGAAATGAGAAGGAATATCCACCAAACCATGTTCAAGTGCTGTTTTGACAATTTCTCGATCTTGCTTGAATTTGGGATCTGCATCATTGAGAGCACTTCCTTTCTTCGACACAACAGACAGCACAAATTCTCGATCAGACCTAAGTGAATCGGAAGCATAGACAAGAGCCGAATCGGATTGTTCTATAATTTCCCTCATGAATTCTCGATCCGCTCGTAAGTTGAAAAGATGATCGTAGGCAAGAATAGATGGACAGTTTTTGACAGCTTCCATCATAATTTCCTTGCCCTCCCAAAAGATGTCATGCATGTAAGGTAATAAATATCCGCACTTTTTCACGATTGCTAACACTACGTCTCTATCCTGAAGAGGCAAATAATGTTGGAAAAAAGGATTTTCGACATGCTCAATGGTTTGTAATATCAATTCCCTATCATATTTCAATTCAGGACAAGAGACATAGTGTAGTGCATCCGTGTTATTTTGAATGGCGTTGGTGACAATTTCACGATCATTTCTAAGTCTATAAGTTGCACCCATGATTGCGTTGCCATCGTGCTTAACAGCATCCAATACAAATTCTCGATCATCTCTAAAGGACTCGTCTACGTAGCATAGCGCACGTCCACAGTGTTGAACCACACTCTTTATAAATTCTCTGTCAAATCTCATCTCGTCAGGAGCGAAACGCAACACATCAGGTTGCAATAAAACGATCGATTTCAAGAGATCCATGTCTTGGAAAATATTGATTCCAGCAACATAGAGGGATTTAGGGTCTAATGCGATGGCGTGAAGAACAATTTCCTTGTCTTTTCGTAACTCTTCAGAAATTTCTGCAAATGCACTTGTACATCCATTCTTGATAGCAGTCAAGACAATTTCTCGATCTTGAAACATGACTGGATGTGCATACTGTAATGAATAACCATTTTGGACCACCGCTGCTAAAACAATTTCTCGATCTTTCTTGAAGGTGTCATCAAGGTATCGTAGATTGAACCATTAAGCTTGACCGCATCAAAAACAAAAGATCTGTCCTTCTTGTATTCGTCACAACAATATAAGAATGTCTGTTCGTCCCTCGAAGCAGCTTGTAAAATCATTTCTTATCGCGCTTCAATTCGGGAGAGGTGTAATAAATGGAATCGGGTTGTCTCTTGATGGCAGCAAGTAATAATTTCTATTGTATCGTATTCTTTTATCCATATTTCTGAAATCATATGAATTGCATTGTAACATTTCCAAGGCAATATCGTCATCGTTAAGCAAGTCACGATCAATACTTTCCGCAAGTTGATAATGTGTTTTAGCTGCAAGAATTATCAAGGGTTTGTCAATTTTTCCACACACATAATCAAGAGCCTTTCCGTTTTGAAGTATAGCTTCTCGGATAATTTCAGAATCCTTTCGTAACTCCTCAGAAGCAAATTCTAAAGCTTCTCCATTCTGTTTGACAGCAGCTAACACAATCTCTCTATCACATTGTAATGATGAATGTGCATATTGGAGTGATAAACCATTATTTTTCACAGCATTTAGTACAATTTCCTTATCTTTTTTCAAACTATCACAAATGTAGCTAAATGCGTTGTAGCTGATGTCAGGGCCGTGTTTGAATGCTTTCAAAACTAGATCACGATTGCTTCTAAGCCTCTTGCTTGCATGCTTTAACGCTTCGGCACTACGTTTGATTGCCATCTCTACAACTTCGTAATCGTCTTTGAGATCATACGAAGCATATTCTAAAGCTAGTGGATCATTTCTTACAGCAGCCATAACAATTTCTCTATCTTGTCTCAAACTTGTATCTGCAAGTGCAAGCAATGATCCATTTCGTGACACAGCAAGCATGGTCAGTTCTTTATCCGTTCGTAATGTATAGTGTGCATATCGATAGTCGTATGAATCGGTCTCAATTGCCAATTTGACAATTTCTCTATCCTGCTTAATACATAAATCCGTATTACAAAGGCTGATATAATGGTATCTCAGTTCAAACAGCTTTTTAACAAGTGTGTTGTCTCCTCTAAATTTCGCATCTACGTGTTGAATGCATGAAGGTGAAATTCTAAGGGCTCTCATCACAAATTTTCATCTTGTTTCAATCGATGACTGGCATACTTCATCCTTCACTACTATCAGCAATAGCTCTCTCAATAACTTCAGGATCATCTCTGAATTTACTGGCTACAAAAGGTAATACTGAAGTACCACCAAAGGTTACTGCAAAAAGCACAATCTCCTTGTCATTCTTCAACTCATTACCTGCAAAACGAAGCATATAGGAGATTGTGCAACAGCTTTTCTGAGAATGTCTTTGTCCTTTCTCATGTCTTCATCAATAAACTGATATAGGGAGGACTTGTCTGCATCAACTTCATAATAAATTCTTTATCCCTTCTCAAAGACGAATCTGCATACTTGATGTAATAGGGACTGGCAATGGCCGCTATGGACACAATTTCTTTGTCTCTCTTGAGAGTGTCATCAAGTTTCTGTAAAACTGAAGGATCTCTCTTCAACGCTTCCATTATAACTTCACGATCTTGTTTGAGGTCATCAGAAGCATAGTCAAGGGCGTATCCATTTCGTTTAACACACTCCATCACAATTTCCTTGTCGTTATTCCATTCTACTGCGTAATGAATTAATGGGGATGATGAGAAGGAGGCCGCTTGTAGAATAAATTCTCGATCTGACGCATACTCTTGTGGTAAATACTTGTAATTAGATGGCTGATGCTGTAATGCTTGAAGACAAACACTCCTATCTTTTCTGAATTTGTGAGGAATGGATGACAGAGATACACCTGACAGTAGTGCTCCTTTAATCACGTCGGGGTCGCTTTTCAACTCTTCGTTTAAGGAGTGATAAAAATGTAAGGATCCTCGCTTAGCGTATAGTTTAACAATTTCTGGGTCTTGTTTAAATGCCAATGGAAGGTATGAATAACTAAGTCCCATGATGACTGCTTGTTTGATGAGGGATCGATCTTTCTTAAATGCCATTGGCACGTAGCGTAATGTATTTCCATCATTATTGACAGCCTGTGTGATAAATTCAATGTCACTTTTGAACGGTTTCCACAATTGCTCGAACTGATATGGATTTTTCTTAATTAACTCCAACATGATCTTCTTATCATGCTGGAATTTTTCATCAAAATCTAAAATATTCAAGCCATAGCTACTATCAGAAGTCACTGCTCTCCATGCAAGCTCTTCATCTTGTTTTAAACTATCATCAATATATGCATAATTGCACCCATATATATCAATGGCCTGAATTGCTAAATCTCTATTTTTCTTCATAAGAGGTCCAAAATACTGATAAGTGTCTGAAGAAAGAACAGCTTGGCATAGTTCAGCGTTATCTCGCAAATCACTGCTAGCATATTCAAGGGAGCCTCCATTTTTCACAGCTTCCAAGACAATTTCAAAGTCATTTTTCAGTTCAGTAGCACAATACGCTAAGCAATGGCCTTGGATTCTTACAGCTTCCATAATTACCTCTCTGTCTGCTTTAAGCTCAGGGCTTGCATGCATGAGAGCATTGGAATATGAGCCGCTTATGGCAGTAAAGAGTAATTCCTTATCAGCCTTCAATTCATCAGAAAGTTCTTCAAATAAATAACCATTCTCTTGTAAAAGATCAGATACAAGTTCCTTATTGGATTTAAACTGGTCGCCAATGTATCTCAAAGCAGAAGATTGGTTCTGTATGGCAGCCATTACACACTCCTCATCGTTTTTAAGCTCATCAGAGGCGTATCTAATACTCTCTCCTCCAGAAAAGTTGATTGCCATCATTACAATTTCCTTATCGCTTGTAAATTCTTGATTCATGCCTGACAGTGAACAGCCATATCTTATTGCGTCCTTCACAAACTCTCGATCATTTTTCAAGTCGTCTCCAACATTGTTAAAGGACCATGAATTTCGTTTAATACATAGAGTAGCAATTTCTCTGTCATTGATGAACTGTGAAGGGATGCTACTCAAGTCACATCCCAATTTCACAGCTACAATACCATAGTTCTGTCATTCTTGATATCATCTCCTGCGTCATTAATGCTGGAGTTGTATAAACAGTGTACATTATGTCAGAAAAACAAAAGCAAATACTCAAAACGTCAACACATACCTTTGTGGTGCTGTTTTTACAGCCTTCATAAATATCTCCCTATCATTTCGAATGACATCAGAGAACACTCGAAATGCATCACCATCCATTTCAACTGCAGCAAGAGCTACTTCTCTATCATAGAGTAAATTCTCTCCAAGATAATCATAGGCATTTCCAGAACAAGTACGAATGATTTTTAACATGAACGCCTTGTCATTTCGCAAACTTTCATCAGCATAACGAACGGATGATGCATTTGAACAACAAGCCAAAAAGACTAATTCACGATCTTTTGCAAGCTCCGTATTTTCAACCAAAGACAAATGGTCTCCATCATTTTGAACTGCTATCATCATTATTTGTCGATCACACAAAATATTTTGTGAACAATGATTGATACAGTTAATATTGGCTTCCAGTGCTTGAAGAACAATCTCTCTGTCGCCTCTTAAATCCTCTTGCGCCTGTTTGAATAGTTCTAATACCTCTTCATAATCTTCTTGTTTGAGTTGAGAAAGCATTTCATATTTTCTCTCATAAAAGTCCACAGTGGTTCTTGCTTTGGTTTGCATGGCTCCTCTGAGCAAGCCATACAATGAATTATTCATCAAATCATTTTCAGGAAGTATAATGCTGGTGAGAGTGTGATTCACGAATTGGCCAGTACTACTACCCTGGCAAGTATCGGAGTGTGGATCCGTCATGACATTTTCTTGGCTGGATGCCATCTCAATGCTGGAAGGACGATGATGGCAATTTTTTTGGGCTGGAACTTGCTGGAAATTCGTCTTCTCGTTGTTGGTTTGTAACAAGCAGGATGATTGCGTGCAAGAATGAAATTGTTTTTCAACGGAATGTTCTTTCATTACTGTAGATCTCTCTTGTACAGGGAGCGTACTATTTGTTTCTTTCCTTTCTTCGGCTGAAGAACCTTCTGAAGAATAAATTGCAATTCCATCATGATTCACCGAAGAAGAAGGTTCTGTTCTGTTGGAAACGGAAGAATTCTCTTCTACTAACCCTGACGATCCAACGACATTCTCCTCATGAGAAGTTTGTTTCAAAGGAATTTCAGCCTTTTCTTTGCAAGTTTCTTCACCCGAATTCGAGGAAGCATGTTCTGGTTCTTCAACGTTCTTCAGAGCTTTTTGAGTAGAACAAGCAGATCCCATATTCAAAACAGTTGTTCGAGTTGGATTTGATCTCAATGATTCTGACTCTTTTCTTTCTAATAATTTACAATGAACTTTTAAGAAACATTTTCATGAAGATACTACATGGATTCAAGAAGAGATATTTTTTTGGTTCTCAATTCGGGAAGGAGACATTAAGGTTGCATTGTACTCATGAAATAATAAGGTCAGTAGCATGAGCTCGTGTTGACTGTTAAAGAGAAATTGTATTAGATGTCACGAAAAGGACACCAACTGACACTTACTGTTTTTCAATTACTGGACAACTAATCTTGTAAAATCTTGCTGAGCTCTGTTGATTACTCAAGTTCCAACAAGTTGATCCAGCAAGTAACCATTCATCCAGGTTTTAACGAGGAAACGAGTCACCTTTTACTGTAACCTTTCCAAAGATTAAAAGGTTCCTCGCTTCGAACAAACCGACAATTCACAATTCATCAAGACAAAAAAATGTTTGGCTATCAAGCTCCTCCTCTGAGTGCCTTCAAATCCTCCTTCACATGTCCGCTCTGCCACACACTCAACAACTCTCAAGACATTCGTAAAACCTCTGCCGGTAAAATCTATCGAATTTGTTCACATTGTCATCGAACCATTGATTTACATTTCCCACCCGAACAAGTCGTTACGGAATGGAAACATACGAGTCGATGTGCTAGTTGTACTGTACGGATTATCGTCCTGTTCAAGGAATTGAATGTCAATGTGGTCATTTGGGAAGTTATCATGTTGCTGGAAGAGAGCCAGTTCAAACACGGAATCAACCAGCGAGAACGATGAAAAGCGAATTAATTGCTGGATCGTATGATGCTTCGTCTCATGATGATTTGTAGAGGCTGGATTTATAGTTTGAGACAAATTGTCACACTTTTATGATTTTGATGAAAGAAATAATTTTATTATTATTTTTTCAAATTACTTTACAGTAAAGATCTTTTCATTGAATTTAATTTCGCACCATGTTAATTTTTAAATGCACACCCTTTTCATGTAGCACGAAAGAACATTTAATTAATACAGAACTTTGTTCTTTCTGAAACAATTTCAAGAGGTTACCTTATTACGTCATCGAATTGACCAACCCCTCAGGAACAAGGAACTCTTACGCATCATCACAACACCAAAAAAAAATAAGACAAGTCTTCAACGCTCCTTTCAACAACATCCACTCTTTTTTCTATAGTGATTGTATTGCACTACTGTCTTGCATTACCATCAACATCATTATTTCTTTGTAACATATTTCAAACTATCCATCAAGTTGTAAAATTTTCTCCCTATCGGAACCATGATTACTTCATCCACTACGATGCAACGAAAGGAAATTTCTGTGAAACCACACTTGGATCCATACCATTACTTGATTAATAATACAAGTGGAAAGGGATTTCGTTTCAAGTTAATTGAGGCTTTTAATGTTTGGTTTAAATTATCGGAAGAAGAATTACGAGTTGTTCAGAACATTGTGGATAAATTACATAATGCTAGTTTGTTAATTGATGACATTGAAGATAATAGCAAGCTGCGAAGAGGAAAACCTTGTGCTCATTTGATTTACGGAACGCCAGCCACTATCAATTGTGCTAATTATGTATATTTTGAAGCTTTGAAAGACATTCAAAAGTTGAATACAAGCTTTGCTGGCGACAATGGACTTAATGCATTTTCCGATGCCATTTCCATCTTCATGGATGAGTTATTACTGCTTCATGAAGGACAAGGAAGGGATATTTATTGGAGAGACAATGGAATTTGTCCATTGGAAGATGATTACTTACAAATGGTTCAGAATAAGACTGGTGGCTTGTTTAGACTGGGCGTTGGTTTAATGAAGGCAATTTCTAGAAATGAGAAGAGCAAGCAATACGACTTTACTACGCTTGTAAATTTGTTATCTGTTTTGTTCCAAATTTTGGATGATTATCTCAATTTACAAAGTGACATTTATCATACCAATAAGAGTTATTGTGAAGACTTGACTGAAGGAAAGTTTTCGTATCCAATCATTCATTGCATTACTGAGCAAGCGAAGAATGGAGATACTCGATTGATTAACATTTTGAAACAGAAAACATCTGAGAAGCTATTGAAGGACTATGCCTTGGAGTTAATGACGGAGACAAACAGTTTTGCTGTCACTCTCGAAAAACTCGGAAATGTCTATCAAGAATTGACGAAAGAAATGGAAAAATCAGGAGGCAATCCTTATCTAGAAAAGATTGTAGAGGGTCTGATGACTAGTGCAAAGCAAGTCGATAAGAGCGTCTAAATTTTGCTGGCTAGACAGCTTCCTGTGAATTGTAAATTTCCGTGTACATAGTGATTTCGACCGAATGTACAAAAGACTTATTTACTTATAAATTTAAGAATAAACATCTTCATCTTGTTTGAACGTCTCATTGCCTCTACGCAAATCCTAAATTCTTGAGTTGCATCATGTGTTGGTACATATTGGCATTTCCTTTTGCGAATCCAAGCCTCACTTTCGCTTCACCTATCTTGGCATTATCTTTAGACCTTTTTGCAAGCTCAAAACTTCTTTCAAAATAGCGAACGCTGTCCTCATGCTCTCCTTTCATTCCTAACACCGTGCCTAGTTTTGTGCACGCATGACCAATCTTGTTGTCATCACAAATTTCCTCAGCAAGCGACAGGTAGGTCTTGTAAATGTCTATGGCCTTGTCCATCTCTTGAGTTTGCTCATACAGCTCTCCCAGAGCACAATAAGCATCTGCCTTTCCTACTTTATCGTTCATTTCCTCACAAACTTGAGTGTACATTTGCTGATACTCGATGGCCTTATCGAGGTCCTGCATTTCCTTATAAATATTTCCTAGATTGTATAAAGACGATGCTGTCATTTCTCTATCTTTGAGTTGTTTTGCATTCTTCAAGCTTTTATCATAGAACAAACACGCATTGTGCAAGTCACCTTGTTTGACTGAATCTTCTGCCATTTTTACATAAACGCGCCACAATTGATTGAGGGCTCGTTCTTCTTGGGCCGTATCTCCTGACGAGTGAGCGAGACTCATGTGAGCTTCATGATATTTGGCAGCCATATTTGCTTGTCCCATTCGTTCATACATTTTTCCTGCATTTTCCTTTGCTAAACCTTCCAGGGCTGAATTTGAAGACTTTAAAGCAAGTAAGGAGCATTCAGGCGGCGCTGATTCACAACAGCACTAAAAAAAGACTCTCAATACTTACTCGTTTTGCAGTCGACTCGGCAAGATCATAAAAATAGTACATGGTATTGTAGTCTTTCTCTCCTTCAAAATAGTCTGCAATTTGTTTAAATATTTCATACACGTTTTCAAATTTTCCTCGTCTCTTATAGGACTCTGCCTTTACCAACCATTCCTTAATATCTCGAAGTTTGTCGTCCGAAAGTGAAAAATACTTGTCAGTAATATCATCCACAAGCTGCATCAATATATTTCAATATTATTCATACCAAATGTCAACAAAGTTTCCAACAACTCAAACTTACCACTGGCTCTCGATGGGCTAACGAAAATAATTCTTCAAATGCATCCACATATCCGTCCGCTAGAGTTTGAATGCAAAGTTTGGCTCGATTCGAGTGTGTAGTTGTGACAGTTCCTCCCAATAATCTTGAATCGGAACCTCTGGACGATGGTTTTTTAATTGGTTCTAGAGTGGCTGTATTTCTATCTACAATAATGTCGTCTTTCTTTCTGGCTGATAGTGGTGTCAAATCCAAGTCACTTGAGCTGCTCCTATGAGATTGCAAACCCTCTAGCAATGATGATGTATCTTTTAATGATTTCTTTAAACTGTCTTCAAATTTTTCTCTACGGAAATCCTCATCAAGAATTGGCGTCAGCAAGGGATTAATATGTGATCGAGTGCTGAGCGCAGATCCAGAGCTTTTTCCACTTTGTGGTCTCTCGCTGGAGAGCTGAGAAATTGAAGGAATTTTTGATTTCAATAAAGAGAGGCCATGCTCTTCCGAAGGCAATTTCGGAGCCTCCTTTTTGATTTTTGTTTTTTTCTTCCTTGTCTTTGATAAATCCTCCTCTTCTGCAGGAAGACCAAATTTTGCCGTATGAACATTAATTTGATGTTGAATATTCATTTGATGAAAAGCATGAGGAAGTTTTTTGGTTGAATTGTTCTTGGCTAACAATATTCCTCCATGCTTTGCCGTAAGGCCATTCATCGCATCCGATATAATTCCATTTGCTGTTGCTACGGGAGACAAGGTTGGCTCTACCGTCTTCATGGCACTTGCATTGAGCTCCTCTCTACGGTTGTGATGACTCACGACCACACTTCCATGACTTTTCAGTGACCGAGATGACATTTTTTTAAATTTACTGTAACTGCTTTAATTTTGAATTGGCGGGAGGATGACGCACGACAATTCGAATCAGGAAGAAAAAGTGGATGTCTGAATGCTACATGTTCAAAGGTTAAATTATTTGGGGAGGTTATTTTAATAACTTAGTATATGTACATTAGAAGAGTCCTAGTAGCAACAATACAGAGCGAGAGCTGATTGTCACCATAATATGATGATCACTGTGTGGGTCTTGGTGTTTGCGCGATAACACAATTTAATCTTCTCTTGCCTTATCACGTGCTTTGGATCTGGCAGTTCTGGCGCTGGCAGCTTGCTTCTTCGATCTGTCGGCCGTTCTTGGTCCTTCCACTTTGGAGGATTCTTTGAGGTTCTTCTTCTTTTTGGTGGTAGCTGGCTTGGCAACTCGAGGAGCCTTCTCCTCCTTCTTTTTCTTTTCCTTCTTTTCTTTCTTCTCCTTTGGAGCCTTCTTTTCTTTGGCTTCCTTCTTCTCTTTCTTTTCCTTCTTTTCCTTCTTCTCTTTCTTTTCCTTTTCCTCTTCGCTTTCTTCTTCCTTTTCCTTCTTCTCCACGACAATATGGTTCTCTTTCATGTAGCTCTTCTTAAAGTTTGGTTCAAGTTTATAAGAGGCTTTGACCTTTTGGAGTTTTTCCTTCTCCACTAGCGAGTGAAGAGCCTTCCTAAGGTGTGGTCCATAGGATTCTGGTAATTCATACTTCTCTTCCATGTATTTCTTGATGGCTGGTAAGCTGGCTCCGGTTCTTCCCTTGTTGAGTTGAATGATCGCCTCGCAAACCATATCCTTGTATTTAGGATGATCGTATGATTCCTTCTTGCTTGATGATGCCTTTCTTGCGGTCATTGTGATTCGATGATCAGATCCACTTGTGGTGTTGATTTGTTTTTTTTTGTTTGAAATTTTTAACGGTTTTTTGGGACCACTTTTATCCATGAGAGATTCACATGCTTGCTCGCTTTTCTTGTCGAAAGGGCCTGAAAAAAATTCGAGCCACTTTGGAATTTGAGCCGAGTTTACAAAAATTCAAGCGACTCTTGACAACCGCACAAGAGGGCACAGTCAACAACAGCATTCACAAAGGTTGCAACTGCAACAATACTTTATCTGAGAGGTTCGCGTTGATCAATCATACAACTCATTCGAGGAATAATGAAACGAAGAATCGTTCATCCTTCGAATAAATTTGTTTCTCTTCTCAATCTCTGCGTCCTTAATTTCCAACTCTCGTTCTAACATTCGTAGTCGTTGTTCGTCCTTCGCTCTGGACCTGTTCATGTCATTCAAAACGTTCTTTAAATTTTGATTTTCTCTCAAAAGGTCATCATTGAAATTGGAGTTGGTCTCGACTTGTGATATATAGTACTCGAGTTGAGATTTAAGCTGACGATTCTTCTCCTCTACATCATCAAGCTGGCTGTTGAGAGCGGTTATGGTTTCATCTCTCGAACGAACATGCTCGAATGATGGAAATGACTCCTCAGTTTGAACCCAAGCGTTGAAAGAGAGTGGATCTTTCTGCTTGGATTGAAGCTTTTCAATGGTTGCTGTGTGTTGTTTGACACTTCTCTTATACTTGTTCAATTTTTGCTCCAAAAATGATATCTTGTCCTTGAGGCTGGTGTTTTCAGTGATGAGAGATGTTACTTGGTGTTGGCCCTCTTGTTCCCGCTTTTTGAGAATGTCAATATCGGTGGCTCCCTTTTCGCATCGCAACCTAGTTTCAAAAATTTCTCCTTCCAATTTTTCTTTTTCTTTTTCGAGAGATTTTACTCGTTCTTGTGCCATTTCCTTCTCCAATTTTTCATTGTATAAATCAGTTTCGTATTTCTTAATTTTTTGTTCAAAGTTTTTGTCACGTATTTCCTCTAGTTGTTTTTGTAAATAATCTGTTTCAATTTCCAATGCTTTAACTCTAGTTTCTTTTCTTTCAAGCTGTATTGTGGATATCCACACATTGTAATGATATTAGTGTGAGTGAAAGAAGTCATTTACAATTCATTGTGACATCAGTTTGAGAAATGAGTAAAGTGAAAAAACATACCTTCTCTTTGAGAGCAACAATTTCTTCTGTGGTTTGCTGGATTTGTTGTTTTTTCTGTTCATGCTTGTGGTGACGTTTCTTTTCCTTCTTTTTACATTCGTTCAAACTCTTTTCAAGAGTGGCAAGTGCAATTTGTTGCTCTTCGTGGGATCCTGAAAAGGTGATAGCAAAAATTAATTCGAAACTTTTACAATTAATTCTAACTTACGTTTCACGAGTTCATGTTTTTCTTCCGTTGCTCGCAAAGTTGACTCCATCTCAGTTAATTTCTTTCGGTACCATCTATTTTCCGATTTGAGAGTATCACATTCGATAGCAAGCTTTCTTCGTTCGGCCTCAATTTCCTGAACTTTTGTTTCAATAACTTGAATGGCTGCAGTGTCTCTAAATGCAGGTTGTTTTGATGGCATCATAATGTCGGCGTGTTCCGGTTGTGTTTTCTTCGGGCTTTGAGGGTAATTAATTGTTTGAATGGTAGCAGTAAGGCTGGTATTAAGGAATGTATTATGCTTGTTATTGATAGGAATCGTGCTGATATTATTGATCACCGATGATGTTATGCTTTGATCGAGCTGTGCTAGAGAGGTTGTGGGCGTTGCTTTACTATATAATGATGGTTTCCAATCAGAAGGCATACGAATTTGTATTCTCTCGATTATCGACTGTTTGGATGATCCTAGAAAAATAATGTTGGAGCTATGGGTGGAGATGAGGTTGAAAATATACAGAGAGAGATTAAAAATTGCCTCAAGCCTTATATTGTCCTAGATGTTTGTGTTCAATGATTCAAAACTGTAGTTGCTTTTTTTTCGGGTGGGCAAAGAGAAATCGTTGGCGGGTTGTGTTTGAAGGCGGGATTTGTGTCCTGCTGTCAGATGTCTGTGGGAGATGAAGCATGGCCATCCTTCTGATGATTTGCAACGAAGAGAGATGAACCGACCGTAACGATTTTTTGTGTATGGTCTCTTGCCGTGCAATACTAGCATTGTTGGCTCACAGTTTCTGTCAGCGATTGAGTCTTCAAAGAATGATTTGCTTTCGGATGAATTGCATGGAATGAATCATCACGAACGAGCAATTAGAAATCATAATTTGTTTGACGACGGTTCAAAAGAAAACGATGATGAATATAAGTATGAATTTCAGCAAGTTGATGATACTAATTGTATTGAATTCACAGTTTCGTGTTCTTCCGTGTGTGGTTGGCAAAGAGCTTCTTTTTCTTTTGTAATGCGCTTAAAAAAATTTCATCCATAAAAAATGCTCGGTTTCAGAAAGGTTTGTATCGTGATGATGTTACTGGTTTGATGAATTTATGGAATGAATCATTGTTGATTTCTGGATATGATGTTGTTGTGTGGATGATTCAAACTGGTTGTATTTGGATTTTCATGTTTGGATTTTTTCGGGTGAATTTTTGTTTGGCTCTATGGAACCAATCATCATCAAATTGCTCTTAATATTTTCTTACCGTGTTGGAAACATCATCATCATGGTCCGTATGGTGGACTTTTTCATCTTGCATCAACTATTTTCAAATGCGTGATGTAAAACCATCTCAACAACAAATATTTCCAAAAACATCAACTCCCTAACAACAACTCTGGACATCTTTTACGCTCATCATCATTATCATTGAAACCTTCATCATCATTATTATTAACAACCACTACAACAGGCCTTGCTCACCAATCCAAAACTTCTCATTGGTGCTGCCACAGGATTAACACTTGGAAGTTACCTCGTCTACAATAGCGTGAATAAATTAGAGGCCTCAGAAGGAGCTGCCATCCCTCCTGAATATCCATGGCCACATAAGGAACTCGCTGGTAGCTACGATGCTGCTGCTATCAGAAGAGGTTACAAGGTATACAGAGAAATTTGCAGTGCTTGCCACGGTATGAACGAAATTGCTTTCCGTAATCTCAATGTTGCTTTCACTGAAGAGGAAATCAAAGTTTTGGCTAACCAAGTTGATGTTGAGGGAGAACCAGACTCTCAAGGTGAGCCAACAACTCGTAAAGCAAAACCTTTCGATTATATGCAATCTCCATACAAGAACGAACAAGCAGCTAGAGCTATGAACGGAGGAGCTTTACCTCCAGATTTGTCAGTCATTGTGAAGGGTCGTCCTCACGGTGAAGACTATATTTTCTCATTGTTGACTGGTTATCAAGAACCACCAGCAGGTATCACTTTGAGAGAAGGTCTTTATTACAACGCCTATTTCCCAGGTGGTGCTATTGGTATGGCTCCTCCAATTTCTGATGGAGCTGTCGAATTTGATGATGGTACACCAGCCACTGTTTCTCAAATGGCAAAGGATGTTACGACATATTTGGCATACTGTGCTAAGCCAGACGAAGAACCAAGAAAGAAGATGGGTTTGAAAGTTTTGCTTTCGTTGTCACTTGTTATTGGCCTCTCATGGGTTCACAAACGTTTCAAGTGGAGCACAATTAAGAATAGAACTGTAGTCTTTAGGGAATAATTGTAGATTGGGCCAGTATATGGTTGGATTTTACAATTGATCATCAACAATACATTACATCATTGGAGAATGAATTATTATAATTTTAAATGGTTTTTTGAAAATAATAATTAAAAATTGATAATTTCTTTTGGTATTTTTGATGTCATCGGAATTGGAATGTTGAGGATTAAATTCAACACTGCTAAATTGAAAGATGGAACAGTGCTCGTGAAATGAATTTATTGAGCAATTTTAGTAAAGTAAATGCCTCCAAGAACGACAGCAACACCGACAGCTAACAAAATCTTCACCATTGAAGAATCAGAGGAAGCTTCGTTCGATGATGAAGAAGTGGTTGTTTCATCAGCACTTGATGACGATTTGTAGCCTGCCAATTCTCCCACTAGCAATGACTTTAATCTATTTCTGGCATCTTTAGAGTGTCCAACATTTTCAAATGCTTCAGAGGCATCAGCTCCGGCGTGTTCCAACAAGATATCCTCACCACCAGGATGTTCATGTTTATAATCGGTGATGTCATAGACTTTTCCGTCCACAACAATCCATTGTGCTTTGGCGTTATCTTCGTTATGTTCTTCAAGTTCTTGCTTGGTAATTGTTCGGGTTGTTGTGCTCATGATGATGGTGGTGTCTTCTTTTATGATTTTAAAAAAAGATAAGTTAAAAAAACGCTGAAAGTCGGAGTGCTAATGGAGAATTTTTTTACAGTTTGAAATTGGTTGGTCGCTGATTCTTCTCTTCGCACGCGCTCTCTTTATTAAATTTGAAAACTGGCTGTCGACAATGAGGAATTGGTTGAGGAAGAATGTTGGATTTAAATCCATTCGAATGTGGTCATATGAACAAAGTCAACGGCACTCCTTCTAAAATACTCCGCTTGATGAATCTTTCACCCGTTAAATTTAATGTTCAACCTTAGTGTCAGCAATTGTCATGGAAGTGTCAGAGCTGATGTTTGTTGAATGTTGAGCTTGCTCAAGACTGTTGACTCTCAATTTTTCTTCCTCTTCTCCAGTCATTACTGTATCGTGATTGGAGAATGACTGATCCACAACTGCAGCAGTTTTAAAGACCTCAATACTCGAATCAAAATTAGGATTCTTCTCGGTGAGACTATTCCGTAAAATGTCAGTCAGAGAAGGTGCTGTGGAAATGATTGGATTGATGTGATGCTTCTCATCCAATAGATAAGCCACGCATTCACCTTTTCCTTTCACATCAATGACTCGTTCTTCAAAGGAAAGTCCAGCAATGTCGTACACGCGTTCGTAACTCGATCGAGATAATTGAATTCTGCCTGGAAGCGAGGAAGATTCCTGGTTTGAAAATTGTGTGACATTAGAGAACAAATAACATATCACTGGAGAATACTTACCATTCTACTCGCTACGTTGATGGTGTCGCCCCACAAATCATATGCAAACTATGGTGTGTTTTTAACACAAATGAATATTCGTGAGTTGTTGTATCAATGAATCAAATACAATTACAGAATGGTTAAAATTCAAGTGTTTTTTCGACATACCTTTTTCTTTCCAATCACTCCTGCAACAACGCTTCCAGTATTAATTCCAATTCTGATATTGATTTGTTCAGGAGCTGGTTTTTGACTTTTGGAGTTATATCTGTGAATAACATTGAAGGTTTCAATGGCAAATCGAAGCATTCGTTCAGGATGATCGGATTGAGCATTTGCTCCGAATAATCCTCCAACACAGAAATACGAGTCTCCAATGGTTTTGATCTTCTCCAAATTGTACTTCTCGACAATATCGTCAAAGCCGTTCACAATTTCGTTCAACATGTTGACCAACTCGGTGGGTTGAATTCCACTACTCAATTTTGTAAACCCAACCATATCACTAAAGAAGCATGTAACTATTCAATTTGTGATGTTGATCAATGAAAATGTAATAGATTAATAAATAAAAATGAAAAAGAGGCTCATTAACAAGAAGAATTTGGAATACTCACCATCACTAAACTTTTCTGCAATATAGGTTTCTCCAGACTTGAGCTTGCACGCAACAGCACTAGGAAGAATATTCAACAATAATTCCTCACTGTGCTTCTTCTCTTGAGCCAGCAATGAATTGTGTTTCTTTTCACTTGTGATGTCCTTAATAAAGCATGTCACAATTGGTTGTGAGTTATGTAAAGTGACAAATAAATTCAACCGTGATGGGAATGTGGTTTGATTTTTTCTCATGCATTCAACTTCCATCGATTCACCCTTACTCTCCCCTCGTGCTGCGTGAATCATCATTTCTTCAACCAATGATTTAACTTTTGACTGCTCATTCTTGTCAAATAATTGATAGAGTGGTCTACCAACAGACTCTGTTTGGTTGTATCCAAACATCTTTTGTGCGGCTGGGTTAAATATTTCAATATCAGCCTTATTATTGCACATGACCGTTCCATCATAGCATGCATTGAGAATATTTCTCACTTTGGCGTCTCCTTCAGAACTTGATGATTTTCGTCTTTGTAAAATTGAAGATGTCGAGAATATATCTGGTAAATGATGATGTACAATATAGCTCTTGATATTTTCATTCGACTCCATAACCTCCACTGGTAAATAATTAAACAACATTCGCAATTCTTGAACTGAAATAAAGTGTTTCCTCATGGATAAATAAATTAAAAAGGAAATAATAAAAAGTGAAATAAAACCAATGATGGAAAAGATAGTGATAAATGTGGACGACGGAATTGCAGCACCTTGAGCGAATACCTCTGAAAAATCAAGCAGAGCATCAGTAACGCGGAGTGAGAGATATCTAGTGGCTAAAAATTTGTTCAGCAACCTGTTTCTATCGATTGGACTCATGTCAATTTGTTCAGCTAGTTCAATACTATTTGCTAAATAAAGAGTGACCATATTATCGATGCCAATAGAGCAGTTATTACCGCTGATCATCTTGTCGAAAGTACAATTAGCGTCACCATGAATCATGCGATCAGTTGTTTCAAACATTCCTATCACAAGCGTTTCATCTGGAAAGTAATTGGAGCCATACCTGAATATGCAAAACCAGAATACCAAGTGTGTAAGATGAGTTGATAATCACAGAAAATGATTCACTTACATGCACATGTTCCAATAAAATCTTATCTTGGCTACTCGATCGCTAATGTTGGAATGAACACGGTCCAAAAACTCATTCGTCACAAGTGGAGGATAATTAAAGAAAGTCTTATTCTTGAATGATGTGTGAGTATAATCCTCAGTGACATAGAAAATTAAATATTCCGTATTCTCTAGAGCAATGTATGCATCTCTCATTGTAACATATGATTCAAAGCTGTATTGAGCGTTTCCAAGTGTTTGGTTAAGGAAAAGGCCAGCACATACTGCTACAACAATCGCTACAAGGAAAGTTAGCATGACTACCATATTTCTTGGATAAAAGAAAGAGTTTTTCTGAGGGCTAATACTTGTCTCTTCACTCACTGTGTAGCTTTTACAAAGATTGTGATAAATCTTTCCCGACTCGTTCTTTGAAACGTTCTTCTCGATAAGGTTTAAAACTTTCTTAAGATAAGAAAGGTCAACTCTTGAGAAAATAGCAAACACTACGGTATATAAAAAGTACAGAGCGATGCAAAAGCAATAATAGATGATGAAAATATTGGATGTTTGCTTCACGCTCGATTTTGATTGTTCAATAAATTTGTAACAAAATTGAGAATAAGCAGATGTGACGTAACCGGCATTTAAGAACTATTCGATGAAGATGACTACATTCTATCAAAATAACAAATTTGAATACTTACCAAAGTCATAAAAGGGTAACTTGCAAACGTTTTTGATAAATCATCTTGGTTGAATTTGAGCACTTCTTCGGCATAGATCGTCATCACATTTGTAATATCTGCTATGGTCAAGTTTACCAAATTAGTAGCATTAAAGGTTGAACTACCTGATGGAGCGACAGGCAATGACATTGGATAAAATACTTCATGAAACTCGGAGTACATGTCTCTGGAAAATTCAGCTGTATGAGCTAGCTCTGTAACTTTCTTAATAAGACCTAAATGTTTTTGCATTTCAAGTTTTTCTGTTGTCAAGTAATCCTCTAATGAATGGAACCCAAACTTTCTCAGTACAGTGACATTCAGTTCGTTCACATTGGAAAGGTAGATCATTGATTGTATGGATCTTAATGCAGACGCTAGTTGAATGGATGAGGTCAAGGGATTGCATGCTGTGTTAACATTCAATACAGTATCAGTAACAGAATTAGAAAATATAATTCCCATTACAAGCGTTGAGGACAACACAGCCAGAGAAAGTACAATAAACACAGAAAACATTGTCAACAGAGAAATGTGTTTGTGTGTCACTGTTAAAACGTTTCTAAAAACAGATTCTTTTCTTAGCTCACTATCTTCTTCAATTCCTTCAAAAGTATGATCAATCTTGGAATCTTCAAATTCAACATTGGAATCATTTAGATCATTGTTCACAGAGCCTTCATTCCATGTTTGGTTGCTTTGAACTGGAAGAACTCTATTATTCATTTTCTTAAATTTGGAGTATTGAGCTCGGTTTCTTTTTGATTCATCTTCTTCTAATGCTGTTGCTTCACTATAAAGCTCCTGAGCTAATTCTTTGTTAAATTTGAATACTTCTATATAGTTTGCAAAACATCTCAAAACTGTCTTATCGCTTTTAGAAATTGAGAGTAAACTTTTGAACTTTTGATCACACTCATTTGTTAAACTTGCGGATCTGAGAATGAGAGACTCAATTTTGGAATGATTAACAGTCTCTTGTGTAAGCTCTTTCCAAAATGCTTTGTGAATACACTTCATCTCTTCTTGATTTTTAGAGAGTTGAGACAACACTTCTATTGCATTTACAGAGTTTTTGGAATATTGAGTCGCTAATGCGTTCAACTCTATTCTTGAAGTTAATAAGAAATTTTTGATAAAAGTTAGGAGACTTTTTCCATGCCTTTTTTAAAAGTCCATGAGCAAATGGAACTGCATTAACTTCTTGCGGTAAAAAGTTGGCAATTATGGTAGAGGAGAGAAGCAAAATTTCTGTGTCCAGTTGGTTACTTTGTGAGAACCCCTTAATTAAAGAGATTGCCATATTAATGTTTGAGATGACTGATTCTCTATCAAATATTGATGGTTTCATGCTAAATCTTAAAAATAATATCAGTTTGCGTAGGTTTTTGGAGCTAACAAAATCAATATAAATGGCCAATGAAACCTTTTCGATTGATTTTTCAATAGCATGATGCTCGACAGTTGACTCTATATCTCCTCCTTCTACATTCGTTTCAGATTTCCCGTTCTCTAATATAAAAGATCTCACACTTCGAACAATATATTTCGTATACACTTCCAATACTATTGTACCCATCAAAAATCCCAATAACATTAACACAAGCGTCGCACCACTCAAACCAATGCCGAATTCGTTCACTGGAATTTGGAGTTGAACAAAAATAGACTTGTTAATTATGGAGGTCACTATTGATCCAATACTGGAGGCACAGCTTGAAGCAAGAATACCAAACGTGATGGAGTTTTCAAACCTCCTCAAAAATGGTAAGGATTTAAACAATAGTACACACATGACGAGAGCGCTAACCAAGTGAATCACACCTCTCACAAATGAATACTCTGCTGGAATCACAAAGTGAATAAAAATTTGTGCTTGATTATAAAGAAGCAAGGCGCAAATAAAAAGTGGATTGTCAGCCACAAAAGGTACTGTGTTATGAGGATGGCTGTTGGTAACAATGAGGCAAGCCAAAGCGCTGCACAACATGAAAAGAATCGTTGTAACGATAGAGGTAATGTAGAGAGCAATATTCTGTGATCCAAAGCATGCAATGCTAACATTGGAATATTGATAGAATCGATTCAAGATTGGAGTATTGAGTTGTTCTGTGGTTAATGTACAATCGATAAAGCTAGATATAACATAAATAGAAGGAATAGATAGAGCGAGCATTGCTTTGGAAGCCAATGACACAATTCGTTTGGTTCCATTCAAGTATTGAGAAGTCGTTTTGAAAGCATAACTACTCCAAACGATCAGCAAAATGTATCCCAATAGAAAAACAATGGCAATGATGGAAAGAGCCAATGCTCCATAATAGGGCAATCGTTCCATCGAGAAAGTCATTGGATAATTGAGAACGGTGAAGAGCCATGATCCCCATTCTCCATATCTCATCTCAAGTCCCAAGTTGGGTAAGAACATTGAAATCCACATTAAATAGATATAGAATATGAAAAACGACAGATAGTCCCTCCATCCTTCTCTGATATCGTTGTCTTGTATGAAAAACAAAAATGTCATAAATTTGTTTCTGAGTTTTTCGACTGCTGACAATTCGGAACCACTCATATCTGTATTGCGGCCAGAAGAGAGTGAAGTCGAAGAGGTTGCGAGTCCGGTATTGGATGTCATTTGAGGAGGGGGGAATCTAAAACTGTTGTCACGGCCTCCTCCTGAAACTGAGCTTCTGTCATCAAAACCAACGGATGTCATGACTACAATGATTCTTTGTTTTGTTTGTAACAGACAAACAGAAGCGAAGAGCAAATGTGAGTGCTGTACTAGTGTTGATCTCTCTCTTCATATCTCCTCTTGAAAAGCATCTTTCATACGAAAATCTCGGTGATGTTGTAAATTGAAAACTAGCGCCAATATTCGAGATAAAATCATATCCCTCATTAATAATCATTACTAGCATCAATGATGATGGCCAATGGTGGTGCTGTTATATTAATTTGTCTATTGGCATTCCGAGGATAAAATTGGTGATGAGTACAATTCTTTGATTGGTATTGAAAGGCTTGAAAAGTGATCTCTTCCTATAAGCCGTATTGGCTAGTTTTGAATTAATCTCTCGATTAGAAAGTTTCATATCGGATCAACACCATCATGATGGTATCAGAACTCTAGATTTTGTATTGCATCTTTCATCATGCTATCTTTTCATTTTTCTTTTGAAATGGAATTTCCGATACGAGCCTATGTATGATTGGAACATGAAAACCATCAACAAGACTCACATCTTCATTCGACCCCAATTGTTGCGAAATAATAATTCCTCAAGCTGTTCTTATTTAGTAATTTACAATTTTTTTACAATAAATTCAATTTTATTCCAAAGTTAAATATTACAACAATCTCATTCTTTCTCCAAACGATCCTGTTGCCGATTTTCCTCCAAAAATCAAAGGCAACACCATTGAATCCAATAAGGAAATCACAGCCACTCCACTCACCACAATTCCTGATGCGAATAAACTCTCTACAAGCTCATCTCGTAAACCCAACTTCTTTTCCAATCGATAAGCTATTCCCGTAATGGTACATTCAACCATTCCACACCCTAATGCCAATCCTCCCATGATCATGTATAACAATAACAAGACCGTATTCAATCGGGAATATTTTCTTAAAGAGGAAATTAATAATCGTAAAACATTATACAAGGAGAGAAGAGCCAATAAGAATGAAGCTACTGTTGTGAACGAGAGTGCTAGATACGTTTCAGCGGGAGCATTGTCTTGTACTTTTTGGCTGTACATGATCAATGCCACGAGATGAAAGATGGCTGCTCCGAGACACAATAATAATGTGATCAATGAGACAACTTTCAAAACAATCGAAACGGAATCTCCCATATTTTGTTGTTTCTGTTGTGAGAAGAGAGAATAGAGTGTGAATAGAGTGTTTTTTTTGAAAGCTTTAATGCAGGCTAGATTTAAATTTCCGAATGAAAGGGAATTAACCGCTTTTTGACCTCACTTTGAAACATTATTATTTACTGTTCGAAGGCTGTTCAACTCCTAGATTTGTGCGTCCTACTATATGCTCCGAACAAGTAAGTTCCATTTCACACTTTACAAAAATTTCAAATCCTCAATTCCAAAAAAAATGAAAGCTCTCGTCTTTGACTCTTTCGGTTCCTCACACGTTCTCGAATATCGTGAAATTCCCAACACTCCAATTCCAATGGGTCCTAACGATGTACTGGTTCGTACTCGAGCCATCGGATTAAATTTTGCAGACATTTATCGAAGGCAGGGACGTTATCATATTGCTGGAGGACCACCCTATATTGCAGGATATGAAGGAGCAGGAGAGGTGGTTGAAATTGGATCGAACGTCACTCATTCAAATTCAGATTTGGAAAATATTAAAATTGGAGACTTGATTGGATTTGCAGATGTGCCATATGCCAATGCAGAATATGTGGTCGTTCCGTACGAGAAGGCTATTCCTTTACCGAGTGAGATTTCATGCGAGTTGGCTGCTAGTGTCTTGTTACAAGGTTTGACAGCTCATTATTTGACAAGAGACAGTTATCCAGTAAAGGCAGGAACAGTCGCTTTAGTTCACGCAGCTGCTGGAGGTGTTGGTCAATTATTAACTCAAATGATAGTCATGTTAGGAGGACAAGTCATTGGATTGACTTCCTCTCAAGAAAAAGCTCAAATTGCCTTACAATGCGGAGCCTCTCATGTTTTTCTATATTCCGATCCCGAATGGCAACAACACGTACTTCAAGTAACCAAAAATGGAGAAGGTGTGGATGTCGTCTACGATTCTGTCGGTTCCACCTTGATGGATAGTTTTAAAGTCACACGCACTTGTGGTCATGTTGTTTTTTATGGAATGGCTGGAGGTGATCCAGTGCATGTCGATCCACGCATGTTGATGGACACGTCGAAAACATTGACTGGAGGAGATTTGTGGAATTATTTAACGAGTCGAGCAGAGAGAGTGAGGAGAGCACATGAATTGTTTTCATGGATTTCACAACACAAGATTCAAGTGGCAGAGCCGACCAAGTTCAAATTGGAAGAAGGACGATTGGCTCATGAATATTTGGAAAGTAGAAAAAGTACTGGAAAAATTATTTTACTGCCTTAATGGTGGAGTTTGGTGTGTGTAAGACATCAAAAAAAGCTCTTCCTTAATAAATAGTTTCTACACTCTATGAATTATCGGACAATAGTTCATGCACTACATGATTTGAATCGACTTGTCATTGTGACGAGCTTTCACAGTAATTTCAATCTCTACATTTTCACTTCTTAAATCTTGAAGTGAATAATTCTTATCCATAATTAATTTCACCTTATCGGACTGAAGTTGAGATAACAGACTGAAGAATCGCTTATTCACTTGTGGTGTTTCAACAGGTTCATCATAATCATCTTCGTCGTTATCGTCTTCATCGAGTGTCGTTGACTCCTTTTCTTGAATGAGAGAAGCCTCCAATTCATAAGAACCTCCATGAGTCACTCGTGTGAAGACATCTTTCATGGAGGTAAATGAAAGGGCATAATCTTTCAAAATAGGATCCGACGAAGACTCGCTCCATGTTGTTTCATTCAGGAATTGTAAAAAGTCATAAATTTGTTTGGGTTTCAAATTCAATCGGTACGTGAGAGAATTGGTGTTGATATTCTCCTTGATGAGAATTAACTTGTTGGGTGCATACTTGTTGGAAATGATATTCTTAATTTTCTCTCCATGATGATGATGATGATGTGAGGAATTTCCTTGATGATTCATCATGATCAAATCCACTTTATAACCTGCTCCCCATCGCTTTTTAAGATGAGAAATGTGACCACAGGCTCTAATTTTACCCAGTGCTAACACGACAATCTTGTCTCCAATATTTTCGGCCTCTTCCATCGAGTGAGTAGTCAAAATGATCGTCTTGCCCATCTTTTTATATTCGGCCAACATGTTCCAAATTTTTCGTTTCATGACAATATCGACACCAGTAGTGATTTCATCTGTTGTTTTGTGCGAATGAACAATTTCACATTTTGTCGTGTTGTTGGGTGTTTTTAGAATGGTGTGAATGAACAATTTCTCATTCATTTGAGGTTATTATGGATGAATGAATAATTGAATATAAGATGAGAATTGAATAAATATTGACAATACTTACCTAAAAACAAAACAGAGGGATCACCAATCATGGAAGTTGCCAAACTTAATCTTCGTTTCATTCCTCCAGAGAAGGTTCTCGTCATCTTATCGGCACTATCGGTTAAAAACACACGTTCAAGCTTGGTTCTTGCTTCTTCTCGTAACTTTCTGAATGGAACGGCTCTCAACATGCTAAAGAAGATTAAATGTTGTCGAGCTGTCAAGTTGTCAATAATGAAATCATCTTGCATACAAACACCAATATGCTCCTGAATATGTTGAAAGTCCTTAGCAATGGACATCTTTTCAATAATGGCATCTCCAGAAGAAGGGGCCATTAAGCCTGTCAAAATCTTACATAACGTGGATTTACCTTCAATTGCATTCATGTGTGTGAAAAGATTTGAATTTTTCAAAGAAATTCTTACCTGCTGCAGAGTGACCCAAGATGGCAGTAATTTCATTTCTTTTTGCATGAAATGTCACTCCATTAAGAGCATTCTTATTATTGGTATTTCGTTTAAAGAGCGAAGTAAAGGTCTTTCCAAGTTGAATGACAGAAATGGAAACATCATCATTCTGAAAGGAACGAGTGGTTTCCTTATATTCTCGTGCAACATCTGGATCAATATCTTCAAGAATTTCAAAAGCAGTTCCTTTCGTGTCAAAATCAATGGCCAAATCGTCTCGTCCAATTTTCTTGGAACGAAATCCCCAATATTTTGGAGAACATAGATAGAAAATCGATTGTCGAATGCCATCAAACGCTGGAGGAATGACATTATCGAGATAAATGGTTAACAAGATGAAGACAAGCCCTTGTCCAATAATGTCAATCATGCATAAATAGGGTGGCAACACGAGCATGTCATAATAACTGTTACCATTCGTGTTGTCATAATAAGTTTGAACTGGACTCACCCAATAATCAATATCTTTAAATCCTGGAGGTGTCATAATGACACCAGTCTTGGAATCAATATAATAATTGGTCATAAACGAAATGGTTGTCAAGGCAATGGAATAGGCAGCCGTTGGGAACATATACATGGGTCCACCGACCATGGCAATGGTGGATGGAACATTAATTCTCACAGTAGGACTCATGATCGCCTCCGGTTGAATGGTAACTAGGGTAAAAAGAACATTGGACACGAGCAGGAAAAACAAGGTAATATTCGAAACAGAATTGGCTCTAATAAAAGTACTTGCTGTGGCTAACAAACAGCAAAAGTAAAAAGCCATTCCCCACAAAATGATGAAAATGATCAATGGATCGCTGCAACCTGTGAAAAAGTTGAGTTGACAAATATATCCGACAGCGGTCATGATGGCACAAACAAGTGTCAAGTGAATCATTTCAAACACAAAGACAAACGTCCAATAGGAAGAGTTCATCAAGCCATAACATTTCATACCCACTCTTAATTGACGATCCCTTGCAATGAATCCATTGATATGAGAAGCTGACAGGAAGAGTGAAATAATGATCAATCCTGGAATCATGATCGTTGCTAAACGTTGTGACATGATCATGGGTAGCATGTTGTCTGTTTTTTGATTGTCTTGACCTCTCTTGGAAGGCACATGGTGGATGGACATGTCTAAGGTGTAAGGTTTTGAATTTCTTGTGGAATTATTCAAATTCAATGCTCGATACATGACGTTCATTAAGGTCAACTTGTTTTGTTCTTCACTCACTGTTGTCACTCCAACACCAATCGAAAAGAAAGGATTTCTAATTGAAGTGAGATAGCTCGGAATGACATCGACATTCCACATGAAACTTCCAGTCTCCCAATCTTGAGTAGAACCCAACACCCATGCTCCCAATATTGTATTCGATTCGATCAATTTCTTGAACATTTTTGGATCCATCTTATTTCGATTACTTCCAATGACACAAATATCAGTTTCACATTTTGACCATTCTCCAAAATTCAAACAAGTGGAATTTTCAGCAGTCATGTAACTCAATGGAGGATCATTCATTTCTCCAATCGTTTTCGAAATGTTAAACAATTTCCAAGCTTGTTGATAGAATGGACAATAATCGGAAGAAATGATTAAATACTTTTCTCCAAGTTGTCGATTGGGCTTTTTCAAATGTTGAGGCACATGATCCAATGTAAAATCATGTTGAAAAAGTGAGTCTCCTCCTGTAGCAGTTAATGAGAGAATACTTTGTTGAATGATGAATACAAGAAGAATGATGAGAGAGGGAGCGAGGATACGAAACAACCAAGTGATCCATTCATTCCGAATGTTGAACCATTCCCGATAGAGAAGGGCAAGAACTTGCCGAGGATATTTTCTGAAATACGATCGCATTGGAAATTAATCAAGGATTCTGGTGGAAGAAATTTCTTGAGAATAGATCTTTCGTGTTGTGATCTCAAGAAGAAGTTTTGAAATTGCGAGTTTTCAATATAATTCAATGGTTCTGAGAAGAAATAATGAGAGATTCGTGTTTTGATTTTTTTGAAATTTGTTGTTTCGTTTTGAGTTTGCAACATGTGTTTGGAATCGAAATGGAAAAAGTTCATGGCTTGTACCCAATTAGAAGCTGTGAATATTAAATTTTTAATAATTTTTAATTTTATTGAAATCTATTTGGCGCGCAATGAGGAATGATCAAGGACTTACAGATTTTTAGTTTTCCATCTTGGAGTTTGATTTCATAACGAGTTGAGATTCGTGTATGGTGTCATTGGGGTCCAGGTTACAATTTTTTTAAATTGAAACGACGGGAAATTATAATTTCATAAAAAATCTCTCTTCGCAACAGTCTAGGTGTAACAAAGACATTCTTGTTGAACTGTCAGAGCTGTCAGACTTATCAATTTTGCCCTTCTTCCTCTCACGTGCACAAACACACTCATGATTTCGAAATAACACAGTTCTAGGAAAACTCTACCTATCAACAACATGATGAATCAAAACAACAACAACACGAACACGAAAACAATGAAAGAACCTCTACTCCGAAATTCCGAAGAACCTTTTTTCGAGGTTTCGTCCTCATCAGACACACAACCAATCATGAGTGTTTTGCAAAATGTTCCGACAATTTCAATTCATACAGAGGAGGAACCTACGAATGTCGTTGTCAACTTGACGAATAACAACAATAATAACACTTCCAATTTTGGCAACAATGATATTTTGCCGAATTATAACAATAATTCATCGTTTTTTAACACATCACTGGTGAGGAGAGGAAGTGCAATTTCTAGTGCTACATTTGCGGATGATGCTTCTTCTTCGGCACCGTATTATGAGTTGTCGAGTGTGAAAATTAGAAGAAGCTCCATGACAAGTGACATGTATCAAGGACACAAATCACCTCGAAAGCATTTTGTCAATAATTATTTGGATGAATATGATGAATTTAAAGTTTGGCAGGAGAAATATCCTGATGGAAAATACTGCGTAGTGAGCAAGAAATTCCTACCTGGCGACTGCTTTAAAAACAATTACAAAGTCACAATTTCAAATTTGGAAGTATTTCAAAACATTTTGCGTGACGTGAGCGATATTGAGGCATTGCTTTGGAAAAAGACTACAGGTCAATATAATGAAAATGATGAACGAGAGGCCGTAATGGTCATGTGCAACGTTGCAGATTTAATATTTGAAGGCGTTCAATCGAGATATGAGTATTTTGCAATTCATGATTTATCTTCCTCATCAGACAAGATACCCAGTCATCAATATTATCAGCAACGACACAAAAAAGAACGACCAGTTATGGACAATGACTACTTTGCAGTTCATAATTTAACATGCAAGGATTTCACAAAGAATTGTTGTTACGCCATTTTACTGATTATTGCGATATTTATATTTTTATTGGTGGCAAGTATTCCAATGTGGTTGATTGAGGGCTCGTACGAAGTGAGCGCCCTTAATGAAGCTCAAAAAAACATGACTCTGGCCCATAATGGAACCATGGTCACGAATGGTACAGCTATTACATATGATTTATTTAATATTGAAAATTGGTATTATACCAATTGTTTATACTTTACTACTGTGACATGTAGGTTGTTCGAGTATTTTTTAGATAGAAACATCCTTTCTTCAACATTGATTATTTAAATTCGGTGAATTGGGATTAATAATTATCCATTCATAATGAAACTTTTCTTCAACTCGTTTGATATGAAAATAGTTACAACGGTTGGATACGGTGACATTTATCCTCACACGACGGCTGGTAAATTATTTGTGATTTTATTTGGCTTAATTGGATTAGCAACCGTAGGTGCCATGACAGCCGTGCTCGGTAGAAAACTCGTTCAAAATACCAAAGCAGTACTCTCTCTCTTTTCCAACACGATCATCTTTTTCATTAGAGTCATCATGTCATGCACATTCAAATCCACACGAGATCGAAACAACCGGTACGAGAAATATGTCACTGCAGTCGTGACCCATCCTGTGAGTCAACTCTTTTATTTCTTCTTCATTTTCACAACGTATTCGATGGTAGGAGCTGCTATTTTCTCAGCCATGGAAGGTTGGAAATTTGAAGATTCTCTCTACTTTGTGTTCATTACTCTTGCTACTATTGGTTATGGTGATTTGAAATTGAAACAAACAGGTTCTAAATTTTTCTTAATTTTCTTCCTTTTAATTGGTATTGGCTTATTGGGAATTTTACTTGCCTTATTAGGTGGAATATTTGCCAATTTATTGAAAACCTTGTACTTTAAGTGCACGAGTCAAGAAGAGAAAACAGTGGCTAACAACATGTTCAGCACTCGCTCTGTTCAAGATACAACAGCTCGTTAAGCACTCTCTCTAGCTTCTATTATTACTAAAATAATTTAATTTTTTAAATATTGTTTTTACCAATTACTGTGAGATAGAGTGATTATGATTTTCGTCATGAATCTCAAGTTGGAAGCATGAGGTAATTACCTAGAAGTTTCTAGAGAGAGAATATTCAAGGGATCCAAAATGAAGAATTTAATTTCCTATTAAGGTTACCTCAAACTTCCTATTTCTGTACAGAATCCGCAAACCCGCCTTTTGTTTTGTGAAAAAAAAAGAGCTTCTCTCCCTCATTCACGACGAGCATCAAAATTTTTGAAAACGCTCTCGTATACCCTTTCCCTCCCTCTTTTTAAACACTCTCGATGATGATGATGAATACATTGAATCCTGGAATGAATAATCCAACATGGCAAGATGAATCAAAAAGAGCCGCGAAAAAGGGATTCCCAAGTATTAAGATAAGGCTTGATCAAGAGTTGTTGAGCAGTCGTACTCCTAATAACTCTTCTTCTCCTCTTCTGGAACCCGACCACTCTTCACCTAGCTCCTCACTACAACAACAACATCAAACATTTCCTGCCATTATATATCATTCTTGTTCATCTCCCGAAAGTACTTTGAAAATCCAAACAATTAAGAACGCACAAAACACCACTTCAGTACATTTATGTAGGGACGTCATTCATATTATTTGTTCGTTCCTCTCCGATCGTGAATTATGGCTTTGTGCACGATATATCAACTCGGCCTTCCATGATGAATCATTGAGGAATGATGTATGGAAGAAGTTATATTTGAACAAATACCGATCAGTATTAGATCCTACAGAAGTTATAATTCACAGAGAAGCTCGTGATGATCACACTGAGTGGTGGAAATTGTTCATGGAACGGTAAGTAAGGTTTGAGATGAGATCGGCTCGATTAATTTTTACCTAATTTGGATATTAAAACCTTTCTCATTGTCTTGTTCATTTCCACCGAATAACAGAGAAATATGGAGCCAATTTCGTTTTAGTACAAAAGAGAAGGAAAATTTTCTGTTACAAGAAGAATTTTGTGAGCTATTTCAAAGCAGTCTCGCTCAGTTTGGACCTTGTGAAACCTATTATTTGAGAATTATTGCATTCAAAAACTTGGCTGTTAAACATGGCTTTTTGTTTTATAATGACGCCTTCTTTCATGGGCCAAAGTTTGGTTGGCACTCTTTCTTGAAAGTGGGCGCAGCCTCATGCCATTCCATTCCAAGAGTTGATATCGAATCAATACTTCTTCTGGGAAAAAGAATTCTCCACGAATACTCCTTAAAGCTCGATGTTTCGCTTAACCTTCCAGATACGCCCACATGTATGAATCAAATTCTTATCAGTATTCTCTACATTCTTGTGCAAGCTTATTCCATTATAGGAGAGTTTTCTAAAGTGATTGTCTACTGCTGTGAAATTATTGAGAGAACAAGGAAAGCAGAACATTGCACAATTTTATGCAAATTGCTGAATAGGCTTCGATTTTATAGAGGATATTCATTGTTCAGGATGGGACAATTCACTCAAGCCAGAAAAGATTTGAGAACGCATCTCGAGTATCTACAATGGCCCAAATGTGATGAAGAACTCAGAAATCCTCACTCCATAGGTCATTTACTGAATGTTTACTATACCCTAATGATGAATGAGATCCAATCTAGAAATGTTGAAGCTGCATGTGAATATTTCAAGATGTTTTTAGGGCAGTGCTTAGTGATGGACAGTATTGAACAGTATACTTCATGCTCCAGTAATTTCAGCTCTAATTGTCTTGAAATGTTCACACAAATAGAAAATGAAATACTCTCTCAACACAAGCATGATTTGTGGGAAAAGATCAATTCCACATTTCCCTCCTTGCCTTATTTACCTTTAGCAGAACACTTTTATGAGAAGCGAAGGTGGAAATTTGCGAAACATCTCTTCCAACAGTTTGAGTCTGTTTCGTTTGCACACAACAATACGAGCAGGATGTCTTTGGAAGATAAGTCCGTATTCACACAACAAATTGCTCATGCCAAGAGGAGAATCTCCCAAATAAACGCCATGCTCACAATGGCCAAAGTTTTTTGATAGGCCAAAATAATGTGACGCTCGACTTTTAATTTTGTTAACATTCCATAATTTAATACCAGCAGTGGTTTATTGGACTCATGTCACAACAAATTTACTAATTGCTAAAATGAAACTCATAAATCGCCACACATTCAGTCTATGACCGAATATACTTATTGCTTCTCAGAAAGACGACGAATAGGTGTATGATGTTTCTCATGTTGTGCCTTAACAATGGCTTCCATTGTTTTTTTCAAGTAATCCAAACTGCTCTCAACATGAGACTTTTCTTCTTGTGAAATGGTTGTTGTTTTTAAATATTCATTCAATTGTTGTGCATAAAACTTTAAATGTTCCTGAGGTGCCTCCACCAACAAACGATTCAGAGTTGCTTCATCATTTTGATTCAACCAATTTCTATAACTTTCATTATTTTCCTTTTCCTTTTGCAAATAGTTCATAATTTTTGGCACTGATGTGTAATATTGTTTGTAAGGAGCCAATAATTGAGAGGTCACTGTTGAAAATAGAGCACCCAATGTATTGGGATCTAAATCTGATTTTTCCAATCTCGACAAGGTGAACTTGTGTAAATTCTTAATAATGTTTAAAGAACTGGAAACGTTGTGAAGATAATTTTCTTCGGCGTGATGATGATTTTCCAAAGTGCTTGTTGCTGCTGCGAGCGGAGAGCTGTCTTCATCCGAAAGTGGAATTAAATATTTCTATTGAGTCCGTGATGAGTGTGTGAATAATTGACAAATATGGAAATGAACAGTAATGACAATGAAAAAAACGGTTTGTGTAAATGTCGTTGAAATAATATAATTATATTGATCAATTGTGATGATCATTAGTGAATTCAATAAAATCAAAGAAAATACAAAATTTGGAAATTGATCGAGATAATGATGATCTTGATACCAACCTCTACGAGAGTATTTAAATCATTCTCGACAAATTTGCGTTCGGCAACGATCAATGCGTCCAAGATGGTTTTTGATGATGTCATTTCAATACTACTAAAATTTTTTTTTCTTTTGATCGTGACGTTTGACTTTGATGGCACAAGCGAATCCCAAGTTCGGTGGGTCGAAAAACACTTAACCAAGCATGCTTAAGGAATGCTTTCATGAATTAACATTAATTTAACAATATTATGAATAATATGAATTTCATTTGAATTTGGAAAATAAATAGTTTACAAAAAAATTTCCAAAAAAATCACTCACATCATGAATTTCCTTTCAAGCCTTCCGCGCCTCAATCATGAATGGGAATGATGGGACGAGAGATGATGATGCCTTCTGAGGTAACTTCTCGCGTTCTTTTGTTATAATTCTGATGGCCATTAAAATAATTCCTGATTGAGGCTATGCTTGATATAAAAGGATATTCTTAAAACTTGTATCGGATACCCTCAACACATCATCAAATTCAAGAAAAGAAAATACCACACACACCTAACAAACATCGATTAGGTATACTCTAGTATATACATTACTCTCTACTTTGGTTTCATTGAAAATGACTCCCTTTCTTATTGGACCTAAGAAGGATCAAGCAATTCACTCACGCACGGACCTTAGTACCACCCGATCGTGGTCCTCTTCATCAGTCACTACATCAGGACCACGAAAGTTGCAAGTAAATGTCCCAATTTTGCCATTCCCTAATGTTCGTTCCATGGTTCCTCAATCGCCACTACCACTCATGCAAGCAATCAAACAAGAAGAAGAGAGTGACACCACTTCTCCTACATGGACATTTTGCAGCTCTTGTTCATTAACTACACCATTGTCTCGTTATGTACAATCACAGAGAGGAGAGGTCAAAGAGTCTCAAGTGTACATCCAAAGGATGAGACGAGTGGAAATGTTGAAAAAAGAGGAGAGCCTGAAACGAAACTTGGTCGAATGCATGAGAAATCAAACCATGAGCTTTGAACAAATAAGTGTGACCTTTGATGAAGACTTGAAAACATCCTTGCCCGTTTCATCTGAACAGCTGCCAATGACATGGAAGTTGAACTCCAACGAAATGGCTGAATTTTCTCAAACAATGACAGCAACACCCAATTTAGAAACCACCTTTGTGTGTGACAGAAAAAGGAACATTTGTCGATGTATTCGACGAATTAGAGCACGACATTATAGATCATTCAAGACCCTGACACCCTCCCAAAAAGCAGCATGGAAAACCCTGAATAACATGTTGAAAACTTTTTAATGTAAATAAACAATAATGAATGCACAACTTACTGAGAAGTAATTCAATTAACTTAATTCTTTAATGATTGATTAAATTCCTTCACATCGCCAAAGGTATTAAATTTCAACTCCAATAAATCTTCCACATGCTTACGAGCGTTGGCAAGAACTCGATTGAAATCAAAATAGGTAGCTTTGGTTTTGTACCATTCTCGGTGCAAGCATGTAAATCCAACCACATACATCTCATTAAAGAGGTCAAGATTAAATTCGTATTGCTTTTTTGGTTTGGACTTGACCTTCTTTGCTGCTGTTGATTTTTGTTTGGAAGGGATTGATACTTGTAGAGTGGGGTTCTTTTTGCTGCTATTAATACTAGAATCAATATTGGAAGTCTTCTTTGGTTGATGTGAGCTCGATGATGATGGATTCGTCGATGTGTTAGATTTTGCTGACTCATCCCATGATGGAAGTGCAGAATTATCCCAAACCAAAGGAGAAATGTCATCTGTTAAAATATTCAAAGACTTTTTGGGTGGTGGCTGTTGAGTGGTTGGAATGTCATCAAATGAAAGTAATGTTCCTTCAACAGTGGCTTGAGGTGTTGGCGTGGATGAAGAGGTTTCTTCGTCGTCTTCGTCATCTTCATCTTCCTCAATGGCTGGTTTTCCCTTCTCAGTCACGAGTAATTCAATGAAATTTTTCTTCGCTGTCACGTTGTGAACTTTGTTCGCTTGAAAACCAATTCCTAAAAATGAAAGCAACATCATGGTCACATTCAAGCCTGCAATCACGAAAGGATACGAGGTAAACGTTCCATCATCCGTCACTTCCATTTTAGCTGTACATTTTGTGAAATAGGTCTTAAATCTCTTCTTGTAGTGTTTTGCAAAGTACAGTAAATTTTGAAGGCCTAAAATACCAGCTCCTCTGAAATCTGTTTCTGGTTTCGTGTTTTGAAAGCCTAAAAATTTATAATGTTCTCCCTCAGTGAGCGTTGTCTTCTTTTGCGTGCATGCCTTATAAAGAGCGAACAATAATTTCTGATGTTTTTCATTTTCAACATCAAACTTTTTCGAGCAGTATTGTTTGAATTTTTCCAAAATTTGCTTCTTTTCTGGTTCTAGATAAATTTCAGCTTGTGGAAATTCTCCACCAGCCCGTGCATCACTATTTCTTCGAGTAGCTATTCCATTTACTGCAGAACTGATTCTTGTTGATCCTGCAACGGCGGTCTCTGTGACTGCCGTGTAAATGTATTTCAACATGTCTGCAATAATTTGCAAAATGTATGGACCACTTTCTTCATTTTGTCGCTTCCTAGCAATTGCATAATAATTGTCTTTCATTGTTCCGATATGAGGGTCATTACTCTCTTCATCATTTCGTGAATAAGATGATGAATTAGATAATGAAGGCACGCTTTTTGTCTTTGTCAAATCTTTGGATCCAAAACCTTGATATTTATCCAAAGTAGCTGATGATTTGTTTGATTGGGACTTGACTGTTGTTGTAGGAGTGGATGGAGAGTCGTATTGAGACGATGATGATTGATAACCCGCTCCTGGAGATGACTCGGCAATAGTTGATGATTGCGTTCTCTTGTGTTTTCCATATCCAAATGAAACCGTTGGTTCCGTTGATGATGCAGAATGATTACTTCCCGTACTCGACGATGAAAACGATCGGTTATGATTACTAGCTTGATTTAATTTGGATGCATGAGTCTTGGTTTTACTGTTGGTCGTTGAGGAATTCTTCTTGGTGTTTTTATGTTCAATAACGATATTATCATCATCATGATTCTCATCATCATCATTATTAGGAGGTGCTGTTGTGGGAGAATAATCCTCATCTTCGGTAAATGATTTCTTCTTTTGTTTGGAAATCTTCTTCTTGTTGGGTGATGAGGAGGAAGGCGAATCGGAAAGTGGTTGGAATTCATCCAACAATGAGTTCATGTCTCGTCGTCTCATGATTGTGTATTTTTTATTGATTTTTTTGGTTTCAAAATCGAATGATCAGCTGATTCATAAGAAATTGCTCTCGGATTGTAATAAAGACACCGTACGTGTTGCTGAGGTCACTGCGTCAATTCGAAATGTTTATGTTCAATTGCTTTGGAAATAAGAGCTGTAAGAACTGCTGTTTCAAGGTTGTAATAAAGTACAACAAGATCTCACATCATAGACATTACCAAAGACTGAAATGGGTTCTTCTCGAAATCAGAGCTACATTGCCCGAAAATTTCCACTGTACAATCCAGGTTAACACTATTGTAAGGAACTGGAACCTATAACCTATTCATGACTGTAACAAGTGATTCGTTCAATGAGACACAACGTTTTGATTTAAGGCAATGTTTTTGTTAATTGGCACAACAAATTGACAAATGGCAGTGTCATACGGGTCTTGCATCACATCCAAATAAAGACCTCTGACCGAATTTGTTGATTGTTGCACAACAAAAAACAAATA